GGGCTCATTTAACTTCTGGCCACGTTTACCAGTGTGGCTTAAGTACGGCTGAGCGGACGGGAAGCCCTGTTCTCCACACCCTGTGGTCGTATGTACTGAAGATAAGTAAACTGTAAACTATCTGTAATGCATCTGGCCATTCGCCTTCTGGAGGGTCCATGCAGCATTCCAGTTTCGTTGAATCTTCTCCATAGTCAGTCAGTCACTCCGCGATGGAAACGTCAATAAGGTGTGGTAAGTGAGTTAGCTGCGTGAGCACGGCGTTCCAGGTACCGCCAGAATGTAGCTGGACCAAGGAGAGCTCGATGTGTTTGAGATGCTTTCTGCACTGGTCTGTAAGCCCGCGGAAGTGTTCGAGCGTGATGACGATTTGTCCGAGGCAGAGAGAGGTTAGATGATCAGATGGGCTGAAAGGGATAGTGTAAAAAGGAATGACGTCTGTACTGTGGTTCACGAGGGCTGCTAGGTTACGAGCCAGTCCACTAATCGGAGGGGGTGGGCGGCGTGCGCGGGGAGTCCAGGGGTTCTCCAGTATCGCTGTCCCATGGTGTACGCAGGGAGCCGCGCAGGATATCCTCCATGGGCATGTGCAGTGGTATGGAATGGTTGGGGAGGAAGTGACCAAAGTCGGGCGCTATGAGAAAGAAGAGCTCAAGCCCTTCCAAACGGGGTAGAATTACATATCGTAGGGCAGTAAAAATTGCCTTGATGACACTTTTTGCGTGGTCGCGTGTGAAGGAGTCACATAAGGCCCTGAATTTTATGACGCGTAGATTGGACAGTTGAGCTAGACAAGGCAATAACAACCTGGCAAGATTCTGGACATCTTGACCGAGCGAACTGCTATGATAGGAGCCTGATTGGTTGCATCTGCACCCAGTCTCTAGATGGCGGACATGTGCGGCGTATTCACTTCTTGAGATCTCAACAAGCTTGTGGAGCGAGTTTCGGCCGTGTCCCCAGGAGTCCGTCGGGGCTACAATGTGTTTCAACAAATGGCGCAACGCGGCAGCAAAGAAGCTCCGACTGACCAGGCGTAAACTCATGAGTTCTGGTCGAGCACTGTGTTCGAGCGCATACGGGAAGATATCGCGTAACAAGTAGTCCTCTTCAACTGTTGCTATGTGGTCAATAACCTCGGGGTCAGGCTAGCACACGGCCTGGTGTTGCGCACGGGGGTCATACCATGTCGTAGATCTCGACTGGAATGACTAGTGCCATTGTCAACACGCCTATTGCTGTTTGAAATGGTAGGATTGATAGCTGATGGTTGTTCCCCCGCTAGTTGTGTTTCAGTGAGGGTTAATGACCCTGGTCGAGTTGGGCGGCGCCTGCGATTGATTGCATCCGTGGTATTCGCCCGAAGCACACTAGACGCCACTAGCCAAGTATCGTTATCAGTCTCAATTATTCCTGTGCTTATCCTGGCATCAACTTTTTTTTATTTTTTTGCGCCTGGCGACGCAGAGGGTCTGGAACTTGTTGCCGATTGATCTATCAAAGCGGCCAACCTACTACCTAATAATGTCTATGTATACAGCACAATATCCAAGCAAGAGCCATGACTCTGGCGTGCGAAAAGTCAACGCCTGTGCTCCATCCTCGCTGCCCTTGGTTTCACAAACCTTACGGCCTCTTGAGCCCATGGATGATCCTGACGAACCCAAAGCTTAACCGTTACTCGTTGCAAGCATTCATTAATGCTGGAAAGACGATGGACGGCGGGTGATGGATGTGCCGGAGACTTGGTGGGGTGAAACCTGAGTTCAATTGGGCACGATATCTCGATCGTGGTTGGCTCGATATCGATGGCTCGTTGTCAGCACATCATACCTCGTGGCGTAAGCCTTAAGCCCAGAAGCCGGGGCAAAGGATGAAGGCAAACTCTGCCAGTGAACAACGGATACCGGGCCTGTAATTGAGTGACCTGAGCGTCTCTGCCCGCTTAGCTAGTCTGTTCAGTGACAGGGAGGAAGGACGCATCCACCAATTAAAATAATCATAGAATAGTAGCTGTTATTTGAGTAGCCGAGGATTTCCAGCTTTCCTCGCAAGAGATATCAACCGTGAAGGAAGATATAGTGTTGGCTACAAAGGGAGCTCTCTCATAAGTTACTTGATAGGCAAAGGTGAATGAAAGAAATACACAGTTGTCCTGGAACCTTCTGGCAAATATAAAGGCTACCAAGAGAAACAAAAGAACATTCACCGATTCGTAGTCCAAGACAAGTACGGCTAGTGAAATATACAGAACTTTTTTTTCTAATCCTGCAACCACCTCGTGTTGATGACTACCACTACGAACCACAATCACGATGTCTACTACCACAACCGGGGCAATAGAGATACGTACATAGGTATTGAGGGTAATTTTGCGAGCATTTTCAGCCTTCCTCTGAGGTCTCCTGACCAAATTCTGATTACCGTCCACGGACCCGCAGACACACTTCGCCTTTTCAAGCAGGCTCTCCGCGAAAAGGCCAATAAAGTTCCGCTCTCATCGAGGCAGCCGCTATCTGACGCGCAGTACAGCCTGGCGTCTGGTATTGTACAAGACGGCGACGGCTCAGGTGAAATATCCAGGACCTTATCGTCCCGCTCCTGTCTAATCTCCTTGCGAACCTCGGTGCCCCGATATCACTGCTTGAGATTGGCTCGGGCCCGAATAGCATGGTTGGGTGTCTACCGGAACAACAAAGAAGAATGATCAAAAGACACACTACATGCGAGCCAAATAGCCTATTTGCTGGGCGGCTGAAAGACTGGCTGGGCGGTACTCTAGAGAGTGGCGATGTCCCGCTACCCTGTCTAGAAAATGACCCAAGATTCATCGAACTCGATTCCCACCAAGCAGAAGTTTGATATCATTCTCTTCTGTCATAGCTTGTACGGAATAAACCCCAAGCATGCGGGCCTAAGAGCCTCGCTGGGAATGCTTACCCAAGCCGGAGTCATCGTTGTCTTTCATCGCGACCATACTTTATGTCTCGATGGGCTACTATGTCACCAGAGGGCAGCTTTCCCAGCAGTCACGATCAAAGTGCCGGATGAAGACACAGTGTTAGACTCCTTTGCGTCGTTCATTTATTAAGATACCCTTTAACAACACTAGCTATGCCACTTTAAGCGCTAATTATAATGGCTCTAGGAGACTTGCTTTACTAAACATCTTTTAAGGAGAATAAAGGATGGATTAATAAACAAGAAATAAGCTCTCTAGATACTGTGTTTATATAATTGAGAGGACTACTAGATACATGCCCTAAATAGTCCCAATGTCTCGTATTTCGCAAGAAATTATGGTACTAAGCATGGCTGTATTATCTCGCTGCCCTGATAAAGGTGACTGACTCTGTCCACTTGTCCGCTTTGGCTGCCTGCTATGAGGGATACTTTATCCACGATTCTTCCGTCATCAAGCACCACTAGTTCACCCTGGCAAGCTGTTGAAACTCCTACAAAAACGACTGCATAAGAGAATATCGTCCGGGAATTCCTGATGAGCCTTTTCTTGTGCATAGTCGAGGGGCGTCTTGCCGGTGGAATCTCTGGTCTCTGTGTCCCGAATATCTCTTGATTGAAGGAGTTCTACAAGTCCTCTAGTGAACGCACCATGGATCGCCCCGTGGTGCATAAAGGTCTTCCCGTCAATGTCTTGAGCTGCTGGATCCAAGCCACCTTCAAACAAAAATTCAAGAATCTCGTTTTCTGCGCCCCTGTGCCGCATTAAGAGATGCAACAAATTCTGTCCTCGTGCATTGACCCATAACAGATCAGCGCCTTTCTAAACAAGGTGAAAGAATATCTCTTTGTCAACGCCTAGATGGAATGAACCTACGTACAGACCTAAGGAAGCATTTCCCTGGAAGTCAAAATTAAGGAGAATGAATTAAGAAGTACAAGTTAGTACATAAGCGTACTTGTTTTTGAACCAAGGCGGTACGTGATAGAGCAAATACATTTTGTATGGGTAATATGAGAATGCACCTTCGGCTTCCATAGCTTGGAATAGTTTACTCGTCGCTAAAGTCATCATCGGACGGAAGCCCAGCTTTCTTTCGATATTCTTCCCTTCGATATTCCTGTGGATACATCGTTTGATATTCCTCTGGATGGTTCTCCTTTAGCCATTCCTTTGGAAAGGCCTGTTTGTATTGCTGTGGATTTTCCACTCGAAGTGCGTTTCGATATTCCTTCAATGCCTTGCGTCTCTCTCTCTTTTCCTGTCGGGCCTTCTCTTCCTGTTCCTTTTGGGCCTTGCGCCTCTTTTCCTGTTCCTCTCGGGCTGCTCTAATAAGAGCTACGTAATAGTCCTTCTCCTCCCCAGTAACTTCATAGCCGTTCCACCATTTGGCGTATTCAACCAGCTGATCCCTGGTACAGTGTGCATCGGACCAACCAAGCTTCAGTACCATGAACCTATAATCCGAGTCGCGCGACTTCACATCGATACCGGTCGGGCTAAAATGATTGTCCCTGAAGGTGCTTATGTCGGGACCCGCGGCGGGATTGTCCCTGAGATAACTCGAATAATATCCTTCGGTTTTCAGAAAAACAATATCATCGTCTTGGTTTCAAGCTAGACTCCAGCCGCTGAGCTTTTCGCCACCCCCACGGTCGGGGCCCTCGAATGCTTTCACTAAGAAAAGTCAGCTTTGTCCTATATTCTACGGTTATTTGCCCGCGTACGAAGGTAATATATCCCGAAGCCGAGGGGTCCAAGTTCCTTGCCAAGCTGGTCCCAGGCTTCATCCCCCGACATTTTTGAGTAATGTATAAGCTTATGTAGGTGAAGAAATAAGTTAAGGCTGGGCGAAGTGCTGTGTATGAACTTTGACGATAGTCGGAGAGGGATATTTTGTCAATCTGAACAGGGAGCGAGGCCATATTTATATTCCGTTTAAGTGCTAGGCATGGTGCATCGCTACGTCATATTGTCGGTGTGATGAAAGTGCTTTTAGCTGAACTATCGATTCTTTTCAGCTGGCGTTGATAAACGCCACTCCCATTTCCGATCGGCGGTAATGGGTGCGGGGAGTGACGATCGTCTACGTAGTTGAAGCAGATCCTCAATGTGAGTTCTTTTCCTCGAGAGAATAGTCGTGACCACATGAGAAGCTGCTTCTCGATGGCGGTCTAAATGATGTCGGTATCGTCAAATCGTTTAGTCAGATTGCGCTGGGTATGATTCACTGAAACGACAATGGCAGTGTCATCAGCTCTCGCCCGACGGTGCTTTTCCAGCTTCTTCTCTAAGAACAGCTACCAGAAGGCACTTGGGGCCCCCGCCTGTTCTTCCGATTGCCATGATCGATGGTGCGTGATATTTGAGACTTGCAATTGGACGACAATCTTATCAGCACTCCATCAATGCCCTGGACGGCGGATTGATGGCGTATTGGGCTGAACTTGCCGCTACTGATCAGCATCTTCAGCTGAGAAATGTGGAGCGTCCCAACATCTCAGGGTTGAACCCTACTTGCTCGTCGCTAATTGCTTGGATCCATATGTGGATCGGTCTTCCGCGTAGATACGAATACCAAGAGCCTTTCCTGTGACTGTGATTCGATGACTCTGGATGGTGCAATGGAATTGTTTGCGCTTGACGTGTTCGTCTTCCATTGCTGCAAACGGGCTGCATTTGACCATGGACATGGATGGCTGAAGTTCCTGGATCTCCACGATCTCCTACTCCCCGCCATCTCCCACAGGCTACGTTTCAAGCAGGCCCTCAAGTCCTGAATCTTGGACCCACAGCATGACGGGTGATCCGGGCTGCGCGTCGGATATGTATCTAGTATCAGACATTCCCCATATGATCCCATCCAAGGCCGTCACGGCATCATCGTTCTGCGTATGGTTTGAATATTGCTGCATGCACTGTTCCAAAATGACCAGATCTATGTTTGCACACACATACATTAGCAATTGCGTAAAGAAGCCTCTACATATCCATCAGCTCGACCTCGTCGCTTCGGTTCCACCGGTGGGGTCCACTCGCATCCAGCTGCGGCCCAGCTGGCGTCTACTGCGTACCAGTGCGGGTCGATCACCTCGACGCCGGCGTCGATGCTGGGGGTTAACTGAATCGCAGAAAGCGCTTTTTGGGTGCGGGTGCCGATGCTGATCCGGTCGTCCTCGCGGAGGAGTTTGGACGAGGGGACAGGCGGAGGCGGGTTGTGGGTGTGGGTGTGGCGGGAAGCAGATTGACGATGATGAGGAGGATGATCATAATGACAATGATAATCATAATAGCGGAGGTGGACTTTCCTTGCAAGAACTGGATTGCGGTGGCTTGGGCGCGGCTCTTCGGTCTGTGCCAGTCGGTGCATTTTGAGTATAGCGAGTTCGACCGTGACGCCGTACGTGGAAGGTTCGTGGGCTCGATGAGAAGGTGGCAGGAAAGGGAATGAGTGAGTGTAGGAGAACCGATACCAGGACAACCGTGCAAGACCAGACTGCCAAAGAGACAAGATAGCTCTCGGCGCAGGAGCGAGATGGAAGGAGGACGGGAAATTGTGAATGGTGTTGCTCGTCAAGTCAGCTGCGCTGTTTTTGCTTTTCTCAGGAGCCAGACTCCCTCTGTCAGTCAAGCTGTCAATCACCCACTCCCCACACGAGGATCCCTGCAATTCCACGAGGGGATCAATCTTATCAATCTCTGTCCGAGACCTCAATTCCAAATATGGGCCTTAATACAGGTGAGTCTGCCCTCGCACTGAGACAGGAGTCTGTCCTCTTGGCGGCTCGTTCATGGCCGCATTGCCCTAAACAGGATAAGCTGACGGAAGGCTAGAGCGCTGACCTGAAAAACCGTAAGACTCGGGGATTTCGTTGCTGTCATCTAGCAGGTCTCTTTTCTGCTGTCTTGAAAGTCTTTGTTCGATGACCGTCAGCCTTCCCTTGGCCCAATCTGCCTCGCGCAATCTCCTTCTCGCCGTGATATGCCTCTCGCGAGCCACCTATCGCTGAATAACGACGATTCCGGTAGCTCGGGCGCCATTAGGAGGCTGGTTGTGCTTGTAGGCTACGGGGAGACTCTGATGGCGGGGGTAAGAAGGGTCCGTGGACCGAGTGTCTGCCGTCATCTGTGGGAAGTTGAGGCTTACGAGGCGCCGAACGTCCTCCCCAAGTTACTATAGGTACTAAAAAATACCCAAGTAGTATCTTATAGGCATAATAATAGTAGTTAGGAGCAAACAAGAATATCTTGATAGTAAAAGTTTTAGAGCCACTAGGTATATTAGGCTTATTTAATACACACATAGCTTATATAGATATAGATAGCTTAACTTTAGTAGCCATAGCCTCCATAGGGAGAAATTATTTAAAATAGCTTATAGATAACCATCTAGATAATCGCCTAGAAACAGCAGCTGCTCGGCAGCTGATCCTGCTTAGACAAAGTAGCCATAGAAAATGATGCAGAAAATGGACAAACAAACTCTCTCCTCACATTTTTAAGCCACAGCGAGCCTTGTGGCCCAGAGTACCAGAATTATTTGTGTAACCATCATGCAAGGGGCTTATTTCCCGACTGACTATAATTCAGGGTAAGAACATCCCACAGCCCGCAGCGCTCGGCTAGTTTCGTGCCAGTGCCCTCGCAATGGCTTTAGCTTTGGAGTATTAGCGGCATATATACCTGGCCTGCAAAGCTATATTTTCAGCTTAGAATGCTGCGATTCGGAAAAGGAACGCTATTCAGAAGCGTCTCGACGACCACAAACCCTCGTCCGATTTCGACATCGTTTAAACAGTGACTATATGCCAAGCTCTTCTTGAGAAGCAAGTTTTTTAGTCTGAGCCAAAGGCGAAGCTTGAATTCCCGGAACTATTCACATCTTTCAATGGATAGAGATTCCCAGCACCTTGCATCTGAAAAGGAGGCAGCTAGGTCAGAGGCAGAAATTATCAAAGAAATCGTCGCGAACTATGAAAGCTATGATGAGGGAGCAGATACAGAAGTTCCTCTCAGTGATCACCAAAACTATACTGATGAAGGAATCGAAGGGGGTGTGGCTGAATGCAGAGGGGGAGTAGGTAGAGGTGCTTTAGTGGATCTTAGTAGGTAATAGCTAGCTCTTTACAAGGTGGAAGGTTTCACTATAATTAGAGAAGTTTACTTTTAATCTCGGTCTAAGGGAGCTGGAATAGGAGGATGTGGGGCGACGTGTGCAGGGCTGAAGAATTGGGCCTCTGGGGAAAACTGGAGGTCTAATCTAATAAGATTAAATCTCCCTGACTTGTCTGGAGCGTTGGTTGGAGGGCTCCTACAGCGCGCGATCCTTATGGTTGCGTGATGATCGCGTGGTACTCTAACGTGGTATCTACCTCAGTCTTGCTCAGTCTCTTCGGTCTGCTGCACTCTGCTGATTGACCTGAGGTGGGGAATCATTTGTGAACGAATCAGCATCACTTTAAGTTCTCAGCACAACAGTGTGCTCTTGTTTCAGATATTGCACACTCCAGCGAACTGTAGACCGCTCCCCCGGCAAACTCTCTTTGGCCAAAGAAGCCACTCGCTCAACCTTCCCTCCAAGACAGCCTCAACATACCCCAGCCACACCTCCCCCTGCCGACCAATGAACCAATAATCTTCAAACGCGCGGAGCTGCGCACAGTAGAATGCTAGAAGCACAAGCGCCACAGGATGTTGCTGCCGAAGGTAGTTAAAGTACTGGTCCTCAACAGCGAGCGGCCACATGTATAACATGCCGCATTCGAGTGGTGGGGCGGCGTTTTCGATGCTTGTAAACGAGGCCTTCAGCCGGTCAAGAGCTTGAAGAAAGGTAGCCCTCTCTGTATCATTTGGAATTTCGGAGATTATAAGCGTTTGGAGGCTGTTTAAGTGCGGGTCGAGGCCTTCGAAGAGGGTGGTCCGACTGGTTCTGGAGAGGAGTTTAGGCAGGGCTGAAGCGAGACTTATGGTTATATGTGGCTATGGTTGAACTTACCGCGCATCGCCATCATCCATTGCAAATTCCCGCATGAACAAATGCTTCAGAGAGCTCTGTTGTGGGTCGAAGTACTGAAGAAGGACTAGAGTTCCACGACATAGCCTAAAAAGCTCGAATATAGATTCGAGGCCGTTAGCCGCGTGAGACTCAATGGAGTCCGTCAGGGAGGCGTAGATATAGAGCATAATAAGACTCGAGAAAGAGAACAGGGCATAGCAGTTGTCTGAAGAGGGAGACAGAAGGACTTTCCTATATAATCGCAAGCCCAGAGACATGTGGAAACCAGCACCAGCAAGATAATTATCATATCTCTTGGGGTTAAGGTAAGCAAGATGGAGAGCCGATAGGCCAAGAATCCCGTGCATGAGAAACTCGTACGAGTACGCGATTTCCGGGATCACGACCTGCCATGTCTCCTGCATGTGCGGCCGCCTGGCAAGAGATTTGGAAGTATAGAGAGTGTAGTGATGCATCAGTTCTGGATCCTGCCCAGTCCATCCTTGGGGGAACCAGGTCCCCTCCGATAATCTGTCGTTGAAGGCACGGAGGGGGTCTTTGCTGGACAGTCGGCGACATGGCGTATCACCACTGGATGACTTAGGAGCTGTTAGACCGGTTATGTCAGATAGGATGTCAATGCCGTTATTAGCCCTATATGGTGGTGTGGCCCTGGTGCGATGTTCAAATGTACACTCCGTGTCACGCTTAGAGCAGTTCAGACATGGGTTGGTTTCGTCGCACTGTGGTGTGTCAGCAATTGATTGTCGGACCAGGAGGCGATGACTAGGCACCTTAATTCTCCTCCGCCTGCACTCGTTGCAACCGTTGCGGGACTTTTTGTGCGATTTCCGAGTCAGCATGTTCTGATTAGCGATCGATCCGAGTCCCATAGTAAGAACGCGACAAGCTGGGTGGCGTGGGCGACTTTTCCATGCAAGGGGGTCAAACGGAGTGGGCAGCAATTATGGATAGGGAAGGGAGCGCCTTGAGCACGAGATTATCAAGGGATGATGCGTGACAGGCCAGCAAAATCCAGAATGGAATGTGGGAAGGAATGGTTTGCGTATGAATACGGAACGAAAAGAAGGCGGTTCTGGGCAATGTTAGGTTGTGACCTCGTTGCAGGTGGGTAAGGGCGTGTTTGGCTAATTATCTTCGTTCTCCCAGCGGGGCAGTGGGGTTTAGGCTGTCCCGGCCCCCCGACCAAGGTTCAGCCTGAGTCTATGGTGTTTCCGTATCTTGCTTGACTTATCCGATGAACAGACAACTAAAACTCTCTATACAAATAATAATGGGACGATATACAGCGAAGGAAACCCGGAACGAACCTTAGCACCACGCAAGTTCAATTCTAACTACTCCGCTCAGTCTCGAGCGCTCTCATCTCCGCATCTCGCCCCTTCTGCGACCCAACCAGAATCACCGATGGATGGCACAGGTTCATAACAACCATGGTCAAAAACATCAGTGCCGAGTCAAAAACATACATAAACACCTCATGGCTAATTAAATACCCATCATTGCCTTGCACATACTCGATAACTCGAAAGATTGACCGCACAAGAATCAGCAGGCTCGCTGCATAGAGTCCCACGAGGACAGTCTCCCAACCCCGTCTCTTCTGTCCGCGGAGACGGGCCGATATAGTGGCCACCTGCTGTGTAGGCCTCTGTCTGATGCGGTGGTGGAATATCCCGCAGGTTACTATGAAGACACTAAAGAAGGCCAGTTGAACCGCCAGGCCGGCGACGGTGACGTCTTCACCGAGGTTATAGTTTTCTATCGTACCAGATGCCATGATGCCGCCGCCTAGTAGGACTCTGTTAGAGGTTTTATTAGTCAAGGGGAAATTGTACAAGACTACGAACCTGCAGCCTGAGCGACAAATCCAATCACGTCTCCTACCACGAAGATTTTGGTCATCCACTTGACAGGAACCAGACTAAGCTTTTCGGCACGTAGAATGGTGATAAGGCGGCCCAGGACCATATAGATTGAGGCAGCGTAGAGCGGTGGTGCAAGCAGGATAAGGATAGTCTGCACGCTGTAGATTGGAACCGATTCTTTGTGATTATGGGCGAGGATGCGGCAGACATAGCCAATGATTTGGACTAAAGGCTGGCTATCAGTCCTCCGTTCATCGGTCGCTCACGCATATGGAAAGGGAAACAAGAGAGTCTGGCTTACATATTCCTCCAATTACAAAGGCAATGAAGTACCAAGCCCGTCCACGCCGCAACTGATAGACATGGTATATTGTTGTGAGGAGAAAGAAGGCCACGAATAACCCTGCCGCGACGCGGTTGGGTGTATATCTGTACAACTTGAAGTCAATATGGTCCTGGTCAGCCATTTTAATCTTGCTGTAGGAAATAAAAAAAAACGCAACTTCGGCGTTGACCCCCTTAGTTCTTATAGCTGGCGACTGGGGGGTCTACTAAAGGTGCGTATAATTAAATCCGAAAAGCCGTACGAGCACGGATACGATTACGAGTGTGCCCGAGACAACACAGCCACTGTTTGCTCCGAAATCTCTTTGGGTTGCGGACTATAAGTACCGATAGTCGTCATGAACATTATGTATGTTTTAATCATACTTGCCACTCTTTACTTGACCCAATTCTACACTCTCTGTCACTGCATTTATTTGTCTGTCGCTTCTCCACATGGCTGCCGAGCATTCAGAGTTTAAACTATACAGATATGACCCTTCTATTGGCGCAGCTGCCGTCTTCATCATTCTTTTCTTGGCCGCAGCGGGCATCCATACGTTTCAAGTAGTCCGAACAAGAGCATGGTTTGTCATGCCGTTTGTCGTCGGAGGACATTGTGAGTCTTCAACCCTGACAACCGTTGCAGTCTCACCACTAATCTATATCAACCCAGTTGAATGGATCGGCTATATTGGCGTAGGTCTACTTCCACCCTCCCTTCTCTTGTCCTATGACTGACCTCCTAGCGCGCTATCTCTGGAGACGAGGCCCCCAGTTTCACCGTAAAGCCTTATATCCTGCAAACCCTCCTCCTCCTCATCGCACCCACCCTCTTTGCCGCAACTATCTACATGGAGCTTGGCCGGATCGTACTCCTAACGGACGGAGAGGCATACTGCTTTATCCGCCGAACTTGGCTGACCAAGATCTTCCTGGTCGGCGATATCATCTCGTTCATTATGCAGGGCGCAGGTAATTTCCCCACCTACCCCATCAATGCAGTTTTACTCTACTAAGACAATATGAACTTTCATTCAGGCGGTGGGATAATGGCCTCCGGAACGCCCAGCGCCCTAACAACCGGCGAGAACATCATAATTGGCGGCCTCGTTGTGCAACTGATCTTCTTCTCGCTCTTCGTCATAACGAGCATAAAATTCCACCTAGGGCTAGGGAATGCTCCATCACGCAAAGTCCTTCACTCCCAACCACCCTGGGAGCGGCATATGTATGCCCTGTACGGGGGGAGCGCGCTGATCTTTGTCCGATCACTGTTCCGATTAATCGAGTATGCGCAGGGGAATGACGGGTATCTAGTATCACACGAGGTATACCTGTATATCTTCGATGCAGTGCTCATGGTGCTGGTTATGGTTCTCTTCGCCTGGGTGCATCCGAGTGAGGTGCATGCGCTGCTGACGCCGGGGGGTCGGGGGAAGGCTGCTGAACGGGTGTTTTGGTTGAAGATGGAGGGTGGTGAGAGCTTGCCGTAGCTTACTACATTAATCTGCTGCTTGTGATATATAGATAGGTACGGGACGGATGCACATATAGTCTATACAAGCCGGAGTTGCTCCGACCTCGTAGTCGTCGGTCTAGAAATGGTCTTCCCTTTAAATGACTACAATATTGTCAAGATCCAAGTTATCTTTTGAGTCTAGGATGAGCTCTTCACAGACTTACTCCATGATACCACTCGGGAGCACTCTCGGCGGGACGTTGAGCGTCTCTCGCCGCGCAACGCACAACGATACCTAACATACTGACGATTGGTGATGGACGTAGCGCTCGTTACCACGCTCGGATCAGCCATTGCTGTTACGAAGGCCGTAATCAGATTAGTAGCCTCAATGAGCCGCTGCGTCTCTTCGCTCTCGATCATCCCGAATGAATTACCTTAAGATATCTGGCACTAGCCACAGAAACTATTTATGCCCGAGAGAAGAAATGTTACCCCAAGGTGTGGCCATATTAGATTGATGGCAAGGAAGGACGTCTTGAATGCCACGGTCAATTTAGTTCGAAGCGAAGAAGCCTTTGTTGGCGATTCGCTTGGGGTTCTACTCCAGAGTAGGCCGAAGAAAAGGCTGAGACCGGACAAGAACAGAAAGGGCTGCGAGTGGTACCAAAGCCCGGATGATAATGACCCGAGGAGTAGTATCGATTGGGTAGTCCTTGCGAGGCGACGAAGGGTATTAGCAGGGTGATTAAAAAAATTCAGCCCAATGCAAAGGAAGCCAGAAGAGGTACGAGTACGAAAGAGAGAACGAAGAGCTGGCCTCAGCTCAGTCGAAGTGCCAAGCAAACTTGGTCCTTGTGGGCCTGAACTCTAATTATGAGGCCAAACCAAAGCTGCTATTCAGGTTTGTCAAGCTCCTTTTTTCTTTTTTCTTTTTTTTTTCCGGAACGTATGAGGCAAGTGCGGAGATATCTCGGCTACGGTAAATTGTCATGATCCTATGATAGCATCTGGAAACTTGCAATCCGCCCGCCTACGACATCTTAAGCGTTCAATCGGCATTTAGAAAATACCATTTACATTAGTCAACAAAAGCAGGCTTCATGGCTTTCATTCGGCATGGAGAGCTCAAACATTCCTACCTTTGTCACAGTCACAGGTAGTAAGGGGTTCCAACCAAGGTTGCAATACGGCTATCAGCCTAAGTTTGAACCGGATACTGGTCATTATCGAAATTCAAGATCAACTCTGGACGGGCGATATTGTCCCGACGGAGCCAATTGACCCGAAAATGAAGGTTTTGAACGTCTGGATCAATTGTCACCAGCCAACCCCAGCTTCGTTTCTTAGAAATGAAAGAGAGAGTACGAGAAAACCGGCAATTAATGGAGCCCATTATGCGGGGTTTTGTACTCCGGAGTAGGATCATGCGGATGTTTCCCCAGGTTGTCATGGTGGAGTTCTTTATATACTTAAACACATAATGGGATGCTAGGAATCAGGGTACCTGCCACTTGGTACTTTGAAGTACACAATATTCTTTTTATCTCTATGTCCTTACAAGATATATACTAATCGACAACCATGCATGTTCCACGTCGGAACCCTAGCATGCTTCTTGCGTTGTTTATCACCGTCTTCATCCTTCTGCAGGACATTGCGCTATGCGAACAACGCCTGCCCCCGCGGAAACATGCCAGTGGCTTTGTTGGCCCTCCTTCGCAAGAGCGTTGCCGGCTACGATATTGGCTCCCTGACGCCAGTGTTGACCCTAACGTGGTCAAAGCCGATATCAGATCCGCGGGCTCAGTAGGCGCAGGCGGGTTCGAATTCCTCCCGTACTTCGAGTATGGCGGAGAAGGCGCGGTGGGCCGGATGCCGCCGGGCGCCAACTGGGACAAGTACAACTTCGGCACGCCTGCCTTCCAAGCTCTATTCAAGGCCGCACTCGAAGCACATGACGAGAATGGGCTGTACATGGATTTTGCCATTGGTCCTAACCAAGGGCAAGGTGTTCCCGCGCATGTCACGGATGACGGTCTTCAATGGGATCTGGTATTACACATCGTCAGCTCTTCCACTAAATAGCTCATTTACTAACAAGCTGTGCCTTCTGTCTATAGGTCCCTTTCACATCCAAGATCAACGAGAGTGGCTGCTTCGCCGGGGTGATTCCGGGTTGGGGCACTGGCCAGCTTGTGGCTTTCACATCAGCCCTCGTTGTGTCCTCAGTATCTGAGACTTTTCAGACCCAAGATCAATTTGACATGGTGAACGCCACGTATAAGACGTATCACCTGCGGGATCAGACGTCCCATGTCTTCAAGAATGGGACAACCTACCTGTGCTTTCCCGCTGCTCCCAAGGGCACCTACTACAGGGTCTTCTCATTTTTCCAGACAAAGACGCTACATAAGAACGTACAATTCAATGCCAACGGGGAAATGAGTAATTCTATTTTCCAGAATGGTTCCTTCGCCGTTGATCATTTCAGTGCGAGAGGCGCGGAAACTGTTGTACGGTTTTGGGAGGAAAATATATTGACGAACGGCGTGAAGGACCTTCTTATCAAGGTCGGAAACTACGGTATGTCGTGCAGGACCCTGATGACAATTTCAGAAAGTTGGTGTATGACGCTGACTGCGTTATTGGCAGCATGGGAGGACAGCTTGGAAATTCTGGCTAATATCTCTTGGTCTCGGGATTTTCCCGCCCGATATGAAAAGAAGTTTGGTCACAGCATCAAGCCATACCTTCCATTGTTAACTTTCAGGCAAAATAACCTTGCCCTGCAGCCAGCCCAGCCTGGAAAGTTCCAGTGTCTACTAGAAGACCAGGAGACCAGGCAACGATACTTGAACAACTACCATGAAATCCTAGCAGATGGCTATCTTGCTTACGTGGACAGACTCAGCAGCTGGGTACGGAATAACCTTCGCAAGGGATACTCAGCTCAACCGGCGTACAACCTACCGATGGACATGCTACGCTCCATTCCCTATGTCGATGCCCCGGAATGTGAAAGCTTCGGATTTAAAGATGATATTGACCTGTATCGCAGGTTCGTTGGTCCGGCCCAGCTGGGAGGAAAGAAGGTTATCTCAAACGAGCTTGGCGCGCTGCTTATGATGGCTTACCAATATCCAATTCCTCGGATGATTTTTTCCATGAACCGCGGATTTGTAGCTGGGATCAACCAGTACGTGCTCCATGGTGGCCAGTACACGGGGAATTACTACCGCACCACGTGGCCCGGGCATACCGCGTTTGCCTACCTGTTCTCTGAGCCCTGGTCGGAGAAGCAGCCTTGCTGGCGTCATGGCTTTCAGGATGTCATGGACTGTGCCGCCAGGGTTCCTCACATTCTCAGACAAGGCGTCCCCAAGGTCGATGTCGCAAGGTACTCCAAGGAGAGTGTTACCAACATTCAGTCAGGACAAACGCCCACCGATCTGATACAAAGAGGTACGTTACTAGAATAATTCGTGAAAGGATTGTTTACTAAACATCGTCAAGGTTGGTCGTATACTTACATCTCCTCCGATAACTTTGTTCTCGACGAAGCATACGTCGAAGAGGGTGTACTTGCGCCTCGAGGGCCAGCGTGGCGGGCTATACTGATCGAAAGCTCCGAGAACCTCACGGTGGAGGCTGTAAAGGTGCTGCAGAGATATACAATGGCGGGTTTGCCAGTTATCTTGAGTGGGGGATCGCCCGGTTTCTTTCCTTTCGCCAGCGACACTAAAGAAGAGTTTGACCGTGAAATCTCGCATCTTAAGTCTCTTCGGTTTGTTCACGAGGTGGAAAGTCTAGATGCCGCCAAGCAACTCTCATTGCTAGGTCTCTCGCCGCGCGTGGGGACAAAAACTAACGGAACATGGTACACTTCCTGGACTGAAGCAAAGGGTGTCAACTATGCTTTAGTATACAGTGACATGTCTTACTCAACAGGGGAATTGATCGTCTTCAGCTCTCAAGCACCGTTCTTCTTTGATGCATGGACTGGCAAGCGATCACCGGTCCTCATCTACAAACAGAGCAACGGCACGACAACCATACCGCTAGCTCTAGCAGGAAATCAAACAGTCATTATCGCCTTTAGCGACAAGCTTTCACAAGAACTACCCAGCCCAAAACGCCACGCTGTTTCCGTTCCATCCAGCGTCGTAGGTGCTGTCGCCAACGGCCGGAACAGTGTCTCCCTCCACGTCACGCATTCTACAAGCTTGCAGAACGCATATCTCTCTGACGGAAGCCAGCTGCTAATCGACGGCACCTCCGTGCCTCCCGCCTTCCAGTTGAACAACTGGACTCTAGTCGTGGAGCACTGGCAAGCCCCCGACAACCTTACCGACGCCTCCGTCATTGCAAAGAAACACAATACAACCCACGAACTAAACAAACTGGTCACCTGGGACCGGATCCCCGCCTTAACCAACGTATCTGGGGTCGGCTACTACAAAGTGTCTTTCCACTGGGCCCCAACTTGGGGCGGGTGCAAGGGCTCGCCAAGTACAGGTGCTTATCTAAACATCGGCCGCATCCTTCATACGGCACGCCTGATCGTGAACGGCCAGCAAACCCCTGCCTTGGACTACTTCAAGCCGGAAATAGATATTTCTCAGTTCCTCAAGCTTGGCAGCAACGAGGTAGTTATCATCACGGCCACGCCGATGTGGAACTACCTTAGCAGTATCCTGCCGGAACTGCAGACCGCTGGGTCAGTTCCCATTCCGGCGAGCATGCGGGTACCGGTTCGTCCGATCGAAGTTGGACTGGTTGGACCAGTAATGATCATTCCATTCGCGAGGCATGACTTCTGATTCCATCTTGCGTGGTCACAGTTCATGGCCGGATATGACTACAAAATACTAGGCACAATGCCTTTGGAGGAAAAGGTTTAGGAAGTATGATACATGTAGAGAAGGAGTTTTGGCACGGAGGAACATAGGAGATTGTGCTACTTGTGACATGGTGACAAAATCGGAAGGGGGGCCCTTGTATGTAACGGATTCACCTGCGCGGAGGAGTGGTACCGACTCACTTACGGCGAGTAGTAAAATACATGCTATCCATAACGTGCAACCTTCACCCGCAATGCCGCCAAGTGGTGTGCCAGGGGTAAAGGGCAAAGACTGAAGGTCTATTATGATCTTGTTCAGCTGCAATGGAATAGAAGTCTTTTTGTCCGTTATCCAGTCGGCCACACATTGGAGAAGGGATCGCAAAAAGTAATGGAACTGGACTCATGGAAATGAGAGTTTCGCGCCGGTGGCAGTACGGCATGAAACATATGGACCTTGAACTGAGATGTCGAAAATCGAACTTCAGGTGGGAAGAGCCTAATCAAGAATTAGCCCCCACCTAAATTGCTCTGTGCCTAAGGCCTAGCTGATCCGTTAGAATGTTTGTCACTGGAGCACCCCGTGATATCTCTTGGATAAAAGAGGGTATAAAAGAGGGGTTTTTAGTTTAGTAACTAGATAAATATTATAAAATCTATAAAATAATAGCAAGCGAGGGATTTATTAGGGCTATAGGTTCTAATAGTAAGTTAGTTATATATAAGTAGACGCTATTTGTGTATGGGATGGAGGGCGCAAGAACTCGTCGCACCCAGTTCCACAAGTCGTCTTGGGCGAAAAAAAAAGCAAAAATGACACGAAGCAGAGAAAAGTACGATAACAGGCAGAGTCTACTGCGCCCGGACCTGCCTGGCGTTACAGTATCAGTGGTGTTTCCTCGCCAACCCTAATCCTTGCACAAGGCTGAATCGGGGTACGCCGCGTCAGGTGCGTCAGAATCTTCGTTGCTTCTTGACCTCACCACTATCTTTTATCTCTTTTTATCACTGCTTGTATCCCATACCTTCATACCCGATCGAATTTACCATGGCAGACCCTATTTCGATCATTGGGACAGCAGGCGCACTGGCGAATATTGTCCAACCCGCGACCGAAACGATCACGGCGATTCGCGACCTACGAAGTGATTGGAAAAATGCGGATCTTACATTCCTGAGTATTACGGGTCAACTATCCGCCTTGCGTCTCGCGTTGACAAAGATCGAAGAATGGATGGCCCTCGACCCTGCCGCACATCACCAGCTGGTCATGGATTTGGACGATTCGATCAGATGCTGCAACATCCTTCTCACAAAGTTGCAAGAGCTCGTGGGTAGCCTTGAAAGGAAGCAAAGCAACAACGCTCTCCACTTTCAGAGCAGGATTAGGCTGGTCTTCGGCAAGAGAGATATCGGGGACATTCAGAACTTATTGGAACACCATACAAACGCCCTCAATTTGTTACTGACCGCGTGTAATTGGTCTGTAACCCTCCAAGACTTGACCCTGAAAAGGGCAATGTGTGAGCTAATCTTGGGACTTCCTAAGCAAAACTGGGGCGAACAGCATGCGTTCCTTACGCGATCGAGTAGCCGCAGTGTTTTCCGCCAGACGAAGCTTGACACGGCTTCATTGAGGGCTCAATATGACGGGGGTCCCATCACAACCCGGTTAACGGATACCCTCTCAAGGCTTTCACTGACATTCTCCTTCGACCGCGAAGTCTTTGCTTCCAACGTATACGAGCGATTCTTTCGACAGCTGACAAAGAGCGCCTATAACCAGTCCGAAAACTACACGCCGCCTGCTAAGCAAGAAATATCGGTGGGGGATGAATGGCTGTCACTCCACTAGAAGCTACTATTCATCGGTAGCGAATATAGTAGTCTCGATTCTATTCTCCAAAATATCGCTAATATTAGAGCGGAAAATGCTGAGAACTTTCGTCTTGTATTTCAGCGGATGGCGATATACAGGTTTGTCATTTTGAGCATGAAAGCTGTGGTGACTTCCTTTAGTCTTGGAGCTCCAAATGCCCGGTCTGGTCTTAACTCCAATCATTGCACCTTCCTACTGCAATATACGAACGATATCCTCTTTTCGCAACCTCTGGATCCTCGTGTCGGAGAAGTGATACGTTCATTGTGGATGGACATGTCGATGGAGAGGGTACGTAGATGTCCGCAGGACTTTGGTGTGACCGACTCGACACTCTAGTATGTCTTCATCAACTCCTGCATTGAGGGTCTAGCTTTATTAACTCATGAAGCCTTTTCAATGAGCTCGACCTCGTCCTTTCTCCAGAATACAAACCGACCCCCATAGACATACAAACTGTCCGAAATAAAACACCTGCAATAATTCAAGTATACGCCACCTACAGAATAAAAAAGACAAATACAGTGTAGGCGAAAGAGAAAACGTCTTAACTGGGCTCGAGATCCGGGACGTGACACTTCCCTTCAGCTCAAATAAGCCCTGCAGATTCGACGATATCACCACGATTTATTTGCCGGCTGATCTTGGCGTCTACGACAAGGTGTTGGAAGGGGATGGGGACCCTTTGCAGACGGCGTTAGTTCACTGCATCTCACGGTTGAAAGCAACACTACAATCCGCCTGGCTCCCGCAGAGTAGCAGAGTTGCAATCCTTCTGGTGGAGCCCCAAGACTTCGCCTCTCGCCTGGAGGCTCATCCGTTCACAGGATTCTATCCAGGTTACACAGATGGCAATAATCCAGTTGCGATTTATTCCGCTCTTTCTAGGGAGGTTGTGCGGGTGCGCCGTGTACCACCTCCTGCAGCATCAATCCAAGTCTGTTCAATTATGCCGATCAAGTGCCTTGATGGGAGGTTGGACCTGGATGCGCTTCTTGAATGCTCTGAATTGCTCCTCCGTCTTCAGCTTGCTGACCCCGAGTGGCTGCAGAGCCATGGAGAGGAATTGCGAGACTAAGTGTATACAGGTGCAATTTAACGTCCAAAAATATATTTTGACTAGCGTTAGCGTGATATACCCGCTAACAACGTCAGATGGTAGGCACCGACTGTTCCGTATTCTCGGAGGAGAATAGCCCTGTGGCAATAACATGGTTGGTACCGACACTAAGTTGAGATCAGTTTTCTCCAAGTAAAAGTGTCCAGGAAATGGCCGGTACATCTTAGTATATATTTTGGGGGGAATGAATACCGACGTAGGATGCAACATCCCCATCCATGCATTCTAACCGCTCACGCCCTCTTGACTGTACAGGGATACACACCCTGGACCGCCGTCCGCGAGCCTATGAGCTTCTGCAAGTTATAGCTGTATAGCAATCCAGGTCGCAGAATGGTCTGCTCCGCCAGGCTGTCTAGTGATGCCATTGACGCTGTAGTTCATCACAGCCGATATGGCTTGGTATAAAGGTATAACTAGGGAAGGGACAGAATACCCTTTCTGAACAACGAGGCACTGTACTATCCAGACGAAGCTCCGATACCATGAGTGTGATAGTATTATTCTTTTGGGTATGAGGGTGTACACGGACTCGCAGGCCGCCTCCAAAGACCAGCTGGATATTGGAAAGTGTCAGGGAGTCAACATACTAGCTTGCTAGGCAATGGAAAAGGTTAATGCTAAGGTGAGAAGTCCTAAATCGTGACCTCAATATAGATCAATAATACATGACTCAGGCTGTGTCCGGGATTAAAGTGGTCCGGGCCCTTGAGTCTAGTCCTCCGCTCTCACGAAGCCGATTTTCCCTCCAATACCCCAGCAGGTCATTTAGAAGGATTATGATCAAGATATCCTCCCAGGGCTTTCCATCACCTGGTAGGATCTCATCCTTACCAATGAGCTCGGCCCCCATCTTCTCCAACAGCGCTTTTACATCCAAGATTACCTCCCTAGTATCTTTATACTCCCTGCTCCATGATTTAACAAATAGACCCACTATCCAAAGCATCTCTCCTATAGCCAGGCCTTTTCAAGATTACTATCCCAATCCTTAGGCTAATTATTTAGATTATTACCCAAGAAAAGCATTAGCCAGTGGACCTTGCTCGCCCTAGGCAGTAGATCTATAGAGTGCTTATAAGTAGCTGCCAGAAAAGCATTACCTAGTTATAAATATTGCCACAGGGGGACACCTTAAGTACACTACCTGTCTCTAGGTTTTATTTAACTTTAACTTTATAGAAATTAAGATAGCTTCCACCTAATTAATACCCAGAGTAACCCAAGGGTTGTTTAGCGCTTAGTAGTGTTGCGTAAATAAAGCATCTTAGCATAGTGGAGAAGTTAGAGCAGAGCCAGACATAGGAGTCAAGAAGTTGCTTAGGTAGACAGCGTGCAAGTGCAGGAAGTAAAGTGCTAAAAGGGTCTAGAGGGCCCAGCAGTAGTATAAGAGGAGAAGAGGTAGCAGACTCTTAGTGCCCGAGGTGTCATCGTTCAGGATGGGGACATGGAGGACTGGGGGGCGCGTTGCTTCCAGGGGCCCGGGCACAGGTATTCAAGTTTAAATCCTGGTTTCAGGCGGCCCAGATATCTATGGTTTACATGGTTAGCTAGAACCTTTCTTCTTCATCTCGTGACCACGATATATCTACTTACTTGACAATCTGTGGGTAAACCTCTCCACCCTCTTCTTCCGGGTTCTCCACACCAACAGCCCAAAGAAGAAATTCATGCACATCTCTTGCGTTTACATTGTATAGATTTGGCTCTCCAAGGTAGTCATGGTCTTCATGTCTGGCATATGCAACCAAACAGGTCCCGTCCTTATGCGGGACGACCTTCATGGGTTCAATAAGCCATGCATAAACACCAGCACCTTCATCAGCTTCCAGTAGGACAAGTGGCAGGGGCGGATGCGCTTCTTCCATTATCGCCATCGTTCCCACTCCGCCCGGTCGGCGTTGGTGATCTGCGGTAGCCCTGACAAGCAAGAAAGAATACCGCCCATTTTATAGAGCGGGCAATTGTCAAGTTATTAACTCACGAGGAGTTACAAGGTGGTGAAATGATGTCCGGGTGGGGAGTCTGGACTGGCTGTCTTGGCGGCCGGGCGAGATTTACGCCATGTGATCCCAAGACTTAAGCGGTAAATTTCTTGATGAGTTGAATTGGTAGTAAAGTTAGTGGCTGATTTGCTGGCTGATTCAGTCATCAGTAAGATCTGTCCCATTTCTAATGGCAGCGCCGCATAGGTTTATGGCGTGTTACGAAGCGCTAGCCGTTGCTGTTCGGAACGCGTGGTTATGGCAGGAAATGCTTAGATTGCAGACGACAGAGCGATTCGCAACTTCTCGAGAAACGTGGCAAGCGGCTGGCGACAGACACTATCCGCTAGTAGAGGAGCCCAGGGCCAACCGGGAGCTATGCTGCCAAGCCATAAAGCTGATCGAGGGAGCTGCAATGGAGATCAGACACGCACCAATCTATCGTGCTCTGTATTATTGCTGGAAAGACTCTACCTGGTTCCATCATCCCTGGCTATCTGAACGGTGCATCAAGAATGGTGGGTGCTGTACGCGGGGCTGCGGGTGCTGCTTCAAGTTGGGCTCTCATGATCAGATCTGCAAGACCTGGGACGGACACTGCTAGAGGACCTACCGGTCTTCTATGGCTGCCTTGTTGGCCGTAAATTAAACTCTACCAAGCAGTGTACAATGATCCTAGAGGGATACAGGGGGTCATGACATTGGATAGATTATTCTGTGGCCGACACAAATCGTAGTGTGGGGGATGTGGATTGAGGAGAGGTTCAAAAAGTGAGTCAGCCCTACTACAGAGCTTAACAAGAGGTCCTTTACTTTTCCCCCAACAGTAGCAGCAAGCCTCAGGACGACTAGTCCTCTATCCGCGGTGTAACTCAGCCTTTTAATTTGTTTTATGCATATGCACGAAATATAGAATATGCCTAACCAAACAGAAATCTAATATAAAGGTCCATTCTTCAAGACAATCTAGCATCCCAAACCACTATGCCCAAAAGAGCATAAAGATATAATATATTCTCAGTATAAACAAGACAAATTCGTCCTATTTCCATCCCACCTTGATCTGACATTCCAACCAAAAAAAAAAAAAAAAAAATCAACAATTGATATAAACGAGCTTCTCATACTGAAGAGTGGTAGTTTATACTGGCGGAGGGGTAGGAGGCGGAGTTGGAGGTGCATGTGGATAGAGTGGTGGGGTGGGAGGAGGGGTAGGTGGAGGGTTCCAGTTCTCAGTTGGCATGATGGAGTGGCTTGATAAGAGAGACATCGTGTGTAGGTGAGAACAGATGATTGGGTATATTTTCGGTGAAGGGCACGATGGGTGAGGTGTGATGAGGACTTGAAGATTTACTACTGCCTTATATATGAGATGAATGCTTGTCTGGCGTAAGACAAAGAGCTGAAAGAGTGCATTGTGCGACTTCTTTTAGACCTGTGTTTTAGTTCCTGAAATAGCAAGAACAGCCAGCCGCTTACAAGATATGAAACTTCTTTGTCCAATTAGGAAGCAGACCTGTTTTACTTTTAGGATATCTGCTTGCATACGTATACAAAGCTGGGTTGCATCTATGCTTACAACTCCGAGTCTCGTCCCTGTCAGCGATAAAGCTTGGCTTTTTATGACTTTCCTCGAATGCCTCAGCAGGAAAATGCGGGAGAGGGGTTATTGATTATTATGACGGATCTCACCTGGGCAATACGGGAAGACAAAGAAACCATGCCCCAAGAGGTTGTGGGAAGTAGACGAATGGAAGATGGTGCACAGCACTCTCAGGTTCAGTCATTAAAGTGGATTTCTCGTCAAGCCTCTTCTGCAGGCTAGTCAATACATTGCTTTCTCCCAGTATTTTCTTAATTAGGGGTCTTCCTCGGGACCTCCTCGTCAAGCCTAACCCATCATGACGCGCTGTCCATTACTGCCAAGACTAGAAGAGCTGAATCTCGAACTACCTCTGTATTAAGCTAACAAAGATATAACTTCCAATCAGCAGATGGGAGAGGAAAGCGATTCTGCTTCAGTATCCTCTCGAGTTCCCGCAGACTCTGGTCAGTGGTCACTTCTTGATCGGACGTTTCCAGAATGCATTGGACCGAATTTTCCTGTCAACTGTCTTTTATACAGTATGCCATGTATTAGATTCCAGAAAAGGATTGTCCATGCTGAGACCAAGCACAGCTACGCGATGTGCGCAGAAACTACAACACTTAAGTTTGGATTTGCAATTGGTATACTAGTACTAGCAGACGTGAAAATGGACAATTCTTGACAGTAGTTGCCCAACAAAGATCAAAGTCCGTTGATTGGAAGTGTGCAAGTGGATTGGACAGGTCAAAGGTTCATGGAAGAGGAACCCCGAAAAATAATGCCGGGCCGAATTCTCTACCCTGTCAATTTTATGGTGCCACCGGACATAGTACGCACTAGGTCGGCCCTTACCTAGCCCAGCTGAGTGATTGTTGACAATACGAACCGGGTCAGGTGCGGAACTGACAGACTGAGGGAGGACCTTTGAGATCTAGTCAGGTACGTACCACATACTACCAGGGCTCTGCATAGTTCAAGCTCGGAGACTCCACCTTTTTGGCGAATGAGGAGGCAGAGAGAACAGTATCTTCCAAGTTTTTGCAGCCATTGATGGGTCCAAGGCTCTGACTGGCCCCACATGCTCGGGAATTCCGAGAGTGATAAAAAACAGAACGTAACATCTTGATCAATGGTTTAATAACCTATTGTATAAAAGGGTGACGGCAAGCTGGCTGACGATTTACAGCTGGTAATTATTGTTGCTTTGATGCACGAGCTGTCAAGGGTGTAGAAGATGGGAAAGGGAAGAGTGTATGTTCAAACAAGCCCTGAGTTAGGGCTCGGCTTCCAAAGAGAGAAACCGGGGTGGGGTCACCACGTGGCAATAGTGCTTCGGCACAAGGACTAGATTAAGGTTAGGCACAGAGAGCTTAGCTCGATCTAGCTGAGTCTTGCTTGTTTCTTGTTTTTCGACCTGCGTCATACGGGAAGCTTCGGCTCGGTTCCTGAACTTCACGTCCTCGCTCTCCCATCTAGACCCCGATGAGGTACCGAAAACTCTAGTAGAAGCGGATCTATCGATCGGCTTCTTCTCTTTTTGCTCTCGTTCCTGAGATAGGGTCCACTTGCCCTGAGCAGGTCTCTCAAGCCTTGGATATTTTTGCCGGTGAAGGGATCTCCCAAGCCTATAAAGCCGATTCAATCCCTCTTCTAGAATGCAGTCGGGCAAATATCCATCGGCATCCGTGCCATAGTCATTCGTTATCCTCTCACCTCCGTCCTTCGTTTATCTTCTCTAGTTGGCAGCCATGCGTCTTACAAACCTCGCAGCAGGCGTAGCCTCCCTCGGCCTCGCTGGCGCCGGAGCCATCCCCCGTCTTTCTGACCTTTCTGATGCGATTTGCGCCAATGCTCTGTTCGCGGGCGAGGTCCTGCACCTCTCGCTTAACATCATTGAGGCCCCTGTGGTCGTCGACGTTGACCTCGTCCACAACGCCGTCGTTACTATTGCCAATACGATTCTTATTGAGGTCACTAATGCGCCCACTCGCTTGCACACGACTGTTTATGCGACTACAACTGCTACCGTGACCAGGACTGTTTCTACTGCTACTATTTCCGCGGAAACTGTCGCTGGTACTACTGTCACTGTGACCGCTGGAGAAATCCCGGCTCAGACGCAGGTTACTGTTCCTTCTGCTACTGGCCATGGTAATGGAAACACCATCAAGACTGAGATCAACACCAAGGCCAACCTCGTTCAGCCGTACGTACTCCCGTCTATGCATCGAGGAAAACCCCGCTAATCCCCAAAATCCAGCTCTAGTACTACCACCGCCACATCGTCGGCCACCTCAGCCATCACTACCGAAATCGCCCCCGTCGCCGGCGGCTCGGCCGTAGGCACGGGAATCAACACCGACCTATATCTAATCAAGCCCTCCCACATAACAACAACAACAACAACCGCGCAGACACTCACAAGCACGCTGTACGGCGCGAGCTCCAGCGTGATCAGAACGTACACCACCCCCGTGGCTGTTTCCACACCGACCCCTTCGGCCGTTACTCCCCACTACCCCGGCGACTTCACCAACTGGACGACCTTCAAAGCCAACGGCGTGAACCTCGGCGGCTGGCTGGAACAGGAACAGGTCTTCGACCAGACGTGGTGGAACTCTCACGCGCCCGACGCCGCCGATGAATGGAGCTTCTGCGAAACGCTCGGCGAAGCATGCGGACCGGTCCTCGAGGAACGTTACGCGAGCTACGTGACGACTGCCGATATCGATAGGATGGCCGCAGTGGGCATCAACACCCTCCGCATCCCAACGACCTACGCAGCCTGGATCTCCGTCCCCGGGTCCGCGCTCTACCACGGGAACCAGAAGGAGTATCTCCGTCGCATCGCCATCTACGCGATCGAAAAGTACGCCATGCGGATCATCGTCGGGCTGCACTCTCTCCCCGGCGGCGTGAACTCGCTCGACATCGGCGAGAAGGTCGGGAATGACGGGTGGTTTTTCAACAGCACGAACCTCGCCTACAGCCTCGACGCCGTCGATGCCGTCCTCGCCTTTTTCGTCGAATCCGGATCCCCCTGGGCCTTTACCCTCGCGCCGCTGAACGAGGCGTCGGACAACCCGGCCGCCTTTGCGTCCCCAAACACCCTCACGGCCAACGGCACAGCCTGGATCGTCCGCTACAGCAATGCGGTCCTAGCCCGCATCGCGCGCATCGATACCCGCATCCCCCTCATGCTGCAGGACTGCTTCCTCGGCGAGGAGCACTGGTCCCCGCTTTTCCCCGCGGGGACGAACCTCGTCATCGACACGCACGTGTACTACTTTGCCGCCTCGGGCGTGTACTCGCAGTGGGCGAATGGTGCGATCTGCGGACAGGCGAGTGTTGTCGGTGGAGACGGAAAGTTCCCTGTGTTTGTCGGTGAATGGGCGCTGCAGACCCTGTATAGCAATTCCTTTGAAAACAGGAAGAATCTGTTTGAGACACAGCGGTTTGCGTGGAGTTATTATGTCTCCGGTGGAGCGTTTTGGAATGTTAAGCATGAGAGTACGGCCAAGGTGGATGGGGAAGGGGTTCAGAGGGATTACTGGTCTTTTGAGAGGTTGCTTGATGAGGGGGTTGTTGAAGGGGTTGTTGCGAATAAGACGTATTGTTAGGAGGGTGGATAGCGGGTGGTTTCTTGCTTGTTTGATATAAACGTTGAAGAGTAAGAATCTACCATGTAGGATGCGCTGTTGAGGCTCGAATGGCTCGTGCCGCATGCTGAGCTTTGTAATAGAGACGGCGCATGGCTACAGTAACATTCGATTGGAAATGCAGCCAAAGGGGCTGTTTGTAGTGGGTTGCAGGCCAAAATTCGAGGCCCAGATATATTCGTCCAATCACATAGTCACATATTCCACTCAATCGTATATATAGTGAGGTATAATGGAGGTATGAAAAGCAGAGAACGAAAACGGCAAATATAAACAGAAGATAGCCGTTGAGGTATCATAATAAATGCCAAAGAACCAAAATCGTGAAGACATCGTAACATCCAAGCATCCCGGCCTGGACAATATCATCCCAGAAGCTGAGCATCCGCCCAAACATGGTGCCCCTCAAGGTCACACGCACAGTCGACCCAAGCAAACGATCGCATCGTCCAGCGGAACTCCTCCCACGTCGAGATCCCCGTTTCCCGGCACAGTCTGTTGACCAGCAACATGAACTGCATCCGGCACGGCTCGTCCCGAGAAGCAATGGCTGCAATAGTTGCTGGCCATAGGAACAGCTCGAGCGGGACACCCACTGGGAAGTTGTAGTCGGGTATTGACGCGAAGTAGGAAGATAGGTGGGAGAGCAGGAGTTTTCGTAGTCGTAACGGCCGAGGGAGGGGGAATGTGACGTGGGTGAGGTATAAGAGGGCGCCTAATCGGAGGAGAAGGTATATCGAGCGCGTCTTTTGGCAAGCATCAGGGCTTTGGTTTGTAACATCCATGACGAGCCCGTTCTCGTCGTGGGGATCGGGCAGGGACATGAACCGATGGTGAACGATATCTCGGCAATCTCCGATTTCGTGTGTCGGGCAAGTATCGACTTGTTCGAGGTAATCGAGGCACTGGGAGTATTCGCTCAGGTCGAGGTAGACGTCGAGGATCGATTGATGGACGGGCGGTGTCAAAGCTTTCATCTGCGCAAAGCCGCCCTTGTACCCAAAGTGTCGAGGGATTTCTGGAACCCGCAATGCGCGGAACGGGGACGAGTAGAGAATAGGCTTTCCTGACGGCTCCAGGAGAGGGAACGTTGGCTTCTCCAACGCTCCGACGGAATGCAGCAGGTCTGCTATCCCAATGAGCCAGGGCAGTGTCACCATTTTCATGGCATGGACCCCGCCTCGGCCGTGGATCAGGTTCTTCGCCATCTTCCAGTGTGCTGCGTGAAAGGTAGTAGTCCCAAAAATGTTGAGATGATGGACGCTTGTTCGCGGCGGCGTAAAGGGGCTCGGATCCCGCGTTAGCCGTGGCTTGACCTGGTGGTTCACGGCGAGGTATATAATGCAAAGAATGGCTTCATCGGAAACGGTGGCTGAATTGGTGGTTGCAAGGTGATCCTGGAGTGCTTTTAATGACAGGTCTAGGTACCGCAGCGTACCGACGGATTCCACCGATGCTGACGGGTTGTCTCTATAGAGGTCCAAGTGGACCGAGGTCGCCCAGAGGACGCAGTACAGGGTCAGGCGGCTCCCCTGGTGGAAGCGGTTGCGGTAGCATTTTTCGGCGTAATCGTGCGTCCGGAGAGTTGGCCAGAACTCGTTGATGCCTATGGTGAGAAGAGTCAGCACTTGCGAGAGGTTTGATGGTCTTTCAATCATCCGCAGTCTCGGATTCAGGCGGACTTACAAAAATCCAGAACCTCATGCCCTCGATGCCCCAACTCGCTATACCAATGCGAAAACGGATCCGATCGAGCTTCGCTCAACACAGTCAACAGACTCGGCGGAGACGCCTGGCTGCGTTCCGAGTCACTTGAGGACTCGCGAGCGCGGAGTTCCGACGTGACCAGAGGACCAGCTCCAGCCACGTATGCCTGTTGCACCGGGTCGGCATCATCAGGCGGAGGCGTGATTGTATTTGGGACCGCCGAGTCGCTCGTACTCGCCAACCCGTGGGATCCCGGCTTCTTGACGAGCAGCTGCTTGGTCGAGTTTGCCTTTTTCTTCCGCACGAGCTGCCGCACCATCATCGAGCGGACGCTAGGCGCACCATCTGGCCGCTTCCCGGATCTGATCTTCGGCGCGTTGACGAAGATTAACTCGTTGCCGATGCCATTGCTGCTACTGTGGTTGTCTGGTGGATTTGTCATTGCGAGCCAGGTCCAGGTCGGGAGTCTCGGGGACTGGTGTTGGCCGTTGTTGCCACGTGGGTCGGTAGAGAGATGGTATTCTAGAGGACCTCAGTTAGGGCTGTCAGCTCCAGCGGGTGATGTCGATGATCCTACCTGCATATCCACTGGATAGCGAGGCTGAGACACGGTGGCTGCTCGTGGAGGCTATAGCGCGGCTCCCCTCAATCCTGCTGCGACCTTGCGCATGAGGTCTCTATGCGCGGGCGCAGAACCCGGAGAGCGGCGGCAGAGGGCTGCAGCCCTTATCCGGCTTATCTCCACGTGATATGATGATATAAGCATGACACAGGCATTAGCAAGACGAGAACCAGCATTGCTCGTTGAGTTGCCGCTGTGCGCCTTGGGGGCCGAAACATTGCAGCCGAGTGCGGTTAAGGGCGATGACCCGACGGTTGGTCAGAGATCCTAGGCGGATTTTGACGGATTTTGACGGTATAAAGCGCGTGGATCATCCAGTTCACTGAAGTATGAGGACAAAGGTGTTGAGGCCTGCGGAAGCGTGTCAGTCAACTGGATGTATCAAGGATCGCCGGAATAACTTCGATTCTTCCTTACATGGTCGGCCACTGCCATATTCCGCGCTGGGGTTAGGCGGCCGCGAAATCCTGTGATTTTCACATTGTTCGGATCGTTGGAGACGCCTGCAGTCGAGCCGAACAGTTTCGCAACACCATCCTCCTATTTATCGTTCAAAAGGGCAGCATATGTTATCGGAGAAATATTTCCGAGCACAAAAGGCGCCAATTCCTGTTGATCAAGTATGGGAAAATCGAGCTTTATAGTCAACAAGTGGCGGCAGTTACAGTCGGCGCTGATATGCCAGGTCCGAAGCAAGCATGATGCAATGCTTTGTCGAGCCATCTCCTCAAACAGACTAGGCTTCCATTAAGGACGGCGTTTGGGCTTCTTATTTGTTGGTCGCCACGATGCAGAACAAGTGGCCCACCTGCCAAGCAATCGATATGCCCAGAAAGAGTATAGGCGCTCTCACACTCTGGTCATACCATACGGAGTTACGGGCCAGGATCCTTGCTCAATTGTCGGGAGGGAGGCTCTGGGGTAAAAGGGGCAATTCAGGTTGGATTGGTCCGTGTGGCTGCAGCTATGGCGGTTTACTCAGCATTATTGAGCGTGCGCCTGACAGCCCATGTGCAGGAGAAAGATGATCCTGCAATATGTGTGCCAGCCGTTCAGTCAGTCGCAGCAGCTACAGAATGTTCCAAATACTCAGTGCTCAAGGTAAGAATCATTATATACTATAGCGCTAATAATTGTCATTACATCCATGCCATGTTCAAGCAAGAGCTGCAGCCGCCCTACGATACAACCGTATCCGAAATCGCCTCCGGGCTCGCTATACTCCCCGAAAGCAATGTAGATAGAGTCTGCGCGCCACTCGGCCGTTGCAGCAGCCGCTCAACAAGCTGCCATCGCTCGCGTAGATCTCGCACCTCCCTGGCCAGTGCGTCCTTCTCCCTCAGGATCCGCGACTCCTCCTCCGCCTTCTGCGTCATCCCGCTCGACAGCTCCGCAATCCTCGCCTCGAGCTTCGCAGCTTTCTGCTCGAGTACCTGCTGAGCTTCATCCTTTCGCTCACGGAATCGGCGCTGCGCCTCCCTGTTCTGTTGTCGTCGCTTGACCTGCCAATGCTCATGTTAGCTGTACATCCTCCATGGTGCAAGCGGGGCCCAAGCACTAGGAACTCACAGATTGAACTTTACTATTCTGACTCCGCGTCGAGTTAAGGGCAGAGTCTAGATGCGAGTCGGAATCTGAGCCCGCCGGCGTAATCGCCGCATTACCGGGGAATGTGCAGTATGGGTGGAACCCCTGGTGATAGTTCCCCACGGACGACACCATGTTGCAGAGCGCATCGACGGGCATGGCTATTGACTGATAGGGAGTGGCGACGCTCGTGTTGAGTGGAGGGAGGTCGAAATCTTGATATCCGTCCATATAGTTCTGTCGGCTGTCAGCATCAGAGTCAAGCACGGACGTTGTGCACGTCAATCAACTGATCAACTGAGATCTAAGATGATCTTACCGGTCCATTCTGAAACTGTGTTTTACTCCAGTGCATCTCGCCACATGGTGACGTGGGGAATGGAGATGTCTGTACATTAGACTGTGCGTAGCCGTCCATTGCGCCGAGTCGATGTGGAAAGTTCAGCGTCGGGTAGAGTAGAATCGAGTAATAAATTGAAGTAATGCTTTGACAATCCGTGAGGTCTCCTGCCGAAAACGAAAATGAGTAACTTGCTGATTGATGTCATGCCTGGAGAAGAGCCGCTGGGTCATTATATAATGTTTTATATAGTACTATCGTCCGTAGTGAGGAGGTGATGGATGGTTCCAGCGTTGATTCTTCATTATTACAAACATTTGCCAGGGATCTCCTGTCCATGTTCGACCAACGAGGGGGCAAGAAGATACCACCGCGAAAGGGATAGTCGCAAAACCGAACCCCATCGACGCTCCATCAGTTGAGCTTCGCCAAAAGTTAATTAAAGGGCAAGCATGTGAGAGGCTCAGAGCTGCCCAGGCCAGGGTATGGTTGGCATTGGCAATTCTATTTCCCATAATGAGCGCAAGCTGCAGGATTCTTGAGTGATGCACGGGGCGTCGATAGAAGTCTCGGGTAGTTGAGCATATCGTGCTACCTAAGATCTCGGGCTCAGGAACAGGCCAGTGGGGGCGCGATTCGCTTTTGCCCGAAGTGATTTAGTGGCCTGCGCTAGGCGGAATTTGGTAGCATATCTCGGATCAGGATCCACCCAAATCTGACGCTATCCAGATCAGGCAGTAACGAACCCCGGCCCGGGGCCCGGCCTGCTCTGTTGGAGTTCAGTTCCCCGGGGAATGGCGCCAACGGTTCAACGGCCGGAGCCGGAGCCCAGGTCATGATTGCGCTGGCAATCATCGATCGTCGGTGAAAGAAAAAGTCTAGGCTTCTGACTCATGCAGGTATGTAGTCGACACCTCGAGGCTCAAGGGGACTTCGTTTAGCCAGGCATTCTCGAGAAATACCATAGTATTCCGCAGGCAGGCGCCCATCTGCGACAATAACCGCGCGTATGTTTTGCCTGAAGATTATGTTGAGGAAAGAAGACTCTGGCCAGACCGCTTGGTGGTTCAAGCAGGTCACAGGTGTCCCGCCCCACAGCGCGGCGCGATGGGAAAGTTTCCCGCGTCTGGGAAACACAATGAGCAAGCTTGCAGGGAATCAGGATGCATGCCTTGACCACCACAAGCCCAGTCCACGGTTTACCGCGTCAGTGGCCACATGACTCTAATCCCAAGGATCTCGAGTTAATATGATTTTCCACCAATCTGGCAACGCTGGCTTGCAAGACTGCGCCTTCTGCACCACTCCAAGAGTCAAGACCCATCATCATCTTATTCACGCTCGTACATAGAACACAACAGTAAATGGGGTTAAACGGCGGTACGAGCCGCATGACAACCCCCCAGCGGCGGCCGGCCAACAGCAAGGTGAGAACCATAATCCATTTCAAGTACTAGTGCAGCGAGATCTATGGGACGACCCCAATGATCAATCTGGCCCCGAGTTCTTCCGGCATTCATCTCCACAGGCCACAGCGGCCTGACGTGCAGAGGATCAAGATTCAGCATGTCATGCTGTAGCTACTATCATCACTACCACGCTGTGACGCTACATACCAGCTCGCGTAGTACTATCATATCACTTAGTATGTCTGGGCACTTATGGGGTACGATATTAAGTATGTTCCAGGTTCAGATACGTACGCGGCTCTCTCCGAAATGTACATAGAGTGGAAACTCCGCCAAGGTCTGTGGTGAGTCTAGATTTCCCAGGGGCCTGGTTCTTGGTTTTCCGGTTGCTTGTTCGTGCGAGTCAGTTGAGTCCTGGGAGTTGGACGGCTGATCATTTCTCTTGAATCATGCGCTGAGTAGGCTCGTCATCCCTGGTTGGTCACCCTGGAATCTGGATTAGTTATGCGCGGGAAATTAGCATATACCTTCTTGTTTTATGAAGCTTAAGTACAAGTTACTCATTAAGCCGTAGATCGAATGTCTTGATCCAGTATCCAATGCGAGGCTGTCTCGTTTACCGCAACTCTGATTTGCCGCCGTTCCCTTCTATAGCTTGCCTACGAATGCAGGCTACCTTAGCACCTTATATTTACTACACGTAGGTTTAGGTTGCCATCACCCGCCCTACTATAGACCTATCCAGCGCCAGCTTCTTTTCCTGGAACCGGCTTTCTCGCCCAAACAACCGAACTAGATACCGTTAGCATATACACCACGGGACTTGGCTTCAAAGGGCAGCATACTACTCTTGGTAAGCATGAATCGACGGATCACGCAGCGCCTTGCGCATACGCGCGAGCAATACCTCGACCTCTTCGCGCGTCCACTAAAAATCACCGTTAGAACTAGAACCTCACATCAACCCCCAGAGAGGACGGGAAAAAAAAATGGGGGGTAGGCATACCCCCAAATAAGTCGTATACAAGTACATCGCATACCCCTCCAGCCCCTCTTCCTGCTGCAACCGATTAAACGCGCCCATCTTCTTCATGATGGGATCGCTCGCCCAGGGACCCAGCGGACACTTGAAGCGTTTTTCAACAACATCGACGAACCCGGCTTTTGTGATCCGGTTTTTGGATTCGTCGACGATCCGCAGTGTCTTCCCGAAAGCATCGCCGGCGCGGTGCGCGAGCTCCGCCCATTCTTCGTAGACCGTTCCGGCTGTTGTTCCATCGTCGGATTTGGCCTGCACGGATTGTTCCCAGTGCTCGATGTAGCCGCCGGGTTTTAAGTGGCTTTTTTGAATTGGTTAACCGAGGCTACTCCTTGTTGTTGCGATCTGCGAGAAAGCCAAAAGACGATTCCGTTGGGTAATATATGTTTGAAAAGGGGGAAGGACAGACCTGTGAATTGTCTTATACAGCGCATCCCAATCAGCAATAGACCCATACATCCCACGAATGTGGATATAATCAAACGAGTCCTTTTCATGTACCCACTCGTCCGTACAGTCGTCAACCTCGAACTGCACGTTGGGAGGCACCCAGGTTGGCTGGATTGGGGAGAGGTCTGTACCGATGACCTTGGCCGAGGGATGGAGGTCTGCGAATTCTCTGAACAAGAATTAGTTAGGGCATGCATGATACGCCATGACATGGGTGGAGTATGATGCGGAGCGGAGCGGAGCGGAGTTGCGTGGTCTGACGCACATTGCCCAGATTCCAGTGCCGGTACCAATGTCTAGGACTCTCTGGTTGCGGCTGTTAGCGGGAGCTGTTGTAGTGCTAAGGGTTGAGTACACACTTGGACAGTAGACGAAATCGGCGCGAGGTAAAGCCTTCCACCTGTGAGGAGGTTGTGGAGGTGGTGTCTGCTCAAGTCAGCGGAGTGTATCTCTCATTCAAAACACACGTACCCGATGTCAAGGTGATCCTGGGCCTTTTCATCGTTGGGACCCCTATTGTTGCCCTTGCATTAGAAAAAACAGTGATTAGTTTGTGGGTGTCAAGGTGCATACCAATAGGATCCTGGCCGAAACGCATTGTATCGCCGTCCATTTTCGTATCGGTGCTCAAGGATACTGCTCTTGAGGGAGGTCAATTCCCTAGTTCAGGTAAAGTAATCGTCGTTAGCCAATCGCTTCCTTGCTAGAACAATAAGAAAAGGAAATCAAATGAAGGGTGAAACGAACGACTGAGAGTCTCCGATCAACTCTTCCTCGGTAGGCAGTTCCTGCAAATGTGAGACGTCACAAGTCAGTCGATGTGCTCTAACTGCGCCTGCGGAGAATCACTGGTCTAGGGTACGCACATTGTCAACTTCGAGAGGACGCTGCTCGGCCATTTTTTTTGCTTTTGCTTCGATGAAAGTAATGAATTGGAGACACGATTCTTCCGATTTCTGCACTGTAATAATGAATGACGATCGCAAAAAGCAACTCAAGGGGAAAGTGCCCGGATCAGCGGTGGCAGGCGGCATGGCAGGTGCGGGGGAGGATTGTGGATTTAACGGCCGCGGGACGGACGGGCCGGCGTCGACTGACTGACTGACCCCCCCTGGGTGGAGGTGACCGTTTTTCAGTCCGGGGCATTTTACCCTCTTAGTATTGGCCGCCGATCCTGGCGTGGCCACCTGTGCAGGGGAGTGCATTCGTGGCCAATCATCCGATACAATTAGGGCTGCCAAGTCGGGTGTCAAGGGCTGGCTGCATTGGATGCAGGTCGCGTGGGAATGGGCGTCCAATTGTCCAGGGAACGTGGGACATGTGGGGATGGGCGGGTGTCACAATGACTTTCGCGCTCATAACGGCCACGCGCTCGACATGTTCCCTCCTCGGCTGCAACGCCTATGGAGATCAGCAGGAACTTTTGACCGGGCGATGAGGAGCTCACGGCGAGGTCCGATCTGGCGCCTAGTGACCCAACCTTGAACCTGGACCTTTGCTCCATGGTTGTCACGGACATGACCATTTCTACAGCGCCCAAGGTCTCATTCCTAGCTAGGCATTTCCGTCTTTCATCATACATACATACACCTCTCGGTCGATAGTCATCTAGCTATCCATGTTCTGTCAGCCGCCAATGGGACGAGAGCGGGGATGTCTCACCTTCGCACGAATGAGATAAGAGTCAGACAACGAGGGGTAAGCTGAGGCTTGGCCTTGCCCAGGTAGGAAGCCCTAACTGCCGGAAGAAAATGCTGGCACGAATGCTTTTGGCTCCATGATTTTGTCCTCGTTCATTAGCCTAACATTCCTGCCCTGAATGTCGGAGAGCTTCATCGCAACTACTATTATCATAGTTTCTCTCACATATGAATCCAAGGTGATTTCTTTCTTTTATTATATATATATTATTGCATTTTTCCCTGCTATAACCGCTGATAGTAGCATTCCCCGATCCGTTCTAGGCCTTGGTCATTCTTTATGGATGTTTCACACCAGGCAGCATCATTTTCACCCGGTATTGAGTTTGACTTGCGACTCGGATAGGTTTCTTTCAGGAGTCCCGGTAGCAGATGGCTTTCTCAGCGCCAGAGTAAAGGATCGCTACCGGCCAAGAGAGGTAACTAACCATTCTCCCCGTCTTTTCGGCTATCGTCATTACGCTATTTGCTTTCATATCAAGGTCTAGAAAACTACTTAGAGTCGAGCCTCACTTCATTACTTATTAAGGATACCTAGCTACCTAGCTACCTAGCTATAACTATCCTAGTATAGAGGCGCTTATACTATTGCCTCTTCTTTACTAGCCAGGTTTATCACCTCAGATCAAATGGAGACCATGTCCATACCAGAAGCGCTCTATAATCCTCACAATCTTCCACTTTTCTTGGCCAATGGCTTCAACCTTAGCCATGGAGAGTTCAGCCTTCAACTCGCTTCGTGGGACCTCTCGAAAGTCGCCGAGCTCCAACATAGCCCGAACTGCGTCCACAAGTCCCCTGCTTACTGCCTTATACAGGGGCGATGTCTCATAGCCTCGCGACAACGGACGAGCCCCGCGCTTCAGGAGGGCCTTTAGGTATGTTGTGGGTGCCACTGTGCCACTGTAGCCGAGAGCATGCCAGACGCAGTTCCTGCCGGAGAGGTCTTCAGCGTGGATATCGAGTCCTCGGCTCAATAGCAGGTCCAGCATCGGCTCTATTACCTCGCATGTGTCGTGGGTGCAGATACCAGGCTCGAAGAGAGGGCTATAGCGTTTACTTGTTGTAAGCTTGACGCCTCTGTCGAGGAGGAACCTCAGTGCGGGCACATTATGTCTTGATATTGCGAGACCGACGACGTCAAATGTGTCATTTTTATCATCGGTAGAGGGCTCGTATCCGTGCTTGAAGAGAAACTCTAGCATGAGAGCTCCCCCGTGGGTTGCGAAGCGCAGAAGAGTGCCGTCTGTATGGTCGGTACCGAGAGGGATCCCTAGTTGAAGGCCACAATCGAGAAGCATCCGGACCTGGGGAACTTCACCGTGCTTCATTGCATGTTGCATTATCAACCCTTGATACGCGGGATGATTTGGATCAGCGCCTCTCTCAAGGAGGAGCTTGAATAAGACTGGGTCGTCCAGAGCTTTCAACAACAGGGGTGTTGTAGAATCAAAATAGCACTCCTGGAGATCGACGCCCTTGTCCAGCAGTAGTGTGATAAGAGACATTGACCGGACCTTGCTGTTGATCGCGCAAGCCAACAGAGCTGGATCAGGTTTAGCACCGTTCTCGAGTAGAAGCCGCACAATCTCCTTGTGTCCGTTCATTGTTGCCCATAAGATCGGCGTGCGGTCGCTATGAAACTGGAATGACCTCGAAGGGGACACATTTTCCACGGCGTCGGGATTGCATGCTTGCCCCAAAAGTTTTCGCACTAGATCCTCCACGCCACAAGCGGCAGCACAACAAAGCAACGGAGTGAGCTCTCTACCACTAGCAAGATACTCATCAATGTTTATTCTATCCAGCAAGAGCTTCGCACCGTCAAGTGTCCCCCGCGAGACAGCTAAGCAAAGCGGTCCTAGTGTTGCTCCGTTAGGCAAAGGAGGGCACGGATCTGCTCTGCAATCTAACAAGCAGCGGACTGCCTCGACGCCTCCGCGCATGGCAGCAGACTCTATAGCATAGTGGCCATTCTTTGAGGCATTCGGGTCAACACCCAGCTCTATCAGATAGCGGATGACGTTTGGGTGGCCGCCCCCTGCCGCACGGAAGAGCAGGCCTATTAGGTCAATGGGGTTCTCGTATGGGGCGCTCCGACCACGCTCTATCATCCGCTTGAGCACAGGTAATCGACCGTGCCTTGCTGCAATTGCTATAGGGTAGTCAGCTATGCATGACCAGGTCTCTGGGCAGATAGTCGGGTCTACTCCATAGTCGAGCAGCAACAAGGCAATCATGTCGTGACCGCTATTCACTGCCTGAAAGAGTGCAGATCCAAGATATATTGATAGTTTGGGCCGACGATTGAATGGCGAGTGAGGCAGCCGCGCCCACGACTCCATGAACAGACATAGTGCATGTAGATGTCCATTCTCTGCGGCGACGGCCATTTTCTTCTGCAGGTAGTGCTTGTCATATTCTTTCGGTAGAACCTTTCTGTCGAGGAGCTTGCGCACAATGGTGTCGCATCCCAGAGCCGCACCGCAATCTAGCGTGGAGATTTGGGTATATTGGATCTTGTGCCGGTAAAGAAATGGATTTAATAGCGCATGAGAGTAATGGTTGACGAGAATAAGTGAGTGAAGGTCCCAAGAATACTCCAGGATATCGGCGATATGAAAAAGAATCGCACTCGGAAGATCAAGGAGCAGCATGCTTTGAATTGAACGTTTTTATGTGTGCTTGCAATGTAAGTAAAACGGGACAAAATAAAATGGCGGTTGCCTAAGGGAGACGGTGGTCGGGGATGAATTTCAAGGGTGACATCTACTCATTTCGTACTTTTTGCCTCTAATGACGACCGAACCAACAGGTCAGGGAAACTTGCCAGCCACAGTAATAGCGGTCGAAGGCCAGAGTCGAGATGAAAAATGAAGAAATCGAAGTGTTGGACGATGGAAATCCGCTCCGCGTTGTAGCACTGCTTGGTTTACAGCGACCAGTCATGACGAGGGCACAGCCAACAATAGCCCCCCGGCGAACTCAGCTTTCCCACTACTCTGTCCATGGTCTTTTCACTGCGCACCTAAAATAGTAATCAAACGTAAAGGTCCAGTTGCGTCATTCTTGCACTCGACCATCGATGCAAATCGCAGTATCGCGGTACAAACCCTCTTCGAGGCATGTGGAGAATGTCCGGACTCGGCTTCAAAGCTACGATTCGAGCAGTAGACACAAATATTTTATATGTATATTATGTTTCCCAAGAGCAGAGCGAGGCCTCGCTGGTCACCCCCTAAGTGAGCGTGCCTCAGCACCTCTCAACCAGCTCAAATCCTGCTTTTCGGTCCGACTACCTACTGCGAGGAGGTGGTTGGTGCCTTATACAAAAACGGCCCCTGAAAGTTCGCCTTCAACATACATCTCCCAGCTCCAGCATACACTCGCACGAACGGAAACATCCGGCGCTCATACAGCTGCTCGAAGCACCGATCAGTTTCATCTGTAAACCCAGTCAGTATGCAGCATTGTTTCTCGCTTAGTACTCAGTGGTAGAAGCAATAACGCAGTCAGATACGTAGGAAAGCAATCAGAGGATAATATACCTCGTACCCCATGTACCACGATGAACTGTTGTTTCCTCTCCCAATCAATCCCGTAGCCCACCGTATCTCCTTTTCTAAAACCGCGTCGTTCAGACATGAGAAATAGGTCATGTACGTATCCTGTGTCGGTGTAATATGACGGGGTGTAGACCATGCGCTCATCAGTGACGCCGATGGCCAGTGAATCCTGGATTCTATACAAATTTTGTTATTTCGGATTCTTAGGGCTGCGGGGTTTAGATCGTACTCTCCAGCGTAGTAGTCAGGTTCGTCGAGTTCTAAAATCTCCACCTCGAAGTAGCTCGTGCCAACTGGTACGAGTGGATGGTTTGCACGTATACATATGTCAGACTCGTTGTCGGCTGCATTAACGGGAGATTTGTAAGCTCACTTGTCCATCGGATCCTAAAGGAAGATGATTATACGTACCGTCAGTCCTTACCGTCGTACCAACCAATCTCACCGAGAATGACTCTGGCTTCTTCCACGCATTCGGAGGGATAGGTGCCGCAGGCCGTCGCCCAATTTTCTCCCTAATAAGTGACAGTACGGATTTCTGATGTTTGTGATATGCCATGAGGTCCGCATTCCAACCATGTTTGTCTGTTCCAGGCCATACGCCCCCATAGGCAATACACTGTTGCAATATCCTAGAGTTACCTCCTTCAATTGCAGCAGAGAATATGTCGCCATAGTTGTCTTTCATGAGACGCCAATCAACCCTAGAAAGAAGGTCGCCAAACAACGTCTCGTGACCATCAATGGCGGTCGTGCACACCACGGAAACTCCGACGACGGTCTTCGGGGAGCCGAAAATTGTTTGCAAGATTTCTGTCCCAGAGTACTTGTTTTGTAGAACTGCCTGAATGAACGCATCGGAGATGGGGAGAGCGTCTGCTCTTTCGAGGATGAGCTTCGTCAATTCGTTGCCAGAGATGGTGTTCCGCGCGGCCTCCACAAGAACTGATTCAGACATCGTAAGTTTGGCATTTTTGGCCAGCAAGAGTCCAAAGATCGGAACACTTTTGGTGAGACCCATTGCTGCTCTCTTTAAGACACGTTCTGTGACAGGTAGGGAAGGGTACTGCGCGAGTAGAGTCTCCACGGCCTTGAGACCGCCATCAATTGCAGCCATGACCTCGTCCTCGGATACACCCAGCCTGCCTTGTTCAGCATCAGGTTTCCCATTGTCTTTACTGTCAGAGCTTCCTTGTTGCCCAGAGGAAGGAACATCTTTGGACATGTGGAAAGCATGTTGCTTCTTCAGTAATTGTTTCTGAATCCTGCCGTCATATTTATCTCCAATTGTTGGATCTTGCGTCTTTGATAACAGCAGTCCAATCATTTTCGGCCCGCACTCCTTATTCCTCGCAGCTGCTGCCACTATCTCTTCGGTAATGGGAACGAAACGCCCAGTTGAGAATAAAAGCTCCAGAATCTGGAATCCGTGAGCCTTGTTTGCCACGGCCTCTTTAACTGCAGACTCTGCAATTGGTGCTGGCTGGCGTCTGGAGAGAAGCAGCCTGGCTAGCTCGAGAGCCCCTTTGCGATTTAACAAAGCAGCAACCAGTAGCTCCTCTGTAAGTTTGACAGAAACGTTCTCGTTGAACAGGCGTTGAAGCGACTCAGGACTTTTTGTGATCTCGGTATGCGTTAATACCTTTGTTTTCCCATTCCGGTTCCGACAGCTTTTGCTGAGCAAAAGTACTCTAAGCGTATCAACCGCTTGGTATCTCACGCGAAACACTGCCTTGAGCGTCATCGACGTAATCGACTCGTCGGGGAGAAGAGATCGTAGGATTTCCACCACACAGTCCGTACCTGGTGGGGCATCCTGCGCCAACTGCTCGACGATATCTCTGGAAACAGGAAGGTCAGGTACCCATTCAAGTAGCGTTGTGAGAATACCAAGCCTCTTTCTGCGCCATATCCGAGTCAGTACTCTCGCGCTGATTCGGGACGCCAACTGCTGCGTGATTATATCTTTACCGTCTTTTCGGTGGTCCAGAATAGCTTCAATCACATTGCCGGTGATGCAGTAGTCTTTGCATGTCTTGAGGCAAGCTTTAAGAGTCTGTGGGTGGGATTTGTTCATTGCTGCCATTACTAGATCCTGTTCGGATACTTCCGATTGCAAGGTTTGCTCTAAGATATGCTGGAGCACGTTGGGTGGTCCATAGGCCGCAGCAACCAGCAGAACGCTTATATCTTTAAATGTCGCCCCGGCATTCAGAAGCGTCATGGCTACCTCCGGATGGCCATTCTGAACAGCCAGAAACAGGGGATGGCAGTCATCTGCCTGAAACCAACTGGCATATGATTGCCGTGGCTTATACACGCACATTGCTGTCCTCGAATCAATCGCGCTAGAAGCGGGGTTTATAGTGGCTCCATTGCGTATCAAGAGCTCTACTATCCTTTTCTGACCATTCATACTAGCCAGCGCGAGCAGTGATAGGCCACGCTCGTCCGTTGCGTTCGGGTTGTAACGAGAGCGCCTCCAGAGCGTTGTGTGTCTGATGCCGTAGTATGCTGCTAGAAGCAAGCCATTTGTCAACGTCGCAATCTCGTCGGCGTATTTGTACTCTTGGTGTCGGCGCCCAAAAAGCTCAACAGCACCTTTCCATTCGCTGTATGCTGTTGTATGCTCCTGCCATCTTCCTAGAAATTCGTCTAGCTCGGATGGGGCGAACTCTGCAGTGGCTTTGACGTGACCAATCCAGTGACGAGCAGAATACCTGTAGAAGCCATACTCGAGTTCCGATGGCCGGGGCAGCCTTGTGTCAATCATGAACCGTAGACATGTTCTGGCAGCTATCGTCTCCAGGTGCAATTCGTCGAACCGTGGCTTTCTTTCGAGGTACTCGCGGACTGAAAAATGCGCAAAGGCGATATTATTCTGCATCTCGTCGTACACGACCAGGTTCTGGCACATGCCCAGCAACGTCTCAGCGCTAAGGCGACTGGGTTGCGTGCCTCCTGACTTTTTATCGAGCGTCCATGAAACTGCGGATGCCCATTGAGTGGGACGAAGAGGCTCCCGGGCACACATTAGCCATCCCAATGCCGTGTTTGCCTCGTAAGCGCTAGGGCTCTGTTGGATTTTTTCAAAAAGTCGATCGTAGGTTTCACTCAGAGTCGGCGGCAGGCGTCCTAGAAGAGAGCAGACTTGATGCTCCGTTTGCATTCGGCATAAAAGTTGTATTTGCAGTCGGACCCAGAGAAACCTGAGACTTTATTAGCAATTGTCCAGGAAAAAGGTGTGGACATGGCACTTACATTCCGTCTGCTTTCGCAAGCAATTCAGCTGTAATCTTCTCTTGCAGCTCCGGAGATACCTCACCGTAAAGCAAGTCTTTATACTTGATACTGTGCCTGACCTCCTGCTCCACGAAGCGCTTCATGTCGGCCCCGGTTAATTCTTGATTTATTGAGGTCTTTGGTACATCCTGAAGCCGGACTGCAATATCACGGTCTCCCCTGCTTGACACAAAGACCCGGACTAGAGAAGTCGAGTGGTCAACAAGCTTTCTGAGAGACTGCATTAAAGAGCTTCTGCTTTGCTCGCTGCATTCGTCCAGCGCATCGATGATAATCGTGGTCCGAGCATGGTCGTTGAGTAATTTAACGAGAAGATCGTAGCTTTCATCGAAATCCAACCCGTCTCTCGTCATACCAGTTGAATGTCTCCTGTCGAATGCATCACGAAGCACCTTTGGAAGGCCGTCTTGAGAACGTAATGCTAGTTGGTGGATCAACGCCCGCAAAACTACTTTCGGATCCTGGCGATCGGGGTCATTGGCGTTGCGACTGCAAAAGAAGTAGATCACGTCCTCGTCTTGTTTAACCAAAGTGTGCACCAGCATCGCACTACTGTACCTTAGCTTGGGCTCACATGAGAATTGATGTTACCCTACCAGAGCTTTGTTTTCCCCGCGCCAGCTATGTCCGTTATCAGCTGGTCATTCTCCTCTTGGAACCGAAAAGTACTTACGCTTTCCAGACAACCAAAACATTCTGGATCCATCAAACTGTCGCCACTTCTCAAACTCGGGCTTCTCAAACAACCAACGCCCTGAGTCCACTAACAGACCCTCTCGAGCCGCTTTGTAATGCTTTTCGTAAGGCGTTTTCGAGACCCAGGAAAGTATCTCAGCTTCATGGCTGTCTGAAAGAACAATAAGCCCGATGTTTTGCATCCTGCAGAGCTCGAATTATGCAGAGATAGCTGACCTTGTTGCTTTTTGTACAGGTACTGCACTAGGTTCTCGGTTTTGCGGATCGGTCCCTCTATAACATCCAAAACTGCTTCGGCGGCTGCTGTTCGATGAGTCGAAATAAACCACAGGGTATGCAGTGAAAGGCGCCTGGCATCCACGTACCAGCTTTTGTCTGCTCTCGAGCAGATGGCGTCTGCTTTACCTGTTGGGCAGGAATCATCATCAGCAATTCCTTCATGTATGCGGCTGCTGTTGCCGCAGCGTATGGCTGCCATCGCTTGTTTTTATGCGAATCAGCGTAATCGCAAATGCCCCGAATCACAAGGCAAGGAAATGTATCCATGAGCCCCGCTGCTTCCATCTCGACGCAAAGAACTCCTGTGTCCCGCTTCAGCTGGTTGCGGGTCACTGCATCCTTGACCACCGTATTAGCCGATCCAATCGTGCCATAGTGAACCCTCGGTTCCGTGTCTCGTCTGGGCGAACGCGGCACGGTCTGTTCCTTATCACACTCCTCGCAGGTTGGGCCACCTTGATGCAAATAGTCCCAGCAAAAGAGTTGGTCGCATTCGAGCCCCGGACGTTGGTAGTGGTCCTGCATCTTTGGATACCGCTGCAACATCTCGGCAAGATAAGAGCTAATCTTATTTTGCACTCTATAGTGCCGAGCCTCCAGCCTTCTGACATAAGCGCTCAGAACCTCAGGCGGCTTATTGAGGTATCCTGTCCGCTGAAAGTTGCCATCCATGAGCTTCTTCCCCATGTCGTACTGGATCACCCCGCCGAATCCACCCGTAGGCTGGCTCACGACAACATCCCCCAGTCGGACATCATCTCCAGACTGCTTTGATCCGGGAACACCGCCACCAATGCCGACCAACAGGCCGAACCGAAAGGAAGGAAAGTCGTTCAGTAGTTGCGTCGCTGTGGTGGCCGCCGCATTGTTTCCCATTTCCGGCATCACCGCAACGACAACGTTGTGGGGTCCAATTCGGCCAAGGGTGTAGGCATTCTGGTCACGGCTCGTCGGCAGAGGGTCGTGGATCTCATCCAGCATGCCTTCCACCGCCGCACACTCTAAACCAAGGGGGCAGATACATGCTACCGTGTAGTCAGCCAGCGAGGGCGCGGCATCATCTTCCACATATGGAGGACGCCTCATTTGAGCGGTTAGAGACTCATGAAGAGTGTTGCGGAGCAAAGTGGGAAGGCGCTTGGCGGGGTACATGCGGCTGAAACAGGGACTCAAGAAACCCCCTCACACCATGTGACTCTGGGAGGTTGACCAATGAACATGATTCATGCTGGAGTAGAGAGTTATGGTAATAGAACATTATATCCACCACGGTATAGTGACAAGTTGACTCTCATAACAAAAGAGCATTGTTGCCAAAGCAACAGTTTTCTGCCAAGGCTTGACTTCAGGAAGCCGGAGGATGGCATGGTCGCTACTCGTAGTGCTATATGTGCCAATGAATATTTCATATTTTGTTAGGGAAGAAGTGTGTACCCACAACTAGTAGTAGAAGCAGCACGATTGGAGCATCTGGCAAAGTACTGCGTACAAATGAGTGGGATACGAGAGTCTGTCGGCTCTGAAAATAGTGCTCCGTACCCCAGGGCACTCGTGCTTTCGAAATGGACCCTGAAGTCCCGTTGGCGTGTTGGGGTGCGGGGCAAGGATGAATGCGTATTCGTATACGGATCCGTGATGGCCAAACCTTGTACGACGTTCAGCGGTTGAAGCTTAGAACTGATATTGTTCAGTCAAAGCGGTAACTTGGGGAGTAACGTGGGAATCGTTGTATTGAGGCGAGACTACAGAGTACTACTCCGAGTAAGGGTTCCTTCTTGATCAGCGCTTAGGACCAAAATATATTTTTGGTTCATGGTGAGTGATGGGTAGCAAGGCTGTACTTGACGAAAAGTCTTGTGAGCCAAAAAAGCCTCAGGCCTCTATGGACGACTCACCAACCCTCCAACCGGAACTAGCTAGATCCGATGAGAAGTACATGATGCCGTTGTTTGGCATCGCTTCGATTCTTCTCACTCAGCCTTGTGGACTCGGCTTGGCAGAAGTGTTGGAGGATTAGCTAATCGCCGAGCGCTAGCCAAGCACGGGGCAGCACGACACCAATGGTCGATTTCAATTTGGACCATCAGAACGTGACTCCAATTATGTATTATGTCCCGAAATCCGAGGGGATGGTCTCACTAATCTGTTGTCCCTTGTCCCTGGAATCTTAGTGTTGGTGCTTCGCGCCGCAATTTCGTCGGAGTTGACGGCGGTTGTCGCCCACCCAGCCACCAAGCAGCCGATCAGCAAAGCGCACGGAGTACCAATGAATCCAGGCCAGACTGGGGCTCAGCTTACGGGGGGATTATCGCGCGCTCTTCCAATAATAACTGGAACTGCATGCTGGACGCCTGGATGACAATGGACTAGGCTTTTCTTCGCTGTCGCCTTCATCGCCATGCTGCTTCTCTCCTTGTTCCTTATCCTCTCTTCAGAGAGCTGTCGAACAAATCGAGTCCTTAATTTCGTCGACAATTGTGTTTCTCCCCTGGTTCAATAATATTCTTGTTGCGCCTGTGATTTTGTTTCAGGTTCGGGATCTTCCCTTCAACGTCAGACCGACCCACCTCGAGCCCTGCTGTCAAACCAGCCGCCAAATCCGTGCTCATTCCGCTCCAGGCCGCTTTATTTTTATCTGCCAATTCCCAGTCAGCAACCTTTCGCGAGGCCTCACCTTTTGTACCGTCCTACATGCGTTGGAACTGAGCATTGATTGGGCTTCTGCTCTTTTATCGCCCATTCTCACAGCATGCTGATTCCAATTCAGCTTCGGCAGTTGGAACCCCGTCAAGCTTCGGATCCTCCCCCGAATAATGACCGACCAAGCGAGGGAAATGGCTCTGGGGAAGGCCACAATAACCTCGTCATTATCGTGAGTTTGTCGCTATCGTTGGACTCCTTTCACCGATATACTAACCAGGCGTATCGCGATAGGTCACTGCCGTCATCGTCTTTGTCGTGGCCTCCCTCGTCATTCTCTACTTTGTCCTCCGCGCCCTCCGAAGAATGCATTCTCGCCCGAAATACATCCCAGGGAAATACCTGAAAGGAAAGTGGGAGCGATGGAACGTGGGTGCATCATACGGCCAAGTCCCCGGTGGCTCATCGGCAAACCAAGCGAGCAACACCGCCGCCGCTTCAACGACGCAAGGAGGCCCTCAGACCGACTCAAACACGGGCATTCGCCGAGACACCTCGATCCGATCGATCATCACCCTCCCCGCCTATTCGTATAACCCCAAGCCCACCGAACAAGTGATCGCACGCGAAGGAGAGCGAGGAGGCATGGACATGGTCGTCGAATTCCCGGAAACTGCAGAGGAGGAGGAAGACCGTCGCGAGGAGATGATGGAGTCGCTTTATCAGATCCGTCTGCAGCGGCGACAGGAGATAGCGGACCGTGAGGCGCGGCGTCGGGAGCGTCGGGAAGCTCGCGAGCGCGGAGACAGCATCCGTCTCGAGCAGCTGCGTGTCGAAAGCCGGCAACGTGGCAACAGTCGCGAGTCGGTCAACGGCAATACTCCCGTTTCGGCCTCTGTTGCGCTCGCAGAGGCCCAGAGTCGGGGTCGCGACAGAAGGATTTCAAGCGTCAGCTACGCCGAATTGGGCCATGTGCGACACGACGGATCTCGCCTTCGAGCGAGTTCACACGGCTCGGACTCTAGGCCTCTGCTGGGCGATGCCGCCGCGATGAGTACGGACAACCCTGACCGTTCGTCGGGGTTTATCAGCGTACATTCTCGCGGTGAATCTTATTCGTCCACGCTTTCCCTACCAGGTGGTGGCTCCGACGGGGAGAGTTTGACCCCCGTGCAGTCGCACACCACATCGCTGCACTCTGTTACCCCGTCGCATGCCGAACCCGAGGATGGCGACGTTGGTGCACGAAACATCCCACCCCCGGATTACGATCGTCTAGACTGGGGCGAGGCTCCACCCTACGAAGCTTCCACATCGCAGCCTAGCATCGATGCCCCGCCGCGATTGCGTGAGCTGACTCCGTTGCCTACAATCCAGATCGACGTGGTCAGCCCCGTTAGTCCGGTCAGCAATGGGCCACCTACACCCACAAGCTCGCAACAAACAGACTCGGGCTCGCACGCCTCTTCTACTGACTCGTCTCCTACTCACAAGACTACCCCTCCGGCTGAAGAGGCTCGAGCACAGGAGACGACGACTGATATCATTACTCCAACCCTCAATACCTCGGCATCCGGCGCGCGAATTGGTTAATATTTGTTATTTTTGATCTCAATCACGAGCATGAATACTCACGACTATAAGATTCCCTTTGATAATGTTTTGAGCTCTGGTTTTTTTTTAAAATGTATCTAGCTAGCATGGCGTTTGGATGGTTCGGTCAGAGTGGGTGAGATATCTCGTGGACTTGGCTGCACATATAATTCATTGGAATATTATATCATCAATGCTGTTTAGTCTCGTGTACATGGCCGCTGGATTTTCTCTACGACGCCCGTGAAATGCTATTCTATGATCGTGGCGAAGGCCGAACGAAACAATCTCCGTCTGGCAGAGCAGTACGCAAGGATAATGAGCTGCAGCAAGTGGGAGTCAACTTTCATACCGGCAGCTCAGGATACCTGTCCTTTCGGATCAATTCCAACCAACTTGAAATTTAATATGGTAAGGTTATGTGGTAAAGTTGAAGAGCAAGCAAATAATCGTCTGGTGTAGTTCAGGCACCATCACGTGTTCACGAGTTGGAGTCGTTCTTGGCGCGAGGCACCGAGGCGGTGAGCCCGGAACGGGATGGGGTAAACAAACCCAGCCACCCCATTATTATTGATTGTTTCGACTCGCGGAAACTGCCCGACGCGCCGCCATTCTGCTTCACACATCCATTATATCAGAGGCAGATACTTTATTTCCCCCCTCGAGTCCTGAAGCGGGGGTTTTACTACCTCAGTTTCCTTATCCCGAGCATCCTTCCGCGAACCCGTCGCGTCCTCGACCGGCCATGTCGCGCGAACACACAGCCAACAGTTTCGCGTCGTTCGGGTCCGATTTCGATCCAGAGCACGAAGCCATTGCATCCACCAGAGAGCTCGACGACGAGAGCCCGCGACTCCCCAAGATGAAAGAGGCGTCCAGGAAGCGCCAGCCATACGAGCAGGAAGAGGAGCCCGATTATGTCTTCAATACCTCTACATTCGAACAATACCTCCCTCATTTCTCGCCGATTGGAACATCCGAAGAAGAAGACGCAGATATCGACGAGGACATTTCCATTGAAGCCGGCCGTGGCCCCTCGAACCCTCCGCGCAGATTAGACGATTCCCGCAACTCCTACATGAGCATGGAGAACAGTGTCCGCTCCTCGTCCCCCGCTGTTCGACTTGACGTCCCCACACCTCAGAAGTCGGCTTTGCGCCAGGCACCCAGACGAGCCGTGAGCGAGAATCTCCGGAAAGACGCACAATTGAGACAAGCGACTCTCGCTCACAAGGAAAACATTGATCCCAACCCGTCCAAATCGAATCGCAAAGAGCGTCGCACTCTGTCCGAGATTCACGCCAAGGTCCGCGATGATTATGATGGTTCATTTATTGAAGATGAAAGACCGCCAGTTGTATCAAGTAACACGGCGCGTCCCACGCGCTTCTCAAATGCAAACCTCTCAAACCAGATTGCCGATGCCGTCGAAAAGGCGTCTCAAGAAGCATACGTGAAGGAGATCCGTCGCGCGAAGGCTCGTGCTGCTGCCGCAGGCGATACGGGTACACAGCAGTCTTTCCTTCTCCCGGATCTGCCCAATCTCTCCGATCTCGTGTCGGGCGTGTATGAAGACGGGACACCAGTCTACACCCGCCAGCCGAAAACAAGGACGACGCGATTTGTTTCCCCGCCAGCTGATGCCATGGATGTTTCTCTAAGCCGCGAACACATTCCTCTCGACGCTATTCCAATTCCGGAGGATGAAAAAGCTTTGTTCGTCTCCTTACGTCTTCTTCAAGACAAGGTCTCGGAGCTCGAACGAGGCAAGGTTGAGGCGGAGAAGAGGTTGGAAGATCTGCGACAGGAGAACCATTTTTTGAAGGGCAAGTCAAGTCAGAGAGAAAAGGGCAGCCGCAGCAGCAAGCGTTATGACCTTGACCAGAACGATCACAAAAAGGATCGTCTTCAGAACGAGATCGAAAGTAAGTGCTTCGGCCCGTTCACATCCACCCCGCTAACCGTTGGCAGAATTGGAAGCAAAGAACTTGGCGCTTCAGAACAAGGTCGACCTTCTCGAGCGCAAGAACGACATTCAGGAGGCTGCATTAAAGAAGCTAAGCAAAGAACGCGATATGGCGGTCTCTCAACTTGGCGTTGCCTACCTGGAGACCCAGGACCTGAAGAATGAGAATGAGAGTTTAAGAGAGGAGCTTCTGAACTGGAAGACCCAATTTGCGAAACTGTACCCAGCTTCAAAACAGCGAGAAGACACCGGCGAATCGGAGCAGATCACAGCAAGCGATGTCAGTACCGAGGACAGTCAAACCGACACTCAGCGCAGCGCCACAAAAGAGACCACAGCTAAGAGCTCGCGCTCAAAGTCCAAGTCGGGTCGCAAGGAGGAATCGAAATCACGCGTATCCTCTCAAGTTGACAGGGAGATCTCTCGTTTAGAGAAGGAGCGTGCGGAAGAGGCACTCTTCTCAATCGAGCTGCCTCGTGTACGAGAGTCATCAAGGAAGGAGAAGTCTAGTAGGTGTCGAACGTCAAGTGCTCAGATCAAGAAGCCTGGGAAGCGTGTCAAGAGAGTTGTGGTTGAGGAAGTCGAGGTTACCGAGCCAGTTGACTCGACTGCAGAGGCAACCGGTCATACTCGCAAATCGTCCAGTGCGGAGCAAGACTTGACGCTGTTGAGTTTCATTGACGTGAGTATCTCAGACTGGATCGAGTGGAGTACCTTCTAACAGTCATGTAGGAACGTGAGATTGCCCAGCTGCGCAAGACACTGGAGGAAGAGCGACTTGCCCGGAAGCGCCGCCAGTCAAACCCAGCTGCGGATAATGCAGGCGAAACAGACAACCTCACCCGCCAGAGCACACTAAAGCCCGCTCTCCGCAAATCCTCCCTCAAAGAGAGCAAGGTTACTATCCCTCGACCTACTTCTGCTCTAGGTGATTTGACCACCGCCTCCAAAGCCAGTGCTACGGAAGGCGAGAGCCAGCTATCTGTTCCTGTTGAGCGCCCCCGTAGGCACTCAGAGCACTCAGTGACCGCTATCACTCCTCGTCGCCGTCGCCGAATTGCCGAGGAGATGACGTCTGCGTTTATCCTCCCAGATATTACTCTCCGCCACACCGACCTGGCTGAAAACCTTAAGAAGCTTCCGGAGACGACTCAACGCGCGCTGGACCGTGCTACCAAACACAATGGCAAGAACTGCACGGTGTGCAAGAAGTCTATGCTTGGAGACGAGTGTGACCACACCCAAGAGGCAGTCAAAGTCCCGAAGCCCATTCCGGTCTCTGAGCGGATGCCTGAGCCATCTATTTACAACGAAGATCCCACTTTGCGTCCCGCGCAAGCGCCCGCCGTTGCCCTGGCTACTGTTCTGAAGGCCCTGGAAGATGAGCTGTCGCATCTGAAGATGCAGCTTGTCACTTACCAAGGCGCATATAACAAGCTGGATGCCTCACTCAGCAAGCGGCAGCGGAAATCACTTGGCGAGAAGATTGAGAAGTTGCTCAAGGATATTGATATGAAGGCCGACCAGATCTACGCTCTTTATGACGTTCTCGAGGGCCAAAGGCAGCGTGGACAAGAGATGACAGAGCAGGAGATGGAAGTCACCCTTCAGTCCATTGGCATCGACACGAACGCCGGCAAGTTGGGCGAGGTGACAGGCACGACTGACAAGTCTTCTCGTAAGGATGGAACCGATTACGATGTAGACGAGGACTCGGAGCTGCCGTGGGAGGGCATCGAGAGCACAATGGAGATGACGGGAGGAAGTCGGCATAATTAGGCGATTAAGCGATACTTGTCCTGATTGACTGGATTGCTGTGATTACTGTTATTTGCGCTTGTTTACTTCTTGTGGAAGGCGTTGAGTCCAGACTGTACTTTTTGCATTTGTTTTGGTATCTCGCATGGGACTCGGTTGGGGAAGCGTGCGATGGCGTCAGTCCGTCTCCAAGTAGCACCATTGAACATCCACTTATTATCCAATTGACTTTGCTCTCTTCCTTCTTCCAATGCGATGCCGGAGTAGCAATTGTTATCTCGACTACACAACCGTCTGTTGACCCCCACGGCCTCGACCTCCTCTGCACCCCGAATCAGCCTAGCGCTAAACCGAAATCCGAACCGATATCCGGCGGCGATTCCAGCTTTCGGACTTAAACTTGGCCATCTTCCCTGTCGCTCTTGTGTTACTCCATATTCTTATTTTGCATATTTCTTCTTCAAACCTTACATTTACCTTGTGTACTCTTTAGACTTTGGATATACTTTGATGGGCGCCAGTCAACAGCATGAACCAGACTTTTATCGCAGAGGCCATGTAGATCCTGTCACCGACACACGCGACACTCACCATGAAGCGGACAACGCAAGCATCCGCACCGCAATCCACGACAACGACACTGCGCACCTCCGCCTCCTAGATCCCTCTCCAGAACTTGACTCCGACACATGGTCCGACACCTCCAGCATCAGCGACGAAGATGCGCCCCTCTCCCCACCACCCATCGAGAGTGAAAAGCCCGTAACATGGGCCTCGCTCCCGAACAGGGGCCAACTCGCCATCTTGACAATCGCGCGCCTCTCGGAACCCCTCACGCAGACTTCGCTGCAAGCATACCTCTTCTACCAACTGCGTTCCTTTGACCCGTCGCTCCCAGAGTCGACGATTGCGAAGCAGGCCGGAATCCTGCAGGGGAGCTTCACGGCGATGCAGTTCCTCACCGCGGTGTTTTGGGGCCGACTCGCGGATACGGAGTGGATGGGGAGGAAGAGGGTGTTGCTGATTGGGTTGTTGGGGACGTGTATCTCGTGCTTGGGGTTTGGGTTTTCGAGGTCGTTTGCGGCCGCTGCGGTGTTTCGAACGTTGGGCGGGGCGCTGAATAGTAATGTGGGTGTTATGCGCACGATGATTTCGGAGATTATAGAGGAGAAGAAGTACGTTCCTTTTGTCGGTCTCTTCCCGTGGTAGTTCCATGGATTCGTGGAGGGACTAATGGTTGCGACAGGTACCAATCTCGAGCATTCCTGCTCTTGCCCATGTGCTTCAATATCGGCGTGATCATCGGGCCAGTTCTTGGTGGAATGTTGGCGGATCCGATCAAGAACTACCCGCATCTTTTCGGGCCCGGATCGCTTTTAGGAGGGAAGGATGGCGTGTGGTGGATGGAACGCTGGCCGTTCGCTCTGCCGAATCTTATCAGTGCCACCTTCATCTTCATCTCGTGGGCTTCTGTATTTCTTGGTCTTGACGAGGTACGCCCATCTCCACCAGTTCACATCTGCTATACTAATTGCACATAGACCCACGAAACCGCGCGCTACAGAAGCGACTGGGGCCGCAAACTCGGCCGACGACTGACACGCCTCTTCCGCCGGCGGAAATACCGTGGCTACCACCATCTATCCGAACATCCAGATGACGATGACGACGACAGAGACTCCCTCTATCTCACAGAAAGCGTAACCAGTCGCTCCCTCCCCTCAACCCCATTGCGCACCCGCCGCCACATCCCACCGGCGCACAAACGGCCCAGCTTCCGCGCAATCTGGACGCCCAACGTTCTGCTCACGCTAGGCGTCCAATTCCTCCTCGCCTTCCACACAAGCGCCTTCAACTCGCTAACCTTCATCTTCCTCCCGAACCCGCGCGCCCCACCAGAGAATCAGCGCTCCTTCCTCCGCTTCGGCGGCGGCCTCGGCCTCCCCTCGTCGCGCGTCGGAATGGCCACGGCAATCATCGGATTTATTGGTCTCCCGCTCCAGATCTTCGTGTACCCACGCATCCAGTCCAGACTAGGGACACTAACCTCCTTCCGGACTTTCTTACCTTTCTCGCCCCTCGCATACGCACTCATGCCCTTCCTCGTCCTCATCCCCAACAGGCCGTATCTCGTCTGGCCGGCGTTCACGGTTGTCGTCGGGTTACAAGTTGTGTCGAGGACGTTTGCGTTGCCGGCCGCGGTTATCTTGGTGAATAACTGTGTGACGGATCCCGGGATCCTCGGGACGGTCCATGGCGTTGCGCAGAGTATTTCGAGTGCGGCGAGGACGGCCGGGCCGTTACTTGGTGGGTGGGGGTTGGGACTCGGGTTGGAGTATGATCTTGTTGGTGGGGTTTGGTGGGCGCTTGCGGTTGAGGCGGCGCTCGGCTGGGTTTTGCTGGGGACTATCTATGAGGGGAAGGGGATTGATAGGAGTAAGAATAAAAGGAATAGAGTTGAGGAGGTTGAGGATGAGGAGAGGCGGTAGTAATTTTTGTGATGCCTTCTGTCGGGATTTTATGGCTGATGCGGTATATACGAGACGACCTGTATGTCCTGATGATTCTAAAACGCAGTCTAGATCTTTTCTCAATAGAATGAAGTATAGAATGAGAGTACACTCCTCGAAGGTAAATCCGCGCCGGGTTTAATGTCCATGAACTCACGCCCATTCCGCTATTTTATCCCATTCCCAAGCAAAACGCCAACATCCCAAATGACCCCAAAGCACACAGGTTGAAAATTGTCTCGAAATCACGCCATGGCATTGTATCCCTATGCCTCATCAACAGCAGCCTCCGAGTCGAATGTACGCTCGAAGTGCACTCTTCGCATCTCCCCCATTCGCCTTCAAAAGCTCCGTCGCCTTGATCTTGTTCAGATCTAGTTCGTTTACCTGTGGAATGACACAACCATCAGCGATGCGCACCGACCTAACCAAGAACAGCAGAGAAACAGCGAACGTGGAAAAACCCACAAGCAACGTCACATCCTCCGCAGCAACCTTCACCGCAGCCGTCGCAGTCGCCGCCTTCTTCTTAATCTCCTTCCCACCCCGAGTAGTATCCTTCCCACCCTTATCTTTCGTCCCCGCGCCCGACGCAATCTCCAACCGACTCATCGCCTTCCCCAGCGCCTCCTGATCGGCAGCAGACGGCGCCGCCTTGGCCGCCCCCTCTCCGGATGGGGAGCCGCTCGTTATCTCGGTTGTGTTGAGGGACGAGAGCGCGGCAGCGGCTTTGCGGTCTTCGGCAGAGGTCGAGGTCGTGGTAGGGTTGTGCTCTGAGGCTGAGGGGACGGGGTCGGACATTTTGGGTCCTGGTGAAGGGTTGGGGTTTTGTAGGGGATTCGAGGACTTGGTGCGGTAGGGTGAGCGCGATTACTGGGCTATGATAGATCGAATAGTCGGGTTTAGGACTGAGATCACGAAGTCTGAAGCTGAGCTGAGCTGAGGTGTGTCTGTCAGAGTGGAGAAGTATGAAGAGCGGAGGTGGGGTGGACTGGGCGGGGAGATCGAGCTAAGATAAGCAGCAGCATGACGTGATAAGGAAAGCGAAAGTATAGCGTCACGTGATACTATAGACATCTGGCAGGGAGGGAAGAAGCGACCCACCATGTCCCACAACAGTGCCATCCATATACTCATGTCACCGAGGCTGAGCCTCTGGGCTATCATTAAAACTGTACACTGCGCTACCGACCCCGATTTACAGGTCGTTTCTTCTTCAAGCTCATCTTAGAGAGGCAAGTACGCTCCCGTGCCTCGCTGGGCCGCACCTTCCTCAACGAGCGCCTCTCTTGGGGACAACAAAGGAAGGAGCAGCCTACCATCACATTTTTCCTTCTTGATAGACAATCCACAGGCGAGGTCCTGCTGTGAGGGTTGCGTGAGTTTTACCATATTCTTTACCTGTCTATGCCATGGTTGGAGTAGTAGTGAGAGGCCCTGGGTGATGTATGCGCCAATGCTAATGCGTTGGTGGGGTGGGTTGTGTAGGATGGTAGGGCTATGGGTTGAGGATGTAGTGATTGTTTCTGATCGAGTCAGTGGGGACGAGATGAACTGAATATTGACAGAATATTGGGCTAAGAAGTCACCTTGTTTATCAGAAGCACTTGGCTTTCGAGTAAAAGATGACCAAACGAAATTGAATTCAAAATATCCTTTGGTTGATTAACCTATTGACACATGGCTTCCTTCATTCCCTCTCTAGTTCCAGCATATCGTATCCATAACTCGTCATCATAAACGTAAAAGGCATAATATCTCATCAGAGGCATAAAACAAAAGAAAAGCATCTCCCCGAGCCCCTACCAACTCTCTCACCCTCCGATGACTTCTCTTGACCGCACTCAAACAACATAATGCGGCCTCCGACTCGAAGAAGAGTGCCTCCTCGAATGCCCGCCACTCCCATGCCCCCTCCGACTAGAATGACTCCTCCTCCGAACGGTCGTCGTCTCCCTAACAACCGTCTTCTCTTTTGACGCTGACCCCCGATACATAAAGATAGCAATAAGCGCCGTCCAAAAGAAGAAAAGAACCTCCATAATCCCCAACGCGAAACACGTCTTGAGCATGCGACAAGTCTTATTCAGATCATCCGCGAGATCGTTCCCACTCTGTCGGCCGTAGGCGCCAAAGGGGCCCAGGGAGACATACACGCGGCCGCCGTCCCAGTCGCCGCAGTCGGCAGTGGCGATGAAGCGCAGCTGGTAGACGGCTGCGATGAAGGCGCCGCCGAAGAGGAGGTCGACGAAGGAGACGAAGGCCGCTGAGCGTTTTGTTGTGCTGTGTCGGATGAGGGTGTCAATGCACCAGAATACGGCAATCACGGAGACGATGAAGAGGACGAGGATGAAGGGGGGTGTTATCAAGTTTGCTTTGAGGTAGCCGTCGACGAAGTAAGCCTGTTTTTTGTTTTGTTAGTCGTCTCTGGAAGACGGAGTAGGTGGGAAGTGTGGGTGATGTGGAGGACGCACCATCATTCCGATGATTGGAATGAGAAAGGTTATCTCCGTCAAGCGGTTGAAGATAAAAAAGATACTTCCGATCATTTTGGCGGTTGTTTACTCACTCTGGCTGTTTCTGTTTGGTGGTTCTAATGGAATGCGGAGCGATGCGAGGAATGTGGATGGATGTAGATTTGTATGAAAATCAATGAGAAAATCGGTGTCGCATTAACAATGCGATAGATCCAGAATGTAGTGTACGATAAATGGAAAGAGTGTGTCGCAGTACGTAACCGTGAGATGGTCTCGTCTTCTCGGTGTTTATCCTCGAGCGCAGCGCTGATCAGCGGTGGATGCGACCAGATGCCAACGCAGGCAGATGCACGAGGGAGGAATCAGGATGGGAAGATGCAGAAAAAGTGCAGTCCAGCCCCTGGCTAGAAGATAAATAAAAAGCCGATGAGAAATGACTGTGAGATGAGGTTACAGAGGAGCTGAAAGTCGGAGGCTGGGCGAGTTGCGCGGTTGCTGCGGGGTGGCTGGGAATCCCCTCAATCCACCAGTGGGAACTGTGGAAACGCGCATCTGCGCAACATGACAATCTAATTTCTCCCGGGCTCAGACAGCCTTCTAGACCTTTCTGATGCACTTAGCCTAATCGATCTTGTCAGCCAGCCGGTGTCAAAGAATTCCCTTCTTAGCTAGGGCTGCCCTACCAATTTACTAGTAGAGCCCTAACCTCTAAAAGCTTAGAATTTATTGCTCCTACTAACTATTTGTATGGCCAGCGGCCAGCTCTGCTAGAGAAAACGCCGCATGGCATTTCTCGATATTACAACAGCAATAAAAGAGGATCGACACGATTCAAGAGCACTGTACACTATAGCCCGACGACGAGCGCAAGACAACAGCGTATGGAAGGAATATCTACGTGGAGCAGTTCCTCATGCCTCTTCTCTGCAAGGGGTATACACGAAGGTAAGTGCCCAAGCAAACCGAGTGAGACTATCTTCAAGTCGGGAACGCGCGACATTCCTCGTCCAGTGGACTGATGATCTTCGCACAAACGGACTTCCTCAAGTCCTCATCATCCCACGACTGCTGGCCTTGGTCGTAATCAAAGGCAAAGTTCACACAATTCAACACGACCCTTCCGTATCGGCTTGTCATGGTCGTCCATGTGCTATCATACCACGCGCTGGCAAGCCCTTGCCGCATCAGCGGAGGGATAGGGTTAATCTGACACGACTCTTTTGCGAAGGCGGCGAACAGTTTCTCGTTCCATATCTCGAGGAGGAGAATGCCGAGCTCTAAGAACATCACTTTTGGTTTGTTCTCCGGCGGTGCAACCGGAATGGGATGGCAAAAGGATTGCAGGACCAGCGGCCGATCCAATTCGAGTGAATACGTGTTGTTCGTGATAGACTTTCTGAAGTATATCGCCTCGTTCAAAAACGGGGTCTGCGGCCACTGGAATAACCGGTCTCTCAAGAGTCGTTGGCTGATTCAAGCAGGGCACATTTGATACAAGACCTGCAACCCTACACCTGTACAGCTGTCGAGTGTCCTCAAGGCGACAGTCGACTACTCAACACTTGGGAAGAGTGGATCGTGCACGAGCAATTGTATCACCGGGCCGAATACGTCTGTCCCAGTCATCTTGATGCGCCATTTCTCAGCCGGGGAGCTTATGTCAAGCATATCTCTTCGAGTCACGCAAATTGCAAAGATGATCGGCTTCGGCCGCAAGAAATCGACCGGCGAACACGGCTTTTCACCAAACCAGCAGACTCTTGTGTACTCTGTTCTTATGTTTCGGATGCCTGGGCTGAAATGGATAGGCATCTTGCATCGCACCTGGAAGCTTTTGCTCTTCTGGCGCTCCCTCAATCGACCGGGTTAGAAAATGACAACGATGCCGGTGACTCGGGCTGAATTCGTATGGAGAAGGGCGATGATGACGCGGTGGAGCTGCTCGACGAAGATGTTGCCGGGCCAATCACTGATCTTTTTGAGAAGCAAGAGCATCCGGCCAGTCAGGGCGGCAGTCATGAGCTGACACTGCCATTACCCTCCAGGCGTCAAGTAGAGCTCAGCCGACATGTGTTGGAAGAGGTCTCAGACCAGGCGTGGGATATCGCTGGCGATACGTCTCTTCATAACACTGTGATCTATGGTTCAGTTGAAGAGGTGACCCGGCTAAGACGCGACGAGAAACGCAACATCAACGCGTTGGACCAGCACGGCCGGAGTGCTCTACATGTGGCTGTAGACAAGGCACCCTTTCATATGGTTAAGTTGCTGCTTGACCTGGGTGCGGACATCCATTTCCCAGACACAGAAGGTCGAACACCTCTACATTTGGCCTCCGCAATGGGAAACGTAAATGCTATTGCATTGCTACTCGAATACGGTGCAGACACCTCCATCACGGACAAGCGCGGCCAGAGCGCTCTACATGTAGCCACCGCAGAAGGGTCTACTGAATCCGTTCGTACCCTACTTTTGTACGGCGCTGATACTGAGGGGAGAGACTCGAAGGGAAACACTCCTTTAGATGAAGCAGTGACCAGGGGCGATCAGACGATACTCCATATCCTTAATCTGGCGAGGATCTGGATGAAAGGGGACAGAGAAGGCTTCTATGTCAACACTACTCTTATTACAGCAGATGCAAATGGAGATCAAGGGCTAATGGATATCCAGGAGATTGCCGAGAACGACAAGGAATGGTACATGGAAGCGACTGTATCGCTACGAGCCTCGCAAAAGTTTCCCCCACCAGGTGCTCTTGATCTATATGCCCGCCTACTGAGAATCGAAGCAACCTGGGAGAAGTGGGAAGTGGCTGCAAATCAGATTCCGGCGCTCCTTAAGCTTACATATTTTGGAGTTGTCATCTTCTTTGGTAAGAACTCATCTCTCAAGAGCAATTCCGAGACTCGAGCCGCTAAACTTAGCAGATAATAGCAGGTCGATGAAAAAAGGGCAGCGAATAAGCATACTTTACAATACACTCATTCGAGTGGCCGAGATTTTCACCAAGCTGACCGGCAGAGGCGTATCACTTCGTCCTCTGAATGGTGAACGGGAATGGGACATGCTGGGTCCAGGCGAAGTCATTGACCTATTCGAGACAGAAATCCTGTTCTAGGGACCGACTGAAATAGGGACACGTCTGAGGGAGGCCATTTTAGACCCAATCCTGTTGAACAGGGAGGCATGGCCCCATCCAGTGGTGACCCTCATTGTTACCGATGGAGCTGTAAGCCGAAGCTCGTCAATTCAGATTATATGCGGTGCAACGTTACTGACACGGTCTTAATCCTTATCCAGCCGTATCCAGAACCCAGGGACACACTGCAACGGACTATTCGTGCCTACAAGAAGCGTCCAAACAGGATGCCCGCTCGCTCTTCTTGCTGTCTCAGGTTGGGGATGACGTAGAAGCTACGCAGTTCCTGGAAACAATAAGAGAGGATATTGACCTTGCAGACATAATCTTCTGTTCGCAAAGACTGGACGACCTTTACGGGAGCTCCCAGACCGCATGCGAGGTTGACAAGCAGTATGCTTCATACGTGAGTGCTCCAAGCATGAAAATTTTGCCTATTTTCCGGATTATACATATGGCTACTGCTAACTCAGTCTAGCTCATTGGGATACTAGTAGCTGCCGTCGAAAAGTTTGTATAACCATCTCTATGTGCATTTGGGCTGAGTGGACAGCATTGTCTAGCCTGAATTATGGATCACCTGAAGACTTCGTGGATACTTACAGCCTGCTTGCTACCTTGGTTGAGACTTAGGGTCAATACTGCCGATTGGTGTCGTAATCCATGTTCATATTCGCTAGCCCTAACTATAGTACAACCCACGCTTGTCCAACTCCATGTGCAGATAAAAATTCTGATAAGTCTACTACCATCCGCCTTTACCGCCGAACCCAGACGACTCTTCGATCTTTTTACCCATGCCTCGCGTGGGTTTAGACTGCGCCGCCTCGTGCTTGCGCAGCTCCTCCGGCACCCTGGAGATGGGCGATTTGATGAGCATCTGCTTGAGGTCATACCTGCTATTATTAGTACACGTGTTATTAACGCGAGGGGGAAAGAAACATACATGACATCAGCATCCTCATTGCCCAAGAACGTAATCGCCACACCGCTCTTACCGGCACGACCGGTACGACCGATACGGTGGGTGTAGCTTTCAATCGAGGTCGCCATGTTGAAGTTGACGACCAGACTGACATCCGGCACATCGATACCACGTCCGGCTAAATCGGTAGCGACCAAGACGTCGGTTGATCCGTTACGCACGGAAGCCAGGGCGGCCTCACGCTGTTCCTGGGTCTTGCTTCCGTGTAGTGTGACTGACGAGAAGCCCCACTGTTTGATCTCCCGCGCGATGGCGTCACAGTTTCGCTTGATGTTGACGAAGACGATGATGGGTGGGCGGAAGTCGCCGGATGAGAGGATCTCGCCGAGGCGCTTCTTGCGCTTGTCTTCGCCAGCGACCATCTCGACTCGTTGCTCAACGGTATCCACGGCCTCGCCGACGCTACCGATATTGACAATTGCGGGGCGGCGGAGATACTTTCTCGCAATGCGCTCTACGGCTGTAGGCATGGTAGCGGTATACATCATAGTCTGGCGGTAGCGGTCTTTGGCGCCAATATGCCGGCTCATCGCAGACGAGTCCTCGGCTTCTTCGGTGTCGGGCTTTTCATTCGTGACCGGGAGGGCGTCAAGGATCTTGTTGACAGGCTCTTCAAAACCAAGGTCGATCATCCGATCAGCTTCATCCATAATCACATAGCAGCACTGGCTGAGAACCAACATGCGACGCTCGATACAGTCAACAAGACGACCTGGAGTGGCGATAATAATTTCCGCACCGTCGCGTAGACTGTATGCCTGCTCTTCAAGCGAGTGACCACCGACAATACTGACGACGTTGAAACCAAGGGGCACTGTAAACTTCTTGGCCTCGATCTCAATCTGCTGTGCCAATTCACGCGTAGGTGCAAGGACAATCGCGTACGGCCCATCATTCTTACGCCACTCAAATTCGTCAATCCGCGGCAACTCCGCAATATAGACGAGCAGAGGTAGCAAAAACGCCGCGGTCTTACCGGAACCGGTGACGGCAACACCGATAAGATCTCGGGATTGAAGAGCAATTGGAATGGCCGCTCGTTGAATCGGAGTAGGCTCTTTGTATCCAACTTGGTCGACAAGACTGAGTAACCGCTTTGGCAATCCAGACTCTTCCCAGGACCGCATAGGGTTTGGTACACTTCCGCCCTTGGTAGCAATGTTGAAGTCTTCCTTAAAGATGCGCCAGTCTCTCTCGCGCATATGCTCCAGCTTCTTCTCGCTCCAGTGCTTGTCCAGCTGGTTTCGCGTGCTCTCCTCCCGCCGTCTCCGCTCCATCTCGAGAATCTCCCGTGCGCGGATACTACCGGCCTCTCGGTCTCGATCCTCCAGAGCCTGTGCGTATTTCTGCGCTACCGCGTCCGCAACATCGTCACCAAAGCCAGCCAGGCGCCCGCGTCCAAAGAAGTTGGCCTGATGTCGCGTCTGGTACAACGGGTTATAGTCGCCGCTGGTATCTTCCTCCGCATTCCACTCGAAATTAAATTTCCGGTCCGTCGTTCGCTTCCGCTTCTTCTTGGCGGAGAAGTTTGATGTCTGTTCCGAACCCATGTATCTCTGTTTCACGAGTGCCGCCTGTGCAGCCGCTTCATCCTCATCTTCTATGAGCCGCTTTTCGCTCTTCTCCGACGACCTTCCCGAAGGGATATCATGCTTCGAGTGCATCGCCGCAGGGCCCTTCGGAGCATCGCCGTGCCGCATCGCGCGAGGACCGGTCGGAATCGATCGGGAATCGCCGTTCGGGGTATCCGTCCCAGTCATCGGGGTATCAAATCCACTACTCGGTGTACCATTCGACCTTTCAACTCCATTCGTCTTCACCCGGCGTTGAGCGTCCACTTCCTTGGCGCGTTTCTCCATAGCAAGTCGTTCACGCTCCGCCTTCGACATGAATTTCGGCTAAAGAAGCAAACAGTGAATTAGCCGCGGATCCTCTCTTGAAGCACGTTTAGCACAATGAAGCATAGCGCAGATAATCTCACAACAGTAGAACAAGCATACCTTTGCTGCCGCAGCGTCGGCCTCGCGTTTCTTCCGCACAAGCTCTTCCACACTCAACGGCGTCGCTGCCGGCTTCTTTGCGCCCCATCCGACCTTCTTCTTTTTCGGCTCTGGCATAGGAGGGGGCGGCGGGAGGTCTTCGGGCGGGGGAGGAGGTGCGGATACATCTGGTGGCGGCGGGGGAGCGCTGAACTCTGGCGGGGGTGGAGGAGCACCATCTTCTGGTGGAGGAGGGGGTGGTAGGGATGACAGAGGCTCCGTAGAGCCGTTCATGGATATGTCGCCCATGGTCGAGGTGAAGGACAATGAAGGCCCGAATGTTGTGGTTTGTGAACTGGAGCTTGAAAAGTTGGGGCGAGAGAAGGCCGCGGTCTCGCCTCGTCGAATCTTGGCATTCACGTGACCAAGGCTATCGGAGGAGCATCACGTGTGTATAGTTTGGCTCAAATATACCTGACCCCCTGCGGTGGGTCTTTCAAGGTTTTCAGATATTAGAAGATATCACTTTTTTACTCTTCAAAATTCATATTTCATTCATCACTTTTGGCCTAGAATCCGCACTCAGGCCAGCGATATCAATTAGGATTAATGTACGTCTCTCGAAGGCCACAACTCTGCTGCCTATGGTAAAGCGTCCGGTGCAAAGTTAGTACTAGTTGCTTATGCCGTCATCTCAGGGAAACGCATGGCTACTACACGCAACTACATTTCATTCGCCGCTCGCTACCTAACTAACACACGAGCTAGATCAATCTAGATCAAGCAGCTACCTAATAGAGATATAAGATAAGAATACAATGGAGACAGTGTCCAAACCCTGATGTGATGTGATGTCCACCCAATCCAATCAATTAAACATGGTCTCGTTTAGCGGAGCAGCCGGTTCGGAGAGGCATATGGGTATAGACATGCCTCGTGCTGCTCGAGCATGATCACTGGGAGGTGAATTGATATTTCGGAAAACGTAGGGGGAAGAGAAAGCGTATAGGAAACAGTAGTGTTCTACACAGGAAGAAAGACAAACCAATGGCCTTTCCTGGGGACGATTCCGTGCCGTACTGAATAAGCGCCGAAAAGCAGATTATAGCTGGTGGATTTGATTGGCGTGGTTGAGTCAATTTACGCGCTGCCGAATCCGCCATTGACGGGGCTCTGCTGGTAGTAGTTGTACTGGCCGGCTTGTGGGGTGGTAGCAACGGGCGCAGCAGGAGCAACGGGAACGATGGGCGGAGCGGGAGGAGCAGGAGTGGGAGGCACGGCCTGGGGCGTCGGCTCTGTACCTCCGGTCTTTGCCTTGGAGACAGATGCGGGCCCATGAACTTCCCGGTCGAGAGTCATGTATTCCTTCGCGGCATCCTCTGTGCCGCGTTCCAGGAGGTAGACCATGTAGACCTGGACGAGGTCCCGTGCGACCTCTGAGGAGAGCGCGCTCTTCGAGCGAATGTCCTCAATAACGCCCTTTATCCGGTCGTACTGAGCAGTCTCTGTTGTAGCGCTTGTAGGCTGGTCGAGCTCGAAGGTAAGATAGCTCTTCCAGAAGGGCTGGCTGCCCATGTAGTACTGTTGGTTCTTCTGGAAGACTTGACGGGCCTCTTCGGGAGAGCCCTTGATCTTCCATAGTAGCCGGGCCCATTCCGCAACCAGGGCGGCCTTGGTAGCGAGATCGCACTGCGCGGAGTCCAACTGGGTCTTGTAAACTTCAATGGCGGCTTCTAGGCCACCGTGACGACGGCACGTGTTGGCAAGCGAGACTATTGTTTCAACGTGGTCGGGCATGTTGATGAGGATGGCTTCGTGGATTTCCTTGGCAACACTGACTCGCCCGGACATTTCCTCGAAGTAGGCGTACTGGAGACGAGTGGCGGGATTGGCAATGGGAACGTAGAGACAGCTTGCCCGTTGATAGATATTCCGCACTTCTTCCTCCTTGCCAGGCTGTGCAGACATCCAGCGGGCATATCGCTGCCAGAACTCGTCGTAGTGAGCGCAAGTTACCAGGCACCGCTCATACAAGAACTGAGTGCGAGTATATGAGCCTTCGGCCTCTTCAAAGTCGAGATACTTCTTCCAGTTCGTCAACTGGCCTTCATCAAGCTCCGTTACGTGGAAGTACGGGCGCTTGATTTCGGACTCATACGTCCAGCGCTTCGTCGTCTCCGTTTGTGTCTTGGAGAAGATCTCAAGGTGGTATCCGTCGATACGCAGGCGCAAGTCACGCTCAATCTCAGCTTCTGCCTTTGCGCCTGGCGCAACCTGATCCGCAGCTGCGTCAAGTTCAACTCGGAACTGTGACAAAGTCTCGGGAGGAGCCAGTTCAGCTAGCGGGCGCGTTTGCGCGATCTGCCTGTAGCGCTCAAAGTAACGCGCATACTGGTGCATCGGAATATGGATGACTCGGCCAAGGATGGCGAAGATCTTGTCAAACGCCTCCACCCGCTCCTCGTACTCAATATACTTATCCCAGAAGGGGTGGGAAAGGAAATCTAGCCCGACGCAGCTAGCACCTCGCTCGAAGAGTCTGCAAGGTATGCCTGTTAGTCACCTCGAACGTATCAAGCGAAGGAAGAGAAGGGAACGGGAGGGAGAGGAAAGAGCGGAATGACAAGGATAGCAAACATGAGCATTGAAATCTTTCGGTACTGCGAAGCCCAAGCAATTCAACGACTAGGAGGATCAGTTTGTGGAGAAGCTTCTTTTTCCTGCTCTGCATCGAGCGCAGAGTAGATGGACCACCGAACAGGATTCGTGGGGAAGGTACCGGTGCAAGGAAGATGGTGCTTGTGTTCAAATCAGAGTTTCTTTGGTCTACGGGGGAAGGAAACAGCCCTGAAACGCCATGGGTGAGAAGTGAACTCCAGTCGAATCCGGGTAAGGCGACGTCTCACCCATTGAGGGAGCCGCTCATAACGAGCTTCTGCATCACGCGCATTCCGCCTCACAATGACCATTCGGTGCTGTATCGGTAGTGGTTACAGGGGAAGGAAAGGAAAGCCGCTCTCGTCTACTTACTCTCGGATGTTGTCTGTGTCGTGGGATGTCTCTGCTTTGAAGGAGCAGTAGTTCGTCCAGAGGTCGACGGAGGAGGAAATGCTCGCGATACCCCGTTCGTAAACCTATCGCCCGTTAGTTATCGACCTAACGTTCGGGTACAGATGAATTCATACCATATCCGCAGCCTCAGTTCCTGTGATCGAGAACTCGAGATCCGCATATTTCTTCCAGTACCCAAAGAGCAACGGAAACTTGGCGAGGAATCGATCGTAAGCTTGGCGCACAGTTGTAATCGCCTGTGGATTCGAGTTCCGGTTGACACCTCCCTCAAGGGCCTCTGCGCCGCGAACCAGCTTCTCCCAGGTCTCGAAGTTATCGGGGTCATCGAGCTTCGACGCGCAACCAGTTAGCTTCTCATCAAGAGGATTAACACAAAAGGGCAGCGGTCGCATCATACCAACTCAACCTCTAGCTTCCTCAGCTCTGCGTTCTCCTCTTCGGAGCCTCCAAAGTTGTAATCGGCCATGGTGGTTGTCGGAGTCAAGGATCACGGACACCGCTCGCGACACTGCAGCGATCGACTAGGAAGGTGTTGAAGTGAAAATAAAGACCGACGCAAAAGATCCCCAGGGATAAGCAATAACCAAGATCCCGATAAGAAGCTAGGAATCTCCTCTCTGTGTTCCAGAATGCAGATGAAGCGAAATTGAAATGAATGAAGTTGCGGTTGCTCTCCGAGTCCCCAGCCACGGGAGATGCCGCCCTTTTTTTCTTCCGATCCATTGGCACCTCCAGTCCCAATCAGGCTTAGCGTAGAATACTGCAATTTCTCAACCCATCTCAAAGCAACCGGCGAAAGCACTCACGAGATTCGAAACATCCTCAAGCACAACAGCACACACACGGACCGTCGCGTCCAATCCCTTTCGCCAAAATGGAATCCGCCCTCCAAGGCTCGATAACCAAAAACCTCCCGGAGCGCCTCCTCCGCTTCTTCGCCCGCTACCCACCACAAAAGTACTCCGCGCTCGTCCGACCACAACCAGACCCCGAAACCACACCGAAAGCAGACAGCTCGACGCTGCCCTCCCCCTACACTGCGAACCGTGACGCCAAGGGCTTCCAGCGCGAAGACCCGCGCGCCCCCTCCGCCTCGCGCGCCCTCCTCTGGTCGGACCCCAAATCTCCGAACCCGTTCCTCCCCGTCAAGGTCGGCGAGAAGTGGCAGGGCGCGAGGATTGGGCTCCGTCGCCAGGCGGATTTGGTCAAGCTGGCGAAGAAGTATGGTGTTGAGGCGCTGTTGCCGCCTGGGAGGAAGAGTACGGAGTTTAAGGAGACGAGGCTCGCTGAGAAGGGGTTGACGATTAAGGGTACGGGTATTGGGCAGAAGGTTAAGGGTCATAGGTGGGAGAGGACGATGGAGACGAGGTTGGAGGATCGCAGAAAGGCTATGATGGAGATGCCGGAGACGATTCGGATGTGGAAGCAGGTGAGTACACTGTGTCCAGGTTTCCTTTCTTTATCCAAATCGGGTGTGCTAATGGGTGTCTTTTCTCCAACAGAGAGGTCACGGTCGTGGCTGGAAGAAGTGGCCCAAGAGGTGAGCTCGCTCTTAGTGTGGGCTGGGGCGTGTATAATGTACGATCTATGGTTTGGTTTCTGGTCCTCGGCTTGTACAGATCGATTCGATGGAGATATAAGTTGCTTAAGTCACATTGGGAACAGGAGTCATTTTCTCTTATTATTATTTTTTCCTCTTCGCCTGCATGCATGTATCATACAATAGATATTTACTCAAAATCGCTGGACTCATATGCAATCACTCAGAGAAGAATACCTTCGTACCTGATATAAGATATATGAAATTGTCACAAGTCGTGCAAGCGGGGTATATAAAATGTCAGGGCTATCAACAAGCTTCATCATCTCCATGCTCATCCTCATCATCATACACGGGGCTTGCAATATCCCCAACCATAACCGTCCCCAACCACTCCTTCTCCTCAGCCCCGTCACCCACCGGCGAGATATGCCTCCCAAACAGGATTTTCCTTCCAACCTTCCTCGTTTTCGCAAGCGTAGCATATGGCTCTTCACCCCTTACCCCCGTATACTGATCCACACAGACCATCTGGCACCGCTCGCATGATCCCAAAACATCAAAGCGTAGCTGTTCATGTTCAGGCCCAGTTCCGGGTCCGACGCTCACGGATCGCCACGTATCCTCGACGTAGGGCCGTTCAGCCATCGGTTGGTTCTCAGCGACTACGATGTTTGCGCGGAAGACGTCGGCTGCGACGGCTTTCTTCGTGCTGTTGAGTGGCGAGGAGGTTGTAGCCGTGGCCGCATTGGACGTATTTGACTTTATAGCTTCGTTGAGTCGGTTTACCGAGGAGCGAGAGATGAGGAGGAGGGGGCTTTCGTTGGATAGAAGGATTGGGTTGTTGTTTGGCGGCGGGGTTGGAGAGGAAGTGAATTGAGGAAATGAGCCTGGCATGCTAGGTCTGGCTGTTGGTGTTGGAGTTCGTTCTCTGCGAATACCGGGTCGAATACAGGATCTTGTTGAGGATTGCGGTGGAAATCTTGCTAAAGTGCAAGGCACGCCTAGAAACTCTGTGAAGAAGGTCGATATCGTCGCCGCCGTATAGACCTGGAGGACGACCTTATCACCGCAGACGGTAGACGGCTTCGAGGCGTTCTGGCACAGCGATGTCGTGAGCGAGTTCATGTTCTCTCGACGAAGCGGTATATCCAGTGTCCTCTTCTCTGCCTCAGGTCCATCCCCACATGCGATGCGTAATATACCACGAGTAAGGTCGACAGTTGGCCGGATCAAGGCCATTCGAGGGTACCGCTTCTGATTCAGCGTTACACCTGTGCCCTGGTGGACGAGACACCATTCCCGGTCCCAGGATAGGCCTTCTCTGCGTACCTGCCACCGCTGCCCATCTGGAACTCGAAATGCGCCGCAGCTTTTGATCGGGTAGACGGAAAGGCTCTCGACGTAAAAGCTGGGCTGCTGTTGTGACACATTGACACTCTCCGTCATCGGCACCACAAGCCCCTCTGGTGGCTTATCGACATAAAATTCCTCGAGAAATGCCATGAACGTGTCGATATCTTTCTGACTGCTCATAGCGCCTAGACTCACTCGTAAAATCCCAGTCGGTCGTTCATTCATGATATCATTATCGTCGCCGCACCGCATCCCAGCAGAGAAGTGTCGAAGCATATCGGCTCCAGTCCAGCCGAGACTCAACGCCGTGCCTCCGGGGTTGCAGAGCGTTCCCGATCGGATCTGAATATTCTTGATGCTTGCGAGTCGCTCGACTTCGGATTTCCCTACCCACATCCTGCGACTGCTTCGCAGATTAAAGGCCATTATAGGTCCCTGTGTGGACGGGTCGCTGTAATCTGACTTCGACGACGTATAGAGCTCGCATACTTTCGCTCCGTTATAGTGTTTCAATGCAGTCATCCGTTGGTATAACTGCTTTGCGAGAAAGCCTGTGTGTGAGGAAACATTTCGCATGGCGCCGTAAAGACGACTGTGAGTTTCGAATGCCGAGCCCAGCGCGATTATGTTATGGAACGGGAGAGTCCCGTCTTCGAGTCTTTCATGTATAGACTGCTTCTTCGCGTGCCACGCATTCTCCCTCGTCAAGACCATATCCACGGTGCCACCGCCGAAATACTTCCTCGTATCAAAGACATGTCCAGCACTCTTCCGAACAAGCAGCGCACCGATATCCGGAAACCCAAAGATCTTGTAGAAGCTCAGAACCGTGAAATCGGGAGCCGACCTGGCATCACTCAGATCCAGCGGCGACGTCGAGACAAGAGATGCCGCGTCCAAAAGTGTATAGACATCCTGCTTCGTCGAATTCTGCCGGTCACGAATTTGCTCACACCATCTCATTGGCAACCGACGGCCATTCATGTTCGACTGGCCGGGATACGCAAATAGCTTCGGAACATCCTCCGTTGCTGACCTGGATCCCAGCTCAGAGATCCAACTCTCAGCCTCTTCATCTGTCACGAAGCATCGCGACCCCGCCGCTGCAAGCTCCCGTGCCCCGACAAGACTCGTGTGCGCATCCACATGGTACCCGTACCAGAAGCCCTGTGGCGTCGAGTCTCGGAGAGAATCTGCTACTAATTTAATCGCGGCAGTGGCATTCGCCACGAAGACTAGATCAAAATCGTCCGGGTCTGCGTGGAAGAAGCGAAGGGCCTTTAGGCGAATGTCGTCCACGCGTTGCGATGATAATTGCGATGAACCTGATAGAGAATGCGGATTGCCGTAGAGATTGCCTGTCAGGTCACGACTGAATGCGTCGATCAGGGAATTGGCATAAAGTGTGGTCCCTGCATGGTCAAGGTACGTTGTATCTAGAGTTTCGAGGTAACTTAGCAGGCGCTTCTCCGTCAAATGGTAGGGAGGCGACTTGGTTTCTGACCTTTAAGCAAGGGATATTCATGCTCCCGGATGACGTCGATATCATCGGAGTATTCTGAGCAATACGCTGCGGGGGAATCTATGCCGTTCGCGCGATAGCCCATAATCACAAATGTAGGAGATGCCGGAAAAGAAACTAGAGCATTATCGAGAGCGATTGTACATCATCAAAGATCAGTGGCGACAGCTTCACGAAAGATATGCGGTACAGTTGCGGTGGGTGACCAATAGTGGGGAGGCCAAAGTCGGGGAAGGAATGTGCATCGACCACGGGTCTTCGATCGCGGCTCATCACCTGCTTTGTGAATAAATAGCCTGGATCTATCATCGAGGAAGTGGTGTGGAGTTCTCCAGCTGCTTCATCAACCACACTTTGGTTCATCCTTATCGGAGTTGGCCGATAAGCCCAGAGTTTGGAGAGAGGACGGTCCCGACCGAGGCTTACCTGAAAATGTTAGCTCTCTTAGCATGTAGATACCGTGCAGGTTCCTGAGACAGGCACAAAGACTGGAGTATTCACAGAATCTGACAGATAAAAGAACAACTCTGAACAAGTGTGTTTGCTACAGCGTGAAATGGGGGATCCACACTCCCGATCCATCGTCGCGCGCAACCAGCGGGATGTGGCAATTACGGTTACAAGCCAGCTAGCCCCTCCAGAGCATTCCTAGTCTAATCTTAAATCCACGACCTACAATCTCTACACCACGGCATCGATTGTCTGAAAGCGGTGAGCCTCGAGTGGAGATATATTTATATACTTAGATATAATTAAAGGCCGACAAGCCAAAGCCACCATGCTTTAGAGCTTGCCGCCGCTTTGAAGGTGTCCCTTCGACTTCAGCCATGATCCGACGTCGGCACGGTCACGCTTGACCCAGCTGACCTTCGCCCGGATAGCATCCAGGCTCTGCTCAACCGCGCGGTCAAAGCCCTAACGTCGTTAGTTAGAGGCACATCAACATGAAAGTGTGTTAAACTAACCTTAGTATCCTTATCGGCGAAGAACCTCTGCACATCCTTCAGCTGCTCCTCGGTACAGAAGCTAGCTGTGCAGATCTGGACAACCGTGCCCAGCATACCCAGTCCTGGGGGCAGGCGTTGGTAGAGTGCGTCCCAGTTGTTCTTCACCCAAGCCCATCGCGCATCAATACCAGCGGCGTGTGAGCGGAGGCCACTAAGAGGCATGTAGATGTCCTGGTTCTTGACCTCATCGCCCAGTGCCAAGCCCAGAGTGCGCTTGATGAGGGCTGGGTCCTCAGCGGTACCGAGGCAGCGAAGTGCCGTCGTTTGCTCATCTGATGTGGGGGCATTGCGGAAGCGATCGTAGACAGCGTTGTATTCCTTCTCCCCGCCATTTTTCAGGACGATGGAGAAGACACTGCCGCGAATGTTGGGGTGAATAGCACTATAATCACCGGCAGCGTAGCGCTGGAACATATCTTGAGCGGCCTTGACAACGGTCTTGTCTCCAGCCATACCAGCAGCGCTGAAAAGGAGCGCCTTGAATTGTTGTAGGATGTGGCCGTCATCGCTCTTGAACTCCCAACCCAGAGTGTGTGCCTTTTCGCTTACCAGGGAGCGCTGGAATGCCTCCAACGCGTCTCGAGTCTGTGCATCCTCGAAAATCCAGGCTGCGCGCAGAGCACCAACACGGGTGAGGATCTCGTTCCATACAACGAACTCGGACTCGTTGTCAAAGCTTGTCAAAAGTGACAACAATCCGGAGGTGCTTTGGTAGCCTGAAGCAGCCAGAGCACCAGCGTCGGCAATCATGCCTGCGCGGTCCTCAACGGTAAGTAGGCCGGCTTTAGCAGCCTCACCCAACTTAGTCAGACGCTCAGGGGTGTAAGATGTGCGGTAGATCGCAGAGTGGTCGGCATTAAGCTTGAAGAAGTCAAGATCGGGAACCTTGAACTCGCCCTCACGATCCGACAAAAGAGTGTCCTCGTCGATTCCTTGCTTGGTGCGCAAGCCCAGCATGACCGGGAAGATAGTAGTATCCTCCTCGGGACGAACGTCGCCTGTGCGCAAGAATCGATTCTGCTTCACCTTGATGGACGAAGCGCTGGGGTTCTCAGTAACAGTAACAACGGGGAATCCAACGTTCTTAGTCCAAATATCCATAACTTCCTCCACAGGCTTTCCACTAGCACTCGCAAGGGCGGCCCACAGATCACCAGTTTGGGTGTTGCCATAGGCGTGCTTTCTGATGTAATCACGAACACCCTGCAGGAACGTCTCCTCGCCCAAATACTTTGAGATCATGCGAAGAACAGACGATCCCTTGGAGTACGAGATGGCGTCGAAGATTTGGTTAATCTCATCGGCACGCTTCACGGGCACTTCAATGGGGTGGCTGCTCCGAAGGGAATCGAGGGAGAGGGCACTTTGCAGGTTATCAATAACGTACGACTGCCAGACTTTCCACTCAGGGTAGAAGCTGTTGCAAGAGTACCATGACATCCAAGTGGCAAATCCTTCGTTAAGCCAGAGGCCATCCCAGAAGTCCATGGTTACCAGGTTTCCGAACCATTGATGGGCGAGTTCGTGCTGAACAGTTTCAGCAATGCGCTCCTTACGCGAGGCACCGCTGGTCTTCTCATCCAGAAGCACATCAACGATACGGTAAGTAATCAGACCCCAGTTCTCCATGGCTCCGGCGCTGAAATCAGGGACGGCAACCATGTCCATCTTTGGCAGCGGGAAATCGCTATCAAAGGCCTTCTCGTAGAATGCAAGTGTCCTGGCAGCCAGATCCAAGGAGAATCGGCCATGCTCGATGTCCTGATCCGGGGTGGCATATACGCGAATGGGGACACGGAAGTCCTTGGTCTCGATGTAATTGAGGTGGCCAACGATGAAGGCGACGAGGTAGGTGGACATGACCGGAGACGTGCTGAACTTGACAATCTTCTTTCCGCCATCAAGCTCCTTCTCTGATTCGACGTCCATGTTGCCTAGACATGTCATGCTCTTGTCTGCAATCAGGCTAACAGTGAATTTGGCCTTGAGCGCGGGCTCGTCGAAGCAAGGGAAAGCTCTCCGAGCGTCGGTAGGCTCCATCTGGGTTGTCGCGATGTATTTGGTCTCGCCGTTCGATGTCTTGTAGGACGAGCGGTAGAAGCCGGCCATGTTATCATTGAGTGTGCCAGTAAAGGTCAGCTTGAGCTGTGCGGAGGACCCAGCGGGGATTGTATCGGCGAATTTGATGGTCGCCTCTTGCTTGTCCTTGTTGAGGGAAATCTCCGGCGAGGAGCTGACCACTGAGCCCCGAGAAGAAACAGTAGCTGTGTGAATGTCGATTTCCGTAGAGTTGAGGGAGATTGAGGTGGTGTCTTCGACGACCTGTAGGCTGCGATAGACCATTAGCTAGACTGTTCGTTCCGAACATCGCACGACAGGTGCGAACATACTCGATAACAACTGTTCCGTCATATTTGAAGGTCTCGAAGTTTGGTTCAAGCGTCAAGTCGTAGTGTAGCGGCTTGACATTGGTAGGCAGGACCTCACGACCGGGTACATTGGTCGAGCCAGAGGCATCTGCGCGTCGAGAGCCGCACATCCTGCGATATGAACAATAGCGTTTTGAGGTTTGAGCAAGAGGGGAGCGTCGTGAGGAGAGTCTGTTGGAGGACGGTGGAGAGATGGAGGATGGAGGGGTAGAGACTGAGAGCAAGCGAGAGCTGAGGAGGGGAAGCTTTGGGGGTCGAGAAAGCGGTGGCCGTGCTGAGTTCAGCAGAAGCGGCACCCGCCGCGAGGAGAGTCGACGCATCAACTCCACCAGAATAATACGAATTCAGGGAAGGAACGAATGGCTGAGGCCGGAAGGAAGGAGCGACTGAGGGACGAAGTTTGGATCGCGGAGTAATTCGTCCCAATGGGCCAGAACAATCAACAATTGCAGGAGTTTAGGACAAAGAAGGAGCTGCAAATCTCGATCCCCGGAAATGGAAACGGCCGCGGTTGGTTCTTCACGGCAGGCGGTGTGCTTAGCTTGGGAGCCTTATCTCTCAGGCGTAAAGTTAGATCCGCCTGCTTTTGCTTCAATCCATCTTGGGATCTTCAATGACCTTGGGCAGTACCGTACCTTGATTCAGTTTCGACAGTGTCAGAGTCATGGGAAAAGCATCATCATTATTGCATGACTTTCATTTGCTGTCATTGTCCAGCATGCCGAATTACATCATACTCAAATGCCCAGATATATCTGACATAACAATCAACCTAGCTGACCGGCTGATCAGCCATGAAGCCAACAAAGCTCTTGTAAAACAGGTAGGTACTTTTGTCAACGTGCATATATTGTTCTAACAGTGTCAACCCAGATTCCCTGAAACAAAAACCACCAAAACAGCAGCATAGGCAGCAGTCGCGGCAAACACTTCCGCCCTTCGAGCATTCGTCATTAACGCAACACTTATAGCAAACAGTGCTGTAAAGCCTGCGATCATGGCTAGGCGAGATTTGGGCTCATGGACTATGTAGAGACTCACAATGGCCCCGACCAGCAGAGCAGCCGAGGTAATGACGCTGATGACTGCAACCACAATCATGACATGACGTTCTTGGAAATGCGATATAGTCCCTGTGTCGAATTTACGGCCCTAGTTCAATAGTCAGCGATGCGGCACTGAAATCAAGAAGTTGTGTCTACCGGAAATGGCCAATGGTCCTGTAAAGCTCTGGAGAGAACGTCTTCGTCTGCGGGCGTTCGGAGAGCGACCAGGTCTTGAGGATCATCGAGCATCGTAGCAGCGCGTCCATTCAAAATTGCGGCTTTACCCTGAGAGCCCCCAGAAAACCAATCCTGAAAGGCCGCAAAGACGCGAGGACGTGGATGGCGGAGGTTAGAGACACTCGATTGCAACATCAACGCTTCCTCTACGGCTTGTTACCCGTGTGCCAGAATAGTGCCTTGCGAGTCGGGATAAACTCACGATAGCTCTTTATCTTGCTCTCAAGCTCATCATAAAGCCGTTTCCTTCTTTGCGCAAGCTTGTTTGACCGGTCTTTCAGCTGATTCTCAAAAGTCTCCCACCGCCGAAGTCCAACGTCCTGAGTTTGGAGGGACTCCCTGTCAAGGTCTTCGAGCTCTTTCTCGATGCTGATGAGTTGACTCTGGAGGTTTAGAAGGTTCCGCGCCGAGAGGCGGCTGAAACGACGGAAAATGAAGCCTTCATCGTCGATGTCACTAGAAATCCAAGATGAAAGAGCGGGATATCCGTCGCGTATCCGACCCTCTTCAATATCTTTCTTTGATTGGAGTCGCATTCATCAGAACATCAATGGACTATCTTAAGGGATCTTTGAAGACGACTTTCGTCGGCGTTAGATGCTTTCTTACCTGAAATGGCCTGACCGTTGACGTGTCCCCAAGCCACATACGCCCTGGCTCTGCATTGCCTCCTCTGTATCACAATGTCCTCATCGTCAATTGGTTGCTGACTGTCAAGTCTGCCTCTTCCATATCCAACCATTGGGCACCAAATTAGGCTCTCGGTTCCACGACAAGACCACCATTTTAAAGACCCAGTCATATCCATGATAACAAGAGGGGCTTACCTGGGGTTGTCGACTGAAACATGAGGGTTCCGGATCCTCGGAGTGAGCACTCAGCATAGCCGGGCTTTTCGAATTCAGCCTCGACTCACCTGACTTTCTGTCCCATAGAAAGGAGTCCATATTTCCTACTGAAGTTGAAATCTCCCGTCTAACCCCATCCTTCCGTGGACTTCGGCTGTGACTATCAGTTGATTTTCCCCTCGATTCGAAAAATGGACTTCCCCAACACGGAGGAAAAGCCGCAACATCCCACACTTCCGTTCGAAATTGATGACCATTTTGGCGGCCCTGGTTTTACAGCTCTAATGAACCTGCAATCTTTGAGCCTTTTGGGGCGCCTTGGCCATCATACATCGGAGTGCTCGAGGGCGCTGTCATAGAGCCACACGTCATCATAAAGCAAGTACCCGAGCGCACAAACATAGTTTCGAAAACTGAGTGGATTGTACCCGGAACCCTCGATGGGGCCGCTGTTGATGCCTACCCCGACACTGGGTCGTGTGTGAATGCGATACCACTTGAATTTGCTCGAAAGCAAGGCTGGCTCATTCGCAGTCGCCCTAACCTATCGAAGGTGAAATTGCCAGCGAACAGATCAGTCCGTCCTCTAGGAGTCGTCACTCTGCCATGGAAGTTCTCTGGTGAAACCACGGTATACAATGTGGAGTTTCTCGTCTTGCGGAAGTGCATTTATCGAGTTATATTGGGTCAAGAGTTTCTTATATCATCGAAGTCTCTGGATATCCTGCATTATCGCCGCCGATTCAAGAAGAAAAGGGTCTACTCTGAAAGAAGAAAGCGTCTGTGCTTCCTGGGGTCTTCTTTGACAAAGCGCGGGGCGCTTTCAATGGTCATACAGCATGGGTTCTCGCCGATACAGGGTCGGATGTGATGGTTGTCTCGCGGCAGTATGCGGTGTCACATAACTTTGATATCGAAGCAGGAGATGATTTCAGAGAAGAGCTTGAATTTGCAGACGGCTACGTGCGACGCGCGGATGGTATGGTCCTAAACGCTGAGTGGAGCTTTGGAAAGGGCAGTCGCAAATACCGAGACAACTTTTTCGTCCTGGACGGCATAGATGCGGATATCATTCTTAGCAACAGCTTTCTTTTTCGTAACCGGATACTCTCGACCCCTGGACTATTTGGATCATCGGTTCACGGTGGTCTAACAGCGCCTTTTGACTCCCCACGCCTCAATCTTATCAAATATCTAAATAATCGATTGCCTCAATCATCAGACTCGTCACACTCAGGTATGCAATCTATCTTATTCTGATTTAGAGAACCTACATTGACCCTCTTTTACCAGATGATGATGATGATGCCTTGGCCTGGGCAGACGATGATGAGCTGGAGCATGTCAGGCGAGCAAATGCGGAAGATATTATTCATAAACTCGCTGAAGACGCGCGCAATGCTGCATGGGCAGAGGAGTACAGGAAGAGAGCAGAATGGGAGCAGCGGAAAGCGTCATTGATGGCTTCAGTACAGACGTCGATTCCTCAAAATCCAACCCAAAACCCACAGCCCTCAACAAAAGCACGACGAAGATTCCGATTGATATTTTGGGGCAAGGGCCGACAAAAGCCTTAACTTGGCTGGTTGATTTCGTGATCCAGCGACGCAGTTATGGCTCTCATTTATCTTCAAAAGTGTCTTGATTACCAGCATAGCGATGATTCTACATTGTATATAGATTTGCGCTTTGGCGTTCGGATCTCTTGATGCATTCAGCGCTGGCTTTCAACGATATGCCCCATAATTTAAGGCCACGCGAGAACCCTTTATGCTCCTTATACCCTCTGTCTTTTCAAAGTAGTCCACTAAGCGCATTTGCGGCGGAGACGGTACCTAACCTTACGTAGGACACCCCATTTTCTGTTGGTGCCTCAGGCATAAAAGAGCCGCTCAACGCTCACTATCCCCAAAACCACCTAGCCCCTTGAAAAGAATCACGTGCCCACTCAAATAACACATCCACCAAAAAATCCTCAGCGCGTGTTTCTGTAAAAAATCATACATATATCATTCAATCACGCAGCGTTCTTGTACAACAGATGCAACTGAACCATTTCTAATGGTTCTATTGAAGGCATCTGATTGTCAGGGCTTCCTCTTTTGAGGATAGTTTGCTCGCCAGAATGAGGACCAGGCAGTTTGAGGAGCTCATGACTTTGGTTTCTCTTTTGAGACTGAGTTGCTGGGTGGGCATTCCATAGATGGCTGGGACATTCTTTTTTTACTCTTCCTTTTTTTTTCTCTGTTTTAATGTGATGGGTTGGACTTACAATTCAGAGTATGGTTGCTCTCTATTCAGGTGCTGCTGCACGTATCCTATAGCTCTACTCAGTTCGTAGCGCTGCAATCTGTGCTGGACAACAGCTGTCTGGCTGCTGTTGATCAAACAATACTCTCTCAGTCTGTGTTCCTCCTACTTTTGTGCCTTCCAACGAAAAGACAAAACTACACGAGCAGATGAAGCTCTTGGAAGGTGCCCCCGGCCCTCCAGGCTATGATCAACTGCTACTAATATCTACTACTGGTATCTCTGATCTGAGATTCTGATAGGATGTTTGGAAAATGCATCAATTCGTGCATGGGGTATGATTAACTATTACTCAAATCGCTCCGTAAAAGCAAGCAGAGATATCGGTGCTGGGTCTACCTGAAGAAATCGTAGACGAAGCAAAGTGCAAGGAGGATAGCGCAGGGGTATCTAGAAATGCGCCCTCGCTTCTTTCACACTTGCAACCGGCAACTTGGTAAAAACACTCCGCGACCATCCATCCGCATCAACAACCGTCTCCTTGACAAGCACGTATCCACCGATTCGAGGCAAAGCAACCGCCCAAACGAGGTAGTAGATCGCACCGGCGGCAAAGATACCTAGGGCGACGACACAGTGCAGGTAATACGGGAGGTCCTCGTAGACGTTCTGGCCCTCGGATGGGGGGATGTACGGAGCGATGACGAGGTAGATGTTTGTGAGGCAGAAGAAGATGGTAACAGGGAGGGTTGCGCGGATACCCGGATTCCAGTTGGGGAAGTTCTTCTCGCGGGTGAGGTAGATGTAGATGAGACCGGCGGAAACGAAGACGTTGACGATCGAGAGGGGGTATGAGATAAGGTTCAAGAGGAAGTTGTAGGCGTCCCCCGGGGGCGGGGCGAGCATAATGATGATGGAGACGACCCAGTGCTCGAAAAGGCCGGCGGCGGGGGACTTGAATGGCTTGTTGGAGGCCCAGATCTTGGAAAAGGGAAGGATACCTTCACGGCCAAGTTCTTGGATGACTGCGCATGGTGTTAGTATTGATCGTGAGCCAAAGTATGTTAGGGAGAAACGTACTTCGACCTTGAGAGAAAATCACAGAGAGGACGTTTCCGAAGGCTGAGAGAGCGACGAAAACAGACATGGCCTTCTCCGCGGTGGAGCCGAACATGTTGCCAAAGAATGCGGCGGCAACAATCTGGCCCGAAGCGAGAAACTGGTCCTTCGGGACGGCGGCGAAGTAAGCGATGTTTACGAACATGTAGAGAATACCGACAGATCCAATGGCAATTGGGGCAGCGATCTTCAAGGTGCGGACAGGGTTCTTGGTCTCGCTCAGAGCCTATGGTTTGTTAGCGGGCGATAAGGCGCTAAGACCGAGGTTAGGGCACTCACATAGTTGGCGTTGGAGTAGCCGATAAACGACCAAATGACATTGTACAACGACATGACGATACCGTATCCAGAACCCGTGGTTCCCTCGAACGCATTGGTAAAGTTGCGAGGCTTCTCAGGAAGCTTGGTATGGCCAGCTAGCGCAACCCAGCCGGTAACGATGATGATGAGGATAACGATGAGCTTGATGACACCGAGGAAGTTCTGCAGACGAAGACCCCACTTCAAGGCAAAGGCGTGGATGAGAAAGGCAGTGGTGATACAGGCAAGACCGATTCCACGCTGGTTCCATCGGTCGACCTCGACCTCGGCGGCGTTGAGGATGTATTGGCCAAAGACGACACTGTTACTGGCAGCCCAACCGAGCAGGACGGCGTAGGCGGCATACATGGCCGTGGCCAGGAACTTGGGCTTCTTGTAGACGTATTCGAGGTAGTTCTTCTCACCACCGTTCCTGCGTTGGTTAATACAATGACGATCAAGTGAGTCTGATAGCCTATTGAGAGCTAAACGTACCTGGGAATCGCAGTACCCCATTCCAGATAGACAGCAGTACCAGCGATGGCGATAAGTGTGCCGGCCACCCACATGAACAGCGCCAGACCAACACTGCCACTGAGTCCCAGGATGGTACTCGGCGTCGCAAAAATACCAGTTCCAATGACACGGTTGAAGATCAGGAACGCGGCACTAACAACACCGATTTGGCGACGGTCATCAGGAGTAGTTTCGAAGATGTTTCCTTCGTCTGTTGCAATCAGTCAGCCCAGGCATCAGCAGACAGAGATGGCGACAAACATACAAAGTTGAGTAACACCGTCAGCGCGGCGGGGACCTTCCTCGACAGCCTTCGTGTCAGGCGCGACAACATCTTTCTGGGGGCCGGAGCCCGAAGTAATCTCCATAACGAAAGTGACTGGGCTTATGCGCAGGTGCACGAAGAGTACCAAACGAATGTAAGGCTGATCGCAACTCAGGCGTCGGGGATGTTGATATATGAGGCGGTGGTGATGATGTGCTGGAGACGAGTTTGTCGCAATCAAATCACGCTCACGCTAGGAAGCTCAGGGTCGTATGCCACGAGGGTAGTGGTCTCGGCAAGGCCGGTCGAGTCGGATGTCAAGAAGCTGGGCGTCAGGCAAGAGTGGTGAGCAGGATGAATCAAGAGAGAGTGTATAGCACGGCCGACCCAGTCGAGACGCCGAGATGCCGTGGGAAACCGAGCTGACAGCACGCGATCGTGGGCAGGACAGCTCGATCAGCGAAGCAGAGGCAGGGGCGCGGGAGCTAGAAAAAGTCGAGAAGACCATGTTTAAGACTTGAATGTTTGAATGGACGGTGATGGCGAATGTCGCCGGAGATGGCGACCGAGAAGGGAAAAAAATCTCAGGGCGACCCAGTCTTTTCCGCTGCTCCACCAGCGCCGCTCCAGCCCTCAATCGTTGGAACTGCTGCCAATGACACACCAAAACCGATCACGCAATTTAGCCTACTCTGCAGCAATTGCTTGGATGTAACCATCATCATCGTATTCAAGGTTCTGAGTTCTCGCGCTGGAGTATGTACAGTACACGTTAATAATAATAGCAAATCCCAGACTCCCAGCCCTATCAACATAGCTCCAGATCCCCCCTGCAAAATGGTGGCAATTTGTCTTTCAACAACTCAAAACGCCAAAAAAAAGAGTCAAGCTGCAAACCTTGTAGCAAAAACATTATAATCGCAGTGACTCATGCGAAGAACCTGTCGTCCAAAGTAAATAAAAAGCCTTGTATAATAAACTCCGCGTTAAATATAGGCAGCAGAAGCGCAGACTAGCTGCATGGCACGGTGCAATCTTGGCATGGTCCAGCATGCACCGGATTGTTTATGGTTCCTTGTTTATTGGGGAGGAGTCGCCCCTGTTGCATATGCCAAATTCGAAGGAATCATCCTTCCGCTCGAGGGAGGAGTCTGCCGCTTGGCTAGAATGGCCAGCTTCTTGCGCAAGGCCGCGAGGCGACCGCGTATGCTGGCTGCCACTGGAAGCATGTTAGTCTGACAGTCCATTCGTAGAAAAAGTAAAAACGGTGTGGCGAAAACTTACGCTTAACGACGGCCTCCCGGTCTTCGGCCCGCATACCATCAAGCGCGACCTTGTCACCTCCCTCGGTGCCGCTTCCCTGACCCGAATGTGCAATTTCCTCTACTTCCAAGACTGCCTCGAGCATCCGCACGGCGGTGACATAGGCAATCTCGCATCCGGACAGGTCTTCACTTGTGAGTTCGTTGATGGCGGCTGACCGGCTCATCTCTACAGCACGGTCATACATCAACTTCTCGGCCGTCACGCCGGGACTGACCACCACATCCACAGATGTACCTGATCCAGCGGATTCGATGGACTGGTTGCTGGGATGGCTCGGGTGGTCTGGCGGTAATCGTCTTTGCGCTTCGATCAACTTAAGGCGGACAAACTCCGCCTTCTCCAGCACCTCGTTGAACCGGCTACGAACCCACTGCACAACCTTGTTGATCCGGTTTCCCAAAAGCATGCTATTAGGGTCGCCTCGACTGATCCCAGACTCAGTCAAAGCATCACCACGATTCTTGCGGTTCCACCAGGCACCTGCGATATCCATAGACTTCGCCAGAAGTGACAGAGCTTTGACATAAAGTACCAAGGCCTCTTCAGAAAGAGTCACAACGGCATCGGGCGTCAGTTCGCCATCCTCGGTGTCGGCACCCATGGGTCGAGGCGTCCCGTCTGCCTGAACCGAGGGAGCTAGAGGTACAAGCTGCTTGTATTTCACTTCGGCAAACCCGTACACTACATCGCTGCGGGTGGCGCACTCTTCAAGCTCTTTGACAATCCTTGTATCCTCGTCATAGCTAGCCTGAGGCTTCGAACCGTCGCCAAGGGTAAGTAAGCCGGCAGGAGCCGTGGGGTAGGCTGGGAAAGGGTTATACCCCAGAGGGGGCGAACGTCCACCTTTGGTAAGATTGAGTGGCGGAGAGAAGCCCATTCCAAGTAAACGCCCGCTCGCCATATGCAGTGCCTTTGAAATTGCAGATGTTGCAGACGTAGGGCTTCGACCATATCGTCGCTCATAGGAGCCTTGGCGGTTGTGTGCGGAATCCGCTCGGGATCGGCCTGTGATTACCTGCATCGCTTTTCCGGGCGAACTCTGTGGTGAAGCTTGCGATGCCGGGATAGCCTGCGTTGTTTGTCGTCGGGAAATGGTCCCCAAATGCTTAGGTGTTCCTTGTATTCTAGGGTCGTGCGCCAACTCATCGGCAAAAGCATTCACCTCGACCGCTCGCTTCTCCACGACAACATAATCTCGTTCAAACGCAACTTCTTGCGCGGCGCGTTCGCGTTCCTCGCTTCCTACGGTTTTGTCTGCCGGTGGGGTGGCTGAGTAGGTGTGTCGATTTCTTTGCCGTTCAAGGGCAGTCGGCGCCGGGTTGCGATCCACCAGCTCCTGACGTCCCGGGGCTGTTGCATGTGAAACCACTTCCGGTCTTTGCGGGATTACGGCCGCTGGTATGGGCCTCGCGGCCGAGGAAGGTCTATCACCGCTTCGGGTTCTGCGCATGGCTTCGGAGGCCAGAGGAGTCTGTGGCCTCTCATTGTGAGGTACGTATCGATGAGGTGGTGGATAACCGCCTTGGTCAGCCTGTACGAGTCCCAAGTCTTGCTCTCCTTTACTCCTCCGAGGGGAATCGAGTGATCCTCGAGGACGCCTTGATGTAGGGTCGCCAGTAACCGGTTCTGGTGATGAGCGACGGGCCGGTGCGGGAGCATCTTCACCTATTAACCCGGGAATGGGGCCTGTGATGACGACATTGTCGAAGAAATCGGCAAAGGTCATCCGCTCAATCGGGCTTCGCTTCAGCAGGCGCAGGATGAGACCCTTGACCTCGTCTGACATGATTAGGTCCGATGGGAAACTGATCCTGTCATTCGCCGTTTCGATCCGCTGTAGTAACTCGACGTGGTTTGAAGCCCTGAAGGGCGGCTTCCCGACAACCATCTCGTAGAGTACCGTGCCGACAGACCAAAGGTCAGCTTTGGCATCATACTTCTCATACCGTAGGATTTCAGGCGCCATATATAAAGGAGACCCGCATAACGTTTCTGCAAGTGAAGTAGATGGAAGTGATCGAGCGAAGCCGAAATCTGCGATTTTGAGCAACGGCAAAGACTCTAGCCCTGTAGCAGGTGTGAAAGAGTCGTCGCTACCCTTGAACGTCGGCACCTGCGTCTTTTCGTTCCGGGGTGATGATGGGGCAGGGCAGAGTAGGAGATTCTGAGGCTTGATGTCCCGGTGTATGAGATTCCGATCTCGCAGGAACTTGAGAGCGCTAGCCAGCTGCTTGAGGAAATGTCGAACTAGCACTTCATTCAACGCTCCGCCATCGACATTCGGGTACTTGGCTATCATGTTCCGAGTGTACTCGTGTTGTGAGAGTGTATTCCTTCGCTTGATGAATTGTGATAGATCTCCCAAAGCACAATACTCCATGACAAGGTGGATATGGGTGCTGGTTTCATAACAGTCGATGAGTGCCACGATGTGTGGATGGAATAGTCCCTTGAGTATGTCAATTTCCAGCGATAAGTTATCCTTGAGCTTCTTGTTGAGCTTGTTCAAGTTCACCGACTTGACAGCCACGAAAGTCCGCGTTTTCTAGGACGAAAGTAGCCATTAGTACAACAAGAACATAGTTTATAATGGCTAGAGCAGCCTAAATGCAAATATATTATGGACTGGGCGGAGGATATGGGGTTCGTAACGCACTGTGTGGATGCCTCGGTATACAGTAGCAAAGCTACCTTTTCCGATTTGATCCAGCCTTGTGTACCTCCCAATAGGCATTTCCTTTTCCCCTGAGCTCCTTGTACGTTGTGAAGATGCCATAGCTACGGCAGGGCAGAGATACCCTCAGGATGGGTTGTCGATAAAGACCAACCAGCACCCTGTCAACCACACAGCTACCTCGACGACGAAAACGGAAAGGACGAAGGAAAGAGGCCCATCAGAGTAGGAAAGAAGGCAAGTCGGATTTGTGAGAGTTGTAGAAAACGAAGTTAAAGGCTATAGGCAACGACGGTTTGGAAAGTACAGAGGAGGAGGAAACGGTGTTTTGAGGGCTAGGCTCCGGATAGGCGAGAAGGAGCTAGAAGTCGTCTAGGTAATTCGCGGTTGCAGCAGGTCTCGAGTCGTAAGTGTCGGAGAGCGGTGAGGCGGCAACCTACAGGATGGGAATAGCAAGAGCTCCAGGGTCGAGGATCCAAAGGATGGAAGTTGACCGACGCCGGAAGCCTATCAGGAAGAATAGCTGGGGAACGAAGGCGGAGCTGATAAGAGGGGAGATCGAAGGGTAAGGAGGAGGATAAGGGGCAAAGTGAAAGGCGAGAAGCTGCAGGGAAGGGTAAAAAGTACGGAGACCCAAGGACAGGATGCAGAGACGAGGATGTGAGGTCGAAGGGCGCAAAGCAAACGAGAATGGCGATGCCGCTGGGGGGAGGAGCGTGACCTGCCGATAACAAGCCAGAAGCAGCGGCGATGATCGTGGACCAGAAAGGCGGTCAGCAGGGCGGCGTTAGGCTGAGGAACGTGGAGGTTAGTCACGACCAGCGATGGCTAGCTGAAGGCAGCCAAAGGGGGAAGATGTTATATGTAAGTAAGAAGAAGGGAGGGACAACTGAGAGGTTTCCTGGTGAAACGGATGATAAATGGATGATAAGAACTGGAAACTGGCGGATCAAACGCTTGGATGTGCCAGTTGCCTTGAGGCCTGAGGCCGCAATCCCGTCACGTTATCGATTAGATAGCAGTCGTCAGAGCTGGTCAGACTCCACAATTTAGGGTGATCCGACCAGGCATATCTGATCTCCGGATGGGTTCCCTCTCGCAATTCTCCTCGAATGTGACTCAATACTGCCTAATCGACACACAGATGCTCACCACTTCCAACTTGCATCCCCCAAAGGCCTTTCTGCAGTCAATATCCAGGGCAGCGCACTCCATCCAATCCTGGAGCAGCTGGACCCCTCAAATGACTCAACCGTGAGCTGGTGCCACTTCACACCTCCTTAACCACCGGCAGAATCTAATGCACACTGCCTCCACTCGTCTTGTCAGTGGTTCAATACTTTAACTGATAAGCTAGTGGGCTTGATGGGGACAATGCGCCGGTCCAGGACTGGGGATCGCAGGTTAGGATCATTGCTTTGGCCGCCTCCACCCCAACCACTACCGTTGTACCCCTGCGATCGACAATCGGCCAGGAGCATACGTTTCTCGCTGAAAGACAAAAGCAAAGGCCACGCCCTCGCATTCAAATGCGTAGAATAGCAATAGTCTTACTTCTGACCTGAATATATTAAAAATAGCCATTAGCGACCCATGTCACCTGAGGCTTGCATGCCGGTTGATGACAAAGAACGGGGCACCCGTTCCCATGATTGATGTATTTTGTACTTCGTAATCCTTGTCACGCACTACTCCATACTATATCCTAGCAGCAACGCTAATACTAGTGTGTAGTAAGGAGTTCTTAGAATTGCCAAGTGTCTTGGGAGAAATCATTGCTGAAGATAATTTATATATATGTCTCTTTAAGCTCGTGTTGTACAGCATAAATATGTCTAGTCATCATCTGGTCAGAGTCCCAACCCCCGCACAAGGAGCCACAGCACCACTGGGACAACCACATTATCATTGCATCCTGTCAGAACTGCTTCGGTTGCGCTGGCTCCGCCAGCCGCTAGAATGGCCTTTGTTGTCGCTATGAGCCAGGAGAATTGTTTTGGTCCGGCCAATCCACTTTGTGTCCATTGCCCAAGAGCCAGCCAAGCTTGAGCGAACAAAGACCCGACAGTCACCGCGACAGCAAAGGCTATGCTTCCCTCAATAGATTTACCGCCGCCCCAAAACCATTTCCGCCGACCGAATCGGCGCCCGATGAGAGATGCCGCTGCGTCTCCCAATCCAACGCAGATAATCCCGCTCACCATACTGACATCTCGACTCTGAACGTCCCATGCCTTCCAAGGGAGGTCTCCAGTTCGAGGGGCATCGGCCAGTGCGAGCCAGAGAGGGATAGAACTCCCAACAAGGAGGAATATATGGGAAACAATGACTGGGCCTCGGTAATCGCGGCCATCAACGTACGGCTCCAGGAAATATGTCAGGGGTCGAGCAATGGGCGGAAGTTGCGAAGCACGGAACAAATCCAGGAGCAGGAAGATCGCCAAAACCAATCCCATGGCAAGGGCACAAAAGCCAGGATCAATGTATATCGTCGGCAGGAACATCATCACCATCGTGCCGTGAAAGACCTTGCGTCTTGTGTCCACCTCTACAAACGTGCCCAGCCGAACGACAATTGCAACACCGGTTACAAGGACAACCAGGCAGTATGCAATGAGGAAAAGGCGCGTGTTGGCCTCCCCAAAGACACCTTGACGGAGATGCTCTGCTCGGCCGAGGTGGCAAAATGCGTCAGTCAAGCTGCTATCCAAGCGAGGTGGAATTGGTATCCAGTGCTCCAGGCTCGAAGTAATGACCCAGAACCTGAACCAGGAGATGTTTCCTAACAAGTATCCCAGCGCCCAGCCGAAGGGCTCTTCGCCTTGCAAAGCACGTTCACCGACATATTTCCGTACAGGGCCCATGATAACCGCGAGAACGGCCAGATAAGTGTAGAGCGCATACAGCCATTTGCGCACCTGTACTTGAGGGACAGTCATGGACAGAAATGTTGCCAGGTCCGGTGCCATGGACCGTTTTCGTCGTCCTCTAGGAGTTGTCCTGACCTTATCTAACCGTTCGGCCTCATCGAAGTTCGTGGATGCCTGTCGTCGTATGGGGCCCTCTTCGCCGGCATTATCAGCCGGAGACTCTGGTGGTGACTTTTCCCGGGACCCATGCCGGGCGCGACGCGAGGTAGATGTCAAATGACCGTCTGGGGAATCGCTGTCCGAGGTAGGATCGTCAGAAGAGCCGGCTTGACTCAGTTTCTGGCAGATCCTATGGTCCAAGTAATTCAGCATGCTCTTCGGCGAATTGGAACCACCAGGTGATCGTCGAAACTTCCAAGTGGGGATCCTGGCGAGAGCGACCTCCCAGTGAAGGACTTGGCGGCAGGAGATAAAAATACAGAGGCTGCCTAGCCACAGCAGCGCTTTGAGAATTTCCGCCTGGGGAGCGGATGCGAATAAAAACAGATTAATAAGGGCAGTCGTCAGAAGCTGTAACTCCGCTGGAAGGATACTGGTAGACAGAAGGAAATCTAGGGTGGGTATCAATGCTTGGTGCAAAGGGAAAACAAGAGACAAAATTTCCGGATCAAGGCCGCGCAGAGAAAGAGGTTTTGGGCGAATTCCACCCCACGATAATTGTTCCGAGACGATGACAGGTATCATAGTGACGACCCAGTGCATCACGCTTTGTCCGTGGACCGACTCGTGCATGGGAATGACCTGTGGGGGTATTGAGGCAAGGGCAAGGATTATGTTCGGCAATATTAATGGTGGCTGATGATTCGGTAATGAAAGAGCAACGTAAACGGGAATGAGTACTGGGTATAGAAGCGGAGCAGGGTCGAAGGTAGTCGGAATGGCAAAGGATGAAAATCTAGAAAGTCGTAGGCGGCCGTTGCGGTTCAATGGGTATAATGCGTAAAGACCGAGAACAGTAAGGAAATAGGCGATGAGTTCTAGTCAAGGCGTAGGTAAGTCACTGCAACATAAAAGAGCAAGGAAGCCCGCATACCTTTTTTCCACACCCACGCGAGTGATCTCACACTCTGCTGCCCCAAGACAACGCCACCAACCGAGAGTAACAGCCCAGTCTCAAAAGCTCTTCGTATAATCTCAATGCGTCTTTTTGACTTGATCTGATTCTGCAGCTCCCAAAAGTCTATTTCGTTGTCACCGATGGAGCTCCGGCGCGAGCTCCGCGAGGTTGAGCGGGCCAGCGACGGCCACCGTTGGAGCCCAGGAAGCCAAAGGTCATGGTCAGCGACGCCATTCCAACTCGGACGTGCTCCTTTTCGTGAACGAAGCGGGGGCGCAGGAAGACCCTTTAATAAGCTTGTGCTTTCATCGTCCGCCTCAGTTCCGCTGTCACTGGATGTTCGTGTGCGTTGCTGGATAGAGCCGTTGCGACGATATGGATGGGGTGAGCGGGAAACTGATCGGAGAGTGTCCGTGGCAGGGACATCAGGGTCGGGGAGTAATGGAGGCAACCCCTCGTCCTCCTGGCTTGTCAAAGAGGCCATGGGCCCATGGATTATGTTGAACAGGCTCGAGTCTATAGCGCGGAGAGCATCGTGATCGAGGGTGCGAAGTTGAGTCGTGTGAGGTGCAGAGTGCCACTAACTGAACCCCGGACGGTCAGTAACTGGAACAGCGGGGCTAGAACGAAACGGCGGGAAACGGATTTGCATACCTGACAGGACGAAGCGACATGAGCAGATCAGTGGAGAGAGGGAAAGAGGAAAGAGGAGGCGTCGAAGGATGAAGAAAGATGTAGGGAAGCTGGGAAGTTTTGGCTGTGCTGCGTTCCGCTCAGCTGTTATCGACGGGCGGAAGGCGGGCTCTTTTTCCTGGCCCATCACATGCGTCACAGCTTCATCGTCCTGTCAGGCAAATTGAATTCGCTTCATATTACTTCTATCTCATCTACGCAGGAGGATTTCGCCATCTTCTTCTGGCTGTCGTCTCTGTTTTCCTGGTTTTCTCGCGTCCCATTCCATCCCCTCGCCTCCGCGCCTCAACGCTTTCCCAACATCGGCCTTAGCTTCCACCCGATCCAGAGGACAAAGCTCTCTGGGGCTGCGCCAGTCCAATCGGCTAGGCGACACGTACGACGGCTCGAGGAGGTCGAGAACAGTGGAAATCCTAACAGTCGCTCGCGACGATGACTGGTGACATTTCTGCCGGGCACGTTTAGCCCACGCTTATCGGCCAATCAATGATTCTGCCTAGGACGATGGACCATCAGCCATCAGCATGGGAATACGCACGTTCGGAGGTTTTCGAGAATCTCGCGCCATCAACGGCGTCCTATTCTCGCCTTTAAGTTTCACTGCCAAGCGGCTAGGCGATGGTTAGCACGCCTGTCTCTGTACAATCGCCCCTGCCGCCAGTTTCCTCCCCTCTGCGCCCCAAACCGACTTGCAGGGAACCACTTGGCCTGGGAAACCGTCTTGGGGGAGGGGCTGACTGCTGTAGATAACGCAGTGGCAACTGTTCGATGATACAGTGCATGCCTCCAACACGCGCTGTATCCGCGATTTGAGATCAGACGAGCTGGCTCCTCCATCGACCTCAATGAAGGAATACACCTGGTTTTCGTTCGTGGTGACATTCGTCGTCCGCCCGTACTCGGCTTCCGTCCGAGATACTTTCACTCCTTCGCAGCGATAGCCTAAACCTTGCCATTCAATGTCGCTATTTCTGGGAAGTTCATGGACCTGGACTGCCAGAAATCCGGGGACTCGGCTATCGGAGCCATCCGCCACCAGGTCAAGGTCTGGAATCCGATGGCTCGCGACAGGTTTGGCCTGCTCATGTCCTCTGCGCCCATATTTGATATCCCAGATGTCTAGTGTTGCCTCGTCTTCTTGCTCTGCTTCTTCGGTCGAGTCATGCATCTTCTCCCAGAGCTTCCATGCGGCCCTCGCCCTGGCCTTAGTATGGTCACGTCCAGTGAAAAATGCTACGGCTCCTAGCCACCAATTGACATCCATAGCTGTGCCTATGCGCCACATATGCTGAAGCGACAGGACGGCACGTAGGCAATAAGTCTGGGCCCAAAGAGGTTGCCCGTTCTGTTGTGGACACTCCGCCAACTCCATCGAAGCAGGTTCGAGAGGAATCTGACCAGCAATGTATACCGCTCGTTCTGTCCCTTGTAGAGGTATGGACATGGCCTGCGAATACGGCCCGATATTGGCTGGCGCCCAGTACGATCGTGACTGGACATGGAGGCCATAGCGTCGAGCTCTTGGGCCTAGATCGACGACCATCGAGAGCATGACATTCACTCCTTTGGGGAGAATCTCACCACATGCCACTGTAGCTCTCGCAGGTGGGTTAGGCTTCTTGAATAAACCGACGTAGATACTGTTCATCAATGGAAAATCTCCCATAGATCGAAGCAGGACCGTGGTGAAAACAATATCAGCTGTCGTCCGTGGGCCAGCGCCATCCTGGCTGGAATTATCCAATATTGCGTGTATCTTCTTCGCGATTGCTGCCATCTGCTCACCAGCACCAGGACCAGCCTCAGGCGCTGTAATATTGGCCACAGTCCATATGCCACCGTTGACAGACTGAACGCAGTTCAAAGCCATCCACGCAGGCGTTTCTGTCTGTCCAACCTCATCTTCCTCTTCAATTCCATCCCACAATCCCTCCAACGCACTTTCAAAGCCTCGATCAAACAGCGCAGGCCTTCGTACAGTCTCCGGCGTAAACTCATCCCCCTGCTGCTGCTCCTTAGGCACGACCTTCGCCCCGCTCAGCCTCAAATACGCAACACCCCCTTCCCCTACCCTCACCTCCCTCCCACCCTCCGCAATCTCAATCCTCCCCTTCCACAAAAACCCCGGTCCATCCACCGCAAGCGTCTCATACTCTCCACCCTCCCCCAAAACCGCCCCGCGAATATCCTCCCCATCAGCCGCGAACCTCCGCATCCCCTTCACAAGCTTCCCACGTAACCGTGCTCCCTCCGCACCAGCACCCCCCGCAACATCCCCCCAGAGCACGCTCTCATCAAGCGCCCCCGAGGCAACTTTCACAATCCTCGCCGAGCATCCCACAGCACTCATATCCTCGAGTAGACCCGCCTCTGTCTCTGCTCCGCCAGGGATACCAGAAATCCTCTCCATCGGCCGTGGTAGAAACGGATACTGCCACAGCCACGCCAACGGGGTCAGCCCCAGTCTCCCCGCAACATCCTCAATCCGCGTGCGCTGGTACGTGGAGAGAATCGCGCCCGCGCAAACGGCGTTGGCTTCTGGGTGTGCAGCCATCACGCGGTGGAGAAGCGGGATGAGCGATTCGGTTTCGTCGGGAGAGTCTCGCCCTCCATCTCCTCCTCCCCCTCCTCCCTCTACCTTTTCTTCAGTAGCCGTCGTAGCATCCCCATAAACCCTCCCCGTATCAACTGCCCCACCAACAATCGCCTGCCGATACAGCGGGATTCCCAGGGCTTCTTCGTACAGCGGGATCACGCCCCAGCCGATCGTTTGGTACATGAAGCTGTCGATGTCGTCCGCGCCTTCTTGCACCCCACTTTCACCTGTCGATTTGCTTTCTTCAACATTGTCATTCTGTGTTGTGCTGCTGCTGGTGTTTGGCGGCGGCGGGGGATGCAGATTCGCTAGCGCGACAACCTTGTGTCCGTTGCGGATGCAATGGAGGATAGAGTAGAGCGAGTCCTTTCCGCCGGATATTAGGGCGATTACGTTTAGGCCATGGCTGGGTGGTGGCGGCATTTTTGATGATGGTTGATGAGGGTTGGTTTCGATGTTGCGACTGCGGGGAGGATTTTTTTGAAATGGGTCGCTTTTCCCCTCATACCCGCGAGGGGTACCAGATAAGATTGTCGAGGGATGAACCACATGAACCACTTGAACCACCAAATGACCTCACTTGGGGATAGAAACAAGATTCCAAACGAATGATTACTGTTACAAGTACTACTATCTGACTGGGAAAGTAAATGCTTCAGCAACACCTCAGATTACTAGCTATGCCGCAGGATCATACATGCTCAACGCGACAGCACAAGGCAATATTATGCACACGGGGAATGCAACCAAGTACAATGGTAAGAACGAAACAGTATGCAAGTAGGGGTATGATGTGTAAACGATGGGGAGAATGGGAAAATAAAAAAACTAAATGTACATGTGGCCAGCACAGGAGGTGTCAAAAAGTGACAAAAAGCAATATTACATCAAATAGTGACAGAGAAGGATGAACGAGAAGAAGAGAAGAAGAGAAGAGAAGATCACAGGAAAAGAGAATTGAAAACACAAGTACAAGAATGTTTCCAAGGTCAAGTCAAAGGAGAGGTAGGAAAGAGAAGATGATACAACCCCGTCATGCCTCAATGCTGAAAACCGGAAAGTCGTCTTCAGCAGCGCGCTCTAATGATTTTGTGTATCGCGAAATTTCCGAGTTGCGCCTTCTATAGTCCCGAATCACGGCGTTTCCCGAAACATCGCTTGTTGTTGCTCTCTTCTGACCTGGAGATGTGATGCGAACCGATATACCCTTTGAAAATGTTTGCAGCCAGACGCCGAACCAACCGAAGATCTAGTCACACTAGCCAGTGTACCAATCGAAGCGGAGGAAATGCAGGATGATATATTAATGTATAATGGAAAGATAAAAGAAAAACTCCTGGTCGCATAGCGTTCGTGACGGTCTCAAGCAAAGAACGATCACGCGTTGTTCTCGTCTCGCTTGCGCTTCTTGAGGGATCGTCGTTCGACAGATGGTGTTTCCATGTTGTCGTCGGACGACTCACTGGTAGTGGACTTGGTGGCAGCTGCGCTGGCAGCCTCGTAAAGAACGGCACCCATGGTGGCTGGGTCCCGCTCGTCGTACGGGGCGCCATTGCTGGTGTCGATTACACCCATAACGACCGAGGTACCCGCGTGGGTCCTGGCGTGCTGGGCAAGGTTGTCGCTGCGAGAGAACTTCTTACCACACTCGTTGCACTCGAAAGGCTTGTCCTGAGTGTGCAGAGAGCGGTAGTGACGCTTGAGGTGTTCCTGGCGGCGGAAGCGGCGGGAGCAGAGGGTGCAGACAAAGGTCTTGGAAGGGTCATCCGTCAGGGACTGCTTGCGACCACGGCGGTTGACTGACACGGGAGCTGAAGCAGACTCTGAGCCGGAGGCACTGACAACAGAGTTCTGGCGGGATTGACCATTCGCTTGCTCAGTTCGGGAAACCAACTCGTGGGAGTGGTTCTCGCAGGGAAGCTGAGCCTGGTGCTCAATAAAAGACTCCGACAGGCTCTCCGATGAGACGGTCTTCTTGACTGACTTGCGGGTGTTGTTCCGCTTGTTGGCTGCCTCCTCCGAAACCTCGGTACCAGGAAGAATCATGGTCGGGAGACCAGAAAGGGTGATCTCTGAATCCTCCGGCTCCTCGAAGCCGTGTTCACTCAGGAACTCGTCCTCGTCCAGCGAGTACGTTCCAACACGCTGCCTCTTCCCTCCTAGGTAGAATGTGCTTCCGCTGGGGTGGAAGTCAACCAGGCGATTAACAAACTCGTCTTCCGAGTCAAGATCCGAGAAGCTATCAAATGTCGGCAGTGTGCTGAGAGGATCCTCAGTGGAAGATGTGAAAGACGGAGCTGGGTTCTCATGCACAGGAAGGGTCACGGCCTCACTGCCAAGAACCACTTTCGGCTCCTCGTCCTCGCAAGAGAGAGAAGGCAAGGGGGGTAGCTCGGTCGGGTGGCTGTGCACAGATGCCTCAACAGTGAGTTCGCGGGGGTCGCAGAAAGACGCGCCTTGCTCAAGCTGGAGCGAAGACTGGGATTGTCCAAAGAGCGAAGAAACAGGTGATGGCGATGGTGAAAGGGATGGGCAAGAGCTGCCCGCCGACAAGAGATCTGAGCTCTGGCTAGCGGCAAGGGAAGGGGGGTGGATGAATACTAAAAGGGATATTAGCGTGCTGATCAACCCTAATTTCAGACTCGTCCTCTTTCATCCCATAGATCGACTTCTGGACGGCTTCAACGATGGTAACTTACCAGGAGTCATGGCTGGCGAAGCAGAGCGTTGCCAGTCAATGTTGGCCAGGATCTCAGCGTGAACATCGCCCTCGCACCCTTCCTTTACACCTTCCACCTTGTCGAATGTGAAAAAGCTCTCGTTGATCGGAGTATGAAGAGTGCCGGTGCTCGACGGCGGGCTGCTCACAGAGCTTCCCGAGGTCGAGAGAGGCGGCGTTGAAGGGAAAGCATAGTACTCGGCGTTGACGAACCGGGTGTCCAAGGGCATCAGAGCGGGTGAACCGTGAACTGCAAGAGCGGCCTTGAAGTTTGACGGCTGTGGGGAAGCAATGGGAGTCATGTTCATGGCACCCCGGAAGGCATTTGCCGTGGCCATCTGATGCATGTTGATAACGGGTGTAGAGTACATATCCGCCATCATGTGCTGCTGCTGTGGGAACGGAGAGACCTGGGCATAGTATGCCTGCATATCGGCAGGATGGCTGGCGTACGGTTGCGGTCTAGCTTGTGATTCGGCAGGGTAGTATGCAAATTGTGGCTGTCCTTGCACCGGGCTGGGTGCCATTGTGTATGTTGCGTCCATTGTTGCTAGATCTGAATCTGATCTGGTTAGCTTTCTTGAACACTATCTCCAGCAGTGCGGAGGCATGTACTCACATTAGGTGACGTGGTCGAAGGATTGGAAGGAGCAGAGCGATGTCTACTCACGACCGGGTATTATTATAAGGTGTTATGAGTATAGGTTGGAAGTAGTATTATCACAGAATAACAATCGGCCACGGTGAAGCTGCGGAGTGAATGATAGTGGGAGACCTCTCGGTGTCAGAATGAATGATGACTGGAGAGGTAGCTGGCTCAAGTAACAATTGAGCAGTCTGTATGCGGTTTGATATGTCGCTGTTCCGTGCTTGTTGTGTTCCTCTTGTCGCTAGAGATGTATCGCAATGTCTATGAAGGAAGGACAGGAGCCTGAGTCGACGCAAACCAAAGCTGATGACGAAGGTCTGGCAGCACACACACACAGGAACCGGGGGAGACTTGAGAGTCACAAGCAGAAGCGAGAAGAGGTAGAAGCAGGAAGTCAAGAGAGAAAAGGAAAAGAAACGAAAGACTAGAGGGGATCAAGAGAAGTCTAAAAAGGGAAGGGCAAATTGAAATAAGAATAAGAAGCAGAAGATTAAAGCAGAGCAAAAGATGGTCGCGGGGGTGGGAAATGAGAGACAGGGCCGATATGGGAAGAGGAGGACGGAAGGATGGTGGAGGAGGATGGACGGGCTGTGGATAAAAGAGTGTGATCTGCCTGTGGTACGAATTGGTCCTCTCTGGCGGACTGGAGCCGTACTTTTTAGCCTCGCGGTTGGTTTCTTGGGAAATTTATTAAATTAAATATATTATTTTATGATATTTATTCTCCAAAATTCAAAAATCATAATTAATGCCGCGGGCAAATAATCTGATGATTCGGCGAGCGATGGTGTCATGAAGCGTCCAGAGGCACTGTTCTTCAACTCAATCAGCATGCTTCTTTTGCCTGTCTTCGTGGTCATGCTACCTCATTGCGAGAACCATCGTCGTTGTCGAAATTTTGATTGATGGTCCCCCCGAACCTCACGGACTCGCTGGCAGACTCATTGGCCGTGCACAACTCGATTCACAAAATGGGAGCGGAGTCAGGTGGGACTAGGAGAGGCCATGTCAGTGCTGCTTCGCTGAGCAGAGAGATGTGCACAGAGCACACTCAGCGTACCCGAATGTTGTGCCATCGCAGCATCAGTCGTCTCCCCATTTTGAGGGTGCGAAGTGGTCGACACACCCGTCGGCAGCAGCAAATGGCAGCGCTGGAGGCGAGCAGGGTGTGGCCCACACCAGGCCGGCCGGGGAATCCCAAAAGGAGCGCGGTGGGGCGCACGAGCACGAGTGGGCTTGCAATCCCCATTTTCAATGGCGGCCTCAGAATCCATTGTTACGGACCCAAATCCTACGGTATGGACACAGTTCAGTGAATGCGGAGAACGATCTATCCCAATGAAGGCTGAAGCCTCCAAGACTCCAAGAGCGAACGAAGATAGCGCCAACAGCAGGAACACCGCTGAGCAGCAACGGCGACGCCAGCCAACAGGCACCCGCCCATCAACAGAACATCAGCGTGGCCAAATTGACTTTGCTGTGCCCTGCGTGCTGATTTGCTTTGGAGAGAATTCAGATGATGTCTCAGTCAATAATATCGAGCTTCAGTGCTGTCACGATGGCTGAGCAAGTTGCCACAACTTACTCGCTTTTCCGAGACCTGCTCGCCGGGAGCACCCAATGATTTACCCCCCTGCCCAAAATAGCATCGCAGATTCGCAATTTCATAAATTGTGCCTGCCCCTCTGCCAATCACGCTGTTCCCCTCCCCTCCCAGCCTCGATCCCAGCCAACGTCAACACCAACCATCTGCTCCCCTCCACGGACTTGCCCGCGCTTACTGACGAACATGCTCCGATCAATGACACCTCGCCAAACGGCGTCCTCTGTGATCGTTGGCCTGATCTCACAAAAGTCACATCGTCTGGTTCCGGTATCTGGCTTATCAGCGATGGGGACTACGCATTAGCGAATTACCGCCCGCCTCGAAATTGAAGTGGACCGTCAGCTTTTCTTCTTTCTGAGCGAGAGCGGGGAGTGCACACTGCTGGCTGTCCAATTGCCGTCTGGCCCCCGATAGGCCCAGCGCAACATTTCAGTCAGTTGTGACAGTCAACCGAAAAAGTTGGCTGCTGCTGTGCACTGGGACTCCATGCGAATTATTTTATCTGAAGGGGAAGGATTGACTCGCCGGCTGGACTAGTCGGCCCCACTGCAGTGCGTATCCCGTCCGTCCATTTGGGGGATTCGGAACCATGCCCAAATCGACAAAAGAAAGAAACCAAGACGAATTACGGTCTGCACTGGACCTATGGGAGCAGGCCTCATCCGTCGAATTGCGCTCGAGCCGTCCACTGCACTCTCAAGGACGATCAGCAAAACACAAGAGGGTCTCTGTGAATGTGAACAAGAGCTCCAGAGGCGGCAGGGTCGATCAGAATCAATTCCCCGTGCTGCGGCCCTGCCCAGCGATCATTGGTTGCACAGCAGAGGTTTGGCCAGTGCCACATTTCTGGGTCTGGAGGAGGGCAAAGGCTGAAGTATACACTGACGGAACAGCAATCTACCTGAGACCTATATCAACGGCTACTAAGACTAGAGGAATCGTGGCGAGGCAAGATTTAGATTTGAAACGGTTTCGACGGTCCACAAACTGTGGCATGGTGCTACTGTACTCCAGAACACATCACGATGCATTCGATCCTTGTCGCGATATCCAATATCTGCAGGATACTATGCATTTCCTGGGGGTTCGCCCTTCATATGACGCTCTTGTAACCGATTCCACGAAAAGCATTCTCGAATCTGATTGCCTGTGAGATGAGGGGCTGTACTCCAGACCTGATTGCTTGTCATATGCCAGGTACGCTGCGTCTGTAAGAACCTTGCATCCATTATTGCTGCGGGCCGGAGTAATAAGCCCGGTTTGACAAATAACCTCCCCATCATGAGACAGTAGTCATCGGTTGGCAACAGGCTTCATGGCAAGACAGTTTCATGACGAACCTCAAGAGGCGAACCTCATCCTAAATCACATACTTCCAAGGCCTGACTGCAGCGGTCGGACATGTTCAACTCCAGCCCGACCGATCAGTTTGTTCCTTGCGGCCTACTGCAGGAACAACTACGGAGAACGCAGCCTTGCAGCAAGCTAAGGCGACTCGTCGGAAACATCACATCCACACAGCCGCCAGAGTCTCGCCGATGTCATTCATTGAATCATCCATTGTCTTGATTGATCGGAGTTCGACACCGACAGGCATGGTGAGGTTACTCAAAAGGTGTACACTACTACTGTAGTTCCAGCCAGCATCTGAATCATCGCGGTCAAGATTTGAATTATTCTGATTTTATCAACTCCGCCGCCCGCTTCGTCTCCCAATAACGTGAGCCCGTAAAGTTTATCCAGCATTGCCTCTTTGTTTCGAGCTGCATCAAGAGAGCTCAACGTCAAAGACGTTGACTTGGCATCCGCCAATAACGCAAAGCTTACTCCGGACTCCGAGGCCTGGCCCTGCAAAGAAACCAACCGTTAGTCGACTAGTTTCTTCGATAGTTGACCGGTAGTTGGCCATCTTCCCGAATCTCAGACAAGCACGCTTCATTGCTCAATGAAAAGCAAAATAAAAAAGCAATGACTGCTCGAAAACCGTGCCTAACCTTATCATGGGCTTGACGATGGACTGATAATGCATGCAGTCTCCGAAAAGTGGATAATCGATCCATCATGGACTCGTACCCCAAAATTCGCCCTGCGCAAAAATCCTATATATGCAATGATCAGCAATCCAGCATAACTCTCTTCAATCCATTGTCATTCCTTCACAGCACAGACACTGATTTCAGATGGGGTGGATGAGAGAACACGAAGACGTCAAGACAACCTGACAGCTCAGTCCGACGCAAGGGGAATTAGGTTCGTCGCGAGCTGTCAGATCCAGGAATACAGAACTTATATCCATGGATAACCCGAGCATATAGGGCTCGATAATGCGTTGCCGAAAGCTACCAGGTTTTCGTTCCACCTGCACAAGAATGCCCAGTCTGTGACTAACCCAGACGGGAACCTTGACGCCTGGTTGTGGGACACAAACCGCATGGTTTGAAATTGACCAACGATGGTCTGATGGTGTGCTCTCTGTGCATGATGCATGATTGCCAGACGCTTCGAGAATCGAGACCGCTGTCCAGGCTCAATACCAGTCAGGTCTTGCCATCTCAAGCAGAATTCGGCTCTTGAAAATGAGGCATGGCCATTTTTTGTCAATTCTTCGGGTGCCTAATTCGGCCAAGTGTGCAAATCAGTGGCTACTGATTGGCTACTCTAAAGATAGAATTCTCCATTTCTGCTACTATTGGTTCCCTTTGGGACCACCGAACTTTTTGACGTGAGGGTTCGTGATGGAAGGACGGAAATGAGATGGATGGATTCAAAGTCCCGCTGGCGTCGCAGGGAGATTGGTACTTTTGAGCTAGATTGGCGACAAAGAGTCGGTCTGAAGTACTTTAATGGTCTCGAACTGGTGACCATTATCCACCTCTTTGATTAAATCCTCGGGAATCGAGCCATCTGGGAGCTAGACGGCTTCGAGAAGGAAACGGCGTAGCAAATATATTGCTGAGGAGCTCAAGGCTCCTCTTCTTTCAACGGCTTGCGTTCCTTGCACTACGGTAGGCGTTCCACGAGTCCACACGGCGTCATATGGGCTGTTCCGGGGTGCTATGAATCCATCAAGAATGGATCTTTGCTGCTCGGCAAGCTGGAGTTCCGGGCAAGTGAGCCCGACCTCACGAGTCGGCGACCAAGCAAGAATCGCATCAGTCCCGTGAGTCCTTGAGCTATCAAGATACTGCCGCCGAGCCATGTTGCCACGAAAAGCCGTTGTCGCACAGACGACAAATATGACGGATCGAATCCTTCGCAACGAAGGAACACCAGATTGATCCGAGAAATAGACAAGAGGCACGACCTTGCCCAACTCAAGCCAAGTGTGATAAGATACGAGGCGAAAGCCACAGCATCCAAGTATGAGCGTGATCAAGTCGTCGGCTCGATAGGTAAATCCCAATGACACACCATTGAGATGACAAGGCAACAGGGCCCTGCAGCACCTGGGCGGATGGCCGTACCTCTGGCCATCAGGTACCGTGATGATCGACGGCGTCACGCTCGCCTTGCATGATGATGCATGGGCGACCCCCAAAGCCGTCATTCTCTGATTTTCGAGTCCCAGCGGGTGACAGGTCGAATGCCCACTCGCTTCCTCCACCAAGAGGCAAATTGATAATACAAACTCACCTTCGTCTCGACTATGGAACCCCCAATCTCCCTCGCAATCCGCGTGTAGAGAATAAAATCACCTTGTGGCACGCTATTTGCTTTTGGGAGATCTCGCCACGAGGTGCGTCGCCGCACACTGATACGGCGGACGACCCCAAAGGAGAATGACAGCTGGGCGGGAAGGGCCTCCCTAGTGCGCGACTCCGCGTACTCCGTAAGTGGGCGCCGCCAGACCCGCCGCGGCCGCCACAAGGTCCCCCCTTCCATTCTGTTTTGAGAGAAGCACCTCGTGCGTCTTGACGAGACGTCCGGCGCGCCGCTTCCCGTGACGAATCAACAGTCGAAGGTCACACACGACACTTTTCGATGCGGCGTGCAAGAGTGGGAGGTTTGCTGCAGCGATGTTTCGTCAAGACCCAGCGGCATGGTGTTCGGATTCGCCGGGCGCCGTTTGGAATCCTTGCGGAATTTCGATCGAAGACTTAGCGAAGATAACGCCAAAAATGCCGAGCATCCAGCGTTGCGTTGTGTGATTAGACTATCTGATGGACTACCGGTAGTGGGATGGTGGAAGACAACGACGAATCACAGAGTCCAGGCACAGCCTTGGTAACTCGAGAGCCCGAAAACGAGGGAAAGCAACCCTGGATGCGTCCACCTTGGTGCTTGAGCCTTGGGAGCTTCCAAATCCCGAGCGACTCTGGAAAGTATCTGCGGCCGCGAGCCCCATCTTGCAATCAGCGATCACGCAACATCGCGGGAGTCTGCCAATTCTACTGAAGAAGGAAGGTCGAAATAGCAGCTTCAGCGATCTATGATCGTCTGATAGCGCTGCACATCCGACAACAGATTGAGTCTGGTCGACAGCGAAATGATATGCGAGCGTTGATCCGTCCAGTATCACCAAGCTATCAAGACTCGAACTCTATTATTCAGACCCAAAGTCGTGAAGACGGGAGAACACGCCAGGATGGCGATATGAGTTTCGGTGAGTAATTCTTTCTATTTTTGCGCTCCCACGCTGGAGGTTGCAAATAGAAACTGTCGGAGATGCCTTGACCAAGGCTGCTGCAAATTCACTTCCTCACAACTCAAGTCCGAGACGCAAGTCTCAAGATAACAATTTTATGAGGCCAAGACAATAATCCAGTGGTGGACCACAATGACTCGCGAGTCGACCCGTCAGACTGCGCGCAGCACAAGCGAGCGTTGCTTGAACAAATCTGAAACACACTAAGTCCGCCCGCGGTCTCCAATAAGAGCTCATCTCCGACGCATCCCCTTGCGTTCCCCCACCTCATCCATTCACATTGGCTCAAGTTAGCAATCGATGTGACCTTGCGAGACACTATTGATCAAGAGCAAAATAGGCTCGCCATAGTGGCATTCGAAGAATGTTCGCCTGCTCCAGGACCGTAGGACTGGAGCCAGAGTCCAGACTGGCGGGGAACTCCATCAGGACTCTCCTCCGTGTCGACTCAAACGAGGTCCTTTCAGACCTCTTCTCCCAAGAAGGCAAGTTCATGGCCTTTGCTTCATGTCAAATCATCAATGCATACGTGGGGGGTTCAGTGGCGATGACTTCATTTTGCCTTTTGGTGCAGCATCACATTCACATTCGCTTCGCTGCCTGCAGTGGTCTGTGACAATGATTCAGATTTTCGGCAACTAATGGACTCCGAGTCCTGAGTCGAGAACAAACCTTCTTCTCCAACAGAGCGAGAACGAGACCTCCTCTTTCCTCCAAGCCACAAGGACAAAAGTCTAGGGTATCAGGTCAAAAGCATCACCGTCTTAACTGACCCCAACTTCATTAACCTGGGACGTTCACCTCGGGTCCTCGCCGGGCCGGTACTGTCAAGATGGCACTAAAAGTAGCGCTTTGCGGGGACTGCCCGGTGAACAGAACACCGTGTCCACTTGGATTCCTTTTTCGCTTGGAAGTTGGAAGTTTGGAGCAGGTTCTGATTGGACTGCTCCTCTGAACCTTGCAACTTTGCTATCCTTTTCTCGCAGAGTCGCGGGAAGAGGATTCCCTCTACGGATGGTGCCTTTTTGCCAATCCTGGGGAAGAACCCGAGGAAGATTTAGCTCGCCATTCAGACGTGGCGTGCTTTTGCCAGTTAGGGAAGGTCTGGTCTGTTGGCCTCGTGGGCCTCGTCGCCCTAGTGGCAAAGAATTGGTTCAGAATTTCGCCGAAAACCCATGGCGGGCATTTGGAATGGGGTCCAACGATCAATTATATGGCCCTCTCTACTCTGTAGAAGGTTCGTCCACTCGTTCTTTGAGCTGAGGTCGATCAACGAGTAACTCAAAAAGCAATGACATGACAGACCCAGGCTGAGCCGACTACGAACACGTGCATTCGTGCTGTGGCACAGACAAGTGGACAAGAGGCCTGGTGGAATCCCGTACCTACAGTAGTGTGTACGCTATCCTCCGTTTGAACGGTCGGAGTTATTTAGTATCTCGTGCTAAATTCGCTAGCCCCCAGGTTCTACGCTAACTTCCAGGGCAGCGGTGCAGGTCTAGTCTTTGAATGGCATGTTGTTGTCCTCTCGACCCGCGGTTCATGATAGCGAAGTCCAACGTGGGACCCGGAAGCATGGGTTGAATATCCCCAAGGTCCCTACTCGTCGTCGACTCGGACGACTCCCAGACTCGAAAGTATGGATCCGACTCTTCAGGCCTCGAAAAGGGAATGATGCACGACGACTCCCCAGAGCATGGAGAAATCTTCACGGTCCATTGGCTATCCTAAGCATAACTGTCGGATCCTTCCGCTAAGTCAGCTCATTTGGAGCATCATCGTCCAGTGCGGTGGCTGTCGAGTCGACGTCGTATACGAGAATACGGAATACGCCGCTGACATCGGGGAGCTACCTATCTTCGTTGAGATGAAACGGAACTGGTCATCATCCTCTATCACGGAGTTCTTACACTGTCGCCACTAGTATCACTGATCGACTTTGCCACAAAGACAAAGGTACATCGAACCTCCCCGACTTGACCTTGCAGCTCAAGTTCTCCATTTGCCGAACGATTTGCACAACTGCCTCCAGCAGTTTAAACAAGAGCCGATCTGCTCTTCGCAAGCTACACTTTGCTTTTTCCTTCCTCCGAGACTCGAACGCCTCCGACCCCGCCAAGGAACTCACAGTGAAGACGAAATCAGGCATCGAATTGGGTTCTTGACGGCCAGCTCTAGTAGCGCAGGTTGCGCAGTGGCGGTAAACTCTATCTCAAAGGAACGGCTCCAGTTGCGCAGAGATCTCCACCCGAGATCGCAATTTGCGACCAGCCCTGGCCCAATCGCGGGCAGATGCCGAAAAGTGATGAGCACGACATCGGAGAGCATGAGCTGAAAAGCGTTCCAACCGTTCCAATTGCTTGTCATGCTTTTCGTGGGTCTACGAGTCGACATACGCCAGTGGATGTGATTATGCACGATACTCTGCACAGGGCAGATGCGCACGTTTAGCGCAGGATCGGCGATGACCGGGCCATCCCCACGGCTTCAATTTTCAGATCCCCAGTCCGGTTGCTCAGCGGTATGCGCTTTGTGGTCTAGGTGTCTGCGGAAGTTTCGAGCAGTGACAATCGTCATGAAGGCCAAGATCCATCAATGTCCACTCTCATGAAACCAGGCTTTGGCGACGCCTCTATCTTGACTCAGGGCATCAACAACTCAAACCGAGTGGTTAGACGAGTCAGTCAGTCACACAGTCACGGATACAGCCAAGGTGCGATCTTCTATCTTTTGAGGAATGAAGGGCAAACTATCAGTAACAATTTGGAACATACGACCAGGGGGATTACCCCGGCCCTATCGCGGAGTAAGCGCAATGCATGCTCGCCAGCCCAGACAGCAACAGCGCTTCCTGAGACATACATCATGGACGCGAGAGCCCTGCAAACTGCAAAGGTGTCGTCGTCAGCGCTTGGCATGAACCATGGTTCAACCTTTTGTTTGCTCCAAACGGGACCAAAAGTAAGACCACAAATAACTCCCCGGAATCTCGGATCAGCATCAGAAGTTGATAAAGCTTCCTGCATCGTTCACCGGTGGGAAGTGATACGTCGAGAGAAGACTCAAGACTCAAGACTCGCACGGCTTCGGTCAAGATCGCATATCGTTCTCCAGGATATCAGTCATGATCCTGTTGATACTAGATAGCGATTCTCCGGAACGCGAGCGTAAGGGATCTTCCTATCTCTTCTTATCTCCGCGTATCTCATTATCAAAATGTTATCACAGAAGACCACCTATCGCTAGCATCTTGTGTCGATCGAGAGTCCAATACTTCCGAGGAAGGATCTGCCTCTATCGAAATTAAACAAAGGATAGCCTGCAAAGAAGCATCTGCTAAACTGAAAGAAAAGACATGATACGCGCCGAGTAAAGTTCAGGGCAACAACAGAAGAGGTAAGCTATCTAATTCTGAGCAGACTGAATACGAATCCGAGGAAGAAGAGAAAAAGAAACATGTCCTGCTCGCTCCGACGAGCTGGTTCAACTTCAATAATTGTGCGAACCAGCGAACTCTGGCAGCGCAGCATCAGAGACAAAACAAAAGCACGAAAATCAAGGCCTCAGTGGATGGTGTTAAGATCAAGCTCCCTGAGGGAGTCAGTCTCTTCCTATCATATAATAAAACATCCAATAATCTCATCATAGACCTTAAGATTGTGTTTGTTGAGGAAGAGACAAAACAGTCCCAAAGACTCGAAGAATTTTCCCGCTGAGAGCGTCTCACGTGACTTGCAGGCAAAAGGCTGCAAACCACTGCAAAACCAGCCCATCTCGCTAAACCAAAACTAAACGCGGAGAAATCGGTCCCCGTCCTCCGAAAACCCAGACACAATAAATTCTTCTGCTCGCAGCCATTTTTTTAGTTTCTTTTTTCCCTTTCCTTTCTTCGTGCGGCGACGCAACTATTCACCCGTGTTGCCTGGACATCTATATTCAGTGATGTATCTTCAGGTGTCTGTTGCGTCACAGAAGGACGGAATTGCACACCGGTTCTTACTTTATTGGTCTTTCTGATTTTTCTTTCGAGGATGAGACCATTTGGTTTGGGATCGGACATACCATATTTTTCTTTTCTGCGGATTTTCTTCGTCGTGATGTTGATGAGGATTTCTCTGCAGTTGACATTTTAGGTCTTTGGATCGACTGTAGACTATTGTAGAGACGCTTTGCTATCTTTCAGCATGCTGTGTTATGTTATCAATATCAATCGATTTTTTTTAAATTGTCATGTTATCCGTCGTAATCGTACGGAGTCTATAGTTGCATGCAATGCGAGCACCTATTCGGTCCATTTGCTCAAGTTCTCGCTATCATACTGTCATACTCATACTCGTACCTCATTCCATTTACTCGCCCTGCTCATCGCCAATCTTCTCCAGCTTACCCATCTCCCTCTTTTCACCGGCCTCGCCGAATATGCGGATCCTATCAACCCGCGTCTTCTCACTGCCGCCCTCATTGTCCACAATGAAGATATTCAGCGAGAAGACACTCTGGAACTTGACAAACCGCAGGTCAATCTTGGCCGTCCCCGTCTTCGCATCCCAATCCTCCGCTTTGAGCTCCACTGTCTGCACGGGAGTGATATCCTCCGCCTCGTCAAATCCCAGCACATGCGGGTTGTTCGTGTAGAGACGGATCGTCTTGGGCCTTAGAGGGATCTCATCCTCATCCTGGTCCTCCGCCGCCTCGCCCGAAGGCAGAGACGTAATCTGCAGCGAGTGGACCTTGAGCGTAGACTTGAACGGGATGAACAGCATCAGCTGCTCGTCCGTGTCACTCTCCACCCAATCCGCCGCTGCGCCCTCGCCGGCCTTCCCATTCCCCAGTGCGGATGGCTTCCCGCCTTCGAAGAGCGTCCGGGCCACGCCGAAGCTGCTATCCCGGTTCAGGAGCTCCAGTCCCTTCACGTCGTACTCGCCCGTGATGTCGGGGTAGCCCTTGGGGGCGGGGGCGCCGAGCCAGGAGCCGCTGGAGGATTCGCTGGGGGTTTCGCCGGAGGCAGCGGGGGCTTTGCCGGCTTCGGTGGCCAGCTTGCGGATGACTTGGTTTAGTTTTGAGGGGTCGGCGCCGCGGATGGTGTTGAGGATGCGGCCGCGCTCGAAGACGATGAATGTGGGCATGCTGGAGGAAGAGGTGTGTTAGCATGGGTTTTCCTGAGATGAGCATGGATCATCCATCCCCGCGTAGCGAGGCTTGTATGTGTAGATAGATCCTAACAGGATACGTACGCTGTAACGCCATAGGCCTTGGCGATATCCTGCTGTTCATCAACGTCGATCTTGGTGAAGGTGATGTGGTTGGGACGCGTGAGCTGCGAGGAGAGCTGGTCGTAGACAGGGGCGATCGCGTGGCATGGTCCGCACCATTGTGCGTGGACTAGATGATTTCATGATAAATGTCAGTCACCCGTAGCTCATAAGATGAGAGAAATCTAGTCGGAGAGGGGTCGGGAGGGGAGGGGGCGTGAAAAGGCGGGGAGGTCTCACAGTCTGCCACGACGAAGGTGGAGGAGTTTAAGATGCTTTGGAATTGCTCCTTTGAGGATATATGAACAGGAGCGGTCATTGTAGCGGTTGTGGGATGTTGTTGGTGGGAAGGAGGGGATGGAGAAGAGTTGGTGTTGGTTGTTGACACCGAAGAATAGTCGCGATAATATGTCATCAAGCCCCTCCGCGGTGAAGCCTGCTCATCTCACGATGTATTCACCACAACATATCCCAAGCTCTTGTACATTAAGGTGGCCTTAATAGTGGTGTTGAGGCTTTTGTTTTCATTTCGAAGGCATAAGGCTTATTTCGTTCCCTAAAACTAAGAAACAAAATACTATGGACATATATATATTTATTCTCGGTTGAGTCCTCGATATTGACCACCTCTATTTCCCCATTTTAATATCGCTCAATGAGTGCAATAACCGGGATCCCGGGAAATGCATTCATTCCATCATTCAGCAAGATCTTCAGCTTCAAGCTTCCTTTTCTTCATGACTCGTAACGGAGAAGCGGTCATGCTGATGTGCAGTCCCTGGTAGCACGAAGGTGGTGAGAACAGCATCGACTATGCTTGAGAGGTAAGAGGCGAGTTTCAGCGGACTCGAAGGACGAGAGGCCATGAGCCCTCATAGCTCAACCAGAGCATCCTCACCTCGAGCGAGAAGTAAAGAGTATAGCACGTAAAAGCACGCCCTTCCCTTTCAACCCATCTGCCCAAGATCACGTCCACCATCCCCAACCTCCTCACCATCCTCCTCCTCCACCGCAAACAAAACCTTCATGTACAAGCTACACCCCCGACAACCAACAACAACCTCCCCGTGCTCGGCTTCGTGCTCTAAATCCCCCTCGGAGACACAAAACCCCCTCTCATCACCACACCTGCACCCCCGATACCAGACCGCCTCTTGAACTTCCCCGTCCGCACTACTACCCTCGTCACACGCCAGATCCTCTAGATCAACAACCTCAAGACCTGTATGGAAGACCGTCCCCGTCTTCTCGCGCTCCGCGGTGCGTGTCCGGTCGAGGCGGAGGGAGCGGTCGTATTCGGCGCGAAGGGAGGGGTCCGAGAGGGTTTTGTAGGCGGTTGTTATTTGGTCAATTGTTACAGGTTTGTGCGCTTGTGGGGAGGAGGTGGTCGTGGCGGTGGTGGGCGGGCCCGTAACGGGGTCTCTTGCGATCGCGCTCGAGGCTTTGTCCGGGTGGTGTTTTAGGAGGGCTTTGTGGTAGGCTAGTTTTAGGCGTTGCTTTGAGAGAGATGTAGAGGGGAAGGGGAGGTTCAGGATCTCGTAGTAGTCGGAGGCGTATGAGGATGATCTCGTCATTTTTCCGCTTGTGGTTGCGCCGGGTAGCGGCGTCTTTGAGAACAACGGATCTTGGGTTCGTAATGTGCTGTTCTTCGTGATATAGCTCGCAAACGGTGGGAGAAATGCTGTTTGTAGTTGTGAGGCGCGTGGTAAGTCGTTGATTGGAAATCGAGGGGCGGGTGCGGAGTTCAGAAAATTGTTGCGGAAGTCCGACGCGGGATATGCCAGTTTGCGACAGCGGTATTCCGCCAGCAAGGCAAGCCTCAATACTGATTGTTCTAGCAGATGGATGGATCCAGAACAGGACTTGATTCCAACGTCATAGACAGAAACCCATAGCTTCTACGTTTGGGAAAGTTCGAGGAGAAATCTTGATTTATTGGCTTGCGCACCTCTACTGAAAATGTATCTGGTAGTACATTCTAGCAACATGTGTAAAAGACAAGGAAATGGCCATAACATCTAATGGTGACGAGTGACAAAGAACCGTCGGATATCGAAAAAGGTGGAAGAAGAAAGCAAAAATCAGCAATACTCCTGGCTAGACTGACGTGAAACTAGAAACCATGACTCGAGGACGACATATCTACTCGAGGGTCTTGAACACATATCGGTCTTCAGCCTTGCTGGCGAAAGGAACACCGAGCTCAAGGAGCTTGACGAAGACGTCGGAGAACTCCTTGAAGAAGACATCGCTGTCCTTGGCGTAGCGGTCAACGTGCTTCTTAAACTCCTTGTCCTTGACGAGGGCAATGTCGGTAGGAAGCATCATCAGGGTCTTGGTGGTCTTGTCGGTGAACTGAGTAGGTCCGTTCCACTTGCGCTGCTGCCACTTCTCATCGACGAGCAGCTTGAAGAACTCGTTGGTGAAGACGGTAGGGCTGAAGTCCCAGGGACCGTCGTAGCCGGAGCGATCAGTGTGGGCGCGGCCAAGGGCGTGGGCACCGGACAGGGCAACCATCTCCTGGTCGTTGAAACCCATGCGACCGAAGATGGCGCGGATGTGATCTTGGTTCTTGGAGGCGTCGGGGAGACGGCCGTCAGGAGTGCAGGCGGCGACATCCTTGTCAGAACGGCCGGGTCTCCAGGGAATAACGGGGCCGCCAAGTTCCTGAATGGCGCAGGAACCGGCAAGGGTCCAGAGGTCGGAGTAGGTGATCCAGGGGAACTGGGCCTTGATGGGCTCGAGGAAGTCCCGCGCGTACTTGAGACCAGCATTGGCACCGTGGTCAGACTCGGGAGCGAATCTCATGGTAGCACCGTTGCTGCCTCCAGTGCCAGTTTCCTTATCGTAGGTGCCACTTGCGTGCCAGGCCAATCGGACGAGGACCTAATCGGGGCATGAATGGTTAGTTTGATGGTGAATAGAAGCGGGGAAACGGCATCAACCACATACCGGCCCGTAGCTGCCATCATCGTAATCGGTCTCGTTGGCGAGACGCTCAGCAATGGCGTTGTAGACCTTCTGGTAGTCCTCCTGGGTAGGGACGAAGGTCTTGCTGTTCACGCCAGCATCTCCGCCCTGGAGATAGAAGTATGCACCGCCGGCACCCGCGACAGCAAGACCAGCCCACAGAAAGGTGTTGGACGACTTTCCGGTGTTAGCCTCGGAGGCGTAGCCGCGGCGAGAGGCGGCGCGGAAGCCTTGCGAAGGGAGGGCGAAGCGAGAGCTGCGGACAGCGGGTCTGATGGAGGAGGAGCGCAGGAAAGCGCGAGAGGCAGATCTAGCAGCGGACGCCATTGTGAATAATAAAGGAGCGGAGGAGGAAGAGCGAGTGGGAAAGGAGGTAGGAGGAAGATGATAAGGGAAAGGAGAGGATCGGAACGAGACGACGAGAAGAGGACAGGGATATTCAAGTAATAAACACTGTGCCAAAGTCCCCCAGATGTCGAATCCCATCGAACATGCAGCCTGCGCCAATCATCGGGACCACATTGGTGAGCTCTGGACCCAGATCACTCGAATTGACTCAGCAAAAGAGGAAAAGACTGGCTCCAAAAAGGCGTCTCTCCGCATCTCCCTGCCATTCTCCGAATCTCCGCCCAATGCGCAGGGGAGCGCCGTTGGAGACCAGCAGTCGTCCGTGGCAATAGCAGTTTTTTCTCCCTTGAGCCATGGGTCTTCGTCTTGCCACTGCTTCTTATTCGAGGAGTTTATTCAGATTAATGAGAACAACAGTCCATGTTCCTTGATGATTAATCTGGATGTTGTTCTTCTGGCCGGTATACCTCAGCAACCGAGGTCGAGGTGATGGGGTCTGCGAATCTCACTAGCAGCTCCAAATTATTAACAGCCACCTCCTGTTTGGTCAGGGCCGAAGCCGCGGGACTTCCCGATTCTCTTCCGCAAGTCTGGCTGCACATTATTACTCAGCTCTTGTTCATCATGCACATCGAGTCTGACTCTTTGAGACGTGTCGCGAACAACTGAAACGGACGAGATTGGATGCCGGACATATCTGAAGGTTCGCGTTTGATGTGGCTACAATGACGAATGCTGGCTCCGGAGGCAACGAACTACAGGGAGCTCGATACGGGACGAATCAGAAGGGGAAAAAAATACGTAGTTCAAGCATAAATTGAATTCCATTATCAACCTCGAAAGGTGAGAGAAGGGATGTCCGTCGTAAAAATAGTCCTGCCGTTCGATATAGCGAACACCAGGGTGGAGTAGACGCAGCTCTGCTAAAAACTGTTTGGTTTTGATCTTCCACTGAACGAACTAAGAAAAAGTATGCCTCTCTGCCACTGTGAAGGCGAGACGCGCACTGTGTGGTTGTCAGGTTGGCCCAAGGGAAAGCCTTGGGCTTGCTATACAATTGATAATGTGAGTCGAGTAGGTAGAGATGGTATGATATGATGCTGCCACTCATCATCAGAGTTTGGCACACGTTTGGTGTGAAGCATGGTCGCGAGGAGCCTGTTGAGGAGAGTTGGAATATGACAAGAGAAATTGAAGAAAACTCGCAGACTTAGTGGCACTCCACGTGACCACAAAGGTTTCGCTTATTTGGTCATGTGATGCTCGCTGTCTCGACCATGTGATGAATAGATCACCAAGGCCATCTTAGATGCCCTTTTGATTGACTTGATTGACCATCAGCATTAGGCTGTTGGTACAAATCTAAATGCTCTGGCTAAGGGTTAGCTTTGTGGCGCTGGCGAAGCTCAAAACCGGTTGCGTGTAAGAATGGAGGCTTGGTAGATGGCAGTGCTGAGCAAAATATATATCGAGAGAGCCCATCGATTACATTATGGCATCCAACGCGCGAATAGAACTGTCAGCCACTAAGATAGCATAAAACTCGCAGTATTGATGGCTGCCAGCAGTTACTCCAGACGCCCATGTCGAATTTGACGCTGGTACTACTGGACTCTTCGCATCTGGCCAGAACGAAGCCTCAGGCATAAAGGTACCATCACGTGCCACACCACGCCTTTATCTGCTCCGCAAAAATTTGCACGCGTTCTTCTTCCTTTCTTCTTTACACTTTTTAAACCTCAAGAACGCATAATCAACCTCCAACTCCTGTTTATCCTTTTCAGGTTAATCCCATAGGATGGTAGGTCATATTGGCGAACGAGATTAAATGTACTCTGTACACGGGCGACTCAAGACGACTCCATCGCTCTGCGTTTCTCAGGAAGCTTCAGTGCAATGGTGGAAATAGTCACGAGCTGCTCATACATCTCAAACACCAAAACCTATTCCATGTAAATGCTCGTATGCTCTCAGACTTAAGGATTTCAACAAGTCTGGTTGGACTGTGGCTGCTGTTATCGTCTCTCATGGATGGCTTGGGTGAACCGCATCCGGCTCGCCTCCGAAAAATCCGTAGCAATTCTGGACTGGGATTTCGCGCTGAGTGCTTGAGCCGGACCCGGCGGAAGTTCATCAGGATTCAGGGCCGTCGAATGACATCCTTGGGCCCCAATGGAGCCAAAGCTCCTCTGGTCTGATTGGGGGCTAGACTGTACTTCGCCCTGGCCGTCAATACTTGCGATAGTGTGGCCGAGCACCAGAAGAGAGTTTGCCTGACTCGCGTTGCACACAATTCTTGATGGTTAATATAAGATAGTCTGAAGAGTGATAATGGCGAATTCGAGCGACGCAACGCCCTGAAGAAAGCGCAGATGTAGGTCAAGTCAGCTCTGTAGTTGACGCGGCAGTAATACTTTCGCCGCTGCGATCTTCCCCACCTCCGCAGCTCATCCGTCGCCTTCTCCTTTTACTGTCCACCACCACTTTCTCATCTTCTTCTCCCCCTCTCTATCATCTCTTCTCTTTCTGCACTTGCACATACAAACGCATGATTCTTGTAAATATGTGCTGTTAATTCTTCTATCAATTCCACCCGATTACTCTCTTCAGAAGCTCCAAGCTAGCCTAGGCCTTCTCACGAACCACAGACCGGTCTCTCCGTATTTTTACTTGACGGCGTCTCGGCGACAATACCGCAAAGATGGTCATTGGCATTAGTAAACGCCAGCAGCAGCGTAATGAGCGCGCTTTGCAAGATCTCATTCGGTCAGTCCCCGGCAACGACCGATGCGCCGACTGCTCAGCTATGAACCCAGGTAAGTGTCTGTCTAAGACGATTATATGGCCGCCAAAGCTAATCAATCATCGTCGCGGTATAGGATGGGCAAGTTGGAATGTGCGTATACCAACCGAATCCGAATCCGAATCCGAACCTCCCGAAACATGATACTGACGCAAAGTGAAATTAGTTGGGTGTGTTTCTATGCATGCGATGTGCAGCCCTGCATCGGAAGATGGGAACGCACATATCCAAAGTCAAATCATTGAGTATGGATAGCTGGTCTTCAGAACAAGTCGATGTGAGTTGCGCGTCTCAATCCTGCATTGGCATGGGAGTTAATAAAGGTGGATAGGAAATGAAATCGCACGGAAATACGATTGTGAACAAGATCTACAATCCTCGGAATGTCCAACCCCCTGTTCCAACCGATATTGACGAATCCGATGCCTGTATGGAACGATTTATCCGGCAGAAATACCAGACACGGACTTTGGAGGACGGCCGACCAAAACCACCTAGCCGTCAAGACCCTAGCTATACTACTAGGTCGCCAGAAGGCTCGCCTCCACCACTTCCTCCCAAACCTTCTCGGCCGTTTGGTTTTGGCCTCCGGTCCGCCTCGTCTGCGACGAACCTCAGCCGTCAGTCCGCGAGCAGCCGTGGCCCGGAGTCTCCCGTGAGTGACTCGCGGCGCTCATCCTTCGAGACCAAACTCACAAGGTTGAGGGAAATGGGGTTCACGAACGAGCGCAGAAACCTAACGGCCCTGAAGAGCTTAGATGGCAACCTGGATAAAACCATCGAGACGTTGGTGAGGGTGGGAGAAGGCAGACAAACTCCACAGGTCAAGACCCCTGCTGCGACAACATCTGGCGCTTCCGTCAATCCCTTCGATCAACTGGACTTCAAACCGCCGGCGCAGCCAGCCCAGCCAAATGGATTGAGCTTCAATCCTTTCGACATACCTACACAACAGGCGCAGTTGCAACCGCAGCCGGCGCCTGCTCAGTCCCTTGAACAATCCTTTCAGAACCTTCAAGTTACACAACCTCTCTTCCCACACTCTACTGGTGGATATCCAAACAGACAAACTGCTCAACCGCAATATATTTACGGCCAGCCTGCTGCTCCATTTGCTGCACCACAAGCCGGATTCGTCTCTTCCCCACAGCCGCTTGAAGGTGGAAATAATCCTTTCTTCCAAACTGGAGCTCAGCCGCAGGCCAGCTTGAGCACACCACAACCTCAGAACCCCTATCCAGCCCAAAATAACCCCTTCTTCAACCAAATGTCTACACAAGCACCGCAAATGCCATTGCAAAATCAAAACTCAGCATCTGCTTTTCCTCAACCGCCCCGGCATGCAAACACTATGCCGCCCATGTCAACGTCGCCTTTCGGGCAGCCTCCTCCTTTCCAGCAGCCGCAGCAACAGCCACAACACGTACAACAGCAGCAACTACAACAGCCACAGCTTGGAGTGCAGACGGCGCAACCTGGAAACTCATTTAACCCCTTCCAGTCCATGACTGCACCAACTACTCCCCTTGCTGGAGGATACCCTAGCCAAACTCCCTTCGGATATCCAGCGGCTGCTCAGACCCTCGCTCCACAACCTACGGGCCGGGTCGACAAGAATAGCATTCTTGCTCTGTACAATTTCTCCGCGCCTCCTCCCGCGATTCCAGAACAGCAACAGACCCAGCAACAAGCGGTGCCTGGACTTGGTGCTCCTCCCGGGCAGCTTCAGAACCCACAGGCAGCGTTCGCTTCATCAAACTATACCAACGCCGGTCCCCAGCCCAATGTCAACGCGCAGGCTGCCACATCTCGCAACCCATTTGGGTACCCCGGTGCATCTGGAGCCCAACAACCTCCGACACAGGTCCCAACTCAAGCAAATCCGTACGGTTTGGCTATGAATTCCGCCAATGCCGGAGCAAATACTGCATTTATGAAGAGCCATATGAGCCAGCAAAGTGTGGACATCAACGGCTTCCAGAACGGAAGACACAGTCCAGACGCGTTTGCTAGTCTCAGCTCACGATTCGGACGATGAAATTTCTCGGCTATATTCTGTCTTTGCTTATACCCGGTTTTCTTCCAAGGCTGTTTCGGGTGGTTATAGGAAATACTCATACGATTGCTGCATTATTAGCGGTGTCACATCTTTGCATGATGGACGAATGGATCATTGGGAAACTGTCAAGTAACGAGGTAGACTCGCATGATTGGATACAAGTATATATATAGTCTGGCAATCTGACGTCTAGATTTGGTGGATATGACGCTTTGTGTGCTCGATTGGCCTTGTGCTCCGGAGGCTGATACAATCTGCTCCGATGCAGAGATACAATCGACCGGCAAGACCGAGCGCTTCACCGCAACTGGGCCTTGAGATCGACTTCTCTAGTGCCAAGACCAACGGGGGTGCCAAGACTCGACGGCAATCCAACCAGATTGAGCATGCGAGCACGTGTGCTGTGCGGACAGTAATGCTCCATGATGTCAGCCTGCATGGGGCTGTCGAGTTCTGGATTCTCGGGTACAGTCGCTTGATAGTTTCCGCCGTCTGTTCGCGGTGATGTAGTGTGTATCCTGCAAAAACAGAGTCATTGGATCGCCGCTCGGCATCCATCACGATGATTGAATATCACCGTCATCAAACGTTGATGGGAATCTCGTGGTGTTATGTCCGTCCTGCTTGGTCTTGGTGGGCCGTCTGTTGCCCGAGCGCCAATCGTTTTTCCAATGCAACGCATCAGATCTTGGAATCCCTGGGATTCGCCCTCACCCCTCCACACTTGGAGCTCCAATGCTTGGCGGGGAGTGGGATATCTTGGCAGTGCCGCTCACCCACGCCTTAGGCTAGCGACCTTCGCCCGTGGGCAGATTTTCCTCCGATCATCCTGCCTGGTTGGCTGTCTCGAATCTCCCCACGGCAAGAGTCTCAAGAGCGACTGAGGGATTCCCCCGTCGTCCTGGGCGCCAAGATGATTGCTAATTCTTCACCAATGGCTGTTATCGTGCATGCTCCATTCCAGAGTGCGAGACTGGGACAGAGATTTTCAGAGTGACCGGCTTTCTGGGCGTTTAAGAACAGGGTCTACCCCTCTCCTTCGCTGGTTTCTTCTTTTCTTTACCCAAACCGATTCTCAATTCCTCCCCAGGAACGTTGTTTCATAGAGGTCCAACTCACGGAGCCTATTGTTCGGATAGCTCGACGAAATGGTCAACGACAAGGCCGCCGAGCCAGGCGCGGTACGCCCTGGTCATGCCGACCTTAGCCAGCCAGCTTACTGCCTTCCCTACGAAGTCGTCTTGAAGGAGATCGGCACGGACATTGACGAAGGTCTCACCAAGGACGAGGCTGCCCGTCGCCTCCAGCAGTACGGACAGAACAAGCTCGACGAAGGCGAGGGCGTCTCGATCATCAAGATTATCGTGCGCCAGGTGGCCAACGCAATGATGCTAGTTAAGCGGCCCACTTTACTTTGTCCCTGAGCCTTTTGTTTGCATAAGAGCTCCAGAGTCTGATCCAATTCTACGTTGACAGGTGCTGATTCTGGCCATGGCGGTCAGTTTCGGAATTCAATCCTGGATCGAGGGCGGCGTCATCGCTGCAGTCATTATGTTGAACATTGTCGTTGGTTTCTTCCAAGAGTATGCGGCTGAAAAGACCATGGAGTCTTTGCATAACTTGAGCTCTCCTACCGGAACTGTAACCAGAGGCGGCGAAACCTTTTCGATTCCGTCCCATGACATTGTTCCGGGTGACATGATCGAATTGAGGACTGGTGATACCATCCCCGCGGATATCCGGTATGTGATTGCCCGCCCTGCGTTGCGCATCTAGAAGATGCCATCGGCCGGTTTACGGTATTCTCCTGACACTTTGCAGGTTGGTCGAGGCCGTTAACTTGGAGACCGACGAAGCGTTACTCACCGGTGAATCTTTACCCGTCCAAAAGGAATGCGACGCGACGTTCAAAGAAGACACTGGCCCTGGAGATAGGTTGAACATCGCCTATTCTTCCAGTACTGTCACTCGTGGTCGTGCTCGAGGTGTGGCTGTGAATACCGGCATGGCTACCGAGATCGGATCGATTGCAGCTGCTCTACGCGCCACCAACAGCAAACGTCGTCCAGTAAAGCGCGGCCCTGACGGGGAGACGAAAAAGCGCTGGTATGTCCAGGCATGGACGCTCACTGGAACTGACGCAGTCGGACGTTTCCTTGGAGTTAACGTGGGCACTCCGTTGCAGCGAAAGCTGTCCAAACTTGCAATCCTCTTATTTGGAGTTGCCGTGCTCTTTGCCATTATCGTCATGGCAGCGAACCTGTTCTCCAACGATAATGAGGTTATCCTGTACGCTGTCGGAACCGGTCTTTCTATGATCCCTGCGTGTCTGGTGGTTGTCCTCACAATCACGATGGCCGTTGGCACCAAACGCATGGTCGAGCGAAACGTTATCGTTCGCAAATTGGATTCGCTTGAGGCGCTTGGAGCAGTCACGAACATTTGTTCTGATAAGACCGGCACCTTGACTCAGGGTAAAATGGTGGTTAAGAAGGCCTGGATCCCCTCGCGCGGAACCTACTCCGTTGGTAACTCCAACGAACCCTTTAATCCGACTACTGGAGATGTGACGTTTTCCTCCGTACCGCCTCTGGAGTTCATTGATGAAAAGGAAGGCCCCGTCGTCGAGAGTGCTGAAGGCCTGGTCGACGGTAACCGTGCTCTTGAAGATTTCCTTGACGTCGCGTCCATGGCCAACCTGTCTCACGTTTTCAAATCCGAAGAAGGAGAATGGTGTGCACGAGGTGAGCCGACTGAGATTGCCATCGAAGTTTTTGCTTCCCGTTTCAACTGGAACCGAGACCGATGGACCAAAGGTTCGAAGGCTGCGTGGCACCAAAAGGCAGAATTCCCGTTCGACTCGACCATCAAGAGGATGTCCGTCATCTTCGGAAAGACGAAGCCTGATGGAGAGGAGCATGATATGGTGTTCACCAAAGGAGCCGTCGAACGCATTGTTGATGTCTGCACGACTGTCATCTGGGATCAAGACTCTTCTACTGCTGTACCCTTGACCGATGCTATGCGCGAGAAGATTCTCCAGAACATGGAGGAGCTCGCGAAATTGGGTCTGCGTGTTCTGGCTCTGGCTCATCGACCATACAAGGAGCAAGCCCGCCTTCTCGAGGGCTCTGACCTCAACCGTGACGAGATTGAAAAGGACCTCTGCTTCCTTGGTCTTATTGGACTGTATGACCCTCCACGCCCCGAAACCGCGGGATCGATTGCCGCCTGCTACAAGGCCGGCATTACTGTGCACATGGTGACTGGAGACCATCCGGGAACTGCCAAGGCGATTGCCCAACAAGTCGGCATCCTGCCGGCAGATATGTCAACTGTCAGTGCCGATGTGGCTGATGCTATGGTGATGACCGCTGCTCAGTTCGATAAGCTATCTGATGATGAGATTGATGATCTTCCAACCTTGCCGTTGGTCATTGCTCGCTGTGCTCCTCAGACCAAAGTGCGCATGATTGGCGCATTGCACCGACGAGGTCGGTTCGCGGCTATGACTGGTGATGGAGTGAATGATTCCCCGTCTCTCAAGCACGCTGACGTGGGTATTGCCATGGGACAAGCGGGCTCCGACGTCGCAAAAGATGCATCGGATATTATTCTCACCGACGATAACTTTGCATCTATTCTCAATGCCGTTGAAGAAGGCCGTCGAATTTTCGACAACATCCAAAAATTCGTTCTGCACCTACTCGCCGAGAACATCGCTCAGGCATGCACCTTGTTGATCGGATTAGCCTTTAAAGACCAGGACGACAAATCCGTGTTCCCGCTGGCCCCTGTGGAAATCCTCTGGATCATCATGATCACTTCCGGAATGCCCGACATGGGTCTTGGCATGGAAGTCGCAGCACCAGATATTATGGACCGCCCGCCCCAAGCCAAGCAAGGCATCTTCACCTGGGAGGTCATCGTCGACATCCTCGTCTACGGCTTCTGGACCGCAGCACTCTGCCTCTCAGCCTTTAGCCTGCGCATGTGGGGCTTCGGCGACGGCAACCTAGGCAGCGGCTGCAACCGCGAATACTCCGAACAATGCGAGCTCGTCTTCCGCGCGCGCGCCACGACGTTCGTCTGCCTCACCTGGTTCGCGCTCTTCCTCGCCTGGGAAATGGTCAACATGCGCCTCTCCTTCTTCCGCATGCAGCCCGACAGCAAGAAATACTTCACGCAGTGGATGTACGACGTCTGGCGCAACAAGTTCCTCTTCTGGTCTATCATGGCCGGCTGGATCACCACGTTCCCGATTCTGTATATCCCCGTGCTCAACACCGTTGTCTTTAAACATACGGGCATTTCATGGGAGTGGGGCATTGTCTTTATCGAGGCGATTCTGTTCTTCGCGGGTGTCGAGGCGTGGAAGTATGCGAAGAGGGTGTACTTCCGTCGCCAGAAGGCGAAGGCGCAGAGTCAGAGCGTCAGGCCGTTGGGCGACCCGAGCACCCACTCGGAAGATGCCTAACGATTGCTCTCCCTCGCTCGTTCTGTGAGAGGTCGAGGGATTCTGTCATTATTGGAACTGGTGAAGCGTTATTCGGGCTTAGACTTATTGGTATTTTGGACAATCTTTGTGGTTTGTTGGTGGGGTGGTAGATGGGCGGGGGAGTTTGGGCTGGTATGGATTGGTAGCGGCAGCGATAGCAGTAGTGCTTTGATTATGGTAGGTAGAGGTTCAGGTAGGCACTGGTCTAGGAATAGTAGTAGAATGCCAATGTGGATGAAACGTTTTAGTTTCTATTGTAATGTAGCGCCCTAGGAAGTTCCGGTTCTTGCAGGCGGTCTTTCGTGGTTTGTCGTGCCCCGGCAGTCAACTTCCGCTGCAGTGGAGTTTCTTAGGTCTTATGAGATGCAGACCACACAGCTGGACAGTGGGACCATTGAGATAAGCTCTGAATATCCCACTTAGGCTTTAAACCTCTTAAGCTATTGTCACCAACTAGGACAGAACATCTGCTCAGGCATCTAGGTGCTTTACTGGTCGCGAAGACATTGAATGGATTTCGTCTTCAAACATGACTGTATCATTATACAAGATAGGTATGTCTAGTTGTATCGACCAGTATCGTTGAGCTAAGCCTAGGAAAACAGCCTCGTTGCTTCTGATGGTATGCAATGTATACTCATGCTAGACCAGGTGATTCTCTTGCAAGTTCCCCCTCATTCCGTCCTTTTTGCAACACCAACCAACTCTTTCTATTTCGCACTCAACCTTCCTACTCACTCATTACAACTGCTGCAATGTCCGACTCCGAAGAACCAAGATGGGACGAAGACCCCTTAGTGGCAACCGCTGAGGTCCAACGCCTCTATGACTCCGACGTCCCCTTCTTCACCAAAGACCGAAGTCTCCAGGAGAACAACGAGCCCGGTAAGAAGGCATACACCAGAGACCTAGACGGGAAGCTCAAATGGTTCAAGATCAAAACTGGTGAAGTATTCGCCGATCCAGAAGATGACTCGGAGTGGATGTTGGTTGTCCCTACCTGTGTTTCTACCCCTTTGCTCATTCTACAGATATGCTGACCTGGCGAGTGAAGCGGCTACCCGATACTCTACTACGTTTCTATTCAGCACTTGCTGGATCAAGAATGGGGATGGAATTCGCCATACAGTAATCTTCGCGTTGTGCATCGCCTTGAGTGTCGCGACAAGCCTGCTGAAGAGCTAGACCAGCAAAGAAAACACGAAAGCCTGCAGAGAGCCATGGATACCTGGAGAGACTCTCAATCCTGGAAGCAGCTGAAGTCGGCGTTGAGCGGCGTTTCAATCGCCCCGATCAAGAAGCTCGTTGCGTTTGCTCTTAGTTCAATGCGGGCATTCTCGGACGTGCCGCATGACAATCGCTCGCTGTTCCAACATGCTCTTCTTATGACCCTGCGGGATATTCTTCTTGAGAATACAGCTCAGAGAGATGATGGAATCAAATGTTATGCTCAAGACCCAGCATATTCCGAGCATGATATCGCCGTCCTGCAGAGCTGCGGCGTCACCGTTGTACCGGATCCAGAGGGGTTTTTAGAGGTCGATGTGGAGACCGTCGTCATCTCCATCAGCCCCAATGTGCCTGTCAAACAGGTGGTCTCTGAGATTGCTCGACCTGCTTTGATTATATGGGATTCAATCAGGGGAAACGGGCTTGAAGAGACACCATCGTAGGACCCCCTCATCTATCTGGACATTGTTTGAGGAATTGATACTGAACAATTTTAGGACTGATCCGGATTCACCTCGCCTGCAGAAGTGGATAGCCGAGCACTACGAGACCCTTGAATTTCCGCACGAGCCGGAACTCTTTGGGAGAATTGCTGTGTATGTTCGCCATACCCAGGCTAAATTGTTGGTAGACGGGGTTCAATGGCGGAAATCTGAAAGATTGAAGTCATGATTTGGTTTACAACTCAATAGCCGGAAGCCCTTAATGGGGCCACAGACCGAGGATGAGGAACGGAGCGCGTTGGAGCATTGCCCAAGGCTCTGGGTATTGACAGGGAGGAAACCTGACTCTAGTTCCTGGTGAGGACGAAGGAGTACGCTTTGTATCTCTCAACCTTAAAAAAAAGTCTAGTCACTCATTCATCCATCGTTTCCTCACTCGCTAATGACGTCAAATGAGAACTTCCAGAGCCTTTCGGTTCATAAACACTAGAAACATCAAAATTCCCTTGGCAGGCTGATTTCTGCTCAGCAATTGTGACTATCGTACCACCAGAATGGGTTAGTCCACAGGGTTGGAGCCATGGGAGGCTATAATCGTTTATCCAGTTCACTAATCCTTCTCGAAGTTACTTTCGTAATGTTGTTGTATATACGTAGCTCCTTCATGGCACATACATCAGTGCTCATCCTTGGGTAGGTGGGGTCTCTCATAGTCTTCAAGGCATTGGATACCCAACACCAAGAGATCTTCTCAGAGAAACACCCCTTGGCCAGGCGATACGCCTGGTCTCGAAACAAACTACCTACTCCTCTAAATCGAAGAAAAACCGATATCTACCTACCCCCTCAATACCTTGCCCAGTTTTTGCAGCAACTCGAGAACGATGACGGACACAATACAGCCGCAGAGTTGAAGGACGCCACACCCAATCCCGCCGACTCCGAAGATACCAACGGATTAGCATCTTCTCTGCGCGGTGAGGATGCAGATGTGGAATCGCTGGGACGAGTGGTGACACTACCTGAGCGCAATCTTGCCCTGGACCGGACCAAATCCATTCCCATCACTCCTCAAAAGACGTCCGATGGCAGTACACTGTCGGCTGGTACACCACCGATGACCCAAAGAACCCAAAACTGGTCCTCGCTCAAAAAGTCGTTTGTCATGTTCGTCCTCTGCACTTACACATTCACCGTGCACAGCGCTGGACCGACGTATTCTATTGTTGGAGAGCAGATCGAGCACTATTCCGGAGTCAGTGAAGTTGCTGCCTCGCTCGGTCTTGGGTTATATATCCTCGCATATGGTATTGGCGATCTCGCCTTTGCGCCCCTGAGTGAAATTCCAGTCATCGGCCGTAACCCGGTCTACTGGCACCGTTTATCATCTTCTGGGTCATCTCCTTTGCTGAAGTCGTGATCGATGACTTTGGATCTCTTCTAGCCCTGTGATTCTGGCTCGGATTCTTCGGTAGCCCTGTGCTGGCGAATGAGGAGCAACCGCTGGGGATCTGTTCTCCCTCTCTGACTTTCCATTCAGACTTTCGTGGTGTGTGTTCGCCGCGTGGGCTGGCCCAGACGTTCACTGGATCGCACCACTAATCGGCTGCGCGATCTTCTGCATAGGCCACTTCTGGACTATGCAGTCGACCTTCATCTACCTGCCGCTGCCGCGCCCGAAGTATACGGCGTCGCTGTTTTCGGGGAACAGTATTTGGCGATCGGGGATTGCAGTGGGCTGTGTTGCCTTTGCAAGACCGCTCTTTGTGAATCTTGGTGTTGATCGCGGGGTTACGCTGCTCGGTGAATTTAGTGTTGCTGGGATTATGGGCAGACGGCGATTTATGTGTTTGGGAAGAGGTTGAGGGCGAGGTCGAAGTTTGCTGAGAGTTAGTCGTGAGACTTGCTCGACTGGTGACGGTACTTATGGGAATTTGAGGGTTGCACACTTTTAGACGGATGAAGGGCTTATAGATGACATAGGGAAACCTGGCCTAGACGTAGACTGTTTGATTTTGTCTTTGGTTTCTGGTTCATCAGCTTGTTTGGTATTTGATGGTCTGAGTTGCTGAATATAGATTGCGTGATTTTATTTGAAATTTATACATCAATATTTTTTATAGAATCAAATTAATTTTTTTTTTGGAATAGCTCATACTCTATAAACTCTACTCATCGTGGGTCCCCCTTGGATGCTTTTCTACGGATATATTGCGAGCATAGCAAGTTCAAGCAGCTTGTCCCCATCTTTGATCTGACAATCTTCCGAGTCGGATAGATAGATCGTAGTCAAGGAGATAATTGAAATCACCTCGACCGCCGAGAGAACGCAGCAACTTGAGGACTCAGCAGTCTGAACGACTCAGAAAAGATCTTGGGTACGAGACAGTCGATTCAAACTAGATAAATCAGGATGGAATCAGGTTACTTTTCTGGGTTAGCAAATGTAGACCTGACCTTGGCGCAATAATAAACTAATATAGTATGAACGCCCTCGGTTCGGCAATTCGGCATCTCCAACCACTCAAGTACGTAGTAAGGGCACTCTGATGAATAATAAACCGACGTGGGGATAGGGTGGGGATGGATCTGTTGCGCAATTTTGGATTGCTAAGCTTTCTATCTATATTTTGGGGGCTGAACTTCATTTTGGATTTCCAAGCATCACACTTTCTTTAGCTTTTAAATCCTATAAAGATGGTCTTGATGGAGTCTTGGCTTGGACAAGCATTAAGCTTGGCCATTATCTACAACTTCGCGTTTGGATCATATTCAACCTGTGTATATGGACACCATGTCCTCCAATATTAAAGAGTCTGCTCCTCCAGAGGCTCCCTCTGTACCTGATCTCGAAAGGTCCCAGCCGGTGCAAAAGGCAGCACCACCTCCTCCACCAGATGGCGGATCAACAGCCTGGCTCCAGGTTGCAGGAGCCTACTTTCTCTTCTTCAACTCCTGGGGCGTGATCAATACATTCGGTGTCTACCAGACCTACTACGAAAACACTCTCCTCCCGGATTACTCCGCGTCATCCATCTCCTGGATTGGCACAATTCAAGGTTTCCTTCTTTTCCTAGCTGGCATCGTTGCCGGGCCCATTTTTGACAAAGGTCATCTGAAAGCCCTCATAGCCGTGGGCTCCTTCCTCGTTGTTTTTGGCCTAATGATGACCTCCCTCTCAACCAAATACTACCAAGTCTTCCTCGCGCACGGCATTACTGTCGGAATTGGCTGCGCATTCCTCTTCCTCCCCAGCGTCGCCATTGTCGCCACATACTTTACCTCAAAGCGCGCCCTAGCCACCGGAATTACTGCGTCTGGTGGAAGCATCGGCGCAGTGATCTACCCCATCATCTTCCACAGACTCCTCCCACGGGTCGGATTCGGCTGGACAACACGCATAATCGCCTTTATAGCCCTCGCATGCCTCCTTCTCTCACTGGCCATGATGAAAATGCGCCTCCCTCCACCAAAGACCATCCGCTCCCTCCTCGACCTCTCCGCATTCAAAGAAATACCATTTATCCTTTTCAGCCTCGCCCTCTTCTTTGCATTTATCGGCCTCTACTTCCCCTTCTTCTACCTTCCAACCTACCTCACCACAGCCCTGAACTCCGATCCAAACATCGCATTCTACAGCATCGCAATCATAAACGCCGGCTCCATTTTCGGCCGCATCGCCCCGGGCCTCCTCGCCGATCAACTCGGCTCACTCAACACAATCGTTCCCATGGCCTTCTCAACATCGATCCTCGCCTTCGCCTGGATCGGTATCCGCAATGTCGCGGGGACGCTCGTTTTCAGCGTGCTGTACGGGTTCTTCTCCGGTGCGATCGTGTCCCTCCCGACTACGATCCTCGCGTCGTTGACAAGCGACATGTCCGTGTTGGGGACGAGGATGGGAATGAGCTTTTCGTTTGCGGGGCTGGGGCTGCTCATTGGGAATCCGATTGCCGGGGCGTTGTTGGATCTGGATAAAGGGGTTTTCTGGAAGGGCCAGGTCTTTGCGGCGGTTATGGTTGTTGTTGGGGCAGTGCTGTTTTTGGTTTTGAGGGGGGTTGTTGGACTGAAATTTAAGAAGGGGTGGAAGATTTAGTTGGATAGATAGTAGTACGTGATATTGGTCTCGTACGCTTGAAGAATAAAGTCCACAAATGTATCAAGAGCCATATCAGCGCGTAATAATTACGTTGAGAATAGTTGCAGGAACTGATAAATGAATAAGTTGAGATTCTTTATTTAGATTACATCTCTACAGCCTCAAGGTAACCACAAGCTCTCATAATAGTGGCAAGAGTATCGATATTTACCCTCCCCTGGGTAGATGCAAAGTTCTTATCCAACTTCCAATGCTCTCTTGATGTCTTATGGCTCATAAGACTGAGTACCTTGGGTATTGATATGAGTATTACGTGATGCTGTGGCATAAGGGTGAACTATTACCAGGCGGAGGGTCGGCTATACAGCGTCTCTGAAGCTGTTGACCGAATTCAACGCGTACTTGACGTGGCTAGGAACCTTGATGTGCCTGATTTCGCGCTTAATGCGATGCGCTCGCGAAAGGCGGAATACTCCAAGAGGTGATTGAGCGTGGGAAGGCGTCTCTTGCCGCGGGAGCAATAACAGTGTTTTTGTCTGGGGCGGATCCGGGCGCGGTGGAGTCAGTAGGGACGAAGTTGTCAGACTTGTTGAAGCGTCCGGGGGGAGGTTGAATGTGTTGAAGAGCAGTCAGTGGCGGGTTGAGTGTGAGGAAGTTGGCTGAGCTTGGTGTTGCGAGAATTAGTGCTGGGCCTTTGCTTCACGGGAAAGCTTTGGAGAGGATGAGGGAGGTTGCGGTGGGCTTGCTCGAGTATTGAAGGTGCTATTGGCACTGAAGTTTATGGTTTACAGCATGGAAGTGGTTGGCTTCAGCTAGAACAAGGCGATATATGGGTCTGAGTCTGTTGCCTGTGCATGTACAAGCGGCTTGCATCTCTTATTCCTGGCTACTGTTATATCTCGTCTGGTTGACGAGTCCATGGCTCTGAGAACCTACGTCTCCTCTTCATAGCTATTATTCATTACGCCGTAGCACTAACCTGAACGTGCATTCCACAACGGCTTAGGAGTGGTAGAAATATAGCTGAATGCTGATCAGTGATGCTGGAGATAGACTGGCGAAAGCTGGATTCGCTTTCAAGGATGAAGTGAAAAGTACAATACCATATTTTGCTATATCTCTTTCAATTATTTTGTATTGAAAACAATAACACAAATTATGGTACCCTCTTTACACAGTCTAGAAACTACCACAATTTCCCTCTTGTGCCAAAAAAAAAGAAACAAAAAAAAAAAAAAAAAAAACTGGTATCTCTCCTCATACATTAGTCTGCAGCCCTCTTGGTAGTATCCATCTAAGCAGACAGAAGCGAATGGAAGTAAAGCCAGAGAAAGAAAATCCCATTCCCCAACTGAACACACCTAATCATGTAGTTGCGCAAATAGCGGTGATTGTACGTGTCGTCAGGAGAGTCTTGCGCCCAGTAGAACATACCTAGGCCATACCCCAGCACAGCAATTGGAACTGGCGGAGGAGGAAAGAAAGTAAAATCAGCCGATGCATACTTTGAGAAGGAGGTCTAGGTAGTAGAAGATTAGAGAAGGAAGGATAGGAACTCACGAGGAGAGCGATGCTCGGAGGGCGTAGTGTGTAAATACCACAGGGTCCATACCAGGGATATGTAAGTGCCCGCTGTAAGTTGTCAGCAGTCTTCGTTTGACCGAGACTGAATACTGGTATCATGATGTTTATGTTGTTTTAGATGGGCCAACTTACCGACGCAGGCTATCCCCGCGTACGAGTCCTGCCACGCTTTTTGTCTGGCTTTGAGCACGTTTCCGTAGAGGCAAAAGCCTACCTCGTTGCCGAAGATTTGCTGAAAGTATTCCAAGTTGGCATCATGTAGCTCAGCACCACGGCCGAGTTTCCATGAGGCACAAGCTTCTTCGGCGAATTCGGGGTGCGCGGTGTATTTCTCTGTAAGGATCTGCGTGAGGTAGCTGCGCACCTCTTCGGTGGTCGCGAAGCGATCGAGGATCTTGGGTGATTTCTTCAAGGACATTACGACAGGATAGAATGATAAAATTCGACAACTGAGGATTGCTAGTCTAAGATAAAGAGCGGGATATGGTTGGATTTATGGCAGGCTGATACCTTGAAGATTGATTGCCATAAGCTTGATCGACAGAAGCTTTCCGGTTTAGGTGCCATTTCACGCTGGCCCCAACACTGCCAGAGCACTGCCGCGACATCTCGCCACCGCGGTGCTGGGATGCGATTGGATTGGTTGAGTTGGCTGATGAGCCCCTGTACTCCGGACCATGACTTTCCCCGCAATTATGCAGACTGAGCGTTCGGTTCGCCCGGGGCGTCAAAAGATTACGCGGAGCGTAGGTTGCCCTCATGGCATACAATATAGGGTGTTGCGTGGCTTATCTATTCTTATGAAGATCATCCAGCTATCAATGGAAACACATATTCAGCCCCAGTCTGTGTGCAGGTTGTTGGTGGCTAATAAACCCTATATTCCCGTGTAATATTCTGAGACCTCTTTATCTTGAGTCTAAAATAGAAGAAATAATACGAGAGTAGGCATCTAGTATTAGGGCTACCTAGTAGTTGGATATACTCCGTATAACCCTCTGATAAGCCCCATAAAAATCAGTCGATTTAATAGGTTGGGTAGTCCCGCTCCAACTGACTAAGGCATCGAGTGGGGAACGGAACATTTTTTGCCGGGTTTTTGAAGGCGACCGATGGATTCCAACACCCACCCCAGTTTCCCAATTAATCCAACACACCTGGGCAAATCTTGCGGAATTCATCACATACCTGGTGTATAACCATGGCCAAGTCCAAGTCTAACAAGCGCAAGCGTAATGCGCAACATCTACTTCCGCAAAAAGCCTCAAAGCCGTCTACGCTTTTACCGACCCCCCCGCCCGATGTGGCAACGGCGGTCGACCCGCATCACATCAAGACCATTGTATCAGACGAGGAGCTCGAAACCACCATCGAGACCCTCAGTGCCCTCTCGGAATATCCCGGCCTGACCAAGTCAAAGGCGTGCAAGGATCTTCGAGTCGCAGTCTATAATTTCCGCCGGGCCTGCACAACGGGACTCGACAATGCTGGTGCGTTCTCTCTCATTGTCTTGGCAACGACGCGATAGCTAATTATAATCAAATAGAGGGCGCAAACTTGACGGCGCGGATCACGGGGGCTTTGGCGGATGAAAAGTACATCGATGCCAAAGTCCTACTGGCCGAGATGAGAATCCGAGGCGAGCAACCCAAGATCGGGGCCTTGTGTCGCTGGGTGCGGGATTTGGATGTCGTCAGTGGCCTATCAACAAAGCCTAGGGCACTGGATGAAGAAGAAGCCCTTCCGAAGCGGAGTGCAAAAGATCTCGAACTGCTCAGCGTTCTTGATGCGGTTCTGCGCGTCAGTACTCCTATAGACACCAACCCGGCCGCTGTCAGCTCGGCTCCCTCCAACCCCATCGCCTTCCAGTCCATCTGGGACTTGCGTCCTCCGACACCCCCATTACCAGTTTATGCTTCGGTGCTTGACAAATCCATCTTGGAGCTGGCCCCAAAGTCCTCCTCGGCCATTCAAATCCTCGAAACAACGCCCGGCCCCCTCCGCAAACCGCCAAACCACCACCCCGCCACCCTATACACCACCATCCCCGGAGCCGTCCGCCTGGCATCCGACCCCCCATCTATAACATACCATCCCCACCCCGCAGTCCCGGGCCTCGGCCTCGCCATGAACGTCCTCTCCGCGACAGAGTGCAAGGCCATCATCGCCGCCGGCGAATCCGTCACCTTCCAACCAGACGCGCCCCTCCGCGAAGACGGCGACGTGAGCATCCTCGCCCACAACTTCTACTGGATAATCGACACGGCCTTCCACGACACCCTCTGGCGCCGCATCTCCCCCTACGTGCCGCGCTCCGTCAACGGCCGCCTCGTCCGCGGCATCAACCGCCGCTTCCGCGTCTACCGCTACGTCCCCGGCGCCGAGTACCGCTGCCACATTGACGGCGCGTGGCCGCCGTCGGGGATCAGCCCGGAAGGGAAATACATCTACGACGCGTCGCCGCCGGAGAACAGGCAGAGCTCCATGTATACGTTTTTGCTGTACCTGAATGACGAGTTTGAGGGCGGGGAGACGACGTTTTTCATGCCGGCGGCGCGGGAGGGGGTCTTGAATGCGTATCCCGTACGGCCGGTTATGGGATCTGTGGCGATTTTCCCGCACGGCGAGGCGAATGGGGCGCTTTTGCATGAGGGGACGGGGGTGAGGAAGGGGGCCAAGTATATCATCCGGACGGATGTGGAGTATGATGTCAAGCCTAGTGAGTGAGGAGTTGATTGTGATTCTGGGTAGCAAAAACAATTTTGGATACTTGGTTTGGCTTGTTGGTGATATGATAAAGTGCCTGTCTTTGTGTCAAAAGGTACCCTATATACTGCACGGGAGCTGGCTTCTTGGGTTAGTGTTATAAAAGTAATGGATCCAAAATACGACTTGGATGGATTCTCAAAGTTAATTTGCTTTGAACCAGCTGTTGCATGTTAAGCGACTATGGATATTGGACGCTTCCGATCTCGCGCCTCCCACTTTTCAGGCCTGTTACTATCTGTTATTACGAATATTGACTTCCCTAGCGAAGCAGCTAAAGAGTCGCGTGGGCACAACGAGAAGACAGCATGAGTGTAAGCGTCGAGGGCGAACGAGTCACGTGACTGACTCGACTCCAGCATTATGGCGAAGACCCTACTCGAGTGAATGAACAAGCTCTCCAAGGGACTACGCTAGCTTCTAAGCGTCTGTCGAGTTTAATTGCACACCATGATCTGCCACCCTACAGAGCATACCTAGTGCTGGTGCATTCTTCCTTTGGCTCCCTCGACAAGCTTCACAGAGCGTCAATTAGCGCAAGCCAGTCTACGAGAGTATCAAAGGCATAAACCTGCAGTTGCGAGCACCCCATATAGTATCCTGAGCCGTTCCACCGTAGTTGTAAAGGATCAGAGATGACTATGCAGGACAGTCGTCCAAGGCTGTAACGTTGTGAGTCAAACAATCCAGGATTGGCTTCAAGCTCGGGAATGTCTTGAATCGCTCGTGTATCCAATCTCATTCATCCTCGTTTAGATAACTGTTGGTATTGTTATACTATGCTCCCTGGAATGATTTGGCAGGGACAGTATAAAGTACAGCAACTACCACCGCAGGCTAACTACTGTAAAAAATAGGTCGCCTTTCAGCAGACACGAGAAAAAGAAAGGAAAGCATCATGGGACCTGGCATGTCATGTGCTTACTAGATAGCAAGATGATACACCAAAAAAGGGTCACATCGTTAGGCTAAACTCTTAATAGCATCCTTGGGTTGAATTGGAGTCCTCGTCGACAGGCCAATTTTCTAAAAGTTAGCACTTCAATTCGTTGAGCTACAGCATTTGGAGTGGTGCGGTGAGCCTATATATTATGCTTTTGAGGAGATGTTCGGGGCCATCGTACAGAACTTTTGACGCAGAACTGTACATTTGCAGTGTCACGGGGCTTGGAAGCCCAACTGGAAAGTCGCGAGAGGTAATCCTGGTCGGTGATAGTAATCTCGACAGCAGATGTTGCAAGGTCCAAGCTGAGATGACCCCATTTGCTGACAACATGCAGAGATCCCTGCTAGGGATTATTTGATTAGCTAGAATACGTGGTGCTTGCAACAGACAAAGGAACTCTACAGCTATCATGAAAAGCAAATATACTCTTGACGAAGAGACTTGTATCCGTGGCATCACCCATGGGATTGAGTTATCTCCCAAGACTATTATCAACGTCTATACTTCCCATCGAGTCTCTACCACCATGAAGACCCTACCCTTGTTGTTGTTGTTGTTGTTGTTACTTTTATACCAAAAGTTACCCTTGCGCAAGAACTGGCAGTCTGCAATTGGTTTCTACAGCGATCTATGTGTCCTGTGGAGCTGCTGCTTAGGGCTAAGGGTGATTTCCCATAGAGAGCCTCCTTATATCATCTGCTTATGACTCTCTCTCTAGCTCTCCTTTTGCCTTTAGGTTACCTGATAGCAAGCTTGTTAACAACTTCACCAGCCGACTAAAAAGGTGCCATGACACCAGTCTAGTGACCGATGTTGAATATAGCTCAGCTTTCCGGCTGGAGATTGTCATGCTGTTAAATCACGTCCAAACTAATCTCGTTTCGTGATGTTTAATGCCCAACCGAGGGATAGGAATAACTATAGTTTAAATAATCTCCACTAAAGCCAGCGTATCCGGGACCTTATTTTATTATTCCCTAGTCTTCATCCAAAGAACCCGAAATACCCCAGACCTATCTACAACGTTATCATGAGACAGAAACAGGCAGCCGCGAGCACCGGACATAGCAAACCCTTCCCACTCGCAATCCTCGGCGCCCGTCCGTCATGTATACCCTCGCCTGAGTCTTCTGTGTCCGATGGGTCTGCAGACTCCGCGGAGAACGTCGTAGATGTGGATGTGGATGTGGACGTGCTGCTCGAGTCCCTCTCTGTCGTCGAAGAAGTAATGTCCGTCAGAGGGCCATCAATCGTGCTCGTGCTCGTGCTTGTAGGGATGGTATCGAGGTCCGGGGTACTGCTGGCGGCGGCCGAACTGACGCTGGTGCTGATGTCTTCAAACTGGGAACTCGCCTCTCGGGAGTTTGAAGCCGACACGGTGGCTGTTGAAGAGGTCCGCTCGGAGGACGAAGTCAGCGACATGTCGACGTCGACGTCGACGTCGACTTCGACGGAGATCCAGATCTCTATGTAGTAGTACACCCAGTAGTACCAGTAGATGATCTGAGTGTATGTCGCGACCTCGATATCAACATCAACATCTTCATCCTCGTCATCATCATCATCATCGTCGTCCCCAATATCAATATCAATGCCCGACGAACACCCCTCGAGCGGACAACAGACCTCCCTCCCATTCCAATAACTACACTTCGAACCGGCCGGACAATATCCATCCCAAGCACAGCACTCAGCATCAGCCGGCGCACAGCCACCACCGCCGGGACAGCACTGCTCTCCAGCATCACACGCACCCCCGTCCAGATAGCAGCACTCGCCGCCGACGGGGGCGCACGTGTCATCGGGACAGCACGTCTCGCCAGCGTCACAGTATCCGTCACCCAAGTAGCAGCACTCGGCGCCGCGCGGCATGCACTTGTCGTTGCAGCATTCCTTGCCGTCGAGGCAGGCGCCGCCGCCGACGCAGCATTCGTCCGTGGCTTCGGTGATGCATGTTTCGTCTAGGCAGCACATGTCTGCGGGCGCGGGGCAGCAGCTGTCGACTGGAGATCTGGTTATTAGCTTTTGAATTGTGCATAGGGGCCAGAGTCGAGGAGGGCTGATGCTACTTCTGCATATGGTATACCCCGACGGACACGCTCGTTTTACCAGAGTCTTTGAGGTGAAATCGAATATATCCCTCGCTTCTATGCTGCTGGAGTTTGTCCGCCGCGCATTGAGCGTCTGGCGCGGGTTGATTCGGGTGGGCCGGTAGGACTTGGGGAATCCCTGGGTCGCACCTAGGGTGGTGAGGTAGAGAAATTGAAGGATTATGAGGCTCTTCATCGTGCTGGATTGGCTCAAGAATAGTATGCAAAAGGGATCAGGCGCTGGTCTGCGCGGTAGCCTGCTGGCAAGCCTTTGTACTTATTGCCCAGCAAACCGAGGCTGAGCTGCTGGGTCAGGCAGAATCAGAAACCATTCAGCCCCCAACAAGGCCAGGCCAAGCCTTGATAGGGTAACTGGGCCAGACACTAAAGATCTCGGCAGCATGAGGGCTCGTATTCAATATAAACTGGCGAATCAATCCAGGTCTAATCCCGAATAACAGCGCCTGGCTGGTGTGTTTTCTTTGACTGAGTGGTCGTCAATACGAGATTTTTTCTTGTCAGAATGTAATGTTGCTCCTTCGGGGGCCGGGGTGGTCCAAGCCACCTCGAGACGCGAGTCAGGTCAGGCATATGCCACCACGGCGTTCTCGCTCCGATCCTCGTATCCACCTCTCCGAGACTTGCGGAGGAGTGATCCAAGGCTTATCATTCAACAGGCTGTGGTACAAAGCAAAAGGCTGGGATGCCGAAATATTGGCCCGGAAGACGTATGGAGCCGCAAGCCTGTTCGACACCACTGAACAAGGTTCCACGCTGGCGCGGGCGTTACCTGTTAGGAAACATGTTGCGACCTCAAGTTCTTCCGCCGGCTATCAGATACACCGAGGTAACCAACGTAACATGCAATGCAGAATAGTAACGACACGGTCGATCTTGATGCCTGCAGCATGCTTGACATTTCTAAAGGCCTCTGATCCAGCAGGGCACAAGATCATAGGTATCGCATCTTGCCGACTTGGAGCGTGCTTGACGGGACAACCTTATTTCAACCCTTCATCATCACGGCATTCTCACCCTTCAACAGCAGTTTTCCTCACTGTCTGGAAACCTACATTTGCGCGCCCGAGACTATCTACTACACATTTAGGCGCTGAGCACTGCGGAAGCTCGAAAGCGACTGCCAGCCATATAGCTCTCAGTCTCCGTTAAAGCAACATAGGTTAACTACATGTAGCAGAATATATGGAAAATCTCCAGAGGCATACTCGCATCTGGACTTTTCCGGGTGACTGGATTGCTAGTTGAGTAGATAGTAGTTATCCTTGTATGTGGCTCTAATCTCTGTTCGAGCTTATGATTTGTACAGACAAGGACATGCTGACACGGAGGCATGTAGTAACTACTAGTACAAGAACAAGAACGATCACCGAGTCTGCAACAACGGCCACGGAGACGGTGACGCAGACCGTCGAAGCTGATGATGGCCCTGGCCGACGAACCGCGGGTAGGGCACGTGTTTTTGGAGCTTTTCTGGTTGTCGCGTTTCTGTCCCTGTGACCAAGTCACTTGGAGGACTCGTCAATCAACCCTCTAGAGTACTTTTCTGTGGATGATCGGACAGTGATTTATTGAGCTTTTGCCGTAGCAGTGTCCATATTCATGAGAATGAACATTAATGAGCAATGATTCTTTGCTGATCCAGGTCTCCTCTCATTGTATAATCTCTTCTCAATCAAACGCAAGGATAATGCTAGCAATTTCGAGATGGAACAATATGACCTCGCCAGGGTATGCGGTGTAGTGGTGGTGGCAACAACCTCGAATGCCCATCGTGTTCGGAATAGTCCTCAAAGCAGCACTCCTGCCCTTGCAGCCTTCTCGATACTATCCGCCCAAATGCTCGCCATCCTCTCATACCCGCAATCGCTGGGGTGTATCCCGTCCTCAACCAAATCCCCGACCTGCGGCCCTGCAGAGGAATACATGTCGGCTAGAAAAACCCTCCGCTCCCCGACTGATTGCTTCTTCTCTACCAACTTCCGAATCTGCTCGTTGACCCGCAAGACACGTTCATTGACAGTCCCATCAGCAGCCACAACAAGGGTGGAGAGAACAACCGTCGCGTCGGGCAGCCCAGTCTTCCAGAGATCGTCGAGCATCGCATCAAGTCGGTCTCCCGCAGAGCCAATCTCGTAGTCCTGGAGACAATCATTCGACCCGGCATTTACAGTGAAGATATCCGGCAAGAACTTCGCTGTCGGCTTTAGTGCCTTGGAATGGAGCTGGTCGATCCTACGCCCGGGCCAGCCCTCGTTGGCGTTGTTGAGCATCGAGCCAGAGTTGCGCGACCCGACCATTTCCACCGCGTAGCCGCGGGCGACGAGCATATCATAGAGAGCCTTTCGATAGCCGTTTCCGTCCGTCGACCCGATGCCGTAGGTAATTGAGCCGCCGAGGGGCATCAGGCGGAGGGGTCGTTTTGAGTTCTTGTCTTGTTCAATGGTGGCTTTATTGCTGGTATGTTTAGCGACAGAGTCTCGATGGAAAAGAGTGAACTAGGATGAATAATGGCTGACGACTGACCTGTTCGCGACGAGGTGGCCGCTTGCCGAGTTATGGATTGAGCTTGAAAAAGGGATGACCTAGGCACCCGGAGGGCCAAGGGACGCAGGGATTGCATTATTGCGGGAGGCCATGTCATAGAGACTGCGAGATGGAGGAATGAAGAAGTGCAAATGTTACGAGGTGACTCCAATCTGGACTTGTCGGCACGAACGATTGATTGCCGAGGATGTGTCAATCGCCCCGTATTCGCAAGTCGGCGTCTGGGGAATGTTGCCGAAGCCGAAGCCTCCTCACGGGGAGGACTGCCAAGAGATACTTCCCAACTGGCAACGAGTTTCTAAATAACATGGATTATTGTTCCTGAAGGCAGCTGTAAGCAACCCAGTGACGATCTATCTTTTATTGGTAACTCGCGACTCTCTCACAGCTGTCTTCAAAAGCAAACTGCTGACAAGGATGCGTGGGACCATGTATGACCGCACTGACACAACATGAAGAGACAAAACATTGCTACGATTTTGTAGCCTAACTCAGCCACGCCATACGGCTATTCGTTCCAGAATAATACGGCCCTTCCGCAAGTTTAGATCCTGCCCCTGGTTGGTAGGGCTGGGCAAGCGTATTATGTAATACGCCTAAGCCCTGAGATGCATCGCGCGTCCCTGGATTTATGTGGCTGTGCTTGCGTATGCGTATGGAATGCGTATGGAAGCTCTTAATAATCCTTCAGCTGGTGATCGTTGAAGATATTTAAACCTCGAGGGCATCCGCGTCAACTCAACCATCTATCACTGAAAACAAGACAGACAAGCATCACATCTACTTCCTACCGCGCTCATACTACCTCCACCACAAACATCCTCTCTACCTTGGAACATATACAACATGCTCTTCATCTCCACACTAGCAACACTCGCCCTCGCCCTTCCAGCCACAGCAGCACCCCAACCCATCGCAAAGCGCGATCTCTCAGATCTTCCTCTGACCGCTCAATTGAGACTTGCCGAGACGTGAGCAGCCCCCCCCTTTCAATGAGCATACCGTCGCAGACCATTCTAACAGAGACTCAGTGCCACCGAGCGCTACAAGCTCCTCCCCAACGACTCCGACTTTGTCTACGACTTCAACAAGGATGGCGTCGTCGCCACAAACCAGAACTGGCCTGCCCTCACAGGCGTCGGTGCGTCGTTTAGTATGGGCGCGTTGCCAGGTGAGAGCGATAGCGAATATGCCCCCTCAATACTAAGCTAGCCAGACCCGGAATTAAGCCAAGCTAACGACATGTATACTGTAGCCTGCGGCATGGCCTTCCTGCACCTGCACCCGCGCGCAACCGAGCTCTTCTCCCTGCACAGCGGCCGCGTCCTGTCCGAGATGATCCCGGAATCCGTCACAGACGCCGACGGCGCCCAGCGCAAAGTCAAGGTCGAATTGACCGCGGGTATGGTCACCCTGTACCCGCAGGGCTCGTTCCACACGCAGGTGAACCCCGACTGCGAGCCCGCGAACTTTACGGCTGCTTTCACGGCCGAGGAATTTTCGGCAGGCCTGGTTGCGGGGCAGCTCTTTGGGTTCTCGGATGGGGTCCTGGAGAATACGTTCGGGGGGAGTGTTGAGGGGGAGGATATTGAGAGGCTGCGCGGGTCGATTCCGGAGAGTGCGCTTGTGCTTGTGGAGGAGTGTCTTGCCAAGTGTGGAAAGGAGAAGAGGGCTATGTAAATGGCCGCCGTGAGAGAGGTGTGGGTATTTGGGTTGTGTTTGATTATGAAGATTAGATTTTTCTGTCGTTTGTTGTACTTGCTGGTTGTCTCAATAGAGAAAAGGTCTTGTGGTAGCATGGATTCTCCTAGTATAAAACTACGGTTATATGGCAAGGGATAGTTTAGAAGGATGTGGCGCTAATCCTGAAGTATATTTCGGAGCCTAAATCCTTTTGGAGGTCCGGGCAGAGCATGACTATGTGAGATTCGTATCCAAGGAACAGGAAGATGTAATGCCCATCCTTAACCTTGGGCGCGCTGCAGCGTCATGCCGAACAATCGCCAAGAGCCACATTGACAAAACCAGTTTCTACAAGGAAGGGATGGGGTAGGGCAGAGCAATGCAACGCTGCACCATACGGAGTATACTCCCCAAAGACGTCATCAAGCAATTACCCGGAAAGCCTCCCCTCTCCTCACGAAAATGACATGACCATCCGGCACATCCGAGTCATTTCTGTGGGGAGACGGGGACCGTGCCACCACGGCGTGCAACATCAACGCTCAGCAACCTGCCTGTCTCGGGGAAGCAGGAGCTGGCACCCATTTAACCGAACCGCATGACTCGGCAGTAAATTATGCGTCAATGGGACGATGGCGATCAGCAGAGAAGAGTGCGAAACGCTGCACAACCTCCGGAGCGACGCTCGGAGTACTTCCCTGGGCGGCGGCTGCGCCAGGGATCACTCCACATCGTCGCGGGGAAGAACAGCCCCCTCTGGAGTGCCAAGGACCTCCAATAGGTGAACAGGTCCATACTGACTCCACCCGCTCGACATGGGCTGCGGCGATAGGTGGCGGGGGTAAGCAATATGCTGATCAGTTCTTGGCAAGCGCCACTCTTGGCGGGGATGCCGGTGTTTCTCCGGGTGTTGGAAACTTGAATCATCAATCAGGCAGGGAGAGGGCCGGGATGCATATAAGAAGCGGGAGGGAGGGCGAGGAAAGGTGAGCGAAAGGAGGAGACAGACAAAAGCGAGTGCAGGTGGCAGCATCATGTCTTCCCTTGCAGCCTCGGCTTGGCCGAGCGCACTACCAGACTGGTCCAACCTGAATGTCCTTCACCGAAACACTTTGGCTCCTCGTGCGCACTTCTACTCCTACCCCAATGAAGATGCCGCCCTTACCTTTGACCGCGAGGAAAGTTTCTTCCATAGCCTAAATGGGACGTGGAAGTTTCACTATGACTCGTCGCCATACTATGCCCCGAACTGGGAGGATGCCAACACGACCACCTGGGACGACATTGAGGTCCCAGGTGTCTGGCAGATGCAAGGGTATGGACGACCGCACTACACAAACATCGACTACCCTTTCCCTGTCACTCCTCCCAACGTCTCGTACGTGAACCCAACCGGCTCGTACTGGCGCGAGTTTGAGGTCCCGTCAGACTGGGAGGAGGGTCAGCAGATTCGTCTGCGGTATGAGGGTGTCGATAGTGCGTTTCATGTCTGGCTGAATGGTGAAGAGGTTGGATACAGCCAGGGGAGTCGGAACCCGAGCGAGTTTGATATTACGGACTACCTGACCGAGGACGGACCCAATACGCTTGCTACGCGGGTTTATCAGTGGAACGACGGCTCGTACCTGGAGGACCAGGACCAGTGGTGGCTTTCGGGGATCTTCCGAGATGTCTACCTGATCCCCTTCCCTCAATCCTCAATTACAGACTTTGAAATCGTCCCGGACGTCGACGACGGCTTTGAAGCCGGTACTCTCCGAACAAACGTAACCATCCAAGGCGACCACGGCGACCTGACTATCAAGCTCCTCTCACCCAGCGGCGACACCCTGGATGAATACACCGGCCCCTCAAGCGAGGAATACTCCGTCCGAGTCGAAGGGAATGACTTCCACCTCTGGTCCGCCGAAACACCCAACCTATACACGGTGCTCATCGAATTCAACGGCCGCACAATCAGCCAAAAAGTCGGCTTCCGGCACGTCGAGATGAGCGGACCCAATTTCCTCGTCAACGGCCAACCCATCATCATCTACGGCGTCAACCGACACGAACACAACTACACCTCGGGCCGGACGGTCCCCTACGAGTCGATGCGCGCAGACCTCATGCTCATGAAGCGCTCAAACATCAACGCCATCCGTACAGCGCACCAACCGCACCACCCCTCCTTCTACGACGTCGCCGACGAGCTGGGCTTTTATGTCATAGCGGAAGCAGACATTGAGTGCCACGGCTTCGGCAACATCGAAGAAACAGAGGAAGGCGCCGCGCAGTGGACGTCGGATAACCCCGATTGGGAGGATGCGTATCTCGACCGTGCGGAGCAGCTGCTGGAGCGGTACAAGAACCATGTTTCGATTATCATTTGGTCGCTGGGTAATGAGTGTTTCTATGGACGCAACCAGGCGGCCATGTATCGGTACATCAAGGAGCGGGATCCGACGCGGATTGTGCACTATGAGCAGGATCGCGAGGCCGAGTCGGCGGATATTTACAGCCAGATGTACTCGTCGCCGGACGATATTCGGGAGCACTTTGTTAACCACACGGATAAGGCGCTTCTTTTGTGCGAGTTTGCTCAGTGAGTCTTCACCCTCATTTTATCTCTTTCTCTCTCTTTTTATTCTTCTTGTCTCTTTCCCTTCATGCGCGAAGGACTGACGGTACCAGCGCAATGGGCAACGGCCCCGGCGGCCTGCAAGAATACATCGAGCTCTTCCGCACGGAGCCCCTCTCGCAAGGTGGCCTCGTCTGGGAATGGTCGAACCACGGCCTTCTCAAGCGCGAAGGCAACCTGACGTACTTTGGCTACGGCGGCGACTTTGGCGACGAGCCGAATGATGCAGACTTTGTCATGGACGGCCTCACTCTGTCTGACCACACGCCCATGCCTAGTCTGCTCGAGTACGCGAAGATCATCCAGCCGGTCTCGGTCAACCTCACCGAGGACGGAAGCCAGATGGTTGTGACGAACCACTATGCGTTTGTGGATCTTAGTGGGCTTGATGTCGTTTGGTTCCTCGTTCAGGATGGCGAGACGACGGAGCCTGAGCCGCTTGATCTTCCTCGTGTCCCTGCGGGGGAGAACCGGACTGTTGAGCTACCGCTTGACCCGGCCTCGCTATCGAAGGAAGCATGGTTGACGATTGAGTTCCAACTCAACGAGACGAAGCCCTGGGCTGAGCAAGGCCACGTCGTCGCCTGGGATCAGCTGCACCTCCCAGGCCCGCGCGCAGTAAACACAAAGCGGTCCACATCCCACCCATACATCCACTCCGCCACCCTGGGAAAGCGCCAATCCCAATCCGACTCCAGCTTCTCGCTCAACCAGAACGGGCCCAACCTCACCGTGACAGCGGGGGACACAACCTTCGGCTTCGACCTGCTACAAGGAAACGTCACCTGGAACACGAATGGCGTCGATATCCTGCAGCGCGGCCCCGAGCTCGCCTTCTACCGCGCCATGACGCAGAACGACGAGGGTGGCAACGGCGATATGGCCGAGTGGGAGGAGACACAGGTGGGCACGATGCATACGCAGGTCCGAGATGTAACTTGGGAGTCGTCAGACGACGAGGTTACGGTACACTACAAGGTGCGCGTTGCGCCGATGGTGCTCGAGTGGGGCGTCGAGGCCGATTTGGTGTATACCATCTCTTCTGCGTCCGACTCTTCCTCCTCCACAGGGAACAGCACCGTCACCAACAACGGCACGGCAAGCGAATCTCGCGGACAACCCTCCCTCCGCATCCACGCAACGGGCACCTTCGTCGGAAACAACACCCCCTCCGTCGTCCCCCGCATCGGCCTCCAAGCCATCCTCCCCCGCTCCTTCAACAGCGTAACCTGGTTCGGCCGCGGCCCAGGCGAAAACTACAAGGATTCCAAGCAAGCGTGCCGAATCGGCGAGTATACCTCTTCAGTAAAAAACCTCTTCACGCACTACGACTACCCGCAGGAGAACGGGAACCGCGAGGATCTGCGGTGGCTGCGCATCTCGAGCGGAGCCGACGGCGACGACGAGAACGGAGGGGAGGGTGGCAGCGTGACCCTGGACGCGCGCCGCTTCGCAACCGACCCCGACCCGACCTTTAGTTTCACCGCGGGCCGCTATCTACCCTGGGATTTGAACGACGCGAAGCATCCGCACGAGTTGGAGCCGCTGGATTTCACGGTGCTGAATCTCGATTATGATAACCATGGCTTGGGGAGTGCGAGTGTGGGGCCCAAGCCGTTTGAGCAGTACAAGTGTCGGACGGAAGATTTTGAGTTTGGGTTCGTGCTGAGTGTTGTTTGAGGTTCGTAGTAGTAGGAGGAGGAGGAGGTTGTACTTGAAAGTTTATTGAGGGAAGAGGATTAGCAGGAGCTGTGAACAATCCTATCCCATTCCCTTAGGAAATTTACTGGCATTCAAGCAACCTTACACAGGGTTAACCTTATTTTCGAACGATACAACCAGGCTCAATCGAGCCAATACGTCATTGATAAGGACCATGTATTTTGCAATATCTACCGGCTGCAGAGCTGTTCGCTGCATCAGACTTCGAAGTGTCCTCAGCCGACGAACTCACCAATGTACTTTAGCCCAAATATCACTGTGAGTGTGCTAGATACAGTCCCGGTGAAGCCGAACAGTGAAGCTTACATGGGGCCGTGATTATGCTATCGTAGGCTAATGGCTATCGATTCGTGGCCCGCTGTGGCTTGCGCCGCACCCGCTAGACCGCAGCCCAACAGCGAAGCTCACAAACGCCGTTGAAAAGTGGAGCCCAGTCGTCGAATATGATACGTTGACCATGAGCATTAGCGATCTAGGCCTTCAAGGGAGTGTTTTTATGGGGTGCTGGTGGTAGCACAACAGTCTTGGGCGCCAGGTGAGCACCTAGAATCTCTTTCAGCCCGCCAACAGGCCACAGCTGGAATCCGGGACTGTGACGGGTTCGCCTGTTCTGTGGCGTGCAATTATCGAATCATTTGGAGTTTGTTTTGCCTAGAGCTCGACTCGGTTGAAGTTGGCTTCGTCGGTGGCCGCAACTTGGACTGCTGTTAACAATCCATTGAATCTACACCTTGTGTTCGGTGTCATCGTTGAAGACAATAAACTCAGCAGTTAGCCATATTAACATCGATCGGCTTTTCTTTGGTAGATGGGCGCCTTGTCCCGCTGGCTACGTAAGTTCGCACCTTCCGCAAAGAAAGGGCATTGATGCTGTGCGAGAGAACCGAGTTTGCCTCGAATAAAAATCGACCAAATCGGTACACAGCCAAACTTCATGATGCCACCCGCTCTCGACACTAGCGCTTGTAGTCAGTAGGCCGCTAGTGATGGTAGCTCGTAGATGGTTGGTACGGGATAAAACCGGGCGAGGTGGACAATGCGAGGTCATGGAGTGGCGCTCTGCAGTGGCCGTTGATGATCGGCGCACATCTGCTCAGATACGTCCGCATTGGTGAGTGGTGTTTGTTTTTCGGACGGCACGGGGAACCTCGTGGCTTGTTGCTCAAGGTCTACATATCCTGCGGCTCGCCTGATCAGATTATCTGTATCGCAACTCTGTTGGTGGTCAGAGGAAATACGTACCCAACAGCTCTAGGGCTCCTAGTTAGGAGTAGAGCTCTAGAACTGAATTTTGGTATGTACGGGGCCAGCCCTTCCAATATCCTTGACCCTACAGCAGGTTTACTTAATAGTTGGTGGTATAAATATAGCCGATAGACAATGGTAAGGCATAAAATATCGATTTTATCTCGAGATTACATGTTTTGGACTCGGCGCGTTCATCCACGGAAATAGTAGAAGAGGGAACAATATAAGCTTTAAAAAGAGGAGGAAATCTCACTATTTTTGACCTAGTTGCTTAATAAGTTCCAATCCCGCGCACAATAGGGATACTTGGTTGTCCAGGTTGATGGCTTCCTCGCAATATAAGCGCATACCTGGAGGTGTTCGAACACAGAGGGGAAATGGCGAGAGACTAGCCAGAAAGCCCTGTGAAATGCAGGTAGTTCACATAACCTACCGGATAAGGACTACCTCGAGCGTACTTGGTCCACACACCTCTACGGTTGCTCGGGGCAAGTATAATTCTGGATGGGAGGGACCTTGACCATATATGTGTGTATATTGATACGTACATATATCATCCGGGAAACACACAAAAGGACTCGGCTTCCAAATTACAGATAACAACTTATTAAAATTTTCTCGTATCAGGGAAAGGGAGTAAATCATGCAATCAGGGCCATACAATCGTTGACCTGCATACAAACGGTCAATAAAGACGCCGGTCTGGCCACATTCTGAACTTCCTATCCCCAGGGACACCTGCCTCCCAATAGCCATACTAGGATCTAATCGAGCTAATGCTTTGTCTGACCATCCTTACTGAATGGATTGGAAGATATAGTCTCTAACGGCCTCTGTGACACAATATTCGAGTACTCTCCGAGATCAGGATCGGTGCGGGGCTATAGGCTACCAGAACGTCGTATGTGTCACGGAACCCCTGGTGTGTTGGTTGCTTGTTTCAAGTTCACTCATGCGCCGTACATTCTAGTGGGTGGTACGTTGTTTGTGAGGCGTGATTCGGGCCGTTGAGTGATCCGGCGTTGACTAGAGGGGTATCTGGAAGAAGGCGGAACGAAGAAGAGTTGCTAGCGAAGGCAGGAAATTCAAGCTGCGACGGAGTACTTCGGATGACACTGGCGTAGAGTATGACAGGGGCCAGGCAGACTCGTCTGACATGTAGAGTTATGGAGGAAGGTGGAAACTCAGCCCGCTGGACACTGCAATTGAGATTTCGAATTCTACATCCATCGTGGTGCTCATCTGGAAGCCCGAAGATACTACTGAAAGCTAACCATGCGCCAATCTCGATATCAAGTGGATCCTCATTACAGTCATGAAGATGGTTTCTCAAAATCTGCACCCACAAGGGGGACAAGGCATTTGCTGCTTCCGGTGCGGTCAGTACCTCTAGCACCCAGTTGCGGCACAGCAGAGAGAAAATCACTCTCCTCTCGCATCTCACTCCGGAGTAGTCCATAGCCCGCGACATCGCAAAATTTACTGGGCGATCCCTTCTGCAGCAGGAATATGTAAAAATCCTCGGCCGATTCAGGCGCGCCAAGAAACCTGAAGACTTCGTCGTCACAGGACAAGACCGAACAAGCACATGTGAATGTGCGCAGTGTGGATCCGGCCCCGTAAGGTACGCCGGGTGCCCTATCCAAGTCACCCTAACATTGCGGCCTTGCGGGCCACGGGGCCCGCAGATAGGGTGATGATCGGCCACCATCCAGCATCCATGTGGGTCGGCGTACAGGGCTTTATTGTCGGATCGTTGGAACGCTTTCCCTGTGTGATTGCGAGCCTGGCTCCTGGGAGACACCATACGCGGCCTTTGGGAATAGTGATTGATCTATCTTTTCGTCAATCGAGAGTTGACGGGCAACTGACAGTTCGATCTGGTCTCGGGGCTTTTCGACACTAGTGATCTGTCAAAGGTGACATGTTGGTTGACAGCGCAGATGTATACAGGTTCCCGGGATAATTCGTCAACATTCTTACCGGAGTATACCCGTGAAACTGCAGCAGCTGCCGCTGCGGGCTGACTAGCGAGGGCTGAAGCCTGAAGGTATTCCGTTCCCGCAGATCAAAACGCTTCTAGGGCATTGCATTGCAGCGCAAACGCCCGACTTGGCGCGTCGAGGAGCCATACATACTCCGTATAGCCTGTAGGCGAGGCCGCCAAGGTAGCTGTTCCCCGAGCAGCTGCGCCGATGGAACCACGCAGCGCCCCAGTAGTGCCGGGAATGGCGCAATGTAACCACGAACCCCCATCCCGCGCTGCAGGGGCTAGACTCTACATCCGAGTTGACGCGACGGCGCTGCTGAAAAGCTCTGCAAGGCTGGTGATCATATCTTGATGGGGAATGAGGTCTCGATCATGGTCCTTCGGATCAGATATCGCTGTCCTTGCTCCGTGGGCTCGGCTCTCGAGGGATTTCCTAATCCGGCGGTCGGGAAGCCGAGCCCGACAAGGTCCATAATGCTGGGCTCCACTTCGGCGTCGATCTCTGCCTCGCTACGTAAGCGTAGAAGAATCTCACCAGGTGCGTTGGATTAGCGCAAGAGTGTGTTTTGAGATCCGGTGGTGAAGAAAAGGAACCGGAGGGTTTGCGATTGTTGTGGTTTGTCTCTTTGTATATCGCTGGTATGTGGAAAGCCGGACATAAAACTCAGTCGTCTGGAAACGCCTCACCCGGACAATCCGCCAAGCCTAAAAGCAAAAATTCGACATTATAAATGCTTAGCCGAGCCTCCGAAATTCAAAGTTCAGCCTTCAGCGCTCGGCAGCCTCATTAAGATCGTAGAACTCACGTCTTGGCATGTCGACAGCTGAAGTCCGTTGACCCCCACGTGTAGCCCTAAGAGCCAATTTTTCAGCCGGCGGAGCCATGGGTCACCTCATCCGCCCTGCGTTCCGATAGTTGCCAACTAGCAGTATATCATCGTATCCCTGTTTAGCTCCCTGCCCTGAAGATCAATGCCCCGATGCCGCCTTCTTGTGGGTCCCCGGTTTCGCCATAGTTTCGCCATAGTTTCTAGAATCATGACCCACTGGGCAAGTCCCATCACATTCGATACCCGTGGACCAGGGTCATGCTGGGTGAGGTCATCGTGCCCGATGCATGGGCACGAAGGGGGTGGATGGTGGGCACTGGCAAGGAACCCGGATCCCTATAAGGGTTCTCTGGTGCGCTGCCGGTGCCATGTGCGACGATCGGGGTTTTGCACATTCACGTTACGATCATGTTTCAGGACGAGTTGCAGCTGCTGCGCGGTTCTCCGGCGCGTCCGGGACAGCTGGAGAGGTTGGAACGTCTTCTCTGCGAGAGTCATGATGTGCAACTTGACCAGCCGCAGCTGGCTATGGATATCCTGCGTTGCTACCAGGATATCTGGCTGAACCTTCCCGAGTCTGTACGAGACGGACGAGATTCGAGCATGAACCAGATCCTCGAACGCATCCAGCACCGGATGAAGCAGAATATGCCTTCCTTCTCGGACCTACTCCCTAATGACCCTTCACGACCAGCCCTCATTTGCCCGCAGTCTAACCATCATATCTCGTACGCGAAACTACAAGAGTTCATTCGCACGTTCAACCTCGGCCTAGCATGCCCCTCGCAAGGAAGACCGCGTGTCGCAGTCATGCTCCCCAATGGCCCGATTCTCGCGCTCGCGGTTCTAGCCATCGCAAACCGATACACCATGATTCCGATGGCGCGGACCGTGGCACCCGATCAACTGCGCGCAGACGTCGAAGCTGTAAACGCAGACGCGATTCTGATGCTCGAGGCCGATGCGCCGAAAGTCCAGCTCGATTCGATTCTTCCTGTTTTTATCGTCCATCCGCAGCCGGACCTCACCTTCACCGTGTCGTCGACGAGACCCAAGACCTTGACGCCCGAAGTTACACCGGAGAACAACAAAGCAGACGACGTGGCTGTCCTCCTGTTTACGAGTGGGACGAGCGGGAAGAAGAAACTCGTTCCCATCACGGCGTACAATCTGTTCGCTGGCGCGGTGTTTACCATGGATAGTGTGGCGCTCAATTCGTCGTCTCGCTGTCTCAATATGATGCCGTTGCACCACATGTAGGCACCCTTCTCCCAATGCATACATCCTCTCCTCTCCCTCAACACTTACTAACCTATCACAGCGGCGGCATGGTCCGCAGCCTCTACGCCCCCATCCTCGCTGGCGGCACAACAATCTGCTGCGCCTCCTTCGACCCCAGTCTATTCTGGGACGTCGTCGAAGCGCACGATCCCACCTGGTACTACGCAACACCTACAATGCACCAAATGATCCTCGCCGAGTCAACCCACCGCCCCGACGCCCTGCGCACCTCCCGAATCCAATTCATCATCAACGCCGGCGGCGGTCTCCCCGCTACACTCGCCGTCCAGCTCCGCGAGGTGTTTCAGTGCACCGTCTTCCTAGTTACGGGATGACAGAATGCGCGCCCATCGCCTCGCCGCCGACGGATTATAAGCTTGAGCGCGAGGGGACGTCGGGAAGACCCGTTGGACCCGATGTGGCGATTCTCGACGGGTCGGTCCCGGCGCAGCGCGTCGCCCCGGGAGTCACCGGAAGGATCTGTGTGCGGGGGTTTCCTGTTTTCCCGGGGTATCTCACGCCCGAGGGGAGTATTAATACAGATGCCTTTGAGGCAGGCGGGTGGTTCGATACGGGTGATTTGGGATGTCTTGATGAGGACGGATACCTGTTTATCACGGGCCGGAGCAAAGAGGTTATCAACCGCGGCGGAGAAATCATCTCGCCGATTGAGGTTGAGAATGCCATTCTTTCTGCGGCAAGGGATCCGGCTTCGATTCTGTATGGGCGGGTCAGCGAAACGCTGGCGTTTTCAGCGCCTCATGATGTCCTCCAGGAGGTTGTTGGCGCTGTTATTGTTACTGCACCTGGATGCAGCAGGCCCGATCTGAGGCAGATGCACGAGGCGCTCGGAGAGAGGCTGCATCAGCCCAAGTGGCCTGCTCTGCTTGTGTACATGGACGAGGGGGTGCCAAAGTCGAATAACAAGTTGCAGCGCATTCGGTTGGGCCAGAGGTTGGGGCTCGAGACCTTGACTGATGCTACGCCTGTTGCGGAGAGGCATTTTCAGGCAAAGAGTCCTCCTGCGGGGACTCCGTTGACGGTGTCTATTCCGCATACCATGTGCTGGGTAGATGGGTCTCAAGCTCAGCATCATATCGTGGAGGCAGCAGGCATTCCAGACGTCGTGATGCGCCACAACCCCGTCGATGGCTTCCTCCAGGCCGTCTTCTTCAACGCACCCGAAACAAAACCAACCGTCACTGACCTCGCCCAATCTCTCCGCCCGGTGGTCCACGGCTACCTCATCCCCAGTAGCATCAAATACCTCGACGGCGCAATCCCCCTAGATCTACACGGGAACATCGACGAAAAAGCCGTCGACGAAGCCCTCCGCAACCTAAGCACATCCGCCACAGACTCTTCGACAACGGAGTACCGCGTCCGCGAACTCTTCGCGCAAGCCCTCAACCAGTCCGTCGACGACATCACCGCAGACACAGACTTCTTCGCCGCGGGCGGCGACAGCCTCAGTGCAGGCCGACTCATCTCGACGCTGCGGCGCGAATTCGAGATACGGCTTTCGGGCGACGTACTCTTTATTCATAGTACCGTCGCGGACATCACGGGGATTGTTGACGACGCATGTGCGAAGAATTCTAGCACTGAGAAGAAGGCCTCTGCGGATGACTTACCGGGGTGTCGCGAGACGAGGAGCTCGACGAATCCAATCGTTCTGATGATCCAGCTTATCCCCATGCTCGTGTTCTTTCCCTTGCGGGTGGGCATGCAGTGGACGATTTTTGTTTTCGTCATGGGTGAGACGGCGAGGAGGTTCCCGCCTGATGATGAGCTATTCGGGCGACTGGTGCATATCGTTTTGGTTGGACTGGCCTCTAGACTGGCCATTGGGATTATTGCGCCTCTTGCGGCGATTCTCTTCAAGTGGATTGTCATGGGCAGGTATCGTGCAGGGCTGTATCCCATGTGGGGATCGTACCATACGCGCTGGTGGTTGACGCAAAAGGCGATACGTGTTGCTGGAAAGGTACACACACAGTTCCCTCTCCCTTCCTCCCTCCAACGATTTACTAACCCGACTGTGTAGGGCGTCTTCAACTACTTTGACAGCACGCGAATGATGTACTACCGCCTGCTGGGCGCCCACATCGGCCGCAACGTCCGGATCCACGAACACGCCTCGCTGGGCGAATACGACCTGCTCCACTTGGCCGACAACGTAGTGCTCGAAAACTGCATCATCCGCCCATTCGCCGTCGAACGCAATACATCGATGCTCCTCGCGCCCATCCACATTGGCGCAGGCTCAGAAATCGGCCTGCGCACCGTCGTCGCGCCCGGCGCCACCCTCCCCCCGAATACATGTCTTGGACCGAACTCGTCGAGCTGGGAAATCAAAGGAGGCGCGGACGAGTCGAACCGCGAGCTGAACTCGGCGGCCATCCCAACCCCGCACTGGATCTGGTCTCTCCTCGTCATCGAGCCCCTGGCCCTGCTCGCCGGCTTCGCGTATCGCCTCCCCTGGCTCGCAGGCCTGATCCCCATCGTCATGCACTACCCGCTCGCAGGCACCGACATGCTCCGCGTCATCGTCTTCTGGTTCACGAACCCCGCCCGAATCGGCTGGCACATTCTCGCGCGCATCTACTACGCCGTCGCGGGGCCCATCGTCTGGTTCCTCGCGATCCTGCTCATAAAATCCGTGCTGGACATCACCTGCGGCCGGTCTCAACCGGGCCCCGCGAGTAAAATGTCCCTGCGCCAGAAAGTCCGCCAGGCTGCGCTCTTCAAGCTCCTCCCCGGCGGGAGTCTCGCGCCGCTTACGAGATTGATTGGGAAACACTACGAGCTTGTCTCGATCGCTATCCGGCTGCTCGGCGGCCGCGTTGGGAAACGTATCTACTGGCCGAGTGTGGGACCGGGGATCCAGGATTTCGACCTCGTCGAGGTCGGGAATGATGTTGTTTTCGGGTCCCGCTCGCATCTTGTTACGAGTGATGGGAGTGGGAGGGAGAGGGTGGTCTTGTCCGACGGGGCGATGCTGGGTGATCGTGCTGTGGTTCTTCCGGGCGTTACGGTTGGTGAGATGGCCATGGTTGGTTCGGGGTCGTTACTTCGACGGAATGGCTTCTACCCGCCTGATACAGTCTGGACAGGGAGCCGCAATGGGAACGCGATTCAGTTCCCGACCATCACGGCGCACGTGGATAAGGAGAAGCACGCAATGAGCTCTTCCTCATCTTCCTCCGGTGAAGACGAGAAGAAGGGCGCGGGCCGCGACACAACGCGCCCCTTCGGCCGCGCCTTCTACCAGGGCCTCGCCACCTTCCCCGTCATCGGCATCCCCGGAATCGTCTGCTACTCCACGGCAATGGTCATCATCGGCACAGTCTGGCGGCTGCTAGGCGTGCTCGCAGGCCTCCTCGTCCTCGCACACGCCCTGCGCTCCGAATACCGCGCCTTCGACCGCGAATGGTGGCAGCCGTTTAGCGTGTACGGGCTCTTCTGCGCGGTGGTGAGCGCCGTCAGTTTCGCACAAACACTCATCGGCGTCGCGGTCGTCATCGCCACGAAATGGGCCGTCATGGGCCGCCGCACCGAAGGTGCATACCACTGGGACCGGAGCAGCTACAACCAGCGCTGGCAGTTCTTCCTCACCGTCGAGACGCTCATCAAGGATAGCTATCGCGGGATCGGTGTCCTGCCCATGCTCAGTGGGACCGCGTACCTGTCGCTGTACTACCGCCTCATGGGCGCGAGCATTGGTCCCCACTGCGCACTGCTGGCAAACGGCGAGCCGAACATCCTCCTCACGGAGCCCGATATGGTTACGCTCGGCGAGCGGGTTGCAGTCGACGACGCGAGTCTCGTCTGTCATCTGAACACCCGTGGGGAATTCGAGCTGCATCCGCTGAGTGTTGGGGATCGGAGTATTTTGAGGACAGGGTCGAGGTTGATGTCGGGGAGTGCGATGGGGAAGGATGCGAGTCTCCTTGAGCATACGCTTGTTCTCTCGGGGGATTATGTCGATGATGGGTGTGCGATGCAGGGGTGGCCGGCTGAGCCGTTTGATGGGAAGAGGGTTTGAATTGAATTCATTTGATGATTATGATTGTACTGTATGTTTATGTTATGATAGAGAAAAGGTGGGATAGGTTAGTTACATATAGACTATAGATCGTTCTTGGTCTTAATGAGAGATCTTTTGCTGTCTTTTATTGTATCCTGAAGAGAAATGATATAGGCTGTTGTCGAGCTGAACTCCGCCTGCCCTGGAGCTATCAGACAATCCGTCACTGAATTGGTAAATATAACATCTCTTTGGCCGACTGGAAAATTGATAGCTGACCGCCGAGTTGTATGTACTATCACTCCCGTTTCCCCGCGGGTTCGTTTCCAGTGATGCGATGTCTCTGGAGATCAATACTGCTAAGCGCGCAAAGGCTGCGAGTGTGAGGATGCCAGGTTTAGTGGGGTTTGGGGGAATCGATGGGAAGTTGAAATCGAATCGCATTAGACAGTGAGGATCTTGATTGTTTATTTATAAATGCCAGCCTGCGCTGTGTTTACGAGCCCAACACGGTGCTCGGATGCCTGGTGGTATGTAGGATACCCCTCGAGGCCTCGAGGTTGTCTTGCCCATGATCCCATTTCCGCCAACTCAGCCCCGACCCACTCCAAGCCAGACCAACTAATTCAAGGGAGATGGTGCGCAACCTGTCTTACGGAGTAAACAAGTCAAACAAAGTTTGTGGGGCGTTCGCAAGCTCACTGACTCGACACTTTTAGCCTTTAGTCCGTCTACAAAACTCGCAACGGGCCACGAACGAGAACAAAACTAGGAATGCTTTAGGCCTTCCGAGCGTACCAGTAGTAGCAGGTCACGCCAAGCGATGGCCACACATGTCCCAGCTCTCCAAGACACTGCCCCATTGTCCCCATTAGGTTTATTGTTACGCATCTCGCGACTCGTCCAGTGGGCCTGCAGTCGAGGCCCACGCACCATGATTGGGCAACCTAAAGAACCGCGCCAACCAAGACTGGCAACCTCAGCGCCCCTATTACCCATGGGAACCATTCTGGGAATAGCGATTGGGTGGCTCGTTTGACAGGCCGCGCTCAGCCCTGCGGGGAGGCGTCAGACAAGCCTCTTGTATCTGTGCGATGGCGTCACGTCCGCACTCTCCGTTCTGGAGAAAGTGACTACGCGGCTGGGTTGGAGAATGTTGAAGCTGATTGATTGGATTCGGTCATTCTCTATTCGCGTCGAAATGTGGAGATCCCCAACCAAGGACAATGGTCATTGTCAGCCGCACTGCATTCTCCTTGAGTAGGTATCCACCAACGTGCGTTGCCCATGCTTGTCAAACAAGTATAAAGGCCGAGCGGGGACTCGGAAGATCTGTACATTTCTGCAGAGTCCCAAAACCAAATTTTCTTAATCTTACCATTTTCTCACCTTTTACAATGAACTGGACCCAGGTCTCCCCGACCCGCTGGGAACGCGCGCTCAGCGGAATGGAAGAGTACTTTGTCTTCATCGGCAACATCACCGCAGCATTGTACGACGGCCGGCAGCAATACACTGTTCTCACAAAAGTAAAAGTCACCCTGAACATCCCCGACGTGGAATCCACCCTCCGTCACGCCTGGAAACAAGTCCGGTACGAGGAGCCCGATATCGCGACAACGGTCGAACCAGGGAAGAAGATCTTCGAGGTTCTCGATGATACCTCCATCGAGAAATGGGTCGATGAGACCTTCATCGTTGATACCGAGCGCGACGCGGAGGAGCTGTATCGCCTTGGTCGGACAATGAAGCCGGCGACCATGTACTATCTGCCCAAGTCGTCGGAGCTGGTTATCCATGGACACCATGCGGTCTTTGACGGGATTGGGATGATCATGTTCTGGGATCGGTTCTTTCGCGCCGTGACGGATCCCAACCACACCATTACTTTTGGCGGAGAGCATGTCCGGCTCGCACCCGCGCTGGACGATCTCGTTGGCCTCAAGGGCCCTATCACCCCAGAACAAAGTGAAAAGGGCCTCGCAATCCTCATGGAATACATGACCAAACTCCCGGCTATCGGATTCCCCTCGAAAGTCGGCAAAGTCCCCGCAGGGCAATGCCAGGCGATGGAGTATGTTTTCTCCGAAGAAACAACATCGGCGATCATCAGGGCCTGCAAAGCGCGAGGGATAACCGTGACATCGGCCGTGCACGCCGCATACATCAGCGTGCTCGCCAGGTACGCCGACCCAGCGTCGAACACAACGCGGTACGCGTTGCCCTGTGAATTCAATCTCCGTGGACGCCTCGAGCCGCCGTATAACCAGGTTGCGGCCGCGAACTATAATCTCCCGCTCCCATTCTCGGTTGATCTACCGGCGATGTTTGACGAGCTCAGCACGATTCTGAATAAGTATTACCGCGGGTACCTCCACGAACACCCGGAAGTCCTCGAGGTCCAGGCTTCTTTCACGCAAGCGCTTCAGCAGATTGTCAAGACGCCCGAGTACCAGAGCGCGCCGATCCCGACGGATGCGTTGGTGAGTAGTCTGGGGATTGTGGAGAATCATCTGCAGCGTTCCTATGGCGAGGGCGATGCGGTTGTTGTGGAGGACTGGAAGCTGGCGTGTGATAATGTCCTGGGAATGACGGGGTTTCACTTTTATACGTTCCGTGGCAAGTTACGGTTTGTCTATCAGTTCAACGAGGCGTACCAGGAGCCAAAAGATATTAGGATGTATATGGAGGAGATGGAGAGGGTGTTGAGGGAGGAGTTGGTGGGTTCGAAGAGTGGGAAGGGTTCGCCGTGTGGTTTTACATAGGTTGCAAATATATATATTCTAGCGTTCGATAAACAATGGTATTAATTGCATCTTCGCTATTGGACCTCTGCCGAGATAGCGAGGGTCTCAGACCGCTGGATCCTGGGAACTGCTGGCTCGGAAAGATATATGTTCAACAATGGAGCAACTAATCTGAGCCCCAGGACGAAAATTCGCGCAGTTGCCAATACGATACTACTGATATTATTATTGTCTTGTACAGGACTCATAACGCGTGTATATTGAATCATAGGCCTAGATAAGACGGAATGGGGATGATCCTCTATCCTAAAATATCCAATAGACGCGTGTAGTCCATGTTGAAAAGACAGATCTCCAGCTCTCCTTCCCGCGAACAAGACACATGCGACCACCGAGTTGCTGCGCCTCACGATGCAGGCCCCTGGCTCGAGCCCAATTTGGTCTGAGATCATCATTTGTATGGTCTACGGAAGGTCCGGCCACGTGCAGGATTTTGCCACCATCCTGGTATCCATGCAACAATGTCGCTCCACACGCTGCCCGACGAGATCCTCCTCGACATCTGGAACGGACTAGACTCTCCCCACTCCATGAACGCGTTCATCCGCAGCTGCCGACGATTCCACCGGATATTCAATGGCTCTCTTTACCGCTACGCATTAAACACCCCTCGCAGCCTCGCAGCCGCCATGGACTGGGTAGGCCAACACGGCCGAGTCGATGCGCTGCGCCGATTCATCGACGAACTGGGGGCCAAGTACGGACGGGAGTCGACCGTGAGGCTTCACTTCGAAGCCGGGGCCGATATCGAGGGCAGTGAAGACTTCAGGTCAGCACTGCTGGCTGCGACGGAGAATGGTCACAATGAGATTGTGAAATTTCTCGTCGCGCAGGGCGCGCGACAGGTCTCGGCCGACGGGTTCCAGAACGCGCTGTGCTGCGCACTCAAGGGGAACTGCTCCATCGAGGTGATCCGCCTCCTCCTAAACGAGAACCAGCCAACGGATTTACTCGACCGCCTGGGTGAATACGACCTGACACCGCTGGGTCTGGCCGCAGAAGAGGGAAACATTGAAGCTGCGCAGCTCCTCTTAGCCGCCGGCGCAGACGTCGATGCCGGGTTCCAATTCTCTCCATTAAAGGCAGCGATTGGAAAACGGCAGGAAGCCATGGCGCGCTTTCTGATATTAGAGGCGGGGGCGTGTGTCGGCCAGCCGGGCATTCACAGCGTGGCATTGGAAAAGGCGAAAAGAATGGGTCTCAACGATATCGTTCAGCTGCTCGTGGAGCACGGCGCTGATCCGACTGCTACCGAAATTTCCGAGTAGTTAGTTGGCTTGTGTCTATCCGTTGTGTGCGGAGGAATGATTTTAAAGACGATGCAATTTTATCGGTTGAGGTGGTTCTCATCTCGGTAGTTGCCGACTGAGAGATAGGGTAGACTGCACACTACTGCAGCCTTTGTTCGGCCAGAGGTAATTGATCTAACAAAGACCTCTAGGGATGATCTGACCTCTTCTTTTAGACCCCGACCTCCCGCCAAGGAAGCAATTCAACAGCGTGGAGAGGGAGAATTGGAATTACCATAATCCCCTAAGCTGTTCATATTCCACTTGGCCTCGCGATATGGCAAGTTGCAAGCAAAATGGATATTCTTAAGGCGACAATGTCTTTGCCTGATAGAAAATGACCCGTGCCTTGGCCCTTGCTGCAACATCCACTGCCTGATTATATTACAGAAACTAGAGAGAGAATCACAGCATGACGATGCCTGCTATATTATGACTTTAATCTCATCCCGTCTCCCTGTGCTAGTCACGGCATCCTCATTGCCAACTGACACAACAATGGTGAACAAATCCTGCCCTGTATTCCTTGTTATCACCCCATCTGGGAACTTCATGTTCTTCCCAAACCCATCATCCGTCATCAAGTTCAGAAGCCGTTATCTATGTTAATCTTCATACTTTTAGTATAATGTTTTTTATATCCAGCATGGCAGTAATAGGGATAAGTTAGTTATCAGCGCATATTCTTTAACATCCTGCGTGATGAGAAAGCCCTCTAAATGTCTTTTGCCCTTGAAAAAATCCAGGTAACCCACGTGGATGGTGTTCTTTATACGAGTCCTCTCCATCTCTAACATCTTACATGGGCGGTCCTGTAGAAAGACATCGTCATTTCTCTCTTGAGATCTGAGGCTCTCATTGTAGGTAAGGCCTGGTGACTAGACTACGAGGGAATCAGTAGAGCCTTCTATGGCTGAAAATCTCTACTTGTAGGCTATTGGGAGTCGGGACTTATACCCTGGGTTCTCACACCTGGCCATGCCGGCGAATCTCCGACAAGTCTGATAATTCACACCGCTGTACTGTGTATCTCATCCGCATGCTTTACCGCATCAACTCAGGCAGGTTTGAACCTGCTGCAGAATGCCTGAAGAAGAGTGACCGCGCGGCTGAGCCCCCAATGTGGAGCCGCCAATGCTTACCGAATGCTTATCGTAAGCGCGCACTTGACCAGTTCCGGAAAAGCCATCAGATAAGATCTTGCTTAGCATGCTTTGGGTTGTCTCAGCCAGGTATGAAGGAAGTGTCCGGTCGCCTTGGCATCCTATATACTACGTATGCAACGGGGCTGAAGGATCGAGCACCTTCTTGAAGAGGATCATGCGATGGGGAAGGGAAGCTTCGGTTATTCCCCCAGGGAACGTACATATAAAAGCCTGTTTCTCCCATCCTTGTGAACATCAAGAGTATCACTCTGCCAAAGCAATCTCCCACACCCACCATCATGCAGTTCAAGGTTCGCCCTTGCATACATCCCACACCCCCTTCTTTTCCCAGCAGAACACTCCAGACTAACAAGCTCAACCCACAGACCCTCCTCCTCCTCCCCGCTCTTGCGGCCACCGCAACCGCCACGGTCCAGGTCGCCTTCAGCGGCTTCTACTACGAAGCCTGCGCCGCCCCCAGCGTCACCGCGACCACCTTTTTCGAGGGCTCCTGCGGTGGCGTCCAAAACATCCCGCTCAAGTCCTTTACCGCGAGCATCTACGCCGGTGCCTGTGAAGACAGCGCCACCACCCCGTTCGTCAAACTGTATACCGAGTCCGGATGTGTGGAGGACTCGTTCTATGGAGAGTTTGAGGTCGCTGCTGAGGAAAGCTGCTTTGAGGTTGAGGGGACGTTCGAGGGGTATGAGGTTGTTTGTCAGTGATAGGCGGGTGAGAGATGTTGGATCCATGGAGGAGGCTTGTACTTGGTCCATGTGTCTGAAACTCGGAGCATTTTTGCTTCAAGTTAAATAGGGCAGTCTCGCGATTCTCTAGAACAGAAACATAAACTTCGACCGAGGACCGAATATGTATACGGACGAGTTTACAGGAAGATTCTCCATGACAATATAAAACTACACATTCCCAGGTGTCTGTATGGTGCACTTTCCTATCACCAAGGTTTCTCTCAGCCAAAGACAGGACACTGGCTGCAATAAGGAGAGAGTTGCGTACACGCAGTGGAGAGCCCCGGTACTAGTCAGCTGGTAATAGTACCAACCCTAAGCCATCTAATCTGTGATTGAAGTGGTATTACGTTGCATATCGTCCCGCGTCTCGTCGTACTACAGTAATTGGATGCATACCTTGGAGAGGATCGGGTACCTCAACCGTAGTGATACTTGAAGACGCCGCTGTTTTGGAGAAGGTGGGTCGGCGACGAGGCGAGACGACAAGCGACTACAAGCGTTCCTAAGAAAAGCAGAGCTTGAGGGGTATTTATTTGTTATTTCCCTTCTCGTCCTTCCATCGAGAATACTTTACATCGAAACTCTTGAAACACCTTTCAGCTATCCTATGATACACCTCTTCATGCTAGCGCAGCTAACTCTCCCTCATGGACGATTTGATAACCCAATGTGAAGCTTAAACAGTATTTGGCGAGCACTTGGGGCAGATCCTACATGTGAACTGCATACTTGGATCTACACCCAACATGGCATGATTATCTTGAGGCGACCGCCTCAAACTTACCTGCTCCTTTGCCTCCTGGTGTTTCCAACATATCCGAAAACAAATATTCAAATTAGTTCGAATTATTTTAGCCTGTGTGTACTTTACCTTCCACTGCCCAGGGGGCAACATCCCCGCCGCGAAATTGTCGAATGCATTGAGCAATGGACTTCTCCCCGGTCCCGCGATATTTCCGTCCTGAGTGTTCGGCAGAGATGACATCTTGAAATCACTCCTTTCACCAAAAGGGCTTTGAAAGGCCTAAGACGTCTGGCCTTTGTAGATCTACTGGAAATCCTGCGATGCGTTCGAGGACTGACCAGCTAGCGCAAGCAGGATCATGTACCGTGAATTAGCACGCGCATGATAACGACGACACACCAAACGGAGCTCGTTTAGTCGTGGATCAGGATTAACATTCACGCGGTGCCTTGTGGTGGTGGAGTACTAGTATGTTGGAGTATCGTGTATGATGCAAGCATGCATTATTCTGGCGCCATCAGGTTTAAACACCGAGAGCTGTGGAGTGAGTCCGTAACGCGAGCCATCGTCCCCGACCTGCGGGTGGCTTGGTGGCTTTCGAGGCAATCACAGCACATCCAGATATGCAGCTCCTCAGATCCGGCACAGGAGACGATGGGATCCCTTCATGACAGCGGGGGGCCACCGACAAAACTTCCTCTGCAGGCAATGGTGTCATACTCCCGCAATAGCAGCTCCTGCTTGCGTGCTTATCAACATCTCCAACTCGCGTTTGCTCATAAACGTCCGACTTCTTATTTCTTGTCCACGAAAGCTTTGCTCAACGACAAGCTTCTCTCAGTCAACTTTTCTATCGTCTCCCCCAGAGGGTTATCAGCCATGGCGACCACCAAGGGAGGGCTTTCTGAGACGACAGAGCCAACAGAGAATAGCTCGATCGACCACGATGTCGACTCCACCGGCGACAAAGCTGAAAACCTTTGGATCAGGCTCATGACCTCTGTCGGCTGGTACCCGGCCGACATGCCAAGCTCGGAAAAGCTCTTGGTCTTGAAGCTTGACTTGAGTATTCTTGTCTTTGGGTGTCTTTCGTTCTTTACGAAATATCTGGACCAACAGTCTCTCACGAATGCCTATGTCAGGTATGTTGCGACTGCTCACTGCAATTCGTATTTGTTTCTAACATAGTTCCATTCAGTGGCATGCGAGAAGAAATCGGCCTATTCGGCAACGAGCTCAACTACATCACTGCCACATTCTGGGCTTCGTATTGCACTGCCATGGTCCCCGCATGTTACTTCCTCACCAGGTACCATGCGAACATCGTCCTTCCAGCGCTTGAGCTTGGTTGGGGACTTGCGACATTCGGGCTTGCGTGGGCTAAGAATGTCGAGACGATTTACGCCTTGAGATTCTTTGTCGGGCTTTTCGAGTGCTGCTCGTTCACGGGTACGATCTATATTATGGGTTCGTGGTATAAGCCCAAGGAGGTGGGGAGACGCATTGCCCTCTTTTATATCTCGAGTCCGGCGGGGACGATGTTTGCTGGGTATCTCCAGGCAGCGGCATATACGAATCTCAATGGGGTTCATGGGCTGTCTGGGTGGAGGTATGACTGTACAATTTTGAAAAATGATACTGTTGCTGATTCTCACAGGTGGCTGTTCATCATTGATGCGGTCATTACGATCAGCATCGCTTTCTTGTACGAGCACTTGAACCCCCTAGAGGCGCACTGCTAATTCTGCTCCAGCGGCTTCATCATCCTCCCCGACGTCCCCTCCCGCAAAAAGCCCATCGCCCTCTCCCTGATCGAGCACACCCTCGCCCAAAAACGCCTGCAAGGACTAACCGCCCCTCCGCAACTCCAACTCTCAAAAAGCATCTTCAAACGCGTCCTCGGCTGCTGGCACTTTTACGCCTTTGTCACCCTCTGGACAATGCTCGATCTAAACATCCAACCCGCAGGACAAGCCTTCTCACTGTATCTAAAATCGTTTCCGGAGCGGTACTCCGTCGTCCAGGTCAACACACTTCCGACGGTGGTTTCGGCGATTAATATCGTCAGTGCGCTCGTTGCCGGGATCACGGCTGATAGACTGGGGAAATTCTGGGTCCCCGCTCTGATCACGACCGTCCCGGTTCTTATCGGGATGATTTTACTCAATGTTTGGCATGTGGGATTCAGTGGGCGGCTTGCTGCGTTTATGCTTATAGGGTTCATGGCTCGTGCGTATACTCCCTTTCCTCCTTCCTCCTTCCCCCTTACCCACCTCCCGACCCATTCCCCGCCCCCCTTTCTAACGCGACAACAGCAATATCACCCATGGCCATGGGCTGGGCAACGGTAATAATGTCCAACGACGCCGAAGAGCGCGCCGTCGTCACGGCGAGCATGAACGCCATCGGGCAAGGGATTGCAGCAGGTGCCCAAGTCGCGCAGTTTCCGGCGACGGGCGCGCCACGGTGGGTTATGGGGTTCAAAGCCTGTCTGGGCACGACGGTTGCGCAGTTTGGTGTTATTTTGGCGATTTTGTATCTTAGTAGGAGGGATGAGCGGAGGGAGGGAATGAAAGGGGTGGGAGATGTTGAGGCGGACGGGGTGCGTGTAGTTGGGGGTGGTAAGGATTAGTTGCGTTGTGGTGTGGAGAAATACAATATAGGCCTTGATGGTCTATTAAAAATAGCTAGACGTTATATGTCGGAACCACTGAGCTTTTTCCTTAGTGTCTCAAGTACAGTCTCAAGTACAGTCTCAAGTACAGTCTCAAGTACAGTCTCAAGTACAGTCTCAAGTACAGTCTCAAGTACAGTCTCAAGTACAGTCTCAAGTGCAGTCTCAAGTACAGTCTCAAGTACAGTATCAACGAATGCAGCTAAAGGCACGCCTATCAAGCCCAGGAATGGACTGACAACTTGGAACCCGCGGACATGATGGAAGCCACAACTGTGAGGACATCTTTCGTACCTCCTAGGATTCTTCCTCGGGATTTGCCCCGCGTATATCCGTGGCCTGAATCTCAACATATGTGACGCCCGGCCGAGGAGTCAACAGCGATACTTCGGGAAAAGATCTATCGAAAACCGGGATATACTCCGCGTATGGATTCCCGTGTTCTCCAATGACACTGGCTGCATTCTTCTCGGGACCTCCATATACGTGCGTGCCAATGGAAGCATGATTTGACTTTAGCAGGACTGGCGCTCCGGTTTGGCCTGTGATATGAGTTTAGTACTCGGTCTTTCGAAACTAGGAGGGTGCCCAGCTACCAGGTACTTACCTCTAAAAGTGTTGATACGGTATTCCAGCAGTTTGCCCGCCGAATGGTCCAGGTTCCACCTGGTCTGCCTAAACTCCTCGTACATCTGGCCGCCGGACTCCTCTTTGTAGATCCTGTCGGCTGGGTATCCGACAACGCCGATTACCTCGCTACCTAGCAGCGGGGTACTTTGGTACTCGAACGGAGTTAAATCATCGAAAGGGCGATTGAGCTGAACGAATGCAACATCGTTGTTGCGATCACTCCCCCCTTTCAGCCAGCCCTCGGTAGTCACGACCTTGACGCCGTACCGGAACTGTACGCTTCCACTAGCGAGGAGGCCCTCGTTCACCGACGCCTTGCCATGATACCCTATGTAGGCTTTAACCTCGACGGCTCGCCCAAGCCCTTCGGTATCCTTCAGAGTCCAGTCAAAGGCGCAGTGTCCCGCGGTAACGAGTATATCATCACGGATCAGCCATCCTGTCGCCATGGCATATCGGGTGTCTTCGGGCTCTTGGCCGGCGTAGCGGATGAAGAGCTTCGCAATGGCTGTGGAATAATCAGCAGGGTCTTTGGTAGTGAGGGGTAAGGAACGCACATCGGTACTTGCCGCCTGGCTGAATGTCCTCAGCCGACACCGGGATACGTTCATCCAGAAGCAGGATCGAGTCTTCGTGGTAGGTGGGCCCGTCGAGCTTTAACTCAGCTGGCGCTGGGCTTGATGGGTTGAGATCCCACGTCCCGGCAATGATGGACATTTTGAAGGACTTTCGGCGGGCATAAACAAGAATGTCCAAGGTTGAGCATGTGAAGTGGATTGGGATTGTTGGGATTAGACGCAGCCATACAGTATAACTTTATATCTCCTAGGGATGGGGCAGTATAGCCTTTCAAGTCTGCGATCCGCGGCTATTTCTTTTTGTGCGCTTCTTGACCCCGCAGACACCCATTCATGGATTGGATGTGACACGTAGTTTTCGTTCTCGGCTGTTCTTGCCCGATCACACCGTCATCGTGTTCGGGAAGAGCATACAACTCCAATCGCTACGACTTTCCATGCCAAAGCCAACTGAGAGCTTTCAGCTATATCGTTCCCGGAGTTTCTTTTCCCGAGTGTCGAACAATACCTGCGCTGAATCATGTCACTAAGATTGGAGGCCTCGACCTCGGCTCTGACTGACTATGAAATCCATGATACTGGTCACTTTGGTTCACATAGAAAGTAGATTTCTTTAAGCTATATTTCCCCCTCTTTTCTTCGCACTACTAAGTGTCTGCCGTACATCACTGTTGCCTCGAGATGACCGCGTGAGCCAATGCCCGATTTGCAAAGATTTCAAGTATCAACGCCCTCCTCTGAGCATGTCTAGCTGCATTTCATCGGGATATAGATTCCTTTATTTTGGTATTACCTTATTTACTATATGTTGTGGCTTTCAGGCTAGATTAAAAATAACTTTAAAATCAAGCATAGGTTTCTGACGCGCATTAAGCTCCTCAAGGATTATCCAAGACTTCCAGTACATAAGTAGACAGATGCAGCTATGGAACTCTGCCAGAAAATTCTTTTCTCTTGATTTATGGTAGCTAGACCCAGACTATAATGGCGGTCCTGGGGCCGATCTATTAATCATCGACAGTGGAGTGCTGGTGGGAGGGTCCGGGAGGGTTTAGTGGGAGGCTCCTGGGCAACGTCCGCCGAATCTGGTTCAAACCATGGTAGCTTTCTAATCATGCTTCCGTCCTTGCATTAGTGGTGGGAGCTCCGGCGGGGGCTCCGGATGAGTTCGTCAAACATGCAGTACTTTGAATGTAATGATCTCGGTGCCGTCACTATATTGGTTTACCCGCGAAAATCATTCTGGGTCAATATCAAGTCGCATTGGTAAGCATATTCCCAATAGACTCCCTCGCTTTGGTATTTAAAGCTGGTATCTTGCCAGGAGAGCAGAAAGTAATAAAGGCACACCCAGAAATATCAACCACAACCATGTCCGTTCCCCAATCCTGCAAAGCCTTCCGGCGAACAGCCGACGGCTCGACCGTTGAAATGGTAGAGGAGAAACTCCCATCCTCCCTCCAACCCTCACAGGTCCTAATCCGCATCCACGCGGTCTCCATCAACTACCGAGACGTTGCCATGATGAACGGAAAGTATCCAGTCTCGGTAATCGATCGCGGAATCCCGGCTTCGGACTGTGCGGCAGAAGTTGCCACGGTTGGATCTGAAGTGAAGGATTTCCGAGCAGGAGATCGTGTTACGGTTATTTTCGACTTGAATAACCTCACGGGCACTGAGGACGAGACGCAAGTCCTTGGTGGGGATGTTGATGGAGTTCTAAGACAGTATGCGGTGTTTGATCAGAGCGTGCTCGTTCATTTGCCCAATCATCTTTCTTGGGAAGAGGTTTGTTTGACTGTGGTTTTTTTTTTCTGGACAGTTTGGTTCGAGATCGATAAGCATGCTAATCATTTGTTTCCCCCTTCTAGGCCGCCTGTATCACCTGCGCAGGAGCAACTGCTTGGCTCGCGCTTGACATGCCACGATCTAGCGGCGTTGCATTACTCCAGGGTACATCTCCCATCGCCTCCCACCCAGCCTCCCAAACAACCGCTAACCATTTATACTCAGGAACCGGTGGGGTCAGCATGTTCGCTCTCCTCATCTGCCTCGCAGCCGGCATCAAGCCTATCATCACATCCTCATCCGACGCAAAACTAGCGGCCGCACAAGCCCTCGGCGATGCGGGTGTGGTGCAGACCATCAATTACAAAACCCACCATAACTGGGAAGAGAAAGCGCGCGAGCTTACGGGTGGCCGCGGCGTTGATGTTGTCGTGGACAATATCGGTCCTACGGCTATTTCTCAGAACCTCTCATCTCTTGCGAGAAGGGGCGCGGTTTCTCTTGTTGGCTTTCTAGGGGGATTCAAGCTGGATAAGCAGCCTGAGATCCTTGGACAGGTCCTTGGGATGAGTGCGGTTATCAGGTTGTTTCCCATTCTATAATAACACTAAAGCGTGGCTGCCAGGGTACTAATGTGTCGTTTTTAGGGGAATCAACCCGGGCTCCAAGGCCGACCTGCAGTGCTTTTGCAACTTCCTCGAGGAAAAGAAAGTTCAATTGAAGCCTTTGCTGGATGAGACTGTCTTCAATTTTGAGGACTCAAAGACTGCGTTCGATCACCTTTATGCTGCCAAGCATATGGGCAAGGTGGTTATCAAGATCTAACGTCTGTCTGGATTATCATCCACGAAATATGGCTGATTCGGTCTGCCTGGGCCGCCACCGAACTGTATTCTTCGCTCGTATGCACAACACACCAGTCGCAGTCGAATAATATAGTCCATTCTCCTCATCACTCCAGCCCAAGAATCCTCCTACATCCCTCACCCCCCAAACCCACCCCCGCAAAATCATCGAACGCCCCCTTGGCAACGGGAATAATACACTTTTCAATGAAACTGACCCCCTCCCGCGCACAAACAAACTTATCCTTAAACGCACACTCAGACTCAAGCACCGCCCACCCTTCAAACCCATACCTCGCCAGCCTCGTAAAGATCGCCCCAAAATCAACCTGTCCATCGCCAAGCGCCCGGAACCGCCCCGCGCGCTCCGTCCACCCACTATACCCGCCATAAACGCCCTGTCGCCCGTCGGGTCGGAACTCTGCATCTTTCACGTGGAAGATCTTGATTCGGCTGTGGTAGACGTCGATAAAAGAGAGGTAGTCCAAGCTCTGGAGGATGAAGTGGCTGGGATCGTAGCAGATACACGCGCGTGGGTGGTTGTCTACCTCAGCGAGGAACCGGTCGAAGGAGACACCGTCGTGCAGGTCTTCGCCCGGGTGGATCTCGAAGCAGAGGTCTACGCCACAGGCATTGAAGACGTCGAGAATGGGCTTCCAGCGCGCGCCGAGTTCCGCGAATGCGGTTTCGATTAGGCCTGCTGGGCGCTGCGGCCATGGGTAGAGATATGGCCATGCGAGGGACCCGGAGAATGTGGCGTGTGCGCTTAGGCCTAAATTCTTTGATGCTTTCGCTGCGAGGCATAGGAAGTCCGTCGCCCACTCCTGTCTCTTTTTCGGGTTGTTATGGACGTGCGCTGGTGCGAACCCATCGAAGAGTGTGTCATACGCCGGATGTACGGCGACTAGTTGGCCCTGGAGGTGCGAGGAGAGTTCCGTCAGCTCAATATCATGTTTCCGGAACACATTCTGCAGCGAGTCGCAATAGTCTGCATCTGTCGCCGCGCGTTCGATGTCGATGAAGCGAGGGTCGATCGGCAACTGGATCCCTTTGTATCCTAGGCTTGATGCCCATCCGCAGATTCCGTCTAGGGTGTTGAAGGGTGCTTCGTCCGAGGCGTACTGCGCGACGAAGATGGCGGGGCCTTTTATTGTGCGGAGAGCTGGCATTTTGGAATAGTTGTTGGTGGTGTAGTTGAGGGGTTTGTGACTGTCCACCTCTGTCTTGGCTACCCCGCGTGACGTCATTGGACGGTTTATAGGCTGAACCGAAAAGTGCTTTAGGATATTCGTTTTGCAGCAAGGCTGACCTGCCAATTTCCAGTGTGCCTATCATTTAACCGAATTAATACTGTGAAGGGACTTGGAGAGAAACAAGAAGGAGAAAAATTCAAGAAAGCAATCCCATAGTGATACAGACGGTCATAAGAGGATGGTTGGTCATGAAAAAAGAATGGAGCGAGCAGAGTTTCTTCTGGAGGTTGTTGAGCAGCCTTTCGCTCCTTCGCTGACACTACTTTACTCAATTAGGTCAAGAAAACATGTAGGACCAGCCCCCTGTTCGCACACTAGCCCCTCCTCTCCAAAGTCGTCTCCACCATTCTACGATCAAGTCACAGTCCATCTCGGCTTAACAACACCCAGTAACCCTCAGGACAATCCCAACAAGCTCATCCGGACAACTCAAAAAAGCACAATGCCCCGCATCAAGGCGCTCCGTCCGGACCCTGCCGCCCGCACTCACAGCATCATCCACCATACTCTTCTGCAGCGGCAGCTTAATGGCCAGGTCATGGGATAGATGCACGTAAACGGTCGCCAAATCCTTCCACGGCGCGCTCGTAATATTCCCCGCAGCTGCTGCGATGTTATGTCTAACGTTCTGCGCAGCTAACTGCTTCGCCCTCCCGGTATCGATATCGTTATACAGTGACTCAACGGCATTCTTCACACATACTGTCCCGTCCTCGTGATGTCCTAGATCAGCCTCGCACTGGAACCCGTATTTTTCGAATAGACCTGGCCACGAGTTTTCCGGGTGGATGAGGAAGGCGCTGAGGAGGATGAGCGAGGTGACTCCTGTACCCGTGGGGTTGCTTGTCCCGTAGAGATCCGGCGTTATGACTTCAGAAGCGACAATTCCGCCGTAGGAGTGCGCGAGGACGATGATCTTGTGGCCGGCGTCGATGAGCTTCTGTGCGGCTGTTCGGACCGCGTGGATGTCGTTTTCTAGCGTCCCTGTTGGATGATGCGCGGGATTTGTGCCGCAGGATGAGAGGGCGGGACATTTGACGGTAAAGCTACTCTCCTCGAGACGGGTTATGAAGGAACTCCAGGCTGGCGGCTGGAAGTAGGCGCCGTGGACTATGAAGATTGCACAGGATGGATAGGACATTTTCGCTTCGCTTGTTGCGGTTCGGGTGTAAGCGCAGGACTCGATGAGAGGGTAAAGACCTTTTCTACCTCTGCCAATCGACCAGCGGTCATATCAAGCTTGAAGTGTGGAGGCGAGGGGGCAATGCACGTCAGAGCGAGAGACAAAGAGCTGCAAACGCGTCTTGCTGGGCTGGGGGCGGGATCAACGACAAACCATCTCAACTGTCCGACGCTTATCAAGGGAGCAGCGAAGAAAGAAGACGGAAGAAGAATTGAAGGGCCTACCGAATAGCGCTCCAGCGGAGGCAAAGACACGCAATTGTCCTGAAATATTCCTGTCCCAACGAGCCGTTCGGGATCGAAATTGACAACTGGAAAGAATGGTGAGACCTTCAAATTGGCACCCAATCTCGGTACATCCTTCTCCTCAGTCACCTCCAGATCGAGTTTGTAGAAGCTCCAGCGCGGTTAAGAGTTTCTGTGTGAATGAGATGACCGGTAATTTTCGAGTGCAGTATTCTCAGCTTGTATTCGTTTTTAAGGGTCTCATGTGGTGTGTCGAGGCCCCAAAATCTTATGGAAAAGAGCTTCACAATCAGAGATCACATAAAACCTTGAACAGGCCTCGCTTTTTGTTTTGTTGATTGTGGTGTTACTGAAAGCCAACTTGGAAGCCAGCCTTGCGGCAGTGACTGGACACGTGAGCTTTGGCCCATAAAGATAGTCCTCCGCGTCGACGGCTTCATAACACAACACTTCCTTCACCTCTCATGCAATCTTTCTCCGTCGAGATTTCATCGCAGTTTCGGTCACCTTCTCGCTTTCTTCATTTACGTCATTCTCGCATCTAATAGTCGACGTTACCACACCCTTTCTGATATACTGTTGCACGATGGCACCCCTCCTGCCCCTCGAACTCATTATTATGATTCTCAAGGTAGCGATCATTGAGCTCTTCAGACAACGCGATGTTCCCGATCCTCTAGACTGTGACTACAGCGAGTCATGTTCCAGAAAACAGGAAATCGTTAACGAGGCTTTCAGTCTGTTACGGATCTGCCGATCTGTTCGGGCAACACTCGAGCCTGTTCTGTATCGATCTATCAGAGAGCCCCCGATGCATAAACGCCTTGGTGGTTACCGGTCATACACGCTCTGGATACAGCTTCTGTGTCGAACGATGATCACACGGCCAAGTCTTGCGGCTCAGGTTCATGCAATCACAATCAATTCTTACTCTTTCCAGCGGGAGCTTGGGGAAACAGAAGGGAACGATGAGGATTTCTCCTGGCACGACCTCTTGGCCGCAGAGACGGAACGATTAGAGCGCAAGTTTCGAGCAAGCGAAGAGTATGCTGTGGCCCTCGAAAAGAACAATCTGGACGCCCTCAAGCGACCGAGCGTTTTTGCCTGGAAGTGGGTCCTCCTGTTTCAACTCACAAACCTGAAAGCCCTCTCAATGAATCACGGGACGCCAGCCCCCGCAAATATGCTCATACTCGTTCGCCTACCGCTTCTGGAGAAGCTGGCCTTACGGGTTGAAGAGAGTTATCAGAGATCATGTTTCAACGTTCAATTAAGTCCTGCGGTATCCCGTGTCGCTGCTCCTGTCCCGGTCCAGCCTCTCGACATCCTCGAGAGTGTACTGTCTAGTACCAGGTGTCTCAAAAGCCTAAAATTCTGGCATGTCGTTGGCTGTTCGGCTGAACCGATCCAACAAGATGCGGCTCGACTGAAACGAATCCTTGATCCCCACGCCCATACCCTCCAATATCTCAATATTCGTGTTAGTAACTCGTTGAACGACGATGATGAGTACCCGGGCCACTACAGCAACGTCAAGGGCAGCCTCGGATGCTTGCAGCACTTTACAAAGCTCAACAGACTGGTGATCCAACTTGAACTGCTTCTTGGGAAGCCGCGAGACAATATCCGACTCAGGGATGTCTTGTCCTCGCAGCTCCGGTCCTTCGTCTGCTTCAACCTGAACAACGAAAGAGGCAAGCGTCTATGGAAAGGAAGAAATTACGTGCCCCAATTTCAGGAAATAGCGGAGGATGCGGCGGACGGACGCTTTCCTCAGTTGACTTCGGTGGAGATGTGTCTGGACAAGGATCAGAGCAGAGATGGTGATCCACAGGATCTCCGCGGGGGAGCCTTCCATGGCTCGCGGCCTTCATTTGAGATTGTGCGCCCCCTTTCAGATTGGGATGGACAACAGGAGTTTAATGAAATGAGGGTACTAGCAGAGCAGGCATACGAGAACGAACCGCTTGCTGATTAGCGATTCTTCTTACTCGCCCGCTGTTCTTGTATGTTTAGTGACTATGCTGTAAGCTAGTCATAACCCACAGATGCATAATCAATGCTCTGCCAGCGAATCAGACTATGAATCTTCGTTCCAATCCGTCTCCTCATTATAGACTTGGTCTGTTTCAACCCACCAACTCTTGAGGTGGGCGAGCAGTTTCATTTGGAATTCGATAAGGGCAGGACATCTGTCATCAGTAACACATTACGGACTTCCTACCCTATATATCTCGACACTCATCACTACTAGGTATTACTGCGCTAGTTGCAGAGACCTTTCTTCCTTCTGAGAGGTAAGTCAGATATCCCAGCAGCTTTCTATTTTACGTTACCTTCAGATGAACCTCACCTTAGAATAAGGATTGCCATAGTTCTCTTGCATGTAGCTGTGGTCTGAGCAGTTATCCACTCACTTTATCTTTATTCTTTACAATCTTCATTCCCTGAACCCTCCAGACATCTGCAGGATATCCTTTCCTCTCCAACCACTCAATTGCCATTCTTAGCAGAATCTCTCGAATTTCCTACCTCTCTTCTCGTACTTTGCCCGGAAGACATGCTCGTGGTAGAACACATGCGCCAGAATGTCCTCTGAATCCCTATTCGTCGAACAAACTGCCGAGTCCAGTGAAGCTTCCGAAGTCAGCCCCGGGACATCCACAGAAAACCTAGACACTGAACCGGACACCGAGCCACTCGTCGTTGAAGGTTCGTCCACAATCCACCACGTCCGCACCAAAAGTTCTAAACATCGAGCTAATTCCTCTCTAGAACCCGAAGAACCAACTCCTCAAGTCACCAAAGACCCCAAAGCCAAGCCCTGGCCAACCGGCAAGCGCCAGCCTCAAGCAGCAGTAAACCTCACCTCGGACAAAGACTGGTTAGCCTGGGTCCAGTCGGATCTCGTCAAAGTCCCATGGATCGAACTCTGGAATGATTACCTCCGCGGTCGTCCCCACCTCAAGACCGGCGTATGCCTCAACGCCGTTGTGGAAAGACTCAAGGAGGGCGAGGCCGATGATAAATGCCGGTTCTCCATCGATACACTGGATAAATCCGCCTGGGATAAATACGACCATCATGCGCGGTTTATGTGGAGGGTGGCGGATAACAACATCCGCTCGAATCGGGGGGTGTTTTATGGCAATAACAAGTCACCGCAAGAGATCGCATTGCTTATCTGGGGGCTGAAGGAGTGGTTAATATTCTTGCATTCGCCCGGACAGATTGACAAGAGGAATGGCGGGACGGCGATTTTCGGCACGGGGAGGGGATGAAATCTTGGTTCATTCTTTTACACGACTAATTTGACTTTGATATACAAAGAAAATGATATATGAGGAAAAAAAGTTGTTTACATAGGGTTCGTCGTTTATCCCTTATTTACATCGGATTTGGAGATGGGGTAAGGGCGTATTAGTTGCACAGCATTTGGGTCAGGCGTTTGTTCTTAGGGCTATTGGTGCTGGAGTTAAGTGGCGTTTGCTCCTTTTGCGTTTTCTGTTTTGCTTTATTATTGCTGATTCTTTCTTTTTAATCAGATACGAGGTACCATAAGAGCAAAATTAATATCTGAACTTTTTCACTAGCTCTCCATACGTAGGTAGGTATCGCGCCTGCGGAATCCGCGGGTGCTCCGCCACACACTGTCGAGGGACTCGGGGCCCGCGGGATCCACTCAGAGCGAGAACAATGTACTTTATCCTGGCCATCCCGGTCCAATTATGACTTGATCACTGTAACACAATGACTGTCTCGCAGCATGGCCACTCAATCTACTGCACCCCCACCCCATCACGCCCCTTCACTTCCACCATCACCCACTCCAGAAACACACGAAGACAATAAACGATCAGACTCTGAGAACAATCCACCAAGCGGCGGGCTCCAAAGCTACCTCCGCATCTTCAGCTATGCCGACTCCTTTGGCTGGACTCTCAATGCGCTGGCCCTGGTGGGAGCCATCGGTGCGGGCTCTGCGCTTCCACTGATGGATCTGCTCTTTGGGAAGATGCTTACGACGTTCAATGACCTTGCGACGGGGCAGAGCTCGCCAGAGGAGTTTCGGGATGATTTGGATGGCTTTGTGTATGGCATTAATCTCCTACTTATTGCTATACTTGTGAGTCTGATTTGTGTTACCTATCTAGGCTTTACTTTGTGTATCTGTTTGTCGGAAAGTTTGCGCTGGTTTACCTCTGGACAGTAAGTACGCCTCAACATCACCAACCTCATTCTAATCTCGCTGTTACTCCAGCTCTCCATCTACATCTCCTCCCTCCGCACAACCAAAGCCCTCCGAACTGCCATCCTAACCCGCCTCCTCCAACAATCCATCTCCTTCTTCGACGCCTCCCTCAGCGGCTCCCCCGTCACCCACGTAACCACAAACGCGAATCTAATCAACAGCGGGACCTCGGAAAAGCTCGGCTTCGTCCTACAAGGGACTTCGACCTTCATCGCAGCCTTCGTCGTCGCCTTCGCCGTGCAGTGGAAACTCACCCTCGTAACCATCTGCATCGCCCCCGCGATCCTGCTCATCACGACCATCTGCTCGGCATTTCTTGTCAAAGCTGAGAATGCGATCTTGCGTGTGGATTCCGACGCGGGGAGTCTGGCTGAGGAGGTCTTTGCGAGTATGAAGACTGTGCATGCGTTTAGTGCGTTTGAGGCGCTGACCGCCAAGTATGGGGCTTTTGCGGGCGAGGCAAGACGATTGGGTATCAGGCAGTCGGGGAACATGGCTGTCCTCTATGCCGGCGAGTTCTTTTGTGTGTATGCCGGGTACGGGCTGGCGTTCTGGCAGGGGATTCGCATGTACGCGCGTGGGGAGATTGAGGAGCCCGGGGCGGTTGTTACGTGTGTTGCCCGTGCCTCCCTCCTTCCGTCCCTATCAACTAACTACAGGTGTTGCTAACCGACTCCATTCTGTTTGAACAGCGTGATCTTCGCCGTAATCGTCGCCGCAACATCCATGACCCAAATCGCCCCGCAAATCGTGCAAATCACCCGCGCCGCCTCAGCAGCACAGTTCATGTGGGAGGTCATTGACCACGAAACGAGCATCGACGCACTCTCGACATCGGGAAAACAGCCCGAGACCTGCCACGGCCAGATCGAATTCTCAAACATCGCCTTCGCATACCCCACGCGCCCGCAGGTGCGCGTTTTCGAGAATTTCAGCCTCGCTGTCGCCGCGAATAAGACTACCGCGCTGGTGGGGCCGAGTGGATCCGGAAAGAGTACGGTCTCGGCGCTGCTGGAGAGGTGGTATGATCCGGTTGAAGGACGGGTGTTGTTGGACGGGGTGGATATTCGCGAGCTTAATGTGCGGTGGTTGAGGACGAATATTAGGATTGTGCAGCAGGAACCTACGTTGTTCAATGGGACGGTGTTTGAGAATGTGGCGTACGGTCTTGCGGGGACGGATTATATCCATGCTTCCCGCGAGGAGCAGCTGGAGAGGGTCATCGAGGCTTGCAAGGCGGCGTATGCACATGAGTTCATTGAGAGCTTGCCTGAGGTACGTCAAACTCTCCCTCCCAGTCTTCTTCCAAGGTATCTACTTACTTTGAGGAAATAGGGCTACGACACACCAGTCGGCGAACGCGCAAGCGTCCTCTCCGGCGGCCAGAAGCAGCGAATCGCAATTGCCAGGAGTATCGTATCGGACCCGAAAGTGCTCATCCTTGATGAAGCAACCAGCGCGCTTGACCCGCGCGCGGAGAAGATTGTGCAAGAGGCTTTGGATAATGTTTCTGCCTCGCGGACAACGGTCGTCATTGCGCATAAGCTGTCGACGATAAGGAAGGCGGATCAGATTGTGGTTCTCTCCAAGGGGCAGATCATTGAGAAGGGAACGCATGATGAGCTCGATAAAGCCCGGGGAGCGTATCATAGGCTGATCAAAGCGCAGGATTTGGGGAAAGTTAAGACTGGTGAAGGTGCACGGCCTGAAGAGGAAGACTCTACAGAGGAGGTTCCGGTCACCAACATCCCATCTGCCAAAGCGGAAAGCGTGAGGGACACTAGTAGTGCTCTCGAGGCTGAGACTCACTCTATAGGCGACCAGAGTCTACTGCGGTGTATAGCAATCATGGTCAAGGAAAGGCGCGACCTGTGGATGGAATTCGTGATTGTGGTGATTGCTTGTATTGTTGGGGGTACGCCTGCGTCACTGTGGATTCCCTCCTGGGAGACCTGATGGCTAACAGCTTCCATAGGGGGCAGCTATCCAGTCCTCGCGTTCGTCTTTGCGAGATCTCTAGATGCCTTTCAAATCTCAGACACGGCAGAAATGATTGACCAAGGCGAGTTCTATGCGCTTATGTTTTTCGTCCTAGCACTCGTTATCCTGGCCGTATACGCGACCCTTGGCTGGGTAACCAACATCATCTCAACAGTACGTTTTTTCCCCTTCCCTTCCCATAAGAAACGCCTTTGATAAACTAACGCGCACAGACCGTCGTCTACGCCTACCGCATGCAAATGTTCCGCAGCTACATAACGCAAGACATGACCTTCTACGACCAACCCTCACACACGACCGGGTCATTGGTCTCACACCTCTCGACAAAACCCACCAGCCTCCAAGAACTCCTCGGCTTCAACATCGGAATCATAATCATCGCCTTCGTTAACATCCTCTCCAGCTCCATCCTCTCCATCGCCGTCGGCTGGAAACTCGGCCTCGTCGTCCTGGCAGGCGCCATGATCCCCATCACCTTCTGCGGGTATCTCCGGATCCGTCTGGAGACGCAGCTCGAGAAGAGCAACGGGGATCGATTTGCGGAGAGCGCGGCGCTCGCGGGTGAAGCGATTTCGGCTATTCGCACCGTTGCGTCGTTGGCGATCGAGCCGGTTATTCTCGGGCGGTATACGAGTATCCTGAGGGGCATTGAGCGGAGGAGTATCAGGGGATTGGTGTGGACCACGGCGTGGCTGGCGCTTACGCAGTCGCTTTCGTTGTTGTCTATGGCGTTGAGCTTTTGGTATGTGTTCTCTTCCTTTCTTATCGGCGTTTACTCGGACTAACCCGCGGTAGGTACGGAGGGCGGCTGCTCTCCACTGGCGAGTACTCGAGTACGCGGCTATACATTGTTGTTATGGGAGCTATCCTATCTGGGGAGGCGGCTGCGTCGTTTTTCATGTTTACTACTAGTAAGTATTCTCCTTCTGAGCTTGGTGCGCCGACTAACCAGCTTGCAGGTCTCACAAAGGCTCGGGGCGCATGCAACTACATCTTCTGGCTTCGTTCTCTAGTCCCGAGTGTGCGAGATGAGGGTTCGCATGACAACAGCCCTAGTAATAACAGTCCTGAGAAAGAGCAGGATCAAGCAGCTAGCTTGGAACTACAGAACATCGAATTCCGATACCCAACCAGACCGAACCGGCCCGTTCTCACAGATCTGAACATCAAAGTACAGCCATCCATCTATAAATCCTCCGTATACCAAGAATAAATGACTAACTGAATATAATCAGGTCAAGCCCGGCCAATCCATAGCCTTCGTCGGCCCCTCAGGCCACGGCAAATCGAGCATAATCGCTCTGCTAGAGCGCTACTACAACCCATCCTCAGGCTGCATAACCCTCGACGAAACCGCAATCGCCAACACCCCGCTCCAAACCTACCGATCGCACCTCTCCCTTGTCCAACAAGAACCAATCCTGTACCAGGGCACGGTCCTCGAAAACATAACCCTCGGCATTCCGAACGCCAGCCTGATCCCCGAATCCGAGGTCCACTCTGCCTGCCACCAGGCAAACGCCTACGACTTCATCTCCTCCCTCCCCAACGGCTTCTCAACGCCCTGCGGAGCACGGGGTAGTCTCTTCTCCGGCGGCCAACGCCAACGAATCGCAATTGCGCGTGCGCTGCTCCGGAAACCGCGACTCTTACTTCTGGATGAGGCGACTAGTGCACTCGATACGGAGAGTGAGAGGGTTGTGCAGGCGGCGTTGGAAGAAGCGAGCGTGGGGCGGACGACGATTACGATTGCGCATCGGCTTTCGACGGTGAAGGGGGCAGATTGTATTTACGTGCTTGTTCAGGGCAGGATTGTGGAGAGGGGGACTCATGAGGAGTTGCTTGGGAGGAGGGGGGTTTATTATCAGATGTGTTTGGGGCAGGCGTTGGATAGGGCCGGGTGAGGTGGTTTTGTTTTTGGCCAGTATCTGGTACGCCTGGGGTGCATGTATATTACGTGGATAGACTCTCATCTCTTTGTAGAAACCAAATAATCTCTCCTCTAATACACTATACCTGTCCTCTCTTGTTGCTTTGGATCGTGGAAGATAAATGATCTTGCCCGATCAAGGAATTCACGGGCAAAATGCCCTTCACCAACAAAGAGCTAGTCTATCCAAGAAATTAAGCGAAGCCAATGCTCTTCTGATATGAATCATGCGCAACAAAGAAGCATAAACATTATATAGACGTCCAGAAGACCCCATTAATCCGTGCCTTTCCAATCCACCTTCTGGAAACTCCGCCTACCCAAACTCCTCCCCACAGATCCACCAAAATGCGAACCCACCCATCCAATCTCCACACATCCCACCACCTAACCCTCCATATCGGCCACCTCGACGTCGAAAACTGGATCATAGCCCTCGACTCGCCGTACCGCAACCCAGGCCTCGCTCTCGCCTTCGTCTTCACAAAGGGTTCCGGCTACAGGGGGCACTACATCGACATGCTCAGCAAAACCTCCCAGCCACAAACACACACAGAAACACATACACATACACTAACCTTCCCCGCGACAACGCACGACATGCCCACCCTCCTAGCCGAAGTCCAGGAAGTGTGCAGCGTCAATCCCCAAGACCAAAACGCCATTTTCCAGCACGCGGTGCTGGCGCTGCGGAGGGGTGAGGATTAGGATGCGGGGTTTCTGTCTGGGCTTGAGTGGGAGGGGATTGTGCCTGCTGGGACGAAGGAGGAGTATGCGGAGAGGGTTTTTGGGATTAAAGATGGGGTTTGGGATGAGGATGCGTCGGATATGGCAGGGACGGGACTTGGAGCCCTGGAGTCTATAGAGGGTGACTGGTGTGACGCAAGTCCTGTTGATGAGCTGGTTGAGGCGATGCAGGATATTACGATGGAGGATATGCGAGTAGCTCTCTTTCGAGTTCGGTCTTGTTGGTTGCTGTATTGGCTAATCGTATGGTTACGTGCAGGTGGTTCGATGGGACACCCAAGGTTGATTTTTCGCGGCGTCTTGCGTAAGGAAGGATGGTTGCTGTTTGTTATTTTCTGTATGGGAATAGATCTTCAATACAGCTAGATTCTGAGATCTCTTTCCACTCGGCATGGGTCTGTTTGGATGAACCTAAGCTTCCTGCCAGTGTCGTACTTCCACCAAGCAGTGCCTAGACCTGATCAAATCAGAAATGATATCGTTAGCATGTTGTAATTATTTGTTCTCCTGAACACGGTCGATTAGATGGCTCAGTAGTATCATCTGAATTGATATAGGACGGCTCACACAGCGAATCCAATGCGCCTACTGTTCTTTCGTTGGATGCGCGTATGAGGCAAGACGGCCGCTATCAAGAAGCCAAATCAGTTCCATACGGTTTAGATAGGCCTAGAGGTTCAGCTAGTGTATGTGCCAATGTGGCTATAGATCTTGATTGTTTTTCTGCAAGGTCAGAAAAACAATGGAACAAGAGCTGGTAAGCATGCACAATGACCCTTGTTCCAGATAATTAACAGCGTAGTCAAAGAAAAGCATTGTCCATATTATCAGGGACAAAGCTTATATTTGTTCCTCTTTCCAATAAGCGCCAGACAAAACACAAAAGCCTATATAAGCGTCTCTCTCACCCATCAAGTATAGTCCCATCTCACTCGAACTACTCAATCCCTTCCAACATTTGCAAGCATTTTCACTCTTAAACAACCATACATACACACATCAACCAAGCAAGATCAAAATGTCTTCATACGATCGCCACCGCTACCACAAAAACATTAGCCTAGACCCCGCGCTCGACAACCTAGCCCACCTAACCATCTACATTGGCCCCGCGCGCCCCGAACCAGGTAACCCGCTCAACATGTGGCTCCTCGTGCTCGCAACCCCCGACTTCAAAAACAGCCTCTACAACTTCATCATGCCGCCCTTTGAGCAGCGCGCAGTTGGCGAATGCCTCGTCTACCAGGGACGAACGTTCCGTTTCCCGTTCGTTCCGGGTGGCGATACTGTCCCACTGCCGATGCAGGAGGTCGGCAAGGTCCACCCGTTGATGAGAGAGAAGATTCTGCGCATTGCGGCGGACTTTGCGAGGAAGCCGGAGCCTTGGGATCAGAGTTTCTTGCATGCGCTTGAGCGCGAGGGGATTGTGGCCGCGGGGACGGCCGTGGGGTATTTTGTCAGGTTGAGGGAGTTGGAGAAGGGGGGTGAAGCTGCGGTCAAGGCCGAGGTCAAGGTGGAGGTTGAGGCGGATTCCAAGGGAGGAGCTTCGGTCGATCGGGTGACGAAGTGGCTGGAGACATTGGGTATGGATGATAAGTAAAGTGGCGGGGTTCCAGGTGAGTTATCTTTCTTGTGGGTGGTGCTTATTGTTCAGCAGGCTTGCAGGGCAATAGTGGTCTTGCCCGGCTCTTCTCTTTCAGCGTATCCGCGATTGATTAGATACCAGAAAAGAGTTGTTTGATCACTTACTATAATACCCTCTTTAGAAATAAAAGGAGGAAATCTCTATCCTATTTATGAGACTTTTTAAGCGTTTTCTGAGAGACATTCTTTCCATCGTAGTTGCATCCAAGTTGCAAGTAAGCCTTAACTGTAACTGATCCACCAGTGAGATGGAAATGACTATCTCTCTGTGGATCACCGTATATTGCTCTTGTCAAGTTCTACAAATAGTCCAGACGATCTAGTTAGTTCTTTGTGCTATTCCACCGGAGAAACTCGCGGATTATGCTTCCCGTACAAATATCGCCAAGGGATTTGCTATAAGCCTCTATCAACATACATGTAAAGTTCCAAACCCGATCTGCGCACAAACCAGCGGACAAAGCAAGGACGAAGTAGGAGCAAAACTAAATACAATAATGCCATTTGTTTGCTCATGACAAAGGCTCGATCGGCACAGACAGGGCCTTGATACCTGAATGATATCATCATCCACACATTGCTCAGTCAATCTAATGATTTCATTCTATTGAACAAACGGCAGGCATGCACTATATAAGCCCTCAACCTCCCGTTTGTATCATACAGAACATGTTGTCTTCCGATCTAAGAACAACAAGAAGAATGTCCTCCTCTACCAGCAGCATCACTGTCTCACACCCCACTCCCACCGTGGACCACGTCACTATTTACATCGCCTCAATCCAAGCAACCTTCGAAGCCCCCATAACAGCCTGGAAGATCATCCTCGCACCACCCACAAACGAAGACTGCATCTTCTGCGACATTACCCTCCTCGACGGCAACAAGTATGCTCCATTGACGATCCGCCGCGGCGAAACGCTCCGCGTGCCCTTCCTCATCAAGGGCAAGATCGTCCACCTGAATAAAGTGTGCACTGCACCGGTGGCCAAGGCAAGGATGGTTATTGACGAGGCTCATTTTGCGACTCATGGGAGTCAGGTGTGGACGGTGTCGTTTTTGACGATGTTGGAGGATGAGCGCATTGTGCCGCAGGGGACGGTGGGGTACTATGAGAATTTGGCGGCGGTTGAGGGGGCAATGGAGGATTTCAAAATTAGCACGGGGGGTTGATTGTGATCACAGTGAAGCTTTTGTGGTGAGGGTTGCGCGCTTTGCTCTAGTATGTTAGGAGAGTCACATATTACCCTACATAAAGCTAGGCCTAGAATAAAGATATTACAAAGAGACTAGTAACTCACCAGATCTTTCTGCATTGAATGAATACCTTTATTATTCTGAAATAGTAGATTGTACATATAGGTTTCCGACCTTGGGATCAGATATACTGGCAATCTAGAACCATTGACCCCGGAAATGGAAAACTCTAGGACGACTATACTATAAAGAAAACCTAATAGCGCAAACGCTTCCACTTGCGCAGCCATATTCCTATAGCGCCATCTGTGGCCGTTGAACAAATTGGGGTATAATCAGGAGGCAGCCACACCTCCCTTTGACCGCGAATAGTAACCCAGCGATCGTCCCGCAAGGCTGGCTTATTCAATGGCTTGGCAGGGTCTGACAGGGCGCTTTCGTGCCAGTCTTGGGCAGAGAAGTTTTCTAGTTTGGACCCAAGATTCGAAAGGATTACGGAGAAATCTTCATCATATGAGTCGTCCTCCAGGGTCCGGTTGGGCTCGCCTGTAACTAGGTCCCAGAGGGTGATATGTGAGCTGGAGCCGGATGCCAGCAGTTGGCCGTCGGGTGAGAAGACGAGTGATTTGACGACCACGAAGTCTTCCAGGGTATGCTTGAGCTCGCCTGTAAGGACATCCCAGAGTTTGATAGTCCCATCACAGCAGCCAGAAGCTAGCAGTTTGCTATTAGGTGAGAAAGCAATTGAAAACACCTTCTCTGAGTGGCCTCTCAGGGTCTGCCAATCGGAGCCCCAGTTTTCATCATCCACCCTTGGCCATTGGTGTATCCAGCTAGGAATCTCTCTTTCAAAGACTGTCCGAATCAGTCTTCTTGGGTGCAAATAGTAACCCTGAGATGTAGATCTGTAAGGGAGAAATATCCGCTATCTGGCTGTTCTTTAGGACGAACCTCTTTGCGTCGTCCAGGAATTCAGATATCTTCGGATTGTTATCACCCTATTAATGTGAGTAAGACAGTTCTAGATGGCCTGGTAGGAACTTACAGGCAGCACCGACTTAAGGGAAATAATTCCCACTATAACTTCTAAGACGAACCCCAGTATGCTCATCACCTCCACCCAGTGAAGGAAGTGGACTTGAAGAAAAGCAAAAACATCGTCAACCTGAAGTATGGGATCTTTGCTTTGTGCCGTATGATGGATCCAGTACCGGCATGCGTACTGCAGCTCTGATGGCAATTTGTCATTGATAAGCTCGGAGTGAATATCTTTGCGTTGCGTCCCATGGCTTGGGAGATTGCATATATTTTTCTTCAGCCGGTTCCTCATCACGGACAGACAGTAGTTGCTCATCTTGGCGCTCGGCTCCTCTTTATCAACCCAGAGAGGAGTTTTCTCGCGGGTACAGGGATCAAGAAGGAAGTCTCGAAATGACGAATGGAAGATCTTTACTGGCAGCGTGTGATCGCCTGGTATGTTTAATACTGAGTGTAGAGAACTTATTCGTGCTTTGATTGAGCTTGTCGTAATTCCCATGAGGCTGGATAAGGAGCTAATAGAGAGCGGGTTCTGAAGAAGAACGATTGTACCAAGGACCTCCCGAACGTCTCGAATCAGTTGGATTTTCCTCTTTCCATCGTATGCTGAAAGAGCTCGATTCAAGACTGGGAGATATGTTTGTTCTAGTTTCGACTCCTCATTTTGATTGTCGAGAATCTCAGTAAGACATTGCTCCGGGTCCAGGTTATAATCCTCGAAGAGGCGGCAGACAGTTGCAGCAAAAATGAACAATGGAATCGACTGAGATAGCAGAGCTCTAAAGTGTGGCTCTCTGGGCCAGTCAAGGCAGAGGCCTCGCTGCTTGCTAATTTCAACAAGCTTGTGTTTTAGGAACAGAGAGATGTCGTTTTCTATCACTGATGCAGGAATCTCATGGAGGATCAACTCCTGGTAACTATTTTCCACGGCATGGAACCCCAATCGAACAGCTAGTTCAGGTCGACTGGTAATGAAGAACCGCAGAGACACTGCGCGTGGCAACTGCTGCAGGATAACTCGAATATCATTCTCATTTTCGCACTCATCTATTGCGTCAATCACGATTACTAGCGGGGATATCTGCTGCTTGGCTTGACAAAGCTTATCAAGTGGCTGTTGAATCAGCTGTTCAAACTGCTCCTTGAATGGTCTCATCGAAATCCGAGGATCGTCCTGGATGACCTGTAGGATTGAAGCGCGCAGCTCTGGAACCTTGTTGAACAGCTGCCTGGCAATGGTTGGATAGAACTGAGTTGCGCGACCACAGTGTCCTTTGCCTCTTTTGAAGAAGAAGGACGCCCCAAGCAATCCTCGCTGCTGAAACATGCTTGCCATGGTTCGTGCTATGGTCGACTTGCCGGTTCCGGCTAGACCATTGAGCCAGAACATGCATTTGCTCTCTGGCAAGGTAGCCCACTCTTCGACCTCGTGGAGGACGTTCTCTCTAGTCCCTGGCAAGCAGTCGTCTTCATGTTGGTCCATATAGGTTCCAACCTCGGCTCCTTCGGCGAACGGCAGCTCCTTAAGCTCAATACTCTGCACCACGCCTTGGATCTTCTTAGCCAATGCAGTAGTGATCGAATGGATATTGTCGATGTTCCCGGACACATTATCCAGACTCGTTCTCATCTCTGCCAAGCAAGTATCAGAAATGACAAAACAATTTGGCATAATTAAAACTAACCTTCGATAACTTCAATAGCCCTCCGCTCAGAATACACCCTCCGAGGGACTATCTCACGCAAGAGATCTCTTGCATATGCAGCCGCCGCCATCGCAGCATAGCCCTGCCATTCCTTATTCTCGTGAGAGTCGGCGTAGTCGCAAATGCCATGGATGACCAAGCAGGGGAAGTGGTTCATCAGCCCAGCTGCCTCCATCTTAAAACCAAGAACATCTTGTTCTGCCACGAGCTTGTCGCGGAACATCGCGTTATTGATAGCCCGGTTGCCAGATGCAATTAGGCCGTAGTGAATAGCAGGATCGTCATCCTCGTCAGTTCGCGGTGGTCGCTGAATCACCTTTGAATTGTCACAGACCTTGCCACATTCTTCCTGGGGATTCGGATGAACAAAGGAGCTCTCATAAAGCTTATCAGCGTCGGGGGGCGGTGGCGCATATTTTCGTTCTAGTCGTTCATTCCCCTCAAGCACGGCCTGAATGCTCTCCTTCAGCTGATTACCTTCCTCCCTATACCGCGCCTTGAGCCCCGCTACGGCCGTGCGCAGGATTGGTGGTGGCTGATTGAGAAACCCCGTTTGCTGGAAATCCTTTCCTTGGAAGTCCTTGCCAAAGTCGTACTGAATCAGGCCGCCTCGTCCATTTCGAGGTGAGCTCACGACAATGTCACCGAGACGGATATCATGTTTTGTACTGGGCGCCCCACCCCCGATTCCAACCATCAGACCAAATCGAATGTTGGGGAAGCTGTGTACCATGTCTCGTGCCACGCTGGCGGCTGATGAGGTTCCGCATTCTCCCTTGAGGAGAACGGCAATAACGACGTGGTGCCCTCCGATATCTCCTAGTGTGTAGTGATTGTTATCATTTCGTGAAATCGTTTCTGGACGATCGTGTTTCTTTTCGAGGAACGCTCGGGCAGCGATGTATTCTGTCTCCAGGGCACATATCCAGCCAACGGTGTACTGGTCTGGGTCTGACATAGTGAGCGTGCAGGTGACTGTGGCAGCCGCGTGTAGGTTTATCCCCCGTCCACTTATTTATGTCTATTCGATCCCAGAAACGGTAGGTTCCGGGCACAGATCAGAGTGAAAGGGCGAAGAGGATGATAGAGGCGCTTATGGATGTTTGGAGAAGGGGGGGTAAGGCGAGGCGGGCTGCTAGGCTAATCCCTGTCAACAGTGCCAAGTAACTAAGCCTGCACGCATAGACATGTAATCCACGCTTATGCTCAGCATAGAATCAGTCTAAAGCCTGCGAAAATATGGTCATTATTCGGTGCTTCGGCTCACTTGCAATCGATGGGATTCCCATGCAGATGGGTTACCAACGAATCTCTTTGAATGTGACTTTTCCCTCTTTCCGAGCCGTACCCTACCCATGTTGACCTACTGCTGCCTGGGACCCCTTCATTGATGAGAGAACCAATAGCATTATTATCCGGTCGGGAGAGATGGGATACAACGTGGAGCAATGGTTGGTCTTGCTTCTGTCTAATACACTTCTCGTTTGGTGAGTCTAATAATCGTCGGCCTATAGCTGACTATGTGAAGGGTCCACACCAATGACAGACTAATCTGTGTTTGACATCGCAGCCCCTATCACTAATAGTCTGAGTGGAGCGTTTCTGATATATATGGAAGTCCGTTTTCTTTTCACATATAAGTGGCTACTTATGTTCTATGGGAGCTCTCACGAAGCGCAATGTCGGTGCCAGCTAAGGCGACAAGGCGCTGGGGCAGCTGAGCAAGGTAACAACTGAAGCCCTGATTCTGACGGAAGGGTCACAGAGCGATGTTCCTCGACTCCCAGCTCATTCAGGAAAATCCGAGCCCAGGTAGTCTACAAGGCGTCGCGCAGAGATACAAGCCGCTGTAGCTGTCGTTTACACTTGTTCCCCGGGTACAGAGACAACGAGGGGCGATTCTACCCAACACTGAACATATCAACGCCTGAAGAAGATCGGTTCAACTAGTTCTAAGCCTAGATAGTTCGATGCGGCTGGTCTAATAAGAGAAAACTGTTGTAACGTATCCTGAGTTACAAACAGGAAAGGAAAAGAAAGGAGGGAGGCGTGTTTCAAAACTGCCTCCTCCATCGGTAATCGTCGCTTTGGGGGGAAGGGTCGAGTGCGCTTGGTTCCACCATGGTATGCTGGGCGGCTCACTCGTCAGTAGTCGTGCTCCGAGGAGAGATCAAATTCGGTCGCTTCCTCCACAGTGGGTTCGCGGCTCAGGAAATAGCTCTGGACGGGGGAAAGGGTCGCCGCACGCTGCCTAATACGATGGAGGTGGGCGACTATTTCGATCTGTTGTCCGTCCCTCCAGCTGAGAGTATGGGTGGAGACCTATCCGCGTTAATGCATGATTCTACCAAAGCAAGCGTGCGGTCAGAGATCGGGTGATATATCTTACCTTTCCCTGGGTATCGAGTCGAATAAAAGTCCAGAACAAGCTGTCGCTTGCGATGCCGTAAAGAGTAGTGCTGGGCCGGCTAGCCTTCTTGCGGGCATGCATGATCATCGCTACAAGGATAACACACTATATTAGAACTCGAATGTCAATAGCAAGGGAGTGTCGAAAGACTAAACTTACATAGATAGCAAAATGCCCGAAGGAGGCCCTCCAGGTGGTTTCTGCCCCTCTTTGGCGTCACGACGACCATATTGGTCTCGGCATCTTTGTGGTTACCGTACCACAAACAATAATCCATCCTGCCCCGGAGCAACTTTGGTGTATTGTCGTGGGTCCAGGGGTAAGATAGGCTGGTCTCAAGGCCCCAGTGAAGGGACTTGTAGGAAGCGTTGCTTTCGGTGGAGACACGCTTGTTCGCACCCTTTCCCGTGCCGTACTGACCAAATTCTTCCTTTTTCTTCGCGGCGAGGATGGTGAAGAGGATCACATTCAGTCTGGCGCGACAGACAGCCTCGTTCCTATCGCCCTTTCCGAAAACCAAGTCGTAATCACTCAGGGTAGCGCCTAAAATACGCCAGTCAGACCTTTAGGATCAATCATGGTGAAGGTAATATGACTTACGCAAGTGGTCTGGGATAGCACGCCGGTCTGAGACATCCAGGTGCCAGATGTCTCCGTGATTTTCGGCAAAAGTGAGATCGAACATGTCCTCCACATCAACGTCGCTGAGATCCGTGACAGCTTTGGAGGGAAGTTTCTTCTGCACAGGCTTGGCGGTGGGCTTGGGAGCAGGCTTCGCGGCACCTTTGTCGGAAAGCTTGGTAGCAGATTCGGGAGCGGGCTTTTCGGCAGCCTGCTCAGTGCTCGTGGTGGGCTTGCTGGGGGTCTTTTTGCCATGGGTCTTGCCGGTTTTGTCGTCAACGGAGGCTGCAAGGCTGGAGGTGTCGTCTGCCTTCTTCGAGTGCTTTGGCTTCTTCTGGCGCTTAGCCGAGTCCTTCGATTTGTTGTGAATTTTACTGAACCAAGCCATCTTGCAGTATCGGAACGAGGAGGCGTGGTTGGAAGTGTCTGTGGGGGACAAAAAGGTCAAAGAAGGTAAGCGATGCAGTGAGTATTGTGGGTTCGACGGTAGGAAGGGATGAATAAAAGAGAGTTGTAAAGGAGCCAAGGGTGTGTAGTAAGAGGAAAAAGAAAAGAGAGTGAGTGTCTGGAAGACGAAATATCAGGGAGCAAGAGAGGTCTTATATACGTACGACTGTTGGCTTTGGAAGTCACTTCGCCCTCATCATACAGGGCACTCCATTGTTTCCAATCCCATATTGACGAGCCCTTCTTCCAGTTACCTGGTGATTGACCATACAATGGTCGCATTGTTGCTGCGGTTTCTAGTATTGTGTCGATTGTGTTGACAATAGCTTGTTCCTCGCCGTCGGCCCAATTCAGCACGAGTGGAGAATACTATTCACGAGAATATATTAGCTTCACTTTGTATGTTGCTAAGAACAGAAGAATCAAGGGTGCAGGTGGCAGACCTTGTTTTTACTATTGAGGTGGATGAACACCCATTTAAAGCCATCAGTGAATATTCCAAAGGTCCCCTTATTCACGCCTCGCTCAACCCGATTATTCTGGATTATTGCTGTGTCCTGTTAGCATCCTGAATACGAGAGATAACCAAGTCAATGGCACTTACCCATGGCAGCAACAAGCGGCAAGTACTGTTCTTCACTGGCGATCGGCTCCTCCGCGCAGATAACGACACAGTTGGTTTCGAGGTTTCGCCGATTTCCATACCATAGAACGTAGTCGAGTGCGCAGTCCAGGACATTGTCTCCGCCATTTCCTGGAGTTTCTAATGCTATTACTTGCTCGTAGCTCCAGAAAATCGTTTTCAACTTGTCCAAAGTATACTTCGTTTGCAGCTTTTTCTTCACTTGAGCCAGCGCCAGATGTAGGATTACATCTACTCGGGGCTGGGCAGGCATGATGAAGTCTCTATCGGCCGGATCCGTAGGTGTCAAGGCCAGGCGGCAGTCCTCCAGCACGCACTGAAGGTAGTCCGGTGGCTCTGGCTCAGCTTCACTCTCAGTTCGACGCCTGTTCCTGCTGTGACTGAAGTATCGATCCTTGCCCATGATTTTCTGACTGCACTGCATGTTTCGAAGTTGTGGATGAAATCTTGGCGATGGAGGGTGCTGCGTTGTGTAGAGAAAGAAGGATGAGATTTTGTCGTGGCAAAAATATGGGCTGACTCTAGGTAATCTAACTTTGCTACTTTGAACTATGATGCTCTCATTAGACTTTGAACGCGTCGACCTCGGAAGCTTTCTCCAGGAGATAGACTCTTGTCTGCCCCAAAATCTATCAAGACGGCGCTAATAGCACTGGGGAGTGATCTGTGCGGATTGGACCAAGCATCACTCAGGCGCTTATAATTTCCTTGTTTTCAATCATCTGATTTGCTTTCTTTCCTGCACAAAGCCGAAAAACGCCTTGTTTGAGCGAAACCATGATCTAGCGCCCTGGTTGGCCAATAACATCACTCAGAGCTTGGGGAGACAAGGTGGATCAGGCTCCCATCGCTGCGGCTCTGCCTATTTCTCGACGCCCCGCATTATTTATTCCACCTCTTCTCGTATGCGTATGCGTTTGCTCTTTCTCTTTCCCCAACCTCCTTGATTTTCATCTCTTCATCTCCCATTTTGCGCATCAGATTCATCTTTACCAGTATTGATTCATCGAGGAGGGAAAAAAGTGCACAAAAAAGTCATCAACATGTCCGAAATCACCACCTCGGAAATCCTCATCTCCGATCTCCCCACCAAACAAGTCACTCTCGCGCCGCAACAGGTCACCATCGTCCGCGAGATTCCAACCACCATCCAGGTAAGCATCTGATTTTATCGTTGGTCTTCCAACATCATCGCAATCAGCACTCCAAACCGACAGCGCGACTAACATACTCCTCTTCTTGCGAAGCCCGGCCAAAACGAAATAACACTGCTCGGTCTCGACCCCCGCGTCAACGCACACTCCATCCGCATCGAAGGCTCCGGCGCGGCAACAATAACCGATATCCAAACGAGCATCGTTGCGCGCGACGAGGATTTCAACGACGTCTATCCACCGGACGACAGCGACAGCGACAGCGATGCCGATAGCAAAGCAGAGGAGGAGGAAGACATCTCTGAAGATGAAGACGGGCTAAACGATAACGAACTGCAAGAGATCCGACGGGAGATTGCGAGGGTCGAGGCGAAGATCGCGACGGCGCGGAGCGAGATTAATTCCGCGCTGTCGATGCTGGGGATCATGGATCAGTATGGGAAAGGGTTTTCGACGGAGAAGAACAGAGATGTCAAAAAGTTTGGCGAGTTTTTGGAGTTGTATAATGGGCGAAGAAAGGAGGGGGCGGAGAGACATCAGAAGGCCCATGCGGAGATTGCGGTCCGTGAGAGGGAGCTGGCGAAGCTGCAGCGGAAGTTCAGTCGGCGAAAGGTGCGGTATGCGAAGGAGCGGAGGGAGGTATCCAAGGCGTTGAGGTTGAGGAAGGAGAAGCGCGACCGGGCGCTTGCGAGGAAGAAGGCTCTGCGGAGTCAGAAGCGCAATGAGCTCAGGGCGTTTTGGACCTCGACGGTTGGCAAGGTCGTTGTTTCGCTGGATAGCCAGTCTCTGGGATTCACGCCGGGATCAAGCCGACGGAGCTCGATTGTTAGTGCCGTGATCGCGCGGTCTGATGAGAGCCAGAAGCAAGATCTCATCGACGTCACGCTCCGTCTGAGCTATATCGTCCCCGGGCGAAGCTGGTTCCCACGGTATGAGCTGCGAATCAACTCGCCCTCCTCGTCGGCGCGGCTGACATACCGCGCTGAATTCAACAACTTGACCACCGAAATCTGGCGCGATACCCGCGTAACCCTGTCCACATCGCAGGCGTCGTTTGACGGCATTGGCGTGCGCATTCCTTACCTCGATCCCTGGAATATCAAACGAGTCACGACACTGTCCAAGAGCCCAGCGTGGCATCGCATCTTGGAGAACCCGCACGGCTTGCTCGGACCGACCCCTCCGCCGTTTCCAAAGAATGGACTCTTCGGCGCGCCTCCACCGCAGGTTCCGGGGGCTCAAAAGGGTTTCTTGTCCGGGCAGCCAAAGCCTGTCTTCGCATTCAACAACGTCGATGCTGGAAATGCAGCACCAGGGAACGGGTTTGGCCAGTCCGCACCAGCGGCCAATTCAGCTTCGCTATTCGGCGGCAACGCGCAAGCGAACAATGCAGGAGGGGGGCTGTTCGGAGCTCCAGCTCCAGCCGCCGGTCCATCTCTCTTCGGGGCGGCTCCCAACAACCCAGGAAGGGGGTTCGGATCTAACAACGTAGCTGGAGGATTCGGGAACATGGTGGCACGACCAGCAGCAAGGTCCAAAAAAGTCGTCGTCGATGCACTGCAGAATGAAGAGGTACAGTCAATAGGTGATGGCCTCTTCGGGAGCGTCCCGAGTTCAGCGCACTCACGGCCTCGTCCTCGTCTTGCTGCGTCGATTTCCCCAGATGACGGCGACAGCCAAGCAGAGACGCTCCCTCCGCCACCACCTGCACCAGGTGCAGCAGCACCAGCATCAACCCTCCCCGCCCCAACGGACGAACAGCTCCCCCTGCCGCAACCCGGTGGAGGCCGCGGCCTCTTCGCCCGTCTAACGCAATCCATCACCGGAGACGGAAACGAATCCGAAACGTCCAAAGAAATCAGCGCAACCGTCGAGCTCGAAGGTTCCGACTCCGACGGCGATGACGACGGTGCGGACGCACAAACCCTCACCTCCACGTCCCTCGAGCACCAAGACTCCGTGAAACAAGACTACGGCATGACGACAACGTACGAGCTCCCAGGCCGCCGCACCCTCTCCCCTTCGCACGTCGCGCGCCGCCACGTGCTTGCCGAACTGGACCTCAAATCCGTAACACTCACCTACGTGATCGTGCCCAAACGCCGCGAAGCCGCGTTCCTCCGCGCACGAATTAAAAACACATCCAGCCTGACCCTGCACCCAGGACAAGTGGGGATCACAGTCGACGGCTCGTTCGTCGGCACAGCGGGGCTTGATACATGCGCGCCGGGCGTCTTCTTCAACATCTCACTCGGAATCGACCCGGGAATCGAAGTGAAGTACTCGAAACCCTCCGTGAAACCGCTCGCGGGCGCGCTGTTCTTCAACAAAGAAGATGGCGCAAAGTTCCGGCGCTCGACATGGGTTAAAAACACCAAAGGTGTTGCGGTGGATCTCCTGGTCTCCGACCAGATTCCCATTTCGGATGATGAGAAGCTGCGTGTAAGGGTTTTAGAGCCTGCGGGCTTGGAGAAGGAGGGTGATGAGATCGATGTCAAGATGGAGAAGAGTAAAGGGAGCGGCACGGTGGCGTTACGGAAGAATGGCGAGGTGAAGTGGACGTTGAAGCTGCAGCCGAGCCAGGAGATTAGGCTTGTGTTGGAGTATGAGGCTAAGGTGCCGGTTGGGAGCGATGTGAGTCCCGTTTAGGAACTTTGGTAGATAGCGTAGCGTAGCATAGCACAGCACATCAAACGAAATCGAATATGTCGTCAATCAGCGACTCGAATCAATCCCATACTCCCTCCCTACTCCCGGTAAGAAGCACCAGGAAACAAATCACCACTCAAAACTCCCCGGCATCCTCCTACCAATCTTCTCCCCCTGTTCAATCCCCCGCATCTCCTCATCACTAATGCCCCACCGCTCCCTCCAACAAGCCACCTCCTCCTTCCAGAGGTCATTCACGCACGGATCACACGAACTCCCACAGCATTCGCCCAAACCAGGCTTCGGAGGCGGATCATCGTGGTCCCGGGCCGCCGCGCGAATCAGCTGTTTTGTGCGTGTTGCTGTGAGGCGCTTGGCGTTTTTGATCCGTGGGACGTCCTTGGGTTCAAAAAGGGGAGTTTTGGACATTTTGCTATTCAATACTTAAATTGGGAGCAAAGCTACAGAGCTACGCTTGCGGGTCCTGGTGTGCTTGATATGGCATTGGAGGGCTGGGATGATATATGTCACGTGATAAGTAGGCAGGACCGGGATTTTCCGGCGGGAGAATTTTAGGCCGGGGCAGCATGTTGAAGGCCTGAAGGCCTGAGGCTGAAAAACGCGAAAGACGATTCATGGTGGATGTTTAATGAGAGGATCACTCGAGCTTAGGGAGCAAAACAATGTCCTTAAGGAACAGAAGCAGAAGATTGAGACGGAAAATATCCTATGGACTCCCGCCGGAATCGACAACCCAGCCTCTCAATTGGACACCCTCAACTCCCGCAAGCTTCAAGTCTTCACGTCTCAACTTTTTGACGAGAGTGCGCGTAATTAAAACCAGAGGTTCAAATGGACAAGGACGTGTGCACACCACCCTCCTTGACTACTACTACTGCCACGGCACACCGTTTCCCTTCTCTTCTCCCTTACTCAGCTGCTGTCAGAAACTCGGTTTCGCAGCGATGAAGTCAAGATGAAATCAAAGCCAGCCAGACGAGAGCGAAATAAATAACAGCCGGTAATATACATACACGATCGTCACAAGGATCAAAGTGACCAAACAATTTTGCAGCAGGCACTCACTCCGAGAGCTCTTGGCGCAGGGGGCTGCTGACTAGTCAACGCAGCTTGCCGGAGCTCCGTCCGATAGCTCAGATTTTTCGATTCGAGAGCCGTCGCCGGAGCAGCATGCATGCAGGCTTCCAGGATATTGATTTTTCCCAGAGAAACGGAGGTCAATTGCATGAATAGATCGGTCTGTTTCAATTGAGAATTCGAGATGACTGAGCGGTGTGTTTGTTTAGGCTGAGGGAATTGAGTTGGGCCGACCGTCATCGCTGACGTTTACACTGGCGGTCCCGGTGGTTGCTGCGCTTTGGGTGTTGGGGATCCGCGTTGCTCCGCGAGAGGCAGACAGCTGGCTTTAAGATTGAACGTTGGGGTGAGCTGTTTACGTGTTTCTCAAGTTACAGAAATCAGAATTCAAGATTGATATCAATCTTTGTCTATAAAGTCCATGATTTGAGTTGAGTAGAGGCACTCGTAAGTGGTCATTTTATGAATTCTATATGTACAGTGTATTGCTTGTAGACGGGCCGGAAACAAATGAGAAAAATGGAAAGGATGATAATGTAGTACATGAGATATAAAAAGACCACCACAGATTACCTCTTCCCTGACTTTCCGGAGAAGGAGGCCAGGCAAAAAGCGGTTTTGAAGAAAAAACAAGACCAAAGGATCCAATTCCCAAATTCATTCTTTCCCAATGCTCGCAAACAATTGTCCCGTCCATGATCGAGTCGTCAATTGATGTTGTTTGGAAACAGAAAACTCCGGTATGCCTCTCTCCCTCGTATTTCTTTCTCGTGGTGATGTGATTTTTTCGGGTTCGTTCACAAGAAAATCACATTCCTCTTGTCGGGGTTGGTGGTGTGATTAATTTAGACGTACTTGCACATCATGGCAACCATCAGGTCGAACAGACCAATGGCCTCGACGAAGGCGAAACCAAGAATGGCGTAGGAGAAGAGCTGGCCACGGAGGGCAGGGTTGCGGGAGACGGCCAGGAGGAGGGAGCCGAAGACGAGACCGATACCGATACCGGCACCACCGAGACCAATGGCAGCGGAACCCATACCAACGTTCTGGGAGACCTGGACCATGGCGTCGGCGATCTCAGAGGAGTACTGGCGGCGGGCAGCGAAAGCCTGGCGGGCGGAGGCCTGGATCATGGAGGGCTGCTGGCGCTTGACGGTCTGGAAGGGGGTCATGGGGACGGCCTTGCGCTGGCTGGTGAAGGTGCGCTTGGGGGCGGCGAAGCGGGTGGCCGGGCGAGCAACCTTGGAGGTCGCGGCCATGGTGGAGGCCAGACGCTGGGCGAAGACACGAGAGGTGGCCATTTTGTGAGGAATGGGAGAGTTGAGAGAGAGAGAGAGAGATGGGAGGAGAGAGAGTGAGGATGGAATTGGATGGAGAGGAGAGAAGAAGAAGAAGAAGAAGAGAAAAGAGGAGAGAGGAAGGTCGTCCAGGAGGGAAGAAAAATGGGGACTCAGCAAATGGCCCTAGCACCCAAATCCGCTTTCCCGCTTAATTTTCGCCCTTTTTTTTTTCCCAAACCCTCCGCGTCCTTGGTGCGCTAACTGCGTTTGGGGGGGCTGCAATAAACCCTACTGCTGTGCCCGTACCACGCTCGTACGTTGTACCGTGGAGAAGGGGGAGAAACCGTGTATCAATACAGGTGGCCCTTCTGGCATTCCACTTTCCTGCCTGGGGGTTAAGTCGGGTTCCTTCGGGACGGGGCCAAGGACGATGCCCTCTGGCTCAGCCAATGATTCGGGCAATCGTGGAGCTCTGGTGAGCTGTCCCAGTGTCTCTTGTCCTGTAAGTTGCTTTAGAGCAAGTCCGAGACGCAATGGGAATCCACTGGTTGCTCCAGCCACGGCGAGGCATGCCCACTTGGAGCTTCCGCCCTTCCGGCGTTCTTTAAAAGTTGGCGCATAGATTACAAGCTCCCCTCGAGCGATTGCCACTGATGCGCTGCCATGCGCTTGCTATCTACGGCGAGCGCGAGCTCAGAGTCGGTGTTCGCAGGGGAAGCTCTGCGGCCGCGCAGGGTAAAAAGAAACAATCGAGAAATTTTTTCGCAGTGGAGCTTTCTGGCTAAAATGGGTCCGATAAAGTGGTTCAGCCCCACATGGCGCGCTTCGTGCAGCGAACCACAGCTCCCAGGTCAACAAGCTAAATTGACGACGGCTCCGTCGGACGCAAATCAAAGCCCAGTCCGGCCCGATTCGGGAATGCGGCTCCACCGTACACCGGGTCCTCGTCACAAAAAATGGAGCCTTCCTGTCTCCAAAACAAGTTGACCGAGGATTCGGCTGGAAGGAAATCCTGTCAGTTTCACCTCAGCAGTGAAGAAGAGATCATGCGCTGCCGGCTGGCTGCGTGGTGCTGAGTCAGGTCGTAAAAATACCGTCACGGTCTCACACCGATTCTCGGATTGGGATGGGCCCGAATCCACCCAAGCAACGCGAATCGCGACAAACAGCAGGAATGCTCCTAGCCGCCTCCATCCCTTGAGCTGCTGAGCTCGAAGCTCGAGAAGAAAAGAAAACCACCATTCCTCCGTCGAGGGGGCGTCGTCCCAGATTATATATTCCCTCCTGGCTCCCTCTTAATCGCAGAAAATTGAAGCTGAAGCTGAGTCGGCCTGAAGAAAAAAAAATTTGCCTCGTTCCCGAGTTTCGTCATGCGCTTGGCTATTTTGCCTAATAATCTCCCACTTGACCTGCACCTGCAGCTGCTCGATCTCAATCATTTCCCGAGACTGCAGCCGCCCTTTTTACTTTTTACTTTTTTTTCCCCTTTAGTTTCGTCCTTTTACGCTCCCTTCCTTTCTTTGTCTCATGCGAAACTCTCCTGTCTCCAATCATTTCTGATGCGTCCAGTCGACACACTCGAACGAGTCGAATCTCCCAAAGCCGGGGAAATCGTCCCATCTCGTCATCTCCCCCAAGAAAACCTGGGTCCTCGCCAGCGCGGCGTGACCTCACAGCGGGTCCAATAATACAACCAGTCTAACCAGTCTAACCGGTCTCAGGCAAGAGCCAGGCTTATGTAACCACCTCATCTCGGCATTATCCTGGCACAAACGCCGCTAAAATAAGCATGTGCATAACGTGAGCGCGCCAGGATCTCGCTCCTGCGTCCCTGGTTCCGGCGGGTTTTCCCGAGTGCTCTGCTCAGCTCGAAGCTCGCCCTGCAAGCAAGCAAGCCGTCACTCGAGGCTTGAGCAGCAGAGGTTCATAATAATATGCGTAACCCTGCCATATAATGTAGATTTATCGTTCATCTGACCATCGGAGAGTCGGGATGAGTCACTGCCACCAAACACATGGTAAATCGAGTCCAGGTGTATTTCCAGATCGCGAGGATCGAGTGCTGCTGCACTGAGTGAAGATTACTGCCAGCCATCCTCCGTGCCTCGGTTATCAATTCCTGCTGGCCGCCGATTCCGCGGGCGATGGGATGAGAGCTCAGCGCGAGCCAGCTCGTCGCTGGGAAGAACCGCAGCCGCGCAGCAGCGCGAGGACACGTCTCGGAAAGGGTCGTGGCCTTTAACTCGGGGCGTGGTGGAAATTATCCCGGGCAAGAGGAAACCAAGCCCCATTCTCGCAAATTACGGCCGAGGTCTTTTTCATTTTGCTGTGCTTGAGCTCGGTATTCGCGTTTCGGGAGTTGAAGGGTTTACTTGAGTGCTTCGTTGGGCTTTTCTTGGGTGATGGAGTCGTTGAAGATTGTTTGGGCTTGTTGCCAGTTGAGTGTTGGAGAGCATGAACGGTGCCTGAGGCTCTGGTGGTCGCCGTCAGACTTCTTGCTCGCTGTGTCATGTGATCTGTTTGCATTGTTTGATCAACAGCCTTGTGGCCTTGTGACCAGGGACAACATCACGGTGGAACTGGCCATGGGTCTATGGGGACATGGACAACTGTGGACTATGTTCTAGTCTACTAGGTAACTGTAGCTTGTTGTTGTGGGGTAATTGATTGCTTTCTTCTTCGTAGCTCCTGTACACGCTGCTTCGCAAGGTCGCGGTATCAAGATATATAGTGCCGCAATGCAGTCTACCGAGAAGGGGTATTTCATCCTACGAGAGTAACCTGTTCCGCATAGAGTCTTCGAGACATCCAGAGTACCCAAGTAACGAAGAGCATAAAGATATAGCATGCTCCACATAATCATTCTCGAGTCAGCACGGGGCCCAGCCGCCAGAGTTAGTAAATGATCCACTTACGTTACCTCCGGAGGATCAAGCCGAATAAATATATAATCCAGGGTATCCACGGCAAGTCCATACATCATTATATCAGGTCGGCCTGCTTCTTTGCGGGCACGTTGGAGGAGGGCTGGGCTACCCGGTCAGTCAGTATCGGAGAAGTAGATTATCAACCGGGACACGAGTAGACCAAAAATGACCCTGACGGAGAGCTTACCCATGTGTGCTTGCGCATGATAATTGCCCCAACTTGAATACGGCCATTTGGTGATCACGACAACCAGATTCGTGTCGATGTCGTCTCGGCTTCCGTAGAAAAGGGCGTGCCCTATCTCGCCGCGGGGAGTTATCGTCTCCCTCAAGTGCTTGTTTCTCACCGGCTTGTATGTGAAAGGGGCGTCAAGTTGCTATTGAAGGGAGCTGGAGGGGGCCAATGTATCAGGTCCGAAATCTCGCTTTTTGATGAGAGCAAGGACAATGAAGAGAAGCGCTTCAAATTTGACCCTGGTGAGTACCTCGCACCAGAATTTGTCGCCAAATGCCAGTTTGTAGTCTTTAAAGATGCTCTCTGTATTTGTTAGCATGGTAGTTATCTTGAAACGTAAGATGATTTTGCGGGGTGGACTGACTCAGATGATCCGGCATCATCTTGTACTCCCCCAAAGCACCCAGGCTCCAGATGTAGTCCTCATCTGGCTGATGCTTCAAGTCAAGTACCTCATGCATGTCTTGAAGGAGAATGCTAGCCAAGTCTGCAGTAGATGGGTCTTGCGTCGGAGTTGGCTCTACAGCTTTCTCGGCCCCTCCAGGCTTGGTGTCGCCGGGGGGACTTTCGCAGCCACCTTATCACATGCAGCTAGCCAGCGCGTGTTCAGCAAGTCATACCCGGGAAAGGAGTCTAGAGAGGCGTAGTTTGTTACCTGCTGCCGCGGAAAAAAAGGTTATTGAGCACATACTAGGAGTAAAGTCTGCAGCGTTATCCTCCTTATCTTCTGCATAGTTCCACTTGCGTACATCCCATGGTGACAGGCGCGTTTTCGAGTCACTCCAGGTGTCTGCTGGCTTACTGGATAGTAGCCTGAGTTTGACTGCTTCATTGAGGATCTTGCTAAGAACGGCTGTGATCGCTTGCTGCTGGCCATTGGCCCAATTGAGCCTCAGGGAATTTAACTGTTAATGCTTTGTGTTAGGTACTGTGCTCGTGTTGGCAGAAAACGTGGATTGCAAGGGAACAGACCTTATTCCTCTTATCCAGATGGAAGAACACCCATGTGAAGCTATTAGTGCAGATCCCATACACCTCCCTATTGACCTTCCGTCTGACACGGTTATGTTTGATCAACGCTATAACCCGATTAGTACTCTATTGGAAGAATGGCCCAACGGAAAGATCAGGTAATAGGTCACTCACACATAGCCACAAGAATCGGGAAAAACTGCCTACTCTCTCCACCAACAATCATATCTCGCGCCCGAATGACAACACAATTCGTCGCGAAATCTCGTGCGTCCCCATACCACAGAGCATAATCGACCGCACAGTTCGGTATCCTCCTTCGACGCCGAGCCCCAAGAGTATCAGACAGAGAGATAAATTGCTCATAGTCCCAATAAAGCGTATTTATTTTCTCCGTAGTATCCGTCTCCAACAACCTCTTCTTGGCTTGAGCGAGTAAAAGGTGGAGGATCGCGTCGATCCGGGGACGGGATAGGACGATGTGGTTAGTGCTGGCGGCATTTCTCGGCGTTAGAGCAAGGCTATAGTCTGCGAGCAGAGTATCGAGATCTTCTGGAACGGTGGTTGGGTCGTTGGTTGCGGTGTCCCGGATTGTGCTGTTTCGCTTGCGACGCCGCTTGATGCCGCAGAAGGAGAGGAGGGGACGTTCGATTTCGATTTCGACTTGGACGTTTTCCCTGTCCCGTGTGCTCGTGTTGGTCCCCTTGTAACGTCTGATCAGCCTACAGAGGCCAGTGAAGAAGCGGCGAACTGTAGTATCTCCAGCGTCGTTCTGCATACTGTATGTGGTCTGTGTTGACTCGCCCTTGAATCGGAAGCGATGGAGTCAGGTCCCAAAACTGGACTTGGGGAGAAGAGCTTAGGGAGATCAAAGAAACTTTCATCGTGGCGAGTATGGCGGTGACTCGCGTCTTGAGTTTTTTTTTACGTGGATTTAGGTTGGCCTGTTGCTTCTACGTACTGATCCGGAAGGCGCAGACGACAGCCTTGGGACACCGCTCGGAACTCGAGTTAGTAGCTGATGATTTGAATATTTAGGCGATAGAAAGGAGCTGATATTTAGAATAGCTACCTAAGCGAGCTTTCAAGCGCAGGAATAAGAGACGAAACCGAGATATTTGAATACGAACGAACCTAAAGCAAATCCCTCGGCGATATTCGTACGGAAAGCATAACCGGCGAGTTTCTCTGGTGGAATAGCACAAGAGAGAACTAACTAGATCCTCTGGACTATTTGTACAACTTGACAAGAGAAATATACCGTGTTCCGCAGCGAGATAGTCATTTCAGTCTCACTGGTGGATCAGTTAGGCACTACCAAAGTCTGGGAAATTGCTACAGGCACGCTCAAGTATACCCTGGAGAGCCAAGAGGGCCCTTCAGAATGGGTGACTGTAGTTACCTTTTCACATGATAATCAACTATTAGCCTCTGGCTTTTATGATGGAAGAGTTGAACTTTGGGATCCTGCCATAGGCGCACTCAAGCATACCTTAGATAGATCATGCGCCCATACACATTTGGGGATACCCCCCATCGAGTTACTCGCTTTCTCACCTGACTGTCAATTGCTGGCATCTGGCTCACAGGGCAATTTTCTTGACATCTGGTATCTTGCTACAGTAACGCTCAAGTACACCCTCGAAGGCTTTGAATGGGAAGAATCAGTTGCCTTCTCGCCCAGTGGCCAAATGCTAGCAACTGGCAACGTACACCGTGTCAACATCTGGGATCTGACCACAGGCACGCTTAATCATACACTAAAGGACGAACTAAATGGTGAATCATTTGCTTTCTGACCTGATGGCCAACTTCTGGCATCCGGCTCCGCTTCGCACATCACCATTTGGGACCCCGCTACCGGCGCTCACCTACACAGCCTGAGGAAAGGCTAGGAGCTGGACTGTGAAGATGAGTTCCTTGATCTGTCTTCCACCTTTGCGACTAAACTGGAAACAGTTACTGCCCATGATTGGAATGAAAGTTTCCTGTCGTTTTTTTCCCGACCCAATGAAGAGGCCATCTTTGCAGGACGGTCGATGGGTTACTATTCGAGGCCAACAAGAGTTGTGGCTACCTTCTGACTATACGCCAAGGTGTTCAGCGGTTAGAGATGGCTTTATAGCTATTGGGTGCGGCAATGGGAGAGTTCATGCTATTACGTTTGATTTTGTAGTATAGTTGTTCTATAGAACTTCGGATTCAATGCTGCTGACTTGCCAATTCTCTTCTCCTTTATACCCCGAGCATTGAGGCTATTGTTGAATGGATCTCACGTTATATTATGTAATAGACAGGCTGTACTTCCTCTTTATCAGCCTACTTCAGCTGGACTACTGTCGTTCGTATTATGGTGGCTCTACAGGGAATGTCCTTGCCATCCAGTTTATGTGGAGACAGATCTGTGGAAGTCGTCGATGACCTATTTATCACTGACTGGGTGAGAGGTAGCAGAGCCTTCTTAAGGAGGTTGTGGTAAATGACTCGTCCAGACAGCCTGGATGAAGCTTTCGCTCTCTCCGTGGGGTTGAGGATGCTAGATGTAGTAGTGCTTGAAAGATGAATCGTAGATTCCTAGTGGAAGCCACCTGTGCCAAAGTATTAGGCACAAAAAGGCACCTCGTCCGCGGGCTGATCCAGTTCGCCTGATCCAGTTCGCCTGATCCAGTTCGCCTGATCCCTTGACGGTGGTCTAAGTCAAAGTCCGGCTGCACATAGATGCAAGGCACGCAGCATGGTCCATGATCTTGTGGATGTGGGAAACGACCTCCGCGGGGTCCGTGTGCCAATCTACCATGTGCTTCGACACCTGCTCATATTAGCACGGCACATAGAGTAATTGGAGGACAGACGGCTCTCTTACCACACCATCAGGATCTAAACGGAGAAAATACCAGTTCCAAGAATCCGTGGCTAGGCCATATATTGGCGAGTTGAAGCGGCCTGCCTGTTTGCGGGCGTGGTACAAAATCGCTAGAATAATTAATTAGTGAAACAGAACCCGGAAAGGAGACTTGCATACCCATATAGGTTATGGCCTGGGGCACGCAGGAACTCGCATGGTAGAATTCTTTCCCTTGGACGACGACCAGATTCGTCTCGACGTTTGCCCGGCTTCCATACCACAGTGCATAATCCATCCGACCTTGGATTCTTGTCCTCTTTCCCCGAATCACCCGCGTGAACCTGAGAGTCTTGGAGTCCTCACGCACCCAGCGGAGGGACTTGTACGATGAAAGTATCTTGATCAAGCCTAGTCTATATGCCTCCCTTTGTTTGGCTGCAAGGATTGAAACCATGATGATATTAAGCTGGACGGAGATCATCTCGCTGGGTTCAACGTAGAGAAGCATCTTGTCCCAGAATGTGAGAATATGGCCTGAAGTAGACAGGGTTAGCTAGTGGTTCTGTTGAGAGGATAACAGCACAAGAATTCTGGAGGTAACATACTGAGATGTTTGGTGATGCCTTTCAACTCTGACGCTGCCAGATCCCAAACCTGGGTTGGCCCCGTTTCCTGAATCAGGTCGAAAGTATCGTACAGGTCCTCGGAGGCCATGTCTGTTACGGCTTTTTTGGGTAGCTGCGGTTTCTGACTCTCGCTGCGTGCGACTCTGAATGCCTCCTTGACCATCAAAGTCTCCTTAGGATCGCCCCGGCGCGCGATAATCTGCATTATTCTCCTCTCAAGCTTAGAGAACCACTCCATATTCTGCGATTGTGAAGATTCTAATTCCGTAGGGAAATGAATTAGTTTGATGAGAAGAACAGGAAACAAAAGGAGCGGCCGGGTCCTATTATACATACCATCCTCGCCATCCGCCGTGTGGCTCATAGATTCCCGACCCTCTGAAAGGCCTGCTTGCGGTCGATTCCAAACTGATCGGACCTCGGTCGACTGAGTTGCCTCCTCACCAAGCATCAGGCTCATTTTGAGCGCATCGTGTAATATCCTGCTGAGTAGACTAACGATGACGTTTTGTTGTTCCTCGTTCCAGCGCAGTGCGCAGGAAGAATACTAGCAACGCAATCAGTTAGGATTGATTCTCTTCCCATGCAGGGGATCGATCAATTGCGGACCTTGTACTTCTTATCAACGTGGTGGAACATCCATATAAACCCATCAGTAAATATCCCATAGACATCTCGATTCGCCCTCCGGTTGGTGCGTCGATTGCGTTGAATCATTGCTGTAGCGTACGGAATTAGCAGTTCATCCTGATACGATCTTCGCAGGGGTTCATTCAGCCACTGACACATGGCACCAAGTACCGGTAGACACCCTTCACATTCTGCACTGGTGCTGATAATCGGTTGCTCCGCTTGGATGACAACACAAATTGTCTCGAGGGATCTCGGATCTCCGTACCACAGTGCGTAGCTTAGCGCACATTCAAGAACATTCCCTTGCGCCCCCTCAGTGTCTGCGAGAGAAATCACCTGGTTGTAGCTCCAGAAAGGGCCTCTCAACTGGCATAAAGCTTTGAACTGTGCCGGAGAGTTTATCCGCATCTTCTGCCTCGCTTCGGCTAGAAGTAGCTGTAAAATCATACCAACCGGCGCGGGTGCAGCATCAATATCCGTTGGTGTCATGGCTAGTGTATAGTCCAACAACATAGCGTCAAGGTAGTCCGGTAGGGTATATCCATCGTTGTTTGTATCGATATGCCATACCTTGCTATTCCCGCGACGCCACTTGATTCCGTAGTAGGAGAGAAAGTCCCTTTCAACCGGACTGATGTCCTCTCCCTTCTTAAGACGCCTCTTGAGACCGCAGAAGTCAAAGACCCTACTGCCTGTCTTTTTTTCTTGATCGTTCCGCATGGTGTAGACAATGGGGCGATGTCGTCAAGATGCAAAGGCTGATCATGGAGAGAGGAAGACGCACCATCCTTTGCGCGGAAAAGGGGGATTTTTTGTGGTGGCAAACGCCGCGGTGGCTCATGGACATAAGGTTGCTGGTTCCAGAGGTCACTCCCTAGAGTTTTTTGATTCTTGATATTTTAGGATTTTTGGTTCCGCTTCAATCTCTTGCCCTAGAACCTTGCTTAACCTTCACTTGAACCTCCATTAAACGTCCATTAAATTCCCATCAAACGCGCACTTAAGCCTTCTACTTATTTAAAGACGTTGACACCTATACCCTATGCCTAGAGAACCTCTGTGTTTCCGAGATTCGTTCATAATAAGAGCAGCTATTTTTCTACAGCTTCTGATGTCAAAGTTGACTGCTATACACAATATATGCAGCGGTAGGAATAGATTCTTGCTAGAATGCTCTTCAGATAGGTGCGGTTAGAAGAGACCTATATGTACAATATCCTCTTCCTGGCCTTAACCAAGCACCATACAAACCATGATATGCCTCTAAACGGGCCTATGGCCATTAACATACCCCGTCTCTTGAATAACCTGAAGGATCTGTGGTTGGGATGGAGTCATGGGGCGATGGCCATCTACTACTAAACGACCTCTTGATCTGATCGCCCACGAACGTCTTCACCACAGATAGCCATGCTCATCATCACCTCTACCACTACGGCAATAGTTCAAACCAAGATATTCCTCTTGAGTTCATTCAAATCCTTCCCAAGAATTAACCGGAAAACTGCGAAAATGGCAGGGGTGCGATGTCTCCTTGATAGAGTGATCTGAGGTAAAGCAGTCAGCAAATCGCATAGAAACATCTGCGACGCTTATCCTACGCTCGGAGTAACTGGGCTCTATAAATCACCCTTCTTTGCATTGTTCAATATTAATCCCGAGATGGTCGTAGATATTAAAAGATGCAGATGGTAAACAATCCCCCGCCATTTTTCCGGAGGATCGTCAATCAGAATCGAATCTCAAGAATAGAAGCCCTTCACTTTCGAAACCGAGAGCAAATGTGTTCCCGTAGCACGCACACACAAATCCTCTATGGCTTGGAGGGATCCATAGGACTCTCCTCCCGCCGTGCCACACCCAGTCTGAGCCCACAAATGGGGTCGTATGTGGCACTTGACCGTCAATCTTCAGCCGACCTCTATTCGTCTCTAGGTACCGATTGTCGGCCGAGAACGACATGGTTTCGAAACGGCCTATCGGATGAATTTCTCGGCTGTGAGTGTCTTGCATGATAAGAATGCTACCCCCATGCTGTATGCTAGCGGAGACGGCTTTGCCATCCGATGAAAGGGCTACATTACAATAATTCGCCCCCGGGTGCGGTGGAAGCCAGGACTTGATCCCGGTTTCAACATCCCAGACTATAACCTGCCCAGTTGCTAAAGCTTTTCTTTGAGGTTCGGATATTTGTGCCAAAGCAGACAGCGTCTTGCCGTCCGACGAAAATGCGAGAGGTGTGATGGGCATTATAAGGTTGAGGTGGTCTTGTAGTTTCTGTATCTCTTTTCCTGTTGCCACTTCCCACACATGAATGCTCACACCGACTCCTGCTGCTAGCATTTTGCTATTTGGAGAAAATTCCGCCCTGGCAAGATTCCCCGTTCGGGCGAAGAATAATGCCGCGCTAGGAATCAAATCTTCGACGTGGTGTTGAAGGTATTGCGTTTTTTGACCCGTGGGCAGATCCCATATTTGGATTGAATCAAGAGCGACAGACGCTAAAGTTTGGCCGTCTGGTGAGAGAGCGATGCTTTCAATATTACGACCCTGGTGAGCCAATTGTCTCCTGCCGTTTGAGGACATATCCCAGATCAGAATGGTGTTACTCCCGGACAGGGATACAATCGACTTGCTGTCTGCTGAGTAGAAAATCTTCTTGACTAGATCTTGGTGGCGCAATTCCCGAATTTCAGACCCTGTTGCTGAGTCCCAGATGCAAACACAATTGTCGGAACTAGTTGAAGCTATTGTTCTCCCATCTGTTGAGAAGGTAATGGCCTTGATGGCCTTTGCGCCATCCTGCTTTTGATCTTGGTTGACGATGAGCTGATGTTTTTCTGCGGTCCCAAGACTGGTGTCCGAGCTGCAACCGTCCATACCGGCTTGATAGACGTCCATGTCCCAGAGCTCGACCACCCCTCGATGTTGGGAGTCGACCAAAGCAATGAGTCGACAATTTGGGGAAAATGCAATGCTGTCCATATATCTGCCAGAAAAACAAAATCGGCGCTCTCCTGTCGTTGTGCGCCAAATGCTGATAGCAGATTCCCGGTGTATAGCCGCAAGCAATTGTCCATCGGGTGAGAAGATCAATTGCTCCACAGACAGGTTAGGATTGGTAAGCTCGTGGCTGATCTTGTTCGTCATTGCATCTTGAAGGAAAATCGTTTCATCGTCGCTGACCCAGGCTATCGTGGCCCCGCTCGGAGAGAGCGCAAGTACAGGCTCAGCCACTTTGTTTCGAGTATATTTATCGAATAGCTTTCTGACTTCTTCGGTAACCGTATCAATGAGCATTACGCACGATCCGTCGCGTTCACGTTTTGCTATTAGAAAACTCTGTCCGTCTGGTAGAAAGATGACTTCTGTCAGAGAATCATACCCTGTGTAATATGATTTTTCTTCACCGGTCGAGATATTGAAAAGGCGAACTTCATTATCAAGACCATATACAAGACTCTGCGCGTCAGGGGAGAAAGCCAATGGTTGATTAATCCAAACCTCAGCTGTGATCTTATGAAGCCCTTCACCCGTTGCGGTATCCCACAGGCAAATCTCGAAAGCCCCAGAGACCGAAGCAATGATCTTGTTGTCTGGCGAGAAAGTGAGGCATCGAACATCATATGATTTGATGTTTAGTTTTGCTTCGCCAGTTGAGGATTTCCATAAATAAATCATGTGCTGGCTCGCGCATGCTATTGTCTCACCGTCGGGCGAGAATACGAGATAGCGAAGACGTCCATCACCTGACTCTATCATGTGTAGAAGGGGAGTCCACTCTGGGGCCCCTGATCCAGGTACCAATGTGAGCCACTGTGGCAAGTGCTGCTTGAACATCTGTCTGACCAAGCTTCTCTCTGGTGAAAAAACGAGAGCAGAGGAGTAGGTCTGAAGAGGACAGAGGTCAACGATAGATCGAAAGGTAAGGATGAAACGAAAAGCATCATATAAGAGCGCGGATATCCTGTCACCTGAGCTTTGCTAAATAATATTGTAAGTCCCTGCTTCCTCATTCAGCTAGCCTGGAACTTACTGCAACAAGGTCTCGCAAGCCATGTATCATCGAAATGCTCTCTGAAAGTCTCCCCAAAAGGCTTAACGCTTCCAACCAGTGAAGAAGATGTTTGGTGAGGAACTGGTATATTCTGTGTTCGTTCGTGAGGTGAGCACCACTTCGCTCCGTATGATAGACCCAGTACAGACATGCATACCGAACTTCTGTAGGCAGGCATGACTCAATTCTCGTGGCTGGGATTTCTTTGCGAGATACCCCTGGATTGCAACAGTCACAGATGTCCCTTTTCAAGTAATTGTGGGAAGACAGCAAGTCCAGACACCAATTTGCGAGCTTTGCATGGGCCGCTCTCTCATCTACCCAGAACGGATTCGTATCACGCTTTGCTGGATCGACCAGAAAGTCACGAAAAGATAGATGTAGCATTTTTATTGGTACATCAGGGGAGTCTGGCACACTAAGCACTGAGTGCAGAGACATCAGCCTGCCATCAATGCTTGATTTCGGTAGACCTAGGACTCGGGAGAGCGAGTTGGCCGAGAGAGGTTCGGCGAGGACCGCAATTGTCCCAACGACCTTACGAAATTCATCCTCCAATGTCTGCTGAGCAGCTTCAGATGGGACAGCCAGTTGGCTGAGGATCTGAAGGTAGGTGGCTTCCAGGTTGTCCATCTCCGAGAACGCAGTGGCATGCTGAAGGATCTTTTCCAGTTGCGCCCGAGGGTCAGACCATGCTCGATCCTCTATGAACCGGCATACAGTTGCTGCAAAGATGAACAGGGGGATAGCCATGTTGACCAGCTGCTGAGTAGCTTCATGACCAGGCCAGCTTTGGGGAAGTTGCGAGTCGGCATGGCAAAGAGTATTGAAGTCGGCTCTTATTTTTGCGAAGCGGGTCTTGAAGAAGGCAGTCAGATCGTGGTGAATGTCCGCCTCCGGCACGAGCTCCAACTTCCTCTGCTCAATGTCTCTGCGAATAGCACCAATTCCAAGCCGGACAGGCGGCTCGGGTCTTCCGGTCAGGAACGCCCTCCATCGAATCGTATCCGATTTCATGTTAGCACCGCGGAATATCTGATAGATGAGTTGTCGAATGTCGTCCTCGCTCCTGCACTCATCGAGAGCGTCAATAATGATAACAACCGTTCTTGATTTGCCTGGCTTAAGACCTTCCAGAGGCCTAAGGATGAGCTGTTCGAACTGTTCGCCCATTGGCCTGTTAGTGATTGCATGATTGGCGTCGATGGCGCGCTTGACACTTGCAGCGAGGACCGGTTCTCTGGAAATGAGCTGAGAAGTGAGTGTTGTGATGACGCGCGAGGCATCTACACGATCCTCCTCGCCTCTCTTGAAAAAGAAGGTGGCAACAAGAGGACGGTCCGCTCTTTCCACCAGATGTTGTGCGACCGTGCGCGAGATGGTCGACTTGCCCGTACCTGCCATGCCTTGCAAGTAAAAGACGCTCTTGCCGTTTGCGTCATACACCCAGTCGTATATATCTCGAAGAAGCTCGGCTCGTGTGTCGGGATGGCATCGTGACTCGTGTTCGTTGGCCTGGGAATCGAAGAGGGCGTCCCACACGATTGGAAGTTTGGAGAGGAGGAGGGTCTGGTTGATATCGAGAACCTGTTCACTGGAAGAGAACAGTTAGCTCCAGCAACTTCATAGATCAAAGAAAAAAAAATATATAGACAGAAAGTCTGCAAAAGAGAAGGGCCGGGTTGATTGCGAGCGCTTGTTCGCCGAAAAAGTTCACGTAGGTCTGGCAGCGTCACAGATGAATGGAAAAACCTACACTTGATCAATCGTAAGAGCAGCTGATAACGTGTCGCGCTGACGTTCAAGCGCCGCGATACTCCGATCAACATCCTTGCTCTCCAAGGGCCACTTCAGAGACCGAATTCCGAACTTGCTCATGACACGCGATGAACCGGAGTCGAGCTTCTTCCTCAACTTGCTCTCGAGACTCACCAACTCCGCGTACGACCCGTCCAGACCCCGGCGCAACGCCTGCGAATTGGCGGTCTTGAGCTGGTCCCCATTTGGGCCCTCGAGTAATTGTTGCGCACTTTGAAGGGTCGCGCTGAGTCGGTCCAGCTCCTCGCGCAACCGCTCGATCTCAGCCTTTGCATGTTTCACTGCGGTGAGATACTGGAATAGGACGGTCGCGACCTTGCCGGCTAGATCGACCACTGCGATAACGCTCGCGGCCGATCCTAGTCCCTCCATTCTGGGGTTAAGGGCTCAATCCCTAAGCAGACGGCGGTTGGACGTGGTAATTTGAGGAAGGAGTTCTGGACGGCATGGGTATGGTCACTTTGCGGGGCAGAGAGTCGGCTTCACAATCCCTGCAGTTTGCCGCAGTTCGGACGTGGCGCGCAGTGGTTGGTCTATTCGACCAGGACCTGACGAGGACCGATGAAAGGTCAAGGGCTCCTCCGTCATGATCTCCATCGACTGTTTATGAGGTGGTTGTGGAGGAAAAGTGGAATCAAAGGGCGAGCCGCAATCTCTCCGAGGACTAGAAAGGAAACTGCATGTGGTTGTTGAAAGTGCCGCAGCAATGAGGACAGGATCTTGCTCTCGACCCATGACAGAGAGATCTCTTTATGATTCAGTCTGTCAAGCCTCGTACCACTAACTTCCAGGATTGTTCGTGTCTTTAGATTCACCATCAACTGAACCTTTACGCTCACTTTATGGCTCATTCATCACTCATTTTACCTGCCACTTTACCGTCATATTTGGCCTGATTCAATCCTGCTAGAAGCTATTCCTCCGCCTGATAGTCGAAACCTCACTCATCATCGTATTCGTCCTTGCATTCATTACCTTCCACCCCTCCTCATCCCCCTGACATGGACCCTGCTTCGCGCTCCAAATAGGCAGCTCCTCCTCATCAACACTCGTCGCCCTCTCCGGCCACATCCTCTTCATCAGCCGATTCAACAACTCCGCAAGCAGAATCAACCCAACACCAACCCAAGGCCCCCACTGCCCGACCTCATACGGCATCTCATTCGTCGGTAACGAGCGAAGCCGGACTTCATTCATGACGAGGTTCACGATGAAGACTGCGGAAGAGCCCAGGACGAAGTAGTACTGGAATGCTTCGACCAGTTTGGGGAAACGGTACTGGACTTCAGGTCTCTGTGTGGATCTGAGTCGCAAAGGAGGAACGGCATGATCTCGCCGGCCGCGCTGTTTCCCGAAGAGTCGTGCGCTTACCCAACCTAGTTCGAAGCGGGTGAAGACCGGCGGTGGTTGGAGGAGAACTGCGTTGCCCTTGCGGATGACCCAGGTCCAGACGATGATTGCGCTTAACATGCTGGCCGAGATGTTGGGGACGAATACGGCGGTGATGTCGCGCGGAGCGTCGAGTTGGTTCTTCCATGCAAGCGCGTCGCTGCCTGAGCGGAACAGAGGGTGTTTCTCAGCGAAGCATGCATACGTACAGTCCGTCGATGCATTATACAGGGTGGATACCGCAGACGTGATATCAGACTCTGGGCCGAAACACTCTGGGCCCTCGGAGTCGGCCCGAATGTAGATCCCGGCGGTAGTGAGAATCGCACCGATAGCGATGAGAAGTGACCAGAGAGATATAATCATTCGGATCTCCCGCTCCGCAGATTGAAGTGTCGTTGACCACGCCAGTAACGGCGCCGTGAGCATGAACCCCGTCGACGTGACCGCAAAGACACCATAGATGTCGAGATCAACAACAGGCGACTTGGCTTTCGCAATAAGGAAAAAAGATTGGATCGCTGCTGCACCGCAATATGTCATCGCGCTTGCGAGAGCACCAGCGACGAGCCATCGCTGGCGACGACCTATAACTCCGAACGAGAGCAGGACATAGAAGAGGATCCGCTGGAGCGGGGCGTACACCCCGGAGAGAGGGTAGACGCAGAGAACATCCGGGTCACGAGCAATGACGGGAACGATAAAGAGCACTGTCGATACTAGTAGTTTCTCCATCGAGTCCTAACCTGACCTTTTCCAACAAGGCTGTCGAACATCGAGGGATGAAGTTGGAAAACGTCATGGCCGCTCAAATTGACAATACGAGGTCTGCCCCGCCTGACCCTGAACTCCCACAGCAAAGAGGCTGAGTCGCTTTTGAGTTTCTGAATCAGATCGGGACTAGTTCAGCGAACACGAGGTGATCGACATCATCGCCCCCGAGTGGGATCTGCCTTGGGCAACCTGGAAGCTTCTGGGTCTTGTTTCCTGGCCAGGGGCCAGGGGAGAAGAAACGGAGCGGTGGAGCGGTTCTTTGAAGTGGTCCATCAACAGTATGGGAGACCTGAAGTTGAGGAACATATCATATCTCGAGTGTATATTGCATCGGAAGGATACAGTTAGCCATATACCTTCCCATACTACTTACTCATGGATATTTCGCTTGCGTTGAGAGACGAGATAAGTCTCGAGCTCATTTCGTACGCTACTCTTCAAAAAATGTCGTTGAAAGCTTGACTTGGGACAGGCAACAAGGTGTGCATGAACTGGGTATTGAGGCATCTCAGCGAGCTTGGCACTATCCCAATCGGGACTTCGTATTCGGTAGGCCAAGCCTCGCTAGAACCATGGCCCAATCGCTGTCTCACTTTTGGAGTACATCAGCTCCCTGACAGTTATATAAGCACCTTCAAGCGCCAGCAGATGTCGATGGACACTCGTACTTGCAAGGAAAGACCAACATGCGAGTCCTCAAATCACTCTGTATACTCCTCGCGTCGCGCCTCGTGGCCGGCCTGGAATCATCCGATATCGGGCTCACCTTTGACTCGGGAAATGGTCACGATCTCCCCATCTTGAAGCTCCCGTACGGGAAATGGAGAGCCTACAGCTATAACGCCGAAGCGGAAGTATGCGATCCTACCCCCTCATTCTTTGTCTATCAAATCACTAAGAAGTGCCCAGGTCTACACATTCCGCAACATCCGCTACGCCGCGCCCCCAGTTGGAGATTTACGCTGGGCCAAACCGGCGCCGCCTGAATTCATCTCTGGCGTACAGGATGGCTCGTACGGACATAACTGTATCCCTGGTCCTATCCCGCCAGAGTTTGATAACCCTATCTTTGAGAATATCACGAAGAATGCATCAGAAGGTGCGCACCGATCCATCTGTTCAAGAGAACGGGATTAAACATCGCTAACAAACCTTTAGACTGCCTCTTCCTCGACATCTACGTCCCCCGAAAAGCCCTAAAAGCGCATAAGCCCTCCACCCCGGTCACCGTCTGGATCCACGGCGGCGGCTACGTAACCGGCTCGAAAGACCAAGGCATCACAATCGGCTACTTTGACGGAACGAGCCTGATCAACCGCGCAGACAACAACCTCATCGTCGTGAGCATAAACTACCGGCTCGGCGCATTCGGGTTCCTCGCTGGAGATGCCCTGCGCAGCAAACCCGGTCACAGCAACAGTAACAGCAACGGCGGTTCCTGTCCCAGCAAAACAAGTGCCGTCTTCAATGCCGGGCTCCACGACCAGCGCGCCGCGCTGCAATGGATCCAATCATACATCCACCTCCTCGGGGGTGATAAGGAGAATGTCTCGGCGTGGGGCCAGTCCGCGGGCGCGGGGTCGATTATGCATCATCTGATTGCGAAGGGCGGAAGGCAGGATCCGTTGTTCAGGACGGCTGTGCTGCAGAGTCCAGGGTTTAGTACGAGCGCTGATACAACGCAGGTTGAGGCGCAGTTTGCGGCGTTTGCGGGGGCCGTTGGGTGTCCGGCTACTGGAAGGGAGGCGCTGAAGTGTTTGAGGCGGGTCGATGTGAAGAAGCTGTGGGAGGCGAATGTGGATGTTTTTGCAGGGAGTGCAAACCCAGTTCCGGATGGGGTCTTTATAAGGGATGTGGCGCTCTATGAGTATTCGAAAGGTGAGCATGCCATAGCCAGCCATTCCCCGTACGCAGCATGAGGGATTCGGAAATTAATGACTGAACAGGAAACACATGGCCACACCTCAAATCCCTCCTCGTCAGCCACGTCCTCGACGAGGGTGCCCTTTTCGTGCCTTCAGAGATCCCACAAGACTACATTCGCTCCTACATCTCTGGCTTGTTGCCACCAAACTCTACATCCGGAACAGAGAAAATGCTGTCCATCTACGAAACCATCTACGCAAACTCCACAGAGAAGCAACTCGCCTCCGCCGTCTTCCGCGACATGATCTTCACCTGCAACATCTACGCCGCCCTGCAAGCATACCGCGACCGTCCCGCCTGGGGGTTCCAGTACAGTTACATTGACGGGGTGATGAACGGGACGCATGGGAGTGACGCGCTGCCGACGTGGTATAATTCTGCGCTGCAGGGGTTCGAGGAGCCGCGCTTTGCGCAGTATCAACGGTATTTGACGAACTTTGCGCGGACTGGGGATCCGAATAAGCCGAGGGGTGGAAAGGATGAGTTGGTGCGGTGGCCGAGGGTGGATGCGAAAGGGAATGTGTTGGGTGGTGTGCTAGACTTGACGAATGCGGGGTATCAGGTTATCAAGGATGAACAGGTGAGGAGGGATGTTTGTGGGACGTGGATTGAGGTTCTTGGGGAGGCGATTGAGGAAGGTGACAGATAGGGAAAAGGTGAAGCTACTAGATTGCTTCCCAGTATAAGTTCTCTCAATCGCATTTCGTTATATCGTTAGGTCTACTGTTGAGAATATTTAGCCTATAATCATACGGGGACGGATACTTTGCAGCCTGCATAGAACAGCGAATTCCTTCCACACTTGCTTGCAACCAGCGCTCACAGAACATGCCAAACACTCCTCTCGCTGAATCAAGGGCTCCCAACAGTTGGAGGCCACCACAAGCCGGGAGACTGGGTCATCCTCGAACAAGGAGACCTTGCTCTTACCGACTGTAATTGTCTGCACCGGCCTATCCTCAATGACCTTTGAAATATCGCCCGTTATTGTCTTTGATTCGTTGCAACCCTCATTGCGGCATCTGATTCGGCCGAGTCCACGAGAAATATTGTGGACGACTATCCACGGACCAACCGTGGCCTCGCGCTCTGCAATCCGCAAGACTTCAATAAACACTTCCAACGTCGGCTGTCGGTCCGACCCCGTCCTGTCCGTCACATCCAGCATGACATTGCCTCCTGCGCAGCGTTCCAAGATGCGAAACACTTTGGAGGGAACACAGTCTGACGGTATTTTCCACAGGGCGCCTTCATTATATAGATCGGTTGTCTTCTCAGTAACCCGGTTATAGAGTCGACCCTCGAACTGAATGTGTCCGGGAATAACATTGACCCAGCACAGGGCCGTTGGATCCTCGGCGAGGGGGTTCCTCAAGATGTCGAGGTAGAAACAGATGCCGTCCCTGGAGCTCGCAGACACCCCGGGCCCCTCTTCCTCATCTGCGAACTGGCTGGCCCGGAACAAGTACTCGGCGAAACGCAACGGCGAGGCTTCGGTCCATATCAGATCCCAGATACCGCGCTCGACGATAATTTTAACCACGGACACGTCCTGTGCGTCTAGCAAGCCCGCCACCCGTGCCACCCGGATTTGTTGCAATTTATCAATATACTCGAGACCCTTTCTTGTAGGGCATAGACCCTCAATCACCTTAATTCCAGAGAGGCCGCGAATAAGCCGAATTATTGTGACCGCGAGTGATACCAGACAGCGTTGGGAGACAGGACGGCCTTGGCCCTCGGGACTCTGCTGGCTGTCGCGCTGGATCTGGCAGCAAGGCTTGCACCGACACCAGGATGCCAGGTCGGACAAGGATTCTTCAAAGGCGGCACACGCCTCCTGGTACGTTTCGGCGTTGGCAGACAGTAGGGCCTGTCTGCACAAGTCCGAGTCCGCCAGCTCTGGGAATCGCCTGCCGGCAAAATGGACAAAGTCCGCCCCATGACTCGCAGGGAAGTACATGGTCCCAGCGCGTAGCCAATCCCTCGGGACATCTGGATCACCTTCATTTAGTGCAGAGAAAATGCGCGCAGCGCTACCGAGAGCCGACGCAAATGATTGCTTCCGCGTCGACAGCAGGACAGTGGTAGTATCGCCGAACGTCCTCTCCAATGCTTCCTCCCACGGGACACGGCCACTGACGACATGGTCATGGCTGGGCTCCAGCTCCGAGTGCGACTTGAAGAGAGCCGTCATGTCCGATATTTGAATCGTCCGATCGCGTTGAACGAGAGCAGATCCTGTGGGCTGTCGCGAGTAGATGACTGTCAGGTGCGGATCCTCCTCCTCACGGAAATTCCGAAACCAGACATCGTCGTCCTGCTGTCGCTCGCTGGTGTACAAAATCACCCTCAACTCCAGAAGCCAGGCTCCAATCGCCGCGATCAATGCGGCGTCTGCGACCCCTATAAGGGTGAGGTGTCTTGTTGAGCCGGCGCGGATGTCCATGATCGCATGCAGTGCATTGGCGATTTCCGCAGCGCTCGCGACACCACGAGTTCGCCGGGTCCGGTTGGAACCGTGTCGCCAGGCGTGCTGTCCGACAACAGCCTCTCGATCGAACGACATGTACTGCTCCGCCCAAAGGGGGAAGCTGCTAGCGGAGAAGATACCCGCGCACTTTTCGACGAGCAGCGTCATCTGGAGTCGTGATGGCAGTGCATTCTGCTGCGAGTCCGAGATGTGCCCTATGGCTTTGCGAGTGAACTCCAGCATGATGCCAGCAGCCATGTTGACTGAGTAGACCTCAGCAAGACAGGCACTGAGGGCGGCGAACCTGCATCCAGACTCTGTTCCTGTGAGGATCTGAATGGGAGTCCTGTGTCCGAATCCAAACCAGAGCACTTTTTGGAACCCTGCGTGAACAGGGGCAGTGCTCAATGCAGTATAAAAGCGTTCCAGACCCGCTGTGGTACAGGGAATGGTATTTCCTACCAGAACGCTGACTCCAAAAGCAAAATGGTCAATTCCGGCGTGAGAAATTCTGGCCAACGCATTGACTGAAAAGTTGATCATCCCAGACGCGGCGGCCCCCGCATCGATGGTCACTTGGAACGGGGCGTTGTAGTCAGTCGCTGGGCCACCGCCCGTCAAGGGTACCATTTCTTCGGACATTATCGTAATCCGTGGAATGTACCTATGGAAGGACCGAAATGACGGTTGAGGAGTCTCACCAGGACAGAGTAACCACCTCGACCTGGACGGGCGCGGCGGGGTTAACATTTGTTTTCATGAACCAAGGAAACTTCCCCACTCGGCAACAAGGGTCTGGGTTACTCTGCCAGGATATTGGCCAGATTACGCGAGAGATACTGCAGATCAATCCAGCAGGCAACTTGAGGCGGCCAGCGAGCTTTTGACACGTTTAGCGTAGATTGAAGCTGAGAAAAGCAGGCGAAACAGCTGCCAAATGATGAGTTAAGGGGTGAAAAGTGAGTGGCTATCAGTGCATGAGTTCTGCCAGCCTTACGCAGTCGTGCGTTCGTCCGCGAACTAAATCCCTGCCATCACCATTCAACACTGTAGAGCAATGGGAGGCTACGACGCCACGCTACTTATACAGCGTACGTGTCAGAGCAGAGCCTCGCTTAAAGGCAAACAACGCCAAGCGCCCACTTATATACGCGATGGATTTGACCATGGCTCAGTGGTTATGCAACCCACTATTTTTCCTTTTGAAACCAACAAAATGGGCACCGAGACGAATGGAATCAACGACGCTACGACTGATCCTATTAAGGAACTCGAACAGACCGAGACTAGGCGGTTGTTTAACGCCATGGACTCCCTTCGGCGTTTGAACCTCGGGGCCGATGAGATACCAATTCCACTGCTCGTTGTTGTTGGCGATCAGAGCAGTGGCAAGAGCTCCGTGCTAGAGTCAATCGCCCGGATTTCACTTCCTGTGGGCGATGATGTGTGCACGCGCTTTCCTATTGAGGTCGTCCTTAGGCGTTCAAATAGGAGGCGGATCAGCATGAGGATCATCCCAGGCCAATATCAGAGACATGACGGGACAGCCGTTGCCCAAATGAACAGCTTTAGTCATGACATTTTGGACCCGGGCGACGACCGACCTTGGCCTATCAGACATGATCAAAGACGCTTCTAAAAGGATTGGGGTTCCAATCTACGACATGGATTCAGCGTACAGAATCCATCTTGATTGGCCGAATCTTCAAGAACGACTCGACGTGATCGTGGATGACCGTCGAAGTCTCCTGAGCGCGTATCCAGGTGTTGGGCAAACATAAACTCAAATAAGCAGCGATAAAGCTTGTCGGCTTAGTAGACTGAACTTGGCGAGAATCCGAGGTACACCTTGTCCTTTGTGGTGGCTGTGAAACCGCTGCACACCCTTCAGCCGTATTCCGCTCCAAGCCCTAACTAACTCCCTTGATCCCCCAGTCCCACTGGTGGATTCACATAGCTCCCAAACACACGCGCAGTCCAATAATCGGCAACCTGCACCGAATGTCGCGCTCCGAAACCTGGAAACAGCTCGTCAAGCTCCACGCGCAATATGGACCCATCCTCACGATCAAACTCGGCACGCGCACCGTCATCCTTTTGCAAACCCGCGCCGCGGTGCGCGACCTCCTTGAGAAAAAGGTGAAAATCTACAGCAGCCGTCCGCGCCTGATCACGACCGCCGAGCACGTAGCTCGATCGCTCTTCCCGATTCTCATGCCGTATAATGAGTACTGGCGCGAGCTGCATGCTATTCGGGGGGCTGTGCTGAACCAGCGCGTTGCAGCTACCACGACCGGAAAGCTTCTCACCACTAGCATCTCCGACGCGCAGGCGTCCGATTTCGTTGCTGTTACTGTTGTGCCCCCACTTATGCTTGTGCACAAGCCCACTGATTTGGCTAGTGCTTCTGAGAACGAGGAGGAGGACGCTGTTTTCACGGGCGCCGCGGCGAAGATTACCTTTGGTGGTGGGAGTCATTGGGGGAGTGTTGTTGGTGTTGCTAGGGTGTTGGTTGCTTCAATGCTTGCGGGAGGTATGCTTGTTCTCGCTTATGAGGTCGGTAACTATTACAAGTTATCTGTGGTGGTTGACTGGGCGTGTTACTCTCCGGTGAAAGGTGCTCGATGTTTGCTATATTGGAGCTTGCTTGTATAGTGTTTGAATACTCGCGGAGGTTGTTAGTTAGACCACTGGATTACATGTGTTGATTAATAGAGGTCGTGGTGTATAGACAATATTTTATCTACTTGGAACTTTTACTGGGTGATAATATACTCATTCTCCTCGCTTCCGTACTGTTGGCGAAGAAGCAAAAAACAGCTGGCTGACACTGAAAAGAACCTCACCTCTCGCACCGAACCTCTTCCTTGAGGTAGCCATTCTATCTCTAGTACCTTCACGTATTCCATGCCGTAGCAGTTCATTCGAATATCATTGATCCTGTAGGTTCACAGTTCTTCTACAGGACCTACCCTTGAACGAGACCCAACACATCACTACCAAACATACCTAAAAGACCTATCCTGCTTATCTGTCAAATCTGCCAACGGCACAACCGCACCCTCATGCCCACCGTCCTCCACCTCTCCCCCGATTTCCCTCCGGCTCTGCAACTCCCTCTCTCTCCCCGTATTATCAGCAACACACAAAAACCTATAAACAACCGTCGTAACAATAAGCAGTCCCCACGTAACAAGCGCCGTAATCAATCCCTCGAGGTACTTGGGCCGGTTCGTCCATAGCTGCGGCGAAGCGATGCAACCCGCGCAGTAGCCGATGAAGAACATGGCGTTGACGATGGCGCGCTTGGTGTTGCCTTTTACGTTGCTGGCGACGAGGGAGAGGAGGACGGACATCGAGGCTGTTATGCAGGAGGCCTGTTTGCATTTAATATTAGTAGAGGTTGAGATTGGGGGACATTGAGGCAAGGGTGCAGACGTACCAGCCAGGCGGATCCTATCAGGGCCCATCCAGAGCTCAAGGGGAGGATTAGCATGAGGATGTTTCCGACGATCGGCGGGATGCACAGGACGATTACAACGAGAGTTCGCTGGCGAGGGAGAAGGTAGCAGAGAAACACGCCAACCCAGAGCAGTGCAACTTGAACTGCGCCCGAGGGCGCAGTGTAGAGCATAGTCTGCAGCTGCGAGTATCCGATAGAGTTGATGACGAGTGTTGCAAACGTCAAGACGGGCGACTGCATTGTGACAAGCACGCCGAACCAAAAGACACACCACGCCTTGGGATCCAGCATTGTCTCCTTAAACTGTGCCATTGAAAAGGACGTCTTGTCGCCGCCCTCTCTGTCCTTTGTCATTCGGAGGAGGAGGACCTGCTTCTCGCGTTCGTTGAGGAACCACGCGTCTGTGGGGCCATTGGGCATGAGGACGAAGAAGCCGACCCCGGAGGCAATGGTGAGGGCGCCGCAGATGAGGAAGAGGGTTCGCCAGGGATCGAGGCTTAGAGACGTGTTCTTGCCGATGCCGTACATGAGCAGACAGCCGAGTACTTGAGCGATGCCGTTCATGCTCACCCAGAGGGCGGTTCTGAAGGCGTGTTCGTCGCGGCGCCACCAGATCGATGTGATTGTGACAAAGGCTGGTGAGACGGCGCCTTCGGTGAAGCCGAGGAGGAATCGAACTGCTGCAAATCCGGCGTAGTTTTGTGGCGCTGCAAGACAAGTGCATGAGATGCCCCAGAGGATTCTGACACCATTAGATTTGACAGTGTAGCGAACGGTCTCTACTCACACGGTAATGCCAACAAACTTGGTCAACGGGAGACGGCTCATCAAATATATAAACGGGTACTCCGATACCAGCTGACCGACGTAGAAGATCGAACTGCACCACGAGTATTGCGAGTTGGAGAGGTTGAGATCGTCGATGAGTCCGAAGACACCGGCGTAGCTCAGACTTTGCTTGTCGAGGTACTGAAGAAAGAACACAAGGCACATCTAAACTGTTAGACACAAGAGCATCCAAACAAGGCGATGGATACTCACAAAAGGCAGAATGACCTTGTCAATCTTGCGCACAAGGGCCTTTTCCTCCTCTGGGCTATAACTCCCCTGCACGTCGATAACGTCCCCCGGCAAGACCTGGCTACGACGCTTTTCACCGCTCAGGCGCGTCTTCTCCATATCAGAAGTAGCGTCCATGTCGAGATAATACAAATATATGAAACGGTGTTCAACACCAAGGTAGTAGGAGAAGCGCAGGGGTTATATGCAGGTCGAGTTGTGAGGCGGGTCTACCCCGGGCAGCAGAACTCCCCAGTTTTCCGTCCCCTGGAAATGGAACGAGCGGATTCCCGCTGATAAGTGTCTCCAAAGTCAGAATGGTCAGCGCTGATTGGCGTGGCAGGTTGCCGACCGGAATGCGGGCTGAGGTCTCAGTGGGGGAGTCGGTATGCAGACTGCCGACGATCGGTAGCTCGCTGCCGATTCTTGCCCAACTTGCCAGTTGCCAGCTGGTCTGCAGAGCAGCTGCTTATCGTATTAATTAATCCGGTCGCCCAAGTCGTGGATTCTTCTTATCTCATTATTCATCATTCATCTTCTTACCCTCCATAACATCAACATGGCCTCTGCAGCAGACATCAAGCCATGGCTACGGCCGCAGCCCCGACCTTATCTCATCTCGAATGCCAACATTGTCGATGTCGTGGCAGGCGACATCAAGGAAAATCAGTTTATTTTCATTCAAGATAGCAAGATTACGTCGATTTCTTCATCGATTCCCGACGATCTGCCAGAGGACTATGTCGCTGTTGACTGCGAGGGTAAATACGTGAGCCCCGGGCTCTTCGACGCCCACGTCCATTTTGTCGCTGTTCCAGGTTTCGATAATCTATCGATGGCGTTTGGAAACTTCAATGATGTATCTTTGCTTCGACAACCGTACGTTGCGACTCAGATGCTGCATCGCGGATTTACCAACGTTCGTGACTGCGGCGGCGCCCAGCTTGCCCTCAAACAGGCCATAGAAGATGGAATCTTCCCTGGTCCGCGACTATTTATTGCGGGACACGCTCTATCTCAATCAGGAGGACATGGCGACATTCGCAGCTCGCATGATCATGTCCAGTGCTGCTCGGGTCACACAAACGGACTCGGTCGCATTTGCGACGGCGTCCCCGCATGCATGACGGCTGTCCGCGAGGAGATTCGCTCCGGTGCTGATTTCATCAAAATTATGGGCTCCGGCGGTGTATCGACGCCCACAGACCATCTCGAACAGCTGCAGTTTACCAAGGCTGAAATCCAGGCCATCGTCGAATGTGCAAGCAACGCGGGAACCTATGTGACCGCACACGCATACACCCCCAAAGCCATTATGCATGCCATTGACAATGGTGTAAAGGGCATCGAGCACGGCAATTTCGTCACAGAAGAAGTCGCCAAACTGATGGCTGAAAAGGGAATCTACTTGACTCCAACGCTCATTTCATACGCCGAGATGGATTCGGAACGCTGGCGAGGCTACCTCCCTGCAAGCGGGCAGGCAAAGAACACCGAAGTTCTCAAAGCTGGTCTGCATAGCTTGAAGATTGCATACGACGCGGGCGTCACGATCTGCTATGGAAGCGACCTTCTCGGTCCCCTTGGCATAGCACAGACACATGAATTTGCGCTGAGAGCGCAGGTCCTGCCTCCGCTGGCTATCCTGCAAAGCGCAACCATCAACCCAGCCAAGATGATGGGTCAAGAGCACTCAATTGGTCAAGTCAAGGAAGGATTCTGGGCCGACTTGCTTTTTCTCAATAGCAATCCTTTGGACGATGTAACTATCTTTGACCGACCACAGCAGTGTGTCCTCGGGGTGATGAAGGAGGGTCGAGTGTATAAGAGCCGATGGGAAGGACTGAAAGAAGACGGAGAAATCCCGATAAGAGTAGTACCATCCAAATGAGACTGTTATTTCGATGTGACGATCAGGAGACCGACCCCTCTGAGACGTGAGTCGGATCGAATCGGCCAACTTGTGTGGGAAAGGCCTCGAATTCGAGGAGATCCAAGCCCGTAAATCCCATGAGTGCGAATTGATCGTCATGACTCCAGATCATTTGCGGGTCAGTATCCAGCTGTAACGCTCTATCTGCGGAGTATATATTCTGAGGGAACTGGGGCTGTCCGGCAAAAGCAGCGCTCGGCAAGTTCTGATGTGATGTCGACGCTCGTGAAATATCTCCTACCGGAGCGCCACTCGCGTGGATAGGTGGAACTTCAAATAGAACGTTGCGCTGTTGCCCGGCATAGGAACCTGGATTTGACGAAGCCCATTGCGCCCACTGACTATACCCTGCAGCTTGACGTGTTTCTTGTCGAGTCTCTCCAAACAGTGCATCCTGTCCATCTGCCGCCCACGTGCTCCCTAGCTTTGTGTACGCTTCATTAGCGATAGTTTGCAAATCTTCCACAAACCGCACCCCGATCTCAGCCGGTAAGTTGCCCAACGCCATAGTCCGCAGGTGATTCAGCCCGAAGGTTACCCGGGAGTCGTACTCTGGATCTCGCTCGATGATGCCGGCCAGTATAGCCACTATCGTTGCAATACTGCAGCCTTGAAAGTCGGTAAATGAGAACCGGAATATCAATTGGTTGTGTGCAAGGGTCTCGCAAAGATGAAGAATCCCTTTGCTAGCCTTGACACAAGACCGTGCTAACTCATCAAAGACGACGGTCTCGGACCCCGGGTGCCCGCTTTGTGCCCGGACATGCGCTTGAATCGTATTCAACAGAGAACCTTTCCCTAGCAAAATCCAGGCGTAGAGGTAGTTCAGGTGCAGGTGGAAGACGGCTCGATAAGTCACATCTTTGGGACCAACGTTTTCTACTTTCAAGTTCGACGGAAGGTATGATCTCCAGGTTTCGAGCTCCTGTTGCAGGACATCTGTTATCGGAGAATCATGGGTTCTATCAACCCCAGGTCAGCCACCTCGATCAACAAGCGTCAGACTTCACATACCCGAGTTCAGCAACACGGTCAATGACTTTTATTAGACTTGCGTATGCTATCTGTTGTTGAATATTGTCCACTTTCTGCATGCTGTCAATGGATGACAACGGCGTAGGTAGTGGCGTCAGGATCACGTCGGGATCAATAGAACGTGGCCGATTGAGCTTGATGGCTGTAGTTCTAGGTTGTTATCGTTAGCGCCAATTTGCCTCAAAGATATTAGTGCACCTACCGTTCTAGAGAGTATACAGACCACCACAAACGACACCGAATTTGTTTCTCGTGATCCGTTAGTGCCGAGGCATCAGTTTGCTGATGAAGCTCGAGGGCAACAGCTTTCCGCAAAGCCAGACCCATGTAAGCGTAGGCCGAGCCAAGCGCTCTGTCGGGGAGGGAGTAGATCCCTAGGATGAATGGTGCCTGGATAGAAGTCAAAGATGTCCGATCGATGAGGTCGGGGATAAGGGTCCGAGCCTCCTCATAAAACACTCGACCAGGGTCGCCGCCATTCGGTCGAAGGTGAGCCGGAAAGCTCGACGGTCGTTCTAGTTCGGTCCATTGGCTGCCCAACGCAAGCATTGACAAAGTCAAGCAAACAAATCCGCTATCCAGGCGTAGAGGGGACGTCGAGTCTGTGTAAAGTTGATCGACGTTGGCCAAGAACTGAGCCTGGTCGACATAGAAGAAGACATCGTGCGCGTGAGTTAAGCACACTGATATCAGAAAGTCGGCGACTGGCTTTGGCGGGAGAGCTCGAGAGGCTCTCTGGATGCGATGGATCTCGCTTGGCTGGGGCATCATCGGTTGGTGGAATTGCTGCAATAATCAGTCATGAACAGGAAGACGCGTAGTATATCCAAGTCGTACGGTCTGCATGTCCATCATATCGCGCTCTTTCAACTCCGTGCGGGAGTCCAAGGCCAGTGCTTCCCGAAGCTGTAGCAGAAACTTGGGCCAAGTGATCTTCATGGCTATGCAAATATTAGCACGAGGTGCCAGAGCGCGGAAAATTACTTACTACCGCTGTTGTCAATACCATCTGCAGGCTTCAAGCTCGCAGATTCATCCATCACGGGAGGGACCGGTGGCCTTGTCGGCATGGGAGGCGTCGATTCCCTGCAAAGTGTCAGCCAAGATCTAGAAAGGTTTGTTTGATTTTGTACTTGGTAAGCTTGCACAGTCTCCCATCCCGAGAGCACCGTTGGCATCTCCCGCTCTCTAACCCGACACACTTGCTCTTCCGCGACTTACAACGGTCGCAGCTAGGAGCGTGTCAGCCTCAGCCAATTGCAATCGAGAGTCTGGGGATCGTACGCCTGAGCAGCCCGCTTGCGTTTATCGTCAGGCACTCTTCGAGATCTGAGACCACGAGTCGCAGTGTTAGCCACAAGTTCAGCGGACATCTTCAGAGATTTCCATCAGAATCGAACTTTGAAGCGTCCACTTGAAGGCAGGTTCAGCTTCCCCGGCTGCTTCCCCCAGGTAACACAAAACTGACTAAGCCCGACTGAGTCTGTTCTGCCGTAGCCCACCGCTCTTGCCCGGCTGGTATGACTCAGTCGTGACCAATTAAAATTAGTTGTTATCTCGTCGGCAATTTGCCGACATCTGCAAAACAGTTTTCCACTGCACGATCCATGGGACGAGTCGGCTGATAAGCGAGGTCTCGAGACGGAGTCTCACTTTCTTCAGGACCAGTTGGCCGCCTGGCACCAAGCCATGTGGAAGGTGAGCCTAGGCCCTACTCCAACTTCTATCTTAGGCGCTACTTGAACTCGTCAAGACTGACTCATTGATCCTCCTCGAAAACCATGTCCTTCTGCTCATCACGGCACATTGTTAGTGAATAGCTCTGCCATCACATCGAGATGGCCTTTCGCTTGCTGCCAAAGGCTTCAAAGATCCCTCCAAGCCTCGAGAATGGCATTCCATCGTTCAACCGGTGGTCGTCGCTTAATAGCCGAACGCATTCCTCGACTTCGGCCTTGTAACAGGCCATCGCCTTGGTTCATCGTCCCGAAGCTTGGGAGTAGTTTCCAAGGACAAGCCCAACAACTAACTTGGCGACGAACGGCCTGAGCTAAGCCGGTTTATCAATGGGCGACACCGGCACAGCGTCCTGCGACAAAACAAAATCGGCCTAGGTTAGTAGACACGCCAAGTTCCAACGCTACCGTCATAGATAAAGGGTCTATAGAAGATTGCTTCGAGTTGCATCTCGGCGTAGTTGAGCGCATTGGTCGCTTGTTCGTAGCTGCGTTGGTGCGGCATCACGGGGAGGTTGCAGCCCAGACGGAGCCACGCTGGGCCTACACACAGCCTTGTATTGCTAATGCAGTGATAGAAAGCCAGCATAACAGATGCAAAGCTATTCAAATTTTGACCCGTGTACTAGGATACTCTGAAAAGACGTGGCGCTAGAACGGAGATCCGATGCATGTCGGCGTCAGCCCGCGACACTCGCGTCTTGATCTGGATCAGTGACCTTGAGCCCGTGGCTTTTCGCCTCCTCCTTGACTATCCATATTAAGGTCCTCAAAGTATAAGCGAAAAATAAATGGGTACGAGGCATTGCATGGCGCTAGTAGCATACCTATTCTGCAACCAAGCCCACATTTCGAAAACGGCGAAACAAGGAACTAGTTCATCTTTGGAAACAATTGGTAAATCTAAGATCTACCAGTGAGAGTTTTCTTGGAGCATCTACAACCTCTTGGCCCTCCACCACATTATATTCATGATGCGAGCAAGCGTTCGGAGAGACTTGTGAAGATTGCTCTAAGCATGTGGTGAGTGGATTTGATGTCTCCTAAACGCATAAGGTCGGCCAGCCAACTCAACCCAGTGAGTTGCTGTGCTGTCAACCAGTACCTGCGGGTCATCACTCCTGTTTTAGCATCTAATAATCGAGAAGCAGTTATTACTAAGGCAAATCACGTCGACACTGTTTGGATGTCTCGGAGTCGCGCGTCCATCCCGTTTAGGGGGCCGCAAAGCTGATACATGGACCAGCATGCATCCCTGTTGATCGTCGTTTATATCAGCAAATATATAGTTTCAATGTAACTACCAGGATTATCCCTGAATCCAACAGATCGATGATTCTTAATTGGCCATTTAGTTCTAAGCAGTGTCCACAATCGCCTACCTCTGCAAATCTTAGTAGAATCGCGCGAAGCACGGGTATAAACGCGCTACAACCCACTGCATAATATGCAAGCTCCACAACGACGCTCCCCGTCAGATTTGTAACCGGTCAAGCAGTTCGCGCGTTTCAAATCCCGAATGCGAGAGCAGGCGAGGGTTCCTGACCACGTACAGTCCGCCAATCACCATGACCGCATCTTTCATTGTAGATCGCAGAGCTCAAAAACGGCGTCGAGAAGATGTCTAGTACAATAGGCGTATCCGCAACAGCGGCAAGAAAACCGCATTATACTACTCTTCGCGGTCGATGAGTGGACTCCGTGGATTTGGTCGCGTATTTCGCCTGACTGTGCCGACGATCTGAAGAGATCTGGTGTGCTGCTAGTGACTGGGGGGTGTGCAGTGCAGCTCCCTACGTGGACATTTGGCACAGGACCTGAGACTATCGCACTATGACTGTTGAGACAGACAGCCCCGCGTGCGGATGGCTGATAAGGTCACCGACTTTGAGATGGCCCCTTCGGTATATTCGCATCAACGGCTCTTGCGGCGTCCGTCTAGAGGGCCACAGAGCCTTCGCTCAGGCATGGCTCGGAGGTCCGGATGGCATCGAAAGAACGAGTATCGATGCTGGAGAGATTTTCGATCTTATTCATGGGCGCAGAGGGCTTGGCGACAGGGTTCCACTTCCGCAGGGGTATGTATTGCCCAGAAGAGTTTAAGACACCAGTCTCCAGTCGAATCAAGTCCACTTATTATTTCCCTGCAAGTAAGACCCCCTGAGGCAAGTTGTTAAGGAAAATATTCCCGAGGGAAGGATGATTAAAGAATTCTATGATAGCTAACACAAGCTTCGTGACGCTTCAACATTATACATTATGTCCGTTCAAGTACCACACTGAGGTAGATCGACCACTCCTCGGCTCCATTAACATGAATAATCAGCGTGTGCAATGGGGATCATGACTCTGCGAATGTACTGCCTATCGAGGACGGTGGTACAGAATCAGGGGGCGAGCCCTGATAGTAGGATTCTCCGCGAATGAGAAACATTGCCCTTGCATGGCCCGGAATTCCCTTCGGAGTCTGACCCTGGTAGCTGAGCCTTGAGGACGAACAAGATTCCGAATGCTTCACGTTAGTTCCTCAATAAAATCCTCAGATAATTCTCTCGTCTCGCAACTATCAAATAATTTATCTCCTGTCGATTCTTTACAGTGGCATGACAGACGTTTGAAGCACCGTCTGAGAGACCGCCTGCGATATGTAACAAGCTTCGTGAGCGGGTCTGTAGGAATACCATTGGTCCAGGAGAAGTTGGGCGACTCAAACTTTGTCATACCAGTCAGGCTGTAAGGAAATTTGTTGCGACACTCGAATTCCTCGTGTAGAATACTCTCAACAAAGCCACATTCTTCACCAAACGCGTATACTATTGCCACTGTAGTTGCTAGGCCATAACTATAAAGCACCGTTTAACCCTGTTCCTGCTGTAGAGAAGTTCCTTGCCTTACTGCCTAGATACACGATTGAGATTCCCGAAACATGCATTCCCGTGCAGCTCTTCTAGTTCTCGCAGCCTCCCTGTTACAGGCATTTGGCACTGTGGCGGCTCCAGGTGGCGCATCTCATGAGTCAGGCATTCTTCCACCATGGGTGGGCGGAATCAACAACGGCAACGATATCGGCAGTGGCGGCGGTGGCGGCCCCGGCTCTAACCCTGGGCCCGGCGACTTCAACAACAACCACGGCGGTGACAACAGTGGAAATACCAATGAGGATTCAAACAACGATTCGAACGTGAATACCTGGTCTGTAGACTTTCCGCTCACCCTGGATCATAGCTAATGTCGTGTACAATCTCAGCCCGAATAATGGTGTATCCACAATCACAATCACTACAACTGCTGGTGGCGGTGGTGGTAGTTGCACGGCTTCCATGTTCATGACTCTCACTGACTGCACTGCCTCCACTACCGACTACGTGACACTGACCGATGACGGACTTACGGTTACAGCTCCTGGTCCAACGACCACTGTCACAACAACTCTCACCACAGGTGCAGAAACTGTGACGGACCCTGGCCTGATCGAGACTGTCACCAGCTCCAGTACAGTAACCGATGTACTCACCGTGACAGACCACGAAATTGAAACAACAACCGTCACCTCAACCGCCACGATGACGCTGCACTTCACCAGCACTGTCACGTCGGGCGACGGGTGTGAGGTCACCGATCCTAGTATGCCGCCAGGTGGATACGGTTCGTGCGGCGATCCTACGATCGTCTGGGTGTATGGTCTAGATGGCCGCACGGATTACTCGTTTACAACAACAAACCAGGATGACTTTCCGTTTGGGTCGTCACCGACCATTGACCCAGTCACCGCGCTGATCTGCAACCGGCTGCGCAGCCCGTGCAATGCGCCGGATGAGGTTGTGGACCGTTGCTGGGAGGCGGCGGCTATTGCGAACCAGTTCGAGGGGCAGGAGGCCGCGGATGTTTGGAATGAGTTGATGACTTGAGGCTTACTTGGCTTTGCATGGCCGGGTATTCGATCCTTTTTTTTCTTCTAAACATAAAACTGGCCAAAAGTGGTTCAGATTTTATATCTATCCGGAATTAGTTTATTTAATCCATTCGCTTCACCACATAGGCATATTAGTTGTCGCTCTAAGCCTGACCCGAGCCGCGGTCCAAACGGCGATGTTCAAGTGGACCATCTATTTCTCATAGTTGTTAAGTGTCTCCCTGACTCGAATCTTCGAGTCGACGGGGTAGATTTGCCGGGGATGCTGCATGATTTCCAGCAGATATCTTGGAAGCAAACTTGGGCCTGATGAATTACTATTCGAGCCTTATAAAATGCGTCCACCGGCAAATGCCGCAATCACAGACGCCGCCAGACCGCCATCTCCATCGGATGGCCCCAAGTATATAGACAGCTAGTTAATAAACCTATAAGGATCAAAAGATATAATGTGTATTATATATAGGTAACCTTATATTTCTAGTTTTAAAATATAGTATTAAGTATTCGTGAAAATATTAAAGGATTAAATTTCTAGTTGTATATGGTCAAGTTGCTGACCATTTAGCTGACCTGACTATTTGGCTGGCGGGGTCGCGCTAAGGCGTGACCACCAAAGGCTAGGTACCATAGGGGTCGGTCAGGGCCAGGTTTGCCATGTTGTGGTCTGATTCGCGAAGCCTTGCGGGGTTGCAGAATCGCCGACTTGAGGCTGTGGTCGGGGTATACAAGCTGGGCTGCTGGAGCAATGTTGATTTGCGACCATGACTTTGAAGATCAAGATCCTTATCGGATCAAATCCCCTAGGTGATCCAACATATTAATCATGGGGCATTGAACGGGCTAGCCTGACCCTAGCCCCCAAACGCGTGATTGTACTAACAAGGGCGAGTCAGTCTATGGTTACATTCTGTCTTACTTATATCCCTGCAACGGGCCACGACTTTTCCCGGATTCTGCGTTGACAAATATTTTGCAGCATTAAGCGTCACTACTCATTCGCTATACGCAAAACAAGAGGACGACATCGACAGGCCGTCTACGCTGCCACCCTGAAGCAAAGCTCCATCACAAGCAACATCCACCACAAAACAATGGCCACAAAAAGCACGGATTCTAAACCCCTCAACCTCCCCCTCCCCAAATCCCACTGCCTCATCCGCCCGCTGACGCATACCAACCCAACCGACGCGCCCTCGCTCGCGCACCACGCCAACAACCCGCTCATCACAAAATGGATGCGCGACGCCTTCCCGAATCCATATACGCTGGACGCCGCAAAGTCCTGGATCACATTTACAGAGGCGCAGTCGCCGAGACTTGATTTTGCGATCTGTACCTTGACAGCATCTACCGCTGGCGAGAACGAGAGCGAAAGCACCGTCATCGGTGGGATCGGGCTGAAGCAAAAAGACGACATTTACCGGCGGACGATGGAAATCGGGTACTGGGTGGGCGAGGCGCATTGGGGGAGAGGGATCGCGAGCGAGGCGTTGGAGGTTTTCACGCGGTGGGTGTTTTCGGCCGAGGAGTTTGCGCATGTGGGCAGGTTGGAAGCGGAGGTTTTTGCAGGAAATATAGGGAGTTTTAGGGTGCTTGAAAAGGTTGGGTTTAAACCTGAGGGGAGGAAGAGGAAGGCTGTTGAGAAGGCGGAGGTTGTGCTTGACGTGGTTGTTATGGGGTTGCTGAAGGAGGAGTTTTTGGATGCGAGGAGGGATTGACCAGGCCAGAGTGGTGCTTGCGGTGTATGCGTTGAATTAGGGGTCTCTTTACTATCTCGCCTGAAGGAGCTATATGAACCGATCACCCAGGAACGCCATTTGGCTTCCGACCTGTGCAGTCTATCTATTCGCGGCCAATGGAGGCGAATCTTCGCAGCGTGGCGTAATGAACTGGTGAAATAGTAGTTGGAATTTGCAGCTACCATGGAGGGGCGGGATTGGTCTGCCCATGATTCGATTCAATAGGGTATATCTGATATGGACCATAGACCGACCTCTGAGAGTGTTCTACAGCTTCCGCTTCCATACCTGCGAAGTATGGTTAGATAGCCCTACGAGCTGATCATCCGTTTACTCCACCAGAGCGTCTCCGGACATCTCGTAGCACAGTATGATGGCACGTAACCTCAATTACCATAGAAACTACCCGATGAATCATTAAGCATTCCACCCCTCCGAAAACCCGCCCAACCACTTCGCTATCGCATAGGCGCCGGGGTCGGGAGGCATATCCCCATCCGCCTTATTACCTACATACGTCGCACGACCAAACCGGGGCTTCATGCTCGCCGTCGCCATAGCAGCTTCCGCCGCAACCCGCACCACATCCCCCAGGCCAGCTCCCTCCTGCAGCGCCTCGCATACCGGAATCAAAACGTCCATGCAGGTGCGATCTCCGACGCGAGCACCGGTGTACCTAAGCAATGACCCGATGGCGCTTCCTGCTGCCTTGCCGACGGCAGTGGCGGATACATCTTCTGTTTTGTTGAGACCGGCAACAAAGGCCGTTGAAAGGATTGAGAGGATGGCGAATAGAGACCCGCCGATATCCTCTAGCGTCTCGTTGATGGCGTCGAGTGCGGGATAAAGTGGGACGGGATCCTGTGTAAAGGGTGCGGACTCGAATCGAGCCAACAGTGCCTGGCACGCTTCACGAACAGCTTCACCGCAGTCGCCATCACCCATCATCATATCAAAGCGCGTGATATCCGGCTCTGCGGTTATCGCAGCTTGGCAGGCTGACTTTAGTGCTGGGAGGAGAGAAGCGGGAGCTGCGGGGCTGGTTGTGATGTCTTGGATGAAGACGACGCCGTTTCCGGGCGCTTCTTGGGCTGAAAGAGTCTCGTTGATCTTTGGTCCTTGAGTCGTGTATGAACAGCGTGGCCAGGCGACAGCTGTGGTAGGGGCATCGAGTAAGTCCTTGATTGTGTCTAGCGGGCGGCACGTCGCCTTTGAGATGGCAGAGAGGTTGCAGAGCGAAAGGGAGAATCCTGGTCCGTTGAGTGATGTCTCGAAGCACCCGACGCATATCCGCGATGGCTTGATGTCGTATACAGCTGCGAGCTCCTCCAATATCACCTGTGTAAGCCCCTCGATCTCAAGTGTTGAGAGCCCGCCGAGATTGTTGACAAGCAGACATACGTCGTCGCCGGGGTTAAATGTGACAAAGTTGCGCTCTGGGTCGTTTGCATCTAGCGCATACTCGAGCATTGTCTTTACAAGCTCGCTAGGTGGAGGAATGGGCGATATCGTGCGAAGCCCCTGGCAGTCTTAATGTTAGCAGCTCGAACTAAAACCAACGAGAAGAGCCATACTCACCGGCTCATTATGCACGCCCATTCCCAAAACACAAGCATCCTGCGCAACGCGGTCATCGGGCTCTCTTCCCGGCACATGGCAGAGACTGAGACTCGTTCCAATAGATGCGATGTTTGCGTTGGTTTCCTCTCCGAGCTGCAGACAATCCTCGAAGCTCCAGCCGAGCTCAGAGGCCGCACCGAGAAGTTTCAGGACTGTCGGATATCCATTAGCACTGTTGCGACGAAGAGAAGGAATCTAGCACACTCACTAATAACATGCCCCGCCAACCCCCTCCTCCCCAAATTCTGCACTTTACTCCGCGGCAGCGACACATCATCCGCCATGGCAATCTGCGCGATCTTGCGCCCCGTCGCATTCACCTTTTCCCTCGCGAGTCCGAAATGAAGCCGGTCGCCCGTGTAATTTGTAATGCAGAGAATCGTACCCTCGTCCGATGGAACACTGTTGATCGCAGCCATGACCTGCTTCGTCGACGGACTGGCGAAGATCCCGCCAGCGACGGCGGCACTGAGCATTCCATCGCCGACGTAGCCCGTCCACGCGGGTTCATGGCCACTTCCGCCGCCGGAGATGATGGCAACCTTTGATTTGGAATGTGTCTTTGATGAAACGACCCGGTGAGGTTCGTCGAGGTGGAGGTGAGGGGTTCGTGCGACGTAGGAGCGCAGGGCGCGCTCGACGAGGCCCGTGGGGTCGTTGAAGAAGTGCTTATCGGACATTGTGATGCGATGAGAAGTGAGGGAAAGCCAGATTGAGTTCCCCTTATTACCCGCGGAGGGGTTGGGTAAATATGAATGGTTATGATGGATAATAGGCTAAGTTGAAGCCGACTGACCTCGTGACCCCCGCTGGAGTCTGGCCCCGTCACGCGTCCACTCAGGGTCCATCGCTGGCCAGATCGGTGAGGTCGGCCGACGCGCAGTCCAGAGGGCGAACCGGCTTCTCCAAACTCAGCAATAACTTAAAATGGCCGGAATCAGCCGGCCGATTTCCCGTTCCTTGAGAGGTGGGGAAACGGAGTTCATCCGGGGATTATTTCAGGGTTGTGAAGTTGTGAATGGAGCTGGGCGGGTCTAGGCCTCGGGTTACTGTTTTGGGTCATCTGTTGATGACCGCAGTGGGGTGCCTTTTTACTAGAATTCTTAATTGCTGATTTATTGAGAAGTAACCTGGTATCGGACTTGGTCCGGCGTTGCGGGGTATTTTATCAGGTCTCGGACCTCACTCTTTGTATTCTCAGAGAAGAGGGCGACGGATATGATCAATGTTTCAGGCCAATCATAGCAATAGAGGTTTGGTGACCAAAAGCTTGGTGAAGCTCCAAGAAACAAAGCAGGTCCAAGGTACTACTTGAACACCTGCTTCCAGGTAGTTCATCGCGCATTCCCCGGAATAGACTCGTTTCACCAGCACACAGAGAAGCCCAGAATCCATTACCAATTCAATCTCAACATTATCTTGCGTGAAGCGGCCGCTTGAAGTATCCTAAGGACTACAGAAAAACTGTAGGTATCCAGCAATATAGGCAGCCTCAATCATGCAACTCCCGCTTAAACCGAGCAGCAGGCATTCACATAGTGAATTGCCTTGACCATGTCAGTACTGCTCATCCTCAATTTTTCCATCTCTATCGATGCGATGACGGTGATGCCCCGCTGCAATTCCACCCACCTGGCAAAAAACAATGATTTTGGTTATTCCTTAGGTGGTAGCAGCTCAATTATAAGCTGGCTCTATCTGCGGAACCCCGGGTTCCGCTCGGAGGATATGGAGTTTGCAATCCTCCATGGGTTGTTTGATTTGGAATTGAGTCCAAGATTACGGCATGTGTGCTCAAGGAGGCGATATTTAATGCCTTTGGAACGCCTTCACCACCGGCAAACTCTCATCGTATCCCTTATACTCGTCGCTTCATGTGGTATGGCTTTCGGGACAATCGCAGTTGTGGGAGGAAGGGCAACCCTCAGACCTGTTTTCGCAAGGATAGCCTTGAAGATGCTAACTATTTGCTACTAGGGAACAGGCAGTCTCGACCGAGCCATTGTCCAAGCACTCCTTGCGGCCGGGGAGTTCGACGTCCGCCTAGTAACGCGTCAGGGGACAGCAAACAAGACCCAAATCGCCAGCGTGGCTACGCGCGTAGAGAACTGATCATTAGCAGCTAGCTTCACTCGCGCGTTTTGCGGCTGAGACGACGTCGTCAACGTCCTAGGCGACCGCACACCACACCAAGACCACATCGCCGTCCTCGGCGCCGCCATCGCCGCCAATGTACCGCGCTATGTACCTTTGCAATGGGGAAACACGCCTCGACTCGAAGCTCTCCAAGCCATCCTCTTCATCCGGTCGAAGCTCAGCATTACCGATCTGGTGGAGAAAGCAGCCCCAGGGGAAAGTCACTTCTACATCGATCAGCGGTGGGCCGTGGATAGAGTATGTCATAGAGTTCCCGACGTTGATGTCCGCCCCGTAGTGGACGTCCATATGCACGAGAGGCCGGACTCTGAGTTTGGGATCTGTAGTCGGGCGATGTTTGCGGATGCGCCGGTCGCAGCGTTGACGAAGGGAGAGGAGACGGAGAACAGGCATGTTCACGTGGATCTCGTGCATTTGTCGCAGAATCAGGCACTCGAGCTTACGAGGAAGGCGCTACCCGATGAGAAGATCAAGACTATGCAGGCAAGCTTCGAAGACCGGTATAAGAGTGGTCTTGCGAAGCTACTCGCCGGGGGCGAGCGACAGGTTTGCGTTTGTGGATGTCTTGAGCAAGTGCATCTTTGTTCTGGCGTCCAACACTCAGCCCGCCAAGCTTGATAATGAGTTTCTGGGGCTCAAGATGGCTGCAGAGGACGAGCTGGAAGAGCTGCTCAGAGACGCATCCAAGTCGACTCGCTATGAGGCCGATGCAAAGGTGTGGCTTAACATGAAGCCCGAACGCTGAATGCTCCATGCTTGGACATGTTGATGTTGTGAGCTCGCAACTCTTTGAATAATTGTAGCTACGTCCTTGACTCTTTGAACGCACTAAATGGCTTTGAAGGGTAAATATTGAGTGATACTATGCCGTGTCCAATTTGAGCGCCGTGCAGAAAGTTTGTACTAGTACGTAAGTAGTCGCGCGAGTCTCGACTGGGATGCCAGCATAACCTTGCTCTCCATTAGAGAGATTTTGTTCCATATAGCATATAGACTTGTATTCCGTGATTTCAAGTGGTTTGAACTAACCAATCACTCCGAGCTACTCGCTGGAAGCAGATTGGCGATGTGCATTCTCCCCTTCTCTCATCTCGTGAGAGACGAAGGTTACGTCAATTGTGCATAGAGGTTTGGTCCACTGTCCTGCCAAGTGCCACTTGCATCCTCAGGTCCTGTTCTAGCTAGCGGGCGCCTGTCGACTGCAAAGCAGCACTAGTGGCCCCTCCCAGTGGCCTGCAATATCAGGTATTTTTATCTAGATTGGCTGGGTGACCTAGGGCAGTAGCAGTTTGATTCCTCTTCCTGTATGTGTAGGAAGGGCAGGCGCCATGGCTTCCCTTGTAGTCCCAGGGGGACCTGTCAAACACTATCTGCAAGCGGAACCGAAGATGTTCTGGCAATAGACCACTTCAAAACCCAAGTACTGGTGGTAGACTAGTAGCAAAAAAAAAAAAAATGCTATGCATTTTAACCTGTTTCCCACATCCGCTTTAAATGAATTGTTCGAGGCCCTGGGGTTTCCTTTCTCCAAGCTCCACTATGGAGAGGGCTTTTTATGTGCCTATGAAAAGACCGGGTGCACCCCCTAAAGAAGTAGCGTTTTATCTCCGAAAGCATGCAAGTATTACAAGCAATGGTCGTGCCTCCGACGCTGGCTGCCGCAAGGCTTTCGGCGGGGTGACATGCGGTCGACCTTGGCAACAGTACAGAGCAGTCGTAGTGAATATCCAACCAGGGAATTTATTTCGACCGAACCAGGTCTCATGTTTATATAGGCAATGGGCAGATTTACCAGGATTTTAGTTCACCACAGTGTACCTGACTATTTAGTATAGGTTCTTTTGCTACCTATGATCAGTGATTGATGATTATTGCCACCCAGCCTGCGACCACTGGCCATCATCTGGCCAGATCAATTCTTGCATGGCCCACTGGGCTACGATCCTTCGACGTCGAGGGAGGAAGATCTCGTCAAAGGCGTGCCGATCAGCCCTAAATCCGCGGTGTGGAACCTGGGGCCAGGGGCCTGGGGGCGGTTTGACGAGGCTGTGCTTCGCTTCGGGGCGAAACGTGCGGATGATCGGGTAATCTTGGATATTTTTTTTTCTTCATTTTTGTCAGAGTTAGATAAGTGTCGTACTATATGGGTTGGTGGATTCTGGAACGTGGTGGGGTGGGGTGCTTCTGGGGATAAGGTCTGCATGCGAGAGAGGCAATGTCCGTTCTGTCCGGTCCGGGTTCGTCTGTATATCTACAAAAGTATTATTGTAGTTACTTGAAGTATAGATTCAAAGAAGAGTATTTGGGATCCCAACAGTTTCAAGTTATAGACAGGTCAAAGCAACTAAGCACTATATACATCAAGCAAGCAGGTACAAAGAAGGAGAGTTGGATGGTTACTGCAGGCGAGGCAGCCAATTGTCAAAGGTCGTACACAGGTCACAGGTCATGGAGAAAGTCCAAGTAGACTCAAGAGTCCTAACCTCGGACTTAAGCAGTCGCACGCCAATCGCGGACCTTGGTGTAAGGGTCCGCGATATCACGGCTCTCAAGGCCACTGTCTGTGATCAACCTCTGGGCCTCGAGGTCAAAGCAACCAGTCGAAGTGCCGTTTCCACTCTCGCACAGCGGGTAGAGGACCTTGGCGCCCATATCGCAGAAGCTCTTCTCAGTCGTGTGCACAAAGTCCGGTCCCATAGAAGTCTCAGAGCCACACAGCCGGCTCGCAGAATGATGCACAGAGTCCGAGATGACCAGCTGCTCAGCAGCCCACGAGACACGCTCGCCGCCACGACGAGCCTTGATGCGACGGTCATTCTTCTCCCCACGCTTACTCCTCTTGGCACTCGTCCAAAAGTTAATCGTCGAGGGATCCGATTCAGTGCGCAGCCCAAAGTCAATATCATTGCAGAACTTGGTCGGATCGGTGTTCCCCTCATCGAACTCTGTCGACGAGAATGCAGGCCAGCGAACCTGGAAACCCGTCTGGGGCTGGTCACCGTTCGCATCGATCCAGAAGCAGCGCGGCTGGTACGACTGGTCAGTGTTGGTCCACATGTGGCTCTCGTACCAGGAGGCGCCGCACTCGGCGCCGTAGTCGCCCGACACGGCGAATTGGTTGCCGCCGGCGGCGTCGGACCAGGTCGTTGTGACCCAGGCCACGCAGATGGCGTCGTCGTTTGCGCTGAAGAGCGAGTATGTGCCCTGCTGCTCGTGGTCGACCTCGACGGTACCGACTGTGCCGTCGGACACGGTGCCGGGGTCGGCGGTTATGGCGAGAAAGTCGCCGAAGTCGTTCCAGACGCGGCTATAACGTTTTGTTAGGTTTGACTTCTGGGTAGAGATAGGATGGGTGAAGAAATTGAGGGAATTGGACTTACACATCGGGAAGATCACCGCCAGCATTGATGGTGCCGCTGGCCTCGTTGTCGAGAGCGACGGCAACCTTGATGGTAGAGCCAGGGTCACCACCGCCAAAGTTGGACTGGGCAAAGGAGACAATGGTCAGGATACCGGAGATGACTCCGATGGCGTCAACTGGAGTAGCCATTGCGAGGAAGTGGGCTTGAAAACAGAGAGAAGACTGCGAGGACCGCGAAGTAGACCTGATAGACCTGGTACTGGAAGATGAGGATGATCGAGCTGTCTGGATGATCATTCAATGCAGGTCAACAAGGAACCTTTTATAGATCGTCACTCCGGACAACTTCCGCATCTCACGAGTCGTGTGTACATCCTTTTCAAGCGATTGACATCACCGTCTCTTGGTGTTGGGGCATCTGGCCTGATGCTCAGGGGACATTTCGATGTGACTTATCCTGTATCATGCATAACAGGATTGTGAATAGCATCATAGTCTCCTGTTCCTCAAACGCAACGTGGGGGCGGCCCCGTCGAAAAGCAGGGTTTCGGGCAGGCCCTACGGGGTAGTCTGCAGAAGCGCGTTGGGGGCCGAAACGCCATGTGAAGCGAACAGTGGTCCGCCGTTGGTTCTGCACGGAAAACTAGGGGAGATCTGCAGATTCGGCATGAATCGCGAACCAAAGATCAGCTCACTGGCGTCCCCTTGCGAGCCTTGGGGGCGCAACCACGCCCAGGCGCTATTGGCGGGCCCCTGCGCAGTCTGTCCTGACGAACTCCATGGCTGATATCATAGTTTCCCCATCGCCTTGTTGCATCCCGGTTTCCAAGGTGCACTTGCGAGGCCAGACAGTTAAGAAATGTTCGATTCCAACTCGACTTTCTACTCAAAACATCGTTAGCCAACACTCCTAAAATCTTACCGTCTCTGCTATACCCCCTCGTTATTCAGCCCCCAAGCCAGCACCTCTGCAACAATGCTCCACTCCAAACCCACTGCCCCAATCCTGCTATCTCTCTTCGCCTCCTTCAGCTCTGCCTTGGCACAGAGTAGCAGCGGCAGCAGCACCAGCGACCTCCCCGCTCCCATCGTCGGGTGCACAGACGTCTCGTGCCCCAATGACGGCTGGGACTCGTGCACCGTCGCAGACAACACCTTTGTCGGCGTTGGTCTCGCCCGCATCGCTGACATCCCCTCCTCACTATCCGGGCTCTCTCTAGTCAAGGGCGTGAATATCTCCGAGTCCGGAGATCCAGACAGCAGCACGCACGGCGCCGACGAAACCCGCCCTTACAAGTCCGTCTACTACCTGGGCACGCCCTCAAACCTCGACAACTCCGCGCTATCCGGGTGTGCGGTTGTCTTCAACGACCCGCCAACGCGCCACTTTGAGGAGCCCAAAATCAACGGGTCTTCTGTGAATGTCGATACCCGTGCGGCGACGGGGTCGTGCCCCGACGTCATTGAGCAGAGTTGTATCAATGCTCTGACTCGCCAAGCGCGCGAGCTAGACTACGGAAGAGCCGGCTCGAACTCTACTGGCAGTGGAAGTCCCTGCGATGCACTCGAGCGGGCCCTGCGCGACAATGCGCCTAAAGAGTGTGGCGACTTGACTGGGGCCGGTGATGGCTTGGGCGAGTTTAGTGTCGTCTCGCTGGGTGATGCGTCGGAGATTTCGGCGCAGCAGAATTCGTCTTCGAATTGTTGGCCTGTTTTGCCCAAGAGTGATGCATTGTTGCAGTTTGCTGAGGATACTGTGAGGGTATGTCTTCTCATCTCTTCTCTTCCGCTCTTGACTCTTCATCTGCTTGTCTCTCTGTTGCCCTTCAGTTATGCTGATACTCGCAGAACAACTACACCAACGAAGCAAACCTCGCAGAGGTGTACAAAATCACCCCCATCCTTACCGTCTTCACCTCTGGCAGCGGCAACAACAGTCTTGTTGACGAGACCTCCGCGCAGCTCACCTGCCTCAAGGTCGTGACGACACAGAATACCGAGAATGCAGAGAATGCAACGGATGCCGATGGTGGGGAGGACGCGGCTTCGCTGTCGAGGGTCAACGTGCTTGGTGTGACTGCGGCAGCGCTCGGTGCTGCTATTTTCTCGCTGCTGTAGAAGACACGTGTCGATTTTCAGCTGGCAGATAGATGGGTAGCTAGTTTCTTCATACTCGTGTGTGCCTGGACTCTTTGCTACGTTGAATGGGCCTGATCTTGTTTAGCAGAGTGTATTTATTCCCAATGGACTAGCAACGATAGATAATAAGAGTGCCGAATCCCCAGCTGCGGTACTCTTTGTACTTTGACAAGTCCGTGCAGGTATCCAGTCGAGACGTTTGCCGCAAAGTGATGATAGAGGAATCCGCCTTCCCCAAATACCACGGGTGGGATGTAGTAGTAGGCGCGTAGTTGGTAATATTTTCCTGATAATGGACCCAGAAGACCTCAATAATGCTCACACGAGAAACAGTAAAAGCCTACTTACGTGGTTGAGGCACGTAGCTCACTTTGTAATTTAACTCCTGCAGCGGTCGATATAGACCAACGGGGACCGACCACCGCGGGACGAACCACTTATCATGCGGTTAAGCCACACCATCGGATTAGCAAGCTACTCAGTATCATACCAAGAGCGTATCTAATGCGAAGACCGATCTTGCATTAGGTACTTGATGCTCTCCACGGAAAGAACGCGCTGTTGTATGCCGAAGATCACAAGAGCGGCAAAACCAAAGTATATATTGTTGAGAAGATGCGCAAGGAAATGGCGACATGGAAATCACTTTAAGAGACACACACTGGTCTTAGTATAGCCAAATGGTTATACATCGAAAGCAAGCGGTACCATCATAAAACTTGTGCAGCTTCGCTCAGTGGTGAATACTTCGAGGTTATCACGTGATTTCATCTGCGGGACGCAATGACTCCAGAAAAGGCAAGTTTATATCGCCGAGATAAAGTTTGGCGCCAAGACTTGCATATCGCCGATATGATGAGGGAGGTATACCCCCGTTGGCCGCGGGGAAATACGAGCTTTCGCAATTCTTCCTCTTTCTCTCTCGAGACACGGTATCTAATATCAGCACATTTTTGTTTCTTCAAGGGTGACAGAGAGATACACGGCGGCACAAATGATGAATTTCCTTCGCCCACCAAGGGCAAGCCACCTTCTCACCCAGGCTTCTCTCCGCATCCGTCAAAGAGCAGCTCCTGCGTGCGTAGCTTCGCAGAGCAGACAGTCTTCAGACCTGAAGAGACACACTGCGTCAAAGTCACCAACCGCTCTGAGTACAGACCGAAAGACCGGGGCACTTGATCACATCTTGTACGATCCCTCCAAAGCTCCCCCGAACTTCAACCCTTTGTACTTCACACAAGCTAACACCTCCACGTTATTTCTTCCCCCAGCACAAAAGCCGACTCCCTCATAGCCTGGGCCCGCAACGGCTCATTCTGGCCCCTCTCATTCGCAACCGCCTGCTGCGGCGTCGAAATGATGCACGTCTCCATGCCGCGCTACGACCAAGACCGCCTCGGTATAATCTTCCGCGCTTCGCCTCGTCAATCAGATGTGATGATCGTTGCTGGAACAGTCACGAATAAAATGGCGCCCGCGATCCGCCAGCTGTACGACCAGATGCCCGATCCGAAATGGGTGATTAGTATGGGGAGTTGTGCGAATGGTGGCGGGTACTATCACTATAGTTATAATGTCGTCCGGGGTGTTGATAGGGTGATTCCGGTGGATATCTATGTTCCGGGGTGCCCGCCGACGCCGGAGGCGTTGTTGCAGGGGATTTTTGAATTGCAGAGGAAGATTCGGAGGACGAAGGTTACGAGAATGTGGTATCGGAGGTGATTGTGATTGTAGTGGATGGGACAAGAGTTGTATGATAGGTCAGGGTTTTCAAGTCGCTCGCATATCAAAGCGCTTATTCAATCGGTAGCGATGGGTTCAGCTCGTTGTCAAGAAAGTCCTCGTTGAGGAATGCAGAGAACGGAAATAGAGAGCTCATCCCAAACAGTTCAGCGTCTCCGAGAAAAGGATCGCTCATTAAGAGACCGCTTGTTGAGGGTAGTTGTGTTGGCGCGGCTTCTAAGGGATTTGAGGGCTCCATAACGTCTTGTGCTCCACCGGATTGAGTCTGAGTAGGGAAGACTATGCCTTCATCAGGAACATGACAGCCCCGGGCTGCCAATATTCGTGCAAAGAGCGGGTAGTATAGCAAGAGAGGCGGCCAACAGTCAACAAGTTTGCTTAGGACAAGCATGCATAGTCGAGCTCGGTGCGCCGAAATGCCACTAGGATCCGACGCAGGGCCGCGCATGTTTGTGATGAGCACGGACAACGCTGCAAACGTCCCGGGTAATCTAAGATATTTAAGCCACTGCTGCTGGAGGAGAGTAAGAGAGCGCTGTACTCACATTCGTAGGGAGCCCGCGGTCAAGAGCTGCGAGGACAAGAGATTTTCAAGGATTCTGACAATCTCCACGGCTGCCTCGAAAGCCGGGGTTCCAGCTGCCATGATCCGGGGATCCTGGAAGAAGTTTCTCCGCAGCAATATTTCGTAGGTACTGAGGACAGGTTAGTTCTTCTCGCTTCGGACAAAACATAGAGAGATGATTACTGGAATGATAAGCTGAGGACAGATGATAGAAATCCATTTCGTAAAGTGAAAGTGGAGCTTCGACATTGAACCTCTTGGGGTAAGGAGCCCTTCCATGGGGCGATATGCTCCAAGTCTCTGAAAGCGACTGCTGGATCTGGATTCGTGGTGTATAACCATTGATGACACTTGCTTACTTCTCTAATCAGTACGGCCACTGATGCATACAGCGAGAAACGTACCGCGTGAGCATAGGTCGGCGAAATAAATTATCTGCAATCGGCTCTCCTTAGTCGGCTTTCCTTCCAGGTTGAAGCCCCCTGGAAGGTCCGGTTCATCAAAGTCTTGCTCAGTCAAAGGTTCTGTGGTGCAATAGGCGTCGTTGATGTGGGGAATTCGCCCTAGCTGCACCGCAATCAAGATGTCATGACTCTTCCAGTCGTATTAGCCAGGACTCGAGTGTCTAGTATAGGGAAGGGGCACCCACATAAACTGTCCACCATATCCGCCGCCAAAGCTTCCTTGTCAATTCGTCAAGCCGTGAGTAAGTTCTTCTAAGCAGTCGTGAGCAGATGCATAGAGTCAAGGGTTGAATGCGCCTACTCTTGATGCATACCAAGAGACTGAGCAAGATTCACGCCTATCCCGGTCCAATACCACATATCCTTCTGCTGCGTCGGACTCTCCCACCAAAATGCCAAGAAGCATACCGCTTGCAGCACGGCGATGGCATCCGATTCGTACCCTGAATCGTACAGCGCTCTCGCTCGTTGGTAAAAGGTAAACGTCGCCATATATCTGTTGTCGAATCCCGCTTCGGTGAGGACCGACTCTTCGCAGTGCGAGAAAGCTGCCAGGTACACGGCTTGTAGAAGAAGGGGAGAAAGACGGCCCTCTTTGAACTTCTCGTAAAAGTCCTTCCGGTCGACGACAGGAGCCATTGGGTGGATAAAGGTGAAGTAGGTATGGATAAGTTGCTCACTGACTCTGCTGTCGAGGGTCTCGAATGCGCCGAGCTCCTCTAGTCGCGCGCGTTCCTTCCGGGCATGCTCATCGACTAGCCTCCTCGTCGGCGATCCGAGTCGGTCAATATGTGGTAAGTGAGCGCTGCTCAAGCTGGAATTATAGTCTTCGTGGTCTTCGTCCAGCTCTTTGCGCGTGTATTCCAGATTGAAGTGATCGCCGTAGTAGATGGTGCGGCTGCTCCGCGGACCAATGGCATCGGGATCGGATACCGTGGGCTTGTCCACCAAGATACTAGAGCTCTGCAAGACATCGCTATCAGCAGTCTCGCCATGATTCGGTGTTCTTGGCCCCGCTTGGAACTCCGACAACTGGGTAGGCGACGCGGTACTGGCCGCAGGAGTAGCAGGCGCCTCGGCGAACGAGTGCCGGAATCCGAAGCGCTCAATCCGGCCGCGTTTATGTCTAAAACGTTAGTAAGTATGGGCTCCCCAGAAACTCCTCGCCGGGGCCAGAAAAGAAGGCGTACTTTCCGCGTTTTGAAACGATGGGCTGGCATTCTTGCCCCGCCGTGCGACAGCGCGAGCAGGGGGTCGAATCGGTCCGATCGCATCGGACACGGCGCAGATTGCAAGATTTGCAGGCAACTTTAGTCTTAGATGCGGTGGTTGGCATTTCGCCTCAGGAAGTTGGCGTACCTACCTAGGTATGGGAGGTTGCTTGCAAGGTGTTGGTTGGGGCCGGAAACTTGACTTTTCCTAATCGAGACGCGACCAGCGGGCCGTCACGTGATTCTGACGGGCATTATAAACAAGCAGGAAAGAAGACACCCGAAGGATGAATAGACAGGCTATATGGTTTGTGGTACTACTGCACCTGTATTGCTAATACTGCTCCGATACAGGTTTAACTCACTGCCTATGGTAGCGTTGTTCGCCTCAGGTGAAACCATAATGGGGTGTCACTGCCTCTGTTCTAAAGGGAATCCTTCACAAAAAGGGTGGGGTGGCTGGATTGTATTCATTTATTCATGCGTGTTGTGGCTAGAGTGCAGTTTCTCATTGAGCGCTTGAGCTCTGGATAATAATTCCAGAGCAGACAAAGTAACTCGCTATAAGTCCAGGGAGAAGTCACAATCATCCCTTAAACACAGGCGGAGGTTCTGATCAAACGCTAAAGAAAAACACTGAGACATTGGTACTCATGCAGAGAACAAAGTAGATCATGGGTTACATACAGTTCTCAGACGTGCAATCAGGGTTTCGGCGCATGGCGAGGAGACAGAATGGACTTTAATTCCCACTGAGCCTACCCGAAGAGTGAACTATCTGCGTTTCGCCTTGTTGGCAGCCAATCTTTCCCTTGCTAGACACCATATAACAAGTCCACTGAGCTTTGCAGAGATCTTGAAAATCTCAGGAACTGCGGACCCACGCTCTACATACTTTTCCGCATGGACGGAAATGGCTCCGGCGAGAATTATGTAAATTTTCCAATCGGGCTCAGGGTTCATCCTCATAGCATCTCGGACGAGGTCTCGGAAAGCCACAGATTGCCAATTCTCACTACACCAGGCTGCCAACTTATCAGAAGCAAACAATTTCAAGCCATCAAGTCCGAATTTGTCCGCCGTGATGTAGACGTAAAGGTGGTTGTAGCCTACGGATGTTGTGGTCCGGTTTAGATTGCCTGAGATAGTTTTGTCTTCCGGGTTTATTAACGTTGCTTCAGTCAACTCGGTTGATTCAGAAAATTCGGACGATCCGGCCGGACGATCCAGAAGATCCAGACGATCCAGACGACTTGGATGATTGGGGCGATTCGAGTTTTCTTTCGTCCAGTTGTAGTAGACAAGTGCTCAAGTCCAATAGGTGCTCCTTTGGGCTATAGTCGCCAACGTACATGAAAGCTAGGTCCCGTTCGATTGTTTCGGGATCATCGTCGGGCAGATCGATCATCTTCGTGAGGCCCTCCTATAAAGATTTAGTTATCATTGAAATGCCGTAGAGCCAAAGGATGTCCTAGCCTGGAAATTTCCATCCATCGCAGCCTTGAAAAATGCCGACTGCGAGCAGAGAATGGCACGGTGAACGCGAAAGCTGAAACCTTGACAGGTGATTGTCATGTCGGAGTACTCTCTGCTCAGAAGCAAATTTTTCATCGCCTCGGCGAGGACTGGGTTTTTGCATTGATTTGCGGAGTCGGAAGCCGGTGTCGTGGTGGGTGCTTTCTCGTTTGCCATGGTAGTTAGTAGCTCAACTATTGTGTCTCCCCGCCCGAGTTATGGGAATTGCAGCGTCTTGATAACCCAGGTCAAGAGAGATGGATGGTGAGGTGCAACATTTGAAATGTGAGAGACAAGAGTGCGAAATGCAAGTAAGGGCTAGAGGGGTGATGGTGGGAAGCAGAGTTCAAAGTGAGAAGCAAACAAGCTGTGTTAGTCTTGACAGAAAGATAGGTGGTTGACTGATACTCCCCTAATCGCGTCGTGGGCGGTATCCTACGGCAGCTATCACGCCCGAAGAGACTTTTTTTTCGTTTCTTTTTCTTGGTCAAGACTGAGAAGGGCTAGTAAGTGTGAGAGTTATTGGAATCGCACTTTGGCAATGCTAGGGAGCTCGCAGAATTTCTGAGAGCGGCTCAGAGGCCTTAAACGAGTATCTGCGTCAATATGAGTAGCCCCATAATAGGCTCTGCTCTTCTGCTACCTAGTAGTATGCGTGGCCTTCTGAAGCTGTTGTGTTGACAGTGTTTTGATTCATGTGTGTCCTCATTGCTGCCAATATGTTGACAGCGACAAGGCTTGAATTGCACCACACCTGGAATGATCTCTGCGGCACCATATTGGAGAACTGTGATTTAGATGGTAGACCGATCTTCAGAACTCCCAGACTGCAAATGCCCGCGACCATATTTTGAGAGATGCAGTGTTTGTCTGCAGCGCGATATGCAAATTATGACGGTGTCTATGCACCTGACTAAGCGGTGCACATCGCTCCTCCACAGAACGCAGTGATGACGTCGACCGACCCCTCGATCGATCTGAAGCCACCACAAACACAGATCGGAAACGCGCCAGGATGATGTAAACGGTCCAATCGTCCTATAATTATCCATCATGTTCCTCTCGCACCCCTGTGACTCTTCGCTTCCGCAACACAACACAACCGCACACCATGTCCGACGTTCCTGACGCTCTCCTACCAGGCAACCCCAAACAACAAGAGATCGAGCGAGCTTTCGCTGGGAGAAACGATGCGGATGGGATCGAGGGGCCAACCGATAGCCATGCGCTGTCCAAGTTGAGTCCCGATGACGAGGCCAAGGGGTTGGCTCATAAGGCTGGTGATACTGAGCATGTCTCCGACATTGGGTGGGGGAAGTCGGATGTTATTGAAGAGAGGATTGTTCCGGGGCTGTCGAACGAGGATTTGTTCCTCTTGATTCGGCGGTTTAATAGGGTGAGCTTTGTCGCTAGCCTGGGAGTGCGGAGCTGACATTTTGCAGCAAATCTACAACGTCAAAGCCATTCCAGACGTGCCATTGCAGCGACTCGATCTTAACCGCGCAGAAGACGACCACTTCTCGCCGGACAAGCTGCGCGCGACTTTGGAGCGCTTCTACACCACAATCGTGATCGGACTTACTGCCTTTGTTAAGCACATTGCGCGGTTGCGATCATGGAGAGAGCCTCGTCGGACCTCAGCATTCTGCTCGGTGGGGAATCCTTCCGATAAAGAGAAATCGCATAACTAATTAATCTAGGTTTACTTCACAGCCTGGTTTCTAGACCTTATTGCGCCCACGCTAATCACTACACTAATCGTCCTAGTTCTGTTCCCAGCATCTCGGAAACTGCTCTTTCCCCCTGCACCCATCGCGCTTGTAGACACCTCCACGGGCGGCGTTCAGAAACCAAAGGCGGGCGTGCTCGGTTCTGATGATAGTGTCACTGGCGCTCCAGAGAAATTCAAGGGAGAAGCCGCCGAGCAGGAAGCTAGTAACTTGATTGCGAGCGTCGCTACGGTAGCTGTCGGGAGCGCGGCTGGGAAGGATGATCAGGGAACACCGGAGAGCGCTCCGATTGAAGAGCAGGTGCCGGATCCGATGGATATCGTTTCCGAGACCGCCGATGCTCAAGCCAAGGCGTCGGGTGAAGTTCCCTCAGATTCGCATGACAAGACTCGACAGCCGATGCGAGATACTGTACTCAATGGTGCGGACCAGGCGATGCGGATCATGGCCGATGTCATTGATACTTGGGAGAGGTTTGCAAAGTAAGCTGGCTGCCACTGCTCCTATATACTTGTACGCTAATAGTATAGTGCACTCTCCCCAACGCCTCCCTTCTCGATGATGACACCCCGTCTGCGTCTGACAGCCGTCCTCGCATCCGGTCTTCTTGTTGCATTCATCACTCCAAGCTACCTCTTCATGAAGATGACCACTCTCTTCATCGGCTTTGGCTTCTTCGGAGACCCAATCATCCTCAAGGGCATCCACTACCTAGACCAGAAATACCCACACTGGAAGGAACTCTCGCAGCTTCAGAAGTACGCTGGTCCCTCCCTTCCATTCAGAACAGATATCCAAGCTAACGCCATCCAGCTCCCTCCTAAAAGGCGTCCCCACAAACGCCCAATTGACCCTAACCCTCCTCCGCATCGGCGAAGCCAACGGCGCGCCCATCCCACCCCCGCCCTCTGGCTCCCTCGACGAAGCGCCCTCGCGCGCCGCCTCGCTTGACCACGAACAACTAACTCTCGGCGCAACGGACGAGGAAATCAGTCGCGCCGCCGCCCCAGAAAGAGACCCTCTCAAGAGCGACGTCGCAAAGGAAGCCGAGGCGAACGCACAGAAACCCAAGAAAACGTTTATGTCCCGCGTGATGAATTTCTTCCGCGGGACGACGGCCGCAGGCATTGAGAGTAAACTTGCTGTTGCGCGGGCGCGCGCAGAGATTGGGTCCGCGCATGCGAAGAATCAGAAGGGTGCGTTGCAGAAGAAGGGGTTGGATATCCGGCCTTCGGGGCCCGTTGAGTTCGATGCGCGGTATAAAGGAAACCGCGGGATGGCGGTTATTGATTCTTCGCAGGAGCCGCCTGTGCTTTATTTCACAACCGATTCCACAGTCCAACAGGGCGACTACAGGATGTCGAGCCGCAAGAATGGCACGGTACGCTTTACACTACCCGTGACTAACATCCAGGAGATGCGCAAGATTGGAGGCATGGGGTGGAAAGGGAAGCTGGTCGCCGGGTGGGCTGTTGGCGGGAAGGAGGTTGTTGATGGGCTTGTGGTATCGGGCAAGGGAGTGCAGGAGTCGTATCAGCTTACGGCAATGAGTAAGAGGGATGCGCTGTTTAATCGGCTTGTGGCGATTGATGGACAGGTTTGGACGTCTTTCTGATGAGGTACGCGTGTTTGCTGAGATTTTGCAGGTTTGGAAATAGGTTTCTTTTCTATCTTTTCATTCTCTTGTCGGTCGATGCATGAGTATACGCCATGCAGGCCCATTTTGGTGGTCGGTGGATATGGACGGACTTACCGGGACATCTTTCTCGCTGTTGTATAATAGTTGCTAACAATGGAATGAATACTAAGTCCAACAGATGGTGTTGTGACCAACTTATCCTTCTTGGGGTCTGAAAGCAATACAACTAGTTGATCACAGCACAAACAAGCAGGGGCGCGCTGCAAAGATCTTTGACAAGGCAAACTGTTTGCTGACTGTAATTCTGGAACTTAGAGCTTATTAGTATTCATAGAATATGCAATGAAAGCAAACAAATGAGTGGCCCTTCTAGTATCAACACTCTTGATGTCCAGGCCTGCTCTGATTATGAGTTTCGTACGTATTTCCTACAAACTCACAAAGTCTGGAGAGCTAATGAGTTGATTATACAGCTTGTCAAAAAGTTTGGCCCCTATAACATCACGTCATTATTTTTCTTCGCGTGTTGCTTCCCCAACGTCCATCCCAGATTCAAAGCATGCAACTTCTTATGAGAACTTCATATTAGCACTCCAACCACATACTAACCAGTTGCTCGCCGTCAATCCCAAATCCATCCAGGGTATTCAGGTCTGTTTCTTTCTGCGAGTCTATGACCTTCCTCTTACCCTAGCCCCTTTTCCGGCTTGGTCTGTTGCGCATGAAGTTGCTCTAGGATTTGAGCTCGCGCGGCAAGCTGTAAACAGGGTTGCAGATTCTTTGGCCAGCATCCGATCAACAAAGCAAAGTCTCGACCTGATACCAGTTCAAAGGTAAGCTCTGCAATATCTGGTCTCCGCTTCTCCATGCAACCTTTCGACAGGTGTGTTCCTCTACAGCCACTGACCAGCCATTTCCCTTCTATTAGCCTACGACGACCACTATTCAGCGAAACTAACCACCTCGCTTGACTACATCCCCTAGGATACCTCCCGGCATTGCACCATGTCTGAAACCACATCTAGGAAAGAGACGGCGATGGAAGAGGCTTCTACGAACTCGTGTGGCTACCAGTGGGTTAGTAACACAAATCCAGCGAACGGCCCTTGAGTATATAGGAAAACACCTAGATACTGTTCTCCAAGTGGCCCCTAAAAAGCATCCAAGCTAATTCAAGGCATCCTACTAGATACCGAATCCCACGGAAAGAAATCCTGCCTCCGAGTCTACTTCGCCCGAACTCTCTGACAACGATTCCGATTCCGATTCCGATTCCCGATCCTCCGGCGCTGGAACTTCCTTCGCCCATACCATTCCGTCCAGTACACAGGAGGAAGAGACGCGCATGAGTCAAGAAGTGGGCAGCAGCAATGGTAAAATCAACGGACGTGGAATCAGCATTATCTTCCCCACTAACAGAGCCCAGGCGTCGATCCTCCCTCCCTTCTAAAACGTCCAGGCCGGTGGGCTATCAACGAGCGATTGGGGATTGAGATCCATAAAATGGCTAGGAACGTCGATCAGCTGCAGGTGCTTGAGAAAATGTGCGTCGATACAGCATATGATAATGCCGCGTGGCAGCGATTGGTACAGACAAGGGAGAGATTGGAGACGGCAAGGCAGAATTTACAGTTATTGATCAGTCTTCGGAAGTCTGTTGATCGGCTGGAGATATCGGATCTCAAGTTCTTGCTTAAGAACCTTCTTTCGAGGTGAGGTTGGCTGTGTCGACGATAGTTGGATTTCGATGTCCGGTCATCGCCTGTTCTCTGTTGCTGGCCAGCGTATGGGATTGCGTGTGTCTACTTTACGCTCCCTTGGAGTATGATAGTGTTGGAAAGGCTTAAGTATAACGGGCTGGGAAAAGTTAATGTACAACAGGAAGCGATTATTCACCAGCCTTCGCGTGGCCAGATGCCTAATACCACTCATTTCAAGGCTTGAATCGCTGATCACAACTTGGACCCTTCTCCGTAGATAATTTACCAACCATAGCCCCCAAATCTCCAGGGTCGAGAATAAGAGATAACCAACAGTTCGGAGTACAGGCTACAGGCTGATCGCCAATGACAACGTACGTCGAATCGAAACCGAACCAAAGGGAGACTGGGTACTTCTTCACCGCTACCCAGAGGGATAGGCATATGTGTGTTAATATAGGTAGGGATCCAAGGATATTCCAGGCTTGGCCAGGAGGCTGACTTGCTGACCGGTCGATTAAACATGAGGCGCTATTGGCTGGACGTGCCACGCGAGATGACTGAACGTTCGGTCTTGGAGATTCTAGAGTGTGTTTTCAAGTCGCACAAGGCGAAGGCGCACGCGTCCTAACTCTTATCACTACGGAGAAGAGGGAAACTGAGCACCTGGGCGCTGAGCTCCGCCCCCTCCGTCAAGCGTGCGCTCTCAAATAACCCCGTCTAGAGCCGCACTTGCTTCAATGGTGGAGCAAAGGGGGCACTCGCAGACTGAGACCGGGTCCCAGGGATCGCCCTGGTCGATGACAGCTTGGAGCAAGATCCAGGCGCAAAAGTACTGGGCACAAGACCGAGTTTCCAGTGTTGCCGGGGGGCGATTACGTGAAATTTGAGGCTTCTATTTTTGCTTTTTCAGTTCTATTTAGGGCTCGTGCGGTCGCGTCAAAATCCAACAACATTTCCCTGGGAGACCTGCCAATCCTCACGTGTGCATTCACGCAGTCAAACTGCGCTGCCCCAGCACAGTCTTTCCATATATTTTTATCTAGCGAAAAGCCCACGCTTTTCCTTTGTGATCATCTATCTACATGTTCGGAGTCACCCGTCAGAGTCTCATCTCTTGAGTTCCGAGTCCGGAGTCTCCTTGACCAGGTTCCCATGTCAGCCGCCCGGTCCGTTCCCCTCTACCGCAAAAGGCCACGAGTCTCTCGTTGGACGGAGGAAGAACAACATCTTTTTCAGACGCTACTCGAGCAAGATCCCGGCATTCGTGATCCGTGGTTGTTTACTGAGGTGAGTTTCGTGTTCGCTGACTGCTCTCCTTCCCCGCACCAACGGAACGGCTCTTGGGCTAACTTACCTGGGCGACATTTCCCTGCTTAGCTCCACAAGGATAAATTCCCCACGCGATCGCGAAGCGCTGTGCACATGAAGTTTCTGGAGAAGACAATCGGGTACAAACCGGGAATGAAGACACGGGGACTTGCTGCTTCGCTTAGCGCCGCCGAGGGTTCTGATGATCGTGTCACCGCTGGAAGTACTACTAATACGCCAAGTGGAGGAGGGGGGGTCTCAATCAACGATGGTGATAATGTACAGGTAGGTACTGCGAGCAGTTCTACAATCTGGAGGGCGTGATAAGTATGCGCAAATACTGAGGTTGGGTCACTGACTTGTGTCGTACGAACAACTAGGTACATCAACGCCGGCGCCCCGGCAGACCTCGAGGCCGCCCTCGAAATCCAACTGGCCTCGCTTCTGTTACAACAACAGAACTGCAGGTCGCCGTGCCCTCCCATTTGAGCGGACGTGGTCGAGGTGGAGGTGCTGGTTCTCGCGGGGCTCTACGAAGATCAGGTCGCTCCAGGCCAGCGCCGAGCGCGTTGAGGACTGCTATACATACTACTACATCAAGCAGACCGAGGTGTCGTCATAAGGAGACTAGCCGTACCTCCGTTGACGAGCGGAGAGCCTCCCGACCTGATGATAATGCGGCAGGTGTCGACGGCAATCAGGAAATCGTCGACATCAGTAGCGACAGCGACGACAGTAACGACGAGCTTAATCAGCCTCAGAGGCGGAACACATCCAGGAATTTTCCAACGACGCCTTTGGTACCCCAGCAGGATCATTCTCTTCGACGAATCCTTCAGCAATCAGCGGACAGGACACCGGTTAGCGATGCTCAGATAACGGAAGCTGTTGACCAGGCGGAGCAACTCTCCCAATATATGGAGTCCGTCGTGAAAGCCCTAAAGAAGAATAGGGATGAATTCAGACAGCATACCAAGATTCTGCAGGCCATGCAGATGTCTGTGGGCAACCTGGATACCAAGGAGCTCTTATTATGATGATCGGGGAGCATCGAGGACTATCAATAATCTGATGCGGTCTTGGAGAGTAAGGGGCCAGGATGAGGAGCTTAGGGCAATAAGCCAGTGAATATCCATGTACTAATAATGTATAATATACCACATAACGAGTTTCCGACCTTGAAGGGAGGAGAGCTGCGTGATGCACTGCCTTGAGTCTGCTCCTGTTGCCGTAAAAACACATAAATAATATGGAAACCATCGCAATTAGTTTACCGATCAGTTTTCACAAACCAAAGGTCTTGGAATGGATATCGCCGGGCCAAATACGATGTGCTCCCAAAGCCTACAGTCTGAGACTATCTCTCGAGTTCAGTCTGGACATCTTCTGATATCCAAGATAGTTGCACCCGCACGTAGCGGGTTACGGCGGCACCGCGATAGAGCCACTCATGACCGGAACAGCTTTCCCCCCCAGATGGAGCGCCCCCAGCTCCCTTGACCCATCCAAGCCCGTGCCGACCTCGGCGTTGATCAGGAGCTTACTTTCCCGGCCCATCTCCACCCCCTGGGTGATTTCAAACGTGACAGACGGCTCCTGGAGCTCATATAGACTGAGATAGCTGGACAAGGCACATGCTGCGCTTCCCGTCGCCGGATCCTCCATTGTTAATTTGATCATCCTCGTTCGGATCTTATGGACTGTCCTTCCTCCATCCACGCATTGGCTGCCGAGTCGAACAAAGTAGTACCGCCGAGTGACCCAGCCGTCACGCCAACCGTCATCCAAGAGCTCTGCGGGGAGGTCAGGCCGCGCGCCGACGGCCACGGCGCCCAGCAGCTCGAGCGATGGTAGCTCGATAAGCGCAAAGGTCATGCCCTTGACGATACTGAACAGCGGGGCCCCGTGTTCGGCCCTCGCTACCTCGGTCTGCAACGCGGAGATCGGACCCGGCTCAAGGCAGGATAATCGCCTCTGATGCAGCCGGATATTATGCGGCACCGCAGCCCGGATGGTGCCATCTCCAGTTCGCTCGATGCTGATGGGGCCGGCTTTGGCAAGCAATGTCCGTACACCAGATGAGTAGAGGAAGCTAGCCGTGCCAATTGTCGGGTGGCCAGCGAAGGGTATCTCTGCGTGCGGTGTAAAAATGTCGAAACGCCGCGTGTACGTGGGCACAGAGGAGGCCTCGACATCATGCACAAAAGTCGTCTCGGATAGGTTGAATTCTCTGGCGATAGCTTGCTTCTGCGCTTGTGTCAGGACCATGCCCGGCGGGATTGTCACCACTGCTAGAGGGTTGCCCTTGAAGCGCGTTTCGGTGAACACGTCCAGGGTGGTGAAGGTCAACGCCATGATTGTCACGAGTTGATGAAAAGAAGCCGGTGCCTATCTGCAGCGTGAAATGCTTTTCCGCCAGAAATTAAAGATGATACAGGGTGCATGAGCAGGGCAAGGATAAATTTGACGGCTGGACTGGGATTATGGGCTGCGAGTCTTCGCTTTGGACGGCTCTGACTCATCGGGCGGTTAAATGACAAGAACAAGTCCAGGCTAGCAGGTTGGTGGGGTCATCCAGCATTTAAATCCAATCTCTCTGACTCGGGACAGATAACTCAAACAAGGGAGTCTAGCCACGGACTTCAAATTCTGCACACCATAACAAGCATCTTGAAGGGCAGCGCCCTGCAATGAATGTCACGGCTTTCGGCATTGACTAGTGGGGCAGAGAAGACTCCGTGAGTGGACAGCTGCCCCATGTCATCACAAAGTTGCTGATCCTATTCAACTTTCCCAAAGGTGACCCCAGAGTATCCAGCTCAATGTTGGAGCAAGAAAATGGCACTTGTATCGCGAATAGACCTACAAGGAATAGTTCTATCCAAGGCAATCTCAACCATGTATGTTGTGCTCGTGCAATAATCCGAAATATGGACTCGGTGTCTCATAATGTACCAGAAGTACATTGTATCACCTGCAGAGAGGCAAGCACCGCGGAGAGGTTACTAGATGACGGCTGAGAGTGTGTGCTTGTCAATTGACCGATGATAGATGCTCAAAGGAAGAATGCACTCAGAAGAGAGAAGAAGTTATGGTTGAAAACCTTTTCTTGCTATGTATTATACTAGAATACAAAAGTTAAATCTAGAAAACAATTTTTTTTGTTATCGCGAGCTCGCGATGCTGGGGCAAATTTTTCATGGTACAACAAAAACAGAATATAGCGAATGTTGAAAATGGGGCTCAGGGCGTAGCCGACTCCATCAATCGAGGCGTAGGCAGTGCGCCGATGCGACCCTCCAGAGGATAATCACCATGACCGTCGCGTGCCCGAGGCACAGATGCGTGCGTTGTTTGGTGAGGTGGAGGGCGCTGGAGCGGTGCTCAGGCCTAGTAGTCGTCCTCCTTGGCCTCCTCGTACTCGCCGATCTCGTGGCACTATAATGCAATCTGTCAGCATCTTTGGAATTTGCTGGTTCTTCTAAGCGCTTCTTACCTCGCTCTCGGTGCAGCAGGCGTAGGTGACGTTGGGGACGTCGCAAACCTTCGAGTCGGCTGTTGACAGAAAACTCGTTAGTCAAAAGACGGCTTTTTGCCAATGTTAATCAAAAGGAGGAAACGCACTTCCAAGGCCCAAAAGCTGGCCAAGGTTGATGGGAATGACACCCTGGCTGGCGTAGGGCGAGCAGTAGGCGTTGTTGGGGGGGTTGAGGCCCAGGGCGTTGTTGAGGAGGTTCAGGCCCTTCTCGGAGTGGTCATCCTTGTTGTGGATGATGCAGCAGTTGACGATGAGGTCACCGCACTTGTTCTGGAGGACGTCGATGTCCTGCTTGTTGCTCGCCTGCTTAACGTTGTTCTCCGTCTTCTGGGGCATGGCAGCAACAGCCGCGACCAGGGTGATGAAAGTAGCGAGAGTGAACTGCATCTTGATGGTTTGGAAAAGAGGGTTGGCTAAAGAAGCGCGTCGAAGATGGAAGAGACTGGAAGTGGGCTTTGAAGCTGAGAGAGAGCGGATGATTGTGTGGATGAGAGAGATGATTTGGGTGGCTGTCAGTCAACCTTTTATAGCCCGTCCGCACGTTCAGACTCTTCCACAACAACAACCCTTGCCAACTACCCCTTCCGTGTAAAACTTGGCTTCGTCATGCAATCCGCCAGCAGCAATGCAAGCGTATGCAGGTACGCAATCTCCAGAGAATGGAACGTGTGGGGCGCACGTAGCAGGAGAGTTGCGGTCCCTGTGCTAAGACCGTGTAGGCGGGCCCTCATCGTGCTGAAAAGCTTTGAACAGGTAAGACACGAAGATCAAAGTATCCAGATAGCAAGGAGGCTTTGCAGACTTGATCGCTTCTAATGCCGCGCGAATTGCTGTAGTGGAGCTCTTAACGCTGGTCGTAGCGGTGTCGTGTTGGGCGCTCGTTAGGGCTACAATTCAACGAACCACCTCGAGGTCAATCCGCAGGAGCCATCTGCAGCACGGAATTGCTCTATAGAGTGAAGTGACATATGAAGAGTACAGCTACTGGGAACAATTACCCTTGGCTGACATGGTCAAGTGCGTATATGGAGCCATACATCCCGCGGAGGCCTTGAGCGCCGCATCACAGAAACATCATCAGGCTTGTGGCTTCATATTCGATCTAAGCTCTCCTTGTGTGATTTGTCGCCACAATACCTCGTGGACTCCACTGAACGCCAACGCCGAGCCAAATCAAGGTGTGGATGCGGAATAGGCCTTGCGTCTTCAGGGGTATCCGGAGCTGAGTGCTCAGAAGCAAGCCAGGCTTGCCTTTCCTCTAGCATAGCTGTTTCGCACCAGCAATGCACTCCATGATTTGGGCTTGCAAAACTTGTAGAATGGTCTTAGCACAGGGCCGATCCAACAGTTTCCCAGCATGTCTCATAGAATGCGGTCTTAGCACATATAGGATTTTGACCCCTTCTACGAGCATACCCCTGTCGCTAAATCGAATGAGAAGGAAAGATTTTGACAAATCAGGAGGCAGGAATCCATCTCCAAGATGAGTATGTCATGATAGCATCAGACGTGCAAGCTGAGCTGTCCCTATGTGGTCCAGCACGCCAGTAGGCCACCGCACATTCCAGCGCCGCGCCGCCATTTCCAGTTCACGACGAGGTCGAAACCAGCGGCATTCTACTCACTCTGAATTGGGTTGTAGGTACGAGGTAAACACCAACAGGTTCGCTGATGTAATAGCACTTCACCAGTACGTAGGCGTCCCAGATGTGCATTGTGGCGATGGAACCTCGTCTCTGCACTAAGAACCATTTGTAGTTATATCGCCTCCGGGATGGCTGATACTTTCCGCAGACAGTATATTGAAGTCATAATTGGGCCTAACTTGCCTCGCTGTAACCTTTGAGACCGAGCCCGTTTTCGGTGGTGCGGCGGTCCCGTCCCGGTATAGCATCATAGATGATCAAATAGTCCAGAGGCATACCTTGTATAGCATGAATCAAGCATACACGAGACTTTGTAGTCCGTCTCGTTTCCATTTATCCTCTTTTATTCATATGATGAGTAAGAATACATTATCAAGAGTTTCCAAAGTTCCGCTGGGTAGCGTAGTATCCTCGATTAGCGCAGATGACTTTCGCAGGACATCATATGTATATAGATACGCTTCTTTCTTCGATTCGACAGTGTTGGGAGCAAATATAGTCAATGTCTAGATATTGTAATATGCTATGAGTGCAGTTGCTCGATAGTATGCGCCCGGTCCCTACATGGATGCACATATATATATCTGCTCTTCGATTATATATTTTGATTACGAAGAGGGGTATTTACAACAGACAATGAATACTATCTATAGTGTAGCATTTGATAAACAAAGCCAAAGATATGTTATACCTAGTAGAATAGCGTAATAATACTTTTACACTTGTTGTTTATTAGAGGGCGAGAACCTATTCACCAAGTGTAGCTGTTAGTGCTCATCGAGCTCCTCGTCCGGTAGACTGTGAGATGGATTCGGATACACGAGCTGGGCATTGCTTTGTTCATACACGGGGCAAAAGGACCTAATTCAGCTTACTCAGACAGGGTTGCTGACTACCTCCATATAGCTTCTTGAATTTCACTTATAAGGTGTTGTTCCATAGCGGATTGACCGCACTATTTACATCATTCTTAGTATTTGTAGCCACAAGAGCATCCAGCGGAGTCTGCTTCAAGCGTCGAATTGCGGCAACTGCAGCCTCGACCTCTGCCTCTTCATGACACAAGCACGCTCTAGCTACCGCAATGCTAACATCACCAATACTAACCGTGCACCCATAGGTAGCATCAGAGCCTTCTGCAGTCAACGTTCGCTCGACATCGAACTTTGCCAGCGCCCTCGAAAGCCTTTGCACAACATTCTTCGGATGAGCGATATCGACACCATCGCGCATAATGCGATCAAGACAACCGAGAAGACCTATTCTTTCCAAGAACATCTCACAGGCCGTGAGGTCGCCCCTCGAGTCGACAAATATAGCGCCCAGAGCACTCTCTATGAGATCCGCAAAATATTTGTCTGCGTTGAGCTTGATTAGCGCTTGCCACGGGTACTCTTCCGCTTTCTGGAGGCCAAAGACGATCTCTTCGCGGAGGCCCAGGTACCGCCTGAGCACTACGCGCTGGGATCCTTCTTGTTCGAGGGGGGAACCACCAAAGCGCATAAAGCTCCAGAGTCCGGATGGCTTTATTTCAGCTTCTACCGTGGTGGTTTTGAGGAGCGTATCCCAGGAAGAAAGTTCCAAACACAAGAAAGCCAGAATATTGCGATTCGAGACTGCATGCTTGATCATGCTCATCTCGCCCTGGGCCATCTCGCCCGGATGGCGGGCAAGCTTGCTGATTATGATCATGTCTAGAATAGCGTCGCCAAGAAACTCGAGTCTCTGATAGCTTTTACCGGCGCAAGAAGGGTGGGTGAGGGCCTCGACGAGAAGGGACGGGTTCTTGAAGTTGTACCCGAGCCATGTTTGCACGTCCTGATGAACAAGATTCGACACCTCAGCCCTTGAGTTTGACTGGAATCGGATCTCCTGTGAGGGGATCTCGGGCAGCAGTACCTGAGCAACAGCGTGGGCTCGCGGGAGACCTCCATCGATATAAGCGGCTCCGATGAGGGCTTCCACCACATCCGCCAGGACCTTCGCGGTCATCTTCCGCCTTCCTGCGCAGCGATTACTTCTATATTTTCGAGACCAAGTTGGAGCCGACCAATTTCTTAAGTTCACTCTATGGTCTAGAATGAACGCATCCAGTCCGATTTCGAGACCAGCTCGCGTAAGTCGAGAGTTTGAAACAAGCTCATCTCGCCTTTGGGAAAGGTCTCCCTCGCTCCAGTCAGGATGCTCGACAAAGAGTTGGCAGGAGACGATGTATTTGAGGATCGCGTCGCCGAAAAATTCATATCGTTGGTAGTTGGTCTGCGATCTGGTGTATGGGGTTGTGATGGCAGGCAGCACATGCCCGATGCTCGAAAAGCCGACGTTTTGTAGAACTGTGTTGCAGAGCCTTTCCGCCACCAGTCTCATTTGGAGTGTATGAAAAAGTATCGGTATACAGAGACTAGGTATGCTTTCCCCTTGCAATGTGAGAGTCAGTATTCGTCTGGATATAGTTCACCTTCTCGCAGAAATGGGTCCAGCTAAACTCACCGACAATATTCATACATCTTTTATCGCTCCCGACGTCAGTCCTGTCGAGCCACGTTCTCAACTTGTCATGTGGCTGATCCGGACGGAGCAGAATCATATAATCCTTCTCTTGCTGCATGTATTTGGGCACGGTAGCCGACAAATAGACCGACGTTATCTTTCTCAAAGCGTTGATCCTGTCAAGGGTAACCCTAGATATCTTTCGACAGCCGTTAAGTGACATCTTGACTGGTGTTTCTGTATCCAACCCAATATCTAGCGGCGCGAGTACTAAGGCAGAGAGATACATCGGCGTGTACATGTTGACAACGGCCGCGGCGGTTGGACTGCCATTCACGTGGATACGAACTTTGGTTCCGTACAGCCTCATGGGATACGCTGATCGATGAGCTGTCCACTCAACCCATGGATCAATTTGCTCGGATACGGTGAGCATTGATGGCAAGGCGCCATCAGACGCGTTTGTCGATGTATAGAGGAGCGGCTGGTTTTCTATCGCGACTGCATTGGAGTGATTTTGAGCTCCAGAAATTCGATCCCCTATTGACAGAAAACGTTGCTGGAGCTTCCTTCTTCTTCTGCGGCGGGCACTGCGTGAGACCGGTTGGGGAGCATGGCGGCGTTCTTCCATCGGTTGGTCAGTGCCCATAGCGACGGGATCTGAGGCCATGGCTAGGTTGGAGTTAGGTCAAATGAGGAAGAGACAGGAAAGTACCCTAGAGTAAGATGAGAAACTCTGAATCTCGACGTTTCATGATCTTCTCTATCCGGCCAGCAGAAGAGAAGTGTTAGCTGACCTCCAGGATACGAATACTGTGGTACGGATGCTTACTGTGCATTCAATAGCCATTACCCCCTCAATTCCGACTGTCTCTGAAAGAACTAAACGATACGACTCGAAATAAGAGGAGGTTGAAGGAGCTGGGTGCTTGCGCCGAGGGAAAGCGCGACAGTCGCACATGCATGTCTGGTGGTCTTAGCACAGGGCCAAGCACGTCTGGCGCTTTTGACAACGCCACTCAATGAAACCACAGTTTAGAAGCACCCCTTGCCTAGTTAGCATCTGAGTCATTCAACGGTTTTCCCTCTGCAGTCCGCAAGCTCCTACGCTCGCCCCCTCCTAGTGCTAAAGGGGTCCGCATCCAATGTAGTCACTCACACATCAGAAGCAAGATGCCCCCATGAGCTATTCTTCGATATACGTCTCGATACAAGTGCATTTAATGCATAAAAGCACACAATGTATATCAAGTAGGTATATCATTCGTGAGCTTTTTGGGGGCAACCGCTCGCCTCTGCCGTAAGCTTCCATTACCATTTAGATTCTCATTCCACAAAGTTTTATTCAGATATAAAACATCGACCTCCTTAAACTGGAATGCACCTGAATCCTATCAAACCTGCTAACGATTTCCCCGTACGCAATCTCATTTTCCTCACGGGATCCGCCGCCGCGCTGCACACGGCCATCAAACACGTCCTTCAAATAGCAGCGCGCGCGATCACACAGCAAGTCTGCGTAGTAGGCCGGTGGGCAAATACTGACCGCCCGCGTCGCCCGCCCGAACAGGTAGCACAGGTCATGTGTGAAATCCTCCAGAATATCCGCGGCGTTGCGTAGTGACAGGGATGAAGCCTTTTGACTGCGGAAGATTTCGTCCCAGACGACATAGTAGTGCGCTGGTCGGGCGGTCCCATGGAGGGCTGTATGTGACTGGAGGTAAAAGTCCCATTCACGGGCCTCAGTGACGCCGCGGTCAATCACCGTGCCGTTCTTGGGGTTGGATAGTTTGTCGGCGTCGCTTTCGCGGGCGGGATAGAAGCGTGTACGGTGGCGTTTGCAGACGATGATTACCGAAAGGCGCGGGATGCCTTTGCTCTGCATAGCCTGGGGGTAGATATCCCCACATGCGGATTTCAATAATGGGACTTCATCCCGGGCGACCTGCTCATACTGGCTGCTTGACACCCCATCGCGATAGACTATGATATTCTCTGGGAGCTGCCCGTTGGTGGCCGCCCACAGCTCGAGGCGAGACTTGAGCATTCGGTCGAGAGGAGCGCCGGTCTCTTGCCTCGAAGTTTGAATCTGGATATCTGCTGGCCACTGCGCAAGGTGCCGATCGATCGATGCAACCATGCCGGCCACACTCGGCGTATCCGAGGAAGAACCCGCGGCCGGGTGAGTGACATCGATTCCCACAATCATCGTCTTGCCTTTGGAGATGATGCCTGAACGCTCGGCCCCGAGGACTTGGTTCACTCCCCCGAGCTTCAGATTCACCTTCAAGCACACCCCACCAAGATACTGCTCATTCTTCTTGGCAAGCTTTGAAGCAAGCATACATACATTGTTGACGCCCAGATGGACGTCACAGACGCGTTTCACGGAACTGTAGATATGACTGTTTGGCGAAGAGAGAATGGCCATGATGAGATCCTGCCTGTGCCGTTTCAGCAAGCGGCTGACGGAACTACCGATTATCTCGTCAAGTTCATTCGCGTCGTAGTTCCCACGGTCGTACGCTGCTTTCACATCAACGCGCCGTCCATCAGAGATCGGGGGCGCTTCGACGCCGAACTGCTTGAGTCTCCCGCGTAGTGTCCCTAGGCAATCATATAATTCCGCCGGCTTCTTGAAGATCTCTCGATCTCTATCGTTTACGATGTAGATGAATGCCCAGGAGGATAGACGGCCGGGCTTGTAGAATTTTGTATTATTCTGCCTCCAGACCCCCGAAGCCACATCGGCCTTGTTCCCGTTTGCATAGACGATGGATGGAGGTGGCAAGATCCGCGCCGGGACAGTGATCAAACCGGGGGATATTTGGAAGCCTAACTTGTGCTGTTTGTGTGTCACGACATGATCAGCTCTACAGACCAGATCAACAGGCGCGGCATCTTACCAAAATACTATCAGACTCAGTCGAGAATCCAAGCAGCTGCGCGCCTCTCGTGACAATAGACCGCGCGTTCTCCGCTGGGCTGCGTATCGCAACATCCATCATCCTAGATTCTTGTTCACCGCTGAGATGTGAAGCAACAGGCTGGCCGCTTCGGACTACGCATACTTCTGCGGGCACATATAGAGGGTTCTTGCTCCGGCCGAGGAGCCGGATAACTGGTAGACTAGGGTCTGGATAGATGCCGTAGCCTGTAGATCTCCGAGGTAAGTCCTGAACAAACTAATCACCTAACAGGGCCTCTACTTACGTCGAACAAAGTAATCCTCGACCGTGACATATCTCCCGCTCTCGCAGCCATAGCCGGACTCAAACACCTCGCCCATCTCAACGTCGCTGCTATTTCCGTCCACGCTCTGGACCGGATCCTGAAGCCAGAATTGCACTTCACGAGGCCCCGCACCGTGTCTGGGAACTATCGGCGGATGGGGCAGTATCCGTCCATCCGACGGCGACGCCAGGCCGGCAATCACTTTGAACCGGGGGATATAGCCGCTCTCCGATCCATCGTCCTCGACTTGCCGACGATAGTGGGTCACTTCGACCTGTATCCGTCTCAAGAACCGTTCAAGGCGAATACTGCTCGGGCTCGCCTCTCTTCTGTACGATGCAATGACCTTGGGTAACCCACCGCCGCGAAAGCACAGCGAATACTCCACCTGGCACCCAACGAGTAACCGCGCGGTAGCGGCGCGCACGCTGAATGAAAACCCTCGTAGTGCTTCCAACCCCGCTCCGAGATTGAACGGCTCTGCCAAATTTCCTGAAACTGCGAACCGCTTGTTTCCGTCCATCGGGACGATATCCGATCTCGCTCTCGAGTAATGGCCAAGAATGGTAGTCAACGCGTGGAGGATCTCAGCCTTGTCGTGGCAGATATCGCTCGCATTCGTCGAGGACAGATGCTGTACGAGATTCGATATACTAATCTTCCCTGTCGGGATAACCCTAACACGGTAGACGCTCGGTGTCCTCGGATTCCCGTGCGCGAAGTGGTCTGTATAATGTACGTCAAAGACATGCGCCGTGTTGTCCCCCTGAAGAAGATCAATTGGCGAAACAAGCGTCGAGCAAAGATCCGACGCAATCTGCCCCCGGGCATCCAAGAAGTGTTCTTCGAGTAGTATCCCTATGATCCGCCGCAGTTTGCACGTTCCATGGCTTTGCTCGGTTTCCAGGTTGTAGCGAAACACCTCACATCCGGAAGGCGTTGACAGGTGGAAACAATTCGCGTAGAGGAGGGTCTCGAGGCCTCGTGATCCGAATCCTGGTCTTTTTGGCATTGAAGGCTGGAGTTGGGATTCGGCGTGGCTTCGCAGTTGGGTGGAAATTGCATCTTCGGTCTCTCGCACGTTGCGGTCGAGTATGGGGCCGCCGTTCTGTCTAAAAACAGGTAGTTTTAGTAATTTTTTGACCAGTGCTGTCGGGGATCTCGTACCTGAAAATATCTTTACCATGCCTTCTCCCACCATGTAGAGGCTTCGCTTTGTTTCTTCTATTTGCGTTCGCGCCCTGAGGAGCACTACCATAGGGCTCAGCCCGCACGTAACTTTCAGCATAGGTAGTCATGACAAGAGATGTTTAAATTTGAGACGGTATGAGGCAAGGTCTTCAGGCCATCCCAAATATTCTTCTTTCAAGTTACGCATCGAATCACAGTGGCAGAGATGGTTGTTGAATGAGGGTGTGGAATCCCCTTTGCTCAACAACGGAATATTCGACCGAGAGTAGGCACCGAGTAATCACCACATAAGTCTCTCACTTCACCCGCAGTAAGTCTACAGGATTATTACTATCAACAGTCATTGGGGTTACAAAGAACGCAGGCAAGGGATTGGTCTCCTAATTCTCCTAATCATAGCGTAGGGCGTTATGAGGATCAAGTCCGGTCTTAGCGCAGGGACCCAACGTCTTAGCACAGCCAACTCCAGCCTCAGTATTGGTGTGCAGCACTCTCATCAAATGCTTAGCAGTGTATGAAAATTGGTATAAATACCTCTCTCACCCTGGTGTCTCTGGCAGCTACTGATCCATCATCCGTCGCAAGCATTGCACAGTCCTCGCTCTTCCATTTCATCCTGAGCCAGCTCCCTGGTGGGATATATCTTTGCCTTCACTTGTTTCTCCACCCATGGATTGTTTCCTACCACTTCAGCCGTCGCGAACCCGCAGAGTACACCTATGACCCTGCGCGACATTCCGATATCCCCCCTGATCCACGCCGCGTGACAGGATCCAGTCCATAGACCTACGCGCCCCTTGCCGGTTGATTGGCGTTTGCAGCTCGCTCGCACCGAGAAGGTAGCTTATCACAAAGAACTATAGACTGCCGTGGCTAACATGTTGCTTAATCAGGTTACTGCTATTGATGTCGTCGGCCTTGACATGCTGGATTGCGGGCCATGTCCGCCCGTCCAACATGCATTCGATGGTGACTCGATCGGTAGCCTGTTTCGGTGCAAGCAGGGCAGCAAGCGCCAATGAGCCTGCAACAGGGCCTAGGTTTAGTCTGACAGTTCTATTTTGGTGTTCATTTTTTTCACATCGTGGTTTGCGATGGTCTTATTTCTGGTGGTTTTTTTCCAGATTGAATGCTGCGCCAATTGATGTGTCATTTAGTGTTGCATTGTCCATCTGCTGTTCCCTTATCCCGTCCGCCACCAGTTATTATGGCTGTCTTTAGTTGATATGGGTGAAGAGTGTCTAACCAAGGAGTAACGGATAAGCAAGGTGACAGGTTTTGATCATGCGTTGAGCCTTCGTTCCTGGGATAAGCATGCGTGGTGGGTTTACTACGATGCAAGAAGCCAAGAGACATTGCCAGACCACGAGAGTTATGGCTATGATGTGATCACCCGCAATAAAATGAAAAACTGCAATGGCACGGCAATATACTATCAAGTCCAGTTTCAGGGTTGCAATCCACCTCCTCTTGTGGTTCCAGTTAGTTGTCCGTGCTCGCCTCGAGAGAGACCAATCCCTAGAGGAGTCCTGGTGATACTACCGGTGATATCTATCGGCTACAAAACGCACACTAACAAATCAAGTTCATGAAATAATGATCGAAACGGTCAGCTGTCCATGGTCGATAGCCTAAATATAAACAATGTGTCTGAGATGCTGATTTTAGGGAAGGTTACTGATGACGCCTGGAATCAGTGGGCTTATTAACGGGTTTCAACAGTTACTCAAGGCTTATACTTATAAGGAGTCCGGCACCCACGACGGATTTGATTCTAGGAAAAGGAGGGTGATCGTTCAAGCCTATTGAGAGAGGGTAGGAGGGGCGGATCATTACTGCGATATTGCATGTGGCTTATAGGGCCTCGTCATCCGGCTGTCCTCAGATTTGGATGGTGGGTATAATATACTTGGCACGTTGATATATATTGGGCTGGTTTATAGGCAAATTTGTAAGAAACGGCCAGTTTTTTTGGGCATGGTGTATGGATAGCGTCTCCTAGAGTCAGAGAGCCTCATAGAGCCTCCTAGACTGCTATACGAGTGCTGCAGAAGTTATGAGAGCTATCGAAGTGGAATGATGACGAAGCTTATAGAGGAGGAAGGAAAGGTTGAAGGTCTGGTTTCTTGAACAGCTGAGGGAGTGACTGGGTTAAATACATGAGAAATGATGAATAACTAGAAAGAAACAGGGAGTAGAGGTCAGTTCGTAGGAACTGCCGATTCTGCAGATATCACTGTGGTACAGCTTCTTCACCGTAGGACTACATGAGTTCGACGAGACGACTTCTACATGAGCTAATAAAATAGAAAAGTATCGGCCAAAAGCTGTATGCAGGTTCCTGGATGTTTGATGGAGGCCCTATGGATATTGGAGGTTGTACAATTGGAGTAACATGACTTCCTGCGCTTCGACAAGTACTATCCTAGCTCTCCCAATATCCACTTGGTCATGGTTGACGTCGTGCCGAGTTACGAAAGGCCGTCGCTGCAACCGGACTTGGTTCCAGAGGTCCCACGAATACACCAGGGCAGGTATGACGTCGAGAGACGACCTGTGAAGTACCAATCTTTCCCTCCGCAGAGATGATCTTCCATCCCTAGGGTGCACACTGGGTAATTCTACATGGATAGTCATCAGAGAATATGGCCAGAATGAAGCCGACATAGATTGACTGGGAAGGTACCTCCTTCCACCCTGTCTACCCCAGGGCTCCGTGGAAACAAACATGGCGCAAGGCGGCCCTGGCGCCCTTGGCAACCGCCCCCAGCGGCGGCAGGCGCAAACATGAGCAGAAGCCTCCCTCATTCCACCCGCAAGCTTAAACGCCGCCGGATGCAGGTACGCACTGCATTTATTCCGAGGGAGGCAACGTGTGGAGCGCACATAGCAGGACCGTTGCGGTCCCCTTTGCTAAGACCACCAAGACGGGTCCTCATGGCCGGGGAAACTCTATCCTGAGGACGACACACGTAGATCCAAGTATCCAAGTATCTACATAGTACGTAACGGACTTGTCGTCGGTTGCCTTGGGTTCAAAACCGCCTGAGTTGCTGTGATGAGGCCTGATATGGTCGGTGTCGGAGTGTTATAGGAGGCGTGCTGATTCGACCTATATAGAATTAACGGTCCTCAGTGAAGTAGGCCTACAGCGGTGCGTACTCTCGTAGATGTATAATGATTTAGACAGACAATGACTGTTTCTAGCAAACCGACTGTTCCAGGATGACGTCGCGAGCTGTCTAGATAGAAGGGTATACCCCCTCGAGATCGGCAGGCCCCAAATGCGGGACACGGGCACATTGCCGAGTCTTTGCGCCTACAGACTCGGTTTAGGTTCAGCGCATCTTCGCAATCCACTTCTGAATTCCACCGTGTCTCAATTAATAGTTGTGTTGAAAATGTGAATGCGTAATAATCCTGCGAGGGTCATGCAGAGTTGAGGGACGAAGATCAAGGTACCTTTTACCGTAGCATACCTGTCCTGTCACTGCTTTCATTACATGCTTCGATCTCCGCGCAGACTTAGGCTACTAACAATATTATCGCACGTAATAGTTCGACCTGGGGTTTGAACAAACAAGATACGGTGTAAGCACGGAAACATCTCTAACCTCCGGTTGAAAATATACATGGGTTGGCAGCCTTTGACAGTCTCCGGCTGCCAAAAAGTACCGTGTTCCAGTACAGGCAACAGGCAATAAAGGTGCCTTCTATTTTGTCCAGTAGGTACGGCACAGTACATTCCAAACCCATCCTAGAATTTGCTCGTTTCTGCCGTGCCTCGGACGAGGCAACGGAGGGCCTAAGCTTTCTCTCAGGTAAAGTGCCATGAGCTACTGTAGTTTCGTTGTCAAGTGGTGCATCACCCACCACGAAGACGTATCATCGAGATTCCGGCCGAGCCTCCACGTGTTCACAGTCTACCATGGCACCAAAAAAAGCAACAAGACTACCCCTCGCCCTACGCCAAGAGCATGTTGGGCCTCGATCTCGCGCCAGACACTAGGTGCAGGCGTCTCGCAGCTCGAAAAGTGCAGCTTCTATTTGCCACGGGAGCAGCGCTCGGATGCGCCGGCTGCGTCCGGAGGCAAGATAAGCGATAAGTAAGCAGGAATGCCCGATCCACCATTCACGTCAACGGCAATGCGCACGATCGATGCTGCCAGTCTGACACCGATCATTGTGAGCTCAGATCGGCGGGATCTGTCCAGAAAGAAAAGTACGCGAAGGCTACTTACTAGGCCTGTGCGGCCTTGCAGCGCACGAGTACTCGAGGCAATAATTGATAGGGTTCCTCGGAATGCAGCCTGCTTCGACTTTGCTCGCAGAACTCCATTTTCACCACCGTCGGACGTCTCATCTGCTCTTTTTTTTTTTTTTGTACCGACGAAAATCGCAGGAGATTGCGGGGAGTTCCCGAGGCGACAGAGATACTTCTGGCCTGTGCTTGGTCGACTTTGGTTCGGTAGTACAATTTGTTAAAGTTTATTGCCTCAAATTTGGGAGTGAAGAGAGTGACAACTGGATCTGTGTAACTCTGTCGACAGTATCATTTGTGGATCATCATAACTGGATGCGCTTTTCTATATTGTGCCTCATGTCACGTGTAAAACTGAGGCAACGGATCCCCGGTGTTGTGCATTAGACTAGAGATTGATAGGTGTGGTGCATATACTGCAAATAGATGGTCTGGGCCCGAGCCCAAGCCCAGACTCGAGGCCCCAAGTTGACAGAACGAGTCCAGAGCAGTGGATGCAACGAAACGAACATGGATATCGTGGGTTCGACCCGATTCAGAAAGTCGGTGTGCATGCAAACATGACTCGAATCGTTTGCAGCCCCAAACTCAGACTCGCATTGTCGAAAGTATAATGGTGAATGCTGTGTATGCTGTTATTTCCTATTGTAGGCATGGCAAGATAACTGCGAACCATGTTGGAGAATCCCAAATGCGGGGAAACACCGTTATGATAATGATCGACGTGATTGAATTTCGAGACGCTGGACGAGGATCGTGGGGGGATGCGCACGGATAGCGGCGGCACCAGGGCTGTGCCCCATCCGTTCCAGACAGAGGTCGAGAACAAACCCTGTGGCTGCGACAAGGCCACGGCTGCATGAAGAATGGGAATGTGAGGGCTCGTTGTCAACTGCTGCGAGGTATGTATGTGGCTCACGCTTGCAGAGAGTTGTAATCACGCAATCATCTGGCCAGAATGAAAGTACTAATCGCGAGTTCATTCGAGTTTCTAGTAGGCGACCTGAGGATTATCGCTCGAGTCGATCCTCGAGTCTAGCTGCATTGTTGAAGAGTCTTGGCGTCTTTCCAAACTGTCCTGTTCCACCCCCGCCTTCCTGTTCGCAGCCAGCGCGAACGAAATCCAGAAATCCATCCCACAATCCAGAAGGTCCTCAGAACTTTCGGAGGTCCAAATTCCGAGGGGGTGGAATCAGTGGGGAAGTGGGTACTTTTGACAGGCAACTTTAACCCTGCTTGAATTTTCCACTATAAGCGAGGCAATGGCATTGGCTGCACTCACTGCCTTAGCACAGGGATGCGTCAGATATGCCACGGTGCATGGGGCGCAAAACCCAGGGGCTAGTCCTCTTTGGGCCCCGGAATCGAGCCTATTCGGGCCCGTCGATCAAAACGGAGACTCTGCTGGTCCTCACACCCCCCTGCCGCCTGTCATGCAGGGTCATAGCATAGGGACAGACCCGACGGGCGACGGTTTCCCAACAGGCGTCCACGGTGTGTTCTGTCTTCGGCCGAGCCATCGTTTTGAGGCGGCGCCTATAAAGTTCCTCCCTGGATCCAGGCCTTGGGATCTGTCGCACACTGTTCCAGGCTCCAGGCTTATTTTTATTACCTGTTTCGAGATGCGGGTCTTTCAGTGTTCGTGGCCCTCGTGTGACAAGGTTGCTGACAAGACTCAAAGCTGGTTACTTACCCGGGGCTAACATGGAGAGTTAGGAGTTTGTGCGAAAAGCTGACCTCGCTCGACACTTTCAGATCCACGTCGACGAGCGGCCGTACGCCTGTTCCGAGCCGGGATGTTCGAAAAAGTTCCACCAGCGGTCGTCGCTGAGTATCCATCAGAGGATTCACACGGGCGAGCGACCTTATCTTTGCGAGGTCAACGGTTGTCAAAGAACATTTAGCGACGTGAGTGGAGCACTACCCTATCTGCCGTCCCACGAGCATCCGGCTAATCCATCCGCCTACACTCACAGCCTTCGAGCTATTCTCGACACCAGCGGTCACACAGGAACGACAAGCCATTCGTTTGCGGGCTGTCACACTGCCGTCAGAAGTATGCACCGGCGCACGTCTTTCTTTTCTATTAATCATAGCTAATCTGGATTGTTCTCCTAGGTTCGCCCGGAAAGCCTCCTTGGAACAACACCGACTGCAACATGAAGAGCAAGACATGGCATTCGAGGAGCAGCAGCGCCGAGAAGCCCTCGCCCTCGACCTGTCTACATACAGCACGAGCTTCGGTCTCACGGTCCCCCCTACGACCCCCTCACCCACGTTTCACAACGGCGAAGCTATCGTCTGGGATGCGCTCCCTTGCGACGACATTGACACGATATTGGCGCGGCTCACGCAACAACCAAACCCGAACCTTATACCTTGCCCGACGACACCCAGCCAGACTGAGATCCAAATACACCAGCGCGATCGGCAATATATCAATTTGTCCGGACTGGCCGCCCATCAGCCCGTCCAACAGCCATTTCACGACTGGCCGTTACCCCCGGCCGCTCCCAGACCGAACCGGAGTTTCCCAACCTATTACATCGATGATAGCTCCATAGCCTACAATGATGATGGGTGGCTTCGATAGCCGGATAAGGGGTTCCTTGTGATATTACATGTGTTGCGTGTTGTGTGCCGGGTATACGGTTTTCTCAGTGCCTTGAGATGGGCAGATTCTATAACATATTAATCCGATCTCTTTTTCTTGTGGTTCTTGAACTGGGACGGTTTCGTGAAGTGATACTTTGTGTTTTGGAGAGCTACTTTTTTTTCGCAACTGTGTATGAGACTGGATGAACAAGAGTAGGCAAAGTCAGAACCTTGTTACTAGGATCCTAGAATGCAAGCTTCTCTAAAGACTTCATAACGAGCGCTTGACTGAGGTTAAGCCAACATAGTAGGGCAAGGCGGTATGACCTCTTTAGTCACTCAGCCAATGTCGCTCGTCCTTTTAAGAATTCTTTGGCATTGGAATGGTCTAAATACCTTGACTCCGGATCGAGGTAGACTCAGAAAGTTGCCTTTTTCCAGGTTCAATGGGCTCCTAGTTCGTTGTTATTCTGCTCCTCAAATAGAACAAAGATATATTAGGATTGTAAACAATTTATCGAACGACTTGATGGTCCCATTTGGCACAATGACGCTTGTTTCCCTAAACAATTCTTTCATGCAAAACAAAGACAGACTGCGAGGAATGGCGTTGGACAAAGACTTGAAAGAGGTAGATACTACAATAGAGCTCCCCCTTTGTCAATGCCGTCCTTTATGCGGCAACAGCTATATAAATGCCCTCGACACCGGTGATATCTCATATCCATACACTCATCAGCTCTAACCTTCTCCAGCAATCTATACCAGCAAACCAGCCAAATCAACTCATCCACAGCGACCGAACTACAATCTACCAACTCGCCACTATCAACCACTCAGGATGTCTACTACAACGTGCACAACCGTCGCAACCCTCTGCGCAAACTGCGCCCCGCTCTACCACAAGCTCAAGCCAGTCTTCAACGACGCCGACGTCACGCTCCTCTGCCCGACAAACACAACCTGGCCCCTCATGCTCTGCAACAAGTTCGCAGCGGCGCAAATCAGCGTGTCCACCGCTGAAGCGCTCACGGGCGAAATCGCGCGCCGAACAAATGTGCTCAATCGCACTAGCGACTGCACAGTCTACATGGCAAACAAGCCCGACCCGAACAACACCTTTTGCTTCCTCAAGATCATGGTCGACTGGCCGGTCCCCGTTGATACGGATGAGAAGTTCAAGTGGGACTTGCTGGATAATCTGCAGATTCCGTTTCCGGGCATTCGGGGGATGGAGTGGCAGAACTGGGTGATTGTCGCGCCTCAGATTGGGCAGTGTGCGAGTTTTGCGCGGTTGTACTTTTTCTATGAGATTGCGCGGGATAAGAAGCTGATCTAGGCTGCTGGTAAGGGGTTTTAGTAGTTGTTGAAGTGTTTTGGTGACATAGTGAAGATGCTTGATAGGATCTATTAAGGAAAATTTGTTTTCTAAAAACCTACGTTACCCAAGTGATATTTTGTTGTACAGGACCCTTTGGCTAGTAAATTGGGTAAATATACTCTTTCTCCTACCTCTTTTAGAGATGAAAAACAATACAAAAGGGCCTATCTAGCCGCTCTCCAACCACTGTAAATCCTACAGTAACATGATGAATACTATGGTAGTTTGCATACACTTCCGCGAAATAAATACTTCGCATACGCTGACATGATCCACAGGAGGTAGACCCCAGGTGCAACGCCTCAGTCAGTCCACTTTTGGGGAGTTTGAATGTTCAGATCCTTCTGTCTGCAGTGCCGCTATCAACTTTTCTAGAACTAGTCTCCAGCGACGGTAGCTCATGGCTGTCACACAAAAGAAAAATCCTCCTTCTTTAACACCCGCTTCCTGGTCCTGAGACCTCGGCTAGAGTTTGCATGCACTGAGCAATGACTCCGAGCACTGTTGGAGCCCCCAGGGCTACCAAAGACAGGCGGAAAACAGCCACTACTATCAACGCAAGAGTAATCATACTCTTCTACGCGGGATATCGTCTCAGGCCCAAAAGAGCCTCATTTCTCCGTCGGTTCAACATGCTTGACAGCCAGTACGTATGTCGTAGCCCCACCCGATACGAGCACCGTGCGCTAAGCCTCGTTTATGACACATCTCAGACTTCAGGTCTGCAAAGCCACATGCCAGTATCAATACGTCCTTTTAGGACAGGCAGTGACTAGTTAAATTCGCTCAATCTTCCATTCGCTCTCGCGAGAGCCGATCAAAGACAAGCTTCAGTATCATCACCTACCAATCAGAGGCTACGGCTAGACACCAATCAATGCCGACGCTGACCGACCTTCCCTTTAAGATCCTTCTGATAATATGGAGCTATCTTGACAAGGAGCGAGATATGAACGCGCTCGTCCGATCATGCCAACTCCTTTACACTCAACTCAACTTCACGCTCTACCGCCACAACCTTGGCCATGGCAGTTCCGCCGTCACCTGGGCCGCAGCAAATTCCCAATTCGACACGATGCTCAGATTAATCGAGGCCGGCTATGACCTGCACGACGACTCGAATGAGATCCGGGGCTCTCCCTCCCCACTTTGTGTTGCCGCCTACGCCGAACAAGAAACAATGGTCGCGTGGCTGCTCCATCAAGACGTCGACCCCAACACGTTCGACGAGCAAGGCTTGTCTCCTCTAGTGCTAGCAGGTGCCATTGGGCACCTCGGGATTGCGAAGCTGCTTGTGCGTGCGGACGCAGATCTCGAAGGGTGCTCGTTGACAGGCTGGACGCCATTTGCCGCGGCCGTTAATAACGGGCATGAGAAGGTTGCGGCGTATCTGCTGGAACAGGGCGCCGTATTGTTTCCTGCGTGTGATACGGAGCCGGGGCTTAATCCTCTTGTGAGGGCTGCGAGGGAGGGGCATACTCGGCTCGTTGAGCTGATTCTTGAAAGGATGGCGGCGACGATGGAATCTGATGAAATTGCAGATATACTGCGCGCGCCTTATTTGATGAGCGAGGCGATTTCGGAGGGGCACGCGGAGGTGGTCAAGTTACTGATCGCTGCCGGCGCCCCAGTCACCCACGAGTCAACAGGCCAAAGCCCACCGCTGTCCTGGGCCATGTATAAAAATAAATCCGAGATCGCCAAGATCCTGTTGGATAGTGGCGCCTCCTTGGATATCAACATTGATCGCGGCACCCCGCTGTGGTGGGCCGCGTCCCACGGTTATACGGAGATGGCTCGGCTAATCCTCGCGCACGGTGCGCCAGTCGACTATGTGGATAGGGGTGAGCGTGCACTCTGGGTCGCTGCAAAGAACGGCTACACTGAGACCGTCGCGCTGCTTCTCGAGGCTGCCGCTGATGTCGAAGCAACGGGGCAGTCCGGCATGACCCCGTTGCACATCGCATCAACCATGGGACAGGACAAGGTCGTGGCTCTTCTTCTTGCACATGGGGCTTCGCCACAAACCGCTAGCCGACTGCTCACGCCAGGGCCCCCGCCGCCCATGTCTGCACCGCTCGTCGAGAATGCGTTGACGGCGGCTGCTCGACACGGCCATTTGGAAGTGGCCCGTCTGCTCCTGGAGGCGGGTGTCGACACGGAAGCTAGACTACTCCCAACAGATACTCCGTTATTCCTGGCAGCCTCGGGTGGTCATGTGGCTGTTATCAAGCTATTGCTAGAAAAGGGGGCAGACCTTAGCTACAGGAGCAAGCATGGCTACACCGTCCTCTCTTGTGCCGCACAACGCGGACATCCCAAAGCCATCCTTGCCCTGCTTGAGCACTGCAAGTCACGTCTTACCAGCCAGCACTATAGCGACTTGATCGATGCTGCAGATAACTACAACCGCACGCCGTTATTCTTTGCAACTCTCCATGGGCACGCCGATGTCGTCCGGGTCCTGCTTGCCGGCGGTAGCAGCGCGGTAGACACCCCTTCTGATTCCGCGCGGACGCCCCGGTCCATCGCAGCCGCAAACAATGAGTTTGTTCCCTCTGATTCGTCCCTGAATCCTATGGTTGAGGACATATGGCACAGTCTCTCTGGCCCAACACCGACAACAGTGGACGGAGAAGGGGAGCCGGATAGTATAGGAGGTGCATTGAACTTAGTAGATCCACTCGGTGTGCTGCAGGATTTCTGTGCGGTATGCGAGGCACTAATATCGAGTCTCGATTGTCATTATCACTGTGAGATATGTCAGATGGAGGTCGGCGGATCATGGAAAATATGCGTTGATTGCAGCGCTCGCGGCGCGCACTGCCCGGATCCTGCCCATCAGCTTGTTCGCCTAGAGGCAGATCCTAATCCTTACTGGATGGATCTCTGGGCATAGCCTGGTTCTGAGCTCTATCAGGCGTTGCAGATTCTGTGATTGTATGTAAACACGGAGATAAGGAGGTAGTTATTGGCGGGCCCCTGTGCAAACTATTTACCTGAAATAGCCTACCTGGCTGTTCAGCGAGGCATGTGAGATCCCAGGATTCAAGCTACTTGGCACGGAGTTACAAACCTCGAGCTCGGGGCAGCAGACAGTCATGAGGATCACGAACCTAGAATGTTAATTGTTTCAATATTTCGTGCCTTCTATATCCTGCGTGACGCACCTACAAGAAGAGGAAGGAACGACCACTGGGACTACCCGCCATATACGAAACAAGAAAAAAGGGAAGGAGCAACCCATAGTTGAACCATATGGGGAAGGAACGAGGGTGGCTCCTCCCTCGTACAATAGCATGCTTCTATAGGGAAGGCGCGACCAAACCCCATGCCTTCCTATTTAGATTACAGATCAAATGAGGAAGGTACGCTGGTCGTTCCTTCCTTTCTTTTTTTTTACCCGTCATCCTAATACATGGAAGAGGAAGGCACGACCCGGCGCCCCTGCATGATATAGAACCTGAATAAACCGGGAAGGAACGACCCAGTGTTTATCTGACCATTTAGGGAAGTAGCGATGGTCAGCCTAGAGGGTCGTTCCTTCCTTGTTCGGGGGTATAACAGGATCTGGTAATTGAGGAAGTCGCAACCCAGCGCGCCTGCCTTTTGCAGAACAGGCATGATAGGGAAGGAGCGAACAACGCTATATCAAAGTAGGAAGGCACGATGATGGGTCGCTCCTTCCACTTCTACAGCAACATCCACAACCCTTCAAGGAAGGCACGACTGGCCAGGGAGGGACGTGCCTTCCTTGCTGGGATTTATCAGACAGGGAAGGCGCGAGGGTCGTTCCGTGCCTTTCCTTTTCGTCAACAGTTTTGTCGGGCAGATGAGGAAGGCACGATGGAGCGCACCTTCCTCACATGAAGTTTGAGATGTAGGGAAAGAGCGAGCCAGTGGTACATCAGATAGGGAAAGAGCGGTTGGCTGGGTCGTTCCTTCTCTGAATAGCCAGAATTCATCTTGAGGAAGGAGCGACTGGTACGTTCCTTCCTGATTTGTGTTGTAGCAGATGAGGCAGGTACGAGGGTCGTTCCTTCCATCTTTGTTTGAGGGTACACCTGACAGATGAGGAAGGAGCGATGCAGCAGCGCACCTTCCTGATACGGAACTTGAACCGTGGGGAAGGAACGACCCAGAGGTATACCAGATAGGGAAGGCACGAAGGCTGGGTCGCACCTTCCTAAAGAATCATATTTGCTCCAGGAGGAAGGAGCGACCAAAACCATTGTGCCTTCTTCATTTAGTTCCAAGTTTGGAAGGTACGAGGGTCGTTCCTTCCTTGTTCATCAAGGGTACATCTAGCGAATAGAGAAGGCGTGATGCACCGGCGTACCTGCCTAATACGAAACTTGAACCGGTGGGGAGGTGCGACCCAGTGTATCTCAAATGAGGAAGGAGCGATATCTGGATCGCTCCTTCCTGGAACAGCCTCCATGGCTCTTGAGGAAGGTGCGACCCAGTGCATTTCAAATAAGGAAGGCACAACTGCTGGGTCGTGCCTTCCTCCTACAGCCCCTCACTAGATGAGGAAGGAGCGACCCAGCAGTCGTGCCTTCCTCTCTAGTGTCAAGACGGATTTGGCAGGTACGAGGGTTGTTCCTTCCTTTCTGGGGAACATAGAAAGACGAGGAAGGTGCGCTCCAACGGGCAGGGTTGCACCTTTCCTAATTTTTTTTTATGTTGAAGAGACGAGCGTCCTGCCTTTCCTATTTGATTGTTGCTTTGGTGTGGGGAGTGATTGAGAGCACCGGCCATAGTTTGCCCCTTCGAGTCGCTTCAGAATGTCCCCAATTGCATCGATGTTTGAGAGTGAGAAGAAGATGAAACAACAATTTTTTGCCGAACAGCAGTCCACGTAAATGACATCATGCTCTGTAACCTAGACCCTGAAAGATCGGTCTGAGCTCACCATACCTGAAACGCCAGGGTCTCGGCACTGCATTTGACACTATGAAACCGAAACATTCTGATTCATCCGGGCAAACTCGACCCCGGAGCCTCTTCTGCAAGACCCCGCTCATTGAGACGTTTCGAGATACGCCACGCTACTGTACATCGGACGACGGTGAGGTAGGTCGGACACATTGATTTGGGGCAGACCCTGAGACATGCAGGTTTATGCCTCAACATTCGGTGGCCGAAAAGACTAAATTCTACAAGGATAAAAAGAACATTTTACCCGAAGAAGAAAATAAGAACCAACATCTCTATATTAGAAATCTCATCCTCACGAAATCGGAAAAACCGGGAATGTTCCCTATCTAACAAACAATCACACTAACGCTCTCCAACATACAACTATTCCGTCCTACTCAGTACAAACAAGCTAATTTATCGCTTATTCCTGAATGCACTGGTAGTAGTAGGGGTTCCACTGCTTGCAAGTAAGACCAGCCTCGCAACCAGAAGCACCCTTGTAGTTGATTCCACCGCACTGCTGCCAGACCTTGATGCTGCCGCTGCCGCCAGTCGAGGGCTGCTCAGTGGGGGCAGGCGCAGCGGTTGTGGAGGGGCGGACGCTGGTGACGAAGCCCGAGGATGTGGGGGCCGGGGCCGGGGCGGATGTAGGAGCGGGGACCTCCTCGTAGTCGTCGTCCTCTTCCTCGTCATCGGCGGGGCACGAGGTGTCCTCGGGCTCGGGGGCGGATGAGCTGGAGGAGGGGGCCTTGGAGGGCTCGGAGGTGGGGATCACAACCTGGGTGGTGGTGGGAGCGACGGTAGCAGAGGAAGTAGCAGCGGGCTCGGAGGTAGCAGCAGGCTCAGAAGTGGCGGCCGCAGAGGAGGTAGCAGCAGCAGAAGAGGTAGGGGCAGAGCCAGAGTCAGAGCCAGAGCCGGAGGAAGCGCCATCCCAGACTTCCGGGCCGGGGATGGGGTAGCTGGTGAAGCCGTTGTAGAGGTCGAAGAGCACACCTGGGTCGTCGGCGCTGTAGGCACCGGGGATGGAGACACCCTCGGGGAGGGTGTTGGAGCCGCTGGAGGTGACGGAGACCTGGACACACTCCATGTAGAACTGGGCACCGCCCTGGCGGTTACCCTCGTGGAGGGCGATGATCTCGGGGCGGAAGAGGTAGTCACCAGCGGGGACGTCGGGAACGATGATGGAGTGCTTTCCACGGTTCTCGACGAGGGTCTTGACGGCCCATGTGCCGTCAGCGTAGCCGTCCTCGGCGATCTTGACCCAGCCGTTGCCGGCGGAGCCCTTTTCAGTCTCGGCCATGTAGACCAGCACGGGGCCGAGGTGAGAAAGGTCGATGATGTCGTCCGAGTCGGTACGGGAGTTGTGGTGCCACTCAAAGGTGATCTTGTCGCCGGCCTTGACGTCGAGGGTGGAGGCGGCGGCGGTGCCTCCGTTGACGTTGCAGGTCATGTCGGTGGAGGTGACATCGGTGACGGGGGAGTTGTTGGGAGGGGTGCGAATGTAGCCGTCAGCGCCGTTGCCCAGGCCCTGGTCTTCGTCGTTGATCCAGACGGCCATGACGGTGGCGTGGGCGCTGGCCAGCTTTGCGGTCGCTGCCAGAGCGAGGAGTCCGAAAGCCTTCATGGTGAAGATGAATGAGTGAGTGAATGACAAGAAAAGAATGTGTGTCACTAGGACTGAAAAGTAAGCAAAAAAACAAAAGAGTGAACGATAGACTGATGAGCAAACAAGAGAATCCGACTGGGAGAAGAGAGAGAGAACGCTTTATATCTCGAGCTTTCAAGGTCTGTTTAATGAGCGGCCCTGCCAAGAGCGGAGCTTCATCTATGCCAGACTCGGTCCACTCGGGGAAAACACGACTAATTGGTGAGCAATGATAGTTCGTCTAGCGGCCTAAGCCGACCACTAAGAATCCACCTTGCTGCCCCTCAATATACAACTCGTTTCAGCGCCCTCTCTGCGGCAACACTCGAAACCGCGATATTAACCGGCGGTAACTGAGCCCAATATCGCCACTCATTGTGGTTAATATGGATAAATGAATCTCATCTTCCGCCCCGCTTGGCCACCCTGTCTACCGGAGGAATTGTGGACTCGCACTCTACAGGGAACGGAGCTGCCGCCTAAACAAGAATGAAACAAGAATGATGGTCTGATAAAAGGTCCCAGTTGCAATAAACTAGTACTAGGACGAACCGAAAACCCTGGCGGCGAACCCCCTAATCAACCCCGTCACGTCCTCCGACTCCCTCAGATACACCAGAAGATGTCCCTCCCCCTTGAGAACCTCCAGACTAACAGGTGCATTCACTAGTCCGCGCTGAATCTCCTCCGCGTCCGCCACCGGATACGTCCGGTCATCCTCCCCCTGAACCAACAGCACCGGAACCCTAATCTCACTCAACCGACCGAGCAGACTCTCCCTCCCCATCATCGACGCCAGCGTCGGGTCGATATTCTCCTTCCCTGAATGCCGCTGGACCCAGTCGTCCCTGATCCGCTGCGCCCGGGGGCTGTTGACGTCTGTCGCCCCGCCCCAGGCGAGAATGGCACCGTTCATGATTGCGTCGCTGGGTGAGGGTGTGGCCGTCCAGATATCCCGAAGCTGAGGGAAGCCGGTCTTGTGGGCTTCGGAGGCGGCCGAGGCGTTGGCGGAGAGGAGGATCAAGCCGGTGAGTTTGGTTTGCTGGAGGAGGGCGATTCGCAGGGCGACCATTGTGCCCATTGAGATTGCTGTCACGATAATATTGGACAGGTTCAGTTCGTCCTACTTGGTTAGCGACGTCCTGCCTGGATGTCTCTATGGGGATAACATACAATGAGGTCAAGGACATTCTGTGCTTGGTCCCAAAGGGTATACTCCTTCCGGCCCTCGGTTGTTCTCCCGTGCCCATTTAGGTCGACTCGAACCAGATTGGTGTTTGAGAGGTCATCTGAGAGCGATTGGGTCGTTTCTTCCCACATGGACGAGGACATCCACGAGGCGTGGATGAAGAGAATGGTCGGTTGGCTGGGCTGCAGAGGCGCCTCGGCGCACCAGTAGAGGCCGTTCTTGGCGAAGCCGGAAGACATTGTCTGTTAGATGGTGAGGTAGCTCTCTAAATACGATGATTGAATTGAATACGATTGATCGAGTGTAGATGGTCGAGTTCCAGCGAGGCTGAGGGTGCACTTATACACCACCATAACGTTATCCCTCGCCCCGCATGAGCCTCACACATTATAGAAGCATGTCGCGAATACGAACACCCAGCCCCATCGCCGCTCAGCATCCAGGGCATATCACCAGAAACATAATGTGTCTACAACAGTACGTAAGCTCGGAAAAAATCATCCTCGGTCCCAACGCCCTGTTCGGTCCAAGAGCCTGATCGTCCGGAGTGGACCCGGATCTTCCTGTGACATCACCACAACCATGACCTCAAAAATCTCACCACCAAATTTCTGCTCTCCCTTGTTTTACTACAACATAACAACACGGCTCAAGCATGTCGCATCATGCCGCCGACGGCATCTGCTCTGAAGACTGGCCGGACCTCACCGACCGCGCGGGCCAGAAGCTGTGTGAGGGTTTGGATACCGGTGTGCGCATTCTGGGTGAGTTGCGTTTCTCTAGTTTCTCCAGTTTCTCCCGTCAAATTGAGTGATCGCATAGACTCCATGCTAATACAGAGTGTAGAAGACGGCCGCCTCGACATCAAACTCAGCGACCACAAGCCCTGGATCCAGCGCATCGTCCGGCACACAAAAGAACACCCCTACCCAAGCGGTCACCCCGACCACAAACCCTCGGTCACATTCTGCCCGAACGAAGAAGAATCCTACCCGCTGCGTCTGAACATTGTCATCCAAGTCATCGGCTCCCGCGGCGACATCCAGCCCTTTCTCGCAATCGGGCAGCGCCTACAGAGTCACGGCCACCGCGTCCGGCTGGCCACGCACCTCTCCTTCCGCGAAACCGTGCAAGATTCCGGACTCGAGTTCTTCAACATTGGCGGGGACCCCGCGGAACTCATGGCGTTTATGGTGAAGAATCCGGGACTCCTGCCGGGCATGCGGACGATCCGAAGCGGGGCGATTCGCAAGCGGAGGAGGGAGATGCGGACGATCTTCTCGGGGTGTTGGCGGAGTTGCTTTGAGATGGGCGATGGCACGGGGATTGAGCATCATGTGCCCAGTGATCCGTGGAATAGCGACGAGGTGGACTATCGCCATGTGCCGTTTGTGGCCGATGTGGTGATTGCGAATCCGCCGAGTTTTGCGCATCTGAGTTGTGTGGAGAAGCTGGGCGTTGCGTTGAATCTGATGTTTACGTGCGTCTTCCTTTCTATATTCAAAGTGAATAGACTAATTCTGGTGGACTGTAGAATGCCCTGGTCCGCCACACAAGCATTCCCCCACCCGCTCGCCAACATCCGCTCGAAAAACACAAAACCCTCGGTCGCAAACTTTGCCTCGTACGCCATTGTTGAGATCATGCTCTGGGAAGGCCTCGGCGACCTGATCAACCGCTTCCGCAAGCGCGAACTAGGGCTGGATCCGCTGGATGCGCTGCGCGCCCCGAGCATCGCGCACCGGCTCCGCATTCCATACACCTATCTCTGGTACACCCCTTGCTTCACCCACCCACGCTTTCCCCAAGATCACTGTCAATACTAAGATGAAAACGATCAGGTCCCCCGCCCTCCTCCCCAAACCCCTCGACTGGCCCCCCAACATCGACGTCGTCGGCTTCTCGACCCTCCCCGAATCCTCCTACACACCACCAAGCGACCTCGACACCTTCCTCTCCTCCGGCCCGCCCCCAATCTACATCGGCTTCGGCTCCATCGTCGTCGACAACCCCTCCCACCTGACAAATCTCGTCTTCACCGCAATCCGGCGCACAGGCCACCGCGCCCTGGTCTCCCGCGGCTGGGGCAACATCGGCGCAGACCAGCCTCCCTCCGAGGATATCCTCATGATCGACAAAGTCCCACACGACTGGCTATTCCATCATGTATCTTGCGTCGTGCACCATGGCGGCGCGGGGACAACGGCCGCAGGCCTCATCCGCGGCCGACCCACGGTCATCGTCCCCTTTTTCGGCGACCAGATGTTCTGGGGGGGGATTGTGTATCGCGCGCGTGCGGGGCCCGCGCCTATCCCGTACAAGCAGCTCACGGCCGACAAACTCGCCGACGCTATCGAAGTAGCGTTGAAAGACGAGACATTATCCAAAGCGGAGGAGCTCGGCGCGCAGATGCGCGATGAAGAGGGGGCGCGGAACGCGGTGTGTAGTTTCTATCGGCATCTCGATGTCAAATCCCTGCAGTGCGATATCTGCCCGGGACGGCCGGCGGCGTGGTGGGTTCAGCATTCGCGTGCGAGGAAGAGGCCCGGGGGTGTGAAGCTCAGTGCGTTTGCGGCGACGGTGCTCGTTGAGACGGGGCTTTTGAAGCCGCATGAGCTTGTTTTGTGAGTTTTACTCCGTTTCCAACCCTTGTCGTTGTTCTGTCTGATTGATGCTCATGGCGGAGTAGGTACCGCTCAAAAGAATACGACACGAGCCGCGACCCCAAGGGCCCGCTCTCCGCAGGCGCAGAGGTTCTCTACGGCGTCGTCACGGACTTTGTAAGCGCAATGGCTGAAATGCCGAATGATGTCGCCGAGATGATTCGTGCGCATGGTTCTCATGGGGTTGGACATGGCCATTCGGGCGAGCATCGCCACTTGAAGCATGGACAGCGCCCGCCGAATCCGGTGCGTGAGTGGAAGAAGAGGCATTTTGCGATCGCGAAGATGGATTCGGGAGGGGGTTCTAGTGATGCTTCGAGGGCTGATGGTGAACGGGATGGGCGTGATAGCAGTGTAGAGGGAAGCCTGGGGGAGGACAACAGCAGACGCAACAGTTCGGCGTCCCGTTCCAACTCGTCCTCCAACTCAGACGCAGCGACAGAATCAAGCTACGCTTCGGCGCCGTCCACCCCCATCCCACAACCGCAATCCCCACCACTGGCCTCCATCGCCGCAGCCATCTCCCGGGCGCCGACAAACCAAGAGCCAGATCTGACCAACGAACTAACCGCCCTAAGTCTCGAGAGTACACTGCGCCGGCAACAATCGCGCGAAAAATCCGTCCAGATCCGCGAAATCCTCACAGACGCCCGGTACCATGCTACGCGGGCCGGCAAACACCTCCTCAACTGGGTGCTGCTCCTCCCGACGGATCTGGCGCTAAGCTTCTCAAAGGGGTTCCACAATGCGCCGAAGCTGTATCATGATCCGATGGTGCAGGAGACACCGACGGTTCGTGGAGTGAAAGGGGGGTTTCGGGCTGCGGGGACGGTGAGTTTCTTCTTCTCTTTTCGTGCATACGGTGTGGTGTGGTCGTTGCTGACGGTGTGTAGGAGTTTACGCAGGAATTCTGCCAGGGCATCACGGGTCTCGTCAAGCAACCCAAATACGGACGAAAAGAGGGCGGGACGAAGGGGATGATCAAGGGAGTCGGCAAAGGCGTGGGCGGAGTTATCCTCAAGCCAGCTGCCGGTATGTCCATTTGTTGCATTCCGACACTTTGATATATGTACAACTAACTGTATTTCCAGGCCTCTGGGGCCTGATCGGGTATCCACTCGACGGAATCCACAAGACGCTCCGCAACTCACTGGGGAAGAGCAAGGTAAAAGATATCCTAGCCTCGCGCATCCGCCAGGGACTAGGGGAGATGGTCGCAGCCACGCCTGAAGAACGCGCCGCGGTCATCCGTCGCTGGAACGAGATACAGAAGGAGAACGATTTGCATAATTCATAAACGTCGCCGCTGCCATTACTAATGCATTATGATATACCCATTCTGTTCATGTTAGCATGTTCTGAGCTCATTTGGGTGATTGCTTACACCGGGTCGTACCCTTTCAGTCTACCAGGCGCACTCGCGCAGCATACAGCGCTCGTCCGCCACGCGGATTCTCGCCGTTCCGGTTCGCATGGAAGAGCAGCCTCCTGCCATCCTCTGTGATATCTGCTCCGCCAGGTCCACTCAATGATCCCCAGGTGCAACAACTCGACCGACGCGGGTATACGGACCAGCAACCGACGGCGCAGTCGCATACCTCGAGTCATAGTCCGGACTATCAAACATGTGCGAAGAGTAGAAGAGAAAGTACGTCCCGTCAACCTTGACAATTGCCGGCGCCGCAGAACGTTATGTATTGACCGTCGTCCTGGCGGGTCGACTGCAAGAGAAGCAAGTGATACTACTGAAGCCGCGTTAGTTTGTCTCTGATGCGCGATGCAGCCTTCATACACCACCAGATATATATCTTCAATTTTTTTTCTTTTGCTTGTTGCTGACAATGCTCAACGTCAGATACAAGAATCTTCAGAAGCAAGGACAGCGCAGTCACGCTGCGTCATATCGAGTATCTTCTCCTGAAGCAGAGACACCACAGCGCCAGCTGAACGAGTGGATCTGCGGCTCAGGAACACTATTTACCACGCTATACCGTGTTCGTCCTAGTGCTTGTTGTTTGCCAAGACGAACCTTGGAGTCTGATTGGCCAAAGCTGTCAGGGTACGAGCTGCGCCACAGCTGAGCCGCTGCGCAAAACCCAAGTTAGCCGACTCGCAATCGCGTCTCCTTATTAAGGCCGCTGCGTTGCCCCTCCTTCTCCAATCTTGCGACCTCCTTCTTCATCTGATCTCTCCCTCTCGCTTCATCCTACTTTCATCCCACCAGCATGTCTTATCCGCCCCCCAACCCCAACAGCTACCCCTACTCGCAGCCCCCGCCGCCGCAGGGTTACCCCGCCCAGCCATACCCGCCCGCCTCCTATCCCGCACACCCAGGCCAGCACCCAGCTCAACATCCGGGACAATACGGCGCTCCTCCCCCCGGCGGAAGCCCTGCCCCCCCAGGAAGCGCAGGCGGCTATCCTCCTCCCACCCAGCAGCACTCGCCGCACCCGCAACAGTACCAGCAACCCCCCTACGGCCAGTACCCGCCACCACACCCGCAGCAGCAGCAGCAGTACCAGCAGCCGCCCTACGGCCAAGGCCCTCCCCCAGGCTGGGGCTCCACCCCGCCACCCCCAGCGCAATACGGCACCCCTCCTCCTCCCCACGCCGCTGGATACCCGCCGCCCCACGCCCAATACCCTCCCCCGCAGCAGGGCCACCACTACCCGCCTGGCCCCGGTGGCTACGGCGCCCCAGCACCAGGCGGATACCCGCCCGCGGCACCGGTCCCCGCGCCTCCATCTCTAGGCTACGACCCTGACCAGCGCGCCTCGGGCGACGCAACCAAGGAGGCCGATGCCCTCCGCAAGGCAATGAAGGGCTGGGGCACGGACGAGGCGGCGCTCATCAACGTGCTGGCCAAGCCCGATCCGCTGCAGATGGCGCTGATCCGGCACACGTACATGGAGCGGCACGGGCGGAACCTCGAAAAGGACCTCAAGAGCGAGTTGTCGGGCGATCTTGAACTCATTCTTGTATCGCTCGCTGCGGGACCGCTCGGTCAGGATATCGCATATCTGCGCGAGGCGCTCTCGGGGATCGGAACGGACGAGGTCGCGATCAATGACGTGCTGATCGGCCGGTCGAACGCGGATCTCCGCGCCATCAAGTACGGATACGTGAGCAAGTACTCCAAGGCGCTCGTCGACGACATCAAGAGTGATCTCTCGGGCAAGACGGAGAAGTTCTTCGTCATGCTCCTCAACGCCGTGCGCCCCGAGCGCGGGACCTATTTCGACCAGACCTCTGTCGACAAGGACGTGCACGAGCTGCACGTCGCGACGACCGCGAAGACGGGAACCGACGAGATCGGTGTGGCGGCCGTTTTCCTCGGCGCGTCGGACGCCAAGCTGCAGGCCGTCGCGCAGGCGTTTGAGGCCAAGTACCACATCTCGCTCGAGAAGACGATCAAGGATGAGTTCAGCGGACACCTGGAGAAGGCGCTGCTCGCCATCCTCTCCCGGTCCAAGGATCCGCTCAAGTTTGACGTGGAGACGCTGCTTGCTATTGTGCCTGTTGGTGGTGCTGCGGCGGATATCAAGAGGCTGATTTACTGGGTTGTGAGGCTCCACTGGAACCCGCCGTACCTGAAGCAGGTCAAGGATGCGCTCGTGCAGCGGACGGGGAGCGATTTCGGTCGGAGGATCAAGGCCGCTGTGCCGCCGGGTGATTTGCAGAATGCCATTATGAAGGTTTGGGCTTAGGTTTAGTGTGTCTTGCCCTACACTACCTGCTGGGTGAATGTGGTTCTACGGCCGTTTGGATTTTTTGACATGTGTACGTTTTGAGGTCTTTTGAATTGGGATAGGAAGGATGATTTGGTAGTATGTAATGACCTGGTAATGGATTCTTATGCAGTTCAAGTTGTTGTGATTCCAAGCAGAAAAGTATCCTTGCGCTTGCTATCTATCATGAATCATCACGTCGTAGACATCGTTACTGTACAGGTAAAAGGATCACCGTGTTCTGATCCCCAGTCGCTCAGCGTATCGTCGTCCTCGGCCACGCCCCCCCAACGAATCGGTACTGCGTGTCCTCGTCTTTTCAAGTCCCGCTGCAAATGTGCCCTCCTTGCCATTATGCTCATGCACATGGATGTAGATGGGGATATTGCTGCAGCTGTTGTTCTTCTGCAGCGTCTGACGGAGCGTATTGTCCTTCTTTCCGGCAGCGACCGCGCGCAGATGCAGAGGCAGAGGCAGTGGAGAGGTATGCCGCCTCATCAGGCCACGGACGGCATGGACGAACCTCTGCCGGACACAAGTGCTCCTACCCCGCTCTCGACAAATCTCCTGTTGCTTCTGCTTCTCCTTCTCCTTCTGGATATACACCTCTTTGGCTCTCCCGCGCCATCCTAGCCAGACAATCTCCCGCTCCTGCCCCTGTGCACACTCATCAAAGGGCTGCTCCTCCTCCTCCTCCTCCTCCTCCTCTTCATCCACGCTCTCATCCTCCACTGTTGATTCCTCAACAGCCATATGCTCAACATCAATCTCATCCTCCTGCTCATCATCACTATCATCCTCATACTCAACAACCTCCCCGAGGTACCGCTTCATATCCTCCTGCGCCTCCTGGACCGAGCGCCGAAGCAGCCGATGGTGTCCGAGGCATCGGCGGAGGTCCGGGTCGCCCGTTGAGGTTTCCTTCCAGAGCTTTTGTTTTGAGAGATCGGCGAGCTTTGTGCATCGCATGTTTGTAGATGTTTCTCCTTCTTGGTTTTGGCGCGCAACTAGGATCGGTGGGATGCGCGTGTTGGGTTTCGGGGGGTGCGTGAAGGGATTCATTGCACGGTTTTGTTTGCTTTGCGAGAGGGTGTGCGTGGCAGAGGTAGACGTTTAGAGGTTGTTCAGAGGTGGTCTGGTCTGTAGGCCTCTTGTGGTGATAGTTCAGGTAGTAGAATAAAACATCTCGTAAACCTGCAGAAAAGCGAAAAATCGCCCCCTTGCGTAGGGTCACCACCACCTTTATACCCCTCGCATACAGCACTCTACCTTTTCCACCTTCCAGATCCGACCGACCTTATCTCACCTCCACACCGGGCCTCGCCTGCCAAACCTGATCCAGCTCCTGGCAGCTTATCCGACGAATCACCTCCCTCAGCAGCCCCAATCAACGTCGATTGCCACGGCTGAACCACGTCCGCCGATCTGGGGTACCGTGTTCGTCGCAAACTCTCTTCTGCCGACTTTTCATGGGCCGTCTAGACAAGTACCGTGTATCTATCGCAGGTTTAAGCTTCGCGAGGGTATTGGTGGATCGCGGCTTGAGTGGCGCGGGGCCTGGGCCCGTAGTGGTGTCATAGACTCTGTTTCGGCCGGGACAGTGTTTGATCCGCGGGTTTGGCCGACCAGGGGGGTTGTTCCCTGGTTCTGGGGTTGTGAGCACTGGCATCCTGGGGTCCGTGCTATAGCTCTGTTCCAGGGATCGAAGCTCTGTGGCGAGTCATTTTAGTCAAGGCTATCTGCGCTTTAGGTTTCGGGTGTCTTTGCCTGAGTTTGCAAGGGACTCAGTCGTGCGTCTCCGAGGTTTGGATCAGGTGTTGCATGATAAGAGAACCGATGTTGGAAGGCAGCCTCTTTCGCAAGTATGAAAGATGTCCCAATGTTATCTTGGGCGATGATATCAATGTTCTACATATCAGCTTCATTGTTTCAACAAGAGCTCCCCACCATAGAACGAGATGGAATATAGCTCAAGAGGCAGTATGAGGTTTACTTTGGTGATTGCATCACGAGGCCCGTTCATCCTCGGTTAGTTGAACAATGTCCAATGTATTCCCATGTATTACCAGAGAGAAGATCAAGTGCAAGTAGAGAATAGAACAGTCAACGCCAGCCCCATCATCATACCCCCAATCCACGCCTGAACCGCCAGCACAGACGCAGACTCGTCATCTCCTCCACCCGATCCATCTCCGCTCGGCCGGTTCTGCTTGACGCCTGTAGCGTTCCCAACCCACGCATTCCAGTTTGTCAAATTCCCGGGACATTCCTTGTCAATGCTCCTCCCCTTCATCTGCGCCAGAAACTCCCCATCCCTCTCGAGCGTCACAACAACCTCGCCCGTCCGCTGCCCCATCGCCACAGACCCGTGATACACGCCCCTCCCCGAGCTCGGCACATCCGTCCACGCCACACTCCGGTTATCCCCCCCGATGCTGACCCTGACATCCGCCGCGGCCTCGAGCAACGCAGAGTAAAACACTTTATCCTCGAGCACCTCCCCGGGCTCCATCAGCGTCTGGTGCTGGCTCTCGGTGTTCCCCGTTGTCTTCCCATCTCCACATGCATCCGCATGCGAGAGTCGATACCACACACTGAGCACCTCTTCCTCAATCTCCACATCCTCCCTCTCTTCCTCATCCCCAGCCTTGAACTGCGCAATCAAATACGGCAACGTAACCCTCCACCCATCATGCGGCATATCTCTCACATAATCAAACGGCGCGCCCGCATCGCCTAGAATCCCAATCGCCCCTTCAACAAGCGGGCCGATGTAATGACTCTCCCCGTAGTCATTCCAAGTCAAAATCTCCACGTACTCCGGGTCCAGTTCCAGCACCTGCTGCCACCGGTCATACCACAGGTCGTCGCCGCGCCACACCCAGTTCTTGCCGAAGCGCTTCAGGTTCGTGTAGAACCACGGCGAGACGGGCATGATGTAGGGGCGTCCGTTTAGCACGGACATCCAGTCATGGTCTTCGGTGGTGTTCATGGGCTGAGTTCCCGAGGGCCATGCGTCCCAGCTCATCAGCCCGTCGATTGCAGGGACGCTTGCTGCGCGGCGCGGACCAACGGATGTCCAGTCCGGGATGAAGAAGCAGCACCCGTTCCCTTGCGCAGTATCCGCGCCTGTAGCATTCGCAGTCGCATTCGCACTCGCGCTCGCCGTCCGGTTCGCAACAACCCTCTTAATCTCCCCCCAATCCCCCGCCGCCTGAAACCCCTCGAACGTCGTAACGAGCGCGCGCCCATCCGTGTGCCGGAAATACGCTTCGCGCGGGGTATATTCGGCCAAGAGATCCATGACGCGATCCTTGGGCCAGAAGCCGTCGCCCGAGTAATCCAGCGAGAAGAGCAGCTTGAAGTTGAGTTGCTCGGCTGCGGCGAAGGCGTCGGCGAGGGCGCGTGCGGTGTGCGGCATGCCGTATCCGGTGTTCAGAGCGAAGGCGTCGATCGAGGCGGATTGCGCGAGGAGGATGTCGGTTTTCCAGGTGGAGATGGTGTAGTTTTTTGTGTTTGCTACCTGATTCGTCGTTTGTTTTTAGTTGGGCTGGGTAACGTAGGGGTGGGGAGTAGGTTTTATGGAACGTACCATGAAATGAGCAAAGACAGCCTTAGACTGGGAACGCTGAGAGAATAGAGATGAGAGAAGGAGGGTTAGGAGGGGGAGGGAGCGGAGGTGCGTCCATAGCGGCGTTGGTGCTGGTGTCCTTGTCCATGATGATGTCTGGCTGCGAGACATACTGGGGAACAGTACTTTGTCGAGATAGCGAGGAAAACAAAAGAGAAGTGGACATTTGGGGGCGTCAACTACTAATACCAGATTCGTCAATGTCTCCTGAATATTCTTCGCCAGGCGCAAGCCCTAACAGCTCATGTAATATCTCTAGGCACTATTGGTTTGGACTGTTGATGAAAGGCCAAGACAAGACAAGGCTTTCTACTCTGAGGTAGTACTTGTTTATATGATATCGGTCGCTCACCTATGATTATTTCTGGCAATTGTCCTTAGTGGGGGTGAGACGTCAACGGTAGCTGCTGCAGCCGGGGGAGACTATTGGAGCGACATATCAGATGCGATATGACATGTACGTCCAACTATGATTATATTTGGTGGAAACGTAACTTCTGCAGTCCCGTAGAATCTTTCCCATGAACTATTCGCCTTTCAGAAGATTTTGTGCCTCTATTGAAGTCAATATTGTTGATTAATTGCGTGCACTGCCTCGGCCAGCTCACTTCCAGGGCGCGTTCAAGAAAATAGCATACAGGCTGCTAGCCGAATAAACGAGACCTAATGCATAGCCAACGCACAGATAATTCTTTCCAGAAGCTACGCATTACGTCGCCCGTTACGCGCCAAACTACCGGTCAAGATTCAACTCAGCAGACAGCATGCGTCTTGCCCGTCCTCCCCTGAAGCGAATGCACCTCGCCACCGTAGAACGGATGCGCATTCGGAAGACTAGTTCCATGCTCGGCAAGGTACCTGTCACATCTTAGCCCAAATCTCTCTTTCTCGTCCGAAAAGATGACAAGAAGTGACCGAGAATAGAGCAGGGCTGCTTACCTGGTATACCGCTCAATCGTCTCCTCATCCATATCCTCCAACCACTTCATCGCCATCTTCATATCCTCAATCAGAATCCCTCCCCGGTGCGCCGTGAAATCCTCCCGGATAACAACGCGCATCATCTTCAAACGGTTACTCTTCGGCGCCATCGTATACGCTGGCAAAACCCACCCCCGCCGACGCAGGACAGCAGACAGCGCAAACTCATCATACAGCCTGCTATCATCATCAGGGAGTTTGAAAGCAACCAGCGGGACGCCGCCCGACCCATCCCCGGAGTTATCGCTCAGCAGCTGGAATCCGAGGTCTGAGAGGCCGCTGGCGAGCTGCTGCGATATGGTGACGAGGTTGCGCATGATGGCTGTGTAGCCGTCGCGGCCGAGCCGGATGAGCTGGTAGTACTGCCCGATGATGTGTGCGGCGCCTTTGGAGAAGTTGAGTGTGAATGTTGCTTGTTCGGAGCCGAGATAGTTGACGTTGAAGATGAGTTCTTTGGGGAGGAACTCGGGGGAGCGCCAGAAGACCCAGCCGATGCCGGGGTAGACCTGTCAGTATTACCAACCACCCATATCTGTTATGAGTAGGGGAGGGAATGTACAAGTCCATATTTATGGCCCGAGACATTGATCGAGACAACCCGCTCGAGCCTAAAATCCCACACGCGCTCCGGACAGATAAACGGCGCAACGAACCCGCCACTGGCCGCATCAACATGAATCGGACAGTCAATCTTCCTCTCCACAAGCAAATCATTAATCGCCTGCACATTCTCATAGTGCCCCGTATACGTCGTCCCCAAGATCGCACAGATCCCAACTGTATTCTCGTCGACCAAGTCCACCGCCTGCGTTGGATCAATCACGTACCGCTCCTCCGTGCAGTACACATACCGTTCCTCGACGTCGAAATACCGACACGCCTTCTCCCAGCAGACCTGAACTGCGCTGTTCATGATGAGGTTCGGGGAACATGTGTCCTTGCCGGCTTCGCGGCGTTTCTTTTGCCAGCGCTTTTTCATAGCCAGCAGGCCGAGCATGATTGCTTCGGAGGAGCCCACAGTTGATGTGCCCATTGCGCCTTCGGTCGAGGCTTGCTGTTCCTGTCCAAGTTGCTGTTGTTGGTTCTCTTGGTGGTAGTGGGCGTTTGTAGGCGCGTGAAAGAGGTCGGCGATCATGTTCACGCAGCGCGTCTGCATCCGCGCTGTCTGTGGGTATTGTTCAAAGTCGATAAAGTTCTTCCCCATCGCATCTGCCATGAGGGATTGCGCTTCGTTGTCCTGGTCCATTAGCCCTCCCCCTTCTATACTCATACGATAACATACCATATAAGTCGTAACAAAACTCGCCATGCTACACACACTCCATCAGCACTACATTTCCTATCGTGGATATCTCTCTCGGAAAACCTACTTGAGCAACGGATTCCCATCAAGACTCAGCTCATCCCTCACGAGATGATGCGCAACATCAGGCGGCATCCCCTGCTGGTTCATCACATACAGCGGCAGCTCCTCGGCCGCGTACTGCGTTCCGTAGACGCCGGCATACTGCGAGTCCTGCACGGAGACGTCTCGCGTCTCGCGGCGCGCGCGGTGCGACTCGGATTCTTGGGTTACGCGGGAGAGGTTGACCATTCTTTCCTCTTTTTGTTCCTCTTCGTTTATTTGGTGCAGAGGTATTGGGTGTTGGGATTGTTGTTACAGGGGAATAGGCGGGAGGTGACGGCTACGCTGGTGCTGGTCTGCGGGTGATGTGTATGTATGACCTCACCACTTCTCATATACTTCCTCTTGACATGCTCGTTCAATGAAAGTTATATCAATGAATTCGGGTAGACAGTATCGATCTAAAAAGAATACTCCAAGATATCAATGTCCAACCCACGCGGAACATCCACCTTCCTCAACTCCTCGATGTCCACATCGTCCGGCGCGAAAACCCTACCCAGCCTCATCAGCCACGCCACACGAAATCCACGACCAAACTTCCCGGCCTCGGGAATATAAAAGCTTACTGCATATAATGAACAGGCGGCGTCGTCAACGCCGAGTCAAAGTCATCTGGGATCTGGAGGTTGCGGCCCTTGTAAATCTCGCGGATTCTAGCCCACCACAGTCAGTTTCTGTCCGCATAGTGGTATAGAATCGGTAGCCAAAGTCTAAAATATGAAGGGGACACACCTCTCGGCAAACTTCTTCCCATCCCCAAATTCCTCGTGCGCGGGCATAGAGGTGAAGCGGATATCGAAGCTCTGGCGTCCGTGTTAGAAGGAATGATATCAATAGTGGAGATGCGGTGTGGCGGGCAGACTGACGAGTTCTCTGGTCATTGTAGCTAGCTGGAATTGGCAGGTGAGTATTCGTTCCAGCTATAATTCGGCATAAAATGGAGTGGTTGGCTCAGGAATGGTGGAGGGGTGAGTGGCAGTTTATAGCCCGTGGCGAGGAGCCAGTTCGTCTAACTGGGGTTGGGCTACGCTATGGCTCTTGACACCGCGGCGGAGAAGCTGGGGTGATATCATCAGGGTCTTGATAGAATCCGGTCAAGCTGCGGGGCTCTATTCCATGGTTTGGACTTATCTGGAGGATCATCTATCGAGGGGCTTTATTGGCGGGAAGAGCTGTCAAGGACCGGGTTTGGCTCGAGCTCGCCTCTGGGGGAGAGTCCAGGCCTAGACCCTGACATCCCCGAGCGAATCCCGGGTCCTCCGACATATCAGTTATCAAACTGGGGAGGGATTATCCCAATCTATTATACACGCTAACTAGAACCAATGAATGGTATCATCCATCTAATGCTCACAGAGACGAAACTCCCCTTGCTGAAAGTCATAGTTGATGTGCTCCGACTTCATCCCTCGCTCCTCCATTAATTCGAGTCTGTACGCCTTTGCCTCCTCCGTCGACATCCCTCCGTGTGCAGCGCTCTTCTCGTCGCGCCAATCCTCTCTCTGCGGAGGCACATTCGCCGAAGAAATAACCCGCCTATGCGGATCCACAAGGAACAGCGCAAGAATCTTCCGATGACCAGGCTTCGAAGAATCAGCCAGCGAAAACGGAGAGACGCAATGTTGGAGTGTATTAGGGAATGTGACGAGACGACCCCCTCTGCACTCGACGCTACCAAGCTCCTGCGTGATGAGAACCTCGTTATGCCCGTCGACATCGTCGGGGAATCCGTAGACGTGCTGCAAAAACTGGTGTTGGCATTGCTCGTAGTGAAAGTCATAAAAATCGTTCATTCCGCGGTGCCGGAAGGATAGTGAGCTTGATGTGATGTTCTGGTTGTCGTAGTAGTAGATTGCCGATGCGGCGATTCGCTCGTTCTAGGGATGTTAGTTGCAGATGCCCCCGGGTGGTTACGGGATCCAGATAGCTATTACCAATTGACCCTCAATATGCCACGTCCCTCCCGCGTAACGGGGCTTCTCGGGCGTTAATTCAATATTTGCCAGTTTCACAATGACCTGCAGGTTCTGACCAGGGAAATGTTTCCAAAAGTCCACGGGCTCTTCTCCGATGTGTTCGTTAATTACGAACCGCGTTGGCGGCTCAGGCTGCTTGATCCGGCGCCTGTCGAACCACGCCTGCCAGCGCTCACCGAACTCGTCCTCGTCAAAGTTCTCGTCTAGGTTCTCTGGGTACTTTGGCTCCGGCTCGGCATCTTCCTCGTACTCGACCCCATTGTACTTGATCCGTTCCCCCTCGCACACCTGCTTCGTCAGGGACTTTTCCCAGAGCGGGATCGTCCGTGCGATGATCTTTTCAACGACGTCGTAAAGCGGTCGATGTTCAATTGGATGTGCGTTGTTGATGTATGAGGCGATGCGGCATTCTTTGTTCTCCCTGAGCTCAACCTCGCAGGGCAGCCATTGGAACTTGGTGCTGTATTCCGGGGGGTTTTTATAATGACTAAAATGTCTGCGACTGAAGCTTTCCAGAGTGATGGGGACGGCCTGGTCGTATGGCGGCGTTGGGACGACTTCACCTTCCCCGATGCTATTCAGACAATCGTCGAGGCCGATAACCCGGTCAGGAAGGACGCGGGTCCGGCCGTATACAACCGGGAATAATGAAGGATGCACCAGGTCAACAACTGTATTATCCGAGCCGGGATGATAGTCCTTTTGCTCATCAGGCATATCTTCCAGTGGCGCAACTGCTCGCTGCAAGGCCGTCCGTAGTTCCTGCGAGATAGCACTGTCGGACTTGACCACGCCATCGTCAAAAACCTCCACAAAGCGCGTCGCAGCGAAGATCCCCGCCTTCCAACGCAACTCTTGAATGATCCAGTTGATCATCCGTGATGACACGTCCTGTCCACTCTGGAGAAGCTCCGCGCGCCATTTTGCGGTAATCTGATCGTCAAATACCTTCTTGTCCCAGTCGCGCTTGTCGGTTATGGAGTTCATGACCCTCAGCATGATAATCTCTCTGTGTGTAACGAGGCGGCTGAAAAGCAAGCAATCAATCAATAAATGTCGACCCTCAGAGTTGGCAACTAGCCACATTCACAGTCACAGCCGCAGCCTGGCCTTCGACTTGGGTCCCGTTCGCTCCCGGGCCACACTTACTCGAGATACCCCCCATGAATATGATCCGAATCGAGAGCATTGGGAAAGCCATTGGTCCACCATGTGCAAGCGACGTTCTCCTGTAAGACCTTATATTAGCGGCGCAGCCGATCAACCTGGTGGGATGGGATCTTACTCCAGGGTCGGTATTCAGGGGCACGTTAAACCCGGGCATCTCCAATTGGCCCTGTGGTCGGCTGGCGGTGCTCATTATTCGGGCCCTGGTGCTTGCGGCACCCATGGCGCGCTGGCCGACTCCTAGAAATGATCGACAGCGCTGCATGGCGTGTAGATCGATCGCGATGGGTGCTCGGATCGTCGGGGTGGTGGATGGTTTGTTGATTTGAGCCGTAGGGGCAATAGTAGCGCCATTTCTTGGCGTCCGACACATAGCAAAGGCCATCATTGCATCATTCATCCGGGTCATATTTAATGCTAGACGAGATTCGTTTCATTTGATGCTATATACTGCTCTTCCATCAGTATTCGCTTTTTTGGAGGCATTTGTGGCGCAATGTATGATTAAGTATGTGGGACTCCAATATATATTCTAGGAGGTGCGAGACCTGATGCTGCGGGCAAAAATGGCAGGCAAGGAGATGTAGCCCTACAAAGAAAATCGAGCAGAATGCTTTACTACACTCAATGACCACGATAATCAGACACCATAACCACCATTTCGAGCCAGATAAATGCTTGTAGGGCTTGTAGTACAGTAGAGGCGAGGATAAACAGTGTCTTCTTGGTCACAACTTGGAGCCATCGACATGAATTATGGTCGACATGATGCGCTGCCACGAAGCAAATAACATCCAATTAGCTCCTATGGCTCAGTTGGTAGAGCGCGTGACTAGTAATCACGAGGTCCTCGGTTCAAATCCGAGTGGGAGCATTTCTTTTTGCTCTTGATTGATTCTTTTTACTCCACTCAGCGTTGCTGCTTGGATCGGTGGGTTCTGGCGCCGGATCTGTGCGGAGGGCCAAGCATGTGATCTCGGCCCGCTTGCCTTTCATGCCTGAGGCAACAACGCCCACATTCCATCCACTCACACCGTAAACCTCGATTGCTCGAGTCTCCGCATCCATTCATAGACTTTCTGATACAGAGGACAATGGCTGTGTGACTGTGAAACCACAAGGTTGACTTTGTTGGTCTTCCCCTCACCTTCTTCTTCAGTGTCATCCCTGCCATGTACGGCAACACCAAACTCGAATGGGCGATTCGTGGCGCCCGCTCACCACTCACAGACTCCGCCGCTAGCCCGCATCGCCTCTATCGCATATCTACACGCATTTCTTCAGCAATCTACATCGCACAATGGGTACTCTTACAGGAAAGACCGGTCGCCGCGTCGATCGCGAAATGGAAGCGGGGTAGCTGGAGAGCCCAGAACCTTGCGCGGGCATCCCCCTGGTTCGTTCCGTACATTTAAAGTGCCAGCAACCCCTCAACCCCTCACTTCCATCCCACGAAAACCTTCGCCTCTCTCTCTCTCTACCCAAGAGCCCAGACAGAACCTGAAGAAAGGGTATACGAGCCATGGCAACCCTCTCGCAAAACCGCATCGAGCCCGGCTCCTTCAACACACCCATCGGCACCTTCCCTGCAACATGCACATCAACCAACATCGACGCGTACGCCGTAGCAACCGATATCGTCGACAGACTCAATGCGGCGCTTTCAAGCAAAGATATTGAAAGCATAGTGTCCCTCTTCCTCGAAACGGGCTTCTGGCGCGACCACCTCTGCCTAACATGGGACTTTCACACGGCCAAGGGCCGCGAGAACATCGCCAGCCTCCTGGCCTCAGGCACATTGATCAAAAGTGTCGACATTGACCGCAGCACAGCCTTTCGCTCCCCGCAAGTCGCAGCAATCGATGCAATCGGCGACGTAATGGGCATCCAGTCCTTTATCAAGGTCACGACTCCCATCGGGACTGGTCGAGGCATCATCCGCCTCGCCGAAACCGCCCCGGGGCAATGGGCCATCTACACCCTCTACACCGCGCTCTCCTCGATAACCGGCCACGAGGAGCAGATCAACAACAACCGCCCCTTTGGCGCAACCCACGGCGCCGTCCCCGACCGGCGCAACTGGCAAGACAGACGCGACGCAGAGCACAACGTCGCCGACGAGGACAACGACCAGCCCGCCGTCGTGATCCTCGGCGCCGGCCAATCCGGCCTGTCTATCGCCGCGCGGCTCAAGATGCTCGGCGTCCGCGCCCTCGTCATCGACGAGGAAGCCCGCATCGGCGATAACTGGCGGAAACGATACCACCAGCTTGTCCTGCATGACCCCGTTTGGTTCGACCATATGCCGTACCTGCCCTTTCCCGAGACGTGGCCGATTTTCACGCCCAAGGATAAGCTTGCGGGGTTCTTTGAGTGTTATGCGACGCTGTTGGAGTTGAATGTTTGGACTTCGACGAGGTTGGAAAAGTCCAGGTGGAGTGATGAAAGGAAGGAGTGGGAGCTCGAGGTTGTGAGACGGACGGAAGGTGGTGGCAGTGAGAAGCGGGTTCTCCGGCCGAGACATGTCATCCAGGCGACGGGACACTCGGGAAAGAAGAACCTGCCCGAGTTCAAGGGCGTCGAGGCCTTCCAGGGCCGCGTGTGCCATAGCTCCGAGTTTCACGGCGCGGAGGCGAGTGGCGCTGGGAAAAAGGCGGTCGTCGTGGGCTCGTGCAATTCCGCGCATGACATCGCACAGGATTACTATGAGAAGGGGTACGATGTGACCATGGTGCAGCGCTCGTCGACATGCGTCATTTCGTCCGAGGCGATTGTGGACATCGGGCTCAAGGGGCTGTATGAGGAGAATGGGCCGCCGGTTGACGACTCTGACCTGTTCTTGTATAGCATACCCAGTGAGCAGTTCAAGGCGCAGCAGAAGCGCATTACGGCGCTGCAGACTGAGCACGACAAGGAGCTTTTGGATGGGCTGGCCAAGGCGGGTTTCAAGGTTGATCGCGGTCCCGACGATGCGGGGCTCCTGATGAAGTACTGGCAGCGCGGTGGAGGCTACACGATTGAAGTTGGCGCTGGGCGCCTCATTGTCGAGGGCAAGATCAAGGTGAAGCAGGGGCAGGAGATTGCACAGGTTACAGCGACTGGACTGCGGCTCAGCGACGGATCTGAACTACAAGCAGACGAGATCATCTTTGCGACGGGTTACCAGAACATGCAGACGCAGACGAGGCAGATTTTCGGCGACGAGGTTGCGGATCGTGTGGCGAGCGTCTGGGGTCTTGATGAGGAGGGCGAGTTCCGCACCGTCTGGCAGCGGACTGGGCATCCTGGGTTCTGGTTCATGGGCGGGAACCTGGCGCTGTGTCGGTATTACTCGCAGCTATTGGCGCTGCAGATTCTGGGGGTCGAGAGGGGGTTGCAGTAGTGATTGACACATGCCATTGTCTCACACCAACGGCATAGCAGTGCACAGATGAAAAGTAATGAAAGTGGTATCATTCAACCAATCTATCGCTCAGAGCAGAGACAACCAATCCATCTATATCCATGTATAACCCCTCAAAAATAAATCCCTAACGCCTTATATCATTGGTCACTTAATTCACCCACCCCTCGCGCCGGGCGACCCAAACGCCCATGGTGACAATCAGCGTGTACAGCCCCGCGCCGTCCGCCCCATCGTCGATCGCCAACGCCCGGAGCTCCCTTTGCCACGCATCCATGCCCCCAACATGTAAGCCCCTCCTCGTCAACTGCGCCAACCACGGCCTGCGCGATGACGTCGTGCCCGATACACTGAGGACGAACCGGTCGCCCTCGTCGCTCTTCTCCGTGGCTGTGCTTGATGCGCTCGGCGGTCGATTCTCCCATGAGAATATCACGCCTGCATCGTTGTCCCCGGCCAGCCCGTTCCCTTCGAGGTCCTGCTTGAAGCGGTATTGGCCGGGTGAAGGGGATGTAGCGTTCCAGATAGCGCCAGAGAGCGGAAAGTAGAGCTCTGCTTCCGCGGGCTCGTCGCCTTTGGTTTTGGGTTTCGGAGACGTGTGGATGACTGCGACGACGTCTTCTTCATCTTCCTCTGCATTTGGCTCTTTAGCAGCCTTCTTGGAGCGGATTTTGCGCTCGCGGTCCTCGTCTCCTGAGCTTTCGTGGTCCTGTGACGACTTGCTCTTCCGTCGAGAGGCGCCAGATCCTGATCGAGGTTTCGTCCCATTTGTAGCTCCATTCCCATTGCTAACCCCATTCACCACCCCCGACTTCTGTTTCCGCCTCAAATGCACAAACGGCTCACTCTGCACCAGATACATATCCCTCGAATGCGCCTTGCGCGCACCAACAGACTTTCCAAACGTCGAGGGCTGGTAGAGTTCCAGGATGGGGACTGCACGTGGTGCGCCGTTCGGTGACAAGGTTGACGAGTAGTGCAACTGCTGGATCTGTAGGAGGAGGCGCGAGGAGAGGCGCAGGCATTTGCTTTGCGACTTGGATTTGGATCTGGGAGGTGGGTGTGCGAGGGGGAAGGTTTGCGGGGGGATTGTTTTGGGACTACTAGATTACTTTCGTTAGAGCTGGTTTGATTACTGAGGCGAGGGATAAATAAGGGACTTGGACGAACCTATGCGAATGCGTCGACTGCCCCGAGTCCGAACCCTCGTGTTTTGAGCGACTCATTGTATTGTTGTCTGTGGCTGTTTGTGTATGTGGAGCTGTATGCGTGTCTGCGTCTGGATATTCGGAAACCACTATTGCCGGCGAATTTTCAAGATCAAGATCCTGTTTCGACCCAATCGAATCACGCCGGAAATATCGAACAAAGTTCATCCCGGGAACCAGCGGCGGAGAGGGAACACAAGCGCCCTATATATCCTTGTCTTGCTAAATTCAGCCCCGGACAGCGAACGAAGGACTAGCCCGATCTGTCGCTCGAGTCGCACAGCTCACCAAAGCCCAGCCCGGATGCCCGGCGATTGAGTGGGCGAGCCTTAGCTCCGGATCACCGTGACCGACAAGGCGCAGCACAATTCAGTCACAAGTCGCTGGCGCTGGTTCCACTGGGCGCGGACGCCAAAATTCAGCCTTGCGGGTAGACGGGTGAGCCAATTGGTTTTTGGGACTTTATTGATGGGTCGGGGTTAGCTTGCTCCTGCTCTGTGCTCAGTAATCAGTAGTCGACAGTGTCAATGACAGAGCCAGGGAATTCGAGGCCGAGTGTGCATCGCATATTTAAATGCGACCGACAACATGTTGTGAATTGAAGAAAATGGGAGCCTGCACCACCGCGCTAGGCCACGAAGTTTCCTTACGAGCGAACGAACGAGCGAAACGATCGAATCCAGTATGCTATCCGAGTCCGGTCCTAGCCTTTTCCCCTCCTGCAGGAGGGAGGAGTCCACTCACTGTTGCAGTTGTTGTTGACTCCGCTGGTCACTCTGAGTCTGACTCCTACGGACCCAGTCCACGGCCACGGAGTCCGGCCAGATTCCGGCCCCGAATCCAACCCAGACCATTCCTTACGGAGCAAGCAATCATGGCGATCCGAAGCACCGAACGCTCGATGTGTCAGCGGACTTTTGGGAACTGTTCAAAAGGGAAGGCGTGTCGTAGGCTAACGGGCCCCCCTAGAGGCTAACGGGTTAGTACCTGCGGTGTTTGGAAGAAAAGGTGCCGCTAGCGCACTTCGCAGTCAAGGACCTCATGGGGTCACGGGAGACTCGTATTCGTGTTGGCTTTGCTGCGGGTGACGGTGATTGGGTGGTTCGTTATTCTTCGTCAAGCTTGTTCTGAAAAAGGCGTCGCTTTCGTTTTCGGGTGGCTCGTTTTCGGTTCCAGGTTCTGCATGTGGCCCGTGAGACTGCCAGTTGTTTGGATTTGAAGGTCCAGTTTTCTTTGTTGCCTGGCCCTGATTATGCAGGGTCGAGGAATACGAGTACGACTATGGATGCGACTGATAATTTTCGCTGGCAGGTACGAACCGTCGAATCGGCTTCAGCCTACAATGGGAGGAGGGTCTCAGGGAAGAGAAAGAGGAGTTTCCGTACTCCGTAGATGAAACAGAGTGGAAATTAGATTTGACGGATGATGGATCGCCAGAGGCTGAACCAGAACCATCCATCCATCGGCCAGAGCGGAGTGGGTATCAGTAAGAACCAAAAATAAAAATATCACCGGAGAACACAAATCGAGGAACCCCTTCGTAAGTTTGTCAGGAGCTGCATGCCAGTCAGCACTGAAACACAACCAGACCAAAAGTCACCTGTCTTTGTCAGACCGGGCGATGGTTGCTGGCATGGCTGACACAGCCGTCGCGAATTCGCAACGATCTTCACAAGTCGCTCGAGCTAATGTGGTTGGTCTGCTGAGTGGCTGACGGGGATAGCGACGACCACCGCGCATCTACCGGCCGTAGGCACACGTGTTTGCCCGCCCACTTGTCCTCAAATGGCTCGACCTTAACTCCGCGACGGCGCGCAGCATCGCAGATTCGGTCGCACGCGGCCCGGGCCTCGAGTAAGAGATCCTCCGGTGCATCTTCCAGCTCTTTGCTGTACTCGCCTTCTTTATAATAAAGATCCAGCACGAATGCGAGACGCTGCAGTTTGGGGAGAAAATCCGTCGACTCGAATGCTGCGACCCATTCCTCCCATCGCTTGGACCGCACGAGCGACGCGGGGCCGCGGAAATGCAGCGTGGTTACATTCGGCGGGAGCCAGGTAAAGAGTGCGGGGAGGGAGGTTTCCTTTTGGAAGATATCGCCAACAGTGAGGTGGAGGGTTTCGAGGTTGGTCATTTCTTTGAGAACACCGCCGAAGAAGGCCTCGTGTAGCCAGCGAGGATCAGGCGGATTCGAGGTTGATCGCAGAGTGAGAGATGTGAGATTTTGGACGACATGTGGAAGGGCGAGCGACATGCGCTGGAACGTGTCGATGGCATCGTTCTCGATAATCTCAAGCGTACGAGTGCGGATCTCCTCGCCTTCAATGGGCTGATTCTCCGGCTCGAGCCTGAATTGACTCGCGTCATGTTCACCCTCTGGATACTTGTTCGCCAGCCACTCGAGCGCGAGGGAGCTCATCATGATCAGCTGGATACCGCTGTCCCCAATGTATTCCTTCTTCTTTTCCCCGCGCTCGATTGCCTCATGATACGCTAGGTTCAACTCATCAGACGTCGGCCCTTCAAAGCGCAGCTCCGACGCAAAGTACAGAATCAAATGCGCAACCCGTCCCTGTAGGATATGTGGACTCTTCGTAACTTCGCCACAGGGCCCCGAAATTTGCAACTTCTCAAGCGGCCAGTGAACCGGCATGAGCCTGTCATTGAGATTCTCATTGAATCCGGTGTCAATCGTCAGGTCGCGGACGCTGGTAAAGTGTTTCCCGAGGATGCCCCATTCCGTGTCCGAGGGCGGGTCTTCGCCGATCGTGAGGATCGTAGTGTCTTTGGGAATGCCTTTTAGTTGCGAGAGGAGAGGCTCGGTATGCTCTGGAGCGTCTTCGCTGTCGACGTGGGGCCCTTGGACTGTCACGGTGAAGGGACCGACCGGCCGTGTTCCTGGTGTTAATGTTTGGACGCGACGCGTGGGCGGGATCCGCTGGCGGAACGGGAGCCGAAGGGCGGAGAAGGCGATGCGGGGGGAGGGGCGGATCTAGAACAAATGTCAGCTGTCGATACCAGTTCTTCGTAGAGTCTTCTTACCATCTTGTCATACTCTTCAGTGTCCCTTGGAGTTGCAACTCGAAGAGTTCCGGCCTTGTTGACTGAGCGCAAACAGGTACCTGTTTGCGTCGTTTGCCCGGTGACTCATCCATGTATGATTCTGCGCCGCCACAAACTGCACAAATTGCAGCGCAGGAATTTGATGCGGGGAAGTGGCCGTTTGTCCCCCGGGCCTAAAATCCAAGATTATGACGCCTTTAAGTTCTGAGACTGCTGTCTATCCTAAGCAGTCTTGGCCCATCCACCTCACCATAACACAAGCAACATCATGTCAAGACCACGCCATTTAACAGGGAACAGAGCTGAGCCGTTGAAGGCGATCGTAGAGGGAAGGCGCATCTACGTTGGAAACCTGCCCTACCGAGCAAAAGAAGAGGATGTGACAGCTTTCTTCCACCAAGAGGGGAATACCCTGGGCCTGTATGTCAACCGCTAAGATCTACCTTGCTGTAGGGATCGTACTAACTGAGATTAGCGCAGCAATCGATATCTCCATTGACCCATTCAATGGGCGGAACCCATCATATTGCTTCGTGGAGTTTGACGAAAAAGCGCAAGCAGACCGAGCGATGCAGGAACTCAACGGGCGAATGTTCATGGGCCGCCCGCTGAAAATCAAGCCTTGCGTGCCCAAGATCGACCGACTAAACCGGGAGGGCAAATCTGGCTATGTGTTTGATCGCTGGGAACGAAAAGATGCTCCATCTCATTACAGAGGGTACTCTGGTCAATGGCGCCGTCTACATGTCAATGGACTTCCCAAGCCTTCAACACAGTATGAGATGAACCAGGAACTTCGCGAGTTCTTCAAAGGCTTTGCCGTGTATGTTAGCCAGAACATGGAACCATTCTGAACAATGCTAACAGCTGCAATAGCGAAGCTATAATCAAGACTATTTGCCCGCACTACTTGGGTTACCGTGCTCCGGGCACTACGCACTGCGCTCTGGTTGATTTCCCCACTGCTGAAGAGGCGGCGAAGGCGATAGGGAAATTGAACGGTGCTGTTGGGCCCTGGGGAAGTGTTTTGACGCGCAGCATGGCCAAGAGAGATTGGGACGCGAACCCGGAGCCTCGTCGCAAGCCACCCCTGGGAAAACTAGAAGGTTGATGAAGGATCATGGTTTGATAGAGTTTCATGGTAGTACCGCTACATACTGGTTGTTTGATAGAAACCATCATGCTCCAATAAAGCCTAATCCACTTTTGCCAGAAAGGGCCAGGTTCGCTGCTCGTCCTAATGCGTGCAGTAGATATCATTCGCACAATATAGCCATGAGGTGTGTTTATATACCTATGCATGTAGCTGAAAGTACAACCCAACCCAAATATCCTATACACAAATCATCATATCATACAAAACAAATCTCCCAATGCCTCAGACCCGACCATTTTAGAGAGCAAGATACCCCATAACCCCGCCAACGAGCGGAAACAGCCCACGCACCGCATTCAAAAACGTCCACTTATGCAACAAATCCTCCGTCTCCTCCGCGGCCTCCTCAGTAGGAGTCCACCCCTTGGCACTTGCGCGCTCAAGCAGCTGCGCATTCGTCCCGCTCATGGCCGCCAGCGTCCACGGCACAATCGCGACCGTCAGTGCCGCCGCAGCACTATACAGCGCCGTCGCATTCCTGGGCGCGAGGACGGCGAGGGGTGTCGTCGATTCGCGGACGCTCCAGGCGAGGTAGGCGAATGCAGCGGCGGTGATGACTGCAATGGGCGGGTTTTGGGCTTTGCCTGTGTTGTACATGTCGCGCCATTGTTTGACGATTAGATGGATGGGTGCGCCGTGTTCGTGGTGCGAGGTTAGGAGGGCGGGGATTGAGACGAGACTGTAGCCGGCGATGTTGCCTGTATTCAATTCTTAGTTGGTGTTTCATTGGGCGCAAGCATCATGGATTAAGCATTGATAATCCACCTGGGCAGGGATGAGTGCAGGCAGTGTAACGTACCGGCTAACCAACCAGCGCCGGTTAAGCCTACGGCTTGGGCGACGCGGATTCCCGTGGGAAATTTGTTCATTTTGGGGGCTTATTGGTGTCAACTTATGAGGTGAGATTAATGCAACAAGTACGGAGACTAGAGAAGAATCCTTAAGAAGAAGAAAAAGGACATGGCATGAGCTCTTGGGTGGGTCAGTGACGTACCTTTTATCAGGTGACATCATTGACCCTCCCTATATACTAGTTACTAAATGGTGCTTGGTGCAGAATCTGCGGAATGTTATGACTCAGTTCGCTTAAGTTGAAGAGCTTGTATTTCGCGTGGTTGTAGTGACTTATTCGTGGCCAACTTGTAGCTTGTCTTCTTGGATGTATCTATAATCTACTGGAGAACTGGCAGTTGCTGTGCAAGCCGAGACACGTTGGAATGCTTGCACTCCATATGTACTAGGCTGGACCCACAGACTATTTACTATTGGATTCTTTGTAGGAGCCGCCCCCCAAATTCCCACCAGCAAATATGGCGTTTTCGGTCCAGCACTCGTCCGACTCCGACTCCGACGCGGATGAGAAGACAAGAACCTCCGACGGGATACGGGGCAACATCTTATTGACATAAAATTGTACTGTAGATGCGATATGACAACCCGGGGGCCGAGGCTCAGCAATTCATTCCTTCAACTTCTGGTGCCACTCCCTTCCTTGACCTTGGGTCGCGTACCCCCCATTATTTCTGCGAACATGCCCCTGAAAACTTCTCCCACGTGAGCTGTGTTTAGCCCTAAATTCTATCAAAATTACCATTGCAGACCATTTGCGCGATTGATATACACCGAGCCCAACATCGGCCTTGATTAGTTTGCTGGTGTCGAGTTTTCCTGTTGACTGTTCATATGCTAGTCTCGCCAACAGGTATATTTCGCGTTGCTGCGTGCATTGGCCGTTCTGAAAGCACCGACTCTCCTATAACCCATGGTGTGGATAGCTTTTTTTTTTTTTTTTTTTTCAGGTTATCAGCCAAAATCAGACACTTCTAGGATGACAACTTGGCCAACAACCCGGGCCAGGCTTCCAGCTGTCGTGCAATACTGGAGACATGAAGACAAGCGATCTACGTTAAGAGCAGCTTTAAATGACCCTGATAAAAGACCATCCATTGCAGCGTAGAATTCTGGGGCTTGGACTAAGCTAACAAGACTTCCACTCAAACTCAAGACTGTCTCTATCAACAACCAATTAGAAGTGAAACAATACTCGTCCCGCGGTTAAGCTTAATTGAAGATCTTATGACAACGGTGGCCAACCACAACAAGCACGGGTGCACTTTCTCCAACGTCCAAGTGGGGTTCTATGCTGCGCCTTCACCTGTCTTGTCAGTTCTTGCCGTCTCCCCGCAGTTTTAATAAGAGAGACACCTGCCTCAGAGAGTGACCGATATACCATGACCATCAAGGGAATCGTTCAACATGGGCAGCTCACTCTCATCTCCGAGCATCCCGCTCGGGCTGCTCGTTTTGTATATCCTCCACCGTTTTTTCTCCAAAAGTTCTTGTCTAGCGCTCCCCCCAGGTCCAAAGCCGAAACCCCTCATTGGAAACTTGCGAGATCTCCCCCCGCCAGGAAAACAAGACTGGGTACATTGGGGAAGATTCAAAGACCTATACGGACCCATTAGTTCGATTACAATCTTCGGGGAGACTATCGTCATACTCAATGACTCGCGCATCGCCTTTGATCTTCTGGAGAAGCGATCGACCATTTACTCCTCCAGACCAAAGATGACATTTGCAGGTGAAATGTATTTTCTCTCGCAAATTGGCATATTGGAAGTGCACAGCTAACGTGGCGGTGGGCAGGGTTGGCTGGGAGCATATCCTCGCAATGCAGACGTACTCCGATACCTTTCGCGCATACCGCAAGGCGATGCATCGTGTGCTTGGGACGAAGAATGTCATTTCGCAGTTTAACGAGCTGCAAGACGTTGAGGTTCGACGGTTCCTACTACGCGTGCTAGATAAGCCCGGGGATCTGGTTCAGCATATTCGAACGTGAGCCTCGCCGCCACCGCTGTATACAAGGCAATTCTAACAAAGTAGTGAAACCGGCGCCGTAATTCTGAAGATTGCATACGGGTACGATATCGATCCTCACGGGCGAGACCCGCTCGTCGCGCTCGCCAACGAGGCTCTTGAGAATTTCTCCGTCGCAGGGACGCCGGGGGCTTGGATAGTTGATACCATTCCACTATGTTCGTACTCTCCCCCGTCGGCGTTGGGTGCTCTAATGTAATGCAGTAAAACATCTACCCAACTGGTTTCCCGGCGCCGGGTTCAAGAGAACAGCCGCTGCATGGAGAAAAAACCTGCTCACTACAATCGAAGAGCCCTACCGACTGGTCCTCAAGCAGATGGCAGAAGGAAAATATCCAGATTCATACCTCTCAAACCTACTTGAACAGGCGCAAGGTCGCACTCTCACCGTAGAGGAGGAACAGGTGATCAAATGGACGGCGGGGTCTCTGTATACTGGAGGCGCTGATACGGTACGCACTGATCCCTATACTCCCTAACCATATCAGAATATTGATATAGATCAGACCGTCTCAACCCTCTCCTGCTTCTTCCTTGCAATGGCGCTATATCCCGAAGTTCAGACGAAGGCACAAGAAGAACTAGACCGCGTCCTCGGCTCAAACAAGCTTCCAACCTTCGAAGACCGTCATAGCCTCCCATACATTGACGCCATCGTCAAGGAGTCTCTCCGCTGGCATCCCGTCGCCCCAATGGGCATTCCACACATGTGCAGCGAGGATGATGTCTACAAGGGATACCGTATCCCGAAGGGATCACTGGTGATGCCGAATATATGGTATGGACCTCCTGTTTCTGGTAAGGGTGCCTCGTACCATCGAATTGCTAATCACCTTCATAGGGAATTCACCCACGACCCGGAAACCTACAAGGACCCCAGAACATTCAACCCATCACGTTTCCTATCCCCAACCCCCGAAATGGACCCACGCAACTTATCCTTTGGCTTCGGGCGCCGGATCTGTCCTGGTCGATTACTCGCAGACTCGACTATCTTCATGACAATCGCAAAGTCACTTGCGGTCTTTGATATCCAGCCTGATGGCGAGGACAGTGTGGGGGAGGAGTTTCTGCCGGGCGTTATTAGCCACCCAGCGCCGTTTAGACTGAGAATTACGCCGAGGAGTGAGGTTGCTGAGGGGCTTGTAAGGGCTGTTGAGAGAGAGGTTCCGTGGGGGAAGGGGGACAGGGAGCTGATTGAAGGTGTGAATGTTGAGGTCTAGAGTTGGTGCTTGGAAATTGGGACGAGGAACCCTGAAGAGAGGGAGGGGAAGGGGGATGGGAGGGGGATCTCGTTCTTGTTGTAGTCCAGGGTACGCCAAACATCTCCAGGGGTTTTTCGTGCTCTTAAATTCTCGCAGGGCGTCTTTCCTGTGCTAGTAACTTAAGAGCATAATCTTATCTTACAGAGGCATACTGAGTACAAGTAGAAAATTGAGCCTGGTTTGCCTCCTTGAAGGAATAGAACCAAAAAGAAGATGTCTTAGACAGTCGAGGAGATCTTTTTGCTAGACCATGGCACTCCGCAGCATATCTCATCTTGCCTACTCATTGTCCAGAGCCCAACAAACCTTCACCCAAAGGTCTGTCCTTTCCCTCTCGCCCTCATCCCCAAGAAGCAGCCCACCATCCGCCTCCATCTGATCTAAGAACGCATTTCGGAATATTTCCCTTTTCTCAGACCCTTCCTCACCCGCCTCCCTCTTCAACTTTTTCATCAGACCCCTCCATCGCACATCCATGCCCATAACCCGCTTCAGCCGCGCATGCAACACATCCCTTACATGCTGTGGCGTCCGCCTACTCAGAAACCGCGCCGCACATCGTTGTCTCAAGCCCTCGCCATATTCCTCGTCTTCATAGTCATCGTCCCCGATACACGCCCGGACATGCCACTCCCACCTTACCTGTCCCGTTCGTCGAACACTGCTCCACATCCCCAGTTCGGGCACTCGATTCCTCGTTTTGATGAAGGAAACTTGACATGCGTCTCATGCCGCAGCCAGGCGAGGCCGTTGCGTTCCAGCGAGGAAATAAGCATGAGGCGTTCCATCGTGAGGTATTCGCCTACTGGCCCCGGGGACCAATCCTTGCGAGCGGGTAACAAAAGTCGTCGTGGGTTCCATGACGTATCAACAAGGCGCCACATTTTCGCCCCATCTTCAGGACTAGAATCAGAAGCGATTCCCCATAGCTGGACTGAAGCAGCTTTCTCTTTCACAGGTAACGAGGCAAAGGCCTCAATGCCCTGCGGCGCCAACTGCAGCACACCTCTGATAATCGCGTGATCCGTATTTTCTACAACGACGTTGCTGTACGGGCCAAACTGACCCTCCTCCTCCTCCTCAGCTGCATAGAAAGGCAGTTGAACAGAATCTGGATCCACGAGACCAGCAAGAACGACCTTTTGTGCCGCAGGGAATAAATCCCGCAGCATGGCCCAGAACCGTCGGGCCTTGTCCGCATCAAGGACACCATATTTCCCACGGAACTCGAATAGGCCTCTCCATATATCGATTTCGACTTGTGCGATATTCTTCGCGAAGGATTTGTCATGTGCTATGTATGTTATCTCGAAGAGCTTGGCGTAGCCGATGGAGAGGGTGTTGATGGTGTACCACGTATTTCTGCCGAAGATGTTCCAGAAGATGGGTAAAGTAAGGGTGCGGATGTGGGAAGTTGTGTGTATGAGTTGGAAGAGCGTCGGCGCGTCACAGGCGCGGAAGATGTGGAGTTGGAGTTCTGTGGGCAGCTGGGAGAAGGCGTGGAAGGTGCGGGATTTGGGGGTTGGTTGGGGTTGTGGCTGGAGAGTTACCGCGAGGGAGAATGCGGTTACTGAGACTCCTTGCCGGGTGAGGGAGAGGTCGATCCTCCAGGACATGGTGAGTTATCTTGAAAATATTGAGATGGTGAGTAGTAAATCAGCATGGCAAGCTCGTATTTGCTTGGCTGGTCACGGGATGTGCATACCAAGCCTGCGTAGCTCAAGGAGGCTCTTTTGCAGCAGCACTGACTAGGTACATGATTGGGTTTATTCTGGAAATCCCTAAGCTGTTTGTTGAAAACATAACTATGAAGGTCCGGGTGTAATCAACCCTGGAAGAACAGCCTAGATTCAGGTGTGGAGAGAGCCGAAATGGGCTTGGAACATGCACATATGGCCTTTATTCTCGTAGGTGAGAATAGATAAAGAGGAAACGGCAGTTGACGAATAATGGGGGAAAGATGGCGCCTCTTGATCCCATTGAGGATATAGGGCATGAGATTCAGTTCGCGACTCAGTTTTATGGCAGGCAGGGCTGTCTTGTGACGTTCCTCTCTCTACCTGTTCTTATCATGATCCTCGATACGAGTCTTTAAGAGAAGCTCTTTGATCCTAAAATCCACTTGAATCCAGCTCCATGATGGTTACACGCCCACTTTCATGTCCAATAGCAACCATATTGCCACAAATACTTACAGATTTCAATGAGAATTTGCTCGACGCATACGGCTCCGTTGGCCGAATCTCAGCTGGAAGATAAACCATCCTTGTCCCGTTCGGGGTAAGAATCCAGCTGCGATCTTGGGAGATGAATATCCCCTGGCTTGTTTCAGCTGAGGATCTGATGTCGCGGGTGAGAGTAGTCGCTGGATACCACGCGGTCGTACAGGGTGCCGCAGCATCATACAAAATGGACTTTTCGTCGGCGGAGAATGCCACTTGGCCTACGTCCCTGGCGAACCACATTTCCTTCAAAGCAAGCGACTCGCTTTCCCTCAGTTCGATCGTCCGACCCGCCACGCCACCGTATATCCCAACAGCCAGCTTGCTACCATCCTTGGAGAACTTTGCACTAATTACTCCCTGGGCCGCGTCTAGTCTTGTGGAGACAAGGTTCTGGCCACTCTTGGTATCTAGTATACGTAGCATAGGCTGCTGGCTGTCGTCGTACCCTGCCAGCCTTGACCCGTCGTTAGAGAAAGTTACCCTCGAAAGGACAAACTCAAGCTTCGTCGTGTGTACAAGGCCCATTCGGCCCGATTGAATGCTCCACACTGTGAGGAAGTCGTTTACGATAACAAAGAGATTTTGAGCGGAAAAGCCCAAAAACGTTAAGCAGTTAACATCGTCTTCTGTACCCCTGGCCAGTTCAGTCTGCACCACTTTCTTTCTTGCGACATCCCATATTGAAACGCGACAGCCGTATCGTGGACTCGAAGCCACTAGAGTCCCACAAGGAGAAAAGACCACCCCATCCGAACTACCTTGACCATAAGCCTGTTCATGGGATGAAGAGAATGAACCAGCTCGTACGTCGAAGATTTTGATTAGTCCCGAAGCAGTCCTGATGGCTAGTTTCGATCCATTTGGCGAGAAGACCATGGCTTCGCACATAACTTTCTCCAGGATGGGATTGACTTCGTCAGTATCCAGGTTCCACAAGCATATCTCGGAGCCAAAACCAATCGCCAGTGTTGTCCCACCCGGCGAGAGAGCGAGGTAAATGATATCCTCGATATCGCAGTAATCGAGTGTCTTATCGGTGTAGTCTCCGTTGACATCTATGACAGACACTCGCGAACCAGCCAGCAAAACAGCAATCTTGGACCCGTCCGCCGAAAAGTCACTAGTAAGGCAATAATCGAGGTCCTCGTAGTCTCTGGAGAAGAGCCTTCGCCTATCATTGTCCAGGCTCCAAACCTCTAGACGATTTGCAAAAAGCGGGTATTCAGCGGGTTCAGTGTGAGTAAACAATGGAGTTTTCTGTCCTTCTGCAACTATTTCACCGATGAGAGCTATTCGCCTGCCATCGAATGAAAGGAACATTTGACTCCATGACCCCAGCCAGTAGCTGAGAAGCACTTCCCCGGTGTCTATATTGTAGACGTAAAAAAGATTGAAGAATAGATGTTGTGTGGATTCGCCTTTGGTGTCACGCGGTTCTCGGAGGAGCACCAGTCTAGGCCCACTTCCCGTGACTGATTCGACCTGTTGGGGCTTTCCAGGACAAGGAATGCTGATAGTCTGCTCAGTATTTAGATTCCGAGCTATTAGTTGATATTTGGCAACGGTTATCTGCTCGTGATTTGAAAGAAACATAGCGGACGACCAGTGATTGTCACCGAATCTGCTTATCGTCTGACCGGAGGTAATATCCCATATTTGGCAGCCAGACGCAAGCTTGGTGCCATCTGGCGAGAATGACAGAGGTCCGTCGAAGGCATCGTCAGAGGTGGGCTCGAATGTCTGCTCCAGAGCGCTCCAATTCTTTGTTACATTCGGCAACTGAGTAATCCAGTTCGGAACGCAGTCTTTGAATGTCTTGCGTATGAGACTGTTCTTTGGAGAGAAGATAAGTGCTGAAGAATAAGCCTGTAAAGGCGCTTTCTCAATGGCTGAGAAGTTATAGAGTAGGAATCGCTTCGCGTCATAGAGAAATGCTGATATCTTTTTTCCCCTGGTCGCCTATAGAAAGTCAATTAGTCTGTCCTCTTTTTTAGCGAGCTTTCGTACTCACCGAAACTACTAGACCCTGTAATTTCTGGATGTAGCTAGTAGCTTTGTGAAGAGATTTCAAAAGGCTCAGTACCTCGATCCAATGGAGAATGTGTTTTGTTAAGAATTGATGAACTTTGTCTCTGTCACAAATGAGACAGTCTCCTTCGACTAAATGATTAACCCAGTAGAGACAGGCATATCGGAGATCTCCTGGGACATTCTTGCCAACCACCTCCGGCTCGATTTCGGCTGCTAGTACCCCAGGGGATTTAAGCTCGCAGATATCCTGCCTAAGTCCTGGTAGTGCTCCCATTCGCTCAAGGCATTGGGTTGCTAAGGAAAGGTGCCGTTTCTTTTCATCTACCCGAAAGTCGGCACGTGTCGTGCTATCGGTAAGAAAGTCTCGAAAAGAGAGATGTAGAAGTCTGATTGGCGAATCGTCGTGTGGGATCTGCAGGACAGAGTGCAGGAAATCTACCTGGAGGTAGACTTCATCGGGGCGGACTTTGAGAAGGCGAGCAAGATGACTAGCAGACAGTGGTTCGAATAGGAGGATAATGGCCCCGACAATATTGTGAAATCGGCGTAGAACGATATCCTGTTGGCCATCCAAGTCATCACCCACCAGCTGGTCAAGTACAGGAAGATATGCTTGGTGTAGTTTCTGGCTCGCAGTCCGGTACTTCAGGATGGTGGCAAGTTGATCGTTGGGGTCGTGTCTCGGATCGCTTATGAAGCGACAAGTCGTCGCGGCAAAAATGAACAGCGGAACTGCCATGTCCACGAGTATCGAGATATTCTCCCTCCCTGGCCAATCTGATGGAAGACGTTCTCGAGATGAGGAGATCGTGTTGTTGTGATATTTTCGAATGTCCGCTAATTTGTGCCTCAAATAGATACGAAGATCACTCTTCGTCGTCTCTTCCGGAATGTTTTGTAGCACTATATCTTGGTATGTGTTATTCAATAAACCTCGAAAACCCCTCAGCACCTGTATATCTGGCCTACTGGTAACAAATAGTCGCAGAGTATCGGCTGTCAGTTCAGCGTCGCGGAAGGTCCACAAGATAGCCTCCATGTCCTGACTTGAGCATTCGTCCAGTGCATCAAGAACAATAACTCTTGGGGAGTCAAAAGGAGCTTTCTCAAAAACGCGTAGGGTAGGTTGAACTATAAGCATGTTGAACTGCTCACGCAACATCTTGTCCGCAATAGAAGGAGCAGCTTCCACGGCCCTTTGAATATATCTAGCGGTCGCTGGGATATTTATGGCTAGCTGTGAGGCAATGGTAGAGAACAAGCCTGCCGCGTCTGCACGACCTGCCTCGCCTTTCTTAAAGAAGAAGCTGGCCTCAAGCTGATTATCTTCGTGGAAGGAATGAGCAAGTGTCCTGGAGATAGTAGATTTTCCCGTTCCAGCGCTACCGCTAAGCCAGAATATTCGCTTCCCATCAGGGTTGTTTGCCCAGTCTCTAACCTGTCGCAGAAGATCGACTCTGGTTCCAGGGTAGCATCGGGAGGTGGTCTCCTTGGTATGCGAATCATACGCAGCTCCTGAAACCGTTGGAAGGTTATATATGAATGTTTTCTGCTTTAGCGAAGCGCTTCACAAAGAGTCAGCAATGGAGAACCAAATGGCTTAGAGTTGCTTGCATACATTTCAGTCTACACCACAGAAATTTCTGTCACTGGATGGTTAGGCCAATGAAATACCCGTATTAAGAATCAACTGACCCGAGAGTATATCAACAGCGAGAGGTCCTTGAACGACTTCTCGAGCCTGGAGTGTGAGGAGTAGTTCCTTTGCAAATGCAGCTGCCGTTGCCGATGCATACTGTCGCCAACGCTCCGCGCCCCTCCAATGAGAATCTGCGTAGTTGCATATCCCGCGAATGACTACACAAGGGAAATTGTCCATAAGCCCAGCAGCTTCGGTCTCTGCGCAGATGGCACCAAACTCATCCCGTAGCCAATCGCGTATTGAGCTGTCTTCAATGATTTTATTGCTGGAGGCAATGGTCCCGTAATGAATCACAGGATCGGTATCCCTGATCAATCGTTCTATTCCCTTCCGCCGACACTTCTTACAAGATCTGTCCTGCTCATCCTTATGCAGATAGTCCGCCTGAAATAGCCTGTCGTTCTCTCTGCCCTGGTAGACATATCTTTCCGCCAGCCTGGGGTAGTTTTCGAGCATCTGCGTAAGGTACTCTGGAATTTTGCTGCCGCGCAGCTGGTTCGTCGCTCTGAGATCGCCGATCACAGTCAAAAGCGCGGTCGGAGGCTTGTTGAGCGAGCCAGTGCGTGAAAATCCGGAGTGTGTAGCCTTCCCCATGTCGAACTGCACGACCCCGCCAAAGGTCCTGTCTGGGACGCTCACCGCGACATCGCCAAGCCGTATATCAAAATCGTCGCTGGGAATGCCGCCGCCGGTTCCGACAAGGAGACTAACTCGTATTTTCCGAAAACTCGACAGCATCTTGGAGGCAACGATGGCGGCGGAGCTTATTCCGCGTACTGGAAGGCACGCGATTACGAGGTTGTGGTGTCCAACCTTGCCGAGAAGATAGCTGTTGTCGTCGGAAGGCTCTCTGGTCTGCGGCTTCCCGTGCTCTTCGTCGAGCATGGTCTGAGCAGTGACCCTGTTCTCATGATCGCAAATCCAGCCGACCGTGTAGGCGTCATTCTCGAGCTCCGAAATCATAGGTACTACCAAAGTAGCAAGATGGGGATATCAAAACGATTGACAATGAGTATTGGCGGCTTGAAGGGCCAGAGTCAGAGGAAGAGGTGAGTGAGAAATCTGCAAGGAGGAAGGAGGGGAAAGCGCGACACGGCGCGAACTGGGCGCTTGAGTCGGCCCTGGTCACCTGCTCAGCACTCATCCCTGTCAGCGCCAAGAAGGCAGACCCCGTCGTTCTCGGTGCCTCGCCAAAGGTGCCTTGCGAGAGAAGGGCTGAATAGTGACATCTTTCGGTAGATAGTGATGCCTGGCGAACATCCACTGACCTGGATCTACTAAGTGGCTTTGCTTTGAGCCCTCTAAGTATCTCTGGAAAGAGGCCGCATCATCTATATATCTTCACACCTAACGACTACCTAGGTAGGCTAAAGAACTCGGCTTACGACATAGACTCCGGTGGATGAGTCTTACGCTAAGATTAGGCGTAACAGAGCCATACATGACCTTCACCTCAAATCCCTCAACATAGTGCCGCAACTTGCCACGCCACTTGCAAACAAACTATACTACCTCACTTAATGGCCCCAAGGCCACCAGGTCGGCAGAGGCCGAACAGTCTTGGTTACCGTCTTAGTCTTGGTCTTGGTTTTGGTCTTTGTGACAGTCACAGTACCTCCGAACGGGCAGCTGGTTATGGTTCCCGGAATAGTTGTGGTGACAGTTGTAGTGGACGGCGGCTGAGTGATTGTCACCGTGCTACCGGGAAGAGTGACTGTCGTGCCAGGCAGGGTCACGGTGCTGCCAGGTGCGGTGGTTGTGCTGGTCACGGTCGTAGTGGATGGGCCGGGGCAGGTTACTGGAGGCGTTGTGGTGGTGGTTGTCGGTTCATCTGTGGTTGTCGGTTCGTCTGTAGTTGTGGTGGTAGTTGGTTCGCAGTCATCTGTCGTTGTAGTGGTGGTGGGTTCATCCGTGGTTGTCGAGGTGGTTGTCGGTTCATCTGTAGTAGTGGTAGTGGTCGTAGTAGTCGTCGGCTCATCAGTAGTTGTAGTGGTAGTCGTAGTCGTGGTGGTAGTAGTCGTCGCCGTACAAGCATCCGCATACGCATCCAAGCCACCCTGGATTGCATTGGCAATACCGGCCGAAAGCTCCTGAGCAAGTTCCTGGAGGGCAGCCGGGACTTTGGCAGTAATCGCCGCAGCAAGTGCAAGAGCAGCAGCGTGTTGGTTTTCAAGAGCCTCAAGTGTAGTGCATCCGTAACCATCAGCAACAAGGGTATCTTTGATAGCGATGAGATGCTGAATGGCAGTCTCGGTATCGGCAGAGAGATCCTGGGTTGGCGCGACGAGGCCAAGAGCGTCGAACTGGCTGAGGACAGGCTGAGCCTGGACGACAGTCACACCATTGTTGATGGCCTCGATGAGGGCATTGGATTGCGCGATGATAGCGTCCGCGTCAATGGGAGTGGCCTGGATGGAAGCATCGAGGGAATTGACTTGGTTGTTGATACCAGCAAGGATGCTTTGGAAAGTGGCGATGTCGCGCTCCACAGGAGTGGGGGATCGTTCCACCAGAGTGGGAACGGCGAGGGTGCCGAGGGGGAGCAGAGCAACAATAGAGAGAAACTTCATCGTGAAACAACCGGCGTGGTCAAGATCAGCTGCAGGCGAGTAGTGGGGATCAGCAGTAGATGGGACCTCAACAGGAGAAGATCAGCGTTGGTTATATAGACAGCTCTCACTAGGTCTCGTTAATTCCCACGTTTACTTGCACTCATGCACATGCCCCTCGGTAGATACATGATTGCCTCGCTGATAGCGCCACCAAGAAAACCCCAAAGCCATATTATGACGTGCAGTGTCTGCCGGAATTAGATATGAGGGATAAGGATCAAGGGCCGGTGCCGGCAAAATCAAGCGGTACCTGTGTCTGCCTGTTATTTTCAAGGGAATGGGAATTTAGCGTCAGATGTCCCGCCTGGGAGGACAGGGGGTTTATCTCCTGACATTTGTAGCGAACGAATTAGAAGCACCATCCGCTCCACTTCCCCAGACTTTACCACGGCTCTTGTGATAATCAGGGCATAAACTTGCGGCTCAGAGGACCTAGGCCTAGGAGGAGTATATCAGCTGGAATACGTGCATTAGAAAGTTCCTTAGCTTTAATGTGGCGGTTTATCAACAAATGGGAGATGGCCTTTCTTATCCATGTACGTTGAATGCTAGCCTGCAAAGGTCGACTCTCGACCTAGAAGTAAGTCGTGCTCATGCGGAGAGCCATATTGCCCCAAGACAAGATAATTCATATAGGCAGGGCCTGAATCCTGAGACAACGGCGTGCCTCGTGAAACAGCATGATTGTCCTCGGCTTAGACCGTTATTGAGTAGTGTCGCCGTCCTTAAGCTGATATTATACCCCGATGAGTAATATAAGCAGAGCATGAAAGGAATTCTTCCTCTACTATTATTCTTGATTGTCATCTTCTGGGACCAACGTCTCTTCAGCCAAATCTCCTCATCATCCAACCCCGCCATTCCCGACAACACGGCACACTAGCGCGGAATTTATTTCCTGAAGGAAAGGCCAGGCCAATAAGATATCTAAAAGCTGGGAGGCTTAAAGCTGATAAATATCCCGAAACGTGGTGTCACGGACTCACCAGTGGACAGGTACAGCCGAGGCCGATCATGCATGTATCCTACCTTCTAAGAGATAACTATCTACTAATAGCTGGCTAGGTGAATCTAAGGTTCAGACTCTGGTTCTCCCATTTGAGAAACTATCTTGTAGGGGATAGTCCGCGTTCTATCTCGCACTGACCACGAAACTCGAACCCTTGCACATTCGCTGACCGAGGCTTTGGCCATGTGAGACATCAATCATCCTCCCCATCGCGCCACTTACTCTGGGGGAAATCTTGACCAAATGGGCCTCACAAACAGTTATGCCGCTCACAAAACATCATCACAACCTGGCTCAGGCTAAATCAATATGTACTTATACCTACGGATACCAGTGGTCGTGACCCCGTGAAATTCGACGCCCTTGAGGACATATTTGCCGCGAGTAGCCGACAATGGTAGGGCTGGAATTGAACGTGGTCCTAATTGCCGGCCTCCGTTGCTAAGGTAGGCACAGTATGACATAAAAGAGGCTCGGGAAATTTGTAATATGGACCTAGGTCCAAGTATCTATGTCCAAGGTTAGCACGGAGCCCATGGGCACGGGGTAGTTCTCATATACCTCAGTGCCAGTAGGACAGTGTGCAGCCCCCTAGCTATCTTATAGACACTCTCAACGTCAAACAGTTTTCTTTGTGCTCTATTAACCAGAGCAACATCCTGCCGAGCAATTGAATTTCCCACTACCCCAATCCTTAATCAGTATCGAATTTAACGACCATCCTCCCAGCAACCTGCCCCTTCCTCAACCGCTCCACGGCCTCGGGCAGCCTGTCAACAGGGTAAACCTCACAAATCTGCTTGAGTAGCCCCCTGCGCGCGAAGTCCAGCGCCGCAGCCACGTCCTTGCGACTCCCCACAAGTGTCCCCTTGATCGTGACATTCTTGAAGATCAACTCATTCGGATCTCCACCCACGGTCATTGATCCCCGTGGTGCTAGTCCCACACACATAACCACCGCACCTACACGGTTGCCAATATACGAGAGCGCCGTCTTATAAGCTGCAGGTGCCGTAACAAAGACACCGTGCACACCAACTCCATCGGCGATAGATATAACTTCAGCTGCTGTATCAGGTGTCTCTTTGAAGTCGACGAATGCTTCCGCGCCCATATCAAGGGCTAGCTGTCTCTTCGAGGCACCTGTATCAACCACGATCGGGCGGATCCCCATTGCCTTTGCAAGTTGTACACCTTGAATACCGACGCCTCCACCACCGCCTGGGAAGACAGCCCAGTTTCCTGCTTTCAGACCCGACTCAACGAGCGAGCGGTACATCGTTGCGGCGCTACACATGATTGGTGCGGCAACTTCGTCGGGGATACCGTCGGGTATGGGGGATGCGTAGCGAGCGGGGGAGACGATGTATTGCTGGTATGTGCCTGCTCATAGTTAGATCAACCCTTTTCAATCGTTGTAGACCGCCATTTCGACAACTATAGGTAGGATGTTGCATACCAGCCCTCATCAGCCCCGTATGCACACCACTCGCACAATGCATCTCCCGCTCCCCACAGCACATCTCGCAAGAGCCACAAGTATCCAGCAACGGCTTCACGCCTGCGCGATCACCGACAGAGAAGTTCTTGACATTGGCGCCTGCTTTGACCACGACACCAACGCCCTCGTGACCTGGCGAGCGTACCCCGAAGGTCGACATTGGTGGCATGCCGAGGTCGCCTTGCATTGTGTGGATGTCGGATGAGCAGATGCCGGTTGCGTGGAGGCGGATGAGGATTTCGTCGGGGCCTGTACGCATAAACATAGTTAGTCTTGTCATTTTCTAGGATATCAACTAAATTGTTCGAGAGTCATGTGTACCTGGCTCTGGAACAGGGACATCCTCGACGCGGACTCGAAAGTCTGGTCCCTCATTCTCAACGACGCCTGCTTTGCAGTGCGTAGGGATAGTGAAGATCCGAGTAGTCATTGTGAATTATTTCTAGAATCCATATAAGCAAAGAAAGAACCGTACGTTTTTGCAAGCCAGCCAAGTTAAATGCAGCATGGCGGAATTTCTCCGCTAGTTCGTCCCCACCTTATCTGAGCTTTCCCCATGCGCCCCGGAAGATCCTCGCTTAGTTTCTCCTCGAAATCATTAATGTATATCCGTATTTCCGAAGACGAGCTATCAAACCCGGATTCTTGCTTGTTTTATCTCTCTTCGTTGTAACGTGTCTCCGCGAATGCGGGGAAGGATACCCGAGGGAATGGCGGAATACTGCCGTTCTGTCTATATAACTTTCTCGAACCAGGGCAAACCTTCTTGATTTTTAAATAGGTGGTTATGAACAAGTGTCAACCGTTAACAGTAAATATAGCTGGAAAGATAACAGGGAAATTCTATCGCCCACTATGCTGATAACCCTATACAGATCTGGGCATATGTTCCTCGACATGGGCGGGTTATCTAGCCCGCTCCCTTTCTACGACAGCTGTTAAATCCATCGCAGCCAGGACTGACAAGATGGATTGTTGGCGATCGGAGAAAACGACAGTAAATACATAGTCTTATGATCTAGCCGGACGAGCGACCGAAAACAAACTCGACCCCATTTAAGCTTGTCTACGCCTGTGTCTTGAACGCATTTTCCATCGGATTAGCCCAACTCTTGTGCAGGTTGGCTCGGACACCGCTTCGACAACAACACTTTTATGGTAGCAAGCAATCCGTGCGCTGCCCCAGGAAGTGGGCAGTAGTGTGGCGTTGCTGAGCCTAAGATAACATGACTCACGCCCAGTGTCGCTGTCCAAGTTGGGTTTAGTCTATATGGGGCCTGCCCTGCTGCGCCGCATCAACATAAAGCTTATAGATATCGAAGGGTCCTTGCTTCTTTTAGCACTATATCTACTATCTTTGTTAATTGAGAGACAAAATGGCTACTGACGCGCATACGCAGTTGACATATCTCGAATGGCAACCCAGCTACACGCATACACGCCCGTACCGCATTTCAGAGTACGTGGGCCGACGGAGAAAGGGGAAAAATAAAGCCAAACAACAACAAGCTGACGAGGGCGAGGGCAAAAATGACAAACTACCAAACACGAACCTGGTCTTCCGCACGTCAGAGCACGCAGAAATCATAGGCGATATTCGGGGCTCCGCCGAACAATTCACCCTGGACACGAATGGCTTCGCGTATATCCGATGTCCGCCGCCGGCTCTCACCCGGGCCTGGGAGTACTCGGACCCCGGGAAAATTGAGAATGTCTTCTTGCCGGAATGCGAGGCGATTTTGAGGAGGGAGGTTGAGGGGGCGGATGAGGTTGTGGTTTTTGATTGGAAGGTCAGTATGTTTAACCTACCCTGATATCGCAAATTCTCCAAGCCATTGTCTGCTCTGCCCGGTGGTGAATAGCGCGCTAAGCTTTTCAAGCATGATTGTATAGATCCGAAAGAGAAAAAGTGCCAAAGAGCGACGGACGAGAAATCCGAATCTGCAAGGGTTTGCAAAGCAGGTCCATTGTGGTAAGCTCACTATCTACTTCATATACAACCACCAGAGGGTCAATGTGGTTCTTGAAAGGGGCATGTATTGCTTGCTAACAGTAGTATCCTGGTCCAGATACACTCTTGACCCGCGACGACATCGGGACGCCGATAATGCAACGGATCCGAAACCATCTCCCCAAGGAATCCCACCACTTGCTTTCTGGGCGGGTCCAACTGATCAAGTGAGTACATATTAGGGGCCCCACAAAATCACCTAAGCTGCAAACCACATGTTCTAACTGCAAAGTGGTGCCTAGCCTTTGGCGCCCAGTAAATGCGCCCGTGGAGGACCACCCCATCGCCGTCTGCGACGGCCAAAGCCTGGATGCGTCCAAGCTCCTGGCAACGGATATGATACGCGGAGCCTATACAGGCACCATGCTGTATCCATTGTTTGAGCCGGATTGTTCTAAATACAATTGGTATTATATGAGCAGACAGGAGCCCGAGGATGTACTCCTGTTCAAGGGGTTCGATTCGGCGGAGGGGAGGGTTAAATGTAAGTGGCTCTTATGATTCCTGCGTAGAACGAGTTGCGAATTGGAAAGTAATCAAACCACGGGTCCGTCGCTAATGCTCACGGCAGATACACCACATACGTCGTTCATGCCCTTGGATTCACCTCCCAACCCGTGCCCTAGGGTTAGCGTTGAGGTTCGAGCGCTAGTCTTTGCCCACCCGGTGTCAAGAGTATGAACGTGATATGTTCCCGTTGGTAAACGGCAATGGGAATGACTTAACCATGGCCTGATATGGATTGCATAACTAGACATGTTTGATGAACTCAGCCATGCCGTTAAGTCTTGCGCACAGCAGCCGTCACAGTGTGCCGATTCCTAGGCAATGTCTATGCCCTGCGAGCCAAAGCAATGCAGCTGAAGAGAAGGCTCTCTCCACCTGCATCCGCGTTCAACTTGATGATCCTCTTGAGACCCATATCCAGCGCCCGCGGACTGAGGACATCCTCATTGTCCGCAAGACTCCCTCTCTCCAACGGGCCCATCCTCGACCCCTCAAGCTCCCACAGCTTTCCGCCGCTCTTGACAAAGCTCACAAAATGCCCCCCATCGCGCTGCCCCTCATCCACATAGCTGTCACCATCCAGCTCAACCGACTTGTGCGCACGCTCAAATGGTTCGCTGTTATACAGCATCTCGGCGCGTTTCTCCATACCCAGCGGAATCGCGGCGTCGCGTATCACCTCAAGATCAGAACCGGATTTGATGAAGTCGGCGGCCGGCCCGTTAATCGCGCTGTGAAGGAGGCCGATTGAGCCGCAGGCGTGGCCGATGGTTTGCTTGAACCAGATGACGGGCTCGTCCGGGCCGGAGCCGGTGTATGGTTCCTTGGTAGCGTCTTCGGCTTTACGGCTTCGGTCCCAGGCTGGTGTTAGTGGGATGGTGACAAGTAGAGTTAGGGCGGGTCGGGGAATATGTGCGAGGAGTTCGGGGTCATCTAGGGAGTAGACGTCGTAGAATTGGAGGTCGGATGAGAGACCCAGCTTTGTTGCTAGCTGGTTCATTACATCGGGGTTGTTCTCTGGCATTTGCGGTGAGTGTGATGAGTCTGTATGCGGGGACAAGTAGTCCATCAGGACTTAGGTCCCTTACCAAGCATTTTCCATGTCTTCTTCTCCATTTTGGCGAATAAATAGATGGAAGGCGTTGAGGTTTCGGGAATGTTGATGTGTTATGGAGCTTAAGGTGTGGGGAAGCGGCGGGGTGGGGTAAAGTAAAGTAGGCGCTGGCTGGGATCACGTGAGTCTGATTAGATATTGACTTGGACACAGGAGGACTGACAAATTAATCCGCCTGTTGATCCATGACTAGAGTATTTTTTCACTCCTTTCGCGATAATGTGGTTCAAATTCAGGATAAGATAAATATTAAGGAAGGTTATTTCTTCCTATCATTGTGGACACAAAGAATCAATTCCCGGAGTTGGGCCGGAACAACAACCCGCTAATCGACGTTCATGAACCGAATGAGCTACCAGGCTTTTGCGGGGAAGGGTACCCTAGTTCTTAACTCGACGTAAATTGATTGCCCCTGCTGCGCTACTTGGTAGCGGATTGAGACGCAAAAGGCGTTGAGAGAGGCACCCTGATATTTTTTCTTTTTTTTTGCTTGAGTAACCATCTCGGCTTGTGGCACAGGTGGACAGTAAGGCTATGTGGCAGCACGAATTGGCCACGGAGGCAGGGGGAACTAGGCTAAGGGTGAGCTGACCCATAGCCATAGCTTCAACAGACTGACCTCTTTCGACTGCCAAGGACAGGGTACAAACAGACTGTCAGACTAAGGCCCAGTACATTGCGCTGGCACCGCTCTGACCCAACGTCATTGTAATCTATCTGGCACGTGGTGCTTTGTAATTGGATGCTGTGGTTTAAAGCCTCGACAGCACGCGCCCGACCCCGCAGGAATCTGATGTTATCCAGATTTCCAAGACTGGGAATTACTCTCTGATTCAAGTCTGCTGAGTACACTTCCGCAAAGACTGGAATCGTTCATAGTATCTGGCCCTTAAAATGGACGATACGGACTTCATATTCAAGCCGAGTTTAACCTCATGGAATAGAGATGACAACTCGGGGGCGAGTGCTGTCCCAGTGCTGAAACAAGGCCATATCGTACCTACTGTCCAAAGCTCCATTCTCGAATTTCTGAGTATCGCACAAGCACTCAATATCGATATTCTTCCCATCACCTGGCAGCCAGCCCTTCCGACGATTGGCGAAGGCGCAACAGCATATGTATTACAAAGCCCATTCGCGGAAAATGCGAGATTCGCGTTCAAACGGATGAGGCCAGTGTCGCAAGAGGAAAAGATCTGGAATATGCGGGCTTTGATTGCAGAGCTGTTGATTCTCGGCCAACCAAGCATCCGGACACACCCCTGTATATCCCCGCTCCAGGGAATTTGCTGGGATGTTTCGTCGATGACAGACGAGGTCTGTCCGGTCCTAGTATTCGGGAAGGCAAATAATGGCGACTTGGGCACCTTTATGGCGAGCACTGTCGGCCCAAGGCTTTCCTACTTCAGCAGAGTGGCAATGTGTTTCCAAATGGGTGATGCAATCAGGACGATGCATGAACTAGGTACGTTCCATTGCTTGAGTAAACATTCTTCGTATGCAGTCAGTGACTCAGATAGGGGTTGTTCACGGCGATATCAAGCCTCAAAACGTCCTAGTATTTGGTGGCCGCAACACGGTCCATTTTGTACGGATCAGTGATTTTGGCTATTCGACACTCTTTGCAAAACTGGAGGACAAAATTCTTATGCCCCAGACACCCCCCTGGATTGCTCCAGAGTATCACAAGGGTCAAGCGGTAGACCGTGCCGCTGCTCAGAAGATGGATGTCTACTCGTTCGGTCTCCTATGTCTATGGCTACTCTTCTACAACGTCCATGTCCCGAGTCCATCCACATTCTACGATGACATTAAGAGCGGAACACTCCCATTGGCCTTGGCAATCCAGAAGGTTGAAAATTTACATGATAAAGAGCAAAGGAACGCAATACGTGAATTCTTTACACATTCGATTTGCCCCTCTCCCGAGGACCGATGCTCTAATTTCAGCGATATGCTGAAGTATCTTGGAACAGGATGGTATTTTGCACCCATCCTCGAGCTCGTTCCGATGCTAATAGTTTGAAGGGGAGTATCAAAGCCGAGTGTCAGTGGGAACAAACTCGACATGACCGAGGTAGCTAGTGACTTCCCGGTCAGCATACTGCATCCCGACAGTTGTGAGCATTTAGCACTAACTCAGTGGTGTAGATACTTGGGTGTGTACCTCAGTTGTACTCATGCGACTACAAAGTTCGCGCCTTTGTAGCTAAATGCTTGAGAGAGTCACTTGCCTGCGAAACCTCGACAGCAATGACTCAGAGCTATGCACTTCAATACGCAATGTGTTTGCATATGGGGTTTGGTGTCTCCAAGAGTCCGGAGTCTGCCTATCAGGTACTTCAAGATGCCGGAATCTCTAATCATGACTTTCAAACCGCGCTAGTGAACTTAAAGGCGAAGCTGGGGGAGCCAGTATACCACGAAAGCGCATATCAGAAACTCCTTCTTGAAGGCTACGATCTGTCGATTGACTATTCAAGGTACTATGACAGTCTAGGACGTTCGGATGAAGCCCTTGCACAAAACCGAGAAGACTTAACCAACCTAGAGAGCTTTCTCGGCCGCGATAACTCCCTTGCTCTATCAGTGAGAACCATTTTGTGCGACCAGCTTCTTGGAATGAAAAGAGTTCAAGAAGCACTTACACTCAGAAAGGAGTTTGTTGACATAAGGAAGCGGACGCATGGAAATCATGCCGAGGAGACAAAAAGAGCAATGCTGGCTTTAGCGGCTGTGTACGTCAACGCAGGCATGGTACATAAAGCAGATAAACTTTTCGCAGAGCTCATGGATTCACGATTACCCGGCCTTGAAGGGGCAAATCAACTGCGTGTATTATCGCTCATTCGCCGCTCGCAGAATCGACTGGACGATGCAATCGAAGCTCACAAGGAGCTGCTCACTATTCTGTTTGAAAAGCTAAACAGTGACCACCCAGACTCTCTCGAAGAAGAGTCCAGGCTTTGTACGATGCTGATTAATCAAAAAAACTACGACGACTCAGGACTACGATTGGAGCGCGTTGTTGAGACATGCAAGAAAGTCCTCGGCCCGAATAACAAACTAACATTGACAAATACAGGCAATTTGGCGTACTGCTATGATCAAAAGGGGGAGTTCCAGCGATCTGTCCCTCTTTACCGTCAATTAGTGAATGAAGAAGCGCATCTCAAGGCATATATATTTCAACACTATGTTTCGAAGCTGAAGGCTGCAGAGAAAGCCCTTGAAGAGGTTTATTAGCCACGGAAACTGCTGTGTGATGCTGGTATCTCAATTCGTTCTGTTCTTTTGTTGCTTCAGCGTCACGTAATAAGAATGAAATATCCATTTTGTATCCAGATGTATTCACTACTGAGAATAATTCCATGACGGTATCAGATTCTCCCCGCTGGGAGTTCATCTGGTAATAAAACATATGAAAAGGATTGGAAAAAGTTGCAAAGATTTATATGTAGAAAACTATATGCAATCATATGGTAGACAAAGAGATAAGAGGCAAGCTGCCACAGTGGCTAGACATTGCACTGGGCGATCCTGTCAATAACCTCCACTTTAAAGCGGATGCACATCTCTGCGGAGGTCTCTTCGTCGGTCCTAGACCCGTAGCACTCATCTTCCTGTAATCCAACTAAGCACGCACGCACCGCCTCCTTGTATTTTGATCCCATAGATTGCCCAAGAGCGGTCAGGGGCCTGTCAAGCACGTATCTCGAGAATTCAACCAATTTCTTGCGATCCTCTGGGACGATCCTCCACAGCCCGAGCTCCAGGAGTACAATCCCAAGGCTATAGTAGTCAAACCGCTGCTTGAACCGAGCATCTTTCTTTTTGGAATAATCTGGATGTTCGTAAAGTATGGCAGCGCGTTGAATCTGGGCTATTGGACCTTCGGAAAATGCAGAGTCATTCGCTTGTCTGCTGCTTAAAAAGCCAACAAGATAAGGCGAGCACAGGATTTCGTCGGCAGTTGCACCATCGGGGCAGCGAAAAATGATGTTAAAGGTTGATATGCTCTTCTGAAGCCAGCCCACTTTGTGGAATGCAAGGACTGTTGAGGCAAGCCCGAGGGCGAGCTGAAACTTTCTTTCTAATACTGGAGGCTTCAACTCTGAGAGAAGAATATCACGTAGGGTTCTAACAGTCAGATTCTTCTCTGTCTGTCGCTTCGGATCGTCAAGTCTGTAAATCAGCCCAACCGAATGGTCATCCGTGTTGTGGTAGAATCCAAGGCAAGGCAATATGCAGAACGCCGTGTACTGACCCGCTCGTTTCAATAGCTTGGTGATTCCCTTTGTCCGTGCTACTAACTCATGCACTAACAATTCTGAATGTTCAGGGTACTTGTCAAAATAGTGTCGCCACTCGGCCAAAACCAGCTCGGACGACCCTGTCTCTGGATCTTCGAGACAGCCCTGCCTGAGACCAGCACCGACATCTGAAAAATCTTTAAGTCTTCCTGGGCTAATACGCAAGTTGCCGACATCGTCAAAATCTTCCTTAGTCAATCTATCCACCAGCAGATGCATTCTTCTAATTGCGGCAAGTTCTCCAATGTCATCAGCATTTAGTTGAGACGCAGAAGTTCCTTCGCTATTGATCAAATTCGCGCTGTTGTACATTTGCAGGATGGTCCACTGGGATCGCAAGGTCGCCGCCTGTTTTAAATCTGGTGGAAGGTATCCTAGCAGTCGGCCATTGAAATGACGAAGGGCGGAGAGGGTATGTCTCAATGGAAGTGATTGGCTATTGATGTCTTGTAAAACGTTTCTAACTTGCTCAAGCAATTCCAAGACAGATTGAAAGTCATTGTAGGGCAAGTTTTGAAGAAACGAAGCTTCGTCTTGTTTTTGCTGTGCTTCGTGATCCAGTGTGGCCCAAACCCAACTCTCGAAATGCCTCTTTTCCAGCAAAAGTGCGATATTCGAAGACCTCGCATGTATAACACTGTAGGCATTGCGGATGCTATCCGCCAGCTCTTTGAGCAAGATAGAACGCAGACGTACGTCGACATCTGCAATTTTTGGTCTCTCCTCGGGGGATGTAACATTGAGCATAGACGCAACAAGCTGCGCGAGTCTTTGCTTCGGCCCGGGACCACGAAGTTGAAACTCATGGATCTTCTTCTCGACGACTTCAACCCTCTTCGTTGAAGAATGAAAACGAAAGTATGTGTCTTGGTTGATGGAGAATTTTCGCCTTTCCCTGAACAACCTCCTTCCCTCGTGGCCATCTTCCAAATACACCAAGAGCTCCAGCATAATGCACCCTAAAGCCCATATATCAGCTGAGCGATGTATGTCATGGTTTGTGTAAGGGTAGTCGAGGTCCTGACACTCAGGCGCGACATAGTCACCCCGTGTCGTTCGAAACCTTGTCGCGGACCCCTCAGAGGCTTCCTTGAATCGTGAAAGCCCAAAATCACTTAGCAAAAACTTCGTTTCATCCACCAGGATATTCGACGGCTTCAAATCATGATGGCATCCGATTGCTTCAAAGTCACCATCTCGAAAGTTATGAACCAAGGAAAGTGCTGAGCTTAAGCCACAGAGAGCGTAAGTCATCGTGTACTCAGATCTCAGATCTGACGGGCATTCCTCTGATAGCATGCTCTCTAGGCTTTTCTCCACCCAGGGGAAAAGAAAATTATCTTTGTTGTCATGGGTATAGGACCCTAAAAGCTGAACAATATGAGTGTGATGAACCATTTTTAGGATGCAAAGGTTGCGTAGTTCTAGCGCGTAATCCTCCTTACGGCTCGCTGAGCTCCGTGCGATCTCCTTCCGGGCTAGGGTGTATACATGTGTCGTTGGAAGCGGATTATTGCCTATGATTTGATAACTGGCTGCGAATGTTTGGTGTTCACGGGGAATGGTGACTTTGTAAACAGCACCAAAGCCTCCCTCGCGAGGAGAACCGCACGTTAGGAAGGGGAATATTATCGGCGTTCTAAGGACCCTCTGAATGGAGTTTCCAGAGAACACTGGCGCGGTGAACTCGGGTTGCTGGTTGCAAAACTGCGAAGGGATATAGCTCTCGCGCCCGAGAAGTTCACGCAGGGCATCCCGTTCCCACGGAAGTTGGCTGTCGAGTTCAGCTGCCTGGAAATTATCTGTTTTGATGAATTCCAGGATTGAGGCTACCTCGCCAATGAGAACCAAGATGGCGAACGTTCTCTGTCCGCCATTCAGTATTATGTTTGTAATGTCGCGAACGTGGTATAGTTCCAATTTTGTCTCGCGAAGGGCCCGCCCGATAACATCGGAGGTCATTTGATCGACCAACATTCTCTGGGAAACGAAAGATTGTCCGGCGAAGTTCCATCTTCGGCACCTATTGACGATTTCCTTGATCTCATTCATTGCGTTCTGCAGACGATAAAGGTGCGACATCGCGATTCCTAGGATCTATGGGTGGGTTTGCGGCTCTTGGTCCGCAACGCTAGCAATTTCGTCCTTGCCGAGTCAGTCAAATTCCTTACTAGGAGACAACCAGAGAGAAAATGATACTCACAACGTTTAACTCGCGTGGTACTCTGATAAGATAGAACTCGGGATGGTCCTGGGCGGTTTCAGTGAGCGCGATTTCCTTAACCTGGGATGACGCGACAGACCTCAACCTCGTAATCAGTCCCAAAAAGTTGTCGGAGTAGATCAACGAGGTTCCTTCTGTCAATATATCGGTTTGAAAGGACTTGAGATATCATCTCTGGATCTATAAGCTCAGTAGGGGGTATCGGTAATTTATAAATGAAGAATGGATGGGTAAGATTGAGAGGAGAGCAGGAAGGGGGTGAGACAGAACAATGATGGTTTGAAGGTAGTGCGTGCGGGGTTAGTCATGGTATAACCAATGACATGCTAGAGTAAACATTAAGAGCCTCATTTTAGGCAGAGAGTGACGTGTCAGCTGCCTAGGTCACTGGATAATGTTAGACTTTCACAGTACCACGATTATCTTTCACACTCACCAGAGCACTCTCCCATCAGTAAGAACTACAGTGGTCTTTACCTTCCAGTCAACATCTAGCTGTCTCACGATGAAGTCCACAAAGTACGAATTCGGGCCAGCTGATACTGGCGCGCGGCTGTTCTCTTCAAAGACCGAGAGAGTCAAAGTTATACGAATACAGAGTGGTGAAAACAAAGGTTGGACCTTAAAAGCCCCTGCTTCTCGCTCTAGAATCTGGATGAAGGGTCTTCGGGGCACAAACTTGCTAATCGGGCCCATTCAGATCCAGCGATATCAGAGATCACGAAAGACACTGAGCTTGCTGATCACATTGAGGTACATTCAGAATATCATGACATGGCATTTCTCTAACAATCCTGGTTTTCAGAACATCAGAAGTACCGGACACTCTATAATGTCTGCCTGATTTCCTCTGTCGTGCTGCTGAAAGAGAAGAGCTTTATGCTAATCTGCCTATTTCACAAGTGCTGTCTACAAAAAACACTCGTGGAGCTCTATGCAGATCTCCCGCTCGGATATGGAGCGCATCCTTGACGAATATGAGGCGTTCTCACCATTGACATTAATCTTCAAAACCTTCGGTGTACAAACCCGGGAATATATCGATCCTGAGGGCTTCTTCATATCCAGAATGTCTAAAAGGGGCCTGCAAGGTAGCCCAGTATACGGTAAGCCTCATTCTAGATTCTGATCCTCCCAATGTCGTCTGACCTTGTATGGTAAACCTCGCACTAGAGATGTGCTATAAATTCTTCTACGTCGCGGAAAATGGGCGTGGCCGAGGAAGTCCATGGTCACTTCGTCAAATAGGGTTATACCAGCAAGTCTGTTCGCAGACAGGCAGCTGCCATTTTCTGTTGCTTCAGCCAGCTCAAAAAGTACTTGACCTGATTGAAATATATCTGAGCGAGTTCGCTACTCGGAGAGCCAGCCCATTGAGGCTTCACTGTATGATAGCCCGATGCATGATCGCCAATTGGGCCGAATACCTACAGCATATCTACAAAAGTATCTCGGATCTGGTATTTTTCCCCTGCTACATCTATTGACCAGAATACCCTAGAGGCTAACCGAAGGTTAGGATGAAAGAGCCTGTTTCTCCCAGGTTGATCCCCGACCAAAACGTGGTTTCGAAGTCTCGTTCTCGGATTGCCAGACCCTGCAGATCCATCGACAAAAGCTCCTACACGCTTCTATTATTCTAGATCGGTACATTAACTTGTTTCAACGGTTTGCGGATGACGCTGCTTCCCTGAAGCTGACGTTTCCCGATGAGGATTGGAATGCAATACCCAAGCAACTTGCTGCCCACGAGTCGCAAATCAGGACTCTGCAAAAGTTTACTGAGATGATTCTTCGGCAATCAGAGGGGACAAGCACATTAGTAAGTCGCTCCACCGTTTGTTGAGTGCTCAAAGAAAACGGCTGATCCTGACCTACCTTAGTTGTCAAAAATTATCGACTCTCGGAACAGCAACCTCTTGCATGCAGCCACACTTACCATGCAAAATCACCTCGCCCTTATCAATAAGACTTCCAACAAATCCCAAAATGATCTCATGGCCATGGTGTCGCTTACAAAGCAAAATGCACAAGCAAGCAAAACAGTAAAATTCCTGACACTAACCGCCACCACCTACCTTCCGCCCACCCTGATGGCAACCATCTTCAGCTCCAACCTAATTCAGCTTTCGGGTCAGGTTGTTCCAGGCCAGAGTGATGCCCAGCGCCATTATGTTCTCCATTCACAATTCTATCTCTATGTCTTAGGCACTTTGGGCCTGACGACGCTTACTCTAGGTGCGATCTGGTTACATGGCAGAGGGATCAAGCTGCTTCGTCATCTATTAGGGCTTAACTCTGTTCTCCGAAATACCGCCGGACCCTCGAAGGTCTAACAGGTCCCAACGAGCTAGTTGAAGGCCGGGCATTCTAGATAGCGTGCCCAGCTTGCGAAATTAGGAACGCACATCTTGCCCCTTATTTTCAATTGATGGGAAATTGAAAGGGGGCTTCTGGCATAAAATTTTGAAGAGTGACACCTGCTTTGAGTCTATTATACATCGCACACGTTCATGGAAAAGAGAAAAAGAATCTAGGAAAGTGGCCCAATGTACTATCTTAACATACAGCCATGAGACTTATATTTGACAAGTGCACCGCGTATAGATAGTGGTAAGTTGTGTAGCCTTGTTACTGGTGAGTGTTAAGGATGAGGACTACGTAATAGTAGATAGTAGAAGGAGATGGGTGTTTTAGCATCCACAAGGAATTGCTTGGGGCAGTGGCTGACGTCACGTGAGGCGCTCAGACTGACAACGGCGCCGCTGTCATTTGGCAGGAAGGACATGGTATGAAGATAGCAGGCTCTAACTCTTTTACAGCTATCAGAGAAGGCATCCTGACTCCAACACACAGATCAACTGCCCGCAGCATGGAATACCAGGAAAGAGAGCTCTTCATTGCGGGAATCACTCTACCACGAGCGCTATACTATTGCCTGGATATGCGCCCGCCCTCCTGCTCCAGAAACCGCGCGGCGAAGAACTTAGACAGCGCAACCCCGGAGCAGCAGGCGTCATCGACCCACTCACGGCATCCGACATCTCAATCTCCAACACCCTGGGCCGTGCATGGATGGCAATCGGTTCCAGTACTGCGTAGTTTTCGGCAGCGCAGTTAAGCGTTGCTGGGGGGGTGAACCAGTAAATACCTCTTAAGGCTGGCAGTATAACCGACCATTGCGGTAGCTCTCAAGCAATAGGCACCATGTGATCTGCTAAGGAGATTGATTGCTGTTGGCTTGGTTTTGCGTGAATATTCAAATAATGGTGTATTCTCAAGCTTTGGGGATTGATGATGATATACGCTGCGGCGCAGTTGGATTAGCAGAACCTCGCATCAAATGATCAAACGCAAAAATAAATAAATCTGAAGAAACAAAAGAGCAAAAACATACAACAGTAGGGATTCGCATGTGGTCACCCACCATACTACTAACCTACCGGCGTGTGGCTTAAGCATGGCTAGAAGTCAGGTAGGTGCCGCCCTAGGTGAGATTAGGGGAAGGCCACTTTATATTTAACTAGAACCTTTGATATAATAAGCTTTAATAGTAGAGTTAAAGTATATTTCTTTCTCATTACTCCCTTGAAGTTATAACCCATAACGAACACAGGAGACTTCAACCTATCTTTTCCCTTGCAGTCCTTTTCAGACTCACTTTGCGGTGAATCTACTGCGGGCTCTGAGGGCAGCACCGTAGTAAAACAGAGCAAAGATTCCCCCGATACAGCCAACCGTTAACCCGGCCAACGCCAAGATTGAGATAGAGGGGCCGAGAAAAGAGGATGGCCCCGCATGCAAGCGCACTTCTCATGAAATCGTTTCCCGCAAATAGACTTGCCGCGTACTGCGGGTAGGTCATTGGGATGTAGATAAAAACGCATTGGATAACCTGGAAGATACCAATCGTGAAGAGTGTGATGCCGACGACCGACACAATCCAATGGATATCTTTCCGTGAAGTCCAGCCGAAGATAAAGAGGCCCAGCGGCGGAAGGAATGAAGCAAAGAGCGCGGGGATCAGTCGTCGCTCGGGTTCCTGGAGACCTTTGGTTTTGATTTCAGGCTCGAAAACTTTACGGAGATACAGGAAGTATAGCGGGACGGAAATAGCCAATGCAACGAGGATGCAGAGGAAGACGAGGCCCATTTCCCCGACGTTGAAGCCGTATATACCAATGTACACTATAGGGAACACTTCGAAAAAGGAATAGTAAATCCCGTATACAAGGCTGGTATACAAATTGACGAAGAGTACGGCCGGGTCGAGAAAGACAATCTGGACTGGTCGGTATAGGGCAGCCACAGCGACGGCGGAAACGGTGAGCATCTTCTGATCAATCTCTGATTGGGACATGAGTTCGTTATTTCCTGTGAGATTCCGTAAGCGCTGAGCCCTCTGCAAGAGGAGAGTATCTGCCGACGTCTCCGGCAGCAAAAAGAGCATGACCAAGAAGACCGGTCCAGCCATCCAGACAATCTCCCACAGCGACCACCGCCAATTCATCGCAGGCACGCTAAACCCAGAGATCACTGGCCCTAATGCCGGTCCCAGGGTCGCAAATGCAGCCCAAATGGTCAGGCCATAAGGCAGCTTGAGGAGACTATAGATGTCACCAAGGCTGGCACCTCCCGTCGCTAGACAAGGGCTGCCGAAGAATCCCTGAAGGAACCTCAGCACCAGGAGCCCTGCGAAATTATCCACGAGCGCAGTGGGGATACTGAGGATGACGAATAATCCAAAGGTAAGGATGTACGGCGGGTTTCGACCGACCCTGGGAATTTCGCTGACTGGGGAGAAGATCACCGGTCCGATACATCTAGGCAACCGTGTCAGCCACTAGAATTGTTTGGAAACAGTGAAATTAGACCTCACATCCGAGAACATACAAAGCTAGGCCCAGCGATGCGGCGGTAGCAGAGACGCCGAACTTCTCTTCAACAGCCGGCGCACTAGGAGTATATATAGAAGAGCCCATATATACTACAAGCGTATAAAGACTGCCAAACATCAGCTCCGCGTCTGCACGGGTTATCATACAGGAAATATGGACTTTGGACGACACAGTACATATCAGACAGTAGAAGACTTACTAGATCTGTAAAGCAACAAGCAATTTCTTGCGGCTGTTCCAATTCCGGGGGTTTTCCGGATCGGAATCAGACTACCAATCCACCAAAATTGTTCCATCCGATGTCTCCGTAGGTGCGATTGGCTGGGAAGGACCCTTCTCCAGTTCCGCTCTGTGTGAAGCCGCTGTATAAAGCCGCTGTATAAAGCCGCTCAAGGTCTTCTTGTGTTCGGACGCCCTGGAGTTCGTGTCGAGTTGTGATCTTCGCCAACGCGCCGGATTCTTCCATTGGGAGTGTGTTTTGCCTTTCCAGCAACTCTGCACTGCGAGTGCTGCCGCGGTCTTGCGATGATGGTCTTCTCGAAGGCCCCTCGCCTTCCGCAGCATTCTCTGCCTTCATCATGGCTCCAGAAACAGCGTCGCGTTTGAACAACGCCTCTGGGGCAGTAGGGTCTGCGTAACAGGTGGGGGGGTGGAATCCATCTCTCTCTTCGGGGTACTTGAGTATCTTCTTGCCAGTAGCCAATCGCAGAAACTGGCCTGCAAAGCTACTTCGAACAAAGTCAGTCATGGCGGGAACCTTAAAACGCCGTTTTTTGAGAGTCCAATGCGTTCTTCAGCGATAATAGCTCTTCAAAAATTGCTCTTGCCGCCCCAACTGTATTGTCCCTCTGTCAACAACAGGTTTAATAAGACCAAGGTATGGAGGATAAACCTAGTGTGGACGGCCTATGTCGATTCTGTCCAGAGAACGGATATATTGACGTAATACCACCTCGCGAAGGGTCAGATTCGTCCTGGAGGTCTAATTTTAGCCTCCATATAAGAATGTAACACGCATTGCGAGGAGTTGCCCACGTTATATTACTACCAAAGATTTGTTAATAGCATCTGCTCGGGCAGTCTTCTGCACCTGAGGAAACTATGAACAAATTGTTTAGCAATATATTTAATGTATTAATGCGCAGACACCTTAGAAGAACCCGGCGGAGATACAATAAGCACAGAGTCATATATAAAGCTAAGGTAGTCATGACGTTTTGATGCGGTAGTGAAAGTTAAGAAGGCTTGGGCTATGCTTTCTGGTTGGTTCTCTTGAGACTCGATATGAGTAATCGGTAAATAACACCCGACCCAAAACTGCAGCGAACTTGGAAGGCATGGAAACAAGGATGGAAGAGATCCAAAAATCGTGGCCTCATGCGCCTGCACCACCACTGCACCACATCAATGGCTAACAAAGCTTAATGCAAATACGTCATCATTATCACAACCCTTTTCATGTAATTTATTGCATTATAAGAGTACCAATTAGTCATCGGCTTTAAATAATAGATCTTATTTCCTTTGGATGGTATGTATCTTAGGACTTTCTTCGTTTAATTCTAGCTCTTTATTAAGAAATATGGAATACAGGACGCTCGGGATGCTCGGGTCGAGGGAATTCATGTTAGTGTCGCTAGACGAATTGATAATCAACCGTCTAGCTAGTGAAGAGGTTTCTTGTCCTAGAAGCGATTTCTGTCTGAGGCTATGTTTCATCAAAGTTCTCGGGTTGATCAATATTTATCGCAAATGGACTGTTATGGGACGAACAGAGATGGATCTTCCTACCTAAGCGTGCCTTATGAACAGGAAGGAATAGCTAGGGAACAGGAAGTCGGGCAGCTGCCAGGTGTCAGTCAACGAATAGGGGAAAGGCGCCGTACCGTAGCAGAATGAACACTTGCAGTCTCTCCATCTGCCCGTTCTACCGACCGTACAACATGGTTCGTACTAAGGCCTATAGAACCCATAATATATACAGCTCAATCGTTACTATCAGCAATCGTTTATTGGAGGCGCCTATCCACTTAGTGCCCTGCGCTGATTCCTATACTGGTGCTGGCCATGGAAAATTCCCGATTAAATTAGTAATTTCGCAATCCCCGCAGTAGGCACTGTTGTCTTAAAGAAAGCGATGCCCCGGAAGTACCTCTCTGTCCACGCAGTGGAAACCTTACTGTTCCAAACCCTAAAGGAATAAAATGGCATCTTTAAAAGTCTTCGCCCCACTCATGGTTGGTAACGGTGAAGTCGCCCACAGCATTGCTCTCATGCCACTACTCAGTTCCGTGTTGACGACGGCTATATGCCCTGCACCTCATCCTGGGCATGGTCATACAGTACTACAGGCAGCGAGTGAGCATTCCCGGCACGAGCCTTATATCTAAGGCCGAGGTCATTTCCCCGTCCCCCGGAATATACAAAAACCTGCCTTGCCATATGGTAACCTCAGCAGATCGCCCATTGACGTACGGTAACAGATGCCGTGCACGCTGAATGATCGTACGTATGTGTACGGCTCTGGGCGATCAGCCGCGTGGCGGATACGTAAAGCAACCCGTAAGGAAACCAGAGGGGATACATAACTTTATCTCGTCCAGGGCGACCGCATATCACCATGGGTTGTACCGCGCGGGATCACTAAAGAGGATATTAAGGATGTTATTAAGGATTCCGCGAGGGGTTTTCCTTAGATGGGGCCAACGGATACCTGGTTAACCAGTTTATTCGGGAAAAGTCGTCCACAAGATTATTTATAACTACTTGGCCTTGCTTAATTTTCTTATATTTATTTATCTAAGTAATTTATAATTATATATAGATCTTCTATTATACTTCTAGTAGCTTGTTAATATCTAGAATTTCTGGCTCCTTTAGTAGCTCTAGTAGCTCCTCCTAAGTATTAGGTTTAATATATTCCTATACATCTCACGCCTTTGCAAGGCTTTGTATATTATTATACTAAGCGCGCTAATTATCTTGAGACTTTAAGTTAATTAAGACCTTCGTGGCCGCGCTGGTATCCATGTTATTGTACAAAGATCGCTTCAGGATCATTTTCCGGGTTGATTCTCGATTCAGGGGTATCCAGGGTAGGTTCTCTTGATTCGTCGCTCACGGAGTAGTTTTCTCGGAGAAGTAGTAGAAAAAGAAGATGAAGAAGAAGTAGTAGTAAAAGGAGTAAAAGGAGTAAACAGAAATAGCAAGTCGAATTATACGAAGCAGGTCAGCACAGTGGATGTTTTGCTCTAGAAGGGAAGCCAACATGTACTCGCGCGCTCACTTATTGGCATAATTATCTTTCACCATGGGTGGTCATAAATGAGAGTCAATAATTGATTCCATGGATGTCACTCTCGCACTCATGCAACTTAGTCATGAATCTATTTTGATTGAGCCCTCGCTCCAAAAGCAAAAATCACCATGAAAATGCATGCATACTTTCCCAAATTGAGAAACTTCTATCCGGTGCCACCAAAAAACGACAGTAGTCTCCAGCCGAAGAACGAGAGTTCTCATTTACACGTGAAATATAAGAATCATAGGCATGAAATGCTGTTTTCTTGCTACATTAGGAAATATATACCCGGTCATCACCAGTGATTGCAGGCCGCAGTTTTGCTAACCTCGGAACTAGAGCGCTTTAAAGTCATATGGCACGTGAAATAATGATATACAATTTAACACAAGACTCATCTAATGTCAAGAATTACTTCAAGTTTAATTTCAGAGTTTGTCCAAGTTGAACTCTTGATTTTCTGATTAGAAAGATTGTCTTGCTCTCCTACTGCATCCTCTGCCGCCTTGGTATTGTGAGAAGTTGAACAACAGAAGCCTGCCACGATGGACTCGAAAAGTATGGGAGATTTCAAAAGTACTGCGTACCTCATCGCACTGGTGACTTTTCTGTTTCTCGCAATCAAGTCGGGATTTCGCCGATTTGCCGGTATGTATTCTACCCACGCTGGTCAGCTCGCTTCAACTGTAGATTTGAGGCTAACTGAGCTTTTTAGAGTGGAGATTTGCTCGCGAGCACAACTGTCGCAAGCCACGAGTGGCATCCTCTGGATTCCTTGGTGTTGGCAGAGTAGCCTCTCTGGTGCTTGCAATGAAGAAATGCGAGTCCTTGGAGCTTATGCGAAGCTGGCACCACCAAAATGGCACCACCTTCAAGACGTCACTGGGCCGCAGTGTCATCATTACCATCGATCCCAAGAACGTCCAAGCCATCCTCGCACTCAAGTTCAAAGACTTTGATCTGGGCTCTCCTCGTAACAAGGCAATGTCACCACTTCTTGGACGGGGTATCTTTACGAGTGATGGTGAACTATGGGAACACTCAAGGGCTCTCGTGCGGCCAAATTTTGTCCGGAATCAAGTCGCTGATATTGATGTCTACGAAAAACATGTCTCCAATCTCATTGACAATATACCCCTCGATGGGTCGACCGTGGACCTGCAAGAATTATTTTTTCGGATGGTGGGGCCTACTACAACCCGACCCTTTGGGATGAGTTGTACATGCTAATCAACCTACGGAGCAGACTATGGACTCTGCCACATAATTTCTCTTCGGAGAGTCTATCGACTCGCTAGGTGCTGGAGATAAACAGCCATCCTTCGCAAAAAACTTCAACACATCTCAGGAAGGATTAGCTATCCGTTCTAGACTCGGGCCTCTGATGATCTTTCATCGAGATAGGGCGTTCTCAAAAGCGACGGTCGAAGCCCGTCGCTTCGTCGATCAATTCGTTCAGAAGGCTCTGGACTATCGAGCGGCCTATGTTGATGGTAAAGACACTGCCAAGGCTCAGGAGCAGCGATACGTATTTATCTATGAGCTGTCCAAGCAAACTGCGGACCGGACAGTCTTGACCGATCAACTCTTGAATATCCTGCTGGCTGGGCGAGACACTACGGCGGGTATTCTGAGCACCGCCTTTTTCATCTTGGCTAGGCGACCTGAGATTTGGAACAGGCTGAGAGATGAAGTGTTGAAGGTCCAGGGAGAAAGGCCAAGCTTTGAAGACTTGAAGTCAATGACCTATCTGAGTTGGGTCCTCAACGAAAGTAAGTTTCTACCCCTCCCGACCCCCGAGGAACGTGTGAGTGGATACAGAACATGCAATAGGGAAATGGCACCGAGGCTAAAATTTATCGGCAGCCTTGAGATTGTATCCCGCCGTGCCAGTCAACTCGCGGACGGCGAATAAAGACACCTATATCCCAGTTGGCGGTGGCCCGGACGGCACACACCCTATTTTTGTTCCCCAGGGACAGGAGGTGATATACAGCGTATACAGCATGCATCGTCTACCGGCAGTATTTGGACAGGACGCGACGGAATATCGTCCGGAAAGATGGGCCAGTCTGAAGCCAGGATGGGCTTATATCCCATTCAATGGCGGGCCAAGGATCTGTCTGGGCCAGCAGTTTGCCTTAACAGAAGCCAGCTATACCATCATGCGTATTCTTCGGCGATTTAAGAGCATTGAATATCGAGACGAGCAGCCTTTCAAGGAGGCCCTGACGCTGACTCTGGCGAGCAAGAACGGGACGAAGGTGTGTCTGACACCAGTATAGGACAAGGGATGTACCTTAGGTCAGACGTAAGGAAGGGACCCTAGCCTAAGAAATTTCCACAGTCGTCCTATTCAGAATATGACGGAGATCTTAGCTCAGCGCGCAGTGGTAAAATCATGGATGTGGTCTGCAGCTCTGGCTTGCAACCTTCTCTCCGACAGTTAGTGGAACTAAGCTTAACTGGTGTTAAGAACCGGGCCCTTTTTTCCATATCCGGTTAGACCTGACACCATTGGAAGCAGCCAGGGTTAAGATGACCAGGCGAGACACTAGCCACGCATATGTATTGGTTGACACTGCGGGGACCTAAATGCGGGGATGACGAATTGCAGAGTCTGGGGCCTGGGCGCAGATGCCTCGCAAGCAATGATCTCCCAAGCTCTTATGCTACCCATCTTGTCTGGCTTCTTAGCAGATAAAACTACGCTCCTCTCTCATTCACACAATACCACTATACTCGTCAGCCGCCATGACACCGAAGGCTTGCGACCATTGCTACCAGAATAAAGAGAAGTGCGCTTTCGCCCCTGAGGCCGAGGCATGCTTACGGTGCCAACATCTGGGAATTGTCTGCTTCATGTCTCGTGAAAATAAGCGGAAGGGTCGCCGGCCAGTTTTGAAGTCCTTTGGTCACGGCAGTCTACAGATCTGGGAGCCAGGACGAGACCGCGAGGCGGACGTGGGCAACGCCAAGCTACGTGCTTCTGCACTCGATCGCCGCTCTGGCCGCGTCGGCATCGGTCTTATCAATACGCCATTACCCGCAAAACAAGGGCAGAGCAGCAAGAACACGGCATTAAGTGGGTTTCCGGAGGAGGTGCTTCAGCACCGCATCATACCACATACTGCCTTGGATGCGATAGGGATCCTGACGGACGACGATGAATTTACGACGGTACATATTCCCTTTGTTATGGGAGGCAGCTTCGTGCAAGATCTCCGCGCGGCCATACACTCGGTCTTGTACCACTCGGGCCCAGTCGTCATAGATGGCTATCTTGCTTTCCTAAGCCTGGTAGCACATTGCCAGGCTTCTCGCTTACCCTGGACTACTCCTGACCTACGTAGGGCGGCAACGGCGTTGCACAACTTACGGAACGTGGAGATTATGCTTCCCCAAGACGCCCTCTGCGTCCTTCTCCTCGGTCAGGCCTTGTTTGTTTTTGAGGTGCTTGCCGACTCCTCCACGACCTCAGCGCATTCTATTATACAAGGTGCGCTTATCTCGGCTAAGCCATGGTATCCGCTTCTGAGCAGAGTACCTGCCTTCGACACTGTTACTTTCTGTCCAGTCCTTATGGACATAGTGGGTTGTCTGGTGCATCGCAAGGTACCTATAATTCGGATGTGTGTTCAAGACCGGATTGTTGTGGATCGCTACGCCGGCCTATGCTCAACTCTCTTGCCTTTACTATACCATCTATGTGTACGGAGTCATGCGGCCGAGGCCGGTGCGGTCACGGTGGACGGGGGTTCGACGGATCAAGAGAAACCCGAAGATTGCTACACGGACATAGAGAGAAGCATTGAGTTTTGGGCACCAGACATTCCACCTGATTTCTTCACTGCCTACGACGAGGTCGAAATACAAATGATGACGACCCAAGCGAATGCCTACCGTCTTGCAGCGTTGCTTGTCATTCACCGCCTACGATTCCCCTTTGGCGTCCAGGATACTCTTGGGCAATACTACGCTAATTGCATTTTTCATGAAATCTCATCGTTTTTCGCCTATTCGAATACGCACGGTGCCGGAGCATTTCCCGTCACATTTCCACTTTTCATATCCATGATTGAAGTCGAAGGCCCCGGCGAGGACTTGCTGGGAAATCTGCAACGCTTTCCCATACAGAGCATATGCATGCTGAAGCTACATGGCTTTGTCAGGCATGTTAGAAGGGTCAAGGAATCAGGTGACAATGTGTCATTGTTTGATCTCGTGGAACATGATCTTACTTACGCGGTTCTCCCATAAGATAAATTATAGTATAATAGAGACTATTAATACTCCTCAGAGGATTAGTTGACTTTAGAATCTAAGCCATAGATAGTAACACAAGCATCATGCAGCTCAATGCATTGACACCCAAACAAGAACATCTTATTATGGGAGCACATTGCTAAGTTAAGCAAGAACATTTAGTATTTTAAATGCAAGCTAGCATATTTCTAAAAGTTAACTAATAACATGTATTATTATGCATCATGCTAATTATTTATTTCTATTCCTCTAGCTCTACTCCAAGGTGCAGAAGTGGAACGGGAGCATTATATTTGCGCTGGGTGCATTTGATCAATGCTATTGTTATTCTAAGGGCTACCTTAAGAACAACCCGAGATACGTTTCAGAATACCCATTGCTACATTTACCGCTGGCTTGGATGGCAACTCGGTTCGTTAACCTTGATCGAATCCGCGCCCGAAACGCGCTGTACCTCCAACTTGTTGCTAGTGCAGTCCCCATGTAGGCCGACTATGCAACGCCATGGGCTGTGTTCAGCACGAGCCGCTGGGGTCTGATAATGGTTTTTTTACAAGCGACGGGTGCTACGACGCTTATGGTCGTGGGACACGCTTGGGGGCAGTAGAAACGGGGGACGGGGGTGTGGGTTGGCGGCGGAATCATTGATCTAATTGCCATATAATTTAGTATTAATATACTAGTTTACATGCAATTTCACTATGGGTGGCGAACCAGAACCTTATTAATCCAGGAACAACGACAAGAAACAGTCCTGGGCGTTCAAGAGAGATTACGACGTCTCTTGGTTGAACAAACAGATTGTCATATCCAAAAACGACTGGTGAGAAACAACAAGCCAAGCCTTCATCGATTCAGGCCATGGCACAGTGGGCGCGCCCGAGGATATTTTCTGTGCCGTCAACCATTTCGGGCAGGATGATGTCTACAGGTTCCCAGTCAGCAAGAGCGGCCACACATTCAACGCAATGTACTTCAGACCACCGGATAAGAGAGAAGACAAGACCAACGGGTGGCCGGGACGTGGGAACATCCACCGCTGCATTGTAGAGTTCCAGCAACCAGATACTGGTGGGGGCGCCGCAGGCGATTCCTCGAAAGAGAGTGGACGGTCAATCGTGAGTTTCCAGACGGATCCATGCCCTCCTGCCGCGGCGACATTCGGTGATTTGCTGACTGATGGCATCGACATGTAGGTGTTATAGTATTGGACGACGAAGATGATGATGATGATGAGGCGGGGTTTGAGAAGGATACGTGGATGGGTGATGTTTACTGATTCACAACAACAATATTGCTTTGAGCATATATCCCGCCAGGGCAGATGAGAAGGATAGCCCGAGATTAAAGTGGGGGGATGAAAGATGATACGCTGGACTTGTTCATTAACCTGTGTGTAGAAACAACCGAGCTCTCTTGGGGCATGCGTTGGTTAGAACCAGGCACCCAGGCCAGCAATTGTCAGGTTCTCTAAGCTGGGGATACCAAATGCCTAGATGCTAGCCCGGGAAATATCATAAAGCATAATGGATCTAAGGTACTGCGTAACACTGTATAGAAGGTAGGCAACATGACTGGGTACTTGGTATATGACAAGCCCCAGCGAAACGGACCAGAGAGGCCCAACGGAAACCCAAGGAAAGACTGAGAGGAAAGCTAACCACGCCAATCCTTCTACTTAGACATCCATGCTTGAGAGACCGTCTGCGGCCCTCGGAACATCCGAGGTTGGATCATCCTCCAGATCCAGATCCTGCTTTGTCCACTGGTACAGCCGCTTGCCGGGCTCACCATCAACTAGATATCCTTCGCCAACTGTTCCTTCCTGGAAGACCTCAATCGGCTGCTCGCCTTGTCCCCAGTCAACAGCAAGCTGGTCGATTCTCTCTTCTGTAATGTCAATGCGACCCTGCATGGTGATATTCTGCTTCGCATCCAGGAAAACCAGCAGGAGCTGGTTAGTTGCGAAGGCCTCTTCATCAGCGATCAGGACCTGGGTGGTAGATATAACATGCAACAAGAAGATGGCAGCATCGTTCTTGGTAATCAGGAGATCAGGCTCGTCTCTCCAACCCGGGTGCTCGCGCTTGACGTAATCCAGCATGTCTTTGAAGTTGGTCCGGAACTCGCCGAACCGCTCCCAGTCCACGAGACGAGAGTACCGCTCAAACGGCTTCGAAATCTCGGGTAGGATATCGAATATTCGCAGCCACGCCGGCTTTCGCTCCTCGGGGCCGCCACCTGCAGAGGCCTCGAAATCAAAGAGCTGCGGGTTGTCCAAAAGCGACCACTCGGGTACTGCCTCGTAATCCTCGCAGAGGGTGGTCCAGCCTCGCACGCGCTCATCGTCCTTCGGGTCATAGTACGTGCGGAGCAGGACGGGGTTCCTATCATCAACGTCGTCCCGCCAGAGGTTCCACGCCGTCCAGCGCAGCCGGTCGGGCCGCCACGGCCGCAGGATCGTTGCGATCTCCTCCTCGGTTGGAGTGCGAGTGTGCGGCCCAGGCTTCCAGGCGTGGATTCCGAAGAATGTGGGGTCGAGCTCTTCCGGGGTCTGGTCGAGATGCAGGAATTCTTGGATCAGGCGGACCCGCTGCTGGGCGGGGGATTCGGCGGATGCGGGGTTCCAGTGCCTCTGGTGGGAAATTGTTAGCGAACTTGCACATCCATGAAGGTCGATGGCCCTACAATCAGGTATTGCTCCGCCGGGAGCTGTCCCCAGGCGGGGAGGTCATCGTAAACAGCGGGTTCCATGCTTCGGTGGCGTGCTTGTCCGAGGGGAAAGTAAGGTGGGGTGGAGGATGGGACTTAAGTTGTAGGGTTGTTCCTCTCACTTCCACGTGACAGGGCTAGTCAGCTAACCTGATAGATAGGTAGATTTGCATCCCAGTTCCTCGCTTTAAAAAAAAAAACTTATGAAGCGTGCTATATATTTTGTCATATTCCTGCCTCTCGACTGTTAGCAATGAACTACCTCCATTGGAGACTATGGATACTGCATCCAATCAGGCATTGTCAAGCACTATTAATGATTTTGATGACAAACCTAGACGTTAATAGAGCATTGCGTCGCAATCCACTTCATCACAGGGCAGTCACATGAGGATTGGAGGCATCTCTGAGCGCCGGCCAAACAGCCAAGATGGTTACGGCCTCACTTCAGTGTTAATACTTTTGAGGACCTCGCCTCATCGAGGTCCCACGAAGGTTCCCCCAGACCCGCGATCATTAGAGCAACAGAAGCTTGGGCTGTCTTACTTGGAACTTGGCAAGACGAGAAGCGGCGAATCGGGGTCTGGTGCGCGCGTTTCGCGGCCCCGGCCAACAGTCTTGGGGGAATCTCCGACTCCACGCCCGGCGAGACATTCTCTGGGCGAATCGCGTTGCATAGTCACCCTGTGTGTCAACAGGGTCCGGTGTTAGAAGGCGCTATTGGGAAGGCTTGTCTAGCGAAGCATGAGGAGATTCTGCTGCCCTTGGTCGGGCAGTATCTGCCTCTAATAGAGGGTATTGACAAGCTCTGGGATGATGGCACGTTTGATTTCGAGTACATGCCCCCAGAGTTCGACTCAGACCGCGACGCATTCTACGAGTAGCTCAACGAGGTATCCTACCCTCTAGACCTAGAACAGAACGCAAATGGAGCCCCATCCCCTGCGGAAGACCTAGCGCATAAGGCCTGCACCTCATCCCACAACCACCACCACCAGGGGGCTCTAACTAATCCATTTTAGGTGCTGAAATTCCCTCGGTGAATGTCTAATGTATTACTTTGCGTGTGCTAGGTTCTTCGCTGTCCTTGCACTTGCCAAGGTTAATTGCCTCCCCTCCCCTCTTAATTGTCAGATAGCCGCGCTAAGACACGGGAGCCCCTAACTACTGCACTACACTCCGCCATTTGTTTGGACATGCAAGGGCAAAAGAATCAGCTAGTAGCTACAAGCAAAATCCAGAAGGAGTCCAAGTGGGAAGCGATTTAGGGTTATACAGCCCGTGGGAGTCTAGTTTCCTGCTTATAGCACAATGTTTATCGTACTTGTATACCTAGACATGAAGGCCTCCGGACTTCGTGGCGATGCAGAGACAGAGAGAGCGATTTCGTACCCAGGTGTTGGAGGCATCTCAGCCATAAGCTCAGAACTACAGCAATGAACCCTCCCCGATTTTGTAAACAAAAATTAGAATAAAAGAAAAGGAAACAGTTTTCGTGAGCAGCTGTCCACCGCATGACATCTCAGCCATACGCAGAGGACATCACTTAGTACTACTATCCGTATATCTAATAGCACGCGCTAACGTTCAGACCGAGTATTCGAAGAGTAAGGGGGCCGGTGAATATTAGATTCCTTATCACCCGGCGCGGACCTTGCTAATAAGCTAAGCTTAGACTCCTTACATGGTACTACTTCCTTACTACATCTGCATGGTTTTCTCTTGCGCTTGCCAAGGAAAACGATAAACCGCTATAAGCGCTATAAGCGCAAGTCTGATGATTATAACCTTGTCTTTAGACTTCATCACCACCTCATACTTTGGTACGAATGGCGACTAATACTTAAACTCGGAATTATTGCTCTTCGCGTGTGTGCTTAGTTCCTTGTTAAGGCTGGCGCAATGGAGGGGGCCGGTGGACTTGATATTTATATACTTATATAATTTAAGGTTTGGTAGATTGATACTAGGAATTACTTGGGTTAGTCCAAGGGCGAACATATAGTGCTAACTATACTTACCTTTCGAAGTGTCCGTCCAACTCAAGAATACGCAGGCTCTCAGTTAGTAGTCTGAAGTCCTTCAGTTGGGAGGGCCCGGAAGTAGAAAGAGTAAAGAAAGTTATATTCCACAGCACAGGAATATGCAGGCTGGACAAAATATTAGTAGATTCTTCGAATAGGAAGTAAGAAGTCTCTAGGGAATTCAGGGCGGGGGTACTTTGGAACGCGGCCCTCGATCCTCATCGTGGTTTCTACAGAATGCAGCCTTGGGAAACTGAGTAGAATAGGTCGCTTGGATAAAAGATCTAGAAACAAACCATCCTAGGTAATGGTTTGTAGTCGAGGGGTTGATATACTAGGAACATGATTAATATTTATTCAGCGCGTCCATAATGGCCGTGGTGGCAGCGATTGATCTAGATAATAAGGATAAATAAACCTCGAGATGTTCCCTCTCATGATTAGTCGCCCAGTGGTCTTAAGTAATGGTAAATTAACGTCTAATTCATACGCCACTGCATCGCGCGACTTAGGAGTAGGCTCCTCGCACTCTTCATTACATATTGTAATGCTGGTCGCATTTTGCAACGAGTTCAGGTTAATACTGGTAGTTGCACTCTGTTAGCATGGACTACACTCCGCTGACCTTTTTTCCCCAGCCGGTGCATAAATCGATTACCTTGAGAAATTCCCTGTTAGTGTTATACTGTCATCGACGCTCCTTAGAGTTAGCAGATCGACCATGCTTCTAGCCACTAGACTGTAGATATTTATCCCTTTAGCGGAAATCAATTTCGGTGTGGAGAACTTGGTTAAAGTTAGCATGTTAATAGAAACCTTTATCACATATTATAAATTAGGTAATTTAATCAAGGTCATCTTTAGAACAAGCCCTTCTTTTATTAGAAACTCCTAGATATCACTAGTAATGTTTTGGACATTTTATAGGATAAATAGCCCTTCGTAAGAAGGCTAGATGTAGAGTTTCCCGTTAAGTATAGTATATTAGGATAGTTCATCGAGCCTGGCCTGGCTGCTGATGTTCCAGTTTCTGTGTGGTAAGTCTGGTTCGTCGCAGATACTGGCCAAGACGCCTGAAGAGGTTAGGAAGAGTGTAGCTAGAAGATAAATAGACGTTATTATCAAGGTCATACGCACTTGTTGGCACCAGTCCAGCAGCGAAAGTCGCCAGTAGCGACCAGGAATGGAGGAGATTCATGGCCCCTTTCAGCTCTGGATCATATTGTCAGTGGGGCGCAGGGGGCTTTTAAATCGCTCATGGCCAATAATCTTGACCAGGGTCTTGATACTAGTTTAATTAGGTCGTGGAGTGAGCCGAGGCAGCCGCAAGTTCGACACCAACATGACTCAGAGATGAGGGGAAATGGTGGCGTCTACCTGCGTAGCCTCGCGCTGGTCTAAAAAGACTTGGCGTTGGTTGGAGGTGGTCAAAGAGCTGGGAAAGGCATTACTGTACTAGGAACGACAGATATCGGGGACACATGGATGAGACTTTCTTCCTTGCTTGTTTCTTGCTGTTTATCTGATTATGCATCTAGTAAGCGTGCACCTGGACCAAGATCGCCCGGGACAAGCGGGCTCGGCCACACAGTCAGGTATAGGGACATATTGCTGTACGGAATAGTTTTTGCCCGGGATACTGCAGAGTAATGGTAGCCCTCGGCCACTGACTGCGTAGCGCCCCACACTCTATCCTAAATCACGATCTAAATCCCAACCCCAGTAACCGATTCCCAAACTCAAGCAGGTAGTAGTCCGCATACACAAGCCCGTGATTCGCACTGGCGTTGATGTTCTGCTCGTTCCAGCTCACCGTCGAGCTTGTCAGAATGCTTGCAAAGGGCTTGCAGTCTGCCAGTGCCTCACTCCCACTTCCACTCTCACACACCGCCACCCCCTCGATACCACCAACTGGATCCGGTATGAGACATGCCTGGTCGCGGGCCGTCGCGAGAGTAAGAGTGTCGCCGACAATCCGAATCGCGCTATCCGCGTACCACCTCGCTTGCGCGTGTCGGCCGCGCCAGGTCAGCGCCTGCGAGAGGACGAGCAGCCCGTTTGCCGCAATCAGGCCGGCGGACACGTCGCGGATTGGTGCCTGGGGGTCTTGGATGGGTGCGTCAAAGTCCCAGAGCGGGACGTATCGCCCTGTTCGTTTTGGCTCGGTCGAATTGCCCGTCAAGTCTGGGTCTCGGTCTGGGTCCGATTCGGGCTCTGCAAGCTCGTCTACACAGTCTGGTGCATTTTCTAGTCGATAGATAAAGTACTCTGCGAGACCACAGGCGGCAGACAGAAACGTCTCGTCCTTTGTCCACGAGTAAGCCTGTGCGTATCCGAGAATCGCCCACGCCTGGCCGCGCGACCAGGTCGACTCGGGGGTGTACCCCTGCGCAGTCCGAGTCTCCTTGACCTCGCCGGTTTCCGGCGAGAAGTTGACGACGTGGCAGGTGCTATAGAGTGGCCCATCATAGCCGTGAATGCCCGACGTCCAATCGGCCGGAGTCTCGCGGCGAAGGTGAGTCTTTAGCAAGGTCTTTGCATGGACCATCGCCGCATTGGCGAGGAATTCATAGCCCGTGTGAGCTGCCGCATAGAAAAGGAGCTCTAGGTTACAGAGCGAGTCGATGATGACGAGGAAGTTGGCCTCGGTGTCTCGAATATCGACATTCCGCTGGAAGGTGAGGTGATCCCACGAGCGGATTGCACCGACTCGGGCGTTGAAGCGCGAGTATAGGCTCGCCGCCGCGGTACAGATGGTGCTCAGCGCCGCGTCGTCGTGGAGAAGCTCCCACCGTGCTCGCATATGCGGCATGATCATGAAGCCCAGATCGTGGGTGTCTGTCCGGTACGCCGTGCTATGCAGAGGCTCGGACCACTTGTGGCCGATGGCGCGCAGGGTCTCGCGGAGTTGGGCGGTGCGAAGCTGCGAGTGACGGGGCCGCATGGTCTCGGGGTATTTCATGGCTCGCTCGAGGAGGAGATAGATACTGCCGGGGAAAAAGCCGCATGTCCAGAACTGCATTGGCCGACGGCTGTACTGGCCTTTGTTCTCGCCGGATTGGGGGACGAGTTCGGGGTAGAAGGTCGGAAGGTCCTATGGTATGGTTTTTAAGTTAGAAGAGTCATCATGTTACCATAAGCATCTCCGTGACACGCACATTATTTTCCAGGCAGCTTTCAGCCACTCGCAGAATCTTGGCCGTGATGTTCTCGCAATATAGCTGACTGAGGATGTCCAGTCCTGGGGCAGTTGGTGCTGCTACTGGTTCCAGGCCAGCTTTGACCTTGTTCGCGTGGCTAAACCCATTCGCATGGCCGTTTGGCGACGTCGGTTCGCTGGAGCCGTTCAAAACGGTGCTTGGTGCCATTTTTGCTGCAGCCGCTGCTGTTGCTCGTCTGTCATCCTGGATCTTTGGACTATCTACATCGACCGTGTATTTTATGGGAACCCACAGTATCGGCTCGGGGCCCGCACTCGTCCGGTTTCCGATGCACAAGTGCACCACCGCGGGGATCGGGCAAGCTGCCGTCGTGTCTACTCCAACTTTCTGGTCAAAATCCGACTCCAACCCTTCTTAAATCGCTAACCACGTACACAGCGTGCCACCCTTGCGAACTCACCGCAAGCATGCCGCCCTTACCAGGTTTCTCCGACAACCCGTTGCGCACCCGCGAGGATGTCGTGCGGGCGAGTAGAGCCCTAATCGCCCCTCTGCTACCCTATTTTTCCCCCACCTGCGCCCGCATCCATATCCCCGTCGCCGTGGGCACCCATTTCGACGAGACCGCAGCAGAGCTCGAAGGATTCGCCCGCCCGCTGTTCGTCGTCGCATCGCTGCTCCATGCTAGGGAGTCGCCCCTCGATGAGCTCCTGCAGCCGTGGGTGCACGGCTTCACCGCCGGCACAGACCCGGAGCACGCGGAATACTGGGGTCCCATCTCCGACAGGGACCAGCGGATGGTCGAGGCCGAGATGGTCGCCTTTGCGCTGCTCGCGGCGCCCCGGGAGGGACTGTGGGATCGGTTCGACGCCCGGACCAAGACCAACGTGGCCAACTGGTTGCGCTCGATCCAGGGGAAGCAGATGCACGTTTCCAACTGGCTGTGGTTCCGGGTGATGGCGAATGTTGCGCTCATCAAGGTGTGTGGGGTTGCTGTCCATGAGCTGCAGGAGGAGATGGAGCGGGATCTTGCGCAGCTGGACGCCATGTATCTCTCGCATGGCTGGTCGAGTGATGGGATCTGGCCGGACGCGGACGAGGTGCTCAAGACGGAGGAGGAGCTGTTCAGGGCGGCAGGGAAGAGGCACCAGAGGTTCTGGTCACGCCAGGCGGATTATTACTCGGGGAGCTTTGCCATCCAGTTTAGCCAGCTCCTCTATGTTAAGTTTGCTTCTGATTTGGATCCCCAACGAGCCGAGAAATACCGTCAACAGGCGAGGGAGTTTGGACAGGATTTCTGGCGGTATTTTGATGAAGAAGGTCTGCATCCAATCCCATCACCACCACCGGTGGCTCTAGCTGATCCATTCTAGGTGCTGCAATCCCCTTTGGTCGATCTCTAACGTATCGCTTTGCGTGTGCTGGGTTCTTCGCTGCCCTTGCGCTCGCCGAGGTCGATTGCCTCCCCTCGCCTCTTGACAAGCCGGGGACAGTCAAAGGGCTTCTATTAAGACATGTACGCTGGTGGGCAAATCGTTCTACCGACATTTTCCACGCCGACGGGACACTGAACATCGGCTGGCTGTATCCGTACGTCGCACAGCATACATGTTTCGACTAACTATACCCCAACTAACCGATTCAAAAGCAACATGTTTCTGAGCGAGGGCTACACCTCCTCGCAATCGGTCTACTGGGCCCTAAAGTCCCTCGTCGTCGTCGCCCTATCCAGCACCAGCAGCTTCTGGACCGAGCCTGAGGGCGCTTACCCCCAGACCACCACCGTGTCCCCGGTCCTCTACCTCGCCGCTCCCCGCCAGATCCTCTGCAACCACCCCGCAGGAAACCACCATTTCCTCCTCAACCCCTCGCAGTACCTAAAGCGGGCCTTTAAAAACACAACCGCAAAATACTCCAAATTCGCCTACTCCTCCGCCTTCCCCTTCTCCCTCGCCGTCGGCGCCACCCTCCCCGCCCAGATCGCTCCGGACAACGCCCTCCTCCTCAGCCGCGACGGCACCGAGACCTGGGCGACCAAGACGCTCTGCACGGATGCGCGGGTTGGCACTGCCCGTGTCCGTGTCCATGTTCGGGACTCCGATCCGGCGAGACATACATGCGAAGAACTCACAGTGGTCTCTGCGCAGTGGTACCCGTGGGCGGATCGCCAGGTTTCGGTCACGACGGCCCTCGTTCCGCCGTCAGTCAGATGGCCGGACTGGCACGTGCGGGTTCATAGAATTGCCGTGCGCGGCCGGGGGCTCAGGACGCTGCATACGATTGAAGGTGGGTTTGCGATTGAGAAGGATCCTCGACCCCAGCAGCAGCAGCAGCAGCAGCAGCAGCGGCAGCAAAGGACAGGGCTAGCAGGAGCAGACGCCGTCGGCGGCGGCGGTGGCGCTGTGGCCTTTACCCGCGCCGGGGCATCCGGTATTTCGACCGAGACGCCCGTCCGCGAACCCCGACCAGATGCACCTCCACATTCACCTCGGACAATGTCTCCGACGTCTACAGTCGAAGTCATCGATTTAGAAGCCAACACGAACCTCGCCGCCCCGCGCACAGTGTGCCCCGTGATCGAGCACGCAGAGTGGGACGTGGTGGCGGGAGCTGAGGTCTGGCTGGTAACCAAGGTGTTTGCGGTTTCGAGCGAGGCGAATGGTCGGGGAAAACTCCAGCTCCGTGGTGGCAGTAGGACGGTTGAGGAGAGGTGGTTGGATCAGCCGCAGGTTCGGATTTGGTCTCGGTCTACGGGTTCTTGTGCCGAAGGTCCGGGGGATTATATTGAGTTATCCAAGGATATCTTATAGTTTGAATGGAATTGTCATAGGTTAAGCTCTTGGTTGGAGAGCGGGGGTTTGATTTACATTGACGCCTCCCCATTTCTCAGGCAGCTAAAACAGTATTATGACTCTGCGTTGGCCTCGTGGCTATCATCAAGACCCGGAAGCCATTCCGGCCGAGCCAAGTCGTCGACATTCGTCATGAACATAAAGTCGTCGAAATTGATAATCCGGTTCATCTCCAGAAAGCTTTCATCTAACAGACCGTGCGAAATCGCCGAGAGCTCGTCAACTGCTCCTTCTTCCGTACCGAGGACGGTTGAACGAGGTACTACGGTTGCATGTCTCCGCCCGCTGCTGAGAATGAGAGCGGCGTCGCTGGCGAGAGGAGCGCGGCAGGGGTACCCTGCTTCCCTTGGACACTTGGAGATCCCTGGTTGCTGACCCAATCTCCCTCTCTACGACGTTTGGCGGGACGGACTCGGCGTGCTGTTGTTTCGCCAAAGATCCTCGACAGCTCGCCGGAGTCTCCAGACAGGCGACCGCCCTGGCTTCGCGGTGAGTGACCTATCTCAGGATGACAACTTATGGGCAGTGGGGTGGAGCAAGTAGTATCCTGCTCAGCCCCGGCCGCATGAGGCTCTTCTTGCCCAAGTAAGACAAGGACGCGGTCTACGGGGTCCCTCTCACTTAGACTGTAAAGCTCCCGGAGTTGGCTAGCGAGAGACCCTGCCAGCGAAGCGCCGGGTAAGGGTCCGGTCTGCTCTGGGCGCCCGATCCATCTTTTATCCATTGTATCGAGGGCGTTGACAAGCGTCCAGAACTCCGGGGCGAGGTCTACCTTGTAGTATAGCGAGTGTACTATGTCGGTATCAGAATAACAACGCGATATGCGAAGATTAATTCAGGTAGGTATCTGCAAGCAAGGGTACTCACCCAATAAAACACGCGCACTAACAAACACACAAATGGCAAAATGTGGAGCGAGGACGCGCGCAACCGGCGCACGCTCTAGATACTTGGTCGTGATATTCGCGGTCTCGGTTGCGGCGACGAAGCATGTATCGGCGCTACAGGCATTCGGCAGCCGGAGGTGCCTGATGGCACGGTGTGGGTATGCGATGCGCTGGTGCAGGAGGATCGACGAGGTATTGTGTGTGATGTGGGCGAGGGTCATGTTGGGGTCCATGGCTGTTGTTGCCGGGTTGGGGTTCACGTTGGGGTCTTTCCATTTGGTAGGGAGGAACATTTTCCAACTAGGGACCATTTGTATATAAGAACTCGGTCGTCTAGAGCTGACTGAAAAGAAATGCAAGTCAACTCACTGTACCAAGCGCAGATCCAACTCCTTGAACCGCGTCAGCCAGCTCAACACATCCTCCCGATCCGTAAAGTCGATCTTCTGCTGCACAAAGTACGCATTGATCCGGCTCAGCGACTCGACCGATTCGATATAGTACGCAAACGCCCCGATCCTGTTCATCTCGGGCGAGCCCGTGCATGTGGTCTGCTTGGGCGGAGAGCTTCGGGCATCGTTCAAGCGCTTTGCAGCGCAGGGCTCAGTAGCTTTCTCGGAGGGGGCCTCGTACTTGGACGGGAGGAATGTAATGGTGTGGCCGATTTTGGCGGCGGAGTGGTCCCAGATGCCCAGGTAGGGGGTGATGGCTGGCTGGTTGCGGGCCCAGAGTCCGCCGTCAATCGGCAAGCGTCGACAGATGTCGTCGGCTGTGAGGCTCACGTTCCATCTGCGTGGGGTCAGCTATATAGTGTACGGCCAGTCTTCAGGGGTTGGTGGTGACCTACCCTGTTGTGATTGAACAGAATCTATAGCAACCATGTCAGCATCAATCTTGTGGATGGAGATGCGAGCTGAGCTGATAAAACACACCGATCTAGAAGGAACACGCTCCAAAACACTCGCCTTCGCTCCTCCTCTTCGACCCAAGTGTCCGGTGCAGGTAACGAGGGCAAATTCGGCAATAGACCGGGACGCTGATCTTTGTCCGTGTCCTCAACGCTGAGATGCAGATATTGGACAGTTCTCGTCAGGGAGCCGATGGTGGGCCATGCTTTACTCGTCTCGCCCTGGCCAATCTATACCTCGGTGTAAGCATGACATGACTTGTAATGGGAGTGAGCTTACATCAGTAAATGCGACGATAATCAGTGCCTGGAGATTCTCCAGCCGCAGGTCGGCCATGGCGTTGAGGACAACATAGTCCCTCGATCGGGCAACCTCGTCTTGTAGTACTGGTCCGGACCCGATCAGTCCCTCCAGATCCACAAACCGTAGCGCAGCGAGGAGAATGGCGTGCAGGATGATCCCGCACGCCTCACGCGCCGGGTTTTGGGCGATTCGTGAGCGGAATCGGACCTCGTGCAGAATTGGGATCCAGGGGTGGATGATATCGAAATATGCGTCTAGCAGCGCCGCGATGACCTCTGGGCTTTCCAACAGCGTACGGATACTGCTGCCCCGGTCAACGGCAGCTTCTAGAAACGGGCCCTGGCCGGAGTCGAGATGGATCCGCTTCTCTGGACGCTCTAGCGCAGGGTCATGGTCCCGCACATGCGCATGAAGCATTGTTACGGGGGACTGAGTTGGATAGCGGGTGAGCTGGGCGATGTCGCGTGTAAAGGCCGAGAGGATCTCACGCAAGGACCTGAGTTCCTCGGAAGGCGTGTCCGCATCCGTGACATGGGAGCCAGAGGAACTATACACGGCATGCTCGAGAGCTTCTGTGCTGCGTTAGCCATGACCATAAGAAATCTCAAGTTAAACTCACCGACACGGCGGGTTAAAGTGTCGACCACGCCACCTTTGAGGCCTGGCTTCTTCCTCTGGTATTCATATGTGCATCGCGAGTCTTTGAACCTATGCTTCAGCCTTGACTATTATGTGCTGTGCGGAGATGGCCGTACCCAGACGCTTGCAGTGGGAGCACGTCGGCCACTCTCTGGAGCAGCGCAATTTCCGTCGGCGGCATCCATCACACTAAAGCGTTGGATCACTTGAAGTCAGTGTCGGATGGGGATGAAGCTGGGACTGGGACTGGGGCTGGGGCGTGCGGGGACCCTACTGATGGCAGGTCGGAGGCCTTTGGGCTCCTGGGGGCAGTGTCCATAGAGAATGTCGAGGAATGTAGGGGCATGTAGGCGGGCTGGAATGGGTAAGAGGGGGAAATCGGACAATGTCTGCTGGAGCTTAGGAAACCTGGGATCAGTCAGGGTCTTGCAGTTCCCCGCACGCATTCAGTCTCGTAAACCTTACCAAAGAAGGACTGGCGGCAACCTGCTCGTCAAGTGTGGAGTGCATCGGAATGCAATCGTCCGCTGCCCGGCCTGGCCAACCGCCGAATCTGCCCTGGAGAACCTTGTTGGTTTCGCTCTGGGGTTGGTCATTGCGTCCAACTTATACTCCCCGATCCTATCAATGCCGTCGAGCCCCCTCTGTCCTCAGTCGCCCACCACATGACCAGTGCCTGCCTGCACCGTTGACATCAACGCTAAACGCACCATATGTATTAGCAGACGAATGGGAAGCTGTCAAATTGGGCATCTCAGGCCCGATAACCGACATGTGGTGGTTATTACTGGTGAATATCCAATCAGCTGACCCCGCCAGTGTCCATTCTAGGGAGCCACTGCGCAGGCGGGACCACATTCCCCAACGGCGACATATGGGAGTGTCAAGTCGCAGCTGGAGGTGCCAGCTCAAATCGTGCAATTGCCTGACCCCGAGCAAGCGTCTTTTATCTGCCTTTCTTTCCGCATTGGCACCAGAAGAATGTGGGTGCACAACATTGTGGAGTATGGAGTTCGAGTTACAAGCGAGGCTTACACCCCAGATGCATATAAACTACCATAATAATGTTAAAGCAGGTGAACAGGGCACCATAACTAAACGAGTTTGTGACTGTCAATGAATGCAGTCAATTACCCTATGCCGTCACGTAGAATCCCCTGCCATCCTAAGGCTCCCGCTTAATAGCACTAGACACCTCTTCACCACACCATCTTGACGGACGCCCGTACACATCCATCTACTCGTGGATCTGATTAGTTGCAACAGCACGCTGGGTAGCAGTCTCAGTTTGCTTAAACCGCCACGGCTTAATCTTGCGCTCAAAGAGCTCGTCCAGCTCCGCAGCGGACCGCCTATACGCACAAGTGACCATCCGTTAGCAAGAGTTCTTCGCGATATGGCAGGAATAAATGTAGACTTCCAAAGGTCCCAATCAAAACAGAAAAAAAATCGGAGGAAGGAGTAGGTCTCGACTTACCCTGCTGTCTCCGGGATCAGAAGCCAAATGCCCACGACAAAGGGAAGGCCGACGCCCGCGTAGAAAAACCCGGCCTTCAGGTTCCAGTTCCACGCGGTTTCGTTGACCATGTGCGGGACCAGCTGGTTCATGGCTATGTTGATCACACAGTTGACTGCAGCAGCTGCCCCCGAGGTGTAGTGCCGGAGTCGCTGCGATGAGATTTCGCCGATAAAGCCCCAGCCCGTTGCGCCGGTCATGGTCAGGCCGATATCTGGATGGTAACCTGCGTGAGCTGGATATACTTGAGCAAATGTGGGGCGGGCTTCTTACTCCAGATGACCGCAAATAGGATAAAGACATAATTGACTGCCTTGACGCGCGGGACAACGCCCAGGATCCCAACCAGAAGGCTGGTCGTCCACATGGCCGTCGACCCTGTACAGCTGATCAGGCGCCGTCCCACGGTATCGGCAACGTAGACGACTGCAATGGCTGCCACAAGTTTGATTCCCAGTGTAATGCACTTGATCTGAAACGGATCGCCGACCCCAGCCTGCTGGAAGAAGTACGCCCCAAAGGTGGAGAAGAGGACGAGGCCGGTAAACTGCTGCGAGACGATGGTCCACAGCGCAACAATTGTTCGAAAGCCGTCAGTGCCGCGGAATACAGCGTACCACTTCTCGCGCTTCTGCGTGGCAGCAACCTCGGCCTCGTGGTTCGCAAGCATGGCGAGGACCTCAATCTGGTGGTCGACGTCGAAGCCCTCGACGCCCTTGTACAGCCGGCGCAGCGACCTTTGAGCAGTTGCGCGGTGATTCATCCCCACTGACCATGCCGGGGACTCGGGAAGTGCAAGAAAGATAATACCCATCAGCCCAATCTGCGCCCATTGCGAGTAGACCGGGGTAAGCCAGTCGTGGGTGTCCACCTCGGAGAGGCGCTCCATCGCCAGGTAGGCGAAGAAGGTCCCAACGGTCCACCAGAGGTTGTATGTCATGAGGACCATGCCACGAATGCGCGTGGGAGCGACTTCTGCAATATACATTGGCAACGTGCACTGAAGACAGCCTAGTCCGATGCCAGCGAGCATCTTGGCCACGAGCCAGTGTTCCCACCGGCGCGACTGGCCCTCACCTATGATGCTGGCGGCCAGGAACGTCCAGCAGACTGCAAATGCCGCTTTGCGTCCATAGCGGGCGGACAAGAAGGGGAGCGAGATGTTGGCGAGGAACTGGCCGACCGGCAGGATGCTGCCCCAGCCGGCCATGATATCTGCAGCAATGGCGGGCTTGCCGGCTGCTGTTGTCTCTGTGGCAAATTGCTCCACGAATCCTGGGTTGGCGAGGATGCCGGCGTTGAGTCTGCACGGGTTAGTTATCACGTACCCTAAATCCTGGTCATTCAGGTCATGCAAGGATGGCAAACCCAATTTGATAGCCATCTGCGCCAGCAGCAAAGGCAGCAACGAATACGTAGGCTGTGCATGCCTTGAACTTTTTCATCGTTTCCCACGGGGTCAGGGTTTCGTATCCCGTCAGCCCCTGCCCGCGGGTTGCGGCGTCTTGAAGCGCCTTGTCATTTGGAATGGAATCGTCGCACACATTTTCCGCGTGGACGATATCGGGGGTGGGCTTGGACTGCATAACGAAGAGCAACTGGACGAGCTGTGTTCCTATATGTTGAATTCAAAGAACAAAAATAACGCGGGAAAACAGTCTGATTATAATCTCCACATCATGATGGCTCCATTGCCCCAGATTGCAAGGGTTGGTAACTTCTCCACATCCCCCGCGTCCTGTCGGGCCCAGTTCGTCCGGTATCCGATGCGCCAACGTTGCTTCTCATTCAAGGGGCGGACGATTCCTCGGCCGATCCGGAAACCCTCCGGGCCTTCATTTACCCTCATTGGCTTTGAGAGACTTTGAACTTCTTCCTCATACATTTATTGCTGACTGGTTTTCCGCTTGTCACACATTGACTAAGACGGCTACGGTATTCGACGTTCGCTTTGAGCACGACCGCCAGACCGATACCCTCGGTGTCCAGGAAACCCGGCCGCGCCTCTGATGGAGAATTCTCAAAGAAGCCACACTCATACAGGCCTAGTATGAGGTTGAGCTGACCGTGAACGAGCCACTGGAAAGCAAGTTACACTCAACGGCTGTCTGTACCTCCACACGTGAGACCTTTCCTTTTTTAGAAAGAGGTCTTCTAGAGGTTCTTCCTTTCTTCTTCCTCTCAGTAGCTAGATTGACCAATGCTTCGTTTCTCTGTCATAGTCTCTTCCATCAAACCTTGATTCTAGAAAATCAAGTCTGTATAGGCACCTATAATTTAGTTTCTATTACTATAAAGTAGTAACATGCTTGGGGCTTATTTAAATTCCAGCCATCTTTATTAGTGTGGCTTAAGTACGGCTGAGCGGACGGGAAGCCCTGTTCTCCACACCCTGTGGTTGTATGTACCAGAAGACCCTAAGAAACAAATAATATAGAGTCAGGTATGAAGGGTTATTGATATGTTACATTGCATCTTAGCAGCGCGACCAACTCTAGCACTGCAGGAGAGCGCTCTTTCCAAGTACAGCTTAGATTGTTCCTTCCACATTCAGCTTACAATAAGAACAGAAAGGTGTCATGGAGCGCACCTACCATGCCCAATCAAGGACAAATATAGAAGGCACAATGGTCGTTCCCTTACTTTACTAGGGTATATATAGAGGGAATGCGCGATCAATCACAGCCGAGTGCGCAGCATGCCCAGGATTATAATACGGAGGCTGTTGCAGTCGCCGCTCGTGTGCTCCGTCAAGCATCTCCAGCACAGGACCCTAGTCAACTCGACTACCTATGTTGGCTCTCTCCATCCCGTGTCGCGATTCGCTCCTATCCGAGTCCGAAGCTCAGAAAGAATGCAAGAATCCCACAAGCAACTAGGAAATACTAGGCATGTATAAGCATATAATATCAAACTGCCCCTTTATATGAAGCCATGGGATTGAGAAGGGCTGGCGGGGGGTAACATACAAACATCCTAACCAGCGCCTCACTTCACGAGGGCTCAACCAAGTCTCAAAGCTCAGTCGCTCCCGCGTTGACAATCAAAGTTGCATCGACCTCTGGGGCATACTCGCGCAGTAGCGCCGGGAGGCTGTTGCGGAAGATCGTCTGGCCTGCAGAAATCCCGACGGAGCTACCGAGGCTCATGAGGAGGTTGACGGTGGCAACGCCAGTAGCGCTGTCTTTGCTGGACACTTCTTCCTGGACGGCTATTACGGGCTGTAGCGAATGGATGGACTGGGTTTGTAGGGCGGGGTGGAAGGTGTGGTTCGTACGACTTGGAACGCCATTCCTCGACCCATCTTGGTGATAATTTGGTACCCTATCAGCTTGGTCATGGAGGTGTCTGGGTTGATGGTTGACAGGAGACCAGACCCAATCGCGCTGAGCATGGATCCAACGATGCTCCATGGCGGCATGTAGAGGAATCTCCGGACTGCAGGACTCAAGGTCAGTCTCGTCGGGCAAGGGCAACCAATGTAAGTACCGAGTGCTCCAAACGCGATCAAGGCAATAGCATTAGACAGCAGGGACGGAAGTTTATAGACCGCGCTTTCAGTTGGTCTGTCACCTCTCACAGCCTGGAACCAAAAAGGTAAATAGTACGGGATTATCTGCGTGCATCCACCTTGTAAAAGCATGACGCCGCCCCTAAATAACACGGATTGATGGCACAGACAGCTCGGAGGGATCAGCGCTGCGTCTTTGCGGCGGCGAATCCAGTAAGCGAACAACACTGATGTGGCGACAGAACTACAGAGTAGCCCTATAGTCACCGCAGAAGACCATGCATGCTCCGAGCCTCCCCAGGTGACTGCTAGAATAAGCAAGACAGTTGCGCCGGCAAAAATCGCGAAGCCTACACGGTCAAGCAGGGTATAGAGCTCTGATGTGGTCTTGGTGAAAGGGGGCTTTGCGGTCTGCTCGAGGATGTGTAAAAATAATGTGGTTAACATGGTCACGCCGCTCATGGGTAAGAAGCTCCAGAAGCCTACACATGGCTTTAGCGAGTTCTTGGTGTAAGTCGAAGGAAAGTTGTTACTTACACCACTTCCACCCCACTTGATCTGTCAAAGCACCTGCGATCTGAGGTCCTGTCGTAGCAACGGATATGAGTGCCATAGCAGAGGACGTCACGACCGGTGACCGGTCGGATGTTGGGCGGACAGGTTGTGAGGATGATGAGCAGAGCACCGCTCGAGAGGCCGGTCGATCCCCGGCCATTGGTGGTTCTCCCAAGAATGAAGATGCCATTGGATCGTGCAAGGGCACATATCAAACTTCCCACTTGGAATATCACCATGGATACAAGGTACACGTATTTGTTGAAGACTGTATACGCCTTTCCGTCCAGAGGGAGGAACACGCAACTTGATCTGTCAGTAACTGAGGTAGATCTATCAATGGTGAAAGCCGTACGCCATCAGACCCTATGCCGTCTCGTACCAAGAGACATCAGAGACAGTTTGGAAGTAGTCTGTCAGCGTTGGTGTTACCTAGGGGAGAGATACAGATGACAAATTCACGGTAGCAAGCATGGTCATGTCAAAGCCTACCAAGTATACCGCAAGCATTAGCCCACCAATTAGGGACCATAGTTGAATCCCACGGAGTGGTGGGTCATCGGGCAATTGGCGCATAGAGCCACGATCCCTGGATGGTGAAGGTCTGTCTGGTGACTGCTTTTCCATGTCAAAGCGGAGGAGCCCTGGTGTGATAATGTAAAGCAACGAAGTCCCAGAAGCCTGAACTTCTCGAGTTGATTGGGAAGGTTTCGTCCCGTAGCTGGCTGGACAAAGTGCGCCTTGCGGTCTGGAAAGAAACCAGCCTGAAGCGAGAGATGCAGGCGGGTGATCGGTACACAAATGCACAAGCCAATAAAGATTAGGCTGGACTCCCAAAAGAAGCAAGCGGCTCCATCGCAGAGCGGCTCTTGAAGGTTCTGCCCAGTGTGAGGCTGTGATTACTTCTTCTGGCTAGTGTAACACTACCTTAATAAACTCACTTCAAGCAACAGACCTGGTGTCAGTAAGAGATAGATAATCTAAGTGAACTTTTGGTATGATGACAAAGCTTGAAAGCATGCCCATAGTTTCAGAAAGGGAGATCATTTTGATTTTGCAGGGTCCCTAGTAGAGCTTTACAAGGGTTTCCTTTGTCGCCATCAGAACTAACGAAATGGAAACCAGCCTATCAGGTCACTAGATCTCCCAATAGTATTCCTGCCTGTGTAACACTCAACAGCCAGCTAGGCAGCCATAGAAGCATATGATTATACAGTCAGTACTTAAACTGTGTAAACCTGTGAATTCTTGCCATGCTGATCTCGAACGATGCCGCTTTCAGCCACAGCCAACTACTCTGGATTATAATAGATCCTGGGACGAGGAAAACAATTATCTTGTGTGGTATTATCAAATCATTGACAAGCTGTGACAAGGTCCACCCTGACACCACGACCATTGTCTTTCTCTGCCAATCCACTGACGTACGGATTTTTGAACAGGAATAGTCCCCATGTCATTTCCATATCTAAGGGATGGAGATCCGCTTCAAATTCATCCGGCAGACGTCCGAACCTCAATTGCCCCACCTTTTGTGCATCTCATCGCGAAGAGGATCATTCTGCTCTGCTGTGCCTTTATAGTCCCCGTACAGGGCATTCAAACCCCACGAGTAATAGTACTCTTTTCGAGAATCAAAGTCTCCAGGTCGATTATAGAGCTTGGCTGTATCGTGTGAAGAAAGTGGATCGAGATTGGAGTCCCTGGGGCGATTATAGTGGCCAGCCGTATAGTCCGCAGCCAGTGGACCAGGATCGCTTTGTTGCATGCCCCCTCCAAAACCTGGTTCTTGGAAGAACGTACTTTCATGTCTGCCTCGAGCTGGAGGAATCCCGCCCATTCCTCCTCTAATTGGTTCTCTGGGTCGCACTGGCGGATAACCTGTCGCGTCGTCCATTGCTATACTCAACATTCTCCCAAGTGCATGTCCCAGTGCGTCCACTGAGTGGGACCATAGTGAAGGTTCTGGCCTTCCTTGCCTTCGTACACGTGGTTCGGCGGCATTTGGGTCTTCTCTTGGTCCTCCTCCTTCCTCGTGTGGAGCACCCCTCGGCACCTGTTGTTTCTGAGGCGGGAATATCCTGCTGGCACTAGTTCTGTGCAGTGGCCGTGGCTCACCGAGCTCCCGCAGTATCTGGGGCAATGATGTCGTTTCACTATGGCAGTAACGCGTGACCATAGTTCTGGCTTGCTGCTCTAACTCTTCTCTTTTAGCTGGGTCGAACAGAGAAATAGTGCTCTCCTGGGGAATGCCGTCGACATAATGTTTCCCAAAGGCATGATGTTCAGCGCCAGATGCCTGCAGTTGGGCCCATTCTTCATCTAGTCGCTGTCGGAGGTTTTCATTCTGATTCCGAAGCATACCACCTTCACCCGTCCAAAAGGTGGTCACAATTGTCACGTTTGGGCAAAACGACTGCCCACAAAAAGCTAGTAGCCAGGCTACCATCTCCTTGTCAAACCCATCTTGTCTGGTCAGGTTGTTGATCAAGTACCAAATACCAAAAATGGAGTTTTGCTGAAGTTGCTGTAACATCTCGGTTATCTGGCGGAATATTTCCCCTTTATTGCCAGGCTCGAAGCCAGGTGTATCAACAATAAAGTATTCTTCACCGTTGATAGTCGTATCGAAAACTTGGCAGTGATCGGTTGCTTGCGAGAGTCAGTTCAAAGCTCTGGTGACTCGTTGAGATCGAAGACCTACATGAATGAATTCCACCACTTGACAGCCCCTCGGCTCCCGTTATCACTTCGGTCAATGTAGACTTCCCTGCGCCTAGCCTACCGACTAGAAGAATGACATTTGCCATAGTGCCACTTCTGTTCTGAATTGACTTAACACATCTATAGCTGCGTGCTGAGTTTGACTCCGCTGAGTTCGACTCCATGGCAAGATAAAGAGTAATGCTGTCTCTATGGCCGGCAACGTGAAAGAAGTATGTGGATAATTGTACCTTCTGGGCGATTCAAGTAGGCAGAAATGATTTCAAGATGGCCTCTTATATCCACCATTATTGATTGAGCCTCAAAGGGTCGCCGGTCTCCATGGTTTGCTAGCCTGTATTGGCCTCAACCCTGTCCGCTCAGAGTTGAGAGCGCAGACCCAGAACACGTCAGCCCCCCTCCCAAATCGCTATGCTGTGCCGCCTCATTCTGGTTGCAGGTTGAATCATGAACCCTGATTTAATCCCGGCCAGTCGGATACCAGCCAATAGGTGATCGTGCAAAGCGCATAGGTTCGACTGCCACGTCAGTTTCACCCATGTCATCAATCACAAGATCACGCAGTGCCTTGAGTTGAGGAAAGGCTAGTTTCCATTCCATTCATTGGTCATCACTCCTTCCGCCAACACAAAGCAAACATATATGCATGTAGACTATTCGACGCCTCGAGCAGGGTATTGCCATCCAACATTTCGTAATCCCCAACAAATAAGGCTCTGCGGATCAATTCGAAAGGGAGAAGATAGCACTTGCATCCTGTCAATAGGGAATTGTTTAGAGTGTTTTAAACATGCCTTACTTGCTTCCGGGTCAGCTCGCCGACCGTCCCTTTTCCACTTTCCACCGCACGGCGTTATTCCAGCAATTTCTCTGACAATGTCACTTCGCCTAACTGCGGAAGACTATACGGTCGCATGGTTCGCCCCCTTGCATTTTGAGGCTAGCGCTGCCATTCTCATGCTCGACGAACACCACCAAAGTCCCCTTCCAAATGAACGACAACGGCTATGCTACCGATTTGGGCGAATGGGCAGGACTAATGTTGCAATCGTTTTTTTCCCATCTGGGGAGGTTGGAATTGGTGTTGCCAGCTATATGGCCTCGGAGGTCCAGCGTGACTTGCGGAACGTCAGGACAGGCGTCCTTGTTGGTGTAGGTGCGGGTATACCTCGATATGGACGTGATATACGCCTCGGGGACGTGGTAGTCGCTACTCCAACCGAGAATAATTCCGGTGTTTATGGGTACGACATGATCAAAGTTGAGCCAGAGCAAACCATCCTCAAGCAATGGCAGAATGCGCCCGATAGACATGTACGCTCCGCAATCACCGCACTACGAGCTACCCCGGAGACGACCGCAAGAGTCACGTCGAACATCGATAGATTCAGGAGGAGAAGCTCCTCTCAACGGCCTATACCCCCGCCTCATGTCCTCTGTGGATCATTTACGCAGCCACGTGGGCCTATCATCCATTATGGGTGTATTTTGTCCGGAAACAGTGTTATAAAGTCTGCCACAAGACGCGACGAGTTAGCCCGCGAATACAATGCCATTGCAATCGAAATGGAAGCAGCAGGGATGATGAATACCTTACCAGTTGCAGTGATAAGAGGAATCAGTGATTGGGCAGATTCTGAAAAGAACGACGTTTGGCAGGAGTACGCAGCAGCAACTGCTGCGGCGGTAGCAAAGGAACTTCTAGCGTGTCTAGACGGAAGCCATTCGATTAGCCGTAAGTACCGCACACTTTCCACTCCCGCTGCATATTCTCATATCTTCCAGACCAATCCCAAACATGGAACCATCCTAGAATGCATAGAGCACAATTAAACGTTCTTTTGGCAAACAAGGCAGCCCAACATACACATACAAGCATGGATTGGAAAAACTCCGTTGTCGATCTGCTCAAAATCTTGAATCTGGACTCGTCACCTGAAGCAAGGAAAAGGCTAGCGCAGAGATGGAATATCTTGGTCGGAGAAGACGGCAGTGCATCACGAAATGTATCTCTCCACGGAGCCATCACCGAAAGTCTTGCCGCAAATAACGGGGTTATTCCAGATTCCTTAATTGATGGACTCTCCGCTGCAGGGTAAGCCAGCTAGATTGAAGCGTTTCGAAGAAAGGGGACCCTTTCCTCTGGGGCCGTTCGCGTGAGGTCCATCCATTATGCAAGGCGTATTATGGCACCCTTGTGCGACACAGAATGGATGGGTCCTTGTGTCAACTACATGACTTACGTTTCTTTTCACATATTGACTACCTCTTGACTCACAGAAACAGTGTCTCTGGAATAGCGGTGGTTTCATCTCGCTGCCTAGGGCTCCTTCAAGAAAAGGCTGAGAGAGACTCAGCCGCCGACTGTAGTACCGCGAGAAGCGCTGTCTTTCGTTCAACAAATGAGCAGAGCAGAGAATACCGTGCTATCCATAATATGATTTGCTCGAGTTCCAAGCGGCGGTAAATCGAAAACGCTCTGAAGTACTGTGGTCCATGGTTCAAGCAAACGAAGTTGCTCATCGGCTTCTTATTCACGTAAATGTAGTCCAGGTGAATTACGAACCAAAGAAACAGGCTGTTTCTTTCATGACGAGATTTATCGCTCGGCCTGAGTATGTATTATCATGGCAGAATGTTGCAGGATGGAAGAAGGAAAAGCCGGCTATCAACAAGAGTTGAGCTCCCTCAGTTTCCTTGCCACTAATTCATCCATTGCTTTTCTCTCATCTGCAGTCAGAAGCGACATTCGATCGTCAAGGTTTCCATCGCCAAAGTAACGCCTGTCAATCTTTGCCCAGTAGATCATATCGAACGCCCAGCTCTTCTGCGCAGCATAGTTGAGCCAGAAGTCTCCGCTTTGCCAGCTCTTCAACATATGATGCGACAGGCGATCGCATTCCTTCAGAGCGCCTCGCTCAATGGCCGCGTCCTCTTTGGCTTTCATCACATTCAGAAAGGTTGGTAGAACCTTCTCGTAATGCTCGGTCCAGTCATTCAAACCACCTTCCCAGAACTTTGGAAGCTCGAGAAGTAACCAAAAGGGAGGACTATGAGCGAATCCGGTAGGCGCTGCGTAAGTGTACTCCCAGTCAACCACACCCGTCATCTCGTGTTTGTCATTCGCAAGAACATTCCCCGGCCGAAGGTCGTCGCAGAACAAAGTGAAGGGGCCGGAGTCGTCGTCGCAGAGCTTGTGTTCTCGGGTGATCTTGCGGAATAGGCATCTCGCGATGTACTTCTGTCTGCAATCCCCGGCCGAGTCAATCGCATGATGTCGCTGCGAGGTAAGGTGGATCATGTGCATATCCGCCAATGCCTGGTAGTAGGATGCAGCCGTGTCGAACACATGCTGTGGAAGCTGTTCAGGATCGACGCCACCAAGTTGGACAAGCTCGTTTATATTGAACGTTTGAGGACGATGCTTGACTATCCAAGTATCGTCAAACTCATCATCTTCATTGGCCTTGCCAATACAGCCGATCTGCGCGAATTTGTGTCTAGAGACTTGGAGCATAACGTCTGCGATTTGGCTGTACACCGTTTCGAGTCTGTCCTGAGACACGTTGGGGTCCAAAATTGGCATATCGTCGCGTGAGCGACCAGGTATATTGAGCGCGTCGATGAAATCGTCTTCATGGTTGATATACTCCATGATTATAAAAGGCCTAGGCCGATGGGGCTCTCCGCCGTCATTCCATGGTGCAGGACGTGGGGAACACGAAACGAGGTGAAATATTCCAAGAACTTCATCACAGCGACTTCACGTTGGACTTTTTCCACGGGAAACATCGAGGTTCCAGGGATCGGAAATCGAATCACAGCTGCACCGCCGTCCTTGAATCGTAGGCGAAACCAGAGGTTGAAAGATCCGCGTCTGGGCGAAAACAGTTCGTCGGGGACCCCGCCATGGTGTTTGTCAACAAAGCGGGCACTGCGCGGAGCACGTCGCGTTCGAAGATCTTCTTCGTCCATGGCTCGAAAATTTCGTCGCATTTGGCCCATGCGACATCATCGTAGTTCATGCAGCGCGCTTTTATTATGGGCATTTTGTTGAGGAGCGCAAAGTGGCAGCAGGAGTAGAAACGGCAGGAGCGTCGGCCCCGTGCGTCCGTAAGGAAATGCTTGCTACAAGGCTGTTTTATAGTAGTATAATTTTACAATAAAAATAAAGTTCTCAACAACTGGCATCATTGGTCTAGTGGTAGAATTCGTCGTTGCCATCGACGAGGCCCGTGTTCGATTCACGGATGATGCATTCTCTTTTTTTTCCTGTGGAGAAAAATCACTCCCTCTTGTTGAACCTCTTCCTTCCTTGATTTCTTGCTCTTTAACCTTTTCAGTAAGGTATTCTGATCGTTTTACTGAATACCGCTCTTAGCATTGAAGCTTAGTTCATAGAGTTCGACATTTTTGAGTTGAGTCTTCAACACATAAATTTGACCGGGTATCACCGCGCCTGCGAAAATATATGTACAGCCCTGCGAGCAACAACACGAAAAAAGGGACCACGCCACCCAATCTAAAAACTTTCAAACACCCTCCCACGCATACTCATTCTATCTTATTATCAACAAGAAAAAAACGGGTTTACCTCCGCAACCCAACAAACCGACTCCGCCACCCCTGCCTCCCCATCCCCAGCGTCTCGAGCGTCTCGGTCCTCCCACCCCAAAGCTTCCCCCTCCCATCCCTCTCCCTCCGCTGCACCGGCGGAATCCAGAAGTGCGTAACGGCAGCGCCGATGATCATGCACGCGCTGAACACGATCAGCATCCATCCGTGCCGGATCGTCTGGTCGTCGCCGGGGCCTGTCCCGAACTTGTAATATGCGGAGAAGACTTGGATGAGGATCGACCCCAGCTTTCCGGCACCGGCGGAGATCCCGTGGCAGGTTGCGCGGTAGCGCGTTGGGAAGATTTCGGCGGGGATTATGTATGTTGTTGCGTTGGGGCCTGGATGGTTTTGTTAATGTAAGGGAATAGGAGAGGGAAAGAGGGGGGAGAGAAGAGCAGTACCAAAGTTGAAAAGGATCTGGCCGAGGATGTACAGTGCAACGGCGACGGGGCCTTCTTTGTGGACGGTGATGAACATGGTTCCGAGCGCAATAAAGTGTGCGGCGAGAGCGAGAAAGCCATATTTCTGCAGACTGACACGGTCGAGCTTGTGGATGAAGAGGAGAAGCAGGATACCGCCGATGAAGCTGCCCGTGTTGAGAATGATGAGGCAGTGCGTCGAGCTATCCTGGAACATGGTGTAGATATCCGTGGCACCCGTGTCATCCGTCATCCACGGCGGAGCGGGCCCACTGAGGTTTAGCGAGTCCCATGTCTTAGCAAGGAACTGCGGACTCGAGAGACCGATACCGTAGAAGCCAAAATCGAGAAGGAGCCAGGAGAGCGAAGTCGCCGCGAGTGTGCGCCAGTTGCCCTCTGTCCAGAAGTACTGGATGATGTCCTGGCGGGAGAGACGCCAGTGGGAGTTTAGGGTTGCGGGTTGGATGAATTGGGTCTGCGACGGGGAGCGTTCGGTTTCGTCGTGGGAGTGAACGGTTAGGGCGATGGAGTTTGTTGCGAGGGCTGGCGAAGGAAGGGTGATCTCGCTCCAGGGCGCGATGAGGTTGATGTTGTTGACGTGGCTGAAGTTGTCTTCCATTTCGGGGGAGTTTGGATCACTGAAGAGTGTTGTAGCATCGAACTCTGCTTGGACTGGGTCGTCTTCGATCTCGAGGAGGAAGCGAGGACTTTCGGGGATGAAGAATCGAAAGAGAGTTGCGATGACTCCAGGTACGACTCCGATTGCAACTACCCATCTCCACATTACATCGACGGTGCGGGTGAGATCGTCGAACCCCTGCTTTTTGCTGGCGACGACCACGATGAGAGAGACGACGTTTCCAGCGATTTGACCGAGCGGTTGCATGAAGAAGACGGATGCGATCATTCGGGCGCGATGTCGGGTCGGAGCGAATCTAAACGGTCAGCATTTTCCGTGCAACTTGCGATCGAGACACCTACTCCGATGTAATGACAGCACTGAGGGGATAGTCCGCTCCCACGCCTATCCCAACAATAATCCTCCACCAGACCAACCAGGCGAAGACGCTCATGCTCCCGTTCTGACCAGTCGAAGACATGGCCACGCCCAATGTCGATGCGATCAACAGCGCCAGCTCAACACCGTACATTTTCTTCCGCCCATTTCGATCCGCAAGATATCCGAATAACACCTGTCCGAGCAGTGTCCCACCGAGTGTAGCGATATTGATGCAAGTAAGCCGGAAAGAGGAGGTTTCGTCGGGCCAGTAGACGTATGCGATCATGGGGAGGGCGATGTTGCTAGCGAAGAGCTAAACACAGATTCCATCAGCTTTGTGACCGCAGATGCCTATTGCGACGAGACTAACCGTGTATCCATCGAGGAAGAATCCGACTCCGGCGACTAACACAACAACCCATTGGAAAGACTGTCGGTCGATAGTTTCGTAAATCTGTCGCGTGCGCACTTGCCGGTCCTGTACCACTCACTCCATCAGCACCGAAAGCCAGCAGGGGAATAAAAATCGCAATCCGGGCCAGTTCGTACCTGCTCATGTTCAAAGTCTCGCGCTCGATCGGTCTTGTACAACCGAGAGCGAAACTTACTCATGGTGGGCGATCAGTAACACAACCGTGGGAACAAATCCAGCGACCCAAGTTTTAGCGACAAGAAAGTCTTGACGAGCGAAGCATTAGATCTGACGCATGCCACGACGGCAGGATAGTGGCCAAGGGATGGTGAAGAGGGAGAAAAAGATTCTCGAAGCACTTTCGAAGAACCGTCCAAGACGCCGAGGTCAGCCCATGCCCTGCGAGAGTATATACCCGCCGAGTCATGCTACTACTCGACGCCCGTGCAGGGCCGGAGCGATGGGAATCGTCCATGTCGAGTGCTGCTGGGGCGGGGGCGAGGGTGGCACAGGGTGGGGGTTGGGTCAAGGCTGCGCGTGCGGCGCTGCTTTTGTGAGGGCATTTCTGTTGCTGTTGGATAAGGTTGGTGGGAGGGGAGGGCCTCGTGCTTGTCATCATTGGATCTGGACAGGCTGGGCAGCTGGGCAGAAGGATTGAGGCTAAAAAAGCTCCCGCTGCTTGGTGGAGCGCAGTGCATCCATGGAGCAGCGCCAGGGACCAATTCTTCGCCCCACGTGCCTTTATCCTCGATCTCCAGACGCTGTGACTCGGCCAGGCTCCACTTGTCACTCACGACACCCATTGGCGACTCAACCTCCGATCAGAAGACAAAAGACAGGGATCGCTGCTCAGTGAGGATTGGGTTTGCCTGGAGCGTGGGTGTTTTGCGTTTTTAGCCGACGTCCAGGGAGATGAAGGCTCTTTGCCGCAGTTTCCGAACTTTCGCGAGTTCCAGCCATGCGCAATTTAACGCAAATTCGGAACATCTCGTCTACAAGGTTTACGCCGAGGATGAAGAAAGTTGAGGCCGCAGCAAGACCTGAAATCGAGGTCATGATCCCGTCATGTGATTAAGATGTGAGGTGTGAGAATAATACAGTGCCCGTGAGATACGCCGCCGCGCTCCGGTAAAGACAAAGAACCAAATGCAACTGGCAAACGCGACCCTGGTATCCCAATGCTAAGCTAAAGACGAAACGGAAGAGGTCCCAAATAAATGAAGATAAGCCGACGCCGTCACCGCAAGTTGTCCGTCAGGAATGAGCAAAACGCCTTTTGATCTAATGATAGACCACGTGTTAGCATATCTCTCTCCAACCAGGTTCGAAAGAACGGCCCGTCGCAGCCACATACCTTGTTCATCCAAAAACTGGAGCTGTAGTGTCTTCATCTGTGCTAAGTGGTCGAAGTTTGGCTGGAGCTGGAGGACAACCGGCCGTCGGGAGTTCTTGCCAGGGTTAACACTGTCAATACAGGAGACTGGGTCGTGCACGAGTCAGCTCTAATATCCTTGATGGGTTTTGGATTAACTGTAAAGAGTCGGGGAAACGTACGTGGGATGGAGACGTATCGTTTTCGCTCCTTGCGTTGTGAGTTGGCGAAGAATAGCATGACCAATTTGCCACTGTGGCCGCGGAGGATGCGTAGATTCTGGCTGATACACTCTTCCCCACGCCCCTTGGACTTGGCTTCAGCGATGCCAGCGATGAAGACGAGTTTCGAGGCAAGGACGAGTTCTTGGAATTGTACGCAATCTAGAAGTTTGTTCAGCGGTGGTAGATTTGTAGTTGAAGGGCCAAGCTCACCTGTCCAATCTTCAAAAGTGTAGGATATTTGTGTTGCGAATACGGTGGTTCCTGTTTGGACGGTCTGCTCGTCGAGAAAGGATATGCGGAGGGAGTCTTCGCCTGGGAGTTTCGGGTGTTCTAAGTGCGGTACAGGTAATCTCGTTGTGTTGACTGTAGCATATTAGCAGATGCACGTATCCGCGAAAGTTGTAAGTCACTCACAGCTGTGTAGAAAAGCATTCTGTTGTCCAACACCTCCGCCGAGCTCCAGACATTTCAAAGCCCCGGTAAAATCTTTGCGGATATTGATGAATGTGTAGCGCAGCTTGAATAGTTTATTGCTTCGTACGAACGATCTGAAACCGATTAGCCATGCAGGATAATTCGAGAGGCTCTGAGACGTACACTGTCACGGCGGGATTGAGGGGCAATCGGGCGACCTCATCGTTCACGGAGCCTTCCCTCGGTCGGGAAGCCGGGGATGAAAAGACAGAAGGACTTAGAGACGGCGAAAAGGGAGGCGACGAGACGAAGCTGAGAGACCCTGAAGAGCGTGTTGACGATGAAACGGTGCTCTCTCTGCGACTAGCGGGGAGAGGCCAGTCGTCGGCCTCATGCAAGAAAGGCTGATGCGACATGGTGGGTAGGGAGAGGAACACTGATGAGAGGTCGGTGAAAAAGTTGACGATCTTGCGGATCCCCTCAGGCTGATCGGCAAGTATGAAAGAGGTAGAGGAGCAAAATGAGTGCAGTGTTAGAGGTCCTAAGTAAGCTCATCATCCCCAGTCTCGTTCACAACACCAGGCCATTGTTGACGGAGCAAACAGGATGGAGGGGCAGCTAAGTGAATTGAACCCGATAGAGAGGTCCAGCCGACAGCGTTAATTTGGCACGGATAGCATGGAAATGACCTGAGCCATGCAGGATGCAGATGAACAGCCGCAGAGCTGGAAGCAGCCTACAGGGCGGGGCGCTCGACACAACGTGCTCAAATGGATGGCTGCGATCGAAGGCTTGTCCCCAGCCAACCGGTGGAGCTGCAGCTGTGAGTTTGGGCCACTAAAGTTGGAACATGTCGTTGACCCGCGGCCTCGTGGGAGTTCTGGAAGCTGATATCGCCTAGTCGCGATGCAGACTAGTCGTCCTCAAGCGTGGTGTTTCTGCTTCTCTTGGCTGGTCCGTAGCGAGATAAGCGTCGGTTTCGCGATCGTCCAGGGAGCTCTTCTCTTGACGTGTCACTCCGACACTCCCAGTTTCTTTCACTGTTTTTCCGTTCAAATTCCCAACTCCCCAACTCCAACTTTTGTGATCGTTCTTAAAATAGAAATCATTCCATTAGTATATATGCTCTATGTATAGGGACAGCCCACTCCAACAGGGTATCCTGAAACCAACCGCCAAGAAAAGCAAAAATAACCCATGCAGCAAAACCAACACTGGTCTCAACGATGATCAAAGCTTGAAAAGGGCAGGGACTGAACGCAAGATCTATGGAGTGATCCGCAGACCGTCAAGCAGAGACCGGAGCCCGGGGTCCAACCAGAGCTCGCCGGCCACGCAGCATGAGCCAGGAACAGGTCCCATAGGGCCCGTCGAAGAACGAAGGATTTTTCCAGAACGCCGTTCAAAGTCTATTGTATGTATAAAGCTCGCGAGCTAATGTCGTGTGCCGCAATTGAAGCTCTCAAGCGCCGAGGCTCAGCCGTCGAACTATCGAAAAGCGGCCGGATTCCAAGCACGGGATACGCAAGATGCCGGAGATTGGGTGTTTGATAGCTAACGGCGGTGACGTTGGAAGTGAATGTGCATGTTCATCGTCGTCAATATTCAGGCGTTGGTGGAAAACCTCGGATCACTGGGGAAGCTGACGACTGACGCGAAAAGTCGCGTCGCGTCGTGGCCAACCATCGATCCTGCATGAGAACAGCACTCGGTGGCAGGGCCATGTCGAGACGGTTTTATTGCTCCGGCTTCTGTGCGATGATGCGGTAGCTCGTCGTAATCAGTCGCATCGTGTCCATCTTCACGAACGCCTGTCCATCGAGGCACAGCCGGTTGATCAAGGTCTTGAAATGGCGAGGAAGCACGTGTGTTTTGACGAGGCCGAGAATAACTTGTCGCATAGAGCGGAAGTACAAATCGACCTTGTCGATCAAGGGGGCCTGCAACCCGCCCACGCTTGCGTTGTCCGAGCGTAACACTGTGAACCCGGCCTCCGCAAGAGCTGTCTCCAGAATCTCGGGGGTGGGGGTCCCCACGGCGCCAATAAGCGGCTTCACCCGACGCATGAGCTCGGCGTGTTCGGCGTTCGAGGGGTCATATTCGGGGAAGCTGACCCAGTCGAGCAGGGAGACCCTGGCACCGGGCTTGACGATTCGATAAATCTCGCGGAAGAGAGCCGAGAGGTCCTTGCACAGACTGAGAGCCTGAATCTGGTAAAAGGCATCGAAGCTGTTGTCGGCGAAGGGAAGCGGGAGGCTGTTGAAGTCCTGGACGACGAAGGAGTTGGAGTCGAAGCCGAGTTGCTTGTTAAAGGAAGTCGCCTGGGCGACCTGGTTGGGATCAATGTTGAGGCCCGTGACCTGCGCTCCGGAGAACTGCGTCATGTGTGCTGCGACTCTGCCGCGACCGCATCCCAAGTCCAACACGCGATCGCCAGGTTTTAGTCCAATATCTTGCGCAATTGACTCTTCATACAGCAGTTGATTTTCGCGCACGGTCGCTTTGCTGCTCATGAACGGCGGAATGTACATTTTCTCGACATCGCCAAGCGCGCACAGGTGATTCAACACTCCATAGTACGCCTGGAGGCAGTCTCCAACCTTGGCCTGGTAATTCGGACCCAGAACCTCGACCATCTGTTTCTCGTCGGACCAATCGAGGTTATAGATTACATATGACGCCATGAAATCGTCGACTTGCTTCGGTGTCAGGTGTTGCAGATATCGGAACGACTTCCAGAATGTTTTCCATCGCTTTGGTGACGCCGAATTGCGGAGGTCTGGAAGGCCTTTTGGTTGAGGGTGCGACAGTCCAGCAGTGGCCAGCTTCTGCTTCTCGTTTGCGACGATATCCACAGAGCTTGAGCTCTCAGAGCTTCGTCCGGACTCATGCGACGCCAAAACTGTCTGCGTTTCAGCCATTGTGTTAGGAGTTCTTCTTGGAGGCAGCGACTCTGAAGAGTGCGTCAAAAACAAGGTCACGTCAGCGACAGGGGAAGAAACACTGGGTTAATACTATTATGGTTTGGCAGACATATCATCGGAAACCCTGTCCGGAGCAACAACGGGCAGAGCCGAATTTATAGGCGCGCCCTGTGAGAGAATTTTTTTCTTTTTCGACATTCTTGGAGCACGAAAAGACGCTCTGAACCGGTCCGAGTTATACGGATTTGCCATATGACCTGCCTTGGGCAGTTAGTAGTGGTAGCTGGAGTGGGTTATGGCACCGGATGAGTCGGAAGCGGTGGAAAGACACTGGATGAGCGGGAACCTTCATCCCGCCCATAGTTTGGTGCAGATTCCTTGGTCCAAAGGCTCTTTTCTGCTGACTGGCTTGCTGTTTGCGTCCTGGCGTCTATGAGTCAATATTTGCTAGCCACGTCGCCGACCTCCCCTCACGACACTTGGAGAAGCCAGACCTGCATATGGCACTACCTGCAATACGAGCTCACTACTACGATCTACTAATGCACGTTGGGAAGATTATACCGCGGCGTCCGCGGGTCGCTGGTAGCTCTTTCATTTTTTTTACTGTCATCTGGAGCGAAAGACGCTATATTTCGAGGATTCAACGTGTCTTGGCGTTCAGGGCTTGACCAGCAGTCAGACGGTCGCTTTGTTCCTGGTTGCGATATGGTTGGTCGGGTGTGGCGTTGGCCCCATTTCTCGAAGGACCCTCGTCATTACCCTTGCCCTATAGGGATCAGTCAGGTCGGGACTCGGACTCTCGGAGACATACGAGCTTCCAGATTTTTGCTGGTTAAATCCCTTTAACCCTTGGTTCCCCGCTTCTATACCCGTTCAGTGACGACTCGCTGTGAGCTCGCCGGAGACCGGATGTCATTACTAATGTCGCCTGAGCAGGGTGCCTGAACAGGAAGCTCTCTCCGCCTGTGCCGCCTCGACCCGAGCATCCGCTGCAGAAAGAGCTCCAGCTGATTAATCCACAGGGCTTCAGAGCCGTATATCCGGCAGTTACCTAGGGCACGGCTAACGAATGCCTATGGCTCTTTTCGAAGGCAAAGCGGCTGTTTTATGTTGCTGCGCCATCCGGCCATACAAACGACCCTTGTCATGCGTATACATATGCCGCAAGTCCAGCCGTCGTGCGAGTCTGCGTCATCAGACCCTTCACCACATGGCGATCACAACATCGCGATATCGGTTTCCGTGCCATGCAACGTCCTTTTCCTATGGATATTTCTCCTGCGCTTACGGTTGGTTGTCGACTCTGCGCGCCTCGTCTTTTTTACCTCTTTCAGTATCACATTGCAGAACCCTTGCAAGTCAGCTAGGATTACGCTAGCCCGCCCCCATCTCGACAGAAAACTTTGAAAATGTCCCGGATTGCTGTTGGAGAAGGGTACTTCTTACCTTGTTGGTAGTGCATTGAAATGCATGGAAGATTTCCGTTTTCCGCTCTCCCGACCGAGCGGCGACACTGTCGAGACTCAGCGCGCCCTGTGGCAGTCTCTTACTTTCTCCAACTCGCGCAGGGCTTCTCACTGTTCTCCGAAAGTACCAGTCAGGTTCCCTTTAGCCTTTTCCATCCCGAACATCGAATATGTTATCTCGACCACGTGATCCTCCATAACAAGCCCAGCCACACTCAGCTGCGTATAATGCTCTGAGCATTCTGGATTGACTAAACAATGCTGGTATACAGCTTTATGCAAGCTGTGGACTCTTCTTCTCGATCAAGGTTGAATGACGATGTCTAAATAAGCTTATTTCAGGGCAGTCGCCACTGAACGCCCACCGAGGAGATTCATCCACACACGCAGATACCTCGGGTCCGCTCGGTGCAGGCAGGGATTATCTTAGTCTTGGAGCCTAGTGGTGGGTTAGAAAAGCAGCTGGCGATGCATGGTCTCGAATTCATTGGGCCTGTCGTGCTCACTCATCACTAGCTTCTGACGATATAACCCGCGCGAATGGTCGCGGATAGCCGGAGCTAGAATATCCTCTTCGGACGTAGCAATTTGGCCTCTGTGGCCACTCGATAGGTGATGGATGCTGAATGTAGAGGCACGGCAAGCAACGACTCAGCCAGCGGTATTGCGGTTTGCAAGCAGGACAGTGGGCTATATCCTCTTTCCATGGCCGTTAGCTCCCCAAGAACCCCATTGCTCACTTCGTCCCCTGGGACCGAACCCTCCATTTCATGAATCTATTGGAGAAACTTCGGGAATACCTCGGTACCTAGGTAAGTCGGCTCGGGCCTGGTTCCACCTCTAAGGTGTGCCCTGAGACGGCTTGTGAGGGATGGTGGCTGGGAATCATTGATCAGCTGCCAGTATAACAGCGAGGTCCAAGCCATTTTCGTTGCCCACAGCCGTTTGACGGCTTCTAACATTGCTAAATTACATCTTCTACTACCAGCGATAATACGCACGACCCCACTATGCTACCGCGGCTGATATTACAGTCTCACTCTTATGACGCCCAACCAGCCCGGCAGCAGAAGGATCATGCACTATACAGATACTTTGTACTTCATGAGGTAGCGTGTCCTGATCCCCTAAACATGGTGTATGGTGCTATTCCTATCCGAAGCTATAAAATTCTTCATCTTTTCCGCACAACATGGAAGCCGGCGACTCCATCGTTCGCCAGTTGCGCGATAAGTCCATATTCCCAGTCAAGATACCCCTGCATAGCCTCGCGAGCATTATTTGTCCCCTCATACGGGCGTTTGTACACGTCGATCGGCTCCGAAAGGTACCGCCCCTCAGTCTCGAGTGGATGGCCAGCTGCCACCCAGGCGGCAGTTCCTCCTTCCAGGTACAATATTTTCCTTGCGGTCCCGACCAGCTTGCGGGCTTCCTCGATATTTCCTGCCGCAACGCGACCGTCTGGCGATGTGAGCACGATCGGTCCGTCGGTGGGGGAAATACTCTTCAGATCTCTAGCAAGCTCCGGACCAGATGCGAACCATGCACCGGGGATGTGGCCTTTGCGATAGGCTGGGCTTCGGGCGAGATCGATCACAGTCTTTGTATCTTTCAGGCTTTGAAACTCCTCAATCGTGATGACTCCTCCTTTTGGGGGAATCCATGAGGGAGTGGCCGAAACCGAGAGGCTGTCGGGCACTGTAGATCGTTGGTCCAAGACGTACACCTCCCATCCGAGTTGTACGAGCCAGCTGGCGGTCATGCGTGCACGTACCCCGTCTGTGTCATACAGCACCAGGCGAGCCCCTCTGACCCCGACCCATTCTTCGGTGGCTTGTACCAATTGGCCCCCAGGGGCGTTTATGAAGTGAACCGGGTGACCAAGAGCGTACTCCTCCGGGTCTCGCACGTCCAACAGATATAGAGTGCGGGTATCTGACTCTGCAGCGAACCTTTCAAGTTGATCCGCATCAATGAGTGTGACGCCAACGTGTTCGGCCCAAGCCGTCGCATGCTCCCGTGCCCTTTGCGATGCCTCGGTCGATGGCTGTGCGACGCGCTCTGCCTTCTTAGTATCCAGCTCTAAGCCCTCTAACGTCCACCCGATTGTACCGTTCCGGAGCGCTACCACCTTGTTGGGAACCCCCGAGTTGATCAGCGTCTGGGTGCCCACAATACTGCGCGTTCGACCTGCACAGTTGACAACGACCGTCGTTTTCGGCGAGGGCACGGCCTCGAAGAAGCGATAAAGCAGTTCTCCACCCGGACAGCTGCGCCCACGGGGAATGCTCATCGTGCTGTACTCCTCGAAGCGGCGCGCATCGAGTACAGCCACATCACTAGCACTATCCTCTAGGATCTTTTTGGCATCCCGCGCCGAGAGCGACGGCGTATGATTGATCGCTTCGACGAGTTCGCCAAATGCCTTGGACGGTACACCGACATCGCGGTAGACCTCGCCGACAAGAGCGTACGCAGACAATCCGCCGTCTAGAATGGCGACGTCGGAATACCCGAGGGCAAGAATGCGGGGTATGGCGCGCTCGGCGTACCCCTCGCCATCGTCGTAGACGACAATCGGTGCAGACAGGCGTGGAACCAGCGCAGGGAGCTTTCCCTCAATCTCTGAGATGGGCACGCTGATTGCGAATAGCGGATGCGACTCAGCGTAGGGTCCTTCTTCGCGCACGTCGAGGAGGGCGATTTCCTGCTTGTTTACCCAGTGCCGGCGCAGGTCGCGGGCGGTTATCGATTTGGCCATTTTGCGCGGGGGAGACTGAAAGACTGCTATATCTACTCGGCCATTATATACATACTTTATATCTGTTCGGAGGTTTTTGCTGCGGCTTCCCCGCTTGCAGCTCGGCTCAAGTGACGCCATTGCAGCTCCAAATTCGCAAGACCACGCAACTCCAGTCTCCAACCTCCGCTCCTGCTTCGCCTGCCAGACGATCCATTATCAAACAAAACCACTCCCCACTCCAAATAAATATCCTCCGAGTATGAGCCTCACTCGGCAAGAGCGAAAGTCGTGCGAAACATGCCGTGAGCCGATCCCTCTATGCTGAGATTGGAGACCGTTGAAACTAACCAGGGATCGCGAGGACCCCAGGCGCACGCAAGCTTCGGTGCTCAGGGGAGAAGAGCGGATGTGCACGCTGTCGCAGCCTGTCGTTGACCTGTAAGTTCAAGGATAAGGGGGCGCCCGGCAGGCCGAGGAAGCGCGCTGTCGACTATGGCGCGAGCTTGCCAACAGCCGGAGGTGGGGGAGGATCCTCGACGTCGACGCCGAGCTCCTCAAACTCACACTCACATTCCCATTCGCACTCGCACTCACATTCGCATGTTTCTTCGCTCGTACCAATCCCGCGAATAATGGATTCCGGGGATTTCGGCGGGTATTTCCCTTCAGAGCTCGCGGCGAACTGCGGATTCGATTCTTTACCCCGCGGACTCTTGCTCGGCGACAGCGATCTCTGTGCACTGCCTATAGAATCATGGCAAACGCCGCACGAGCACGATACCGACATCCTCGGGGCATCTACCAAGGACACAGACCCATATGTCTCGCCCGTGTCGCTGCCACCGTTGTGCAAGTGCGACGAAGAGGTCTCGGCTACAGCACGGAGTCTCAGTCGAGCGCGCATGTCGCACGACATCATTCTGGCGCTCCGCACAGGCGTATCCCTGGCAGAAAGGCTGCTTACCTGTCCAATCTGCTATGACGTATCAAAACCGCCGCGGGTGACCGTGCAAAACGTTCTCTTGATCGGCCATCTCATGTTCGAAGTCACGTCGGGCTACCTAAACTACCTCCGGTGGCTAAACGATAAAGATAGGAGGAAAGACGATGACGGATCGGAAGCTGGGAAGGAGCGTCCGACGACCGTCTATCTCGGTTCCGGGCTGGGAGTCGTGGATTTACAGATCTCCGCCGACAAGCTGCAGGAGCTTGTGATGCACGGGCTACAGAGTGATGTCGAGCGATTACTTGCACTCGGGGAGAAATTTGCACAGCGTCAGCGGAATCGCCATATGGTTGGGCACGAATCTTGTCCAGACCCGGAGGGCCACTGCCGACGGAAGCAGGACGACAATGTCGACCGCGACCCGCTGGATGTTTGTCCGCACCATCCCGTGGCGCGCAGGCTGGTGCCTTGCTTCCGCATCGTGGACGAGGTGCGAGGGATGATTCAGCAGGTTTCCGAGGCTGTTATGTGATATCCAATTGCAATATGCGTGTTCTCATTTCATTTCCTTGTATTGCTAGATCTTGAAAGCTCTGTCAATGACACCCATTCACCGTCACGGGCGCCTTCGCCTTTGCCTTGCCCGTACTCGCACAGCAAGACTGAACCCCCAGCCTACAAAAGCACGACGAACTAATCTCCACATCAGCCTCCACCAGCGCAAGCACCAGCTGTTTCTTGATGATATTCGCCTCTGCATGCCGCCCCAGTGCCTCCAGACACTCATGATACCCATGCAGCGCCCACACGTTATTCGGATGCTGGTGCGCGCGGTTCGGCGTAGGAACCAGCCCCAAATCCTCCGCATACGCCTGTGCAGCACGCTCGACCTCCCCCTGCTCCAGCGACAATGCTGCATACGCATGTCGCGCAGGGAGCATCCACCCCCACGGCTCCGCAAAGGGCAGCTCATCCTCCAACCGTACCGCGTCGGCTAACCTCCGGAACCCAGTCTCATAGCTCCCACGCCGATACTCGATCTCGCCATCCAACATGGCCGACGCAATATGCAGGATATCCGTGATCTTATTTGGGAAATCGAGCCTCGTCGGCGGGACGAACCGCGCAGCAGCATGGAACGCCTCACGGGCTGTATCTGCCTCCTCTACCCGCCCCGTCGCGGCGAATGCGATGCCCCGGCCATACTCGCGGAACAGATTCGTCACGCAGTACAGCTCTTTATCCTCGCGCTCCTCCAGCCTCAACAGATCCTCCCACATCCCAAACCGGATATACACATGCACCCGCACCGCGAGAAAAAACTCCATCCAGTTCGCGAGCGCCGGCGTCTCGACCCGGAGAATCTCCTCCGTAATTGTCTCCTCCATCCGCCCCGTCGCCTCCAGCGCCGCTCTACTCTTCCCACCCAGCATCGCCGCGTAGATCAGCGAGTGGTAGTCGTGCAGCCGGTAGTAGCTGTAGAACGTCAACCCGCCGTTCCGGCGAAAGTACTTGTCGTCGGCGACGGTCGCCTTGTAGTTGTACTCGACGGCGCGCCGATAATCGCCGACGAGGACGTCGATGTGCGCGGGCATGTGGTATGTATGTCCCGTATCGGGGATCATCTCGCGGATGAGCTCTGCGGCGGGGAGGGCCGCTTCGGGGGTGGACGACATCTCCATGAGGTGGATGTACATGTGTGCGGGCCCCGGGTGGTTCTCGATCCCGGGTTTCGTGAGAGCGCGCTCGAGGAGGGCTTTTACCTCGAAGACGGGGGAGGAGGCGATGGGGAGGCCCGTGCTTGCGTCGTAGAGTTTGCGCGGGGCCGTGTTCATCAGTGCGTCGGCGAAGAGGGTGACCATGTCGAAGTCGCTGTCGTTGCTGCTGAAGGTTTCGTAGACGCTGCGCATTTCATTTGCGTACGCGAGGCTGCAGCCGGCGAGGTCGCGCGTGGGATCGGCGTTGGGATACCGGATTTCCAGCGCGCGGATGAGGGCGTGTTCCCAGGGGGTTATAGATGGTCCTGTCGCAGTTGCAGTCGCAGTCGCATCTGGCCCTGACCCAGCTCTTGTTTGTGAAGCAGCAGCCACATCCGCCCTCCTCCCCGCCTCCCTCGCATAGACAAAACACGTCCGAATGGCATTCCCGCGATCCGTCTCGTCAAACAACGCCCACGTCTTGTTATAATTCGACCCGGCGCAAAACGCGACGCCCCAATAGCCCATCGCGCAGGTCGCATCGTGCGCAATCACTTGCTTGTAGCAGGTAATCGCCTCGTCGTGGTTGAAGCAGTAGGTCCAAATGAGGGCGCGGTCGAACCATGTTTGTGCGGCGCTTGAGCGGGTGCTGATTTTGCGGGAGAGGGGGCCGAGGTCGAAGTAGGGGTCCGAGGTGGGCTGGGGCTGGAGGCCCTCGAGTTGGAGTTGGAGCTCTGGTGAGGGGGATGCGGATGCGGAGGACATGGTGGTGGGACAGAAGGTCGATTCGTGACCGTTGGTGCAGCTATAGCGAAAGATTTCTCATTCTGAGCTGCGATGGCGGGCGCTCTTGGGTTGATTATCTTATCTACTTGCTCGTAGAATAAATCTTAGTGGGGAGTTGTTTCGGAGGGTTTTCGTCAGCGCTGGAGGCGATGGCGCGATTCTTATTCGAGCTCGGATGGTTTTGCCCCTCAGAAGATCGAATATCCCCCGCCCAGACCCAGTCGCCGAGGGGTAGTTTTGTGGTGGCGCCATTGTTGGAGATGGAGGCTGGATTGCTGTTGCTAAGCTTTTTCTTCATTTTATAAGGGGATTTACGCAGGTTTTGATATTTGTCTTTTCAAAGCAGTGTGAGCGCCAGATTAATTAGATCTAACAAGCGATGTTTGAGAATCAAGTATAGTACTCAGGGATAGTTATCATTACAAGTACCCGGCATCTACTCTCGAAGAATAGCTACAGAAACATAATTCAAGATCGCCATCGTTTCAGGGCTGCTTTCCATTTCTCCAGAGCAACCTGTAGTATGTTCTAACCCCAGCAACCTACCTCATCCCAAACCCCGATAAGCATCGTAAAGAACAGTATATGAGTATCAGCCCATCAATCGCTCATTCATTACATGATACTGATAAGCTACCTAGGTGGGGAGCACTTAGGAATGGGAATCCTCACATTGAACGCGTTCGGGCTGGACGAAGATATCTCTCTACGCTCTGTTCAAACAGACTCCACCTCGGCACGTAGCTAGGTGAATTGAAGCCCTGTGTCCCAAACCATCAGTTCAGAGCTTAGCTTAACAATTAGTTGCGGAGCCTACCATTGGTTCCAAGTACGACCATTCCGTGATCCAGGTGACCAGACGAGGCCCAGCGGAACTACGGATTGATCTTCGCACTATAGAATGCGGGCTCTTTCAGAACGAAGTGATGGTTATTGGATACCAGGACTTTCTTTATATGCTGGTGCCGGGCTACGTGATTTTGGCTGCAACTTTCAGTTCTCCAAGCCATGGTAACCCATGCCCGTGTGCTACCTCGTCGCAATAGTACACCAGGTTTCCGAATATATATATTCCAAACTGGTGAAAGGTTAGTCTCTAAGATCAAGTGAAGATTATGTTAAGATCTGACGCTTTCTAAATTTTCTTTGAGTCATGTTAGCCTCCTACTGCCAGACCTTGATATATCTCTGATTGAAAAGTACAATACTGCTGGATACACATCGTGCTATTATATTATATTATCAACGCAACTAGTAAGAGTTCCCCTACCCCTACCCACTCCTACAATCCATACCCTATAAGATCCCCAAAAACGTCAACAGCCTCAGCACCAACCTCGCCAACGCCGCCAGATCCTCCGTATACCCGTCGACCCCATCCTCGGGCAAAGCCCTCACCGTCTCCAGAATCTGATCAACCAGATTATACACAAACTCCTTCAGCCCCTCACCAGGTTCAATCCCGCCGAGTATAAAACTAATCCCACTATCCACAACCATGCCCAGCAATTCCTTAACCGGCCTGGTTGCACTAACCTGGATCGATTGAAAGGCCTCCTCCCAGTACTGCAGGTGCTGGCCGCGGTAGATGACGGACACGCCCCGGGCGGAGGCCATGACGTTCCCGTCGCGGAGATACGGGATCTCAGACTGGATGATGGCGTCAATGTTGGATTCGACGTCCGCGGTGTTCAGGCGCGCGCGCACGACGAACGTGTTGTTTCCCGGGACGATGTTGTCGACGGCCACGGTGGCTTGGCCCAGGGTTATGTTTGCGATTATCACCGCGAGGGTGACTTCGCCCTGTGCGCTGGTTAGTAGTAGGTCTTGGGTGGGATGATGGGGATGGGGAGGGTGGGAGAGGCAGGAGGGGCGTACGAGGGTTACGGTTGCTGGGGCGGGATTGAACACGACGACCTCGCCGTAGACGTTATTGCCCTGCTCGTCTGGGGGCATGACGCCGATCTCGTTGACCCAGATGTTGGGGAAGTTGTCGAAGCCTGGAGTCGTTAGCAAGAAGTCCCTTCCCACACCCCACACCCATACACTCCAGATCTCAATAACAACCGCAGAACTAGAAAACAAAAAGAGAAAGAACATACCGGGCAAACTAACAACCTTCATCAAATCCACCGTCGTACTCAACCCGGCAACCCCAACCTTGGTCTTCGCCTGCCCCGCCACACTAAAGCGCGGGTTATACGCGACATCCTCAACCAGCAACGCAAACTGCTCAATGTCGCCCAATTTCATCGTCTGATTCACCAGGGTGACCTTTTCATTCGCGGAGAACTTGAGCTTCGGCAGATCGACCGTCGCGATGGGGATCGGGTCGCGGCGCGTCTCGGGGCGGAAGAATTGCGCGCGCATCGAGTCGAAGTTGACGGTGACGGCGTCGGGGACCCGGATGTCGCTGAGCACGGAGAACTCGATGCTGTCGTTTGTGGGGTTCAGCAGGTTGACTTGGACGTTGGGGATGGGGACGCGGTCGAGGAGGTACACGGCGAAGGCGGGGGCTGCGTAGAGGAGGCTGTCCAATGTCAGTGGCTTCAAACCTCTCTCTATGAATAGGTGCGTGGACGGGTTGGTACTTACAGAAGTGGAAGACCAGCTGCGATAAGCACGATGCCGAGAAGACCATAGCAGACAAAGTACCGAGCAATGTGTGAGTTTCCGAAGCCCCTGCCAGAGATAGTGATTAACGCCTGTCTTGCCGTACACAGAGGGGAGATATACTTGATCTTCTTCTTCTTCTTGGGCTCTTGTTTCTCGCCACTGTCGGCTTGCGCTTCCTTTTCGTCTTCTGCACCTTGGATGTAGAGCCTATCCAAATGCAATTTAGCAACCTTCACTCACGTCCAAAATCTTTTGGGGAGGAATCGCATACGGACGAGAAGCATATTGTCCAATATTAAACACAACGCCGAGAATACGGAGGCCGCCCTAAACAATATCAGTATCTGCCCACTGTCTACTGGTAAAGGCGAGGTAATCAAAAAGACTCACGAAAAACCCACTCGCGAACCACGCCAACGCAGCCAGGAACGTAAACGCCGTCCCGGCCTTGTACGTCGAGCAGCTCACATCGTTGTCTGGGCGGAATCCATAGCAGTCGGATTCGGCAAACTAGACATACCACTTGGATTAGCATTTGCACTGCACCTCCACCCACAATCCCAAAGAACTCCAACGCCGCTCCCTCCCCCTCTCAACAAGAGGAACAAAAAAAAAAAAGAGAGCAATACCTGCACAACCAACGCAAAAACCGCCGCAAGCAGCGCCCCCAGCGCCCAAAACAGATCCCAGAGGAAATTCGGATACGGCGGGACGAGGCAGGCTACGGCGCCAAAGGATGAGATCGCGATGATGTAGATGATCAGGTCGTCGCTCCAGGCGTTGTTTGTGTAGAAGCGCGCGTTGAGGCCGATGGTTATGATCGAGGAGATGAAGACGCCGATGCGGGTTAAGAGGCCGAGGAAGGTGAGGAGCATTTTTGCGGTGGATGCCCTTTCGAGGGAAGGGGGGTTCGGGGTTTGGGACTGGACAGGGAGGGAGAGAGGAACGATGGGAGATGGGGATAAGATGGAGGAGTGAGGGTGGGAGTGTTAAGCACGCACGCAACGCAACTGCTCGTCTCAGCACCTCGACTCACTCGACGCGGGGAGAGGGATAGAAATTGCGGGGATCGGAAAATAAAGTAAGAAAATATTACTGCTCATGGGTTATCGTTAGCCAGCGGATGTCATTAGACCAGGGTACCTTCACAAGAGCCAAGTGGGCGGCGACACATCTAAACCCTAAGCAAGCGGTCCGCGGTAGGGATTCGGGACAAGGGCTGGCGCTGGGGCCTAACTCCGCATTACTCGACGGAACTTAGGGGGAAAGGGGACTAGGAAGGGAAAGTAAAAGGAGGAGGGAGGGAGGGAAGAAAATGGGGCTTGGGCTGGGGCTCGTGACGGGGCCAGGGCCAAGGGTGCCCGGTAACTCGAATCCTGGCGTCTCCGACACGACTGTTGCTGGCCTGTGCCACGTCTGTGCTAGTCCAGGCGGGAGTCTTGCGAATCGGGCGAATCTCAATTGCTACGAGGCTGATCTTGTGTATTTTCGAGGCGTTTACCCGGTTGTGCTACGATTCTCGAGGGCAGCTTGTAGCACTGATGACCACGACTGCATCTTCTCAGTCTCTTATTCGTCTCGACTATATCATAAATTCACATTACTCATAAGCGAAAGTAAGAAGAAGACACCCATCACAAATTTCCTGCCCAGTTCCCCAGTAAAGCACATCAAGGCTTCAACAACTGCCCACCCCTCTTCTTAATCTTCTTCCTGAACAACCGAATCGAATACGTCTTGGGCAACTGCCGAATAAACAGCGGCGTAAACGGATACACACAGCTCATCCCACTAACAAACAACCCGGAAAGCGCACGAGAAGTCTTGGTCGACTTGAGATGAAACTGCTCACGCACAGACGGCGGAAGCTGTTCAATCGTCAACCGCCGGATAAACGGCATCGCAACGACCACCGCAGGGCGCAGCCACAGCGGGACACTCTTGACGGGGTGGAAGATCTCCTTGAGGACGAGCTCCGCGTCCGCCGTGACGTGCAGTCTGTTCTCGACCATGTCGCGCCAGTAGATGCGGAAGGCGCGGAGGTCGCGCGGCCACATCTCGCGGGGCACTTGGAGAGACGTTCCCATGACCGAGTAGGCCTGGAAGACGCGCTCGGCCATTGCCGGTGGCAGCGGGCCATAGATGAGCTCGTACATGCCGACCATGGACGCGTAGATGGTGGCCGCGACCCAGAGCTGCAGCTCCGGGTCGAGGGCCGAGTACGGCCGGGGCCCAGACTCCTGGATCACGCGGCTGTGCGCCATGTCCACCCACGACTTCATCAGCCGCTTGTCCTCGTCGTTGCCGAAGATCATCACGTAGATGTACATCTGCGTGTACTGCAGGCGGGAGATCGCGCGCTTGGTGAAGGTGCTGTGGTCCGCGACGCCCTGGCCCACGAGCGGGTGCGCGATCTGGAGGAGGATGGCCGCGGGGCCGCCAGCGAGGGCGATCCCCTCGCGCGCGACCTTTTTCAGGTCTTTCATGGCGAGCGGGGACACGCCGTTGAAGGGGTTGTCATCCTTTTCGATGGTGATGGTGAAGGAGCCCTCCGAGTGGGAGTGAGAGGTGGAGGAGGTCGTCTTTTCCGCGGTGATTCCTGTCATTGTGCTGGTTGTGCTTGCCGCAGCTTGTCTGTGGTTCAAAAGAAGGAGGTTTAGAACCAGATCTATGTGCCCAACAAGTCAAGCAACGTCTAATAAATAGAATATGCCAGTTTCACAATACTCTTTGCTCGCAGGTGCAAGCATGCCACGCCATTCTGATATAACCCATCCGGCCGACACACATCCATCGTGCATCTATCAAGGAGGGGACTCAGTCCGAGGGACCCTAGCCGCTGCCGCGAACCGCCATCGGCACCAAAGGAGTCTCATGCTTGATCAGCGTAAGGATGGCACGATCAGGGCTTGCCCCTCGTGTCTCAAAGTCACGAGTGGGATTCAGACGCGTGGGGTAGGTCAGCATTGAACGTGGTGGGGAAGCGGGGGAGGCAAGGATGGCAACGGCGGCGATATCACGAGGATATTTCTGCCATTTGTCAAGTGTCGTCGCGAGGCTCTCGGTGCTGACGATCTAGTTAGGGCACCTGTGCGAGTTGTTGCAGGGTACTGCTGAGAAATGGATTTGCTGCGGCTTGCGAGGGTCTTTCGGAAATTCAATCAAAATTTAGGTTGTTCGGGACTTGGTTGACGTGCCGGGTCCCACATGGTCGACTCCGCGCCTGCAGTAGCGGATTTTCAAGCCAATCATCGTATTTTCAGGGTTTGATATCTGTATTTTTGTTACGCCTGCCTTACCGCTAGAGTACTGCCCTCCTCCAGGATCCCTGACGACTATCCTTGAGGGTGTGGTGTAGTGGTAGATTATCAATCTCGTTGCTTCTGGCCCCGCATATGAATTTTTTTTTTTTTTTTTTTTTTTTTTGCTTTTGGTTTTGCAGGAGGATGACTCTTGTGGCGAGGTGTGCCAATACGAGCTTGCGCATTTGGAATTGCAGCTGCATGCCTCAGGGGTAAAGGATTCAGCAGGAGCTCGACTGCCGCCTCAGAAGTACGCGGACTCTGTGCAAAGAATTTCTAAAGTGTAGACATGTGGCCATCAAACCTGGTCTTGGACACGAGTTGGGTAGGGCAGGGGATGGCTACCGGGGTTTCACTGGCATGGCTAGATTTGCACAGCTCAGATAGAACTGGCAGATGTGTCCCGGAGTGTAAAAGAGAAGGAAATATGATTTCTAGCAACTAGAATAGAACCAAGACTAGAAGCAGCAATGCAAGCAAATCGCAAGGGAAGCATATTAATATTACCAGAAGGCTACATAGGCCGCCTAATGGCCTCCAAGCACTGCGACTATATACACTCGACAACTCTCACCATCCACTCATTCGTTCCTGGAGGACATGTACACCCCATTGCAGCGCACCATATTACCCAATAGTGTCCTCCTTTCTTCCAGGTAGTCGTTCCCACACGAGATCGTGTGATGGTCAAATAGGGACCAGTCGTAGAGCCTGACTATGCGAGATAGTCGTGATAATCGAACGGAAAGCACGGAGCACAACGACTGATCCCCGCCTCTCGGCCAGCTTAGCCGAAGATGGCGCCGAGGATGCCAGAGATGAGCTGGACAATAGCGTTGATGAGCTGGAACAGACCACGTTAGCTAGAAGCCCATCCGCAGTCTAACGAGTAAAGAAAGAGAGAAAGAAAGCAACATACCGGAGCAACCGCATCAATCAACCCACCAACGGCATCAACAAAGTCGTCCGTAAGCAACCGCGCCGCAGAACCCACAAGGCTAACAATCTGGCTGGTCGTGTTGTCGTTGAGCAACTTGGCAGCGTTGCGGAGGACGACCTGGATCTGCTGGAAGGTCTGCGGGTTAAGGAGGTCGAGGAGGGGACCGATGGAGTTGATCAGGTCGCCGATGAGGCCGCCGAGTCCGCCGAGGGTGTCGCCGCCGCCGGTGCCGTTCTGGCGCTCGACGAGGGCGTTTTTGAATTCCTCGATTGCTTCTGGGGCCGGGATGGCGAAGGCTAGGAAGGGGAGGGCGAGGAGGAGGAGGACTTGGAAGGACTTCATCTTGAAGAGCTGGCCTTGAATGCGCAAGGAGTTTAGGGTGAGTGTTTAGAGTTGATGGGGTAGCGTGAGCTTAAGAGAGAGAGAAGCTTGGGGCACCGGTGGACTCCTGGGATTCTGAGGTTGCTGATGGGGAGGAAGGTTGGGGGTGTACACTCGGGGTGCTTTTATATCTATGGCTCTGTTGTTCTCTGCTGGTGGGATGTACTTCGAAGGCCAGGCTAAGACAGCGCAATCTTAGTCTCCCCCGGCCCGTAGCTCCATGTGATGCGAGGATTACTTGATTCTGGCTGACTGCTTCGGCGAATTGCCCGCGGATCGACGGTGATAATCAGGAGAATCCAGGAGAAGGCAATGGCAACCACTGGGGGGAGTGCGGGGTTGGAGGCTGCAGGGTCGAGACTTTGTCATTGGACTTGGGAAATGAGGCCTCCTTTTGGCTGTAGACTAGCAGGAGGAGCTGCATCTGGCGCATTTGTTCCTGGCTAGTTTGCCACCGAATCCTTCTTGCTTGATATGTTGGGATTTTGAATAATACGGAAAGGTCCCATTGTTCGCCAGCCATAGAAAAGGGTAAAGAGATGTACGTAGATAGAGCACAAGAAAACCACAGCGTACTTCAGAGTACAAGTGAGACTGCCTGTACATGCCAACTCATGCTAGGCACAACTTCTGTATTCTGCCAGAGATCTTCCGACCAACAGACAACTAAGACATATCCAATTACTACTGACACAACCCCCATCAGGTGGCGCCCCGTGGCATCACGCCTGGATCCTCTGGCGCCATGAGGGGAACCACCTTGTCGACCGTGGCCCCCCGGCCGGAACCACCAGAGCAATTTCAGCAAGCCTCGCGATCAACAAGCGCATGTTGCGTCCTAATCCGTCTTTCCTACCTGATTTTGTCTCGCCGCGGAAGTGGCCAAGCGGACCGCGGAGACCAACCCTATCTCCAATCCCATCGGCAGTCTTTTCCTGCTTTCTGGCACATTCTTCCGAGTCTTCCCTTTGCGCATCTGTGGGGTAGATAGGGGCTCTCAATCAGTCAGAGCCATATTCACAGTCACAGTCGCTGCTCTTATATGCATGTGTCCTTGGCAGCTGCCGGTGGATTCTTAGAGTATGTCTACCTCCCTCCCCCCGGGCCCTCCTCTTTTCTGACCTGACTGAGCCTTTATCTCTTTGTGTGGAGAACAAGTCTTGCTACTCTGCTCCGTCTGCTCACATCGAGGTGAACTTCACTTCAAGACCATCTCAGCTGTTGCTCGCTCACCGTCAATCTTATCCAAGCCAACATGCGTTTCTCCATCATCTCCATCTTCTGCCTCGCGACTGCGGCCCTTGCGCAGGACGACGCGCCGACTACCACCATCGACATTGGCAAGCTGCCTTCGCAGCTGTAAGTCTTCCCTCGCCACGAGTGTCATGTCCCATCCACACTGTAAACCACATACATACTAACAAGAAAAACCATAGCTCCCAACTCGCCGCGCTCCTCCCAACCCTGCCCCCCAACTGGGAACTCCCCGAGCGCTTCAGCAGCCTGCAAAGCGCGCTCCCCACTCCACCCCCGGGCATCGCCAAGGACGTCCTCGCCGCAATTCCCACGTCCGTCCTGCGCGGCCTTGTGAACCCGGCCTCGCGCAGCGCGCTACAGGCCCAGGTCGCCAGCGACGGGCCACCGCAGTGGTACCAGGACCTGCCGACCAGCGTGAAAGATTACTTTGCGCTGTTTGCGACGCAGATTGCCGATCGCAGTATTACGTACAACCCGGAGGCGGCTGTTGCGACTAATGGGAGTATTGAGGCGAGTACTGGGGATGATGATGGCGAGGGTGGCGAGGCGTGGGATTTGAACGAGGTTGTGCAGGATGAGGATGAGTCCGGGGCGATGGTGGCGTTTGAGCGCAAGGCGGTTAGCAGTAGTTTGCTTGTTGCGTTGGGGATTTTGGGGGTTGCTGTTGCGCTCTAGGTTGTCGTTGTGAGGAAGTGGGTGAGTGGGTGAGGGGGACCGAGTCAGTTGTTTTGGTGCATGTGATGGGGCGAGGTTGAGTCGAGATGTGATGCGGGGAGAGGGGAGGAGAGGGGATAGGATGGGGACGAGTCGGCCGTGCTCCGGAGTAACTGATTGTATTTAGTCCCAGGACGGGAATAATCCTCAAGGGGTGCCTAGTAATCAAGTCTGGATTAATGGATTGGATCGCATCGCATTGCATCGCATTGCTCACAGGCAGGACAGGCAGCAGCCTCGCAGGCAATGCCATTTTCGCCCTAGCCTAGACAGCGGGGAAGACCCTAACTGAGCTACCGATGCTAACGGTAGTGAGAGGGGCAAGACAGAAAGGCTGTCGATCATCTCGCTTCGAGCCAGGGGTACCTCCTGTCATTTCTCTCTCGGCCCGAACTGGGGCTGCAGGGGGTCAGCCTGTCCTCTCGGCGTGGCCCTGTCGACGACTAGATCGGACGCTAGACCCGCTAGAACCCTGGCTCACGCCTGCAGATGGGCTAGTATTTTACAAGCCACATACCACGCGCTAACCCCCGGCCCGAGTGGAGTGCCAACGGTCCTGCCCTGGGGCGATGATGACTGGTCGATAACAATGGCCGTTATGCGTGGTTCGGGCCGGGAGTGCTGACGGTGATACTCACACTTGGAGACTAGCTCTGTCTTGTTTTGTGGGTGCTCCACTGTCCTCGACAAGTATGGATTGCGAGTAGACAAGTCCAGGAAGAACAGCATTCGGTATAACAAGAATAGTATCTCCACGCGTGCGTAATCCCGAACCTAGAACCCCATCAGCGGCTCTCATATCCTTGATATGCAGCTGTCAGGGGCAAAAGAATGCGGAGTATTGCGGAGAAGGCAATGGCAGTTCGGCTGTGCTAAGCCTAAGAAGATCTACTGAGTTAGTGGCCTTGAGATGTGAGGTGTGCGTCCTCTCCAAGCGGGAGACGTGTACGCTGATTTATCAGTCTGGTCTGCCTGGTCGTCCTTTTCGGTCCAGTTGATTGTGACTCTGGACGTATCTGTGCAAACTGTCTCGAGCTGGTCAACGCACTCCAGACAGAATGGATTCAAACGAAAAGGAACCTCTCTTAATCGAGCCCTCACCAGACGCATCGGGTTCCGATGCCTCACTTGGTTTCCAGAAGAGTCCCAGAAACAAGAGCCCAAAGATTGAGAAACTCAACAAGCCCCCGAGAAAACGATCGCGAATCGCCTGTACCTGGTGCCGAGACCGAAAGGTGCGCTGCGATGCCTCGAGCCACGGCGTCCCATGCACAAATTGCGAACTTGACCAGCAAGAATGCGTTGTTCACTCCGCATCCCAGTACGTATATTCCCATCTCCATACTCCGTCGAGCGTGTCGAGATAGAACAAATCAGACCTAATGGAGATTAGAAACATCCGCACCAAAAAACCAGGCTGCGCACGCCGCCAGCCCTACCCCTCCCCACCCAGCACCCTCAAATCCTCCGTCTTCCAATCCCCCGAAACATCCTCGCGAAGCCCTCTAATCTCACACACCTGGAACGAAAGCGACACCGTCCCCTGGAACACGCCGCCAGTACAGGGAACCGCCGCCTCATCCACACCACCACACTTCGGACCCGTTTCCGACGTCTTCTACTCATTCCACCCATTCCTCAAACTCCCCGGGCTCTCCGAGGTTCCGCAAGAGGATATCCAGTATCTGAATCTCAAGGGATGTTTTCGAGTGCCGTCCGGTGGGACGCTCGATGAGTTTGTCCGGAAATATTTCCTCTATGTGCATCCTTGTCTGCCGATTATCAACGAGGCCGAGTTTTGGCAGATGTATTATCATCAGTCAGGTGTTGGAGCAGAGGAGGGGGGGTTGAGTCTCTTTACGTTTCAGGCGATGCTTTTTGCGGCCTCGGGGGTATGTTGCTTTATCCCGCTTTGTTGGGAAGGGCAGATGAGTGCTGACAGCGCGTATAGTTTGTGTCATCAAAAGCAATCAAATCTGCCGGATTTGTAGACGCTCGAACGGCGCGAAATACCCTGTACACACGGGCCAAGGTACCCTTCCCACGCCTCTGCATACCAAAGACGACTTTAGCTAACGCATCCCAGCTCCTCTACGACCTAAACTGCGAAAAATCCATCCTCTCCACAATCCAGGGCTCGTTGTTACTCACCCACCACTCCTCCTCATCGGACCTGCACGCGGGCTCCTTATGGCTCAGCATCGCAATCCAAAACGCCATCGTCTACAACGCGCTCCACCCGTCCCCGGCCCCCTCTGCAAATCCAACTGCAATCTCAACCCAAGGCCCATCGACCAAGCAAGAAAACATCAAGCGCCGCATCTGGTGGTCGATCCTCCTCCGCGATCGAATCATCCCACTGGGTCTCCGCCGGCACCCACAAATCACACCGCAGACGATGGATCTCACGGGCGAGAGCTGCCTCACGCCGCTGGGCGAGCGGGATTTGGAGGATGAGATTTCGTGCTCGGAGGTTTATGATGCCGAGACGAAGAGGTTGCTGGCCAGGGTACTGGGGATCCAGTGTGAGCTTGCGGTTGTTTTTTCGGATGTGCTTGTTCTTGTTAATTCGGGGGTTGGGACGGGGGTCGGCGTGGGGTTTATGGGGATGGGTGGTGCGTTTGGCCAGGGGAAGAGGCAGAGTCAGGTGCAGTCTCAGACGCAGACGCAGACGCAGACGCAGCAGGCTCAGTCGACAGCGGGTGTCAAGAAACAAGTCGCACACTGCAAAGCCGCACTCCTCAAATGGTCCACAAACGCAAAGGCCGCGCTGGGGGCAGTCGTGAACTCGCACATGACGCACGAGTCTGTCAGTCTGTACTTTGGTTTGACATTCTTCTACTACCAGTGAGTACCCCTCTTCCATTCCAGGCACTCATAAAAAGGGATGGAAAGTCAATATTGACCGAGGAATTAGCGCCGCCCGCCTCGCCCTGTGCAACTTTGAAGCCCTAACCCTCCAACTCAACAAGCCCTTGCCCACCGAAACCACTCCTGAAGCCTCCTCAGCAGCCGCCGAAGAAGCAGAAGCAGACCACGAACGTATCCAAGATGACCTCGAAGACGCAACGGGCTGTATCACAGATACAATCAAACGGTTTCTCGCGCAGGGCGTCGCGCACCATTTACCTATTAGCACGTAAGACACCCCCCCTATCTCCCTCTCTTCCCACTTAACCCCTCCTCCCCACTTAAGAAGACACACCAATCTAACACTATCTTTTTGATCGTGTAGAATCCCCCTAACAGCGCACCCCCTCCTCCTCTCCGCGCTCGACGTAAAACTCTCGTCGACAAAATCCCAGTCCGCAACCCGCAAGCGCCGCTTCCGCTACTACGCCAACCTCATGCAGGTCTACCAGCACCGCTATGATGGGACAGATACGGTCGCCGGGTTCATCCAGCAGACATTGCAGGTTGTGGATTGGATTCTGCCGAGGGCTGCGGCGGGGTTTGGTGTGCGGGTGAGGGACCGAGTGGGAGGAGGGAAGGAGGGTACGAGTACCGCTCAGGCTGCTGCTGCTGGGGGTGGTGGTGCCGACGCAGGGACGAGAGGGGCCCGTGGCGGGAGTGCGAGTCCGGCTCCGCCTCCTGCGCCCGCGAGCTGGTCGGAGCTTTTCGCCGAGTATCCCAAGCTCTATCTCCGGCTGACGCTTGCGCTGGACTATGGGTTTGGTCGCGGGTATTTCCCTGCGTATGCGGAGATCCACGAGTTGCTTGGTGGTGGTGGAGACGATGTCGGGCCCAGGGGTCTGGAGGGCTCTCTTGGGTCTGGACCTGGATCTGGACCCGGATCCATGCCTGCGTCGTCGATTCTCGCGTCGGATCTGAGGGCTTCGCCGACGAGTCCTAGTTTCGGAGGTCCCGGTCCCGGTCCTACTGGTGGTGCTGCGCCGAATCTGGTCTCGGGGACGGTCTATACACTGCTTGGGCCGGAACACCCACACCAACACCAAGACCACCACCAACCTCAACAACAGACCTCCCACCTCCAGCCGCCACCGCTATCCTCGCAGCACGGACTGCCGATTGCCATGGGGAGTGCCGAAAATGCGATACTCGATCCACTGGGCATCGCGAGCTACGACCCCGCCATGCTGGAGCAGTACGCATACCCTACGCAGCTCTCACCTACGCAACTGCCATTCTCACATCAGGATTATGGGTGCGGGATGTATACGCTCCGGGGTGGATCTTTGCTGGATGAAAGTGGGAGTCCTGAGTTTCTCAACCTGGGGAGCTCGGCGTCGGAGTACTCGGATGGAGTACTAGGGGGTGGGGTTCCGGTGGGCATGGTGGAGGAGGGTGTTGTTAGTGCGTAAGGCACTTTTGAGATGCTATGTCATGTGTTATGTTTGTATGAAATTTGAAACCAGGCGCGTATGATTTGTTCTATGCTTGCTCTCGCACGGGTAACCAGGGCACGAAATCTGGGGCCGGACCGCAGGAAGAAGGACGCGGACGGAAACACGAAGGACGCAAAGCGGGTGGGGAGGACGAGAACACGCGGGGACGAACCGGCGCAACGATACCACGAAAGATCGATCCTATTTCTGTACAGTATGAACAAATGCAATGCAGCTTGACCAGACACAGTTAGATAGAATACATTCTCCCCACAATGGCGCTGCGCTCGAACCCCCTGCTCCTTCCGACAGAGCCCAAACAGGGCATCGTCTCGCAGCAGGGCCCTCGCAGGAGCCGAAAGGGCAAAAGATCTCAACAAAACCAGATGCACAAACCAATCGGCAGACACACAGCTCCTAAAAGTTCACCCACTAGCGTAAGCATGCGGAGGCCACATCACACGCCCCCAGGCCAGGATACGCGGAGGATTTGGGTCCCGCGGCATCTCGGGACCGGAGCAAGCTAGGGCATGTCAGGGGCTTGGGCTACCCCGTAAACCGAGCCGTCGTTGCTGTCGGTCTGGTCGTCATTGGACTCGTTGGCGGGGTGTGGATACGTCAGGGAATAGAGCATAGATTGGCCGTTTCCGGCCGTCTCATTATAGTAGTCAAGTACCCACATGTTAGATGCTTGGTTCTCGTCGTCTCTCATGTATACTTGGCCAAAGTCACCTGGCTGGTTCAACTCGTTTCCCACAATAGTGGTGGGAATACTACCAGAATGTCCCATTTGGTCATATGATACCACCTGGTTAGGTGTGGGTGGGAAGAATGGTACTGCCATGGGAGGCATCTGGTTCAAGAAGTCAAGGTTGATAGGTCCTTGGTCAAATGTCACGGGCGTAGTTTGATAATTGTACACGTTCCCATACACAGCTCCATCCTGCCAGAGTGCTCCGGGTAACGTCGGGACCTGCAGAGGAGGCTTGGCCATTCCCACAAGAGGGCCGCCTGCAATGGCGCTGGGCATGGGCATCGCATCAGTCTGGGGTCGAATGATAGACAGTGGCCGAGTGGGCGGGCAGTAGGAGGGACACCAAAAGTCTGCCCCTGTAGCGTCGGAAGGGTTGATCAAGTCCGTCTTTGTCATCCAAGGAAGCCTGACCTTTGGAGTATCCGGTGGTGTATTTAGAAGAAACTCGGGAATGTCGTTGTCATGCGGTAGCCGGCCTACAGAAAGGCTGTAGTCGACCGAGGTAGAGATCAAAAGATACGCCCTGGGGTAGCAGATCCAAAGATCTGGCCAGGTGGCCAACCGGTTTCCGGCACCAAGCTTGAGGCTGTGGTTCATGTTCGCACTCTTTGCCATTTGAGCGGAAGGGCCACCAGCACCAGGGAGGTGCGACCGATTCTCACGAAGCAACACTTCTTGAGAGAGGCTGTATACCAGCTTGAGGATCTGGTTTGTTCCAACGGCGACATAGTTTGTTACATTGTACAGAAGCGCTAATCGACGATATATGTCTGCTAACAAATCGACGTGTCGTCTTCGCAGGGCCATGTCCTCGTATGATCGTGCAAGCTTCGCGTCGAGTGCGGCATTAACCAAGGGCGTCGCGACAAAAGCGAGACTACCAGCGTTAGCGATGAAGAGAGATGGCAGCCGGGAAACTTACGTGCAGAGCGGAATATTTTCAACATTCTGGACGTCGCTGAAATACTCCATTGTTTCGGTCAAGCTGCCCACCGCATCCTTGAGATAGCTTCCACATTCGCATAACTGGTTCGTGTAGCTCTTCCCGGCAAAGTCTGCATGGCTTTCTACAATGAGTGCTTCATAGTGGGCTAGGTTAGATTGTGCAGCGCTAAGTCGGTTAGTATGAAGCAATCAAAGCACATCTTGCCAAACTTACTAATAGTACATATAAGTCACTTTGATAAATGTCGTGACCGGGGAGGGCAGGATGGAGCCGTTGGGTAGCGTTTGTGGTGGGGCAAATCTTCGCTCCCACTGAAGAAGTTCGTTCCTTAATCGCTTAATTTCGCATCGGTGCGACTGAAAGGCCTTGAACGAGAGAGAAGGTGAAGATACACCATTTGTCGTAAACATGAAGGTTGCCATGTCGGTCACCAAGACCGCCAGGCGACACTGGTGTTGCAGGGTCTCGAAAAGTATTTGCTTCGACTCCTTATCGTACACGTGAGAATGGGAGATCTCATCGGCAAAGTCCGCTTCTTCTAAATAGCTTGTCTCCGCGTTGAAATGCTTCGAGGTAATCTGTGTGCGACGGCGCAACCCAAGGCAGAGGCACCTGTCTCGGAGGAGAATTGACCACCATAATCGTTTCTTCATCGCATCCCGCAGGTCACCGGCGAAAGAAACGGGTTGCTGCCCAAGGATTACAGTGTTTTGTGTGGCATAGACAAGCCATAGGCTGCCTGTCTGGGGATCGTCTGGCGAGACCTGATGCGAGAGGAGGACCGACCCTTGTGCCTTATTCAGAGGGGAGTTTTCGGCGCGTAGGTCAAATAACAGCTAGTTGAAAGCCAAATGTGAGAAACTGAGCAGCCTGTATTGAAAGGGATCAATTACTCTGGGCAAAACTCACCTTAGCCCGCTTATAAAACGATGCCCTTGCAGTCTCTTTATCGGTAAAGCCACATTTCTGAATAGTTTCGAGAGACACATCCTAGAACCGGTCAGTTGATCGAATGGCAGGTGGGATAGCCCGGCATACGGAACACGCCATGAACAGCATTGCATGAAAGACAAAGAGCGATATTTTCTGGTCGGAACTTTGTATAGGCCCGTCCCGTTGCAAGTATACGCGCCAGAATTTCGCTTCGTCCAGAACTGGAGTCTGAGGGTGTGTGTGCAGGAAGAATTTTGTAATGAATTCATCGAGGGCCGGCTGCTCAGGTAAAGAGAAACACCCTTTGGACCGCAGATAGGAAACGTCCTCTTTGTCCAGTGCTTGAAGATTATTCAACTCGAGGAATGAGTACCGCGAAAAGTCGACGCTGCCTGGTGGGGTTGCATCTCTTGTATGCGCGTCTATCAAATAACATTATGGTCAATGGTTAGCCTTTCAGATTGTCTTTGCGAGAGACCAAGGGTGTTCACCGTCAGCGCGCCGCGTCGGCCGCTCGTCTGAAGTCGGCGAGCCGGTAAGGGCATTCTGGTAGAAATTCCTCGAGCTGTTTCAGAAGTTAGCTGGGCTTGCGGCACGATATCGGCAGATGGATCTCGATCGGTACGGGGTGAGATAACTCGGGCCGGGCCACTGACAATCGAGGAAGCTTCTCTCGAAGAATGCACGTCTCTTTGCCGTCTTGGAGACACCTTGTACACGGACACCCGCGAAATGAAGCGTCGCAGCGCAATTTGCGTTGGTGACAAGAGACGCAGGCACGAGAAGCCCTCCTACCGTGCTGGGAGAACATTTCGATACTCTGGATGATAAGATTGTATGGAGTTGTCGCTGATAATTTTCTCTTGGTCAAGAGCCGACGGCAGCTAGCTGGTTTTGTCGGTAAATGCAAGGAGAAAGTTGACCGCGACCCGGGACGCGAGGTTCTCGAACGCTGACTCGAAATCGGGGTCTCATTCGAAGGGATACCGAGGGATATAGCAAGTCGACTGGGGAAGCTCAGCTGGGCCTCGTTCGCCGTAAGGACTGTTGGGGAGGGCTAGGCAGGACTAGGGATAGTCATCTGGGCAGGAACGTCTCAATACCCCGCACGAAAGATGGTTGGAGGGTCATAGGAGGTAATTGGGTTCAGTCCCTGGATCTGTCCAGAAGGATGAAGATGGCGAGATGGAAGGTTCAGGAGTGGCGACAGTGAGACTACAAACGGCAAACCGGGCGTGAGACTCCGTCTCGGAATCCACCCCAGTTAGGAGTCGAGGATTCCGGGCTCACGAGTGAAGTCGACAGCTTGGAAGCTGGAGCAGGCCGTCCAGCATGTGAGAACTTTCATGTGTAAAGTGGACTGAGAACTCTGTATAGCACCTCTCCAAGGTCTTTTTTCGTGGAAACAATCAATCGCTACGCGGAGTGCAATTCTCCGAGCACCAAAGTTCCTAGCTATTGCTCGCTCGCATGCGTGTCCCGGATTGGAATAGGGCCACGATTGATGACGGTTGGGGCTGGCAGCAATAATAAGCGGACTGCAGGCCCAAAAAGGGCATTTATAAGGGTCTGAATTAATCAACCAGCACCACACTGCGAGTGCTCGAGAGTCCAGTGAAAGTCTGAAACCGCTTTTAGGCCGCGCTACCTTTCCGGGGTCCGACGTCGACCTAGGCGAAGAATACCGGGCATCGTGATTGGACAGTCTGTGACTGGTGGAATCCTGGATGATGTTTATGGCACGCTATTTTGGTTCCGCAGCAGACTGGCGCTTGGCAGACGCGGGGATGGCATGTGAGCCTGTGACTTAGAGACGCTCGTATCATGTCTAGTCAGAGCCTCGGCGGGTTGCATATTCATTATTCATAAACAACGAGTCATGGTTACTCGGTGATCACTCATCCGTACCTTTTCCCAGTGAGGTCCCAGGAAAAAGCAAGGACAGCGTCCTGCTAGCCCAGCGTGGCGTGAATCCATCGTAAGCGAGGTGTCCGTATCGGTAGTCTCACCCCAACCGCGTGATCCTGCTGTCCAATGTCCATCGCAACTTTAGCTGTTTCAGATAAGCTTTGAGTTTGTCAAACAAACTGCCAGGTGAAGCCGACCTGGGCCAGGAAAAGCCCCGTTGCGTGCTGCAAGGAACCGGGTGCTTGGGCCACAGAGAGTTCAGGACAAATCCATTAAGTCGTCGTCTACCCTGGCCAGGCTTTGACTTGTCAAACCGACAGACACAGCGTATTCCTAAAGGATCCTTAATGACTCGCTACAAACCAGGCCTATATTCCAGCAGCAAATGTTATGCTCCACCTCACACAGGCGACGATAGTCGACTCGGCACCGGCCAGGCAGGTCAAGTGAGGGAAGCTCAGAGATTGGGGGCGCAGGTGCTACGTCCATCTTAAGCCAAACCGCCTAACAGACTCCGGTCCGGTATATGGCCCGGAGTAAGAGCACTCCATGGACATGAACGCGCGCCGATTTTGCATGAACCGTCGGCTCCTCATCAGCGAACTCCTGGAGGTCGTTCACATCGCAAAACATCATGAAAACGCGGCCGACCGTAAAGTACTCCCTCGCACTGCTTTGGCCACGAGACCAAGACACCATAAGTTGATGGGCTTGACGATGACCGACGGCTGATGAACCATGTAGGAGCACCTACTAGGATCATAGTATTCTGCTCCACCACTCTTGAGGCCGATATGTTCAAAGATTTCAGAATCGCAATTGCTCCAGAGTTCTTGTAATATGATGTCTTCGTCCTCGTATGTGCAGCCTGACTCCAGTTTATACCTGTCCTGGCCGTGCCTCGTGCAAACAAGAAGGCCTCCACCTTTGTTCATGACAGACTCATAGGGCGCGACCAGGCTGAATGAAGAGAATTAGCATACAACCTTTCAGATGGATTTCAAAAATATCAATACAATCGAGACTTCGCCTGGAATCGATTCAGCGCCTATAGCGCAGAGTGTGGTCTTTGTTCGACGGCGCCCTCATCTACAACCTTGCTCGTCATCGCTGTAAATAGCCCTTCCGTTGCCAGCTTTGCCTCGCAAATCCACTGAATTCCCTGCGACATAAAGTTGCCAGACCATAATCCCTCCCTTGTCAGCGACCGAATTGCCAAAATGTTCGGATGGGGCAGCAGAGATCTAGAATCACAGGACGATATGGGGGCCGGGTGATCGAAGCTGGTCAATAAGCTGGATTAATCCAAGAATGACGCCATCTTGATGCAGAAGACTGAGTTCTGAAATAATACTATTGCAAAGGCCCTCCATCGTGCAGAGTTGTGTTCGTGTGCAGGTGTTGTGTTTACGAGTGTCGAGTCACGGGATGAGGATTGGAGAAGAGAAGGCGCGATTTCGTCATCTCCAACTCTCTCCTTCGATTCCACAAACACGAGAAACTTCTCTGTATCTCCCGTCCATCAACCCGATCTTGATCATCGCTCTTGATACTCGAGTCAACTATGACCAGAGAACCCTGCGCTTGATCTGTCTTGTGATTTCCGAGGACAAGGGCCAGTTTTTTCTTTATATTTCCTTCGCTCCTACGTGAGTGTACCTCAGTGCTTGTCAGTGAGAGGGGGATATCCCAAGCAGCCGAGCATGTTTCGCTCGACTGATGGCTGTTTGTGCTTTAAGTGCGCGGCGCTTGCGAGTAAGAGTCATGCTTACACTGCGTGATCGAATACCAGACACAATCGACCCAGCTGTCTACCTCGCTGATGCAAGGGCTACGCTTCCCACGGGGATTGAACAGCTTCGGTCTCCAGAATACCTTCAGGCACTCAACTTGATTTCGATGACAGCGTTGGAAACCAACGACATGGCTTCGCTACAGGCTTATACCACGCCGCAGTCGCCGAGCAAGGCTTCTGCAATGGAGATCGATGGCCGCTGGCCTTATCACCTGTCGAGCGGGAAGAGCGTCGACGACTATTTTGGCATCCATACCGACTCGGGGTATACAGTTTGGTTGTCCTGCCTCGAGCGGCAAGCCGCTGTCACGTATTTGACATCCTTCGGAGACGACAGAAGTAAGGCTATAGAGGCCAAATGGCTCGAAGGAGGGAATCTGTTTCCCGACCTCCACCGCTGAATCGAGCACCTGATTGCGCAAACTAATTCATCTCAGCGGACCACAGCGATACAGCGGGCTTCCCAGCAAATCCTCTCTACAGACTTTATCCTCGACTTCGCCCCAAATACTCAGACCCTAGGGCCGATTTCTCGTCCATACCATAATCTACCCTATAAATTTCGCGTTGCGCCCACAATTTCTTCAGAGGCCGCTAATATTCAATATGGCTTTTAAGCGGCGAATATCACTTGCACCTACCATGTGAATATCCTTCTAGAACTCGGGTTCGCAGTGGTTGAACGCATGTGCTGACTCCCGGAGTTGTTAAAAATAATCTCCCTCCTCGCAACCAATGGCACTCTGGATGACGCTTGCAACACGGTCCTCGGTTTGATTGACGCTATCTCAACGGTTCCGGCGGAGCACATGCGAGCAACGAGCACGGCGATTGTAAGTCCACACATGTCTCGTTATCTGCTTCTTACCTTGGTTACTGACTTTCCTATAGCCTCAGGAGTTATCCGGTTTCGGCCATATACTAAGCCGATTATATCTCTCGATCCGACGACTGCTAAGTATCAACAACTCCGGGAAGTCATGTAAATACTCAACTACAGGAGCTGAGATATCTCACTTGTTAACATGTTGGCAGGCTTTGCATGGCCGGGCTTTTCGAGACGCTGGCGTCGGCGATGGGCTCGGCGTACAAGATCAGCATGGGCTTGCATCACTACGTACAGAATATTGACTTATTCCTACAAGATGCCTCATCTACCATGATGGACTGAGCGAGGAGTTGGTCGCACGGGTTTCGGGTATCCCGCGTGAAACCGGATTGGACGTAGGCATGGACGCTCATTGCGCTGATGTTCGTTGCAATGCCGAGGACTATCATCCAGCCGAGGTGGCTTCCATGTGCTTGTGGGCTTCCAGAGATGCAGCGAGGAGGCCAACGAGGATGTTACCGATTACGATGGTCAGGACGACCTGCCAGACTTTTAGGCCCAAGGTGATCAGTACGGAACCAGTTGTTCAGCCCCGATATTGAAGGAGCCCGTGACGACCCAAAGGATGACAAAGTCCCACGGGCCGAATGTTCTTCGGGCGGGTTCTGTGGGGCGAGAATGGCCCCGTTGGGGGTTTCCAGGCGAAAAGAGCTGAGCGGACCCGCTGTGGTGCTTCCTGACAGTACGGTTGAACACCGGAAAGACGTTGCTACTGTTTTATAAGGCCGACTCTTATCTCGTCCTATCTTGCTCTCGCTGGTCGGGACTCCTTATCATGCGCTCGCGATTTCAATCCGGAGGTGGCTTATCAGTTTAAGCGCTGGTAAACGGCTGAGCCCGAAATACTAATATCTCCTCTTCAAGTGCTCCTCCTACCCACCATGCAGAACAGGCTAGACGATTTTCGAGTTGGGGAGCAACGCTTGATAGTAATCGTTGAGTTCATGTCATTACGCTGTGTGTGCTTGATGTCTAAACAGGTACCTCAATGTCCTCCGGCCAGAGCATATCAACCTTGTTCCAAAAATCAATGTCAAACGCCATATCCAGCAGGTCCAATTCCGAATGTCCATGGCTTCCGTCTGATGGATACGAACCCCCGGAGTTGCTGCTGTTGTACACCGACAGATTTTCCCAGGACATTGCATCACCGCCATAGAGAGGATATTCACCCAGATTCGGGGGCTGGGTACTACCACCCAAGAACGTACGGTCATTCGCAGCAAGAAACTCAATCTTAGCACACAGACCCTGCACAATCTTACTCGCACTGGCCGCAACAGCAAACTTGACACCGAAATTGTCAAACACCGCGATTGCGAGACGGATCGCGCTCTTCGCTTCGGATGAGGCCGTCGTGTTGGTGTTTGGGTATGCCATTACAAAACCAATGAGCGTCATGACGGCGTTCCACTGGGAGTAAAATGCCTCGTGCCACCCGTCGAAGAGCGATGTTTCTTCCAGGGCCTGGTGTGTGAGCTTCGTCAAGGCAATGGCGTGGGCGGCGCAGCGCGTTGCGAGTTCCTCTTGTAATGAAGTCCCTGAAATTTGTGCGTGGTTCGCTGCTTGATTGGGAAAGAAGGAAATCATGGGTCGAAAGAGATTGACGCCGACATGATGATACGTATGCTCGAGGAGGAGGCGCTGCCTCTGTAGCCACTGCGGAGCGAATTGCTCAAAGACGACACGGGCCCCGTCGGTGGAAAACGGCCTGCTGTTGGGATCCTGGCGTTTCAGCTTGAGCGCGTCGGGGATAGTCTCGCACCAGGCTTCGAGGTGCCGGGTATGTTGAGCGAGGATCTCCGCGCCGGTCTGGAGCGCATCCGGGCGATCCCAGATCGTTTGACCGTCTTGTAAGTGGAAGTCGTTGTTGTAGAAAGCAGTGTACGCTGCGCGGATTGTTCTGTACAGAGTGATCTGTCGCAGATTAAAGCTCAGCCACGTCGTGTCATCGGCTGCTGGAACAAACGTCGACCCCGATGATGCTGCAACGTCCAAACTGTCACTGGGGAGAGCGGGCATGGCGTGTGACTCGCTCAGCATAAACGGACGCCCGAGTTTCATGCCGGCGCGAGTATCCATGAAATACACGGACCACCAGAGCCGCCTGCGCATTTCACGCTCTGCTTCTGGGAGGGTCGATGGCGGGTCCAGGTGCAGACCGAGGATGTACGCTGTGCGCACAGTCAACGCCACGGCGCTATCCATCATGTTGTGGAAGGATCCGCCGCAGAGGTAGACTGCACAGAGCAGGTGGCATTGGAGGGTTGATATCGACGGGCTTTCGAGTTCGTAGGTCAGTAATGTTTGGCCGCGCCAGTAGTGCCAGCGCCCCGCGACGAGGGCGTCTTTACCTTCGACGAGAACACCTTGCGAACCAAGGGGGAGGGTCGAGATGTGGTACTGCATACAGGCTGCGACGACAATGTCGACGAGCGCGGAAGGTTTGCGCTCCTTGCCACCGGCGACCAGGAGACTCCGGTAGTGCTGCTTGAACTGCGCTTCGTCTAGGATGGGGCAGAGTGAGGCGTGATAGGCTTGCCAGAAGTAATTGAGAAAGTATTCCTCCTGTAGGGGACTCAGATAGACGCCGTTGCCTGAACTTCCGGATGGCGGAGCAAAAAAATCACACCCTGTCGCGGGCCTGTCGAGAAGCTTGTCGTCGCTCGCAGAAGCCGGAAGCATTTGGTGTGGAATATGCTCTTGATTGAGCTTGACGTTCAGAAAGGAGTTGAGTCGCTGGGTGAAGGCGTATAAGGAGGACGGTCCCAGCCAGAGACTGTTGGGCGAGCGCGAGGGGCAGAAGTGGACGCCGCCCCAGTATTGCCTGGGGGAGGTGCCAGCATTCTGGATCGGAATACTCGCTTCTTGCGATGGTGGCGGAAGTTTCACCGAGGGGGAATGCGAGTCCAGTGAGGCAGACGAGACACTCTTCATGCTTGTCTCGGGGCGAGTTGGGAGTTCTCCCTCCAGCTCCGCTACCTTCTGCCTCAAAGAAGCGATCTCCTGGTGCGCCTGCGAGAGGGTAAACGCCGAGGGCGAGCTCTTCTTACTGCAATCCGCGCCATTCATCACACAGTTTGAACAGGGGACATTATTATCACATTTGATGCGACGCAGTCGACAGCTACCACACGCCCTGGCCACCTGTGCCCGTTTCCGCCGGCGCTGCGGGGCCTGTTGAGGATCTGCGCCGACCCCGGGAAATGCTAGATGGACCTCCATGATCCAGTCTCAGGAACGAGTTGCTCAGAGAGTCGCTCAGGATAGAATCCTGAGAGTAGGTTGTGCGATGGTTGAATCATGAAGAGCTGAATTCCGTTGGAGTCGCCTGGACGTTGGCGAGTCAGTTGCCACTGTTGGTAAGCGCGCAGTGTGGAGCAATTGCCATTCCACCACTGAGGAGTCGCAATAAGAACAGGGCCTCGATACAGTGCAGAATGTTTTGTGACATGGACGCCGAGCATCCATTGTTTTACTAGGATGCATGATTCCAAGCCTTTGCTAGGAAAAGCCGCAAAGCTTGGTAGAGTATACTCAACTTTTCACCATCAACATGAGTCCGCTGAGCACTGATCCTGTAGACTAAGTCAGTTGATGTGCGTACTGCGGCCTGGGGACAAAGATACAGACCAGATTTTGGTATTGCGGTATCTCGCGACGAGTTAGATGAAGCCGGCTCGATAGTCATTGCAACGATCTTGCCTTGGATTGGGGCGGAGTGTTGTCGGCGAGAATACAACCATTCCAGAAATGGCCGAATAGCCGGCAGGCACCAGAAAACCACAACTCGCGTCGAATGATGAGTTTTGCAGTCGGGCAGGGGTCTTTATCAGAACGACGCTTACCTGACAAACTGCCATTAAACGACTGGAAGATTCCTGCTGGATTGCAAATCACGCTCTGGTATGCAAGACTCATAATTCTGAAGGACTGGCTGGTTTTCACTTTTGCTCAACCGCAAACTCCGCAACTCCGGCACTCCGCGTGCACTTTGACTAGCCTGAGTTAGCGCCCAGACTCCGTCGACTCCGTCGACTCCAGCTCTGTTTGATGGTTTCTCTCCGCAACTGCGGGCGGAATCACGGAGAGCAAGATGGTTCTCTACGTTTGCGCTCCCCCCGAGCTCAGTATAAATAGGAGGGCTTGGACCGAGTATTCTCACCATCATCAACAACCCCAACAATCACCTTCCCAAAGCAACAATCACGCTTTCAATCCTCTCTCGGATCCAATCCAAGTTTCAACAAACACACCAAACCAACCACCAAAATGCCCGCCCGCAAAGCCCTAATCGCCGTCACCTCGGCCAGCGCCCCGCTCTTCAACGGCGCCGAGACCACCGGCCTCTTCATCATCGAAGCCCTCCACCCCTACAAGGCCCTTGTCGCCGCCGGCTTCGAAGTCGACCTCGCCTCCGAGACGGGCAGCTACACGCCCGACTGGCTTTCGCAGCAGCCCGACTTCCTCAACGGCGAGGACCTCGAGATCTGGAACGATGTCAACAGCGATTTCCGCAAGAAGCTCGACAGCATGCCCAAGGCTTCGGAGCTACTCACTAAGAAGGGGGACGAGTATGGGCTGTTCTTTGCTTCGGCCGGACACGCCTCTCTCATTGATTACCCGACTGCCAAGGGCTTGCAAGGCATCGCCGAGAAAGTCTGGGCCAACGGTGGTGTGGTCGCGTCTGTCTGCCACGGGCCTGCCATCTTTGCCGATGTGAAGGTTCTCAAGACCGGCGAGCCGGTTATCAAGGGGAAGAAGCTCACGGGATTCACGACCGAGGCCGAGCACACCATGGGGATTATGGACGAGCTGAGGGCGTTCCCTGCCGAGATGGTTGAGGAGCTTGCGGAGCGGTTGGGTGCCAAGTGTAAGTTTTCCTTATCTTTCAGCCGTCTGGCTGCTGTTAAATCTATGCTCACGATATCTCACAGACGAGCGATCGGCTGGCATCTGGGATGACTTCCATGTTGTTGACGGGCGCTTGGTTACGGGGCAGAACCCTGCTAGTTCTACCTCGACTGCCAAGGCGGCCATTGAGGTTTTTGAGAAGCTGTAGATGTGCGAGAACAGCGACGACCGAATCATGGAGTTCTATTATAGATTGCAATGAATTATTTGTTTTGTCTTGTCAGCTATATCTTGAATACAGCCAGAAAATAGTGGCAACCCACTTCTACTACTGCGCTGCATCCATCCTCCTCGGATTTAGTTGAGTATAGAGTACCTACCTTGTACATGCCGCTCTTTATGACTGAGACAGCAAAATTGTATAATTAATCTGCTCGGTCTGACCGGTCCAGGTAGATCAGACAGAGTCTCTAAGCCTGTGCCTGGAGTCTCCCGGCCCATGGCTAAGGCACCTGGCAGCATCCAAAAAGACCACCGGCCGAGGCTGGTCTCCAAGCCTACTTCCAACCATGTCGCCTGTTTGCGGAGGCGATACACGTCATGGACAATCTGGTCACCTATAAGCAGCCAGATCTCTACGGGAAATTGATCGTTTGCAGGCTACAAGACGCAATTATCACTTTGGCAGAAGAATCGAGGGATACTAACCCGTACTATCTCTGGGTTGTCTTTGATCAGGAAGTCCGGCAAACAAATAATAAGCTTCTTCCGATATCCACAGTAATGGCCCTGGTCTTGGCCTTGGTCTTGGTCTTGGCTCTGCTACTCGTCCTCCTGAGGCTATCATCCCGGAACATCACCACCCGAGTCTCGAGTCTCCCCACAGTTCGCAAGCCCTAACCAACACTCGATCCTTTCATATCTCGAAACAAACCACAGTCTCCCTTGGACCAGTCCCTTACCACTTAACAATGAAACTCCTCACATACCGCCTCCTTGGCATCTCCGCAACCACAATCCTAGGCGCCCGTTCCCAACCGCCGGCCCCAACGCAGAAGCCGAGTGCGGTGCTTTGGGCATCGCGGAGTCCGATACTGTCCTGTGGTGAAATTGGCTAGGAGGGATGGCGTTTCGAACGACGATAAAAAGGGCGTAGTAGGTACATAGCCTGGTAAAGACCTGGGTGGGAAGAGAAGCACAGTTTGATTTAGGGCTATAGGTCCAGAGACATCTCGGGAGTAGACTTTCTCTCAATACCCAATCACAGCAACACATTTTATCCCTGATGCACTATCATGTAGTATTCTGCATGTGCTCCTCAAATTCTGCCGCGTTTCGTGAAGCCTGAAGCCTGAAGCTTACTCTAGTATGAAGAAGAGCGATGCCAGCGCCCGTGGCAACGCATTCGTTAACGGCGCAAAATAGATTGGCAGCGCAATTGATTCCAAGAGAAATTGTCTTTTTTATAAAAAGAAAAATAATAGAAAGCAAGCCCATCATGCTCGAGTCAACGGACTCCAAGTCTGGGTATGCCGAGGCCACTCCGCCCCATAACTGACTCGCGCCGCAGGCCCACAGCCCATAACGCGGGGGCGTTGGCAGTTGCGCTGGTTCTTGACTTGCTGTGGTTGGGGGCGAAAGCACCAGGAACTCTAGCTTAATTTTTAGTGCGGGCTGTGCCGCCCACGGAGCACCAGATTTAGTAGCAAGGCACAGCAGGTACAGGCATGGCTAGACCGTCGCCCAGACAGTTTGATTATGCGCAGCCTTGCAGTAGCTTCTTTTACAGCGAACCAGAACACGGGTTGAAGAGGGCAAGTGGAGAGCGCAATTGAGTAGCTTGGGTACCAAGGCAAGGCTGAGAAGGGGCAATGAGCATATAAAGAGCGAGGTTGACCGCTGGTCCATCTGAGCTCACTCCAGCTCCAACTCCAACTCCAACTTCAAAACTCCACTGCACATCTTACACTCACTCGAGTCCCAGCGCTCGCCAGTTTGCGAACCAGCTTCTTCTCCCTCATCACCACATCCACAACCAACACCTTATCCAGAATGTATCCCCGCCCCCTCCTCCTCCTCACCCTCCTCGCAAGCACATCCCCGGCCCTCGCCCAATTCTTCTCAACCCAAGTCGACGAACCCCTCCCCGAAGCGACCTTCACCACCACCTCAGGTCCCGGCGCCGAGCAAACGACAACCGAGCTCCCGCCCGCGACATTCATCACGAGTCCCAGCGCCGAGCCCTCGAGTGGATCTGAAACTTCCGCCGAGTCGGACTCGGGTTCTGGGTTCTCGACTGATCCCGACCTTGGTTCTGGGACGTCGACGGATTCTGTCGCGACACTTACGGTTCCGGCGGGGTTTATCACGGAGAGTCCGACGGGGTCGACGACGTATATTGTGCCCACAGAGACGGGGTCCTCGTCGGTTACTAGTGATGATGACGATGATGACGATGATGACAGCGAGGATCAGGATGATGAGGGGTATGTTTGTCCTCCTCGTTCGTGCGGGTATAATCTTCTCTTTTGCTCAAACTAACACACATGCCTTGTTTGTTTCTAGTGACACGCCCTCGACAACAACCTCAACCTCAACCACCCTCAGCACGACGGTCAACATCGAGGACCTAGTGACTGACACGAGCTCTCCGACTCCGACCGGTGGAGCGGGGGCGATTGCGCGGGACCCTGTTGTGCTGTTTGCCTGTGCTGCTTTGGGACTCGCGGGGTACGGTGCTGCGTTCTAGAGGGTTGGTTCTGGCTGCAGGCGCTTTGGATGATGTATGGTTATGAGGTGGACATTTGTATGATTATTTGTGATTTTCTAGATGGGAGACGACTATGCGAGATGATGTGATGGACTGGTTGGTAGCCTCGCAAGCAATAAACCTAGCGGTATTAATAAACTTTTTGAACAAGGGAAGACAGATGCATGAATGATTCAAGTAGAAGTGTAGTGTAGTAGTTCAGTAGCCACTCCTATCCATGATATCGCAGAATATTATGTCTATCTATCTATACGACCAGTCTATACAGTCTATACAGTCTATGTGTCCGTCCGCTCTATGTAGTCTGTAAATACAGTCTACGAAACATTCTCTCATGATTGTTTCAACGTAACCCCCTCCACGCCCCCTTCCCAAGCTCACCCGAGCTCTTCCCTATCAATTCCTCACCTCTCCTAGCCTAGGCCCCTCATACGCCGGCGGCGGCGTCTCACCCCTCGCGCTCCCACCCGCACTCGTCTCAACCATAGCAACACCTGTACTCCTCCTCTTTGCAGCCTGGCCACGCTTCCACACGAAGAGCCCCACAACAACGAGCAGGATAACGCCAACCGGAACAGCAACTCCAATGGCGATCTTCGCGCCTGTACTCAGCCCAGAATCGTCGGGGACGGACGTGCAAAGAAATGTCGAGTTTGTCTTGTCGAGGTAGTGTGTGTGTTCGATAAGGGTCTTGTTGGATCCCGCGCAGGGGAAGTCGACGCGCGAGTGGATGGTTAGGTTTTTGAATGATTGTAGTGAGTCGAGGCTTAGGCTGCAGTTGGTGAGTGAGCTGGTGTTCATGCTGGGAGAGACTGGAGGGTAGGGGGGAAGAGGAGGTTAAATGGATCGCGAACTTCTTAATATTCCTCGTTAGCTGGATATCCCCCGCGCTGATGAGCGGCAGATCCAAGTCTAGGTCGTGATCGAACGAGGAGCTCTGTGTATCGAGGCGTTTGTGTGCGTGAGGGCGGGGAATCCGATGCTGATTCCGGTCAATCAGTGCTTGCTTGATAGACAGTCACGGTACGCAGTCCAGGGATGGCACTCCGCCGCGCAAGGAGTCATAGAGTTGGCGGAAAAGAAAAGAAGGAAACGCGCCTTGCTAAATCCGCATTGACGTACAACTGCCCATCGACAAACCCAAGCTTCGGAAACACAAACTCATACCCGGCCTTGACCTGGAAGAGCGAGATTACGAGGCTCGGGTCCGCCAGGCCCAAGGATTCGGCGTACGAGCCTTGGACACGGACCATTGGTCCGACGGACTCGAGATTGGGCATTGAGATGCCGGATGGATGCATTGCTAGTTGGAGAAAAAGGAAGAGAGAGAGAGACTATTACTACTAGTAGTAATATTATCTTGGGACTAGGCCCGTGACGTACTTGGACATGGCGCCCGACACGACGATTCGGCCGGCGGACTCGAGAGACGGGATGGAGATCGGTTCTTCTAGGTGTTGGCATGAGCGGCAAGGCCAGAGGTTTATGGGGCCGCTGACGGTCTGCAGGGAGTCGAGGTTGATGCTGAACAGATTGAACTAGGTTAGTACGCACGGTATACCTAATGCTGAAACAGCGAGTGCGCGTGAGGATGCCCTACCTCGCAATAGACCTATCACTCCCCATCCAAATCGCCCCCGCGCGAGTAAAGGCCGGCAACTCGACTGTTGCATCGTCGCAACCGTCAATGATGCCGACTTCGCCATCGACGGTCCCTAGTTCCGGAAAGGATAGCTCGGTGAGCTGGGTGAAGGACTCGAGGCGGATGTGTTCCCCAACGTGGATGAGGTTCGGCGCCTCGAGCGAGGTCACGTTGTAGTGGTGGCTGTCGGGCTCGGTCCAGTTGTACTTGGCGACGATAGAGCCGGTGAGATTCTTGAGGTTGGGGAAAGACAGTGCCCCCTGGTAGCGGTCGGAAATCTCGATTTTGCCGTCGTAGGTTGTGCAGTCTCCCAGGTGGCGGTCCACTCCACGTCTTCTGTTTGGTTTATCTGCGCCATCCGCTGCATGCTGGGGTCGAGACCGAATAGTTAGATCAGACAGTTGTATAGAAAATTGGGAGAGACTCATACCGATCGGCAGGATAGCCAGGACGGCCGCCGTCCAGGATAACAGCGCGCGCGAGACCATGGCGATATCCTGAGCAAATTTTCACACTCGCCGCAAGGGTAACAGATTCTTCAAACTCGCGGCCGCAAGTGGGTGGCTGCACCTTTATATAGTGGCCAGAATCTCAAATGTTGCATCTCGAGCTGTAGCCCTACGATTAGCCTCTCCATCATCGACTCAAACTTGCTAGCTGATACTAACACTGCTAAGAGGGACCCTTGGGGGCCAAGCTACTCCAAGCTAATCCAGGATTGATATTTGATTGGTCCTGTTTTGAACAGGTCCAACAACGCTGATCTTCTCTAAAACAGTCCAGAATATTGGGTGGGGAATTGAGATTATGAACCAATGGCAGCGGGCATAGCGCCTCAGGCACAAGCTTGTCCGAAACCCCGACCCAAGAAAAACATCCTCAGCTTCAGCCTCACGCGCCGATTATAAGACTCTGGGGCCTCGCACCCGACAGCGTCTTACATCCGCCCAACTCTCCTTTCCAACATTCCAATCCCACCTCACTCAAGCCATGTTCCCCCCATGGCTAACTCCAGTCCTGTGCTGGAACCTCATCCAGTCCCTGACCGGCCTGACGGTGACATTCACCGCGTCAGACTCGCGCGTCCGGCCCCTCGTCGCGGCGCTCACCGCACTACTCGCCTACACCCTGCAGCGTAACATCCAGACCTATTTCGCGGCGACGCGGCCCTCGGGACCGCTTGTTGCGATGTGCTGGGTGAATGTGCTCAACGCGTTTGATCTGCTCGTGCTGAGCCGCGCATCGCTCGCAGCGCAGCTCGCATATCAAAGCGCAAACCTGGAGAAGAAGGACAAAACGCCTCCAGTTCAGTCTGCACGTCTTCTCGCGAAACTCCGCTTCGCGCTTGAGCTCCCCTACAATTACCGCCGCATCAACACCCCCTGGGAGAATCCGCGTCTCCGCACCACCTCCGCATCCACCCCGCAAACACACCGAAAATCCACATTCCTCCTCCACTCACTCGCTACCCTCCTCATCGCCGGAACCATAATCCACCTCCTAACCCTCGACGCCTCCGATAAGCACCTGCAACACGCATTATCAAAACTAGATACCTCGAAATCCGTCCTCCTCCCGCTCCGCGACTTCGACGCGCATACCCTCCTCGTCCAGACCCTCTTCACGCTCTCCTTTGGGCTCGTCACCCGCGCGGCGATTGTAGGCGGACACACGGCGGCTGCGATACTTGCTGTCGGGGCGCTTGGCGACGATGCGGCCAACTGGCCGCCGATTTTCGATTCTTTGGCGGAAGCGACGAGTCTGAGGGGGCTGTGGGGGTATGTCTTTCCTTTCCCATGCTATCACTCATCCATGATCGTAATCACCGCGACCTAGTAGATACCTAGGTCCGTCCACTCGCCAGTCTTGTGCAGAGAACTAATTCGTCGTGTGTAGAAAATCCTGGCACCAAATCCTCCGAACCCCGCTGACCAGCAACGCAACCTTTCTCGCCTCCCTCCTCGGCCTCGCCCCCAGATCCACGGGCGCACACTGGCTGCGCGTCGTGGTCGCATTCACAGGCTCCGGGATCATCCACTCGCTCTGCGACGTTGGGTTCGGCGTCCCGCTGCATAAAACGGGGGGATTCCATTTCTATACGTTGCAGATTTTCGGGTTCGTCGTTGAGTCGGTTGTTTCGAGCATTTATCACAAGGTGAAAAAGGGATACGGGGTCGGATTTGGGGAGCATGTGGAGAGGGTTCTGGGGTACACGTGGGTCCTGGGGTTTCTGGCGTGGAGTACACCCGTCTGGATTAATCCTATCCTGGTCAGTTTGGCGGGGGATGGGACGAGGGTGATGTCGCCGTGGTTGGGGCTTTCGTCGACTGCATTTGAATTATAGGTTTGGGGAGACTCAAGTCAGGGGCCCGGTTGGGATGGGAGAGTAGAAGTTGGCGATGGATAGACATATATTTCGTACAAGAATAGAATAGAAACATATCTAATGCTCCGCTATACTATACTATACTATACTCTTACCTTTTTTTATCTTTATCATTACAATCCAAGCAAGATCCCCACCCCCGCAACACCAGCATACAGCAACGGGTTCCCGCTCCCCCTCGCCGCAACAGCAAACCCGGACTCCTCAGGGTTCGCCGCAGTCCCGGACGCCCCAGAACTCGTATCATCGTCATCCCCATCATCATCATCATCATCGGTTGGCCTAGGCCCCGTCCCCGCGGTCGTCGACGCATCAACCGTAACCGTGCGACTCGGAAAAATCGGCTCATTCGTGAAATCATCGGGAAGAACCAACGACGACCCACTCAGCACAAGCGTCGCAGTGGTTACAGGGTTCGCGACCTGCGTCGCGCCAGGGACCGAATCTTGGCCGTCGCCGATTTCCAGGATATGGTCGTCCCCGGGCTCGAAATTCGCCTGCGCAAGGGAAATCTCATTATTCTCGAGATCAAAGACGGCATACGCGCTCCGAAGGAACGAGTCGCCGAGAATCGGGAAGAAATCGACCGAGGGCGCGATGCCGAAGATGCACGATTCCTCGTCGTCGATGTGCAGGTAGTCGCCGTTGTAGTAGAGGGCGTCCTGCAGGACGAGTTCGGAGAGCGGGACGCGAATCTCGACGCCGCTAAAGGAGAATGTCACGTTGTAGTCTTCGCGGCCGGTCAGGTAGGTATCGCAGGGGACGATGCCGAATTGCTCTTCTGCGAAGAAGTGCACGTCGAGGTCGCTGTAGATCTGCGCGACAATGTCGGCGGGGAGGTACGATATTGTCGCGCCCGAGTCGAGGAGGACAACGACGGGGAACTCCGGGTGGTTGTCGTAGGACTTGTGGACGTCGTCCGAGGCCGATTCAACCGCGAGCCCCGTCAGCGTCAGCCAGAGGTGCACGTAGGCGCCGTTGTAGGGGACGACGGGGAGGGTTTGCAGCGAGCCCGTGTAGTGCGCTGTGTTTATGCCGCCGAAGAGGATGTTGCCTTCGTCTTCGCCGAGGCGGTTGAGCCAGAGGCTGTAGGCGTTGGAGTTTGTGATGTTGTTGCGGGAGAGCATGTAGGGGAGGTTAGGGTAGATTTCGCGCGAGGCGACGTTGGTTGGGTAGCCGATGCCGAGGATGCCCTCTGCGAGGATTAGCTTTGTCGGGTGGATAGAATGCGATAGGATGCTTGGGGGCGGAGGGCTTACTGTCTATACTCGAGTCGATCGCAATGCCGAATTGGACTTCCGGGAGCTCGGCGTTGGCGATGGAGAGTGTGTCGATTGCGTAGTATCCCCTCGCCCATGACATGTCGCCGTACTGTATTTGGAACTGGTCGGAGAGAGGCTGTGAGGTATCCGACTCTGACGGATCGTATGTTCCGAGCTCATCGCACATCGCGTTGACGGCACCACATATTTGATTATCCGTATAGACGACCCAGAGATCGCTACTTCCCGTGTCGACAGAGACCTCGGTGCGTTGTGGTGGCGATCCGATTGTGAGATTCGTCGAGTACAACTCTCCACCCATCTAGATTGTCAGCCGAGTAACACAGAGAGAAGAAGCCAAGCGCTGCAAAGAGTCGAGGAAACGCACCGAATAACCATAAAGATCAACATCGACCGACTGCCCCGACTGCCGCTTGAATCGCCTGCGATCCTTGCTAACCGGATTGTCGTGCCGGTTCCTCCTCATCCCCAGCTGCAACACGTGCGGGTTCTCGCTCTCATGGACGGAGAATCCACACAGCCCCGGCACCACCGTGAGGGCAGCGAGCGAGGAGAGAAGAGCGGCTTTCATTGTGCTTGACCTGGCCAGCTCTCCCCGCGTGAAAGACTAGGTGGAGAAGAGTAAGATCTCGACCCCCGGCCAGATGGGGGGACGGACCTTTTATTTAGCCCCTATGTCAGCACCAGGCACCTAGTCATGGCGGCCCCGGCGATCTTGGGGCAACGTCGGGTGGAAGCATGCGGAGACGTTGTGCTGCCTGTGTGGCTCGCCTGCGATCCTCGGCGCTGAGGGGCGTGGTTCGTGAGGACGCGTCCATTTCGCTGGGGAGCTGAGCAGCCACTCAGGGTCCGTTCGCTTACTGTTGCAGTCCTTGCTAAGATCTTGGCCACGGCTGCGCAGAGCCTGAGGAAAGATAAGTGGGAGGGGAAACCAGGGAAATCAGGAATCAGCTGTGGCTGCTGGGGCCGGTGGGTCTTCTGCACTGCGACTCAGGCGTGCGGAGATTAAACCGCGATTGGTGGCTTGAAGAATACGAGCAGCGAGGCAATTGAAGACACGACTGTCTTGCGGTTTTTGCGGATGCAGGGGGAACATAAGTTCGTTTGACCCATGTCACAGTTTTGTGTTTGTCTGCTTTGCTGTTGTCAGAGATTCCTGATTCTGGGAGATCGAGCGGCAGAGTTGGAGAGATTCGGCTCTCTCCGAAAACCAGCGATCGCGTGGTCTGTGACAGAGTCAGCAGACAACCTGAGACACAAGGAAGCCATCCCCGTCAGCGAGAGCAGTCAGAAACCGAGGCAGATTCATCATTTCAGGCCTCTGCAACCGTTTTCGTACGCTGTGTAACCTCTGCTGCTTATTCTACCCATTGCGCTTTGCAGATCCAGGATGTTGCGTCTGCCATCTGCGACTTTGCTGTGGTCTGAGAGAGAATTGACTGAAATCATCACGTGAAAGCCCCTGAACGCTGCAAGGCTGAGAATCTGGAACAAGTCGGCTAGAGATTCCCTGTGTCAAGACATCGAATCTCAGGGACAGGAGGGGCCAATTGTACCCTGGGCCTCTCTTCCTCCCGCAGTATAGTGCGCCGCCGCTTTTTCAGGGCAATGCCTGCCGCCCTAACCCATCGATGGTATCTATAGAAGCCTGGTCTCTCTTGCTCCAGCAACCAAGCTGCCTTTTCTGCCAATTCCTTGGTCTCTTCTCCTATTCCATGCTTCTCAGTTTGTTATTTTTCTCCCTCAACATGCTGCATTATTGTCCGAGTGTTCATGTTCCATAGCTCGCGACACCACTCGCTCAGCAGAGATTCCTTCGTTGTCTACGGGTTTACTTTTCTATCAAACAGGCATTTCACACACACACACACAGACATCTGCACTTCCGTTCCCCTCAAGTGACTGCAGCTGTCTCAAGGTATACCGGTGGCTGAGAAAGTGCGTTGTTCTGAGAGGTCCACGGGAGCCAGTCGTAGGTAGATGGGAAGCTGTCCTAATTCTTTGAAAGCTGGATTCGCCAACCGTTGAGATTTAGCTACCGAATCTACAGCGTGAGGCAGGTGAGCTGCGCTTGGTTAGTGTAAGAATGCTGATACTAAAGACTTCAAATTACACCGGGCCATGCAAGTCGATATATGTCCGCTGTATTGTCTATATTTGAATATATTTCATACAGCCTATATCCGAGATATATTTCCTTGAAGCTCGCTGGAAAGATTCTTGGAATGATACATTATTCCACCCAATTTGCTGACTTTTGATTTCACGAACAAGAAATCTCCAGAGGAGAGACTGGCAACTTGATTCATTGGACAATAGTCTGAACCGTGGTTCAGACTAAAGTCTTTATTGAGTGGTTGCCTCGTTGAGAGCCTTAATCACGCAATAAGTCTTGGCGTTTCGCAATCACCAAGAGACCACCAAAACCAACCAAGATTGGATATCGAGACTCGAATTTCCCCGCTATTTAAATATTGCTTATTTTGCGACGACGTACTTGTATATAAACAGATAGCCCCTTTGAAAATGCATCCTTCTGCAGTTCTCTGCCCCAGGTCATCCTCATCCGGGTATCCCGCTATGCTCTCACGAAAACCAACATCACATCATGAAGACCATAAACATGGTCAAGCTAACGTAACAGCGACAAGAACGGATAGTACGAACGTCACCAGCGTGATCTGACACCTATTAGCTGGTTTCCGACCGCTCAAGTCGCGCACACTACTCACCGCAGTCGTCAAGAACCCAATGCAGTTCAGCTCCCAGCCTCCGGCGTACACCGTCCCCAGCGCGATCGCGCTCTGCTGCTTCCAGAATCGAAGCGCTCCGAGTATAGCTGTCAGCATCGCCGCGCAGTGACAGGTTATCGAGAGCGGGACGCCGACCTCGTGGTAGCCGAGCCCCTTGCTGGAGCTGGTGGATTGCAGGCGGAAGAGCTGCGCGATGAGGACCCCTTGCATGGCTAGGATGACCGACGTGCGTATATATGCGAGGAATGTTCGTTCGAGAGCTGACAGTGATTATTTCAGTGTTAGCAGTGCTCTTCAGATCAATTCCTTCCCTCCCATCCTCAATCGATGCCTCACTCTCGTCGACCACAATGCGATCGATGACTCACCTAAATAATCCCGATTCTTCTTCTGCGGCACCGTCAAAACTACATTCCTCAACCAGAACCTCTGAATAGACCCGATAACCCCCTCGCGTCGTCTGCGACTGCCCTGACTGGTCCGGGAGACCGTGCGGCGGGTGGTGATGCGGTACTCGCCCGACGAGATTGATCCCGTCGAATCATCGTCCTGCTGCGTTTCGATCTCGTGTAACTCGAAACTATCCGGGTCCAGCTCGTTGCAGTCACGACTATCGTCGTGGGAGGAGGAATGGAAGCTGGCGGTGCTGTTGCAAAAGGACGATGGGGTCCGAGCTCCGACGGTCCCCACGGGGTGGTGAGGGTCGCGATGAGGGTCGCTGGCTGGGTCGTTGTCAATGTGGGTATCTACCATTGTCGAGCGAGAGAAGAGGGCGGCCACATAATTGTAAGTGAGAGAGAAATTGGCGGAGGGGACATGCCAAATCGTGGAGCAAGGAGGGGTCAGAACGATTGTTGCGCTGTGCTGTGCGCCAGACAGGGAAATTTCTTGGAGTCGATCAGAGTGAATCAGGACTGCGGGTGTCGCTGCCGAGAGCCGGAAAAGCTGAGTTTGTCGGTGTCGTCGAGAGTCTGGAACGAAAACGGGAGTCACTGGGGCTGGTGATATCATTCGCCCGTTGCCCCACGATCCCGCTTTCTACCGTACTAACGACTTGGGAGGCAAGAGAGACATCGCTTGCCTCTATATCGTTTCTCTACTAACACTCAGCATGACTAATTCTCAATTTAGTTTCCCCCAGTCAGTTCCAATAACTTGATCTCTAGCCGCACTTTAAGACGCACTTCTCTTCACATCAGTCCTAAGTACACTGAAGGATACCTATGTATCGCCGAGTCATTTCTCGAAGACGACCCGTTCTAGACCCGATTTTAGAAGACCGAATGACCATATTCCAGTACAATGCTATCAACAGATAGCCAATGGCAGTCAGGTACACGTAACGTGGACAACTCTTGTATGCGATGTCATCGTACTGCTCATGTGAACTCTTCCAGACCTAAATGGCGCCGCAGCTAGATAGCATACCGTTGATTAGATTCAATCATCACAGTAGAGCCAGTAATGTACAAGAGTAATGGGTTCTGACATACTTGTTTCGCCATAGTTTTGTACTGCGGCATCCTCGACGCCCTCAATAGCGGACGGGACTGCTTGGTGTTGCCAAACTGGCAGTAGATGTTCCTCTGTGGTGCCTTAGAAGCATCGTCAGTATATGAGATGTATACTGATATGCGCGAAAGGTGTATGGGTTATACCATCAAGCTGGGCATGTCGGGGATTGCGCCCACGGCGAAGGTATATCCAAATCGGCAGAGCAATGGCTACAGCTGCGAGCAAGACACCAACTATTGCGATAATTGTATCAGGAGAAACTGATGAAGGCATTTGACCGTAATCCCAGGTCACCAGAGTATAGAGAACCTTTTTCAAGAGTTGAACTTCAAGTTCCTTGAAGATTAAAAGAGACATATCATGGGGAGGATTTTATATCTTGGACAACAGCTGGGAAAGACTCCGTCAATTGGCTACCTCTAGTTGTGGGCGGCATGGGCATGCATGGGCATGCATGGGCATGGTTTGGAGGGAGAGTGCATTTTGATCCATTCGAGCCATGGCCATCTCCACATAACACCAAAGCCTGAAAGCTAAGAGGTCAATCTCAGGAGCTAAAGACTCGGCCGACGACGAGACAGGGTAGCAGAGAGGCAGGAAAAGACAAAAAAAGAGATAACCGTGGAGCTAAGACTCAAATCAACCTAGGCTCCCGGGCGGGACGTGGAATACGTACGGGTAGGAGGAGTTTACCCAGGTTCCCAAGGATCGAGCAGCAAATAGAATCGCACATTCATACGCATGTCCAGAGAGATTCTCACCCACCCCTGCGTGAGTATTTCGCGAATTTCTCGCGGTCGGCTAGCAGCGAATTTTCCAAAGACCTCTGGACTACGAACTGTCCACAGATCACTGTAGAAAGAACTTCTCCCAGATTCTATTACTCGAATTCTTCAAATCTCCGTCAAATTATCAGCACTTTGTGCTTAATAGCTAAGCCAACCAACAATAGCCAACCCAATGACAGCTGCAAAGGATATCTCATTGACCGCTTCAAGCCATGAGCGCATCGGTTGCGGGGCGAAGCCGTTATACTACCTAACTTACCTAGGTAGGCAGTGAATGGGCTGTCCAAATGGAGTTTCAAATAGTTGGGACAGCCCGACCACAAGACAAACCTTAGGCCTTAAAAGGAGATAAAAGACTTGGACTGGAGACGGAGGCTATACGGGGCGAGTTGTCCGGCATTTCATCAGAAGCTAATGATAAGGCTTAAGAATTTCGCTCTTGGTGGCTATGCCCATCTATCCCCAGTTTGATAAAGCTTCGATCAGTACCTGGGTGCCTGGGGAGTTTAAATAACTGCCTGACGCCCTGAACGAATGGAGCTGTATGTTCAAGCTGCAATCTTTCATTGAATAATGGTCAATGTCCTATAAACTGACTTGCCATACGCAAGCGGAAGCAGATAACAAGGCTGAACACACTGTCCCTCAACACGGCTAAGCTTCTCAAGATGCATAGGATGACTCTCGTCTTCTGTACTAAATTTGCTGCCCATGAGCCAAGTCAAAGTGCTTTTCCATTTATTCTATGCAGAGCTTCCACGACTCCATCTTCTCCTTAACTCCAACATGCCCCCAACAATCCCTCTTGAGCAAATCGGATCCATGCTCAACTCGAATCAAGTATACGTAAGGCGGACGACTCTCGTTTGCAAAGTCGTCGTACTGCTCAGGTGAAATGTGCCAGCTCTGAAGGGTGTTCCTGCTATGCACTGTCCATTAGCCTCAAACTCAATCAACTATGATTTGGATTCTTTATTGTTGACTTTGACATACTGGATTCTTCATCACTTGGAATTTCGACACCCTCAACAGACCCAACAACACGCGAGGAGTTTTGACAGTGCCAAATTGGCAATATATGGCCCTCTGTGGTGTCTTTCGAGTCATTGTAAGTCGATCAAACGGGTCAATGTAATTGCAATAGAGTGTATAACATACCATCAAGTCGATCAAGTCGTCTGCGTCTGTACCTGCGCCGGATATATATCCAGAGAGATCCCGTGATTGGTATAGATGAAACCATAATGGCAATTATCCCGACTACTGTTTCGCTCGAAGCCATAAGGGTAAGGAGTAAAATGTAGTGATGCAGAATTCGTTGTGAGAACCAGATTCTGTAAGAATGCAGGACAGAATCGTTCCCACGGTGATGGGCATCTTGCATCTTATACCATTTGAGCGGCATTGCCTCCCATGTTAACGAGTTTGAAAAGAGTGATAGTGATATCCACCTGGGCACCTGCATAGGTGTTCAATCATGTGATCTTCTGTATCACAATTAGTCCAGGCCTAGTGTTATAATTCCATGGGCGAATGATAAGAAAGCCGAGAAGCCACAAAACCATCCCTCAGGATCCAATAAAAACTGAGGAGGCTATGTTGCAATAAAAAGGCATGGGCTCATGCGCAATAGTGGAGATGGCCAATGACATCCCGTCACGAGGACTTGGGCAACAAGGATGGCTGGCTTGGGGTTGTTTGAGAGTTCATGACAACCAGGCTCTGTTTCCGTACAATGATTGCGGAGCCTAGTGGAGATCATAGTTGCAGTGGGTATGATACCTTCAGTGGGGAATGGTACCATAGGTTTTGATAGAGAGTCAACAGATCCACGAGGCTCCGGGAATAGTTACCTTGCATTGAGCAGATTGGTAAACCAAACTCCCCGAGATTCGGCTGACAGGTGGGAATCATTGATCGCAGAATCGTATGCTTGCCAGAATCTCTGGAGCCTCTTGCCGAGACCCTGATTCCGTTCGACTGGGGGTTTACCCATTTCTTACTTAGTGGCTGTGCCCGCCTGTAGATCGAAGTCATGACGGCTACGAAGAGTATTTGATCCAGTTAGCCCCCTCAAGCTCTGAATAAAGGGTAGTTGCAATAGTCTGAAGCTGCGATCTATCTTTGCAAGTTTGTCAGTTGATATCAGGCTGACTTCTAAAACGGGGCCCTAGCGTGAGCCTTTCGGGTAAGGCTGGCACCCTAAACCCCATTATCGTACCCACTTCATTTCAGCTGTCTTACTCACACGGCAGAGTATCCGTTCCTGATGTCTTTTTTTCTGGAATTTTGCTCTAAGGTGTTTCTCTTTAGCAGTGCTAGAGCGCAGCAGCAGGAGATCAGCATATGGAGCCTCGTACGGAGTAGGCTTTCAAAGAAGGAACATGAATGGTAGACTGTGGCTCCATGGAAACTGCCGACCCCAAGCTCATAAAGTATTCTTCTGAAATGGTAAAATCCGCATTTGGCTATGAAAGACTCAACTCGTAAATGAGACTAGTACATCACTTACAAGCATCTAAACTTGGAGCTGGATCCAGACACTTATGCGTTGCGCCGAACGGCATTCTAGAGTCAGGAAACCACCGTCTATACTGCCAACAAAACCGCGCACGGAACAAGGATATGTAATCCATGACTTAAGGTTGCTTAATCCCCCACTGAACATATCGAGTAGTGTGATCCACAAGCTGTTTATCTTGCTGCCGCTATCTAAGTTAAGGGCGAAACAAGAGTCATGGTATATGTTGGCAGTTGTGCGGTGCTCCTGACGAGCCTTACCCTAACATCCATGGTACCAACACCTTTACACCCGATCTAACTGAACTGTATACTCATTGTCTGAGTGTATCGGTACACCGAGTTGCGGGTGATCACCCGTAGAGCGCGGATTATACTGACCCTAAGAGCGATAATGGCAACAGATTAGTCGGATTCGATCAGGAAAATAGACCAGAGATGCCTTCAATGAGAATTTAGTATTCTCCCAGACTTGACTTACCCGCGACAACCTGTCCTCCAGTCGAAGCCCGTGGTGGACGAAGCCCGGGTAGATCATGTTCTTCTAGAAGGGCGAGTCAGCCCACCCATCATCCCAATTGTGCAAGCGAAGATCATACCGTCTGCTCGACTGTACCTCGATCTCTGCCACAAACAGTTTGAAAGAGCTATAAGAACCGGTATTGCGAAAGCTGCAACGGCCCCAGAAATGCCGAGGGCTGTCTCAGTTGACATGTTGGACGTCACCTGGCTGTCTACTAGAGTCGCTGTGTGATGACCTGTTCTGCTTCAACATGGAGGCTGCGAGAAATATGATGGCTATATAACGTCCTCTGGCGGAAGCAGTGCAGTATAAACAAGTCATCAAGGGGAGTCAAACGCGTCGAGGTGACTACCAAAAATTGCATCCTGACCACCAATGATTGCAAAGACGGGGATCCTTTCCTCTTCCTGATCTAGCGTATCAAAGTGAACACCTGCATCTGGGCATCAAAAAATGCACCGTGACTACCAATAGTTGCAAGGACGATTCTTTTTGTTCTGACTCGTTGGGTTGAGTATGGTAATGCTATATATTGGCTGGCTTCACTGCATGTCAACCACTCCTTGGTAGGTAGTACCTAGGCACTCGGTACTAGGTAATGGTGTCCCTGCAAATAGATGCCCTATTATTTGTGGTAGCGCCAGGTAGTAGTCTCCAAGACAGTGCGAGTCACACCCATCAGCTCCCGGAATAAAAGGTTAAATAACCCTCCAGCTTAACAGCATCTGTCTGCAATAAATCCCTGTGTAATCCCGCCATCGCCCTCTCGAGTCATAGGAGCCCACGGAGATGCTGATACATATATTCGTGCCACTCGTCATCTTCCTAGAAGTTTTCAAGACATAACTGAATTATAGCTTGTGAGATGCTTTAGATGAGCTATCTAGACACTCTCTAGGTAAACTCAAAGATAGCTGAGCCCTTGTATATGGGACAGCAAGTATATTTCACATTCGCTGCAGTCGCAGCAATCTCAAGGTTTAATCAAAAACGAATATCTTATCACCAGTGTAGCATAAGAGGGCATCCGGCGTAAGAGACGTCATTTTTGCTGGAAGCCTTCAAATATGTTGAGTGATCAAAGATCTGAGTTATTTTCAGTGCCCTTACATGGTGTTCGCAAGCGATTGAGAAGGGCATCCCAACTACTGTACACCGTGACGGACTCTATGCCTAAGGGGACAGACCCATACCTTATTGTGCTGCAGAGATCTTCAAGGACCGAGCAATGCCATATTTCGTGGTGTACGTGGGAGGATAGGTTCAACGATTGCGTGTACTTTATTGCAATGTGTGGTAAGCACTTGACCCTTCCACAAAACAAGAAACCGACCAAAACAACAAGTCAAGAAGTGCTTAAGAACGACTTTTTTGTACAGCAGTATCAGGGTTGCGAAGAATGACTTGGGCACAACAACACCGACATAGGCTCCCGGTGTTTGTAGTTCACAAGACCATCCTGCCTGTAAGAAACAGTCATGCTCTTATCAGGGTTCATCTCATCCTCGGGTATCTCTTTGTCATACTTTACCCAGTACCAGTTGCCGCCGTCCCTGCCTTGCTGCATGAGTTCGAATCCATCCAGTGAGCCTAGGTTGTATCCACCAGGGAGCTTCTCCTTGCGCACTCGTACCATGCGATGGAAAGTCTCAGTTTGAGACCGGTACACTCTGTCCATGCTAGTCCCAAGGCTGTCGGTGTATTCATAGTCGCCTAGTGTACGATCCTTCTTGAGAAAGAGTTCCCACGCAAGACCTTTCACAAGCCCAGCAGGATTATCGACGACGGCCCCGCAGCCCCAGCCGTTGTAAATGCCACAGAGCTTTTCATGTTCCACAACAAGATCGTCGATCACATCACCCGCAAAGGTGATCATTCCAGAGAGATTGTCTGCCTAGTGAGATTAAACTAGTCAGTCTGTCAAGTTACTTATCCAAAGGGGAGGAAATAAACTTGCCATCCACGCAAAGGTATTAATTGCGATTTCGCCTGGTGCCGTACCGCCAATGGTACTATGATCACCAGGGAACCAGCACTGCCGGAGCTCGTTCTTAGGACCGCTTTCGTGGCTTGCATGCCACAGGGTTGGAGCGAAGGCTGCTCGCCGCTCATCCAGCGCGAGAGCTTGGAATGCGTAGTCAATCCCTGGTGTCCGGGTATGTCTTCATTAGATCCCTGTATGGCTGGGGAGAAGGCATAGGGATATACTCACCTTGTGGTACCTCTGTGCTATGGAATTCGTAATTCTTGTTGACTGGGAAGCCCAATGACTTGAGAACACGAACAGTTCCCACTTCCGGGAACCCCTTTCCAACTCGTTAGCGCACACGAGCGAATATGTGTATCCTGCTGCGAAAAAAAAAAAACATACCAAGGTCCCGACAGTATCCCAAACACCAACACACTTAATCCTGACATCCCACAGGTCCAGCTTGTGTTGATGGGTGGCATACCACTGCGACTCCTAAAATGGTACACCGACAGGGTGCGCGCGATACGCCGCCCATAATTCAGAAAATTGCGACATTTGATTCACAGGGAGCACACCAACATCAGAGACCAGACCCGCTACAGAACGTACGGTAGAGGCACCACTGGACCATCCGAACAGGAACAGCTCATCACCGGGGTCGTAGTTATTTGAGATAAAGCCATAGAGCTGACACACCTCGTCTTCAAGGCCCCAGCCAAACCCGCCTAAGGTAATAGCGCATTAGTCTCCACCTAATCGCACTTGGACACATAACAATGCATATACCTACCGAAAAGTGCCTTTTGATAAGGATAGAGACCACCATTCCCGACCCCCGGCTGATAGAACACGATTTGCTTGACGACATTTCCTTCATTATCAAGACCTTCTGCGGCAATTGCTCGCGCTATCCTGGCAACGTTTGAGGGAGCGACGTCGTTGCCGCGGTGTGATGCTACCCACGCGCCATCTGCACAGATAATGATGCGCTTATAGTTTGCCAGGTTGTGCTTCATGGACCTCGGCATTGAGAGTCCGTCGGATATCCTCTCCAATTCGTAAATCTTCTTAAGATGCGGGCTATTCTCCTTTCCCTCCAGATTGCTTAGATTCAGTAATATGTCACCCAAAGAACGTGAAATCTGTAAATAATCTTCTGCAATTATAAGGTCGGCCGGGTCTTGCGCACTTGGCGAAAGGTGTTGTTGGGCGTAAGACGTTAGATAACGTTCACACAGTTGACCTGCAGAGATCAACTCAGATAGCACAAGAGACTCATCAAATGACCCTTCATCAAGCTTCGTCACGGTGACGACTTGCTGTCGTAGCTTGAAGATATTCATGTCGTCGCCCTTTGGGAGCACAGGAAGCAGGAGGCCTAAAATCCTCTGCGCTTCCCAGAATTGGCCATGTTGACGCAGGTCCAAATACCAGGCATCAAATCCATGCCAGGGAGGTACACTGGAGCTTGACCACGGCGGATTCAAATACCGCGTCTCAACGTGCATCACCTGGGCATCATAGGCGGCCACGAGAATGTTCAAATAGACCTCGATGATGTGTATCTCAATCGCATTTGGGATGCCCGGTGAATGGGCATGTCGAGCATGCAGGTAATTCCAACACTCCAGAGCCGTTGACAGGGCGTCTCTGATAGCGTCTTTGGGTTGGCCCTGCGGAGCCCGGGAGGCTGCGAGCTTACTAAGTAGATTGCAAAGCCATTCCAACCCCACAGGGTCAGCGCTCTCTGTGGCAGTGTGAAGGGTTCGGAGCTCCTCGTATGAGCCTTCGTGGTAGAGCATATCTGCGTATTCCAAAAAGACAGGAAACAAGCTCCTATAGGGCTTTAAGCAGTGGCTAAACCATTCTCGGGCCTCCTTGAGGAGGCCAAAGTGAGTAAGGCGAACAAAATACTCGAGTTCGGCAGGAATGTCCTCCTCAAGTTCCATTGCAATAGTTTGAGCTGGCCCTTCCCCAATTTCAAGATTAAGGATACACGGTACATCGGGGATAGGGTCGGGATTTTGCGCGTCCATATTGTAGGTTTAAGTTCTCAACACACGTGGGTTGTTGCTAGTGAGTTTGAACTCAGCCGAGCAAGAGTACCCTACATTATTATATAGACTGGAGGTTAGCTTCGGAAATTAGTCTGTGCTCACAAGAATCTGTACATCCACGGTTCAGGTTAGGAGTGCATCTGATTGTGATCTGATGAGTGAACCAACGTTGATACGCACGCAACCCACGGCTCCTTAAACTTTACGGTCCTGGGCGATCTACTGAGCGATCTATTCAGCCTCGACTAGATCTATTCTCGTATTGTAGAAGAAGATTCAAGGAGATAAATAAAGTCATGACATTGATAAACTACTCCCGTAATCGATATAATCGCAGTAGTAAGAAAATGCTTGCTGAGGATAGATTTCGAGAGAGAGGCCAGGTCCTCGTCGAGGTCGGCAAGCAATCCTTCCGCTTGCGGCCGCCCAACACCTGCATCAGCAAGGCCCAGATTCAAGTCCATCGAGTGGGTTGACCTACGAGTGGGATGAGACCATCTAGCCGGGCCGGCTACACATGACGTACGCGATTATATAAACCACCATAATCATAAGTATATACTAAGCTAGGATACTCGAAGTTTGAGCAATGGCTCTCTTGCTATATATGCAGTCTCCTGCCATCCCCAAAAATCAGGCTTGACCTCTTTTAACGCTTCACAATGGCTGGGAGATATTCTGCTCATTACTCGGTGCTTACCCATAATCGGGACCACCTCCTTGGCAATAGGGACGTGGGCCGTATTAATATTGACTGCCGATCCCTGGCACGGTCTCAATGGGGCCTTATGGAGGGGAAGCCTATATGGATTTTGCGCGCTCAACTGCAAACCAATCAGTCTGATGACCATCAGCTTAAACAACTAAAGTTAATCCTTGATTTCCGAACAACGTCTACAAAGAATGAAAACCGTCGCACAAATCGTGAACTACCTTGCCCCCTCGAAGTCACCGAGTACTACGGGCCCCAGGTTGGTTTTGGCAGACCACTAAGCAAGGGCGTCGAGAAAGAAAGTGGTATAGAACCTGAGTTGGAGGTAGCGGGTATTAAGGCAAAACTATTCCGGTTTACGCGAAAAACGAACAAAACATACACCTACAGGTGGCGTATGTATGGGCTGAGGCATCCCGACAAAGCGGATAAGCTCTACAGGCAGATCGATTGGACCATCGAGGAGGCTACTAGTAAAGTAGCAAGGCAGATAGAGCACAGGCCAGTGTGGGAACTAGGTATGGCTATCAAGCATGATAACCAGCCATTCTTTATCCATGTCGGCGTCTCCGCCCAGGTGAAAAGTTGGAAGAGAATATTCTCACTGAAACCCAAGCGTGCGATTACTCCAACGCAGGTTATACCCCGTGGAGATTCGACTGATGTACTGGACAATGAGGTTCTAGAGTTGAATAAGGACTTAACAGACTCGCAAATCAAGACTCCTGTCCCTTCCGAAACTGAACTGGAAACCGGTCAACCACAGGAGTTTTGGAACATACTGGGTGCTTTAGTCGAATCTGTTCGATTTTCGAAAAGGGATGCTGTTCTTATTGCCGTTGTTGCTGTCTTAGTATTTATCATTTCCGGTCGCTAGTCCTGGCTTCTTAAGGGTACCTAGCCATGCTAAGCGGCGTTGTATCTAATTTCTTAAGATGTCCCATATTTAGCGACTTTGATCAATTATATGATTAAGCCTTTGTACTCGTCCCGACATGTTGCTGTCTCTCTATCCTGAAAGGAAAGATTATGCATCAAGACTTCTTGGAGCACAAGTATCCATACCCACTATAGGGCTGGTACGGCTGCCTGTACTGTAAGAAGGATCTCTCAACACACTCGCCAAGAGATATCAATGTCCGTGCAACTCACCTTGGATTCTTCCTCTGACGTGATTTGTATACGTCGTGGAAAAGATCTACCAGGCGGCTAGGAAGTTGAAGTGAGTATCTGAATGAGGTATCCCTTCTATGATTGTCGCTTTAGTAGCTATTGAGTTTAGATCATCACATATGCCTTCTGGGGACTAGCTCAAGATGACTTCCACATGAGAGAGGCGGAAAGCTATCGCTGTTACATGCTCACTACATCAGCCTAAGGGATACAGCTTAGGAACTTGCCGTGAGGAGGCAAGAGTCCAGATGGCCCCCCCACTGCAGAGTTAAAGGCTTCACCCTCGTCATCCTCAGGGAGCAATTCCTTTACCTCCTTATTATATGTCCAGCGCGCCCAGTGCCTCGCAGACCAACCATGCCTATCGCGGACGTTGACATCAGCCTTCATGCCAAGGATGTGCTTGATGATTTCGATATTCCTCCCCATCACAGCAGCCGACAGAATCGGTATACCTTCCAAGCTCTCACACGACCCGCTCAACGGCGCACCCGCATCGAGGAGTATACGGAAGACCCTCTCCCACCCGCCATATGCAGCCCAGAAGAGCCCTTCCTCGCCGAGAGATAAGTGCGGCCAGGTAGCCTTGTGGTACTCGATCAGGGACCGGACGACGCGACCATGGCCCCGCTTTGCCGCATCCCTCAAAGGCTCCCAGGTTGTGACCTTGTTGTTGAGATACGGCCTCTCGACCGGGTAACTTAGTAGCGCTTCAACAATATTGAAATGCCCGTTCTTCGCCGCGATCCAAGGAGGCGACCATGGATCTTCGCTGGAGCGAGGTAGCGTATTGGCTCCATTCGCAAGTAGAAGCTGCACCATTTCGAGGTCCCCGCTTGCTGCGGCGTGGAAGAGTGGGCTCGGGAGGCCGCCGTGCGCGTTCACGTCTGCACCACGCATAAGGAGGAGCTCGGCGACAGGCACTGAACCACCTGCAATGGCGCAGATAAGTGGCGACCGACCTAGTCTGTCGCGGAGCTCGAGATCGGCTTTGGCACCTAGTAGCTGATGAAGGATCTGTTTGTGAGGGGATTTTTCAGTGAAATGTTCTTCGTACCGCGCCTTTCGTTTTTGGTAGGCGCGGTAGCGAGCCGTGGGGTCCGGGTACCGGATTGGAGGTAGACCCATGCTGATGCGTTCCTTGCTCAGTTCTATGCCTTCATCCGTCATGCGGCGCGGAGACCAGGGCAGGTCGAGCTGGGACTCTGGCCATTTGGAGGGGAGGAGGACAGTATTGGTTCGTTCCATCGGCGGGGAGAGAGCTGATATCAAGGGCGTGCGGCCGTAGTTGCCGGCACTGTCGATGGCGTTGACATTTGCTCCTTTTGAGAGGAGGTCCTTCACAAGTCGTACGTTTCCCGTCTCGGCTGCGAGCGATAGAGGGGTCTGGTACGCTTCGTTTGCGTAGGGACTTTTCAGGTCGTCCGTGGAGAGGAGGATGTCGACTACCAGTTCGCTGCGCTTCATGGTGGTCCAGGACGGCTCTTGTTGCGTCTTTCCTTGTCTGGAAGCTGGATGTCTACCCTCGTACTTCACTGCAGCTTGAGCGAAGTGGCGGATAACCATCGTTTGGTCATTTTTGTACAGCCATTCTAGCGCTTTGGGAAATTGCGGAAAAAGGCGTTCGTAAACGACGGGGTTGACGACCCGGTAAAGCCTCTGGGTCACCCGGGCGAGGGAAAGGATGTCCGGGTTCGAAAGGTACTTGATGATACGAAAGATCATCGTGGAGGGGAGGGTGTGCAGGGAACGAATGCTTGTAGGTGTCCAGGATTTGGTTGGATCCAGGACTGTCTTTGCCTTGGAAGCCGCGACTATTACTGGAACATTCATGATGGTATAATTTGGAGGAATCGTTGACTTCTCTGTTTTCTGTAGATGGATGAAGGTATTGAAGGAAGTCAGTAGAAGGAAAGTTGAGAGGGATGACAGGGTTGGTATGTTGGTATGGTTGGGGTCTTCCTCTCTATGTCTATGAAGTGAAGTTCATACCTCATTGACAAGTGGGGCCTTTCAACGTTTCTTTCTTCATAATCACTGGTATAGAATCTTTATTCTTTTTCTAGGACTTGTCTGTAGCTCTGGTTGGATTTAAGAGATAAGCGGACCACCTAGATAGCTCATATTTGATTGTTCTAAATAGCCTCATTGCTACTTGGATGGCCACTGAAGAGCGTCAGCTAATCGTGCCCTGTGCGATGTGTTTATGTTGCTTAAGAAGGTGTTTAAGAAGGTGTTTAAACAAATGGTTACACACGAGTGTTCAAGCTTGTCCTCAAAAGGCTTGCTGGAGACTACACGAAATTGGCTGAGAGGTAGTACAGTGGCTAACAAGGCGCCGAGTGGCAATCTTGGGGATAGACAGGTGAAGGGATTGCAGAAATACACTTCGAGGACGAGGAGGAGAATAAACTCGCGAAGGAAGTCTTACTAAGTCACATGTCTTCATTGAACAGTATAGCTTATCTTCTATCTCAAGCCTTAAGCGGCACAGTGTCCACAAACAACGTAGCACTAAACGCCTCCGGATACCTCGTGCCAGAGACATCCGACTCCTCCACAATCTGCCTATACCTCCTCACCTCCTCCTCCGTAAGCTCAACCTTCAGCGACTCCACATTCTCAACCAGAGCTTCGACGCGTGTTGTCCCCGGGATCGGAAAGATATCATCACCCTGCGCCAACAACCACGCTAGCGTAAGCTGCGTAACCGTGACGCCCTTCTCCTCAGCGAGTGCCCTCAGCTTATCGACCGCCTCGACATTCTTGGGGAAGTTCTCCTTGCTGTATCGCGGGAGGATCGCGCGGATATCGTCTGCGCCGTAGTCTGGTCGTTCGCGGATTGTGCCGGAGAGGATACCGCGACTGAGAGGGGAGTATGCGACGACGGCGACGCCGAGCTCTCGCGCAGTCTTGAGGAGGCCGATTTGCTCTGATTCGATTTCTAGTGAGAAGGGGGAGTATTCGACCTGCACGGCGTCGATGTGATGGACCTTGCATGCGCGGCGTAGCGATTCACTGCTGCATTCGCTCAGACCAAGGTATTTGATCTTTCCCTCGGCCTTGAGCTCGGCGAGTGCCTGGACAGTCTCTTCAACGGGTGTGTTCGGGTCAAGACGGTGGGCGTAGTAGAGGTCGATGGAGTCGACGCCTAAACGCTCCAGAGACTCGGCGCAGCACCGCTTGGCGTTTTCGGCGGTCGTGTCGGTGACGCGCTCGCCGTTGACGAGTCGGTAGTAGAATTTTGTGGCGAGGAAAATGTCCTTGCGCTTGGAGGGGTTGGCGGCGAGCCATTTGCCGATGAGGACTTCGCTGTCGCCGTATAGTTGGGCTGCAGAAAGGTTATATGTTAGTTACGTGGGATATATAGGAGTTACATCTGATATCTAGAACATACCAGAGTCCCAAAATGTCTCGCCGAGCTCGTATGCCTTGTCGAGCAGTGCTAGACGCTCAGAATCTGGCTTGACAGGGCCATAGAAGACGCTCAAGCCCATAGTTCCAAAGCCGAGGCGAGGAACTTGGGGCCCGTTTTTGCCCAAGGGACGAGTTGGAAGGGGTGCCATGTCGCTGAAGATTTTGTTCGTATTGTAGGTAGTTGTTCTAGAGATGTCTAGTGTAGCATTTCCTTGTCGTCTGGAAAACTGCTCTCTATTTATCTGTTTGCAAACGACATGCCCAGGTGGATATACCGGATTTTGCGGACTTTGTTGGGTGGGTTGAGGATTCGTTTGACGGGGCATTGTTCTCCCACGACAGGATCAAAGCAGCTTTATAAACCCTGTCGGCTGAGAGACCCACCCGTCGAGGCAAACGGGGATAACTGCTTATGCCGGGGCCCAAAAAACAACTGCTTCAGCATCACAGCCTAGAGTCTGGGTCCTGCTTAGAAATGCAGATCCTGAACCTCCGGCGGATCTTTATTGGTCATGCTGGTTAGGCACGAGCTGTTTGAGCGAACGGAGCTGGCGGCATGGTCTGCCGTCATCGAGCGCACTACCACTTGCACTTGCAGGGGTGTCTTTTCATCAACCTAATCGCTGTAGATTGTGGAGTATATTATCAAGGTTCCGTCCAGATCCGCTCTGCTCAGCACTACTGCAACTCCCTCGAGACTGAGAAGTCACCGACTCTGTACGAGTCAGGAGGTGTTCGAAGCCCCGCGTATCCCTCCTTTGTCTCATGGAAGATTCTAGCACACATGTCTTCTTTCATGTCATGTAGCTATATCTAGCGACTCCCTAGCTAGATAGCTCCATCGTTCTTACGGATCTCTAGAGACATCTGAATGCATCTCCTTTTGGTCATGGCTGAGTGCTCTCCTGGAGCCGTAGCGACCTCTGTCAGGAGGATGGGGAAATTGCGGTCTTACTGGCGGGCGATGCTTGGCACACTGCAAATGATTTTACTAAAGAGAAGCAGGTTCCCACTTCCTGGAATTCTCCTTCGGAAACCGGCTGTTCTCCATGTTTGCGGAGTTTATGCATAAACTTGTGTCTTGTACAAAATTGACGAGGTTTCAGATGGGCGCTTTTCCTTTCTTGGTGAAGCATGCGGGTCTCTGCGACCGTGTTCAGTTGATGCCTTGGTGCCTGGAACTACTGACAGGACAGCAGATCGACTCGGCATTTCGGCTGTAGCCATGCATGAACCACAGTTGTTTTCAAATTGGAAGCAACCGAATAGATGTGCGTTGAGGAGAGACTTCACGGAGTAATGTTCGATTCGTTAGAGTTTTCGTCTAACTGGTCGACGTCCAGCTGTGGAAACCCAACTCTTTCTCATGGCCTCGTCTACCGCGCAGTCCGATCACCAAGAGGACCACTGGTCACCAGGGGCGATATACTGACTGACCAGCTTCATCATGCCGCCTACACGATCTAACGTAAGAACAGCGTACTCTAGCATCGCAGCCTTCATCCCGAAGCTGACCCAGACTCCCGTCATCTCGACCCGGAACCAACAAACAAGATCCTAGATATCAGCTGTGGAGATAAAGATTCGCCGAGTTATTTCTCCCAGGCGTTGATGAGGTCCTCGGCGGAGCATCGACCGACGCTACTTACAAGTTCCGTTCTCAAGGCGGGCTGGCAGGCTAGGTTCGTCTTATGGGGGCTTCGCTTCTGGAAGTGCTCGAGCCCGAAAGGAGAGAAGTGGCCATACAAGACATATGTGAGATCTTGCAGACCGGGGTAACTCGCGTTGGAGATAGTAGTGAGTGGCTTGGATATGTGGGACTGTAAGACGTTGCACAGAGGACTTAAAAGGCATGCATTCTTTGATAGCTTCGGTCTATGATTCTTACTCGTGTAAAGCTGTTTCATTGCGCCTTTTGCCTCCGTTGCTGCATCAAAATGGCCAGTGGGATGTCCTCTTCGTCGTAAAACTCAACTTCCTCATCGACGCCAAAGTCGCGTAGACGTTCCCCTTCGGAGTTCTTCCAGGATTCCTCGCCGTCAACAGAACCATTGTCACTGTAATCGCCGTCTTCTGAAGATGAAGTCGACAGTGAGTCATCGAACCTGACGTGGAATGGCTTGCGCCGTTGTACCTCGATTGAGGTTTTCTGGCGCTTCAAATCTTCCGCTTTTCGTCTATTGAAGGCATCAATCTCAAAGTTCCCAGTCGCTCCTGACGCAAACGCAGCACTATTCGCCTGGCCCCTTGCTGGTAGTGGAATACGATCTGGATCGGGAGGAGGCCATGAAACGCTAGCGTCTGTTTGTTGTCAGCATTGCCCATTCCTCAGAAAGAGGTAGACGGACCCTCAAAGCCATTCTCCTCATACTCCAAGCCGGTGCTCCTGTGAGGAGTCCGAGCCAATGGCCAGAACCAGCTTAGCACCTATCAGACCAGCAGTTAGTATGCGCAGTTACCGCTTTGATGAGACCACTAACATTGGGGCTCCCACCCATTCCTGCTTTGATATTCGACCAGATGCCGATGTCGTATGGAAACTCTTGCTTCTTGATTTGCACACTGATCCCTCCGGGTCCTGGCAGGAATCCTCCGAAGTGGCGCGCTCGCCGAACAAGAGTCTCGTGTCGTTCAATTTCCCATGATTCAATCGTGGTCGTATTTGTGCCGAGCGACCATAAGGTTCGCACAAGGAGGATGAAGAGTGCAAATACCGTCAAACTATTGGTGACGAGTAAAGCAAATAGGTGCCCTAATTGTCCTGCACTAGGTCCCATGTACTGAAAACTGAGTCAGCTAATTCCAGACAGAGTCGAGCGGCACTCTTACGCTTGGAAGGTTTCGAGACTTCCAAACAATTGACGCTCGCTCAAAAAGCAGAGTCTCAAGGTACGACATCCCAACCACCGCATAGAACAAAAACCTAATGAAATGCGGAAAGGTAAAGTGAGAGACGCAATTAGACGTCCACGGACAATGATGGTCCATTTTAGGTATACATCTGGGGATAATGTGAGCCTATGTCATTGCAGAGTTCAGTTCAGGCTCACCTTCGACATGTCTTGCAGTGATGTGCTCTCGGTGGTTTGAAAGCTTCACATCTCCGACACCACCGTTGCCGGCCGTCGGCTTGATCGGCCTTCAGCGACTGGCGATCCTTCGGTTCCCATCCTTCTGGAATACGACCCGGATTGACGGTGCAAGCCCGGTAGTAGCAGATCCAGATGCACAGGGCGAAAAAATTGATCCGCCAAACTTCATCTCTTCTCAGGGAAGCTTCCTTGAAATGAAGGAAGAAATACTGCGACGTATACGCGAGAAAAGAAATCAGTATAGAGACCGCCGGAATGGCTAGTCTTGCGATGGAGAATGACGAGCACAGCATTTTTTACGTCACATCATTGATCTGGGCCTGGAGCTGACAAGCGACCAAGTCCAACTTTCGCGTGTTTGTTGTTGGTGGTGCAGGCGCGGCTGACTCAGCTCACGTGCGCGGCCTCTGAACAGCGTGCGTGGAAATACTTTTGTTCCTTTCTCTCCTTGCTTCAACAACACCATCATTTACTTCGCCAAGACCAACTATATTCCAGTCTTTATATCTTTTTATATCCCTGGGCGACATTATATACTAGATACTCATGGTATGAGTGCCAATTGCATGGAGTTGGCGTTCTACGATGCCGATCGAGGCTCTTCCTCAAAGCACGGCAAGGGCCATCGGCTCGACGTCTACCATCTCCGATCCGAGCTCAATCGTCAAGGAGCTCCTTGATAATGCTCTCGACGCCTCCGCGACTTCCATTGCAATTGAGATTACGCAAGATACTGTTGGCCTCATTCAGGTCAAGGACAATGGTCATGGAATTCCTCAGGAAGATCACAAAGCTGTCTGCAAACGTGGATTTACAAGCAAGATCCGCACAGTGGAGGACTTGAGGACTCTAGGCGGCACATCCCTTGGCTTCAGGGGCGAGGCACTGGCAAGTGCTGCTGAGATGTCTGGTGGCTTGACCGTAGCCACGAGAGTTGATGCTGAGGTTGTTGGGTCTCTACTGAAATATGGCCGAGACGGAGAGCTATTGAGGTGAGTATACTGCGTCGTTCTATCACATTTATGATCTAACCTACCTATGTAGCACCGAGCGCACATCTCACCCCATTGGAACCACTGTCCGGATTTCCGATCTGTTCAGGCACATCCCTGTCCGAAGACAAACTTCGATCAAGGATGCCAAGAAGACGATAACAAAGATACGAAAGATGGTTCAGGCGTACGCGATGGCCCGACCTACTACAAGACTATCTTTCAAACTTCTCAAGTCCAAACTTGAGAGCAGCAACTGGATGTACGCCCCAGGCCGAGACGCTACACTTAGGGAGGCCGCAATGCAAGTTGTCGGTATAGAGCTAGTATCCATGTGCGTCATCAAGGAATGGCCGGCACAGACGGAAGACAATTCCAGTTTCCGTCTGGTGGGAATGCTTCCCAGACCTGTTACAGGTACGTCGCATATCAGTTCGCAGAACACTATAATAACCTTGACAGATTTCGCTCCATTGAACAACAAGGGCCAATATATTAGTATTGATGGTCGGCCAATGGCATCCGGGCGCGGAATCACCCAGGATATCCTGAAGCTATACAAGTCACATCTGCGTTCACTTTCTCATGGTGATTCTACAACAATCACTGATCCCTTTTTATATCTGCACTTCAGGTGTCCTGGAGGAGTCTACGATGTCAACGTCGAGCCTCTCAAGGATGATGTGTTGTTCGAAGACAAGACACTGGTCCTTTCCCTCGTGGAAAACCTATTACAAGATACCTATGGCAAATTTTCCAACCTACGCTCGTCAACATCGGGCCCAGGAGAACAGGTCAGTCCCGTCCGCACTGCATTCGACGCACTTCTACCAGCGCCGCGGATTGAGCATACCTCATCTCTGCCCAATGCTGCAGATTCATCAGCCCCTCCTTCTGTGAACATAATACCCGCACGCCCGCAGCCGCACTATCAAAGTCCTCCGGAACATAAAACTGCATCTGCAAGACCCTCAGAGCTTTTTCGCGGGTCTAAAAACATCGTGTCTCCCAGCGCAGTCGGCCGTATACATACTACGGGGCAACTTCAACCTAGTCCAAGGCTCCGTAACGGAGTGATAACCCAAATTTATCCGACCAGTCATCATGAGACAACTCCGCACCGAACAAGAGGTATCACCGCCGCAGGCCCCGGCACACTAAGTCCCATATCCAACATGGACATGAACGTGCCCACTCTCAACAGTACCTCCCATTCACACTTGAGTAGCCCAGCCACATGCCCAACACAGCTATCGCCAACAACCCCGGTGCGAAACCAGACCCAGACTCACCACAAAGATCGTGTCAGGGGGCACTATGACAGCGGCACCATTGATGCTTGGTTCCACAGAGTTACTCAAGCTTCGAGTCCTCCAGAAAATACTCGAGACCAGGCCGAAGAGGACGGTGGGCCTTCGCTATCGGTACTCGCACAACGACGGTTCGGTGAAAGTGCGAGCCATACAAGTGCATTAGGTCTCGAGTCGAATGAATCCCAGTCCCCGGATACGTCTCCGGCTTCGAAATCACCGCAAGTACTGGCGCCTACACACGTCCCACGCACAAAAGGCTCTGGGCGACGCAAAGGCCTTCCTGTTCTTGAAGAGTGGTCTGCCAAGATATATGCCGACCACAATGATAGTGAGAATCTTGAGCTTCAGAGAGCTCTCGACTTCGAAATTAGGAAAAAGGCGGCTGTCCAGGAGAGGCGGATGCAACTGCAAACCGCTGGACCGTCGGGCAACCCGAATTCCCCGCATAAGAATAGATATATCTCCGCTCGTTCGGCCTTAGCCTCAGAGCCTCAACCTCGGGTTCTTATTGCAGGTCAGGACGACATACCTAGCAAACCCCTAGCGCCAGTACTAAACCCGCATGACCCAAGAGCGTACCTGAAGCGTTTCCTAGAGGCCCAAGAGAAAGATTCGGCGAACACCTCGAAGCTCAAACGGGTTGCCTCGACCAAGCTACCGTTCGAAAAGATCCCAGTCGGCCATGATCTGCATAATGTCATGATCGAACGTCCGGCCGAGCTGCCCCTCCTCTATAACGAATTCAAACTTACCTCCAAGGAGGATTCGTATACTCATACCGGCGATAAAGAAAATGCCCTGACCAACCTCAAAACGGTGGACATTGAGCTCTGGACCTCGCGTCTTACAGCCCTGGTCACGGCTCAGTACAAAGCGGTCAAAGGAACCGCTGCTGTTGATTTGCACCTTGACTTTTCTCATCTGACTTGATTTTAGATCGTATTTGATGCTGTTGTTCCTTCTGTCTGATTTGCATTTTCTGCTTGCTTGAAGCTGACTGCACTGATATTCACTGACGATTTCCTCGAAAACGAGTATTGCATGCTACGATTAATGATCTTGCATCCGTATATCTTTAGACCACATATCCGGTTTCTATCCTCTTATATTTTCCCGTATTGTCTGCTTCTTTATCAGTCTTTGAGTTCCAAGTCTGACTGTCTGCGTCATACCATGCTCGAGTAAGCGAGACACTTGTGTTGCTATGTTCCTGATATTTCGTCGTCATGTTTCCCGTCCCGTGCTGATTCCTTATGAAGTCAAGATAGCCATGAGCAGAGTAGGAGTGCAAAGAATATATTGCCTCCTGTCAATAGGGAACACCTATTTCTCCTTATGAAATGTTAGCAGAACGGAGTCCCAGTTTAACTTTCTGACCGATTAGGATGCTTTTTAAACCTAAGCTGGGGCTCTGGATCGAGCCTGGCCTTGGTTATTCTTTGTTTTTTTCTACCCTGTCACTATATGGCTTTCCACAGGGGTATATTTGTTGGTGTGGCTACGCTGCGCTCTTTTATTCTATAGTAGCGCCAGGGTCATGGATTACTACGAGAAGAAAAAAAGAATAAGCCTAAAATTACCCAACTCAGTGGTAGCCTTCAGAGTCCTTAAAAGTAAATGAAGAAGATATAGAACAAGTTCCCCATCTCATTATATTTTTTTTTTTTTCTACATATACTCACTACCCCTTTCTACTCCTTACATACCTCTAATACCCCCTCCCCCTCTTGTACGCATTAACCAACGGCTCCCCGCGTCTACTCCGATCCAAATTCACCCTAAGAATATCAAACGAGCGCAACCAATACTCCTCACCGATCCCACTAATATGCGGACTAATCTGCACATTCGGTGCATCCCACAACGGATGATCCGCGGGCAACGGCTCCGGATCCGTAACGTCCAGTGCAGCCCCACTCAACTCGCCCTTCTCGAGTGCCGCAACGAGCGCATCTTGATCAATGACCTTGCCGCGCGAGATGTTGGTGAGAAACGGGTTTCGGCTGCGCCCCGCCGGTCTATGTGCGGCGAGGACGGCGAATTCCTCGGCGCCGAGGAGGTGTGTTGTCTGTGGGGTTAGAGGGAGGGAGACGACGACGTGGTCGAGGCCGAGGGAGAGGAAGCTGTGCAAGGAGGCTTTGTCGATGCCGTGGTGCCACGAGGCTGGGAGGGTTCCCTCGGGGTCGCCCGTGCCCGGGACGAAGTAGTGCGGGTCGCGGCGCGAAGCCGGCGTTGGTTTGGGGGTTGCGGTGAAGGCGTGGACGGTTGCGCCGAGGGCGACGGAGACGCGGGCGACTGTGGTTTCTGTTAGTGTTTCTTGTCTTCTCATGGAGAGGGACGGGGACCGGATGGCGCCGGCTCGAATGGGAATGAATGGGAACGTACTCTGCCGCCCGATACTCCCGTATCCAAGAATTCCAATCTTCTTCCCAACGTGATCCTGTATACCGGGGACGTACTGGTCATGCGACCCCCATACATGCTTCTTCTGGTCTTCGTAGGTTTGGCTGAACTTGCGCGACGCCACGAGCCAGCTCAACAGCGTCCATTCTGCGATTGGAGGCCCGTGGATACCGGAGCTCGTCGTTACAGGGACGTCGGATTCGGTCAAGATGGGATCGTGGATGACCTTGTCTAGACCAGCGGAGGAAATGTGGATGAATTTGATGCTGTTGCGCCGTTAGCGGGGTCTTGCGGGAGTCTCGGCGGGGCTGGAATTGGAGACTCATGGGCATGCTTACTGCTTGGCGTCTTCGAGGTTGGGGAGGTTGTTAAATGTGGCGATGATGCTCGCCTTTTTTGCAATCTCTATGCCGCCGATTAGAATCGTTCGCGATCAAGCATTGGGAATTTACCTGATGGAATGCGAACTCCAGGCTCGAGAGTTACCGAAGTGATCTCTGCATCCGGAAACCTCTTCCGAAGTTCGTCATAGAACGAAGCGGGGAATTCCAGGGAGAAGGCGAGGAGGATACTCGGCTTGGGGAGAGAGGCGTCGCCCATGTTGAACTGAAGTATTATTGACGATATATCTGATACTGCAAGCACGCCCTGTGACAAGGGGACGAGGGGTACTTATAGTTATACAAAGCGGGGTCGCTGGTTGTCTTGAAATTGTAACCAGGAATGACTCAGCTGCTAAATTCACCGGGGCTTGGTAATTCGACCGGGAGTCTAGAGCTCCCGGTGCTATAACCAATTAGGCTGCAGGCCAGTACAATTAGCAAGGGGCCCGGTGGAATTAGTACCAGTAACCTCCGCTGGAGATAAGAAAGTTGGAGTAATATTGGTTCGTGGTCACGCAAGAAGTCACCATATTCGAATGATTTGGCGCCGGAAGGTGTCAGTTGGAGCAGCTTCAGCGCGGTTTGCAGCTCTTCTTGTGCGTCTTCCAGTCTCGCTTCTGATGCTCTATCCTGCAGTACGCAACCTGTGTTTACAGCGCGTACATCGTCTTCTTGGCTGTCCACATATTGCGCAGAGCAACGGTTCGCCTGGGACACCTACACTGGGCTTATTAGGCGTCCATGCTCTAATATTAGCAAAGGCATCTGCGGATCGTGCGGTGGCACTCTGGTTATCCACCCGCGAAGCCCCAGTGTCGCTATTCGAGCCTACCTGCCAGGTCTTTTCCAGAACGGATTCAGTTCCAATCTCCTGCACCAGAATGGGCTGAACACCCTCCAACTCAGTTCAGTCTTCAGAGTCAGATCGATCCGAAACTTCCGCAGCACGCACGACGATGAGAACGGGTTTGACCACGTTCTCTTCATGCTCCTCAAGCAAGGCGCCCTTCGTCGAAGAGCAAGAGGACCACATAATCAAGGGTCACGCCTGTGTAATCTCTCCAAAGAACCTGGGCTCTTCTATGTGGAAGCATCCCAGCCGGGGTAGCTGCAAAATAGTCCTTTTGACAAACACAGGACCACCAGGCCCGTCGTCTTTTGCAATAAGGCCTACAACGTGTTGAGACTTCCTGTCCAGGCCAGTTAAGTAGATGACGTCCTTTTCCATGAAGCTTGTTGGCTATGGTGCCGACACCCAGGTGCTCCCAGTATCCCGGTTGCCGTTTTGCGCCGGATTTAACTCGTCGTATTTGAAATCTAGAAAGTCAGTGGTCGGTCTATTTGATGAGAGTGAAACATACCAGTGATATGGTAGGACTCATATGGCTCCTTGTGGAATGTGAGTAGCTTTGTGCTCGTTTTGCATTTGGCGTCAGTATACCCAAGGGGTGATGTTATGTCCATAATAGCTTCTTCTCAGTTGCATGAAGTGTAGCAGAGCAAGAGCGGCATGGCGAGACCATCGCCCCCTCTAGATTAGATATTGGAACACAATGGCTTATCCGGCCTAATCAAGTCATTCTTCCGAACAGACCAGGAAAGTACTGGCGGTAACGGCAAAGACGACGTGAAGTACCTTCCGTCTGCACCGAACGAAATCTGCCAGATATTGCTCGTGCAGTTAGCCGCAACGTCCGGACGAACCTCGTCTTGCCTAAATATCCTCGATTTCGTGGTTGTGCCAGGACCAGAGTTTAGATGGCATACCGTGTCGAAACTCGCCGTGCGATCACCCGAGGGGTGGAAAGCCAGAGTCGCATTGGTCTGAACTGAGTTGTATGTCTTGGTCACGAATCAGTCTCTGGGTGCCACGGATGTCCCAAATGAATACACGAGCAGTGATGTTTTTCGTGATCTGGTGGGATCTGTAGTCCAAGAGGTCCATCCAAGTGCTCGTGCTCCTCGTACCGCTGCGGGTTGTGAGTCGACTCCTAAATCAGGAGGATGGACCAGAGACTCATCGGTAGCCTAGCTGGAGACAGCCGAGCTTCTGGTGATTGTTGAAAAGTCGGGTATATGTCCTAAACCTCGTCCCGTTCGCTTTGGAAGCGGCTAAGGGTGTTGGTGCGGACAATGATGGTATGGGAAGAGTGGAAAACAATCTAGATAATCCCCTTGGAGCAAATAAAACTACTTGGACTCACTCCGTAAATACTCCCTACTGATTGATTCCACCTGGTATATACTCCACAATACTCCCGAAAACACACATACAATAGTCCGTCCGCTATTTCAAAAGAAAATGATACCCATGCCACCCTCCAATAACGACCGCCGCAAGCACCGAGGACGCCCCCGTCAGTATCACAACACCATCATACCTCCCCACCGCAAACCGCTCCCTAACAACCTGCCCGCCAATCAGCGCCGAACTAATCGGACTGACAAGAACATTCCCAACCCCCTGCAAAAACACAAAAATCGCATATGTCGCGAAGATCGTCGACGGGTCATCACTAACCGCGCGGCCCATCGCCACACGCATCGTCCCGAACCCGAACCCGAAGAACCCATAGAGTAAACCAAACAGGATAAGAAAGACGAGCGATTTCGCGAGACCCCAGAAGACCAGCGCCGCCGCGGCAGCCATGACGCAGCATAACGTCGCGAGGACGCTTACGGGGAGTGTCTTGTCGGAGAGGTACCCGAAGGCGAATTGGCCCGCGACCTGTGCGATGGACATTATGGCCAACAGGAGAGCGCCTTGGACGGAGGGGAGGTCGAGGGATGCCGCGTAAGACGGAAGAAAGACAGAGGGGAAGAAGAAGCCCATGCCCTGGATGAGGATTGCGAGGCCGTAGATCCAGAAGAGCGGGCGTTTGACGAAGGCCCAGTCGGAACGGGCGAGCGTTGCGCTTTCCGATGGGGGGAGGCGGCCCTTGAAGAGGGGGATTAGCGGGGCAGTTAGGAGGGCTAATCCGACTGCACAGGCGCGTAGGGTCGTTTTGTGCCCGTATTTGTTTAGTAGGGCTTCGATGATGAATGGCATCCCGGCGCCTGTAACACCTGAGGAAGCGGAGATCAAGCCAAAGGCCATGCCCTTGCGAGCGACGAACCACTCGTTGACCATGCTGATGATGGGATATGAGAGGGTGACGAAGCCGATGCCGTAGAGGAGGCCCTGGGTGCCAATGAGGCCGTTTACCGAGGAAGTGAATGAGGCCGCGAGGAGACCGAGGACGCAGAGGGGCCAACCGATCCAGATCTGTTGGCGCTGGCGCTTGGGGAACTTCTTAGTGAGGATTGCGGAGATTGGGGCGCCGAGGTAGTACAGCGCTTGCGCGAGAGTGCCGATTAGAGGGATGTTGTGCGAGTTCTTGCGGAATTCGGGGATGTTTGAGTAATAGTTCTGGAAGACGCCGAAGCTCATTGGGAAGCCTGATCTATGGTTAGCTGGTGTATATGATGGGGTTGTACGGACGAACCCCAGAATAGCGCTTCAAATACTACGCCGGCAATAAGGACGGTCCATGCATGGCGTCCTCGATCACTGGGCTTCAGCTCTAAGGATGCTCGAGTAGTATAATCATCGCCGTGGTTTGGGTCTTGTGGCTGCAACTCGAATGAGGGAATCCGCGAATCCCTCGGCCTCATTTTGCCTAAGTCCCTTGCAGTGGTATTCGAGTTCTTGAGGATTTATTTAATTGCCTCAGGATGATCTTGAGATGGAATGGCGGGGAGTGCAGTTTCCCGCAGGCCGCTGTGGGGCAGTCGGTGATTTTTGCCAAGTGATCAGCCAAAGCAGAGCAAATCCCGATCCTGAGAAGCCATTGGAGAAGAATGATTGGCTGAAACCCACTATTGGGGGATTCTGGTAGAGATCAACCGGCAAGAGGACTCCACCTGCCGATTTCCATCATGAGCGAGATAGATTGTCGACGATATAGTATTGATGCAGCTGTCCTAGAAGAGATACAGTCGGTCTGGTAGAGCTGGCACGTCACATATCGATCAGCACCGCACCTTGCTTCGCAACGTGACATTCGTTTGCGACATGCGAGGCATGGTCGTTGGGAGTGCGATCTATACAGCCTTCGCCCAGGGGTCCGGCTCCCGCTGCCGTGATGAGACGAGCCAGTTTGCACTAAGGGAAAATTCGAGATTATTGCCCTTTCAGCGAGTTACCAAGGCTTGACGCAGGGTGTCGTCTCGGCTACGTATCCTGCTGGCCGAAAGTTTGGTGGTCCAGTCACGCCAGGCCAATTTGCGTTTCCTGCACCGTATGCGTACCGGTCTCCATTCCGCCACGCTGATGGCTTGTACGACTGGGAGACGGAAATGGAGTATGGATGGTCCCTCATTGATCGACAAACTGTTAATTCTCTCGCGGCCTTCGTGATGGAGCCTATCTTGTCAACGGGAGGAGTGCTCGAGCCCCCAAAAGGCTACCTAACGAAAATGAGCATCGAATCCAAGAAGCGAGGTATTTTGATAATCCTCAACGAAGCCCAAATGGGGGTGAGATGTACCAGCCAAATGTTCGCCTTCCCACACGAGGAAGGGTTCGTATCCGATGTCCTCTGTCTGTCGAAGACGCTCGGTTGCGGCTTGCCATTATCATCCATTAGCACGACTGCAGAGATTGAACATGGTGCTAACGCCGCTGGGTTCATGTGGTTGACCACCCATACCAATGACCCCTTTCCCGCGGCAAATGGCGACAGGGTTCTGGAAATCGTGGAGCGCTATGGGATTTGCGAGCGCGCTGCAGAACATAGCGAGCAGCTATTTCAGGGTCTGCTTCGTCTCCAAAAGAAATATTGGTGTATTGGCGATGTGCGAGGGCGTGGACTGTTGCAAGTTGTCGAGAGTATTTCAGATGTTGAGACAAAGGCATCCGGCTCTGCACTGGGACAGGCTGTTTCAGAGAGGGCCCTAAGCAAGGGACTATCGTGCAATATTATCACCTATCCCGGAATGGGCGATGTCTTCCGTTTGGCAACCCCCAGTCACGGTGACCGCTACCGAAATCGACGAGGGACTCGAAATTCTTGACGAAGCATTTGCGTACGTCCTCAATGAGAGCGGTATCCGCGGCTAAACCGACTGGCTAGAAGATGCGAAGGGAGATGTAAATGTTTTATAACAGTTTCGGTATATCGAGACTCCAATCTAGGATTGCTTCACCAATCGAAAGACAGCAGGAACGTATACTTTATCGTGGTGTAGGAGCTTGATGGCGTTTAATTGCAGAGAATCACTTCATGATCTAAGTCGGCGAAACGAGATCTAAAACACCACCTTCAGGCGTGGGACACGTATCCGGATTGTTGTTCGGTGGGCCTGCACCTACATGTATTATACCTTACTCCACACGGAGTATCATCCAACAGGAGCTGCCCGCTAAGCCCTGTATGCCGCTGGCAAAGGCTGCGTCAGATCGATCCAGCGGCGTGCCCTTGAGCATTATGCGAATCACATCGAGTCAACTCTCTGTAGGTGCTTGGTCATTGGCCTTTGAATAATAGCATTTCACAACCTAACAGTTCGCCTGGGGTTAGTTGAGGAGGCAGAAAGCTTAACGATGGCTCCTGCATCTCGTTGAATCCGAGCAAGCACTCCTGCTGGGCGACAGTAACATTTCGCGACCTGATTGCAGGTCGATGACCGACTTATAGCTGCCTATCATCAATCCTTCAGATGCTGGTCGAGCGATAGCTCCACAGTCGGATCCTCCGGTCTTCTGCTTGCCGCAACCCTTGGTTGCCAGCGTCTTACCTCTGGCTTCGGGATCGATCATGGTTTGGGCAGCTAGAGCCTACAGTCAGCACAGTAGTGAATATTCTTAGTCTATGTAACAGACACTGGCGGGCGTTCAGGGTGATCAATACGTCGCCGAAGCATGATCTGGGGCAAAGATGTCGGCCTTGTCCTGACAGTGTAGGATGGAGGTGGATCGCCGAGGCTCGGCCGAGCTTCCTTTCCTATCATAGCAGTGAGTGGCGGAAATTTTGTGCTTTCAGGTCCCAGGAGGGCTCCTTACCGGATATCGTTTTAGAAAATTTGTGGAAAGACCAATGATTGACACAACCACGGGAAGATATATCCGCTGTGTATTAGTAACATAAAGTTTGCGAAAGACGCCTGCCAATGCCCTTTCGTCGCATGTTTTTTCCGCCTCCCTTGCGGCTGTAACGAGATAAAGTCGAAGCCACTGCACGATTTATAGCCAGAAAGATCGCCGAAATATGCAAGAACACGATTCCTCAGTGGCCATTAGGGTTTGAAGTTTATTTATCAAAGGGCAGCCAGCTCAAGCTTGTTGATTCCAAGCACCCAAAGCGGAAAGAGTCCCACGCTTCAAAATCTGCTGCTGCCAGTCTCTGGTTCAGGTCCTGCTTTGCATCCAGGGTTCTCATGTTGCCACGTGAACTCAAATCTTGTTAGCCTTCGACACGAAAAAAAAGTCCGGTCTGAGAGTGTTCGGCTGTTGGGTCACTGCGTCCCGCGCTTCTGATACCTGACTCATGAGAAGTAGCAGGAGTCCAAACTTCTACCTCGAGCGCACCTTTTGCGCAGCGTTGGCATCCAGTTTACGAAGAGACGTGAGGGGTGATTGGTCGGTGAGTCTCCCGTCTCCAGGAGCCACATCCCGAAAACTGCCTGTCAGAAACGGGCCCAACCTTTGACGTCGTTCGTTGGTTTCACGCCAGTCGATAAAGACAAAGTATCCGCCCTCGAAAAGAAGGATTTGCTTACCGAAGAAGCTTATCTCCCTCCGAGGGTACATTTAGGGAGGATATTCTGAGCAAGATCTGTGCAACATGATCCTTGTTTCCCTCCCTGGCGTTATGGCCCAACGTGTGGAGCTTCGGGTCACGTCCGATCAGTACAGCTTGTGAACAGAAGTTCAAAGTAGGCGTCCGACACCGGACGGTATCGTTGAAGCATGAAAGGTGGTGAGAGGCCAACTCTCCGTTAGTTAATGCTCAGTCAGACAATTAAGTTATGTCCGGGCATTGCTATCATGTGTTCTCGAGGATAGATTTAGGAGCAACGTATCCCGATAGAGAGACAGGTCTTCCACAAGAGTGGCTTGAGCGTAGCCAGACGCTGATCTGACTGGGTGCAGCTGCATGAGGGTGCTAACCCGGGATATGGTAGACCAAGTTTGGCGTTCCGCAAGGGTCGAAAACTTGCTCCTTGAATCCCGGATGAGCCCTCCACAGGCACCGACCAAGACCAATGGGGCGCCGTTACGGGAGGAATAATCAATGCGCCGTGACGTGGGCATTTCTTGCGACATTTCGAGTGTGCCAACCAGTCCAGGCGGCCTCATTTAAACACCTGCACCATCCTCTCACGTCTCGACCAGTCTCAGAAGAAAACTGAGAGGAGATCGCACCCTTCTATTTGCTCGCTCCAAACCGAACACTTGGGCATCAATAATTCCTCGCCTAATCGATATAACACCCCCTATCCGTGCGACCACGACATTTAAGGAGCAGTGGGGTTGGTTCGTGCGATCAGCCATATTCGGGCACGAGGTGAGAATGACAGGAGAAAGGCAAGACCAGGTGTGTTCACACACGTTGACCTCCAAGTTTCTCTCAGCGTAACCTTGGTATGCCGATAAGGGCGAGCCCAACGTGGAGGACCCAGAATCTGTTGAGGCCGAGGCCATACGGTACAGAGACGCTCTCCGCTTACTGGTCGAAACCATCCGGAAAAATCATCCTGACGAAGCCCCCGGGTTGATTGACCGCATTCAACGAACCGGATCCATCCCTGAGGCTACTCAGCTTTTGCTTCAACTATCAGAGAAGAAGGATGCGAGCGAGACACAGGGACAAGGGTCTCCAGGCTCTAATGCCCAGCAATGAGGACATCCTTGTCATTTCCTTGAAAGGAGTGATTATTCTGCGCAGATAACGTCAACTTGGTTTAGTCGTCTCTTATCGAATGGATATATAGCAGAACTCTTGCAGAGACTGTCGAGTTGAGTGTCAAAGGCACGCTTGACGGCCGTCCAGGGCGCTGGCACCGTGGTGTGGTTTCTGGAAGGAGGTCAATCCAAGTGCGCGTATAGCCACCCAAATTTCATCTCTATTTCCACCACTTGCCGACGGCTGATTACCTGATCTTTCATTTGCGCGAGCTGATCACGTGTCATGCAGCTTCCATTCGCAAAGGCATTTTGATCTCTGAAAGCTATCCCAGTCAGTTTTTCTCTTCGTTAAAGAATGGAATCAATCTCAAATCTGCTTAAAAAAAATGACACCAGTTCTGGTGACTATATAGTCCTTCTCACGCCACTCATGACTCGTCATCACTTTCTCCAACGCTTCCGTTCGGCAACAGGAAGCTTGGTCAAGATATCGTTGCGAGAGGTCCGGGGGCAAATACATGGAAGAAGCCTCTCTCCCGTTTCAGTCTGTTGTTCCGAGTTCAATCGGTCTTCAAAGATGCGTTTGGAGCAGGTCTGCGTGGGTTGATGTGGGCTGGGATCCCTTCATTTTCGATCCTTTCAGCCTTTTAGCATGGTTGATTGTGCTTGCTTTAAGCCAACGCTAATGTCAAATGGTCAGCACGGAGTAAGTACTTTGTAAGTGGCATATTGTTTTGGCTTTTGGGGCTTGAGGGTTGAGGCATTGAATGAAAGATCAGGGCCCGCCCGCACTTCTGTTGTCCACTGTGCTGATCTCTCGGCTATGTCGGCGCTGGTGTTGTTGCTGCTTATCAATTGCAGCTCGACTTTTAGCCCAAAAATATAGCTCTGGCATTTCGCATCGGATGTGTCCGTACCTGATCTGTTGGCCGTCGATTTTCGTGTATGTTCAGAGAACAGATCACAGGCACTCAATCATTGACATCCAAGGCCTCGTTGGACGACCGATTGCGCGCATCCAGAATTCCAGATGCAAGAAAACGAAATCATTCCCGCCGAATTTTGTGGCTTGCTTGGAGTTCAAAGAGGAGAGACCCATCTGGCCAGTCACAGGCAAGCATTTGAAGCCATCGCTGCAGAGCTCGTGATCGGCGACCCCTCGAGTCAGAGCTTCACCATTCATCGTCGATTCATCGATCGCGTTCGCCTCGCTCAGTTCCACCGCAAGAAGCGGCAACTCCGCATCTGACACGCTCAGATCCATTGATCAACCGATGTTCCGGTGAGTTCATTGTCCATGTTCGAGGCATCTGGGGAACTTGCCGGTTGCCTTTAAGCGCAGCGAGTCAAGAATATGGTTATCTCTCTGCGCATTCAGATGCAGTTCTTCTCGCTACTCCAGCGCCATATCACCAGTTCGGCTCTTCGTGCAGGGGTTGATCAAGGAGTCAGAGTTCGTACTTCTGCACGAGAAATTCAGCAGACCCAGCATTGCCAGGATTATACAATCTTATTGGCCCGGTCGCCCAGAAAAATTCCGTGCTGTTCCCATGCGTTCGCCCATTTGGGGCCGATCAGCGGTGTTCGAACCCACTCACGCCAGGGTCCAGCCGTCCCGCGCAGCTCGCCTCGCGCACTGGCTTTCGGCAGGCTAGCTGAAAGGAGAGTTCCTGTTCACAATGACAAGCAATCAAGAGCTTGCGGGAAAAGAAAATACCAGCACTAGCTCTGTGAAGGCGCGTCTCCCCGTCCGCCCGTCACGCGATGGAAAGTTTCCTTCCGCAGCAGACTGGAGGCACGGACGCCTTCAAAAAGGAGGAAATTCCTCGCTCGTGCAGTGCCGCTCCGTTGTGTTCTTCCAATATTTTCGGTGGACCAAGCGGTGACACAGTCAGGCGCCATGTCGGGAACAGAACATTCAACAAGCCGCAGTCTAGCACGACGCTTGCTGCTGGCAGCCCTTGACCGTGAGGAGAAGGGCTATCCTCCTGCAACGCAAGCTCCTCCTCCGATGGTTGGGGCCTATGGTGGCGCTCCCAACTTTAATGCTCCAGAGTCCGCTGAATCCGGGGCGAAGCGCTTAACAGTTACCGGCACAGACTCGAGTATTCTCATTCCACCTACCGATAAGCTGCTCGTCTTCCGCGCACTCACCGGCATTGATAGCGCGCCAGCCCTCAATGTCTTACACCACAGCACTCGAACGGCACCGAACGTCGGCATCTACACGCGGGTTGTGAGAGCCGAAATGAAAGCTGCCAGTCGATACCGCTTCCACGCTATCCTAATCAACACCTGTCTTAGCATCCAGATTGTCGTGGCCGCCGCGCTCACAGCTCTCGGTGCCGCTCGTGGGCCTCATAACGCCGTCACCGCGTTTGGCGCCATCAACACCATCATGGCCGGTATTCTCACATACCTCAAGGGTTCGGGCTTGCCGGATCGTCTGAAACACTATCAAAACGAATGGCGGAACATCCGAGAGTATATTGAGCAACGGGAACGCGAACTGTGTCTTCACGGGTGCGAGCTAGACGTCGAAGAAGAAATTCAGATCATCGAGCAGATGTACGAGGGCGTCAAACGCGAAATCGAAGCAACGAAGAGCGGAAGTGACAATCGAGGGGCGCATGGTCGCGACAGGACCTCGAGTCGGCGAACGATTTTACCGCACAGCGAGCAACGCAGGGAGTACTCGCCCCGAGTGCCGAGTCCTGTGCGGACTTCGGAGCGTGCTCATGATAAGCAATAGCTGGTTCCGTTGACCGGCGACAGGAATGATTGTTATTGAAAATAATAGGGACTTGTTTGGAGCACTGCATAAGAAAAGGGTATACGTTAGCGCCGTAATTTGAGAGATGGATTGTATGTTACTGCGTAACACTAATAGATTGGTTCAGTTACCTACTCACGAGCGCATGATCACCGTGTAGAGACACGGACCTGGACTCGTCAACGCAGTCTGTTCAAGCGTCTCTTTTCAGGCAATCATCTTCTTAAGAGGCCAGCTGGATTGGAATTCATGGGCAAGGTGATAGGTAGCCTGGATACTGACGGAAGGTGTGTGGGAGAATTTGTCCTCGCAGTGGCCCGAGGAGAAAGAGCTATTTGAGCCTTGCGCTTGACTTTAAGCGCCCACCTACAACTCTCATGGCAGCAGCCAACAGCACCTACCTTACTTTACCATGTTACCTCCTTCTCCAGTTCTTCTGGTTCTATCTAGGATTAGGTAGTCCCTACGTACGCCGCTCTCTCTACATCTCATCTTCACGTTATCAATCTATGACCGGCCTTTCTTCCTCCACCACATTACCGATATGTCTTTTTGACGAATTCCATGACATGACCACACCATACGTCTTAATCCACTTGAGTAGCGTCTTATCTGCGCAGCGTCGAGACTTTGGACCAATCACTACCTACACTCCTTGTCTTTGAAACACGCGCCGTCCGGTTGCGTGTGTGTGTGTCACCCTCCCTTCGCTTTCCAAGTATGTAATAAAGGCAAAAAGTTAATATTTATAAGACTAACTTCACCAAGCATCTTAGCCTAATCTCTGAGCCTGCTCCCAGCTAAATTAAATATACTAATAGCTAATGAGAGTTGGGTGCCTATTATCCCTCCCGCGCAAAAACATACATTGACCCGCGACGAAGGCGCGGTCCAGCTAAGATGCAGCTTCCTAATGCAGGCCATGAAGGTAGTACAGTGGGTGGCCCTTTCTATTCTATGCAGTGAAATGTCTGACTGAAAGGGAAACTGCGCTCCGGGTCCCCGACGGGTCGTGCCTTTTCCATTTGCTTGAGATATCATCTTAAAAGGGAGGGAATTATGATGGCCTATGTCCAGAGCGTTTGCTCTTTCCTATTTTGCGTGACTGTATGTGAGAGGCTGTTTACCGGTCTACTTGCGTCCTCCATCTGACTCAAGCCGCGGCGGCTGAGCAGGAGAGGGGGGACGAATGAACAAGATTCTCAGATACCAGGATGCATTACGGCTCTGGTAACAGCCAAAGTTCCCGGGGCTTTGCTTTACGGTTTCTCGCATTCCGTCTCATAACAGCGCAAAGTCTTAAAGGTCATATCTACCTGTGGAACTCTTGAGGCTCACAAAAGCGACAGCGCATGGCCATTCCATGACACTACTAGCATCTTATCTGGTTCTGTTATGTCTATGCCCGGCTGATCTATCTAGATTATCTGACATCGAAGGGAAATGTCCACCCGCAAATGGAAAGAAAACACAATACAGCAAGTGCCTCCGTCTTACTCTGCCCGGGCCTCGTCCTCTCTCCACTCCGATTGAACAAAGGATGCCGCAGAACCTGCTCAGCAGACGGTCTCTCTTTCGGATCGTACTTGACCGTGTTCCGATCAAATCTGTCATGATGTCAATCTCCTATTTGGACAGCTGATCAGGAGAGATCTCCCCGTCTAAATGACTGACACAGTGTGCATGCCATTGGCTATAGAATTGCTCTCTTAAAGTTTGCGGCTTTAGGCCCTTGTTGACAGGGAGAAGTCTGCGTTGCGTGTCAACATCTTTCTCTTCAATGATCTTCTTTTCCCACTCTTCCAGCACAGTTGACCACGGTTCGGGTAACGGCCTAGAATAGCACGGAACCGCTTGAATGCCTCGCTCATGGTATCGTCATTCAACCAGAATAGGCAGTATCCGGTGCGGACTCTGCAGATCATACAGGCCAGCGCCCATACGTTACTAGCAGCTCCGCACCCCGGTTCGAGCATGCGCTCATGCTTCCCGACGTTACATCCCACCTCCAGAATGAGCTCTGGTGCGGCGTATTCATGCTTGTAATGAGCGTCCTGTCTTGGCTGGTCTGACATGAGATATGCTTCTCCAACGTCGATCACGCAAATCTTCTCTATCGCACGCTTGTGTTCGTATAAGTACTCGTCAGGAGAGAAAACGATATATCTCGGTGCGTGTGGACCAGTCTTATATCCCTCGATTGCCCTCACCTCTCCGATCTCGATTCCATGGAAAGAATCGAGGACTTCTGTCTCCGTCATACCAGATAGATCTAGACGAAGCAGAATGTTCTCTGGGCGGAAATCTAAGACTTGATTAGCATGTGGGCCAAAACAGATCGATCCTGAGCGAGAGCTTACCTCTATGACAAATCCCATGGCGATGAAGTGCAGCCATTGCCTCGGCGGCCTGGCGCGCAAGATTTTGCAGAGTCTCGTCCGGATCATTGACCCTCATCCAGATTTATGCAAGTGAAGAGCCAGCGACAGGGTAAACAAAGCACTGGTGAGAGCCGTTGGGCCCGCGGCTCTGAACTTATCCAGCGGAAGGCAACAGTACTCGGCAACCTCCGGGTCGCGCTGCGCGATCTCCTGCAGGCGGCTTGTCTTTTCCAGCACTCGATTCTGGGCATGGTCGGAAAGCTCGGCCGTGGTGATCTTGACGGCAACGTACTGGGCTGGCTCGCTCTCTCGGACACGGCACAGCCAGACTAGGGACCCTCGGCCAACACCGAGCTTATGGAGGACTCGGTATTGTTTTTGATCACCGAGATAGTCATCTAGGAGGACAGGATGGTTTCCGCCTGCCGACTAATATCCGGGGCATTCGTTATCCTCGCGGGCATTGTCAGCATGTACATAGAGTCTGCTTTGTCCAACGTGCTGCTAAAAGCATGTTCTTGAGTGGCTTAGTAAGTGTGTGAAGTGTAGAAAAATTGGTGCATTACGAGCCATCACTAGAGGTCCAGTGCAAGGAGTATCACAGTGAAACAACAATGCTGCCTTTACCCGCTTTACTATGGGTTCGATGCCCGTATAGCCCAAAGGGTCGGCTGTATCTAGGTAGTACAACACCCGTCCCATGTCAATGAGTGCAAGAAATGAGAAAGTCACTGTTTTAGGTGAGTGCTTTGATTTCTTAACCCTCTCTGACATGCGCCCAAATTTTTCTGTATGGAAAGCACGACAATCAGCCCTGCCCAGAGGAAATACCTTACCTTAAGCCGTGTGGTAGCCAGACAGTATGGTTGTGTTATAGTCAACCTGTGTTGCATTCTGCAATTCGTCATTAACAATTGCTACACCGAGGAAGAGAGAATGATGGATGTACCTACTGACATGTCTCAACAACTGACGCTGTCAATGCCCACTCTTAGTGCCCGGCGATGGGCGCCGATATTGCACATAATCCGCAGGTCATAGCCGCAGGATTGTTGAACCGTGCTGGGGAGAGTAGACCTGCCTAGAGATGTTCTACCGCTCTGTTCCCAATCGATACGCATTATCAATGGCTCAGGTCTCTAATACCACTGTGTAGCTCACTGGGGTCCTCGGGACATATTCCGTGCTTAGATAGGACAATTGGATCAGAACTCAATTGGAGCCGCCCGTACGCCGGGTTTCAGGACACTTGTCGTAATCATTCTCAGAATTGATACAAGGCAGCTCAAGCTCGACTAAACCGTCCTTCCATGTAAGCCTGACTTCAAGCTCCAGAGTCCTCCAGACGTGATGACCTCGTTTGGGAGAGAAAGGAAAACGGGATCAAGCGAACTAACTTATATCTCATCTACCCCACCTTCTTATCAGATCTTCTATCTGTGCCTCTTGGAACGGAGACGAGTATGTAGCGCTCACGGTCCCTTTTTGCCCTTGTGGGCACTCCCTTCCTTTCACGCTCTGAGACAATAGCTAAGATATGTCCTTCCAGGGGCCTTCTTGCAGCTCTGCATTATGTCCAGGACAGAGACGAGAAAGACGGCAATGGTGCTCTGGCGACTGGTTTCATTCTGAACAGCTGTCTATCCCTCAGCTTGATCGCCAGCTTCGAATGACGATGACACTTCAAAGTCTTTCAGGCATCGGAGCCTTGAAGACCCCCAGTGTTCACACTGCATGAGATTTCACATTCACCTCTGCCACTATTCTGCTCATGCGTAGCGGCTGGTTGTTAGGCCATATGGAGAGCCCAGTGGATCCAGGTGTTCCTGGAGTCGCTGCGCGGTGGCCCTTCGTGTTCTTAGCTACAAGCTGTGCCGTTATCCTGTCTCTTGGCCCCGGCTCCTGACATTTAGGTTCGCCAATCTTGGCAAGATAATCCCAATAGGCTCCGTGCTTTGCAATTGGCTTCGTTTCCTGGTTCGCTCGATAGCCTGGATTTACCTCGCATATGATTCTCGCTCGGCTGAAAGAGAGAAACGACGGCAACGACGACGGGCTTTGTGCCGATAAAGACAGGTGCCGGTGTACGCGTAGTCTATATCATTGTTTCATGCCATGTTGATTGTCCAGCCGACATGTGGCTCCTGATACTTCAAGGTCTGAGGCCATGGTTCAATAGCTGCAGGTGCAGGCACAGCAGTATTGTTGTTAGAAGCGTATGCAGAGCTCTATTAAAAAGTTAGCAGACGAACTATGATAAAGGGAGAGATAAAACAAACCAGACCTGCATCAGCAAGTTTGATTAGTAGGCGACGCGATCCATTCACATCCATCTCGACATCCAGGTCGAAACGAACGATGTCCAGAACTCACAGCGCAAGCTCCACCTCAACCACATAAAATGGCCCTAGCCAGCTTTACCGTAACGAGATCAATACCCCCCGCACCCCTCGGAGCATCCTCCGTCATGACGCAGATGCCGCTTACTGAGTGGCCGAGCAGAGTGATGTGCATGCAGATCAGCCAGGACGACAACGTCAACGGGCACGCAGCGACCAATAATGGTTTCGGACGGTCCGGGGATGACCGCGCTGATCATCTCCATACTTCGATGGGGGCGAAACGATCAATGGATAAGAAAATGCGGAGTATATCTATATCCCGGAGTATTAAAGGTCCTGTGGTCCTGCAGAGGCAAGTTGTACAGGATATGTGTCCTTATTTATCCTGTGGGAAAGCAAATATTGTGGAATGTGTGTGCGCCGCGCAATGGAGAGAAATGGATGTGTGTTGAATTAGATTCCTGGCCATGCATGGTATATTGTCGCGTCGCGGCCAGCAGAGTAGTATGTATAGAGTAAACGATAGGATAGAATGTATGGGTATATACCGCTGAACAAAAAAACAGAATAGAAAATGAAATGCAAAACGAAAGAAATCCTGGAAGATCCAGCTGTAGAAGAAGGACTGAGACTTGCTCCACCCCTCTTTTCATGTCGAATCAAAGGAGATCTCTCAAGAGACCGAAGACAATGGCGCCGAGGGTGACCACCTCCTTGGCGCCCCTCGAACTCAAACCCGCCGCCGCCCCCGTGTACTCCGGCTCCTCCTGCTCCACAGACGTTGTCGGCTCCAAGCTTATTGACGGCCACGGCGCGATATCACTTGACGCGGGTGTTGGGATGGGTGTCGATCGGATTGTTATGCTGCTCGCTGAGCTGGTTGACGGAGGGAGCGTTGGTGGAGGTGGAGGAGGGAAGTCCGGATTGATGCTGTGAGTGGGGTTGGAGAGGTATGAGGTTGTCAATGCGAGGCCGTATTCGCGAGCGCAGGCTTTCGCGTCCATGCTGTCGGGGCAGCAGTAGGGTTCGAGGAAACAGTAAGAGGAGGAGGGGCAGGCGTCTGTTATTCAATCGCACCGGTTAGTTTTCTGATTTCAATCCATTGATCAATGAGTGGCTGCCTAGTTCGGGAAAAGGTAAATAGAGGAGGGGAAAACGTACAGGTACCTCCTGGACAACACGTCTGTCCTTCATCAGGGTTATAGCAGATGCCGCTGTCGCCGCACATGGGCCAGTTGGCTGGACAGCCTGGGGTAGTGCCGGGAATAAAGGCATTGCTGTCACTATCGTGGTGCCGTTTGAGGAGGGAGAAAGGAGCGTCCGCCGCGATCGTCTGGCCCGCCAGCACGGGGGCCAGCAACAAGAGGGGGATCATGAATCTATAGAATGCTGGGGCGAAGAATGTGAATTGGAGAACCGGGGAAGAAGAGGAGAAGAGGGAAAACCGGGAGGTGAGAGCGGTGGGACCGCAACTCACTTTGGACCGTCACTAGGCACAGTAGCCGCTTCTAGTCTACTTGAGGACCAAACCTGGTGCCTTAATTAATCTCGCGATGCCGCAGGGTCATGCTTCATATATATTGTCTTACTCCCTAACTCCCGTTGAAACTCTCTCAATAACATGCAAATACCCTAGGTCATCAATCATAAGCCCGCTAGCCGCAGTCGCTCCTTTAGTGCTTCGATCTCCTGATCCACTTCTCCATTACTGCTGGTGCCCTTCTTGTCTCTCAGCGAGACGGAGCGGTACTCTCCATCTCCTCCTGGCGCTCCCACCGTAACCCATACAAATTTGCTACCTCCACCACTGCTCGACTGTACGCGCTCCTGCGCGCCCTCCCAAAACATCTCAGTCCCCACCTTTTCGTGTGACGGTCGTCCTCCCAGCCGTCCCTGCCGGATCCAGTTTTTCAGCACGTCTTTAATGAAGCTGATTTTCTGTAGGAAGGAGTTTGCGTCCAGGACGTCCTTGATACGCTCATCCAACAAGCTAGTACTCGTGCCATAAGCGATACTAAGGAAGGTAGCCACTTCATCGGAGACCACGGCTCGGGTATCGAATCCAGAAGGGTGCATCCTCCCCTTCGTGGCGAGGTAACGGGCAGCAGACGGCGAGAGGTGGTAAAAGTCCATCCAAGGAGAGGAGTTCCTCGTACGCCCCGGTGCCAGTACTAGCTTCGTGTGATCAGGGAAGTTGAATTGGAAAGCTCCATCTCCAAAGCCCCAGACTCCAACATTGCCCAATCGCTGGTAGAACTTGACGAACTGGCCAGGTGAACCATCCGTCATCGGATCATCGAGTAACCCCTCCTCGCCATGTCGGCCCAGGGACCCGATCATATATTTGCCGAATTGGTCCACGAGCTTCACGCGCTTAATCTTTTCAGCGTCGGCGCGAGCTCGGTCGACTCCAGAGTCCGTGCGGACCTTGACCCCTCCACTAGACCCTTTGACCTCAAACAATGAGGGCGGGATAAAAGCCCGGCGGATCCCGCCGCGGCATTCAACAAGATCATTGCTACAATTCTCGTAGAACTCCACGGCCTTCCCATGACGGGGGACGAGCTGATCAGCCTCAGAATAAGGGCGGGACTCGGTATCAGCCTTTTCCTGACTTCGAGCTTTGCGCCGAATGTGCTTCTCACCATCTCGAACCACGACGCCGCTAGCGGGCTGTCCGTTCTCGGCTTTGAAAACACAGCCAACGCTACCATCGTCCAGCACGTACCCAATTCCGTACCGATTCGTATAGTCGACCCACTTGATGACATATGCGTGAGGGGCCCGGCGTGACGCTGCCCGCCGTCGAGCAGATGAGTGAGGTACTAGGTTAGAAAGCATATTGCGTAAATCCATCTTCACATCATCGACCGAGGAACCTGGTATTATTTCGCAGGGATCATCCGAGTGGAGAAGGGAATGCAAACCAAGAGTCGATCTCGGCTTACTAGCAGTCGTCAATGAAGCCTTGCTTCCAGTCCGACTGATCGGTTGAGGATAAGATTGGGGCCGTGGCCGTGGGGGAGGATCTTCCTTGCGGACTACTTCAGGTTCGGCAATCTTTTCAGGAGCTGGCCTTCTGGTCGTACTTTCCATCGAGGCTTTAACGGCTGACCGCACGGATGGCTGTCTCGGCCTAGATGGCAGGCTTTCGAGGGCTGTTGATGCGGACCGCTCTTTCAGCGTTGGGAGTGGCTGGGCCACATCGTGGCCTGCGGCTTCTAGTTTTCGGGACTGAGAGCGTGTCTTTCCCACGGTCAACATACCAAGCTCGTCACCGGCTTGGGACGTTGGGGGTGCTGCGTTTAGACCCCGAACTGAACCAGTACCGGAGTATGAGGCGGCAGCACCGCGCCTGGTTCGAATTGGTCGGTCAGCAAAGCCTCCGGTAGGCGCTGAATTGAGCCCTGTGTCCCGCACGTCGGGCATCACTTTGCTTGTCGGTACCGGTGGATCGCAAAGTGAAGGAACTTTTCTCACGGTTGTCTTGCCTGTTAGCGCTTGTTGGCGAAGCGTGGCCGCGTGGCTTTGAGATTCGGTCCGCCGCTGCTGTGCCGCTGCCAGCGCGACTTGCGTGCGTGATTGAGATATTGACGTGGTTCGGAGAGTTGTGACGTTGCTTTTGGCGGACAGAACACTACTGTCCAAGGAAGAGTCATCCCTCCGCATCGGAGCAGGGTCCGGGGCGCTCCAATCGCCCATGTAAATATGCGGATAGCTATAGACAATGTCTTCCGGCAGAGGGATCAAAGGCTGGAGACCCTTCTCTTCCTCGGCCAAGCACTCAGCAAACGCTGATTTCGAGGAGTTCTGACCGGTCGATTTTCGCGCCGAGCCGTCCGGTTTCCTGCCCACACCACAAGAGCTGTAAAAGGCTGCTTTACACGTCCGGTAGCGCAGAATGGGATCGTCAATATCCTTGACATAGCTGGCAAACTTCTCGTCATAATCTAACCCATTGCCGTACGTCATGCAGTCCCCTTTTGGCTCTATCGATCGAAGCCATGTCGGTTTCTGAAGTCTGCATATCGGATCGAGTCGTTTGGGTATACATCCGTGATACATGTTGAAGAATTGGTGCTCCACGATATCGTCGGGTTCTGGGCGCTCTTTCTCGTCAAGATTAAGGCAGCAGCTCACCAAGGCCTTGACCTCGTCGGGAATATGATTGGGGCAATCTCCATCTTTGGGCCATACGTATGTGAGGCTTCTAACCTTCTTATATATTTCTTCTTGGGTCTTCGATTGAAATGGTGGGTATCCGGTAAGCATTGCGAAACTGCGCGAATGTTAGCCCAACTCGGTACTCCACAAAAGAGCATCCCTACCAGATTACACCCAAGGACCAGATGTCGACTTTCTGCGTGTGGCCTCCTTTGCTTCGGTCCAAGACTTCTGGAGCAATATAGTTCGGTGTTCCGCACAAGGTCTTTCTCCTTTTCTCGTCCTTTTCAGAGATGATCATCGCGGCCAATCCAAAGTCCCCAACCTTGATATCCATATTTCGGTCCAGGAACAGGTTTCCCATTTTCAGGTCACGATGCGCAACGTTTCGCTTGTGCAGATATTTCACCGCTCCGCAAAGCTGGATCATGAATCGTCTGACTTCTGGCAAACTCAAGCATTTCCTTTTCCGCACCATGTCCATCACTGAGCCGTTAGGGCACAGCTCCAGAATTACATATATGCACTGGTCAAAAGCGAAAGCCCTGTGAAAGCCGACAATGTGGGGATGGCGCATCTTCGAGTGTATCTGAAGCTCCGTCCGGAACTAGGCGAAAGGTCAGCAGTCTAACAAGGCCGAACCAGGGACTCATAAAGTACCTTTTCTGCCATTTTCTTTTGTGTCATTTCAGACCTCACGACTTTCATCGCAAACACGCGGCCGTTCCGTAACAGAGTTCCTTCATAGCAGATCGCGAAACCTCCCTTGCCGAGAAATGCGCCGGTCGAGTACCGCTCGCCATCGTCCCCAGGTTCCAAAACAAGCGCTGGAGGTGGGGGCGCATGGTTCTTCGTAGATGAAGCCTTTTGGGCGGCGTTCGCAGCAGCGGCATTCTTGTCCAAAACCTTTCTCTCCATAGAGGTTTTGGGCTTGATCATTTGGTTCGTCGACCGAGGGGATAGCGCTTCCATTTTCGTGTGACAATATAGCTTTGTCGTTATTGATCCTCTTTTTTGATCTTCAGCCGTTGAGTATAAATGGCAGCAGCCTCGAACAATTGCGCGGACGGATATTCGCAAAAGCAGGCAGTTGTAGCGATCATCGAATACGATATAAACAATCAATTACGGAACGGAGGAGGGTATATGAAACGGGTTGCTGGTATCCCTATAGTTTTCAACCTCATTAGTATTCGTCAGAGTAACAGACCAGCGACACCAGGCAAAACAACGACGGCGAGGCGGACTTACCAAAAAGCAATCAACAATGAAGAATAACAATGACGCTCAAAAACAACAATATGCATCCAACGCCGTATCGTCAGGCTTCGCACGAGGTGGGGAAGAGGTCGGACCGGCAGGAACTTAAGGGATGCAGGAGAAGAACTCGAGGGTCTCACACGACAAAAACGTTTTCCCCGAAACGGAAATCGATAAACATCGAACGGCCGCCCGCAACAACGGGGGATTGCTGATGTCAGCATGCACAAGCCCGGCACGAATGCTTGGATGCCGCAGACACCTGAGCTAGCCCGCATTGGGCTGGTTTGTGCCTGACGATCCACTAGCCAACCAGGATGACGATGGCGGTGTTTTTGCGAAGAGGGACAATCTGAGCCTCCGAGGACGGTCCGTGACTCACCCCTGGATAATTCATGCTACGATGGATATATAAGACGCCCGCTATCACACCACATATCTTTGATGCAAACCCGCCCTGAACTCGTGCCACAATGTCCCTCACTTTGAAACTCTCCTCCCTTGTCATCCGGACGCTCTCCAAGCCGATCGCCGTATGTCAGCGCAGCAGACCCTCACTGGCCGCAGCGGAAAAACCAAACTGACACTGAGTGTGGACAGAATCAAATCAAAGCACAGGCCCGCGAACATGAGCGTTTCCGGCGAATCTGCATCTCCATGGCCCAAGCCCTCCACCGACTCGACATGCGGCTCCGACTCGGTACCATTCGCGACAATGCCACAGCTCAACGGCGCGCCGCTGCAGAGGCAGAACTCAAGAAACACAAACCAACGTCGCCTACGGTAAAAACACATGCAGACACCCGAGCTGAGGAGGAAGCAATTGCCAAAGCGAAAGAAGCCGAGAAGCCGGCTCCGAAGCCCCATATTCGACCGCTGTCCGAGTCGAAAGCCATCGAATCCGGTGCGACATTCATCAGCGAAAGTTTTCTCTTCATCGTGGCCGGAAGTCTGATACTCTTCGAGTCGTGGCGATCCAGGAGGAAAGAGACAACGCGGAGGGACGACGTTGAGGCTCGGCTCAAGGAGCTCGAAGATGCGCAAAAAGTTGATAGGCAGGCGTTCCTGGCCCTGGAGAAGGAGCTCATAGCTCTCGAAAAGGAGCTTCTGAGAAAAAAGCTCAAGAACGGAGAGGTGCCCAAATCAACCCGCAGAATCCTTCCACGGGAGATATGGGACGTCGAGCTTGAGCCAGAAGTTGAGCCAGAGGAGCCGGGTTGGTTCTCTAGTCTCACATCATATTTCCGTTTTGGTCAAACTCCAGAGCAGCAAATAGAGAAGGTGGCGAAGATGGAACCCCCCAAGGCCACTACAGAGCCTACATCGTCGACGTCGGCAGTCATTCCATCAAAACCCGAGGCTGACAAGGAAAACAAAAAGGCTTAAATGGCCTCCAAGCTTCTCTGAAACATTGCGATCAATAGGCGCTTCCTGCTTACCGCTGATCCAAAGGTTTGATTGCACTTGGAATATTTGCAGGTGAACATCATCCCATGTCTATATATAACCTTTTCGTTTGTGTATTATGGATAGAATTTGTGGCGTCTTCTTATATGTGTTGTTAATGGATACCCCTCTCAAGTGATAAATACGGTAGCTGTCGAGGTCCCGTGCCTAGTTAAAGTTGTACCGGTTCTCTGTTCTCTACATAGATATACAAGACCTTCACCAGATCATGAACCAGAAGCCCTCGCGCAGATTGAGCCAACATGGATAATCATTCTGGACTCCGTGGTACTTTCGGCTCATCTCTACGGAGCAATCCTATCTGGGAAGTCATTGGGCCAATTTTGAAGGCTTCGTCGAAGAGCATTGAAGGTCAGGCTACAATTCTTGCTGGACTTATGCACCACCTTGGTGACTGGGTCTCTAGAAGTGTCTCGACAGCAGGTCAATGACTTCACGTTCGTCCAAGAGGCCGATAACGAGCCCCTACAGCTGCTTCTCCTAACGCCGTCTTCCCTCGAAGCGTACCAGAAGAGGAGACTTATTCTTCGCTTGAGGGAATTTGCAGCTTCAGACTCATCATCATGCCCGAGAAAAGCAATTGCATTCCTTCTGTCAGAAGACGCATTTTCCAGTGCCAGCGAGAAATATAGTCTCAATGCACTGCTCGCGTTGCAAGTACTGTACGTCCTGCTCCTCCTCTCTAAGGCTAGTGCAAGATTGAAGACTAACCTTTGATCGTTCGGTTAGTTTATTCGAAAGCATTGCGGTTCCTCTTCCAGTGATCACCATCCCAGATGCGCACTCGTTCCTTGCCTCGGTCAAAGAGTATATGGCAAACCTTGAGGATATACCGGTGACAAGTTCTGCATTGGGAGAATCACTCGCCCTGCTAGCGCAAGCCACTTCGGAATATCCTAACGCTCTCTGTGAGCAAGCGACGAGCATTCTCAGCGATCTTTTTCCATCTTTCACGGCATTGAGCGAGGCTACGCGCACGCTCGAGGGGCAGGAAGTGCTGGGAGAATATTTGGGAGCTGAAGCTGCGGAGAAAATTGTACGATTCTGGCAGGAAGATCTGTTGACTGAATGAGTGAGATGAAGTTATGAATGAGCCAGTGAATACGCCGGGATATATATTGCCACTACTCTTTTCACGGCTCAGCGCGATGTCGGGCGCAAACTCATTTACCACCACCAAGGCGCGAATTAGTTATGGTGACAATCGATGATTACGAAAGACACAGTAATCCCAAAGAATTGATTTCCCCGCTACGCCCAAAATCTCCGCGTAAAAGTCGATGGAAATCCAATTCTGACAGGCTGCGATGACACAATCAAGCGCCAGGAACCGGGAAGGGTCGATGATTTGCCGCCTAGACCCAGACCCAGAGGCAGCAAGAATACCAAAGGAGTTATTAATAACCAGAATTGACGCTGATTGCGCGTTGTCGGCCTGAGAAAGAAACCCAACGGTGCCACACGTGTAAGGAGTGTGGCGCAAGCGGTGCCCGTCCCAAGCAAAGGCAGCGTAATCAGAACCACCCCCCATTCAGTCTGCGCTTCGCTCCGCAGGGAGTTCTCCTCCACATCGTCATTCCTCTCCCAATCCCTCCCTCGTGCACACTTCCACTCTTTCGTCCCTGGTTCTTATTCTTCTTTTCATTTCCCGTATTATTTTATATATCTCAGCGCGGGGTGAACCTTGTATTTTCTGCGTTCATTCCCCTTTCATGCCGCAGCGTTATCTCCCTCTATTTCCGCTGTAAATTGATAGGCCAGATATCTTTGTCGCCTAGGCGCAAGACCCGGGGTAGTCGGTAACAACAGCCATGGTGAGTCTCCTCAAGACAGCTCCGCACGGGCATTTCCAAGGCGAAAAGAAATTTACTAACCACTTCCTCCAATTTAGGGTCACTCACGACGTCCCGCAGGTGGGGAGAAGAAGAGCCGGTTCGGTCGCTCCAAAGCCGCCGCTGATGTGGGCGACGGCCGGCAAGCGGGGGGCAAGCCCCAGGTCAGAAAGGCAGTGTTTGAGAGCACAAAGAAGAAGGAGATTGGTGTTTCCGACCTTACTCTGCTGAGCAAGATTTCCAACGAGGCAATCAACGATAACTTGAAGCTGCGGTTTCAACATGACGAAATCTATGTAAGCCGCCCTGGCTTAGGGAGGATGCGCGGGCGGGGTATTTCGCTAACACGGCTGTTGAACAGACGTATATCGGACACGTGCTTGTCTCTGTTAACCCTTTCCGAGATTGTAAGTGAATTGGTATGTGCTATTCGGAGGGACACTGCTGACGGACTGGCTCTGAATAGTGGGTATCTACACCGACCGTGTCCTCGACTCCTACCGGGGCAAGAACCGACTCGAAGTCCCTCCTCACGTTTTCGCCGTCGCCGAATCCTCATACTATAACATGAAATCATACAAAGACAACCAGTGTGTTATCATCTCTGGCGAGTCGGGTGCGGGCAAGACCGAAGCCGCGAAGCGAATCATGCAATACATTGCCAGTGTGTCCGGCGGAAGTGATTCATCCATTCAGGAAACGAAGGACATGGTTCTAGCGACCAACCCTTTGCTCGAGTCATTCGGGAATGCGAAGACATTGCGAAACAACAACTCTTCACGGTTCGGAAAGTACTTGGAGCTGGAATTCAACGCTCAGGGCGAGCCCGTCGGAGCCAACATCACCAATTACTTGCTGGAAAAGTCGAGAGTGGTAGGACAGATTACGAATGAGCGAAACTTTCACATTTTCTACCAGTTCGCCAAGGGAGCCCCGCAGAAATACAGAGGTACAGCCAATATTTCCAGACTATGCTGCAAATGCGCTTGCTAACACCGAGACAGATTCATTCGGCATCCAACAGCCTCAGTCCTACCTATACACGAGCCGATCGAAATGCTACGATGTTCCCGGAGTCGACGATGTGGCGGAGTTCCAAGATACTATGAATGCGATGTCGGTTATTGGAATGTCAGAAGCGGAGCAAGATAATGTTTTCCGAATGCTGGCTGCGATCCTGTGGCTTGGAAACGTTCAATTCGGCGAGGACGATTCCGGAAACGCTGCTATTACGGATCAGTCAGTGGTGGATTTTGTCGCATATTTGCTGGAAGTCGACTCCGCCCAAGTCAATCAAGCGTTGACTATTCGCATGATGGAAACAAGTCGCGGTGGCCGCCGAGGATCCATTTACGAGGTGCCTTTGAACACGGTGCAGGCCGTGGCTGTGCGTGATGCATTGGCCAAGGCGATTTATTTCAACCTTTTCGACTGGATTGTGCAGCGTGTAAACCAGTCACTGACAGCTAAGGGTGCGGTGACCAACTCCATTGGTATCCTTGATATCTACGGCTTTGAGATTTTCGAGAAGAACTCGTTCGAACAGCTTTGCATCAACTACGTCAACGAGAAGCTTCAGCAGATTTTCATTCAATTGACGCTCAAAGCTGAACAGGAAGAATACGAGCGGGAGCAGATTACCTGGACGCCTATCAAATACTTTGATAACAAGGTCGTGTGTTCCCTGATTGAAGACAAGCGCCCGCCTGGTGTTTTTGCTGCTCTTAATGATGCCTGCGCAACCGCGCACGCTGATTCTGGAGCCGCGGACAACACTTTCGTTGGACGACTGAACTTCCTCTCTCAAAACCCGAACTTCGAGAACCGGCAGGGCCAGTTCATCATTAAGCACTACGCTGGTGATGTGAGCTACGCTGTTCAGGGAATGACGGACAAGAACAAAGACCAGCTTCTGAAGGATTTGTTGAACCTCGTCCAGTCGAGCGGCAATCCCTTTGTTCACACAATTTTCCCCGAACAGGTCAACCAGGATGACAAGCGTCGTCCTCCTACTGCTAGTGATAAGATCAAGGCCTCGGCGAATGACTTGGTAGCAACCTTGATGAAAGCGCAGCCATCCTATATTCGAACGATCAAGCCCAACGACAACAAGGCGCCCAAGGAGTACAACGAGGGCAATGTTCTTCACCAGATCAAGTATCTGGGTTTGCAGGAGAATGTTCGCATTCGACGTGCTGGTTTCGCTTACCGTCAGACGTTCGACAAGTTCGTTGAGCGTTTTTACCTCCTATCACCCAAGACATCCTACGCTGGTGACTACACATGGACAGGCGACGTGGAAACCGGCGCACGACAGATCCTCAAAGACACACGAATCCCTGCCGAGGAGTACCAAATGGGTATCACCAAGGTGTTCATTAAGACTCCCGAAACCCTCTTCGCCCTCGAAGCTATGCGTGACCGGTACTGGCATAACATGGCCATTCGAATCCAGCGTGCTTGGCGAAACTACCTGCGGTACCGAACAGAGTGTGCCATTCGAATCCAACGTTTCTGGCGCCGAACAACTGGTGGACTTGAGTTTATCAAGCTGCGTGACCAGGGTCATCAGATCCTGGCTGGCCGCAAGGAGCGCAGGAGAATGAGTATACTTGGTTCACGACGATTCCTTGGCGACTACGTCGGTATTGGTAACAAGGGAGGTCCGGGTGAGATGATCCGAAGTGGCGCAGCTATCAGCAGTATGTATATTCACTCCTCTTGAACTGATGACGATGCTAACAATCTGAAGGCTCCGAAGACGTCCTGTTCTCTTGCCGTGGAGAGGTTCTCGTTTCCAAGTTCGGTCGCTCCAGCAAGCCTTCCCCACGTATCCTTGTCTTGGTTAGTAACGTCAATCCTCTGCGTATATTGTATCCTAACCTGTTCAGACAAATCGACATGTGTACATCGTCGCGCAAAACATCGTCAACAACCAGCTCGTCATCGCCTCGGAAAGGACTATTCCTATCGGTGCGATCAAGACTGTCAGCGCTTCAAGTTTCCAAGACGACTGGTTCTCGCTCGTTGTGGGTGGCCAGGAGCCTGATCCGCTCGTAAGCTGCGTCTTCAAGACCGAGTTCTTTACCCACCTTCACAATGCTCTCCGCGGGCAATTGAACCTGAAGATCGGTCCACAGTAAGTTGTCTTTGTTCCCGCCGTGAGACAATCATCAGCTAACCGTAGCAGGATCGAATACAACAAGAAACCAGGAAAGCTGGCTACCGTCAAGGTAGTCAAGGACGCATCGCAGGGTGATAGCTACAAGAGTGGAACTATACACACTGGCTCAGGGGAACCGCCCAACTCAGTATCAAAACCTACTCCTCGTGGAAAGCAAGTCGCAGCCCGACCTGTCACGAAAGGCAAGCTTCTTCGACCTGGTGGTCCCGGCGGCGGACCGTCCAAGCTGGCATCCAGGCCTGCAGCGGATCGTCGGCCTGTACCGCAGCCTACACCTGCCCCGCGGCCAACACCAGCAGCTCAACCAGCAGCTGCGCCTAGACCAGTTGCTCAGCCTGTCGCAGATCTTGCCGCGGCCCATCAACGTACCTCGTCTACGGCGTCTGCAAGGGCGCCTCCCCCGCCTCCTCCAGCCACTGCCCCCGGACCCAAGAAGGCGAAGGTTCTGTATGACTTCAACAGCGACAACAGCAGTATGCTTTCGATTAAAGCAGGCGAACTCGTCCAGATCATGTCTAAGGAAGGAAATGGTAAGGCATTCGCCATTGTTATATGTTTACATGTCCAGACTAACAGTTTTCAGGTTGGTGGCTATGCATGAACCTCGATACGTCAGCTCAAGGCTGGACCCCCGAAGCGTACCTCGAGGAGCAAGTTGCCCCCGCACCGCGACCTACTCCTCCCCCTCCTCCGCCAACAGCTCCACGATCAAGCCCTGCCCCCGTGAACGGATCGGCCACCGCCGCGGCAGCAAAAGCTAAACCAGCGCCCCCACCACCTGCCAAGCGACCCAACATGGCTGGCCGGAAAACGGCCCCTGCACCTCCACTCGCACCACGAGATAGTGCCGTCAGCATGAACTCGCAAGACTCGTCTGGCGCCAGTGGACGCGGCACACCAAACAGTCTGTCAAACGCTAGTCTCGCCGGCGGCCTTGCCGACGCACTGCGGGCTCGACAGACCGCCATGCAGGGCAAGCGAGATGACGATGACGACGATGACTGGTAATCTGTTCGCATACTCTTTCACTCCTTTTGCCGTTATTCAATTCTGAGCTCGATTTCTATTCGTTTTGTCTCTGGTACTCTTGTTTTAGCCATTAGACGGGTTTCTTGCTTTTTCTTTTCTTGTTTTTGTTTGGAAATTACTTCGTTCTTCTCTTTTTTCTTTCTCTCTTTTCTTTCGCGTGTCGCTTGGCTAGGTTTGATCTGGAGCTCTGATACCACAAAGTCTCTGGGCAGCGCACATTATATGACATGATTGATCTGGCGCTTCGTTTGCATACCCGTTTTCTACCTTCCCCTTGTTCCCTGTTATCTGGATAGCCGATCGAACCCTTCTACATCTCGATCAGTGTAAGTAGACAGACCGTAGAGGTTACCAAAAATGCGTTCATATCATATATCGTTATCATAGCACCTATGGGGCATGCATCCTATAGTATAGATACCGCATCCCGTATCCAGCGCCTAAAGAACTCATCTAAACACCAAATCTAACCAAATCACATATCAAGAAGAGAAAAAAGAAAAATTCTACTCCTTCGCCCCCTCCCCCTCAGTAGTCTCACTCGAAACCTCAAACGTCCGATGAACCCCAATTCTCGACGTCGACCCGGACCTCCCCGACCTCCCCGACCTCGCCGCCGCAAGATGCGGCGACGCCAACCCCGAAGTCCCCAAACCCACTGCACCCTCCCCATGCCTTCCATCCGCATTAAGCAACCCCTCCTGCCCCGCCCCGGGATACGGCGCCGCGGACCCAAACTCATCGCCGCGCCCGCCCTCGACCGTCGCGCGCATCGTCATCATCCCGATGTACGGCCCGTAGAAATCGTCGCTGGGTTTGTTGGTTTTGGTGCTCCGGCCGCCGATGCTCCGGTGGTCAAAGTTGTCGGGTTCGAAACCGAAGCCAGGTCCGAGTCCGAGGCCGAGGCCGAGATTGGCTCCGGGGGCGTCTTCGCTGCGTGTACATGTCGTTCTCGTCGACGCAAGACTCGTCCGTCCGACGCCGAGGCCAGAGTCGAATGTCGCGAGGGCGTGCAGGCCGCCGCTGCGGCTGGACTTCGAGCTGCGGTTGCGCGTGTGTTTGCTGTGGCTTTTTGAGGTGCTTGGCGGGGACGTGCCGTTGTCGTTGTCGTTGCCGTTGCCGTTGTAGTTATAGTAGTCGAAGTCGAAGGGTGGGTAAGGGGAGGGGGAGGGGGGAGAGGAGCGGGAGCGGAAGATGCGGAAGAGGGGACGTGTCGTTGCGAGGGAGCCGGCTGTTATTGCGAGGCCGGTTTCGACCGCGGAGAAGATTGCGATCTTGAGTTGAATCTTGTGTTAGTGGACGGATTGTGGTGGATAGAGAGAGGGGTGGGAGGAAGGGAGGGAAGTCGCTGGAGGTAGTATGGGAGGGTTGTGGAGGGAGGGCATACTTCGTAGGTTGCGTCTGCATGGCGAACTGTTAGTACTTGCTTGAAGGAAAGGGAGAGGGGATGATGTGAGGGTATAAGAGGAACGTACATAGAAAGTCCGGGTCACGAATCGTCCCCACGAACGGCATGCGGACGATAACCGCTACACTTGCGCTGTAGGCCAGAACCATTAGTAAATCCAGCTCTCTTTAGAACCAGCAGCAAAAGAGAAACATACACACAGGCCATCCCCAGCAGCCCCACAACAGCAGCCTTGGTCTGGATATTCATCTGCAGCTTGCGCACAAGCATAATCGGCAACAGACCAACAGTAAGGTCGAAAAGCGCCGAGGCCGCGCTGAAAATGTAAAACATGATCGCGATAGGATCGATATATCTGCACCTTCCTGACGTATCGCCGCCCATCCGTGTCCAGAAGAAAGAGACGGGCGAGCATTGGGCTACGAGGAGGATGAAGAAGACTAGCCCCGTGGTGACGACGAGGGTAGTCACGGTGTATAGTGTTGCTCTGTGGCAGGGAAAGAGCATTACGCGGAGGAGGAAGATGCACACGGATATCTTGGCGAGGATGGAGGAGATGGTGTAGGCGACTTCGGCTAGGAACCAGTACTAGAAGGAAAAGTCAGAGTGAGGCGATGGGGAAAACAAAGACTGGGTAAGAGCATACCTCCATTGCAATACTTGCGTGCTCGGGGATCAGATCTGCGAGATGCCGCCCTGTACCCCAGATTCCGCCTCCAAACATAGACCCGCAGTACATGATGTAGAAGAGCTGCAGGATTAGCATTCGGACTATCCAGGCGCAATCAGTCAAAGGACATACCATAGCGAGGATCATGATCCCGTCATCCCAGCCAAACGCCTTGACAATGCGCAATCGCACATAGCAGCGAAGAAGCACAGCAATGGTAGACAGCGCTAGAAAGGCTGCCGCCACTCCACGGACAGCCGCGGGCCGATTTACCATGACAGTCGAGGTAAAAGATGTCGAAGATCGAGCTGAAGCCGAGGTAGCTGCAGATGCAAATGCAATGCAGATCTATGTATATCAAGCGGTCAAAGAAGCGTAGATCCAATAGGTCAAGACATCACGAAGAAATATAGCGTTGATCGCCGAAAGAACTCTGCAGAAACCCAAGTCTTATAGTCTTAGTCTCGAGACAGCTTCAGTTTCAGTCCCAGTCGTAGTTCAAGTCCCAGTTTCCACATGACTCGTGCGAGACTTGCGATGTCGGGTATTGCCACACAAGACCGGGGTCCAGCCGAGCTTCAGCCTTCTTTACTGCAAGCTCAAGTATGAAGGGGGCAAGGTTTTGAGATCTAGACGGGCGACATCTGGCCGATGCACGTCATTTTGCTGTCAAATGGATGCCGTTGGCTGGATCGCGGATCCTCGCAGTGTCGTTTCTGGGACGAACCATGGAACACAAATCCGGGATGGAGGATCGGCTTTCAGTGAGATGGACACGGGGAGGAGGCTAGAGCGAAATAAGAAGGTCCTTAAAAATGGAGAGTCCAGACTGCAGAGGCGATCTGATGGGATCATGGAAATGCATTAAAATTGCAAACTGTAGGTGGTGGGGTGGAGTTGATGCGAGGAGAAAAAAGGTTGGGTGGAGGCGGAACTGAAGAGCTGCCAGATAATTGTGGATAACGCCAGCATACTCGAAGCATGACTTACGATATGAATAATAATTAGAATCATTATTCTGGATTACGATACTCATCATATACACCCGATTGCAATTCAAAGTGGGATTTCCCCTCATACAACATATAGCATCATAGTATGTCCAAAGCTATCAGGTAGCTACACATAGAGGAGCACAGCTCCAGAAATATCCCCACGACCGACGCGACTACGTAACGAGAGTGATTCCAATCACTTCAAGAACTTGCTGGCAAGGCTCATAATCCCACTCGGGCCACCGGTCCCCTCACTACCACTCATCTGACTCTTCAGGTACATCTTGAACGCCATCTCGGCAGCGGAGTTGACAGCAGACTGCTTGTCGCCGGACTATCGCACCAAACCAAAGGATTAGCATATCTCTCAGGAAAGGCAATGATGTGAACAAGGAGATGTAGGACATACCGCCTCCCCCTTCCCTGCCTTCTCCTCCCACATCCTCCCAGCCTGCGCCATGGCCAGCCCAATAAACGCATTCTTATCCTTCCCCCCGCCCGTCTGCTCTCCAGACCCCTGATTAAACAGTTTGAGAGCCTGCAGCGCCGCACCGGCGCCCAAATCCCTCGAGTCCATCGTGTTCCCGCCCTCCTCGTACCGCTTGTGCGCGTTGACGACGTGCTCCTCGTCGACGTCGTTGTCGTTGTCGTAGGCGGATTTGCGCTCCTTGACGAACTTCAGCGCCGTGGAGAAGAGCGAGGAGTCTTCGGATGAGGACGAGTGCGCGGCGGCGTGCGAGACGGCCGGGTTGAGGTTGTCTTTGTCGTCATCGTCGTCGTCGAAGTGTTTCTTCACTGCGTCGGCGAGGAAGTTTCCGAAGGACATTTTGGTGGGTTGCGTTTGTGTTTGGGGGGTGAGGAGTTTGCGATTTGGTTTGATTGGGATGGTAGGAAGGTATGAGGGATGGATGGATGATGAACAGCAGGGGAGCTGGTGATGCGTTGTCTATTTAGCTGATGTATGAGGGGCTAAGAGGGGTAACCTGTGGCTGGGCAGCTGAGCTCTGGGGGCAATTCAGGGCTGTGATTGGCTGTATGCGGCAACTGGATCGGAGCTAGCAGTCGCACAGCCACGACTCGGATGCAGCTTGAGTGGGGGATACGTCATCGGCTGGCTGAGAATCGATCAATGCTAGTCGCTGAAGGAGGGAATGAAATCTATGGTGATAATGTCTGATTTGATTCAGTGTACAGAGGTTGAGTGTATGCATGGTATCTCCGCTAAAATGCCGCAAACCGCCCAAAACCAACAGAATGATAGTAACAAAAGGAAACAAACGTGCGATACCTAGTATCGACAGGATTCGACAAAATGATCAAAACAGTAGCAACTCCTCATGCTCCTCATCACACGCAGTCCACATGAACCGCATGTGCCGCTCTCGATCATTCAGTGTACAGCGCTCATCCTCCTTGAGCTCGGTCTCCTTAACCCACTCATTGGGCGACGGCTGCATCCCCAGCGCCTGCCCCCACTGGCGCCGGTCGTATTCCATGAATCCTCCAAAGTCCTCGTCTGTGTTTGCTACCCAGATCGTGCTGCCGTCGGGCGAGTAATCTGCACCGCCGACTTCGCCAAAGAAGTCGAGGACCTGCCGGGTTTGGTAGGTTTGTGCGTTCACGATTACGATCCTGTCTGCGGGCTCACAGAGAAGGAGTGTGCGCGGTCCGCCGCCGACAGGCGAGTATCGTAGGGATCGGTATCCAGCGACGTCGGACTCGAACTTGTCGAGCAAACGCCACATGCGCGCGTCCCAGATCATGGCCGTTTTGTCCTGGTTGCTCGTTGCGATCTGCATCATGTCCGGAGACCAGGCGCATGCGAACCCGAAATCGCGGTGCCCGCGCAGGGGATGAACGGGCCGGCCAGTGTCTGCTTCGACGACCCAGGCGTCGGGAGAGTCCCCGATGATCACCCGTAGACGCCCATCGGGCGAGGTGGACGTGCAGTTGATTGCATGCGCAAGTTCATAGTCCGCAAGGAAGGTGTTCGTTTCGCAGTCCAATATCCGCACGTGGTTATCGTTGGAAGCGAAGACCCCAGTCGGCGAGCGATTCGTGCGACTCGAAATGATATCAACGTGGTTGGTTATTCCGCTATCATCTTTTGTCACGATGCCTTCAGCTCCCGAGCCTTCAGCGCCGTGTGCTCGCATGGCATATTCTCCCTTGAATCCACCAGCGATCGTAACTCCAAAGGCTGATTTCATGGTAGAGATCTTCACTGCGTGGTGAAAACCAGACTGCGCACTGGGTACCGACAAATCAATCAGGCATTGCAAATCATCGTAACCTGGAACCCAAGAATAAACCTTGGACATGGACGAAAAGTGTACAGTATTGTAGGCCGGGACAGACATCAGGTTGCGGAGTTGGAAATGCTCGATAGTCGCCTTGTGGTCTGTATACATCGACTTGCCCTGAAAGTAGAATTCCTCGTCCGAAAGTCGGACACTAGGCCGCTGTCGGTTGTACTGTAAATTGTGGTAGGACGTATACCACTGGTCCCGCAAATTACGGGCGTCTGAGCGCCTGACTCGCAGCTTCTCCCACCAGGGGATCTGTTGGACGTCGTAGAAATCCCCTGTATATCTACTTGGTCGTGTAATTCTCGCCGGCGGTACCCACCAGGGGCTGCTGCCGAGGTTATTTTGAGGCGACACAGGCGGCGCAAGCGAGAGCATTGGTATTGCGGCGGTAGAAGACTGATAAATCCACTGGTGTACGAATTGATCGATATTGAGATTTCTCTCCTGGGCTGATATATATATATTAGTATTACGTCGCTTAGTCTTGGAATGAGTACGTACTGGTTGTATGCGCTGATTCTGCAAAATGCTGCTCCGTCGCGGGTTCAACTTCGACCTCGTCGGCGTCGGTAAAATAGCTGCCATGATCCTCTTGGTCAAATGGATCATCGAGTCCAGAATCTTGCGAGCCAAACGCGTGGCCGTGGTAGAATTCCTCAAAGTCAACTTCGGATAGATGCGACGGGTTCTCCTCAATCGACTCGTCGTGAGACTCAACGTCATAACCATTGCCGCCGTGGTCTAGATAAAATTTCTGCGCATCATCATCGTCTTCTTGCGTTGTCGTAAAAGATATCGGCTCATGTCGAGAGATGCGCGGGTCATATTCCATTACTAGATCCGAGGTGCTGTCTTCCTCGGTGGCCTCCGAGGGCGCGATATTAGTGCTCACGACGTGAGCGTGGCGAGCGAACGGGTTGAATATCCCTGCTCCATCCACTCGCTCGAGCGAATAGTCATTGAGAGGCACACCACCAAAGTCCGACAGGACGTCGGTCATTTCCGAATCGGACATGTACAGATCTGCCTGCGGGGAGGCCTCTGAAATCGGGGCGCTCTGGCCATACGTCCGGTGCTGGTGAGAGTATTCGCCCGACTCAATCACAGCATTGACGACTTCGGATACGGGGATACTCGCCTGGTCGTGGATGGCATTCGGGTAACGAGGAACGGACATAAAGGCGGACAGCGCATGGTCGGGGGCAGGGTCGCCTCCAAGTGACGGGGCTGTTTGACGGGGAGCATGATGCGCAGCTTGCCGATGTGGCTGCTCGAATAGGTTGGCGGCATCAGGGCCTGCCCCGGGATGCTCATTGCCTTCCGTATCCATGTCGCGGGGATGAAACCGAGAAGAACCCTCATAAGACAAGGTTTCAGTGGGAACGGCGTCGCATGATGACGAAACCACTAACGGAGTCGCCCGATCAGCCGGATATAGGCCCGACGAGCTGGACGAGGACGACAAGAGGTGGGATGCGGACGTTGAAGAAGGCTGAAAAGCAGGCTCACTCTGAGCAGGCATTCCGGCCGCCGAGCGCAGCGCTTGGCTGCCGACAGAGTGAATCGACAAATAGCCTCGCACAATCCGCGGGGGGAAGGGAAAGGCGAGCTGGAGTCCGAGGGATAAGGCAGAAGAAAGGGTACACGAGCAGGGCGACCAGAGGGCGTGATTGGCACCGAGAGTCGTCCACGTTGCCTCGTTTGGGATCAGGGATCTTGGCTATGCAACAACCGTCGTCCACCCCGCAGCCTGTCTTCCATCACCAACCCCCACTCCAGGGACGGTCAAGAGTGCCGACTTTCGGCGACCAAGACGGTCGTTGAGGTACCGACGACGTCGCGCGGCGACTCTGCGGCTCTAGAAAGAATATTTCGGGTGAGTATGGCTTAGGACGGCGGTGTTGGCAACGCAGTCCAAGAAGGTGGGATGATCTTCGCCGAAGGGCTGGAAATGTAGGTAAGACGTCCTCGGGACTCTCCACGAGCGCGAAAAAGGGAAAACGCGGAGGAGAGATGCCGAATCCGAGAGGGCAGAAAATCAATCAAAGAAATTGGAGAAGCGCGAGCCGTCAAGACCGCGCCAGTCAGATGGGCTGGAGTTTGCCTGACTGCAGGAAAAGGAGGGGAATCCGACGTGGATTACAAGCAGGAGGATGCAGCTGGACCAGGAGGGGAAGCGATTGGGGCCAAAAGCTGCATGGCGAGGAGCAACGTGCGCCTCAAGCCGTCCCACGCAGAAGTCGATCGTCGACCATCAAAAAGGCAAAGCCCGAAGAATGCTGGAGAAAACGAGGTTAGTTCGACCGGCGAAAATGCGAAGAATGAGTCGATGACCATGCGATGGAAGGATTCTTAGTCAGAACCAACACAACGCCACGCCAGCGAATGGCCAAAACCCGCGCTGGTCTTCAGTTCAAAGGAGAATATTGACTAAATCCTGCACGAATTCAATAGCGAACTCGCGGGCCTGACAGAACTCTCAGCGAGTCAGCCTCTGCAGAGCGCTCATCATTACTTTGCGCGACCGATCGTCGCTGCAGGCAAGGGCCGTGGCCTGGAGCCAGCCAGTATAACAGCGCCCGTTATCCGCTGCTGCAATATAAACTTCAAGCCACGGGAGTATGCGTTTCTTGTATTATATTTCACAAATTATCACACGTCAGGCGAACAGATACGACTCTCTGGGGGCACTTGAGCCACCCCTACAAGACACTCTTGAGAAAAGTACTTATATCCAAAAGAAGGGAGAAAATACAGAAACAGGATAGAATATACATCGGTCACATCACAGGAATGAAGAAGAAGAAGACGAATGGTGTCGCAAATACTAATAGTCCGAAAATGGTTCATATGGCATCGGATGATGACCCCCGACCGGTGGCTGCCACCCAGTCTGCATTCTCAATCGGCGATCTGAGCGGAATTAGCATCCGGGCAATATGGATGGGCTGATATGAGCTTACCTTTCTCAAAGTCTCGCCATCTCTTCATGGTAATCTTGCTGCTGTCAAACTCTCCTTCTCCGTCCTCGTGGCCCTTGTCTTTCTCGCCCGCCGTCTTTCGCGTATCACCCCAGCTAAAGTCGTCGAACTTCCAGTACGCATACGTGGGCAGGACAAAGTTCCAAATCGGAAGCGAGATGAGATAAATCAACATCCACAGAACGTAGACGACCCGGTGAGCCGTGATGACGACCAGTACACCAGGAAGACCGAGAATCAGCGCAAGCAGTACCAGAGGAATGATCTGGACAGGCCTGTTGACGATGGAGGAGACGATGACGTAGATGGTAAACGAGATAGCGGCGGGAAGGACAAGCGTTCCGATCAATTCAATGAAGATGACGAATTGCATACTGAAGCAAAAGGTACCACACAGGTCCCGGACGAGGATCAGCTCCATCAGGTTGTGGACGGTACTGTTGATCCACCGGCGTCGCTGGGATAAGAGAACCATGAACTTGTCGGGTACGACGGTTTTGCAGACGGCCTGGGGAACAAAGATCTGCTTTCGCTTGGGGAATGTTCGGAGCATGAGCGTCGAGAGGTATCGATCTTCTCCGAGGAGTAGCAAGTTCTTCTTATGCAGGGTATCGACCACGTTCTCCGAGTAGTGCTCGACGACATCGGGGTTGGCGAGAATCGGGACCCAATAGTTCTGGCCACCCTTGGGCGCTTTTATTCGGTACATCGAGAAACAACCTGGAAGACAAGTGACACCACCGAAAACGGATTCGAAGGATTTGGACAAATGATGAGAAACAAAGTACCTGCAGAACTAGTTAGCCATTTGAAGGCAAGTAGGGGGCTGTTCAACATACTCAAACACCTGGATCATGGACACCCAGCTGTCGGTTTTGTTGGCAATCTTCGTTTCACCGCAGAGACCCATTACCTCTGGATCTTTGACCATTGCAGAGATCATGTGCGTCAAACTGTCCGGGAAGACCTTGGTGTCCGCATCGACACAAAGTACGACCTCATAGAAGTCTGGTGGTATCCCCGTTACGTGCAACAGCCCATTGAACATCTCGTACTCCAGCTCTGTCATTCGCTCGTCGAACATGACCTTTTGCAAGAACGACATGAGAATAATCTGACTGTCTCGCTTGCCTCTGTTTCCGGCTTTCCCCTGACCTTCCTCGGCTGGAGTACCGCACTTCACAACGATCATCATCGGGACACGCTGTTGCTTCTCTGGAGGGAAGATAGAGTTCTCGCCATAGTCGTAGAATCCGGAGTACACCTTGGCCATGTTGTGGCGCTTCGAGCCAGTAGCCACCGCCACGTAGGAGAACGCCTGCACGTCGTCGGGGTTGTTGAGAGGATCGCGCATCATACCAAGGACAATTTCAGGAGTAGAAAATTGCTCTCCTTTACCCTTAATAAGACCGTCACAGATCACAACGATGGTCTTATGGCTGTTCGGGTAATCTGTCATCGCAATAGAGTCCAAGGTGGTGCGAATTCCTTCTTCACCTTCAGAGTAACAAGTGACCAAGCATAGCGTATGCGCCAGGGGAAATCCATAGGGCTGCCAGTCGGGTGGCGGTTGGGGAACGACAAGTTCATGTATGTAACCAGAAGAATCGAGACCCTCAGAATCAGGGGGCATTGTCGAATACCGCGACTCCTGAACTAAGCTGGTTCGGCTTGCAGACGGGTTCAAGCGAGAGTTGTCGACGCTTAGTGTGCCGCTGCCGTTGTGGCTCTCCCGGTAGATCGAACGAGTGTTTCCGCTAGGGACCAATCGGGTGGTGGAGTTTTGGCTTGCCATGGTCACCCACTGGGGCCTCTGCTTCCCTCCGTTGCTCACCGTATAAGGACTAGAGAACCGAGAAGTTGTTGGTAGGAAACTGGCTCTCTTGCTCATACGGTCACCTGCGTTATGGTCCGCAAGTCGAGGACCAGGGCGATAGATATCATTTGACCAATCCTCGATCTGCTGGTTCCGGGCTTTCGAATCGACGGCGCCCATGCTGGTCTTCTGAGCCGCGAATCGTGGTGCAAGGAACCATTGGAAGACGACGGCGAAGGCGAATTTGACGATGACAATAGACAAAATAAAGACCAGGGACACGTAGAGCACAACCTGAGACGCAATACAGCCCACGGTATCGGTATCAATACTTCCTACCTTGATGATTTGCGATAAACACTTGCCGATTTGCTTGTCCTCGCCCGTCTGGAAGAAATATGTGAGATCGACGCCGCGAATGTCCGGATTCTCACGGAGTTCGTCGAATTTGCTCGGATAGCTAACTTGGTCGGTGTTGAACCAGGCTAAAAGGTCTAGATCGAGGACGTTCCCGGAGTAGATGGCAAGGTTTCGGCTCGTGTTTTTGGTGTCTTCCCAGGTAAAGTAGACATCGCCTGAGCTTTTCAAGTTGTAGAAAGACTGCCGCGCAGACCCTGAGGTATGGCAACCCCAGCCAGGGTAGTACGACTCGGTCAGGTTTGGCCGGGAAGAACCGTCTTGGTTGAAAGGGGCGCATGGGAAGTACCAGGCAAGGTCGCCATTGGCATTGGTAGGAACATCCGATCCATCGGCGAGTGTGATTAGCCCTTTGCAGTCGCCATTGACCTCCTGGAAGAAAAAGCTTCCATCCTGGCCTCCGTACTTGTGCGGCAGGTCATACAGAACGTTGGTGTCTCGCGGGATACCAGTCGCAGCGGGATGCTCTGACCCAGACAAGTCATATGCTTGCCCATGGAAGATCATGTAGCCCCTCCCAATTTCGTTGATCTTCAATCGAGTTGGAGGGTTTCCACATACAGTAGCCGTGAAACCAAAGGTGAGGAAACCGACGAATGCCGCAATCATCAAGATGATGCTGATGAGACCGATCTTCTCACGCCATGCGCTTCGCTGAGCCTTTTGCGGCATGCCGAAACACTTCATTATGAAATCAGGCGCCCAGAATGTCACCACTGAACAGTATGTTGTCCATAAGCTGGGCGGTCGAACCTGCTCCATCGCCTTTTGGCGTCTCTTCTCCGCTGCCGCCTCACGCTTGGTGAGCTTTCTCGAGCCCTTTCTTTTCTTCGATCGGTGCCGGGTCGGAACGCGCTCCATGGGCTTGTTGACATTTCCATGCGCCCCGTACAGCTCCTCCTTGCGCTTTGAGTCCATGCTTGGGGTACTAGTCGTGTCTGCCTCCGCCTCACCGTGCATCAACGGCTCCGTCCCCGTCATCGAATTATACGTCGGCATGTTCTGTGTCCGCTGGTGGTATAGGTAGTTGGGATGGCTCGGATCAATGCGACCTCTCTCCGGCTTCACAAGACTCTTCTTTCGCCTTATTCCGGTATCTTCTGCCCGCTCCTCGTCTATATCTTGGTGGTGCCGAGAGCTATGCGAACGGTGGTGTCGGTGCCGCCGTGGGCTGGTAGGGTCATTGTTTCCAGCATTGTCGGAATCCCGGCGTCTCCTTCGTGAGTTCTCCCGAAAGGCGGAGTGTGTTTCCTCCCTCCCTGGGGACGCCTTCCCCGGCCGCTGCGGCAATGACATCGTGGTCTACACGGTCGGCAAAGGAGTTAGCATCTTGGCGTGAGAGAGCCATCCGCATATTGCACGATGCGTGCGCACAGATTACGACAAAAGCCTAAGCACCTGAAGGGTGTTCTCCCTGCGGCAGCACCGAAGCAGCTGACTGACCTTATTATAGCATATGCGATGGCGGAATATGAGCGGTTTTCCCGATTGTAAGCCGAAGAGCCCCTCCCCCTGGAATGCGGGCACCAAATCTCACTGCGGGGCCGTGATGATGTCCTGGAATGCGAAACTGCGCTATATTAAGATATTAAACGAACGGGAATATATCGGATAAGGATAATGCGAGAATGTGGTGATGAGGCGCTGAAAAATGACGGTCGGCGACAGGAATCACGAGCACGGTCACGATGGCTGAGAGAACTTCGAATAAAACGAAAGCGAGCGACAAACTTGACTTGTGGAATAAGAAGAGCCACAGCAGTCAAGTTTAAATGCAAGAAGACGCAAACAAAACCGCGAGAAGGAGGAGCGAGGTTGGATGGGAGAGGATGGCAGGAGAGGAATCAGCGGGCAGCAATGGCCAGCAACTGAGATGGGCGCGGAGGTCACGCCAGTCCCTGGATGGATGGGGTCCAGATGGTCAAAGAAAAAAATAAAGCGGGCGGCCACCCTGGATCTGTCTTGATCGCCTTGGGTTACTCCAGGGTAACCCGACGTTGTCTAGCTCAAGAGTTTGTTGAGGATAAATATCGGCCTTGGGAGCAAGAAATGGGTTATGATGTCTCTGTTTACTGATTTTGTTTTGGCTGCAGGATCACACCGTCTGCTTATTTGGACCTACAGCTACATACAGAGGCACCCGAGGAAACACAGACCACACTGACTTTCGGTCCTGAAAACTCCCGCACGCGGGAACTCCGTCGCTAAGCCAAGATATGTGAAATAGACGCGAGGGTGGCAATAATCGCTCAGAATTTATCGATCCCTCTCTGCTCCTGCTCAGGAGGCAGGACGCTGGCAAAGACGACTTGTCTCCCAGGCACAGAGCGCTGTCGCTAGGGGCAATCGGTCGGGGCAGATGAAATTCAAGAACAGCTTGGCAGATCCCCGCCAATGGCATGGTCGGGGGTTGCCGCATGGCTCCGCTTAAAGGGGCTGACTCCATCCAGATTTTCTACAGCCTGGGTTTATTGGTTCAACTTTAATCAGGCTTTCTTTAAATAGTCTAGCTCCCAATATCCCACTTTGCTGGTCACCTGAGGCATCAATCTTTTTCGCTTTTCCCTCCTCGGAGAGCTGCACTGAGCCCGAGGAGTGGTTGGAGGGGTTAAGACAATTGACCTAACAGCAGAAGGCCGCGAAAGCGAATTTGCAAGGTTGCAATCCCAACTTGCCTCCTGCATTTGAGTCCAGTTTGCCGCCAATATCTATTGGAGATGGGCTATTCTCAGACACAATTCTGAACATGACCAATTGACTTTCAGCCTCCCAGCCGCTAGCCAAGCTTCCCTTTCACTATTTTAGAGGCACATAAGTCAGCCATCAGTCAAAAATTACCATCACTGTATTTATGCTCAGATCTGATTGCATAACGCATCTCCTTTTGTGATGGACAAATTGTGCCTAATCAACGTGAAACCTGTATACTTGGGAAACAGGATCAATGTGGTGCTTTTTCATGTTAAAATGATGCGACAGATCCACCTGATATTTGCACATCTTGCAGGGAACTTGACTGAGAGAAGATTCAAGAGGAATAGTTCGTAAAAAAGGGGTATTTGTGAAGGAACCAAAAGGCTCCAAGATGCTCATCTCCCATGGGAGGTTCCTTGTTGGCAGAACCTTGGCTCATCTCACCTCAATACTGAGAACGAGGATGGCCTCACAAACTTCAACAGACAAGCTCTTTTGTCTCAGCCCTCATCGCCCCATTGCAACCCAATTGTCCCTGAATTCTGATACTCCACCATCGAGAATCACTTCTGGAGATTCGTATGATGGACCAAAAGGAGCTTCAAAGGTATCTTTGATCGTCGCGAATGGAAATGATACTGTCAATCCCAATGGATTTTCCAGGAGTTGAGGACAATGCCCGGGTTCTCTCTTTCAACTATGATCTGTTATGCCTGAGGGCTCTGGAAGTTACGCACTAAGATCATCAATACTCCTGTCCCGTCCTATTTACGCTCCGGTCCTCGTCTTGAGATCAATCGTTCAAAGGAGAGACCCGGTCAAGAAAGAGGCCCGATTTGGACACGGAGTACCGATCATATCTGTACAACGGGTCTGAAGTGCTTCGATGGCGTCGACCAGAGCAGCATCGACCTTCTGTGGCATTAATAGTCATGCATGTGCATGGATCCTTTGCGGTGAGGCCGAACCTGAAGGCGAGAATTGACATTCGAATCCCGCGATTTCCTCCACTGTTTCGAGCCCACAGCTCCCTAGCACCTGTCGATCTGAGCATCGGACCATGCCCATCAACCACTGCACGCTTTCAACTTTGATACAGATACCTAGTACATACGGAGTACTTCCAGGTCTTGAACTCAAATATACCACCGAACCACATTTGAGCAAGCCATTGACTTTAGCTCAAGGCTGAATCCATGGATCCCAGGCTTCAGCCTTCCGCCGGGCACATGTTCGAGGAATATAACTGCCAGTGAGAGTGTTACAGACCCGGTCTCTCACTGCCGAAAGGCAATCTTGCCGACCGACAAAGCGCCCAAAAATGTGGCTGAAGCTCACTCGCTGCAAGTAAGGCGAAAACTCTGTGCCTGGGGCTCTTCCAGAGCCTTCTCGCCAATTCTCGGGTTCGGGGCTGAACCAGTGCCTGCAACAGCCCCGGCTAACATCTCCAGATTCAAAGTCGGTGGCTGTTGGCGAAGACTTTGTTGTCAACACTGCCCAGACTTGAAAAGTACCCGACTGATGATTCATCGCTTGGTTGGATTGAATAATCCATCCCATGACTAAATTAGTCGCCGTGCCTGGTTTATATTTAGAACCACCAGCGTGCAGAGAGCCGGTCAGTTCTTCTTTCCTGCAGCAACAGTTCAGACATCTCATCCGAGGAAAATTGTGACCTCTGACGGTATCATTTGTAACGTTCTGGGGCGAACGAAGGAACCATTCCATGCTTAACGTACATAAGAATCATAGCATCTCATCTACAAAGGCGATCTCCGCACAGGATCAGCTCACATCACTGCAGCACTTAATCTGGCACACATTGAAACCCCCACCCAATGAAGAAGGAATTGGAGATGCCGCTAATTTGAGGGCTCGTAACAAACCGCCTCGCTTCAGCCAGAATACGGGCTCTGGCGATGTTGTCCTGGCAAGGTTGATCTGATTTCACTTTCAGCCTCACACTTTTGGGGAAAGTGGGGATAGAAGCACCCGTATATGCAGATTGCAGCCCCAGTGCCAGTGGCAGTCCTGGATGTACCTCCTCGTATTATTTCAGCTGGTGCCCAGCAAAGTGACATGCCCTGGTTGTTAGTCGACGGTAGGCGACTCTTCTTGTATTCTCCGCGCAGTGACTTGTGCAGAACTCGGCGCTGGCCGTTGGAGCCAAAGTCAAACAGCAGGCATGACTGGCTGTGGGGAATTGCGCCCTGGTCCAAGGGACTCGGAGTATACTGAGAAAATCGAATAGAGTTTGTGTTTTCTTCGTCCTCAGCCGCTGGACGAGGCAGTGTCCACGGTATATTTGACCAGCTTCAGATGTGGGTGAAGTAGATGACGACAAATTGAAACAGAATGAGATGCCCGGGAAGAGCTCGCATCATCAACATTAAAGTCAAGAGAGATCTCCTGCCCACCGCGGAAGATTCTGGTCTTTGTCCTCCAACTCCCACTCGCAGGAAATTGATCCGTACTGATCCGTACCGTAAGTTACCGCCAGTACCGGACTTTGGCCCGCTTGGCCATCCAACTTGAACTCCTCTCATCGTCTCTGGCGATAATTATTGGATCGATTCTGCTCTCCCGCCTCCGATTCATCCATATTCTTTCTTCCCCCGCCCCTCTTGCGCCTGTTCCTCTCGTTCGTTTTGCTGCCTGCACCTTTCTTTTTCCTGTCTGCGTCGCTCTCACCACCTTCGTTGATATATTATCTCATTTATTGTCTCTGCCTTTGTGCATTGCGGTACAATCATCCCCCCTCACGCCGTCCGGTGCCAGTTCCCTGACATTTCAATAGAGTCCCGTCGTTCGTTGGTGGGCCCGTTTCCTACCCAGTCGACCGATCGTCCCTCAAGTCCCTAAAGCTCCCCGACGATCCATCTCTCGCTATTCCAGGTTCTCGTCGACGACTGAGCTGCTCTCGTTTTCTCACGCTGCCTTCGCTCTAAGCCGTGCGCCGACCACCTCCCAACCCGCCCTCGTTTTACACCTCTCTCCATGTCGAAATCATAACCTTCCATCGCTTCGAAACCACCTGCATCCGCTCAGGTCCCCCCGGTCTCTCACTCAACGACAGTGAGATTACAATTTCGACCACCTTGGACTGCCCGCAAGTGACGTGCATAGTCAAGAGCGTGACGCAATGGCGAGCCCCGTGGCCACCAGCTATCCCCAGTCGCTCCCGTCTCCTCCCCCTGTATACCTCCCTTCGTCGCCGCCGCATTCCCCTTCACGACACGAGGCTACGCCACGGTCCAACGCGAACCAAACACCAACCTCGCCAGTGGCACGCAAACCTATGCCGGCGGCTCCTTACGTTGCACAAGACAACCATCATCGACCAGTCCCTTCGCTCAGTGTGACTGGGCACTTTGAACAACATGAAACGCCCAGTACTACTGTACAGAACCCGCATGACGGATCCTTTACGTCACACATGCAGAAGCTGTCCCTCTCGGACGTGTTGGTGGAGGACAACCCCACAAACCACGGCGCATATCCCCCACGCAAGGAGTCAGTCGGAGTTCTCCCTTTGGCTGGGAACATGGCCTACCGACACACCCCTGCGAGCAGTGTCTCGTCATTTGCTGTAGACCCTCAACTACACGATGATTCCCAGTTTGTTGGTAAGAATAGCGGCTCGTCATTTGATCGCGACGGCCCGTCCGGTAGCCAGAATACATCCTCCCGCGGCAGTCTAGACAGCATACCTCAGGTGACTGAGAATTTTGAGCCCCTACAATACCATCACCGTCCCTACCAGGCTTCGCAGGCGGCTGTTCGGTCGACTCCTGCCCTGGGATTAGGAGAAAATTTCCCTGGAGCCAACAACCGCCTGAGTGCCAAACGCCCACAGCGCCCTCGCTCCACCTATTCTTTTGCATCAGATAATGGATCTCCGCATGCATCTCCCTATCTCCACCCACGCACATCCTCTAGAAATTCGAGCTCTCCCGACGTACGGCCGGTCTCGTTTGTCGACCTTCTCAACGCTCCGTATCCCCAGCCCGGTCCGGCACCGGCTCAGTTCGGCAATGCCCATCTTCGGTCCTCTGTTGGAAATAATGCATCTCTTCTCAGCCACAAGCAGACCTTTGATATGTATCTAGGGAACGTGAAGAAGACCGACGACCTAGCGATTCAGTATGAATTCGCTGTTTTCATGGTGAATGCTATGCTGGAAATGCCGGACGATGAGCTCGAGGGCGGCAAGCCATCAATAGCCGCGGAGAAGGGTAAGAAAAGCAACGACATCACTCGTTCGAGTCTTCTCAAAGAGGCCAAGTCGATTCTGCAAGGGTTAGCCAGCCGAAGTTACCCATTTGCGCAGTACTACCTGGCGGATGGCTACGCTTCCGGCTTGTTCAGTAAGGGGAAAGAGGACTACGATCGCGCGTTTCCTCTATTTGTAGCCGCCAGCAAGCACGGTCATGTCGAAGCATGCTACCGAACCGCTCTTTGCTACGAATTCGGCTGGGGAACTCGCGTCGAGGCGTCAAGAGCTCAACAATTCTACCGCCAAGCAGCTTCGAAAAACCATCCCGGTGCCATGCTTCGAATGGCCAAGGCTTGTCTGGCAGGAGATATGGGTCTGGGCAAGCGCTACCGAGAAGGAATCAAATGGATGAAGCGCGCAGCAGAGTCTTCCGATGCACAATACAACTCCGCACCGTATGAGCTCGGTTTGCTTCATGAGTCCGGCTACGGAGATGATGTCTTCGCAGACCCTTCCTATGCAGCGCAATTGTTCACCAAGTCTGCCGACTTGGGTCATGTCGAAGCTTGCTACCGTCTCGGAGATGCTTACGAACACGGAAAACTGAATTGCCCCAAGGACCCTGCTCTGAGCATTCACTTTTACACTGGTGCCGCGCAAGGAGGTCACGCAGAGGCCATGTTTGCGCTTTGTGCTTGGTACCTCGTTGGAGCAGAACCCGTCCTAGAGAAGAACGAAAACGAGGCATATGAGTGGGCAAGACAAGCCGCTGAACTTGGTAAGCTATCCTCATCCGAATCAAAGTAAACTTCTAACAAGGATGTCAGGTCTCGCCAAGGCGCAGTACGCGGTAGGATACTTTACCGAGTCGGGCATCGGATGTCGCCGCGATCCCCTGGAAGCCAACGTCTGGTACGTGAAAGCGGCCGACCAGGGCGAGACTCGCGCGATACAACGAATTGCAGCCATCAGAGCCGCCGCAGACGGCATTAACCCAGCGCAGGCCGCTGCGGATGGCAGTGGACGGAAAAACCGTAAGAGTGGTACGTTGCCTTTTATCAACTGTCTGAACATGGCTTACGATGACCAGACGGCAAAAAAAGATTTGGCATTTTCTAGGCCATTACCCTGCACTCCGAGTACCAAGACAGGCAGACCGCGTCTAACGTCTGCCATGATTAATACATAATACAACGATCTTGCTTGCACTTGCACGGACATTGATAGGTTATCTTTACTGAAGCGAACACGCATGAATCCGCATCCTGGGCTGGCATAAGAGCGGACCATGTCTAATCTACATATTGCCCAGGCGAGTCATTTATCTGCCTGCATATAGTGTTTCTTTCTCCCCTCTGCTTTACTGTGGTTCGGACTTTTCTTGCCAAATTCTGAGATTCCTGCCCGGGCTGCACACGTAAGCTGGAGTATTTAGTTAATGAAAATCATGACTTCTTTCCATCGTGTCTTTGTCTGGCGAGATGCGGCAATTCGTCATGATGGCAGCTTTCCCCGCATTCTCCGCCCCGTCCCATTCTCCAGATTCGACCACTTCCAACCTATCATCTCCGCAACCCCGTCAGCGAGAGTTTATCATGACTTCATCACCTGTGGTCAACCAACGGGACGCCATGCTCAACTTTACCGCAGTTCCACCCGCGACCAGCTTCCCGCTCGACGCATATAAGACCTCATCCCGTCAACCTCCCCCAGGTTTCAACTCATCACAATTATCCTTTTCATCGCTCATACTTGTAGAATCAGATTAATTGCCATCACAATGGAGCCCTCCGACCCTCTAGACTCCCAATGGATCTCCATCCATATCCGCGACCGTCTTGAAGACCGTGATATCAATATCCGGGATTCCCTTGTTACTCCGTACGCATCCCAATGAATCACTTCTCCCATCTCCCTCTTCCTATTTCCCAATCCCTCTTTACCCCCTGTCCGATCCCGTCTCTTTCCCATCCAAATCTAACTAATACTCTATAAAGCGGCGACTTCCACTCCCCCGACGACCCCACCAAATCCCTCACCGAATCCACCATCGACAAAATGGTCATCCCCTCCAACGGCCTCGGCGAAGTGTGCGCAACGGGCCGCCGCGGAAGCGAGGGCTGGCTCGACCTCTTCGACGGCGACAAGAAGATCTGCGAGCTGCACTGGGACAACCGCAGCGAGCAGTACATGAACGATTTCGAGGTCCTCGACGGCGATGAGGAGTACAAGGTGGAGTGTTCTGGTTGGAGCTCGGCCAAGGGGCCGTTGGGGCATGTCTTTGTGGATGTTTCCAAGGCGGAGAGGACGGGCAAGGGGAATGCGCAGAGGGAGTTGGGGGGGTTGCGGGTTATGGAGGGAGAGAAGGTTGGGAGGCGTAGTCCGGGTGTTGGGGAGAGCTCGGTGTAGAGTGGGGGGTGGGTGGGTTATCTATCTATCTGTTTGTGCCTTTGTTGCTTGATTTTGTTTGTTGATCTTAAGGATACATAGTCATATGAATGTAAACCGAATCAATGCATGGCTTTATCTCGACTGCGGGTGTATAAACGGCAGGATGGAGAATGACTGCCTATTCATATCTCGATAAAGACGTCCAAGAATCTTGGTCGTTTCTGGTCAAGGCTCACTGCATTGCTTGATTCCATGAGAGTTCAGCAAGCGCAAGATATCTGCTTACCTGGCCCGTCTAGAACTCCCAGACCCATCCGGCCATCACCTCTCTGCATATGGATCTAACGCGGCCCGTCTCAAGTTGACTGCATCAGCAAACTCCTTGATATACGACCCAGATCTCACGAATTTCTGGTCAGTTCAACAAACAACTGTACGCAATGCTCCATCCTCTCTAGATTGAGACTCGAAATACGACCATCCCCTGAGAAATCCCTTTCATCCTCCCTTGCACCCGCCTCGCAGCGCTCGTCTCCCAGCTTTTCATCCCGGGCGAGATTTAATGGGCTCGATCACGGCCGTTGGTAAGTCCTTCATCGGGCCCGTCCACCGCACATGGACTTGGGGTATCAGAGGTTGTCATTGCCAATGGGATGGGGGACTATGAGTGAGTGGGCGCAGAGACTTGATCAGGCGAGGGAGCAGGCTGTAGCGGGCTGGGGAAGGATATGTATAGTGTTTTCTTAGGGGTTTCTTTGAAGTGGTGCATGTGTTTTAGTTGGATGGGTTGTAGCCGTATCATCTTTTTGTCGAGAGGTTTGAGGGGAGGGGGCCTCGGCGTTTAACTGTGCGAAGGATATCGCCCTTTCCTGTAAACGGAGAGTGCCTTAGCCGCGCTAGTAATAATGCGAGGAAGACGGATATGGCGCGCCATCCACATACTAGTAAATTACTATGGCAACAAATGTTTTGATACTTCACAAATCCTCGCAAGGTGAAGGATTATCTTTCACCAGCTTTAAAGCTATTCAGACCGCCATTTCATCGTTTTTATGATTCTTATAGTGCTTTAAAGCCCCAATCTTCCTTATTCTCTTACAAAACGTGCCTGCCTGCCTTCCTTCCCCCCTCGCTCGCCGCTTTGCTACCTCGCTGCTCGAGATCCATTATAATGCCTTGCAACCAGTACCATCCTCTAGAAATCCGAGTCCAGGTGCTTACGTTATGGGCAATTGGGATGCCAATCAACCAAATCTCCATATATCTCGATGTTCCCCCCCGTACGGTGAGGACTATGGTCGAGAAAGCCAAAGATCGTGGCTACAACCCTGCAAAGAGCCTCCGCGTTGAAGCGAGATATATAGAGGATGGGAAGCGATCTGGTCGTCCGAAGGGGATCTCCAAAGCTGCAGAGCAAGCTGTGGTATCCTTGCCGGATCATCTTACCCAGCCGGGCCAGCCCCAGTCGTAAGCTTGACTCCTCCAAGACCCACCATAGCTTCACCAACCGTCATCACGACGATCAAACAGCAGGCGCGCTCCATCGAAACAAAGATAGAAACATTCTTGAGTTCTGATCTGCAAGCTGCCCTCCTGCAAGCCTGGACTTTTGTCTCCGACTGCATTCGCGACCGCGCCTCACTATCTGCCTCGCGGCTTTCAAACTCTCCTGAAGATCGCACCCCCGTTGCGTCATCCATCCCCGGCTCTATCAAGGGATAAACAATCCACCCCCGGCGACTTTTTTTCCTCTGCTTGACAACTTCACGTATCCTTCTTGAACTCGACTTCTCCTACCTACATTCTAAGATAGGTCAAAAAACTCGAATTGAATTTCAGCACAGCGAATTGCACCGAGAGAAGGAAAGATGCGTCTCCTCTCCCTCTTCACCATATTCGCCACCGCGACATTCACAGCCGCCCTGCCGGAGCAAGCGAGTGCCCAGATTTCGTGTATCGGGGTATGCCTTTCGCCCTTTTGAATCCATTTTGTTTGCTGCAGGAGTACCAAGTGAGAGGGTATTTTGACCGTGCTAATGTGGATTCGTCATAGCTCAACGACCGCTACTGCGATAATGTGACCGTTGGATTGACCTGCTGTCCGCCGTTGAGGTGTGGCAGTGATTCGGTATGTGTATACCCTTGCTGTCGCTCTGGGAGGGGAATGGGAGTGAAGATTAGGGAGCTTATGCTAATGCTTTTGGGATACAGAGATGCCATTCTTAAGCGGATTGGGAGGATTGCTGCTGTAGACAGAGTACGACTGGCGGCTGGATTGATGAACGATGGCTCCAAACGGTCGATACTACGAGATGGGGGTAGCAGCTATTGGAAAGCAAGATTGGGCGGATATCCGTGGTGCATCTGGACGAAACGAACGGCCGAGATTCTTGTACCTATCGCAAACATGTGTCTATACGGGAAGTTGCTGAGTTGCTGAGTTCGGCATGGCAAACGCGGGTGGAATGGATTAGTCACTGCTGGCCGCCTGTTTGCTGTCTTGAAGGGATCAGGTAATGGCTCTGGAAAAGGAGTGAAGAATCCAGATACTTATCAACTTTGTTGAATGAACTATTCACATCAACATGTGCCTTCACTGGTCAAAGGCTGCCAGCTGGATGTATAAGTACCTGGACGCCGCCTCTGAATTACGTTTCTCAACTATCTTCCTTGCATCTTCTTCAACTCTATCCGGGCCCGACGAGAGGTCGGCGTATACTCCGTTTGCAGTTTCTATAGAACGTACAAGGACTTATCCTTACCCCTCTTCCCACTCTCGCACCTACACGAAGCAGTTTCCCTACGGAGTCTTATATATGCCATTTTCTACGCCCCCAGCCCCAGTAACTGAGGTCTTGACAACCCAGTACTCACGTTCCACCCACCAGCATTGCGGAAAAACGCCCGGACCACCCTGCCCCAACGCAAGCAGGCAGGACGAACCAACGCACCGATCTACGGCATTGCCACAGACTCATCTCGTCCTTGGCCTACCGGATGGGCCTCATTTTCCCACGTTGGGTCTCTGTCTCCATCTTCCATCATCTACCGCACTCATGAATTAGCCGGGCTAACTACATTGCAGCCAGGCAGGCCGAACAACGAGCCCGATGCCGATGAGTCCCGCCAGGCTCTGCTCAATGGATTTTGCATGAAGCCGAAACCATATGTCATCGAATGCGTGGATCGTATTTACACAAGGAATACGGTTGCAGAGGCAAGAGTTTGGGTTGTGCTCCCAGCCCGATCCATCAGCCTAATACCACGAGACGTAGCGGTAGCTAACAACACCCTACTCTTCGACAGGTTGCAATTGTGCACCAATCCAACAAGCTGGTACCACGAACGGGAACGGAGCGGCCACCGATACTACACCAGACTCATAAATGCCACCCCCTTACGGCTGACCTACAGCGCCGATGAGCGCACCTTGTCCCCCCGCTGGCTGGGATGGGATGGCTCTAGTGTAGTGTTGGACATGACCTCGCTCTCCGCTCATCGACAAGGATCCTCGCATTCAGTTTCTCAGCAAGCGCATTTGCAAGGGCGAGATGAGGAACTACCCGTCGACTAACGAGATCCAAGTCAACCCTGCATGGGGATCAATGCTCCGTACGGAGTTTCCAAACGCTCTGCCCTGCCCGATTCACCCCCAATATTGGGTTGGCTTCTCGGCCTCAGAAACGCCGCGTGCGGACTGGGTGAAGCCTCAAAGTCCAAGCAAGTACAATGCTGCGCATGTCAAGGCCGTGGTGTCCCTCTTTCTCACGAATCATCGTCATCCAGCCAACGGGTATGTATGCTGGTGACGGAATGCGAATCATTACCCCGTACTCCCAGCAACGTGGTTTGTACAGAAAGGCTTTCTTTGAATCCTTACTCAAAGATCGTCCTCCCAGATGTTCTGGCAGGCCAACGTATGTAGAAAAGACCGTTGGCTTTGTCCATGGTGTCTGTCGGTTCGGGTGCACATCTCCAAACTGCAATCAGCGATTTCCGCCGGATCCTTGTGCCGAGGAGTCTTCGTATGTACCTCGTACCCTACATCGATATACTACGTGGATAGTGCCAGCGAAGAAAAGCAGCATTCTCTAATGCTAAATAGAGCGCAGGTTCAAGGGGATTAAGTTGAGGACGTCCTGATCTTTGTCAATGGGCATACCGAGGACGTATCTGACATCGAGGCTCCGGATTCTCAGGACGATGGTCCATACTTGTGCCGGCCGAACTGTCCGACCGAGGAGTATACTGTTGGCTTGAAGGTTAGTGGAACGATCCGAGGAAAATGAGGCTGGCGACGAAGTTGAAACTGGTTTTGAAGTCGCGGAAGACGACGAAGAGGAACCCGTGAGTCATTATCTCGCTCACGAGGATATGACTATATATCCCGCTGTCGTCCGTCTTCTGCTTTACCTTTTGAGGTTCTGTCTGGTCTTCTGCAACGCATTGTTAGGGCTCTCAGCCCTCGTCGTTACAAGGCCTCAGAAGGTATGGATGCCCTGCGGAACCTTTGGTCAGAAGAGAAGATGAGCTCGTGGGAAGGCATTGTCCTCAGTTATGATCGACAATAGATCCTCCTAGATCTTACTGTCTTTCAAGTAGACGGCCTCTCAGCAACTTGTCCCTCTGCCAGAACCTCCTGCCCAGTAATGATCCAGAAAAGCCGCACACGCCTGCTACCACAGCATCATGGCTCCTCCCAGGCAATAATGAACAGCAGCTTATGCCATGGATAAAGTGTCGATCATATTCCGTGGACGACGAGGAGAGAAAACTGCGTTTCATCCGGGGTACGCAGCATGACCGCTCGCCTTGACTGGACCAGAAGGAAGGGGACTGCTGTACCCTAAATCACCAGATGATGATTGGGAAAAGCGTTTGCCGATATGGGATTGGAAAGAATGGAGGATGTGTCTGTGCCCTATCTCTCAGCCAGTCAATAGGACGTAGTGGCTCAGTTGGGATGCTGTTCCCTATCCATTATGCCCTAGATGCGATTGTGAACGAGAACGCCTTTTACGCCGCCAGCATGATTGCTCGGAGACACTCCCGGAGGATATACACACACGACACCAAGAACTGCTCTCTCGCATCCGCTTCTAGCACGCAGTCGATCAAGGTTCTACACACATCCGCCCACCATTCGCAAAAGTTTGCTCAAGCAGTACATCAAGCTGTTCCTTATTTCCGTTGAAATAGCGCTACATTGGGTCGCGCCCATAGTGTGGGAAGAACATCTTTATCTGGTACCCACGGGGATGATGCCCTCGGCGCCCTCCACCTCTGCTACAGTAGTCGTATTAGTGAGAGATGCTCCAGGTATCATGGAACCAAGAGGCCACGCCGTGCCTACCTCTTCCCGACTGCTTTGTCAAACGGGCGCCCGGAACTTTTGCGCGTCTTCAACGTAGCGTCCAAGTTGTTTAGGCGACTGATGCCCTGGCTCGGGAGATCGAGTCATAGCAGCGCACGGTGAGGATGAGGACGACGGAAGAGGAAGCATCGGAGGACACTACCAACCAACAAGCGTACTCCGGTCACGGCCCCGGCTTCTTTCGAGTGATGCTCTCAGCTTTGCATCACAACACGTTGGCTAGAAATAACATCTGAGACCCCTACCGCCCGCGTGCCTCTGCCCCCCAAAAGCTTCAGACAGATAACCACGATTATCTGATTCGCCGTGCCATCTAGAACATCCGGCAGAAGATTTGCCACTAGTTCCTTGTTGACCGACCCCCTATTCAAGGGCTTTGACCGTACTCCGAAAGGAAGGCAAGTGGCTTTTCAATCAGAAGACCAACAGGGCGAGGACGAAGAGCTTTTGAACCGCGTCTCACTGGAGGCTACGACGAGACTGATAGCGCCGGGGAACCGCTGAGGAGGATATCATGGCCTTGAGTTGCTTGACCGTCGGCATCCTCAGACCCGCGGGGGCGTGCAGCGCACTTTCTGGTGCGGGCGATGGTTTTGGTGGGGCTTTTGCTTCTGTATGGTCATCAGCACACCTTTGGTCAAGCGGTGCCTGGGGCCCAGATATTGTACTTCCTGAGCCAGAGCACGTGGATCTTTACTCCTGGAGCAGAACGGACAAGGACTGCCACGGGATTGACTCAGTCTTCGGTGACTACAAAGCCACCACAGGCCGGCCCGTGCAAGGCAAAGTACCAGACATGACATGGTCGTTCCCGGACCTTCGGTGAACTCAAGGTCCTAGGGCTGCGTTCCCGCCCACCAGTTGGGGGAGCCCCAACTCCATCCCATGGATTGAACTGGCGCCGCAAAATTCATGGTGGGGTATTGTGTCTTCGTGGATGTGGTTGTATATATGCTTGGCTAATCCTATCTCAGGGCAGATAGCACACTATATGCTAGAAGCCCAGCACAAGTATGCGGGGATTCCTCCTCCTCCACCTCCTTGCGCATCACTAGCGGCGCGAGTCAACGCGGCCTCGTTTATGTCTTCGCCCTGCCACCGTCCACATCCACTCTTCCTCAGCCCGCTCACTTACTCAAGCTCGTAATTGGCCGCTTGACCAGGAGATACACGACGAGATGGGCTAGGTATCTAATCATCCCGCACCATCCTGTGTCCAACGAGTCCACATTGAAGCTACCCAGGTGAGCTGCCTAACACATCGTAGCGCAGCCAAAGTACTGGATACTGCCCCGTGTCGGTGGTCTACCTACCTCGAACAGCTATACCAAAGAATGAGGCAGAGTGTATGTCGCTGCGACAGAATCAACTGTTAACCATACCCGCGAGGATGTACCACTCGCCACGCAGGCCCCTTCTGTCTGGGAAGATGGCCCCCCAAAATGGTACGAGCTTATTGCACAAACTCAGCTTGGAGACCCTCTTTATGGAGCTTTTGTCTGCTGGATCTCAGCTGTTCGCCTGCGCGTTGGAATGGCCATGAATCTCTTGGATAAACGGTTGACGTAATGGATAATTGCGGCTCCGCCTTTTCTGAAGAAAGACTGGGCTCTAGCCGAGCTCAGGTCCTGAGGTAATTAGGGCTCCGAGCAAAGGATTCACTATCTGAATGAACGAGATCACCCTCGCAGCCACCTCCTTCTTTCTAATCAGAAGTCTCCTGCCAATCACAGTCTACGGACCAGGCGAGCACGTCATTAGTCTGCCAATGGGTACTACTGTACGATATACGTTGTGAATTTAACTGGCCACGGTTGAGAGCGAAGGGAACATGGACTAACAACGCCCTCTA